TGAGCCTCGTCCAGGACAACGGCTTGCAGTCGCATTCGCCATCTCTTGTCGAACCAGAGTTCCTGCACGCGCTTGTTCTCAAAAATGATTTCTGGTGTCATAAAAATAACCCTATACAATCCTGCGGCCACTCCAGAGTCAATCCCGGTGATGTCTCCGCCCATGAGGGCCGTGCTGCGGATGCCCAAGCTTGCAAGTTTCAGCTGCTGTTCTTGTATCAAAGCCCTCAGAGGTGATATTACAACGATGATCCGATCGGTCCAGAGCACCGTCGGTAGAAAATATACAAGGGACTTGCCCCAGCCGCATCCAGCAATCAGAATACAGTCCCGACCGGTACCGATGCATTCGACGACATCCAGCTGCAAGTCTTTAGGGGTGATATGGAAGACATCTTGACACCGCTTGATAGCTTCTTCACGGTTGAACGGTAGGGCCATGTTGATGAGTTGCTGCTGAGGACTGAGATTGAATTGATAAGTCACTGGGAGCTTTACGCGATTCATCTTTAGACTGCTTAGCAATGTCTTCAGAGATGAGCAACATACCAGTTTTAAGTAATGTAAGGAGGCGAGCCGCTGAGAGAAGAAAGATGTGAGGTGAGGGAGGAGCAGCATATTTTTAATATTTTATTGTGCTGTTATGCATGGCCATGGCGCATGCCAGCGCATGCCAGCGCGACCTTGCGACTATGGAATGTATGCCCTGTATCCTGTATTTGCATGATTTAGCCTGAAAATACCCTTAAGAACCTTCCATTTTCGAACCCTGCCAGCGACCCATTCTTTTTTACCAGCCCCTCTGAAGTAGGAGGCCTAAAAAGGAAATTACATTTCCGACCTCCTTAACTGGAAGAGAGGGCTGGGTCGAGCCTAAGCACAAAGTAGGTTCTGGCTTGGCTTAATTTGTCAAAAATATCGTGGTGGTTGTGGTTTCATGCTTATGCTTACTTTTTTACCATCCTTTTTTCCAGTTTGTCGTCAAATCCTTTGTTAGAGCTGACGTTTCATACATTGTCCGCAACAACAACGATGTTACCAGCATTGTGTCATGCAGTTGTGCCGATTATTGTCTTCACCTGATCCCTTGCAAGCACATGTACCTGGTTCAGAGGCTCTATAAAAGTGTGAGAGTATCCTATTCCGGTGAGCCTGCGATTGAATCTGCCATTGAACCTGCCGTCGCTCAGGAGCAACGTGTCCAGAATATGGATTTTTTCGGACCAGATTTGGAGGCAGGATTAGCGCCATTACTCCGTTTGCAACTCGACCGGAAAAGGGCAGCAGAGCAGGAATTCGAAAGAGTTGCCAGAGAAGTGGCGACCAGACAAGAGTTTGAGGATAATGAGGGCTTATCAACGGAGTTGATGAAGCAAATGGGCGCCGCAGTGGAGGCAAGAAAGAAAAGGAAATGTACACTCGAGTACCTCAAATCTATTGTGGCGACCGCAAAAAACACTTTACTCGAGATTCAAGGCCTGAATGCCTCACAAGCAGGACGGCGGTATCAAAAATAGTCCTCTGGTACGGGTCAAATACAGAAGGTTCAACCGTGATGTTATTTCCAAGTCGAATCCCGTGTCGTTGGAGCATTAAAAACGCACCAACTACGCCAGCAAAAGGCGACGCCATAGAATTTTTTTGGTGAGCATAAGCAAATACATGCAGTAAAAGAATTTCGGCGTGCAATAACAGAATTATGCAGCTTTAGGATATAAATTACACCTACCGATCATTTTTAAATGTGCTTGCGAACACATATATGGTTGAGATGGGGTTTAGGCACTTCCTGGGGCCTGGCTAGTTACCGATTCCTGCCCTGATGCCGCATTGGCCGCACGCTTGCGCCTTGGAGCTCCTTCTTGTTCTGCAGCCGCGGTTGATGCTGTCCTCTTTCGGGCCACACTGCCCTTGCTGGCGCTGGTGCTGCTAGTACTACTGGTGCTGCTAGTACTACTGGTGCTATTGGTGCTGCTAGTGCTACTGTTACCATTGATGCTGCTAGTGCTACTGTTACCATTGATGCTGCTAGTGCTACTGTTACTATTGATGCTGCTGCTACTGGTGCTCGCGCTATCGGTTACTGTCTGTGTAGCTTCCATCCAAGGATATCTACCATTCTCATCTACAGGCTGAAGATAGAGTGGCCTCTGTTGCTGAAGCAAGTGCCCTTGAATAACGTTGCAAATATTGTGGCCTGCCATGATATCGCGGTGCATGTATGTCTTGCAAGTCTTGCAATACAGCCGACGTATTTGAACCTGGCCGACAAACTCCTCGCACATCGGACACTTCTTTGACGTGTAGTACTCATTGACGCCCACGACAATATACCCGAGCGCCCTTGCCTAAAGAGCGGTTTCAGAATGCTGATGCACTCATCAAATACATGGAGAAGCAATGGATCAACAAGGAAAGCATGCGCCGATGGGCACCTCTCTATCGTTCAGTAAGTAATCGAGATCTCAGCTTTCTGATCGCCTTGCGCAATAGGTTTGGGTCTGGGTATGTGATTGAGTAGACAAAGACTGAGATTCTATCATTTGGCAACGGTGCTCTTAAATAGCTGTGTGTAACAAGACGAAGGAAGTGAAAAAGAGAACTAACTTTAATAATAATTACTATACACAAATACATATACATATACACATATACTATAACTACAAATCAAAGTCATTAACATACACTATCTCATTAAATGGCCTGGTCTACGATATGTAACTGGTCTTATTCTAGTCAATTTGTTAACGTTGAAGCACTTTATTCATTTGAAATAGCACCATCAACATATTAACACAAATAACCTTGTGGAGCGATGGCATCGAAACCTCAAGCAAAACTTTCTGGCGGGAAAGCGCAACCTGCGAGCCGACGAACTCATCTACATCCTGCTAGGTGTGGTGGAAAGCCAGTACCGCACCACATACTTCAAGATCACAAGCGGCCTTCAACCCCGTCGCCTAACATTCCACGAGGAGGCACGGCGTAAAAAGGCCATCCAAGTTGATTCGGCTCGGGCGAGAACATTGATCGACATTACTAAGTCTGTGGAAGGCTTGATCTCTGTGTTGTCGTTTCAGACCCCGCCTGAGGCGCAATATGCTATCGATATATTGTCGGACAAATGGCTCCGCTCCTGTTCTTGCCCTGACAACGAAAAACACGGTCTACCGTGTAAGCACATGTTCTTGGTATCGAGGATCTATCCAGGGTTCCAAGTGTGCTTTGACAACAATGCAACTGAGCTTAACGGGACAGTCAATTGACGAGAATGAGGAAACCGTCCTGGAAGAGGATTATGGCCCTCCATTAGAGGAGTTTCTCTCTCCGAATCTACTTCAACAACTACAAGCAGCACGAGAGGAGGAGGAGCAGCGACTCCAAGCCGTGCGACAACAGGAGATGCAGGAAAAAAGAAGACGGCAGGAGGAGGAAAGGGCTCAAGTGATGTGGGAGTGTGAGGAGACAATTCGCCAGGCTTGGATGGAGCTTGGTCGAGTGGTTCACAATGGCAAGACCAGGAAGTGCACGGAGACTTACTTTGTTTCTGCGGCGGCACTCCTTCAGAAAGCAGTACGCGAGATAAAAGGAATAGATGAAGTTAATGCTGGTTCTCGCTGCCAGTAAATTCTCTTAGTGCACATTCATTATTTCCGCACGCGAGAAAACAATAAAACCCAACGCTATTTCGAGCCAATCAGCGAGTTAGTGCGGAAAAGTTCAGACTACCATCCCATGTGAGTGACGTAACGTGTCCACATTTGTCGGTTGTTCTGGTCCTGGGGTTTTTACGCGTTCTGAACGCGTCCATCCATGGTATCGCGACATGGGGTTCACCAAACTGTCATGAACACGCGTTCCCTCTATTGCGCTATCTTGTGCAAGGGATCTATTTGAGCCATAGGGTCTTCAGTTGCTCTTCGATACGTTCAATTCGACATGAATAACGATACGATCGAACCTACAAGATTGTATTTACAGTTGAGAGAAACCTTGAGACAGTTCTTGAAACAGGACGCCGTCTGCCAAGACACAGCTCGGGAAGGCAATGCAAGGAAGTACCATATATTTATCATATTCATATCCTGCCTGCAACTGTAGACAGCTGAGCGCGTACAATTGAAGCATAGAGGCGGCCACATCCAGCAAGCAGGGCAATTTGGTCAAAGGGTGCATTTCCACGTACGCCTGAGGGTGCAGTCCTGTACGTGAGAGTAATTCCCTCCCCGGCCGTGTTTTGGTGTTTTTTTGTCTCCGCTTCACCCCATCCATTTCTTTCTCTTTTCTCATCCAACACTCCCCTCCTCTCCACTCCAATCCATCATGCTCGCTTCCCTCAGAACCGTGGCCCCCGCCACCAAAGGCAAGTTTATCCCCTCGGTCTCTCCTCCTGTCGACCCTCACTTCACCGCCTCTTTTCCGCTGTCTGATTACAATCGGATTCGTCAACGCGAGTGGTGTTCTATTGTTCGTGCAGTTCCTGAATCAGCAGCCCGCGACAGCCAATTTTTGAGTGATATATCTCGACCTACTTTTTTTCTGCCCAGTGTAATCAGCTTTGGTTTGTGCAAGAGTGGAAACAATATCTTAGTCTGGGAAAGGGACGACTCGGTAGTGGACGTGACCCAAATTGTCAGCAGACGCTTTCAGGACTCGAAACCCTTCTCGCCAACAGGACGCGAGATGGTCATTGGGATATGCATAAAGTCAAGGGCATAGAAGCGAGAATCACTATGGTATCCGGCCTCAACTTGCGCTGTTTTGTTTTTGCTTCAAGGATCTGCGGGTGGATTGCATTAATCGGATCCGGCGGGGGCTTAATTGATTTACCCACAGCACCGTTTTACCGTCTATAACAGGCATTGTGTTATCCTTGACGACAACCTAACCGTGACCGTGCACGTTTCCTTTACCCGCTTGTGCTCCATTATAGTCGCTCAGCGCATGTTCAGCAGCTCGTCTAAGGTTGCCAGCTACGACAAAACTGTCAAGAACATGCTGATCAACAAGCAGACCAAGGTCGTCTGCCAGGGCTTCACCGGCAAGCAGGTAAACATCGCAATCAATATATCATCCTTCAATGATGCCCAGCGATACATGCCCCTTTGAATCGCGGATCGTGCAATTGTTCCCAGGCATGCAGCACACTGTTCGTCATAGGCAATAGAGTACCGGATATGATCTGAAAGCCATCCATCGTCATTATAAGATTTTTGTTGTGCAACATTTGTAGGCAGATCAAGCTGTTCTTCTTCCCACGTTTCTTTTTATTAGTAGAACTTGTATGGAGGGTCTTTAGGCGACTGAGAGTACACAATCACCGTCAACGGCACGTTCTCACCCTTGCAATATATTTTGGTTTCCGTCTCTAGGGTACTTTCCACTCCAAGCAGGCCATCGAGTACGGCACTAACATGGTCGGAGGCGTCTCTCCCAAGAAGGGTGGCCAGACCCATTTGGGACTTCCCGTCTTCAACACCATTGCCGACGCCGCTAAGGAGCTCAAGCCCGATGCCTCAGTCATCTACGTTCCTCCCCCAATGGCCGCTGGTGCCATCATGGAGGCCATTGAGGCCGAGATCCCCTTGGTTGTTGCCATCACTGAGGGTATCCCTCAGCAAGACATGGTTCGCGTAAGTATTTGACTATGCTTCATATAAGAAATCTTCACAATATCGGCTTTGTGATTCTAACATTAGTTCCTAAATGCAAATGTAGGTTGTCAGAGCCTTGAAGACTCAAGACAAGACCCGCCTTATCGGACCTAACTGCCCCGGTATCATTGCCCCCAATGCCTGCAAGATTGGTATCATGCCCGGCCACATCCACAAGGTCGGAAAGATCGGTATGTGAATTGTCATGGCCATTGCAATTGGTTCAAATATGTAGCCCGGAAAATATTCAGGGCTATAAAATTAACAGTTAATGTGTGCTCAATTTAATAGGTATCGTTTCCCGCTCTGGTACCTTGACCTACGAGGCCGTCAACCAGACCACCGAGGTCGGTCTTGGCCAGTCTCTCTGCATCGGTATTGGTGGTGACCCCTTCAACGGAACCAACTTCATCGACTGCTTGACCTTGTTCTTGCAGGACCCTAACACCGAGGGTATCATCATGATCGGAGAGATTGGAGGCAGCGCCGAGGAGGAGGCCGCCGACTTCTTGAAGAAGTACAACTTGACTCGCGAGAAGCCTAAGCCCGTTGTTTCCTTCATTGCTGGACGCACTGCTCCCCCTGGCCGTCGTATGGGTCACGCCGGCGCCATTATTGCCGGAGGCAAGGGAGGCGCCGATGACAAGATCAAGGCCTTGGAGAGCGCTGGTGTCGTTGTCTCGCAGAGCCCTGCCAAGCTGGGAGTCCTTATGAGAGCTGCGATGGAGAAGGCTGGATTGGTTTAAAGCGTATCCAACTGCTATAGTTCCTTTTATTATCATCAAAAATACACACATTTTCCTCCTTACCGAATGTCGGCAGGAATTGTGTCCACCATTGACGCGCTATCCATCGCGTGGTGTCTCTTGGTATCATAGGAGGGCACCAATGAGGAAAAAAAAAGAGGGGGGTCGAATTCACACGTTGATTTTGTTCTCCGCCTGCACTTGTCTGTTCGACTCATCCTCTCTCATCCATCGACCTTCGACCTCCATTTCAACCTTGATTCAACTCCTCCTTGTTTGCGGAGAGCTCGAGAACATTCACGAAGTAAGCGACACAAGAACGCTCAGCTGCGAAACGCCATGGCGACACCAGCACTCCTCCTCAACGCCCTGTCGATTGTTCTAGGCTCATTCCAGTATGGTTATCATATTGGTGAGCTCAACTCACCCCAAGAGGTCATCACCACCTGTCCCGAACCTCTATACCCGAACCCTTCGACAAATGGAGCACACCTCAACGACTGGATTGAGCCCGGCGGATCCTTGCCAACATGCATCCCTATGAGCAACTCGGAGTGGTCTGTCCTGGTCGCCACGCTGACGCTAGGTGGCCTACTAGGCGCAATGCTGGTCGGGTCCCGACTGGCGGATCGTTTTGGTCGGCGAAACGCGCTTATGATAAACAATGCATCGCTTCTGGTCGGCTCCGTAGTCATCGGCTGTGCTTCGACGTACACGGGAATGCTTGTAGGCCGGTTCCTAATCGGTGTTGGCTGTGGTGCCGTGACGGTGATTGTGCCCATGTACCTGGCTGAAGTCTCGCCGCCTGAACTCCGTGGATCCCTTGGTAAGACGTCAGGATGCTATCGAATGGTCTTGCAGAGCTTTTTACTAATACAGAGTACCTTGCCCACCTTGATAGGTGTGATGAATCAATTGGGGATCGTTGTGGGAATTTTTTTCGCGCAAATCCTCGGCCTTTACTTCTCGACACCAACTGGATGGCGCGTCATCCTCTTGACCGGCGCAGCGATTTCCTTCCTTCAAATTTTTTTGCTCCCCTTCTGTGTGGAGTCACCCCGCTACCTGGCACTACAACCCGGTGGGTCCGCTAAGGCCAAGCGTGCCCTCCAGATTCTCCGCGGACGACAAGATGTGGCCAAGGAAATTCGAGACTGGACCCGACAAGATGACCGCGCAGTCGTGGCTGAAGAGGAAGGCCATTCTGGTTCGAGTCCGCTATTGAACGACTCTAGCGACGCATTGTTGGTCGGAGGCGCAGGAATCGAAGAAGAGGGACATCAACCCCTGCAACAAAAGACTTTCAATGCACTCAATTCTGGACGCGGCATCACCGTCGCTGAATTTGTGTCCATGCCGCGTTACCGCCGTCCAGTCATCCTGTTGCTCTTGATTCAACTGTCTCAGCAACTCTCAGGAATCAATGGCGTTATTTTTTACTCTACGGCGATTATGTCGCAGATCCTGCCTTCGTCCGGCGCTATGATTACGGTGTACATCTCGATTGTCAACATCATCATGACCGTGATTGCAGCCTATCTGATGGACAGGGCCCCACGTCGTAGCTTACTCTTGACCTCGAGCATCTCCATGGCCATCAGTTCTTTCCTCTTGGCGGGCTCGCTCAACTATGAGGTCCCGCTTCTCTCTGCATTTTCGATCATCGCGTTTGTGGCGTCGTTTGCGATTGGCTTGGGCCCCATTCCGTTCCTGATCATCCCAGAGTTGGTCGATACAACTGCTGTGGCCAGTGCGTCAGCATTTGCACTGTCTGTCAACTTTGTGACCAACTTTGTGGTATCGGTCATGTTCTTGAAGCTACAGGAGTGGTGGGGCGGTAACGTCTTCTATCTATTTTTCGTGCTGCTGATGGGCCTGTCGGTTGCCATGAATAAGCTCGTCCCCGAGACCAAGGGCAAGACCCCCGATGAAGTAGCACGATCCTGGCAATCATCGCATGTTCACTGAGTGAGCCAATTTTGTTGCGCCATAGGGCTTGACCTCAAGTTTGACTGACGAAAATAAAAACGGGTTATTTAATAACTCATATCCAATTCTTCATGGACACAGCGAAAAGTCTCTTTACTTTGTCGCTTTTCTATAGACACAATCGTTCATGCGAACGACCCGACAGCAGAAATAGACAAGGTGGTGCTGTTGCATGAACGATACCAACCATGGACACTGGCCATAAAGATTTCAAACAAGAGGAAAAATAGATATATCAAGGGAAGGTGGCGCCTGTGCACAAATGAACTACCGCCAAGGCAACAATCTTCATTAGACTATATGGTTCGTCTCTCCTCGATTAAAAAAAAAAAAAAAAAAAAAAAAAAAAAAAAAGCTCTTTGCTGAATAAATGCGGACTCCATCTGCGCAGAAGGCAAGAATAAGAGATCGCTCTATAGAATTGGTGGATCAAGGTCGCATGTGTCCATTTGGCATGTAAAGAGGATGGGGATATAGCACTGACAAATATCGAGGAGATGGTGGCACTTGAAAAGACATAAAGAAGCAACAGATCATCATCTTTCGTTCCTCATTCTCTCGTTTCTTCTTTCATCCGCCTTATCCATTTTCTCACAGCCGTCACCATAATGTATGTTCCATCGCTCCATCCTCCTCCGCGCAGGGTATCTCTTTCTCCGACAAGAGCCACTATTAGGCAACCCAGGATCAATCCGTACTCCATGGTCTTGACAGGCAGTGATTCGTCCTATGATGACCAAAACGACGACGAAGGTCTAGACAAGGCTCTGGCATATCTATTTTCACAAGCGCATATTGCCCGTCGTAATCGTCTCCGTCCATCCGACCGATTGGAGTATGACTCTCGACGCAGTATCATCTCCAGCGTCCCAAGTCTCGAGTCTGATAAGTACTCAATCTTCTCAGGTCCCAAGGGATACGATAGCCGACAAACATATCTGTGGATGCACTTTCCAGAACTGAGCAATTATCATAGTGGCGTAGCGGACTTAGTGTCACCAACCTCATCGTCGTCTTGCAGTGACCCTTCCTCTGTTTGTCCTTGTACCTCCTGTGAGCGGTCTTCCTCTCAGAAGCTTAAAGAGGGAATTGATGGCTGGAGGAAAGCATGTCTTCCGTATGAGATGAATCGGAGCATGAGTGATACCAACATTTCTCTGGCCCCGCACAGCTGCAGCAATGCCTCCAAGATCCTCAAGGACAACGATAATGATGGATGGGAGCACAAGACCATCAAAAATGATCTCGAAAACGACATAGATCGAGAGGACAAGGATGGTGTTGCGGTTGCGAACGGCGTTGAGAATCTTTGTGATAGCGAGCGCATGGCGCATATGCGGAGTCTGGTCCCAAGGATGGTGCGGCGACGAATCAATCATCATTTCGATGAGTGCTGGTACGTGCGCTTTTCGCCTTCAGGCGAATACATGGCGTCAATCGGTCTTGACCAAGTCATCCATATTTGGAAGAACATTATGGTACGTCCATCCCCGTTTTCATTTTTATTTTCTGCGCAGATTTCCTACGGATAGTAAGTAGCACAGACGCGCTTTCGGCGCAGCGAATCAACGTTCCAAAAGACCTGCCTATTCGGGCAATGGTCAATGCGTCGAGATGAAGGACATACCAAATGCGGCATTGAGCTCCTTTCAGCACGAACAACTGCTCCTCTTTGCAATCCATAGTTACAGCAACCGTCCTTATTCACATCCATATTGAGCAAGCATCTCATGTCCAAAAGTATTGCGTCCACGGCTCTTGCATCTGACGCTGTCTTTTATTTAGAGTCTAGAACCGAGCGTCGCCAAGACCTTCACTTTCGATCGATCAATTGTTTATGCTGAATGGTCTCCGAATAGTAGGTACATGGTCGCGAACCTTGGCTTGGACTATCATCGTCCTCAGTTCAAATGTGAACTATATCTCCTTGATATCGAGGTACGCGTTCGTTTGTGTGCAGAGTCTAGAACGATCATCAAGCGCGACTCCAAAAAGAGCGCCACCCTCATTTCTGTCCTCATTGCTGCCCTTTGGAAATGTACAGACAGGGGAAACTGTGTTCAAAAGGAGCTATCAAGCTGAGGCTCTTAACATCCCGGTGACCGCCGTGTCTTGGTTTTCTGACTCCGAGCGGTTCATGACAGCCCTTCAGAATGGACTCTATTGCGTCTGGGTAAGTGCAGCTCAAAAGAATTCGACGTTGCTTTTTGGACATACGATCGAAACGACTCATGCTGGTGGTATACTTGTTTTAAAGTATTAACATTCAATCTACAATCTCCAGAATGTGCAAGGGAAGATTTTGCGCGAGTATCGCGCCGAGGAGAGGTTTGCAGCGTGTCAAGCAAAGTTGATTCCTGGCACGGACGACTTTGCTGTTGTCACAAACGCCAGAACCCTAGAGATCATCTCATTCGATATGGGAGAATTTTCCAAAAGGTAGATGATACTGCTGATTTCTTGGCTGCCAATGTACTTCGTTTTGCTTAACAAGGTACTAAATAACCCCCATGCCGTTACCTTTGATTAGGTCATTGGAAATCTCGTACACGTTTGCCACGTTGTTAGGCGCCGCAATCTCAAAGGATGGCGCCTATGCACTTCTCACAAATGAGGTAACGTCAACATCCCACAGAAGAAGTATTTGTTCACGAAGGGCGTGCATACGTTTCATGCCATTCATAGTAACCAGAATCACTATCGATGGTCCATGTATCTTATAGACCCTCAATGGCACACCGTGTGTTGCTTTGTACAACCTAAAGACGATGACGCTTGTAAGGACCTTTGAAGCTGAGTCATTTGCGCATGAGGACTTTACGATATTCCCCACATTTGCAGGGCCAAATGAGGAATTGGTGTGTACTGGGTCTGAAAATGGCAAGCTACATTACTGGGATCTCAGATCTGGAGAGCTCGTCACAGTTTTGGAAGAGCACACGATGCACGTAGGATGCACGGACGCCCACCCACGCCAGCCTGGAATGATGGCCTCCTGCTCCGACGATGGCGGCATCATCATGTACGTCGAGTCCAATGGTTTATGAAAGTGTGCAATGATATCGTAGCAGCACTAACCATTCTTCGATTTTTCACAGTTGGATGACTGAGAAGCTGCAGCGCGAGGTGCAGGATGATGATGAAAAATGGCTAGATGAACGTCGCCCTGCAGTTATGCCATCTGTATGCCTCAGGAAGGGATGGTGAACAACTGGACGCACATATTTGCCCTGCATCTCTCATGCAACTGTCCCCCGCTTCTGATTTCAGTACTCGTATACCTAAACCAGCAACCTCAAAATCCATTTCCACTGCGAACCCTGGCGAGACCGAGATAAACATATAAATGAATAAATCAATGCGATGAGAAGACGAATATATATTTATTCCAATGAAATGAACCCAATAGTAGAAGGGCATGCAGGAAGAAGGATCTATTACGGTTCCGAGCAGATGGCTCTGACGAGGGCCACAGCTTTAGTCAAGACGGTGGCACGCAAGCCTTTGACAATGACATGCGAGCACATATTCAGATGAACATCGAGCTCTGCTGCAGCATCGACCGTAGCCTGAACATGGACCTGCTCTAGGAACAAGTTCACGCCCAGATCACGGACCAGAAGCGCGACATGCAGACGGACATAGGTCATTAGATTGGCCTTGAGCGTGATAAACAGGTGCACCACGTCAGCTCTGACGAGAACCTCTACATCTGAGATAATATGCCTGGCGCGGCGACGTATATATAGGTGCTTCGCCTCTTGGCCGCAGTACTTAAAAACGATTATACGTGCGTATTATTGGGTCCTGTCCAGGACAAGGACTTTGGCATCTGTATCAGCCTTGGTACTGATCGCAGAGCGGGTCTCGGCGTCGACACGGATCGACAGGTCGGGGATGAGGACATCGGCTTTGGTGGTGATCAGGCCAGAGGCGGGGACCTTAATTTCGGTGTGGGTATCGGAGTGGAGATTGAGTTTCAGGTCAAGGAGAGCCCCGGCGACGATCTTGGTGTTGACGTCCACGGTTGCGTTGATCACCATATCGATGTGGCTTCCGTTTCGCTTCTTAATAAGAACCGGAAGGGATGGTGCATGGTCTTTGTTGTGGGCAGACTCCGGCGAAAGGGACGAGTCGGCGATGTTTGAGAGAGGGGAGCGCCTGTCAGGGACTCGATCATGTCACTGGACGAGGTTATGGGCGCAGGTACGGTTGAGACTGCGACCGCAAAGACAGAGAAGGGAGGAAGTCTCTGTGAGCGGGATAGGATATCAATCTGTTTACTCCGAGGTACACTGCGTCTTTTATAAGCACAACGTTTTTTTTTTTTTTTTTGAGTTATAAACATTGTATATGTAGTTCCCAGTAACCTGAACGACACGAAAACTACATGAAGACTTGCATGGTTTGCAAAGTGTTTAGGCAAATGCCTCGTTATATATATTCAGCTATTACGAGTGGCTTCCTAGGAGTGCAGCGCCATCATCTGAGCCCTTGTTGGTTCGTAACGGGAACAATTATGGGTCACCTATAGAGCCTTGATGGTATTTAAATGAATTCGCGTGGTGTGCCATGCAGATCATGTCGAGTACCTTGAGCTTGTGTATGCAGGAGCCTAGGGCCAGGTCTGTCATATTGGCCACGGACAGCGTTTTTTTTGAGATAGTCCAAATGAGAAAATAGGCACTGCAGTAAAAGCAAGTACTGCGCCTGAAAAGTCGGCCTTCTTTGGCTGCCGGCCTTAACCATAAATTAGTATAGCTCAAGCACGGAGCTACCATATTGTTGCCTGTGTTTAGGCCCAAATTTGACGAGGAGTAGCGAAGCGTTGAAAAAGTACCGATACTAAGACGAAGAGCGACTGCAGATTTCCGTACTTGGTCTTGACTAAGAGACCGTTCCAGCAACAAAAACTCGTAATCTCTTTCAGCTTTATCTCTCACTTTTTATTTTTATTTTTTTGTTTTTTCAACTCATCCTAATATCCGATCTGTTCTCCAGTCTTTATTCACCATGAAATCTCCTGCGATCCATTCTGTCACGGCTACCTTGGTGCCCGCCATCTTCTCACTCGTACTCTCTATCTGTGAGGCGGCTTCTGCCACTAAGCCCGTCAATCTGAATGCGCGAAATCTAGAAGATCAGTTGAGCGGCTATTCTCTGTTCCGTCTTCATCGGCGCAGTTTTGATTCAAATGATTTTCTGGACCGATCTGCAGCTGGCAGAACTAGTAACTGAGATCCTAGACAAGACCGGCAACAGGACCGGTCCCGAATACAAGTCCACCGTCATCAGCTTAGTCATCATATGTTCTTTTCCGGTTCAGCATCAGCATGCTGCTAGTCCTGCAAACCCAAATTTCGTAATAAACACAAGCGGAATGCATTCACTTCATTAACTGATTAACTAACACATCTCTCTGTCAAGTCTATCCTGTTTACTTGGTGGTATTGGCCTCCGTAACACTGGCCTCTTCAGAGTCGGATTCTTCTGTGGCAAGAACAGGCCGGACAGGAAGGGCCCAGGCGCAGACACAACAGATCAGGGTGATGGTAAAAGTGACCCAACAGACAATGCGCCATCCATGCATGAACGAGTCCAGATATTGGGCATCGATGCCACCTCCATAAATGAAAAGTTCCTCCACAGCTGCGGGCGGCATACCCGAGATGATGACCTTGAAGCAGATGACGATTGCGATCATTTGGGAGATCATCGTGAACATGATACGGAGAGACGACGAAGACGATCGTTGCTGTGGGAGGATGCAGAGCATGGAGATTGAGGCCGAGGGTGAGGAGTAGAGGCCCCAGCCGAGGCCATTGACGAGCAAGAGTGCAGAGATAGACCAAGTGTTGGTGTCTGGTTTGACCACGATGGGCATGATCAGCGTTGCGACCGATGCGAGGGCTAGACCGACAAAACACAGGTACCGGAATCCGATCGTATCGGCTAATTTGCCAGAGGGCATACCCGCAATCATGATGCCGAGACCAAAAGGAATCAGTAGAATACCAGCCATCAGCGGGCTCTTGCTATAAGGACCCTGGAAGAAGAAGATGTACGAGAACGTCAAATTGGTTCTGGCAACACCTCCTGCCAAGCCTCCGAGGACGACTGTGTTGTTGAAGACCCAGTTCGTGAAGAGTCTGAAATCCATAAACGGCGCCTTAGCAGCATTAAACCGGCTACCTCCACGAACAAAAGTTTCCTGGATTAGAAAGACAAGGAACATGATTCCTAACGCGACCCCCATGCCGATCAAGGATCCGTTCTCTGAGACTTTGCCGTTCGGGAACAAGGCGCTGACAACGACCACGAACAGTAGAGTAATGCTCGCAGTCAGACTGACGAATCCAATGTAGTCAAAGGTCCGAATCAGCTTGCTAAAAGATGCGTATTGGATGTGCGAGTAAACCGTATCGTGGCAAAAGATGAATCCAGTGATCGTTCCTAGAGCGCCAAAGGGCAAGTTGAAGAAAAACACCCACTTCCAGCTCGCCTTGACAGTAGCGCCTCCAATAACGGGCCCCAGAATCGTCCCTGCAGCGAATGCAATGTTGATGATGCCACTGGCAAGACCGACTTGGTTGTACGCGTAAAATTTGTCGGCGACAAGTGCGAAACAGTTTGAGAAGAGAAGCGCGCCGCCAAGACCCTGTACCACGCGGTAGGCCAAGAGGTCGTAGCCGTTGTTCTTCTTTTGGGCGAGACCACAGAGCAAGGAGCCGAGGGTGAATACGAGGAATCCAATGTTGAACATTCGGCAGCTATCCGGTGGAATACAATATCTATTAGCACGCGCCATCGATGTTGAAAGATAAAAAGACGAAGACTGAAAGCAAGTGCTTACCGAATGCCCCTCAAACCAGCATCGCCAATGTAGCCCAGGAACGGTACTGCGGCCGTAATAGCCAGGGTATATGTCAACAGCACCCAAATAATTGTGGCAAAGTCGATCTTGAATGGCACAAAAAAAAAAAAAAGATTGAGTGTGAACGTATTTTTGCAGTCAATATAGGAATGTATTAGTATCGCAGATTCTTACATTGAGGCTCCGCATAAGGTCTGGTAGGGCCACAATCAGTGCTGAGCCCTGGAGCGATACAAATAACGCGCCCAGAGTCGCTGTCGCGAGGACAATCCAGCGCCTGGAAGGGGGTTCTGTCTTTGGCCTGTGTGCCTTGGACATCTCCAAGTCGAGTGCCATCTGTTCTTTATTTTGATGCTCCAATTCGTATTCCAGGTTCTGCTCCATGGACGGGTCCATTTCTGCGTAGCTGTAGCGAGATACTATAGGAGGTCTATCAACGCGGTTTAGGGTCTCGACGTTTGATGTCGATGAACCTCCCGCGGCAGGTTCCTCGATAGATTCGTGATTTTCAGTCATTGTAGGGTCCTTGAGGGGAAGGTAGCAACGTGTGAAATTAATGAACAATTGGAGTGAGCATATAGCGAGGAGGATTTGTGGAGAGAGAAGGTGTGCAACCCACGAAAGAAACAGAGGAAAGCAGTGAAGTAAGAAAGGTCTATATCTCGCAGCCCTCGGAAGCAAAGGACCTCGTACCGCTGTCGAACATACAAAACTCGACAAAACAAACGGCTATAGGTTTAACCCACGTATGTTTCGTGTGTTTCGTCACTAGCGCCTCGACCTACAACCACACGTCGAGCAACATTAAAATCGCTTTATTCGTTTCAAAGACTACTTCGAGGTCAAGTGGTCAGGTAAAGAGGGGCCCACTACGAATAGGAAGCTTTTGAATGCGATGGGCCAACCTCTCCCGAGCTTGATGTTATGCAATCATAACGACGGCATCATTATGCGAGCTACCAATAATGCAGCGCAGTTAATATGAACCCGGGTATGTCCTGAGGGTGGTCTCCAAAGTTTGGGACAGAAGCATTTTCCTGCTGACAACGCGCAGCAGACATGCTTATAAGCAACTGTGAAGCGTGCAGCCATATGATAACTGTCATTTATTGGAACATATACCAATTGCGTTCTTGTGCTCGAGTAATTGACCGGCGAGGGTAGTGTGTGTCTGCCAAGGTCCAGACGACCACTATAATGAAAACTGCATGAAATAGGCATGTCTCAATCATCAGCTCTAAAACGATTAAGATGTGGACTAGATAAACCAAAAGAGGCATATGTTGAGGGCACGAAGAGTACATACATTGGGGAGATAAGCACAAATAAATGAGTAGGGGTCTCTGCGAGCCTATAACACATACAGAAAGAGTGGGTCGCATTTGTGCGGGACACAGCTTAAAGGAATCGATCGGGTATTGGATCAATGGAAGGTCAACCTTGGTAAAACGAAGCGTTTCATACGTTTGTGGAGGTAGGGACTTGACAGAATTTGCCCAATCATCAAATAGATGGAGGACCCTTAAGTGGATGGATAACGAAGAATATATCGTATCCATTTTTTGGTTTGTTTGGAACTCCCTTTCACAATTCGTTAAAAATGGCTGCCCTCTACTCGGTCACCGTCAAGGATATCAACGCCCACGACTTCAACCGTGCCTACGCCGCTTACCTCAAGCGGTGAGTATTTTTATAACGACAACAACTACAATCGGGAGAGATGGAGCTCAGCATCAAAACGTGAATCATGAATTCTGGGATTATGCCGAATGATGAAAACAGGAATTTCACATTCAGTCTGGATCATGGGGAATGTATCATCAAACAGCGACCATGGCACTGATCGACGACTTTTTTTTATTTTTGCGACCATATCATAGTTCCGGCAAGCTCGAGATCCCCAAGTGGGTCGACCTTGTCAAGACCGGCACCAACAAGGAGTTGGCTCCTTATGACCCCGACTGGTTCTATGTTCGCGCCGGTAATACATCTGGACTTTTTTGCTCCTCAATCCCAACTTTTCGACATCGACCAGGAGGGCTTCGATTCAACTGGACACGGATTACACCAACATCCATCATCTACCAGCATCTCGATGGCCAGCTATACTGGAGACTGTGGTTCTTGTTGATTTCCAGGACTCCATGTGATCTTTGATTCTATTGCAGGACACTTGATACTCTGCCTATTTTTTTCCGCCTGGCCTGAACAGGACGTTGTCATCAGAGTTGTGCAGAAGCTTTGCCTCAATTGCTCTATGATATTTGAGACAATTGGAGCAGAAGGACATAATAGCGCCAAGGACCCTACTTTTGACATTATTACACCATACTACCCAGTTTCCATGCAGGAACAAATACAAGCCCGTGCAATTGGTGGCGCCTCAGGATATTGCAACCCAGGATAACATCACCGGCTGGATATTGAGCAATTATCGACCATGGATCTTGAAACTGCCCAAAGGATCTCGACACATTGCACCTCGCCTCTTTCGGCATTCTTTGGTGTCAGCGTACAATGGACTAACCAACAGTACATATTTTTTCATGGATATTTCACAGCCTCCGTTGCCCGCCACATCTACCTCCGCCGCAGCGTTGGTGTTGGTGCTTTGAAGAAGCTCCACGGTGGCACGGTCAACCGCGGCTCCCGCCCCTCCCACCACGTCAAGTCCTCCGGCTCCATTGCTCGCAAGGTTCTTCAGGCCTTGGAGAAGATTAACGTCTTGGAGGCTGATGAGAACGGGTACGTGATTGCTGTTTTCGATATGGAGCGCTATCTTCCATTCATCTACGCTTTTAGTGGCTATGATACTGGGACGAAGGATTGGCATCATTGTTCCTGACATTGTATTTTCGTTTTTTCTTTCATATCATAGTGGACGCAAGATCACCGTCGATGGTCAGCGTGATTTGGACCGCATTGCTGCCTCCGTTGCCCAGGCCCAGGCTTAAATGTTGATTTATTACCCTTCCGCTTCAAATAAATCTCCCGTATCTTGAAATTGGTTGTGCATAACGATCGCGCGCAAAAAAAAAAAAAAAAAAAAGAAACCGTCTTGGATCAGTCGTTGGCTATCTTTGAAGTGCAATTGTGTAAGGCATGCTTTGAATGTCCATATCTAGGATGTGCTTGTAGTCAATACCAAAATGTTATATCTAATAGGTCTGGCATGAAAGCTGTGCTCATGCGAATGGAATCATAATCGACGCTTCGTCTTCAATGATCGTTAAGGTGCAAGCACCCTTCTACACGCAATGTTGCCCAACCAAGTACTTTGTCCCTAATAAAGAGACTTAAAATTTAGCATAATAGTGCTCGGGAATACGAGATGCAATAGTTTATTAGGTTGAAAAATGCAAGTATGGTACAGTGAAGAGGGGCAATGCTGGATGAGAAGGGTATGTGGTGTTCTTGATATGGCTGAGTGTCCTCATCGGATCAAGATACCGGAGGAGCCGCTGTGAGGACAAGCTTTGCTTGTACGAGCACACATGGGTCTACATCCTGGCCATGGACAGGGCCTGCATGTGGCTCGTGCTGGCCTTCTGGAACAGCATCTCCAGGGCTTGGTCCTGCGAGAGGAGCGCATTCTTGTTGACGGCTGCGACGTCCGAGGGGTTGAGGTGGACCGAGGTACGGGGGGTCTGCGAGGGCGTGTTGGCAGCCGAGGCAGTCTTGTTCTTCTTGGAGGCCGAGATCTTGAAGAAAGTCATTTTGTTTCGTTGTTATTGGTTGAGGATTAAAGGATTGGTGGTAATGCTTTGATTTGTTGTAGAGTCGATGCGTTTATGCTGAGTGAATGAAGAAAGAGGAGGAATAGCGCAATGACCAGGTAGTATTTATACCTGCAGGACAAGGGGATCGGGTGAAGCCAAAAGAGGGGATCTGCGAGGAGAAAACTTCGCGAGCTGAGAACGAACCGCCGAGCCTGGACTTGAACCGTGCGGAGCCTAGATTGAGACGCACCCAATTCATGCTCCTGCTCCTGTACGTGACACCGTTCCTTGCCAAAAGAATAGACACGCGTTCCTCCCCTCTGCTGCTGGACCATCTCAACGCTGCAAGATGTAAATCCCTTTAGATTGTAGCGAAGGCACCGTGTCGCCATGGAGATCGTGGACAGGCCACCATCGGCTAGTTCCTTTTCAGGCGCAGCCAGTCTTCCTTTCCTTTGTTATTGTCGCGTCGTACTCTCATCTCCCAGCAAAGGACGCACTGTGCTGTCGTCGCCTTCATCAGATCCAGCACAAGGAATAGTGCTTGTCACCCTGATAGTCCCTGCACTAGATACGACGAGAAGGACCACACCGCTCGCAGGCCAGCCCACCGTACTTTCCCTCGCGTCTCTTTCTCTCACCCCTTTGCTTCCAGGCACTCAAAGCACTGTGGAAAGCTCTGGATGGTTCCTCTCAGACAATGCCAGCTTGTAGCAGATTAGCGAATTGTTACGGATGGCACGTATATGGTAAAGCTCAAGGGGAAAGCGGTGTTGGAGAGAGAGAGGTGTGTACCTTGAACAAAAACGTAATGAGGCAATTTGGTTTTGAGTGGCCTGTTTCCAGCTCCTTCCAAATTATATTTAGTCGCTGCGGTTGCCCAAAGAGCGGCCTTCGAAGCGTCGCTGGGGGGCGATCAGATCCTCATTTAGGAACCATCCCACGCTCCATTGCCAACGTTGCGCTTTAGTCGCAGTGCATTTGCTGCCCGTCACTAACAGCGGTGAATTATTTATTGTGTTTTCAGTCGGAGATCTTCTTTATCTCCCTCACTCTATTTCAGTATGCTGGCGGGGGTTGGGGAGCTCGGTCTGGGCTCCTTCTTTGTACGTATCCCCTCTTTAATTCCCATGAGCGAGTCGTGAGAGTAAACAACGCAAGCGGCTGGTCGAGCACAAACACTGGTGAGTTGTCCTCTCATACGCACATGTCCTATCTACAGGACATGGCACTCTCCGGGAATGTGGATCGATGGATGGTAAGCAAAGACTAACACTTTGGTCAAGGTGCTGCTCACAGCCCACAGCCAGGAATGAATCCGCAAGTGATAACAGCAGGATGGGCCATGGATTACACAATAGTCTTTCAACGTACACACCCCACCCCATTCAATCCCCACAGCTGCCGCCAGAAAAGGAACTTTCTACAGTCTCCACGGTCAATCGCCGCCGAGAAAGCGCACCCTAAGACCGTGCAGTCTTCATATTGGCAAATAAAAAAAACAAAGACCACAGTGGGTGGAGCAGGTCTGAGTTGCTTTCCTTACCATCATCAGGCCGAATGTTCGAGTCCAGCCAAACAGCCATACAGTTCAGGGCAGTCAGCACCCAGTGGTCAAGGGCCTGCGCGTAGAGTATGCAATGGATTCAAAGAGAGAAAGGTCCCACCGTGCCATTCAGTCAGCTAGTCAGTCAACCACTTTCTGCACTATACTTGTTCGGCCACCTCTTTTGGCAGGCCATTCATTCTCAGGCTACTCTGGGTCTCCGCAATGGTCTTTACAAAAGTCATATAAATACTGCTGATGGACCCCAGACGCGCGCTTGTTCATCACATCAGACACTTCAATACCAATCCCTCACACCAAACAGCACACGCACACGCACACGCAAACGCAAACGGACACACGCTCTCACTCTCTCTTACAAACATGCAGTTTTTCAAAAAGTCCAACAAGAACAAAACCGCCTCGGCCGCCCCTACCCCTGCTCAGACCCCCCGCGGCTCCATGGACGAGTCGCGTCCCACTGCCCCTGTACTTACGGCCAAGCAGCAGAAGCAGATCAAGGACGCCGAGATGCTCTACAGCCTAATTTCCAAGTCTGTCACTGGAGGCCAGAGCGGTCCTTACATCCTCTGAATGGGTGTATACCAACATACTGACACGACCCAGGACCAAGGCGAATCCATACTTCATACAACCCATATACCGAGCCGAGGGGCAACCCAGCCATCAGTATCACCACAAGCATCCCTGCAATCATCCACTGCACTGTAATATATTTCCTTGACAATAAATCGTCATCTCCTATTACCTTGAGATCGAAAGCAGTGATTCCTTGTACATCACGACGCGCTCTGCCATGGCGTAGTTCCATACACTTCCTACAAAAGCGACACATCTATACGCAGAAGAGTATGCAATGCGCTGTAGGAAAGCTGCGGGATACAACTCCGTGTATACGTTGCGGTCCCTAACCCGTAGAAGTGGGCAGACACTGGTATCCAACCTGCAGCCGATCAAGATAGACCCGATTCAGTGCATTTAACGTTAACGTTGCCTAGACTGATCATTATAAACGATCCGCAGGAAACAGTGCTCCTTGGAGCGGATCTGGAATTCATTATAAGTCTTCTAGTCGTGCTCGTATGTGGTCCAGGAATGGAAATGAACATGGCTCGATGGGCAAGAGCAAAAAAAAAAAAAAAAGACAGCGCGCTGGTTTGGCTAAGCGCGGCAAATATCGAAACAAGGGTATGGGTCGCCCTCTGCGTTCGAAGGCAGGTATAAATACAGCTTCCTTCTCCTCACACTTTCAGTCCTCACTCAACTCAAAGCCAAACCGACCCCAAAGTACTCATCTACAACAAACGCACACACTCCCCCGTCCTCACCTCACAACATCAAGCAAACAATCCCCAATCATGCCTTTCTTCAAGTCCGCCTCCAAGAAGAGCCAGACCGCCTCCGCTGCGACCACGCCCGCCCAAACGCCTCGCAACTCCATCCACGAGCAGCGCCCTAGCCAGCCCAAGATGACCAAGGACCAGGCCCTCGAGATGATCTTCAACACGTCGATGGCTGATGCCGCTGCCGGCCCCTTCATCCGTTAAGCATGGCCGATTCTAAGTGTGGATGCCTGATCTCTCGTTCAAACACCTTGCTTCCGCAAAACAAAAACAAAATTCTCCCAATCATCGCAGCATCATCCGTATACCTCAACAGCATATTCATAGCGCGTCTCACACTGTACCATAGCACATAAATCAGCATTTTATATCATTAAAAAAAAAGATCTGTAATATCGAACAACGTTTGCCTGTGCGGATGGTTTGCTACTATTAATAGGGTAGCGGAGACTGAGCGAGAAAACTTATGCTCGATCTTCGAATTATGGGTGCATATAACCAAAAGATCTAGTGCTGATTATGGTGGCGCTATCATCGTGTCTTTCCTATATCGCAGTTCTACATCGCCTTCATATACACCAATTTTCAAGACTCCCTGCAGATAACACTTGAGATATATATACAAATTGGCTGCAATGCCGCAAGGGCATGTTTATTGGGTGATACTACAAATGTCTACGTGGTGTTGTACAGTTGGGTGAGGAAGATGCATCCATATGAGGATGTCCATTTATCGAATGAATGGACCAGCAGCAGCATCGCCCATGGTCTTGTAAAAGATCTTCTCAAGTGCTTGTTCCCTGGTCATTTTGTTGGCAGGACGCTGCTCATGCATCAAAGAGCGAGGAGTAACAGCGGGGGGGGGGGGACCGAGGCCGAGGCAGACTGGTTCTTGGAGGACTTGAAGAGGGCCATGGCTATCAAGTGTGTGTATTTGTGTGTGTATTTGTGTGTGTAGTAGGCGGTATTACTTGGTTGTCGGCCGATTACTTGGATGGCAATTGGTTGGTTAGTTGGTTGGCTTGAGTGGTGGTTGTTGCTGTGAGTGAAGAAACTGAATGCAGAGGGACGACGGGTCCTTTTTATACTGTTGTCCCCTTCCAGTGTTCTATTCTTGGCGCGCCATTCTTGTCTTTGTGGAGTCAAGCGGGGCATGGGCCACCTCGTTCTGTCTGGAAGAGTCGACTTCGAAGAGTCTACCTCGGATGTCACCTTCCACGGAGAACGTTGCCAAGGAGGAGAACGAAATAAAAAAAACGCGCACGGTACATCGTGGAATGTTGACTGACCTTAATGTTACAGAATGACATCATGAACCTGAATAATCCTATTGGTTTCATTCGCGACAAATATGGACTTTGTTGGTATGCTAGCCAAGTATGCCGAGCGTCGTTAACGTCGCCTTGTGGTGATGAGCACCAACTGAAATACCATGTATGCAAAATCAGCTCGGTAAGAAGAGCATAAACTTAACTATGGATAGAGATATTGTCTTCTCAGCATGGGTCCTGCCACGTCAGCGTTCGGTTTGTTTATTGCTTCGCCTTTTTTTCTCTTCGATCTCAGTGCTGATTCGTTTTCACCTTTAATTTTTATACCTTTTGTCCTTTTGCTTTCCCGGTCCCCATCCTTTTCCTTTTCTCTTCATCGCTTTATCGCTTCATCAAAACGGAGCTGTCGAGCTAGACAATCAGTATGATCTTCTTACGCAAAAATATAACTGAAGGCGAAAGCGCGCCGCAAGACAGTATGGTCCACGTTGTTCTGGATATGCTCAACAACAGCACGGACCGTGAAAGTATGGCTGTCATTTTGCCCCAACAAGAGCTCAGTAGGCAAGACCCGGAGTATATTTTGAGTTCGGAAAGCGGAGGCGAGAATGGCGCTTCTAATGCACATGTTCAGGATGCCATGACAGAGCCGGAGATGGCAAAGGAAAATCAAAGAGATGGTGTGTCTGTCGCCAGTGCCGGTAAATTTCCTGTCGAGCTAAGATTGTAACTGTTGCTCGAATCTCCTGATAGAGTGTGTTCTAATTAGAGCCTCTTTCAACTCAGTACGCAGACTGTACTTTATGCGAAAAGACAGCACTCGCTCACCTGAGCGTCTATCCATGTCCAGGATCAGGTTCTCCAAGGCTGATGCCTCGAGGGACGACGACGACTCATCGGAGGACGACTCATCGGAGGACGACTCATCGGAGGACGACTCATCGGAGGACGACTCATCGGAGGACGACTCATCGGAGGACGACTCATCGGAGGACGACTCATCGGAGGACGATGACGGAGTTGACGCCGACGGGAGCAGCGACGCTTTTATTGACATTAGTGATATTTCTGACCGAGGAAGCCTCTTCGAAGAATTTGAAGGCGTGGGCGACAGTTACGAATGCACCGAGGTGTAAGTATATCCTACTAAATCGAATTCGCCGTGCTGATGAGTGAGAAAACGTCTCATATCGTGATCCTCCAAACAACTTACAATGTCCAATGCCAATTCCTAAAAATGAATTACAGCAAACAAAAGTCGATCAATGCGCGTGTGTCCAATGCGTCCAATAGGTTCACAAGCGTAAGTCGCGAATGGCCTTAGATGATGATTATGACATCCAGTTTGTGGTGGGTACTAAGATCTCGACAAATATCTGGCCCGTCTTCGTATTAGTGGCAATTCGACATGGCAGGCTGGGAGCCTGGGGTATACGACATTATCCTAGGAGTCTCGGCTAGAGGCTTGGACTTGGACCATGTAGAATCGATTGCCTTCACCCTTGAATCGGCGTTCGCTGGCTCGGAACCAACTGAGGTGAGCAACCGACAATACTTGTATATGAAGATGGTAAGACCAGAAGCTGATTGCAAGCCGTTTTATGAAAACCACAGATCATATCGAAGCAGAGCCTCAAAGCACTTTGCATGGGGAAAGGTAGTAAGAATAGAGAGAGAGCTACCCGCGTGGGATTGTGGTCGTAGCGTTTAATACTTGCATGGTTTGACAAGACAACACTGCGATTCAATCTTAGCTTCATCGGGTAAAAGGGCCATGTGGAAACTGCATGTACAAGCCTGGAAGATCGTAGATGAGGACTTCGATGATATTGAAGACCTGAAAATGCTTATCATGGAGATAAGGTCCTTGGATCACAGTTCGTCAGGATTCCTTGAACTACATTTCATGGATATTCGTCTTTTCAAGCGTGAAGGATATCCTGCTGGTAAGGCAGCCACACGTCGCACTTTCTTCATTTTCGCTGAGAACAAGGAATTTATTTTGCTTATGCACTCCATAGACTCATATATTAGAAAGCACCAACCATATATTTGGTCCATCAACATCGGTCATGTTGACAGCGATGTAGGTGAGGTCTCGCCAAAAAGGATCATACATTTCGCGGTCTCAGGAGATGGGAACTATGCTGCGACGCTCGCTGCTTCGGAAACATATCTCTTGCTAGAACTATGGGACTTGCGACCTCCGAGAAATCCAATGACCAGGACTAGAGCCTTTGTCGCGGGCACACGCCAAGAGGCCCTCCAGGGTGAATCCCCAGCGCCGTTCCGCCCTCGGCTCTCTACTGGCACACTGATACCTTTTACAGAAGTTCACGACTGCAACCTCGAATACTCCTACAATGTTTCGATGTCGTGGGATTCCTCGCAGGTCGCATTGACCGATGCTTCGAAAGCGTATCGGACTTCAGAGAGCGACAGTCAGAGCCTCTTTGCAGTCTATAACCACATCCCAAATCCGCAGTCTTCAGCAACAACGTCGGGTTCGACTGCGGTACCGTTGACACAGTCGAAGGACTACCAGCGTTGGACGAGCCTCGACGGCTATTACGGATACGGCAAGTTTCACTTCACGGATATTGAAAATCAGGAACCCTGTTACGAGCGCTTTGTAACATGTGGGGGAATATCTGTCGAGGTGTATGGAGTCTTACAGGAGTGGCGGCTTCTTCACACCATAAACCTTGTCCAGCCGCTCGACGGTCCGGTTTTTGGTATTTCCTCTGCCATGAGATTGATCAGGACTCTCCGAGGCAAGCATTTGGCATGGAACAACATACAGGACCACCCTGAGATAATCTCCGTGTGGGACTTGGAAACCGAACTCATGACATCCACACATTGGAAGAAAGGATACGACTCCCTATTGATCAATAATGATACTATCGCCTTCTCCAGTAATGGTTCCGCCATGGCCATTGGTCTGCAAAAAGTGATTACGATATACTGCGCCGAGACTGGGGCTATTCGTGGATCTTTCAGGCTGCCTGAATTTTGCGATCATATTATCGATATCGCGTTCGTTCATGGTGATGCTCAGATGCTAGTCAGTACAGACGGAAGAGGTGATGATACCAACCGACATGGAATCGGCCTTATTGTGGACGCCTTCAATTTGACGATTACGAACCGATTCTCTATCATGAACTCGTGGAGACCGCGACCAACAGGGATAACATTTAATGACAATCTCTTCTGTGCGTCGGAGTCGACATTGGACCTTGTCCGTTTGCAAGACCGCATTTTTCAGCCATATTCCCAGCCAGACTCGACTGCATGCGATGAACAATGTAAGAGCAAATTGGTCCCACTCAATCAACAACAACCAACAAAGTTCAGGGCACCATCCGGAATGCAGTTCAAAGTCCGAATGCATCGCAAAGGGGGGCCACACGTCGTAATATCGGCGTTTAGCAGCAATGGGCTTCCCTCTAAAAATTTCACCCTTCCCAAGAGCAACAATCGACGTGGCGATGGATGGGACTACAAGTGTGCCGCGATACCTAAGGACCGGTCGCATTTGGTAGTGATATCAGACACCTTTGTCACAATATGGGGGCTGCCTGCGACCCTACATGACGATTATACATTGCTTTTGGCATGGAAAATGCTGGAGAACGATGATTTCTGGACCTGGAAGTGCGAATTCTGGTACACTTGTCCTCATCGACAGATATATGCCGGCAAACACGCTACCGCTAAGGAGGACGATGACAACACGAGCAGAAAGATCAAGGAACTCTTTTCCCCACGCGTTGAACGCGTCTTTTGCAGTAAGGAGCCTCAGCGGTTCCTCTTGGCGCTTCATAGTCTGATTGGCATGTTTGTGGATGGCGATCAAAATTGCAAAAATGCGATTCTTCAGTACGTTGGCTCGCAAATCAACAATTACCCGAATCCGGCCGACCAAAGGCAGAGTGTTCTTGCTAACATCTGTCAAGCGTGGAATCTCATGGTTCACGACGACTATAAGCAGTTTTTAAAGGCACTTCTACAGTCGTCTTTTGGGCATTGGATTCCCCTAACAAAGTACAATCGGGAGTCGGATCCACTCCTTATCTTAATCGACCATGCTCAGACACAGCCACGGGCTATAGAGATGGCCGAGATCCTCGTCAGATACTGTATCCATCAAGCAAGAGTTGAGAAGGATCAGCACTTCCTTCTACCAATCATGAAGTGTCTGCGCGAGCTGCTTCACCCAAAGCAAATCCACTCCGAGTTTGGACTGAGAATACTGCGGAGGTTGGCCTTCATCCCGGTTAAGAATCGCTCGTTCATCATTGACCACCACTCCATTATCGTCCACCCAACAAAGTTCCCATGGCAATTTTGGAAGTCGTCGACGCAAAGTCTGCACGAGTTCTCTGACGCAATACTGCAGCCGATGCACTATCCGCAGGCACAGGCACATGATCCAAGTAACAACAACTTCACACGCGACCTATTTGTGGCGCCGTTTTGGACGCTTTTGAAGTCTAACAGCGACGACGACGGCGCCGACGACAAAGCATTCGTTGATCCAGCTCCTTCTCCCTTATTGGGAGTAAAGGATCTTTTCCATTTTATAACTATATCTTTATATTCTGCGCTGTGGATGACCTACGTGATCTTCCACATGACCAATTACAACCACGCGACGGTAGTGGAGTGCCACGAATTCACTCTGGAGGCACTTGATAATCCGGCCGTCGCAGCACTGATCGAATACAAGTGGTAAAAGCATTGAATCTACAAGCATGTTTTACACATTTGTGGGATCCTTCCTAATTGACTATTTTCTATCGTCGTATCACCTCCTCCATAGGAACACCATTGGCTTCAAGTACTGGCTCATAAGATTCCTCGGGCAGTGTTGTTTCTACTTGCTAGTGCTCGTTGCCGTATTCTTTCAAATTTACGGCGATCACAACAGACCCCTTACGAGCCTCTATGTTGCGATCACATGTGGCTCTATTATTCTCCTCTGGTTCAAGCTCCTACAAGTCCAGGAGAAAAAGCAATATATATCGTAAGTCTTCAAGTAAATGCACTCTTACGTTTTTCTCTCTTTGTCTCTCTCTTTTTTTTTTACCACTAATCCCTACACACTGGACTGGAAAATGACCGTAATAGGTCGGTTTACGATTGTGTCAACGTGCTCACGTTTGCACTGACATTAGCAGGGGGCATCAACCAGTTCGTTCTCAACTCCAGCAGCTTTTCGGAAGGGGAGCGCCACAACTATTTTTTCAGCTTCTCCGTGCCGTGTATCTTCTTACACTTTGTAAGATACGATATCTCTGCTATATTCTTCATGTACTGATAGCTCTACCGGCGCTTGAATCATCACGCTCACATTACTCTGCTCCTCATCCAACTCATAAAAGCTGTTCGAACTTCGGGTTAGCCGTAGTGTGGGCCTATTTGTGATGATCATCGTCCAAGCCATAAGCGCAATCCGCGTGTTCTTTGTCGTGTTTGCAGCAGGTATTTTGGCTTTCACGATCGCGATCATGCATTTGCTCCGAGGTTGCGCTTCTAGCAGCTGCCAAACGCCAGCCACCAGTTTCCCGGACCAGTTCTATGAGGCTATATCAGCGACCTATTTTTTCATGGTAAGGTTGGGGACGAACAACTTGTCCGCCTGTATACCTGTTTACTTGCTCGCACCCAACTTGGGCAGTGCGAGATAAGATGAATAGGCGTCAGAAGTTTTATTAACATGTACAATTCCCTTTCTCCAACGTATGCCAATAACAGAGCGGTCGATATGACTCAGTCAGTGATGACTTCAATTCTGACAACTGGGCTTTTCACTTCATGATGATTGTCTACTTCTTGTTCACTGTCATCATCATGCTCAACGTACTGATCGGTAAGAGGCTGTCATTTATCTTTTCCCCCGTTGTCAATCACAGCGATCTTTCACAGGCTAGATGTCTAATTCTATATCTTTCTCAAAAGCGTTAATTAACGTGGCCTTCAATAAGGACGATGAAACTTGGCTCCTGGTTTGGCGGAAAAACAGACTGCATTATATTGAGAGTGCAGAAAGATTGAGCCACAGAATCCCAGGTAACGTTTCTCAGTTAATGGCCCGTTTACATGAACTGAAAAAAAAAAAAAAGAAGAGGCCTCCAATTATTTTCTTTGAATTTGAACGTGTATTAGGGTTTAGACGAAATCACCGTTACTGGTTCCCAAAAGAAATTTACTACTCAGCCATCCCAGAACAAGTCAGAGCGTACAGAAAAAAATATTCCGAGAAAATGGCGAACGGGGACTCTGATATTACGGATGGATCTCAGGACCTATTTGACGATTTTTCTTCAGAGAAGGCTACTGCTGCTGATATTGCGTCTGCCTCGGCATCAGTTGATGTATCATCGTCGCCAAACGAGAATCCGGCGACATTTGCAAAGACTGAAGCTGCCAAGGACGCAGTATCGGCCATGAAGCAGAAAGTGAAAGCAGAGCTGGAGTCCCTACAACAACTGAAACAAAAGGTGTGGCAACAGGAGTAGCAACTAGGCCTATTCAAGATTCTCGAACTGGTAAAAACCTTACAAGTTCAATCAGAGTCGAATGAGCGAAGGGTCATGGGGCAGGAGGAAAGAATCCGAGAACAGAGTATGTTGCAGCATCACCAGTTGCAGGAGCAGCTGAATAGACAGCAAGAGTCGATTGAGGGGCAGGTCAGGGAATTGCAGGACCTTGTATCGACCCTTTTGGGCGAAGCAAGCCCTCCGCCACCTAGGAGGGACTTCTGTCGTGATTTTCTGGATACATGACGTTGGCAGTTCGGCAGTCCTTTCTAAGAGAGAAACTTTAAACCTGAATGCTGTGTACATTCTGTACATCGAGGGCAGATTAGTGGCGTTCAAAGTCGGGAGGAATTTACTCGATATTATATTATTCAGTTGTACAACACCACTAGACCAGCATGACTTTGTAGGGGAAGTGGGAATATGAAACAATTCGATCTGTGGGACTTTGTAGGTGTTTACGCAAGCAGCACTGTAAAGAGCGCCAAAGCCTTCTGTTTCGGCAAGACTTGATAGCTGTGGGAATATAAAAAAGGATAGGATGTGAAGGATGGTCTGGTCTGGTCAGTCCCCCCAGATATGGTGGAGGATGATCTGTCCTCGGATGTGCTTGCTTGTTCGCGTCATTTTCTTTAACTTTAAAAAAAAAAATATTATTGTTTCGCGTTTCTGCTGTGCAGCAATCGAATCGTTCCTTGAGGTGACCTAAAATTTGCTGTATTAGAAATCAGATAATTTTTAAGGCGCAAAATAGACCCTGTCCCCCTCGGCCGTATTGTCTTCTGTATCGAAAGTGGGCTAACGAGGGAAAAAGCACAGAGGATGAATTGTTTTTAAGACAATTAGCTTCTTTTCAATTGCTAATCAGTCCAACAAAAGAAAAAGCTAGAGGCGAAACTGTAGCATGGCTTAATAAACATGTCCCTGTGGCAGTGAACAGCCCTATCCAGTTCCATGAACGATATTGACGAGACAAAAGTATTTATTTATTACGGTTTTCTCTAAGGGATATGTATTTTTATTTTATTATTTTTATTTTCCTTACCGAGCGTTGATCTGTCTTGACTGCTCAAGCTGCCCGAGCAGCTCATTGATCTGATCACGATATGCTTCCTTCACATCGACGATATCCGCCCTCAACTCCTGGACTTCCTCAGTCCTCTCGCCCAACATCTCCAACGCAGCTTTATACCGCTCCTGCAGCAAGGCCAGTTCCTTCTCTAAACCAGGGACCCGCATTGCCTGCTTCTGCAGCTCCTCCAGCTCCATGGCCACTCGGACAAGTTCATCAGAGAGCTCGTCTAGAATACAAGAGATCGTTAAAAAAGAGTTGTCAGGAGAGGGGAGGATAGATATTCAATACATTATGATCCTGAACATGCGCAGTATCGTCAATTCATTACCTTTGTTCTTGTTCGCAGTACGCACTTGCTCGCTCAAGAAGGTAACCTGGCCCTCTAGCTGACGGACCACTGTGTTCAATCTCTCGATCGCCACAGCTTGACCAGTTGCGCCGCTACCAAGGCCCATTAGGCCCATAGACGACGCTGTCGCGCTCATTCCTGACATGGTCTGGGAGGAGCTGGTCCGCGATAATGAGGGTGGCATCCCGTCCAGACTAGCAGGGCTTGTGATCGACTCAAAGCTCGCGCGGACTCCGTTGCCGCTTCCATGCAGAGCAGTCTTCAATCCACCCATAACTAGAGGACCGCCTGCCAACATGGGCGATGAGAAAGCTGTCGCAGAGATGGAAGAGGACGACGGCCGTGGGGCTGCCGCTGAACTTCCAGCCGACAGGTGCACTTCCGAGCCGTCGTCCACAGTTCCTTGTCGCTTCTGAAGCTGTTGGATCTGCTGCTTCAGCTTGTCGATCTCTGTCTGCTGTCGCAGGCGCAATTTCCTTTCTGCGTCCTCCTTGGCTTCCTCGATGGCTCGCTCGAGATGGGCGCGTTCCTTGGCGAGATCGGACTGCGCCTGACGTGTCTCCTCCTCCTTGTCCTTCAAAAGTCGTTTGTTGGCATTGATCTCTGATCGAAGTTGTGTGTCCGCTACCCTCAGCGTCTCGAGGCGTGCTTCCAGGGCTGCGCTTTGCGATTTCTAAGAAAAAGCAAGTGACAGTAATACAGGGCATGATTAGTCTCTAGAGAGGAGATGGCAGAGATGTCATAGGGACGCCCCGAAAAAAATAAAATCGACTCTTTACCAGTTCATCCATTTTGTCTCTGGTAATCTTTTCTCGCTCCTGCGCCTTGGTTACATCTTCTTCAGCTTCCGTGACACGGCGGGTAAGGGTCTTCTCAATCTTGTCCCAGTTACGACTGGCAGCACCTTGCTGATTCTGCAGGACCTCGATCTGTCGCAGAAGCGGTCGACGAGCCTCATCTAGTGCCTCCTGCAGGTCATACGAGTCGTTATCGTTCTGTTCAAGACGCGCCTGTAAGCTCCTGATCTCCATCCAGAGCTGGTCCTCCTTCTCTCCCGCGAGCTCCTCTCGATTGGAAAGAGAAACACGAAGGTCCTGGATCTCCTGATGAAGGTTCCTCTCAACCGCCACATGTTGTGCCTTGAGTTCGTCTATCTCCTTGTTCAGGTCCTCGTTAAGTTTCATCTCGCGATCCAGTGCTGCAGCGTGTGCTTGGTTTGATAGCTCAGCAGAAGTTTTACGGGCCTCTGCGAGCTCTTGTCGTGCCCGATCCAGCCCCAGTTGTAGATTGGCCTTCTCCTCCTTGACCTGGAGGAGCTCTGCTTCCATCTTTGTCATTTGCTTGTTCTGTCGCTGGTTGATATCGTGCAGGGATTTTACGGAATCTATAGTGGAAATAGAGGCCGAGTCGGGGTGAGTTGCATGGGCCGGCATCTTCACCAAAAGCGTATTAACGCCCCCTCCCTGGGCATATGTCCCTTACCGTTCAGCTGCTTGTTCTCGTCCATTATTTTCCCGAGCTTGGCCTGGGAATCAGTGTAGTCCGAGAGCGCCCTGTCCAGCTTCTTTTGCGTGTCCATCTGCAGCTTCTCAGCTTCAATGTTTTTTGTCCGCAAGGTCTTGATCGACGTCAAATACTTGAACTCCTTCTTCGACAGAACCTCGCCTATAGATATAAGATCACAACTCGTCCGTTAGCAATGAATACCTTAAAAAATAAAAAATAAAATAAAAAAACCATACATATATTTGAATCGCTTATCATTTAGCCTGTGCATACAGCCTACCTTCTTCCAAGAGTCCCCGGATCTGCTCGTCTTTCTCCTCAAGTAATGCGCGCTGTTCCTCTAGAGTTTTCTGAATCGACTTTGGTTGACTCGCCAGGTTAGATCCGCGTGCGACCTCGAGCTCTTTCTTTTGTGATTCGATAATCTTTTCCAGACCTGCGACCTTGGTTGCCTTCAGTGCATCCTCAGCTGCTTTTGCGTCCTCTAGATCGCGCAACCTTTCCAGAAGCGATGACTGTTCCTGCATGACCTTGAAAAGTTGCTCCTCCCGCTGCTCCAGTACTTTCTTTAAGGGATTCTCGTCAGACGTGATAGATCCGACGATTTTGTCCGTCTTTTGAGTGTTGCCGACCTTGTCCAACGTCTGCTGCGATACAGGAGCTGGCTCTTTTGAGACAGAATCTGCGGGCCCCGCTTCGGTTGGTTGAGTTGGTACAGTGGTTTTGACCGGCTCGTTGTCGAGAGATGAGCGAGCTGGGGTGAGTTCTGTCTTGTCAACTACTAGACTATCTGTCGATCCCTCTTGATCTTTTGCTTCCTCAGCTTCTTTGGATTGCACCTCGATCTCCTTTGAATCGTTTGCTGTGATCGTCTCTTCTGTAGTTACGGAGCCCTCCCGGTCCTGTTGTATGGGATTGATATCCTGATCCTTGTCCTCAGAAATCATCTCCTCCGGCAAAGATTCACTCTGCTTGGCATTATCTGTCTGCATCTCTGGGTCCTGTTCCGGACCGGCTGATTCGTCTGTGGTCTTGTCGACTGTAACGGCGCTTTGCGTGGCCTCATCATTTGCGTCCTTGTCCTCCTGTTTCTCCACGGCCTCTCCAGCATCAGCACTCGCCTCCACGGACGGCAGTTCTGATGTATTCGACTCCTTTACTTCTTGATAGCTGTCTTCAGCTACGTCTATATCATCTGATGGAGCGTTTTCCTCGCTAATTGCAGTGACCACATTGGTGATTTGTCCATTACCCTTATCTGGGTCCTCTTTTCCTGAAGCGCTGTCTTCTGGTTCCGTGGATATTGACTGTCGTACCGAGGGTGAAGGTGAGGCTGCTGGAGACCGAGTTGTGGCGGCCGAGGATGGCGACTCGTTCGTCTTCTTAAAAATTCCCCTCATCCTCTGCTCCAATCTTTCTCGGTTAGCGGCAGCAGCAGCAGCAGCAGCAGAGTTGCCGCCCGAGACCGGTGGTGTTGACATGCGCATGATTCCAGGAGTAGTGATGACCATTCCTGTGAACGGATCTACAGTTACAGTGGAGTCGTCCCTTGCGATGCTGGTGCTGGGCTTTGAGTCATCCAGAGGCCCCTCCTCCCTTGAAACGCTTACGGATGTTCGCTGATTTTTGTCCTCGCCTTTATTACTGAATGCGGAGCCCGAGTTCCTCGCAGCAGTTGCCTTGGACCGGCTGTTGAGATCATCCTCCGCTGCGCTGATTTCATCCAAGTCCTGGGAATCGCTTCGACCTGAGAGTCGGGGCAGCTCCTGCTTTTTGGGCGGTGTATCCTTTGTCGACGAAGCGCCGGTGATGCTGGATGGCAATACTGTCGCATGCGGCGAGAATGATGTGAGTGTTCCTGAAGCGCCGCCAGGGATGGGAACATTGATGTCAAGCACCATATCCAGCTTGGATTCGATAGTGGAGAGTCCTTGTTTCAGGAAGCTACCCCATCCTCCACCGCCGGTACTGCTCCCACTGGTGTTTGATGATGACTTGTTGGCATTGGGTCCCGAGCCCGAGCCTTGGGCGCCAAAGAAGCTGCTCATATTTGACGGTCCGTCCTTTCGTCTCTCGAAGGGTCACACTGTGAGAAAGAAGGTTTGTGTGGGAGGACAGGTTTAATACTCGAGATGAAGTCCCACTCCTGTAGACATGGTGGAGCGGCTATGCCATTACCTTGGCTCGCGTCTATAGTCAGAGAAGGTTTAAGAAGGATGGTAGAGTGGCGCTCGCATGGCGCGGTGGTGATGATGCTAAAGTCGACTGGAGTGAAGCTTTGTGCCAGCACGTGACGCCCGACGCCCAAAGAGCAGTTTATTCTTTTTTTGGTACTCCCAGATATACGGATCAAAGGACGCTGGACGTTATGCTTTGGTATGTAGGTATTTAAAAAGTGTCCACCGCGTCGAACTGCAGAACAGTGCTGTAGACTAGGTTACCTATGGTTGCTTCTGCCTTGATCTCGTTTAGACCAAAGTGCATGATGACCTTCACCTTGACCTAATATGCCGTAATATTAAAGAATGTTCGCGTTAGATCTCCTATTCGGCAAGCAATTAGGCAATTTACAGCTATTACTTCTGATGTCAAAATTTTGCTAAAGCGTACCACAGATCCCAGGCGGGCCAGAGGTGGATGTGGGCATGGAATTGGAATGTCAGCTAACTTGATTACTCCGACATCGGTGGTATATCTTGGTGGATCTCCATCGGTATCCGCGGCGAACAGGGCAACGTTGTAATCCTCGGGACCCTCAGAGTATTTTGTGAACGAGAACTCTCGCGACATGCACTCATCCACGTTGACCTTTTGGCCCCTCTTGACAAAAACAGTAAATCGGTCTATGCACCAGACGCCATTCACCTCGAACTTGCGTTTCGCCAGCGGGTCCCTGCCTCTCTCGAACGGTTGATCCGATGAAATGCCATAGCACCGGCGCGCAATACGTGCTGTCACGACTCGGGGATTCAGGCCTACGCAGACCGCACCGCGAACGACAGCCAGCTCAGGACGAGGTGGGGTAGAGATCAGTCCGACTTGGCTGCTGAACTGTGTTTTGACACGGCTGTAGAGGTAGTTGGAGGACCCGAATCCACCGACCAAGAAAATGGCCGAGCAGGTCTTGGACTGTGACAATTGCTCCTGAATAAGCGCCAGCACACTCTTCACCACCGGCTCGAAAACGTTCTCCTGCAGTTCGGATGCAGTGAGGACCAGGTAGCCGTCATCAATGCCCATTGCTTCTGGGTCCTCCAAGTCTTCAAAGCACTTGCTCGCAGGCAGTTGCAGGAACTGGTCCTCGATTCCATCAAACTGCGGCTTGATCGCGTCCGCGAACGTGTCGACTAGGTTGGGGATGATGTTTGCTGGAAAGTTAGCAGCATAGTGACCAAACCTTTGTTCCAAGAGACGACGCAGGTTGCGATCCAGGAAGACTGAGCCGCAAGAGGCACCGTGACCTTTTGTCACTTCGGAAAGACGCCGTCCTGCGCTAGTCACCTCGATTTCAAAGACAATCAGATCCACAGTTCCTCCACCAGCATCGCAAATCATGAAGCGGTCCCCGTGGCCAAGGTCGAATTGGTCGCATTTGCGCTCGCAATACAGGGCCGCGGCCTCTGGCTCCGATATCAACATGAGGCGGTCGGGATGATCGGTCTCCTTGATGAGGTGGGACTTGATGGCGGCCTGTCTCATAAGGTTCTTGGCCTTGTCAGACCACATCGCCGGGACCGTCAGGCAGTACCGGAAATGATCTCGCTGAAAGTTCTTAGCGAAACCACGCATAATCTCACCGAGGACGTATTCGTGGAATGCTTCCAGATAGTGCGAAATAGCCTCGAGAACAGTGATGTCAACTTCCAAGGGAGCGTTATGCATGGTTTCGTCTAGATGCAACTTGTATTGGGAGAGGAGAGTGTGCTGTCGAGCGGTGGGCTTGAGGGTCTCTAGTTTCGCCTTCCACCCCCATGCGACCAGCTTATGCTCAATATCGTCCTTTTTGTACAAGTTCAAGGTCGGAGTCTTGGGATATTGAATAATCTGTTTAGGCCTGTAGCAAATCGGTACAAAGCATCAATCCGACCGTTTAGGCAGGGTCAGAGACGGGCGACACCCCCCTTGCTTGGATGGTTTGCTACGCTGGCGAGCTTCGTACTTACCAAGTCGTGATGTCAATCACCTCTTTTTCGTCTTGCGCATAGGCGTAAGCACAGCCCCTATGGTTCACAAGAAATGGCTCCGCTGCGTGAGATTCAGGAGCGGTACTCTTTCGAGACGTTTAAAGTTCATTTCGAACAAGGAACGTCGCCTACGAGAAGGTCGTGCCAAAGTCGATGGCCATAATAATAGGGTAGTCCCTTGGGTTGAAGACCTGTTGCTGCATTGTGAATGTCTGGAATGAGATGCGAATGAGCAAGAGGAAAAGAAGAAGAAAAAAAAGAAGAAAAAAAAGAAGAGTGTTTGGCAAGTGGTTGCAACCTATGCAGGCGAGAACAAGGAGGATGTTCAAGGCCCTTTTAAAGGTCGACTGATGGGTCCCCTCGCTATGACCATGCTGAATATCATAAAAAGTAGACCTGAGCGGGGCTGAAGCTTCGAGAGTATGGCACGCGCCTTTATTGACTTTCATTATTGGGCCGACAGACAAGAAGGATTTTTAAGGCGGACGTTAGAGTGGGCTGTGCCAAAAAAATAAAATAAAATAAATAGCGGGTGTCGATGGCGAGGGCGTGTGTGTGCTGGTGGTTGATGTTGTGTCACGTCTAGCACGCCGCTTCGAGCAGCTCGGGGGCGGCAGTAGGGACAGGGACAGGGACAGGGACAGGGGCTGCCAGGGGAACCGATATGGGTAGGAGCCCAGGCGGTGTGTCTAAAAGCGGGGGTGCGGATGCCAGAAGTAGACAGTCGATCGGCTGCTGGTGTTGTTGTTTGCATGGGGACGTGTGCAGTGCGTGTGCAGACAGGCATTTGCTCTGCGCGTGTGCCATCCTCCCTCCCATACTGCGTGACATGGACTTTTTTTGCGAAAGGGGTTTCTATCAACTTCATTTGTTTCGGGGCCCCCCTCATCGCCACAACAAAGAGAAAGATTCACATTGGCTGACTGTTTAGTCCAAGGCTCTAGCGTGCCATCGCTCTATTTCTCACACCCGTCTCTCACACACACACTCTCTCTCTTTCATCCCAGTTTTTCAGTCAGACACAATTCCCCCTCTCTTCCTTCATCTCTCTTTCCATGACAACCCCGCAGCCGATGCAGGACCGCCCGCCCACCGACCCGGCCTCGCCTACTTCGTCGGGTCTCAAAGTAGACGTCAACCTCAACACAGAGAACTCGGCCTTCTACAGCGAGCCCATGTTCGAAGGTACATCCAAGGCCTCGCCTACTCGGGAAACCACCATGCCCGATATAAAGTCAACGCCTCAGCAGCCCATTGCGGTCGATGTAACCACGAACCAGGATTCGGTCCCTGCAGAGGTCGCCGCAGAAGTTCCCATCCCGGTGACCCCAGTTCAATCCTCAGCTAATCCAGCCAGTCCTGTCAACCCTGTCAGCCCAGCCGGCCCTGTTAACCCTGTTAACCCTGTCAACTCTATCAGTTTTCTCAACACTGCAAAGCCTGCGAACACTGCCAATGCAGCCAGCCCTGCCTCGCCCGTTACCATTTCGGCGCCGCCAACTGTTACCATGAACATCACAGCAACGCTTACGGACGACGTCGACTCTGATGTTGAAATGATTGAGGACAAAGGTGAGCGATACGCGACTTGGGAGCCATTGCCCATTACTGTGTCAAATCAAACCAAGCGCCTCGGCTCTGTCCCACACAAGATAAAACAATTCTCTCTGCACCGAGGGGGGAGGGGGGAGAGAGAGGACGATTGAAGAGGTTCTTACCGCTTGCTGAACCTCGCAATAGATGGACCAGCCAGTGCCGCGGCAACTCTGTCCAAACCAACTGCACCAGCTGCGCCGGATGCGGCTCCCAAGGAGAACGGAATACAGGTTACGGAGGAGCTCCAGAACAAGATTCTGCACAGATTGATTGAGGAGCTCCACACTAAGAACCACGCCCTGAAGGAGAGCTTGAACGAGACATTGATGGAGAAGCAGAGCGCGGACGACGAACTCAACCGCACTCGAGGCGCCTATCATGATCTCCACAGACAGTACATGGATCTTCAGCAAAAGCTGGCCAAGCGGGACAGGGACTATGAGGTCATGTCTAAGAACTACCTGGAACATGTGCGGATGATTCGTGCCACAGACGACGATCACGGCACCATCAGGGACCGCCTGACGCAGCTCAAGGCTTCGATCGAGCATTTGATCCGAAAGGCACAAGGAGGGCGCTCTGTGAATCTCAACAAGGAAGTCGCAGTGGAGCATTTCAAGAGTTCGGGTCTTCTCGATGGGTTCCCGGTTCCTGAGGATAAACTGGAGTCTTACCATCTGAACCTCTATATGGAGTCTGTGGTCATGCGAACGCTCATCTCGAATTTCTTTGACAAACCTCTGAGCTCCATCTTTGACTACAACAAGGGATTCAAGGAGATCTACGACTGGATGCATGTGCGTAACGAAAAGTCGGCTGTGCGTTGGAGGCAGCAGCTCTGCAAGATGTTAGCAGACGACCCCGCCACCAAGACTCGGCAGGAACAGGAGGTGGCGACGACTGCTGAGGATCTTTCAGGATTGATTTCCAAGGTGTATACAAACGCGAACGAGCAGGCCAAGATCCGGGATATCTGCAACAAGGCATTCGAGCTCGCAATAGCCATGACTGGACTCGAGTCTGTCATTACTCCTGTGGCGATTCCGTTGAACACGCCATTTGATGAAGAGACTATGCAGACGTCTCTGAAGAGCAACCCTGAGGGCAAGGTGGCCCTGGTGATCTTCCCCGCCTTCAAGGACAAGGAGTGTGCATTTGACGTCAGGCCTAAAGTGTGGTGCTACTGAGTTTTCAAGGCAGAAGTTTTTTTTTTTTGTCCAACCATTGTCGACGGGTTTTTAAGCATCAGGAAACGCTGCTTTGTTGGCGGCCTTTTATCCCATTTTCAATTGCCCAATAAAGTTCCACAGAATGAGTGACAGCGGCGAGCACTGCCAATGGTGTAAGCACGAAACTGCAGCGTGGATGATATAGCCGGCAGCACTGGATTGTAGGACACGAGTAAGAGGTGTTTGATTGGTCCATTCGCAGCTGCAAGAGGATCAGCCCTTTCTCATGCAAGCTTGGGAAGCAAAATATCGCTGTTTGCTGATAGATACCGATGCTGGTGCTGAATTTACTGTTTTGTTTGTTATGGTTCGTTTGATCTTTAGTGCGGGTTGGTATGCCAAAAATATGCAGTTACCCAGTTTCTCCCGCAGTCCTCTTGCGTGATTACTCCTCGGAGGTTTGCAAGAATTCTTAAGAGAGTGTGGCACAGCTCCGCTGCGCTCAGGAGGTATAGCCATCCTAGAATATCTAAGGTATTATATGAGAAGTGTACCTGTCCATCTTCCGGGGTTGTCTAGGGTCTGATCGGCATGGTCCAAAGATCCAGATTTCTTTGGCGGAAAGGCTGACCAACCGAGGCTGACGATAAACTTGACGGGAATTCAAAAAAGAGGCGTCCACAAATGATCGAACTGCGCGTTGGTTTGCGGTGACTTCTAACGCCACACATGAGCCGCGACTTGTCCGAGGGGCCGCAGAGCCTCGACCCTTCTTTTAATCAGATTTCCAAAGACCTGGATCCTGTTGAGAAGATGGAGCGTTCTTTAGCACATGAGGAGGGGAAGGAAAAGGGAGCATCTGAAGGATCCATCGGAAATAATACCTGTTTACCGTTGTTTTTTGTTTTGTTCCTTTTTCTCTATCCCCCCCCACCTCCCCCTTTTCTTAACCTCCTCCTCGGTGGTTGTTTCCCAGTAAATTGCAAACCCCTCTTCTTGCTCTGCCCGGTCTTGCTTTCCCTCAGCCTAGGGCAGGTTGCACTTTTTTTTCACTCCCAGTCTGTATAGAACATGAAATAGCGCGCGGCGGTGATTCGCCCTTTGGAATAAAACTCACTCACAGTCGCATCGTTCATGCGGAACACCAGCCCGCAATAAATGTCCCTGGAAAGAGGACGCGCGGCTCATAAGCAGGGTGTATGGGGTGGGACTTACATAACCTGTATCTAACCACACTATCCGCTACAGGTTGCCAGTGGCAGCTATGGCGGGTGGCCAAGTTTCGTAGAGCGCGATCGGGGGCGGAAGAGGTGTGCTGGTCGGAAATGAAGCAGGATCGGTTTCAGGCCCGACCAGCTCACTCGATATACAGCAGCTCGTGAGCAAAGGAGGTACCTGTAAGAGCAAAGTGGGTCATGTCCAGTTCATTTCCAGTGTGCTCTGTGCTCCCTCGTTATTTTATGTGCTCTTTATTCTATTCTATTTCTTATTTTCGTCATTATTGGCCAACTCAGCCCTACAAACATCTCCGTCATCTTCCCGCTTGCAAAGACAAAAAAAAAACAAAAAAAAACGCTCAAAGGCAGAATTCATATAAAGGTGTCCTATTGATCCGCACCCCCCTGTCTAGTTTTTTTTTTTTTTTTTTTCCTTTTCGATTCTGTCAGCTCTGTTCTTGACATTGTTCTATAAACGCTGTTTGTATGCACGACCATCCCCCTCCCGTTACACACCCCCGCAGCCTTCTTTTCTAGCTACATAGCTCCTTCTCTCGCTTTCTCTCTCGCTCCCCTCGCACACACCTGTTCACTCACTCACGGTCGAGCGTATCGCCACCAAAACGACGGCACCCTATCAGATTGCACGATCCAAAACCTACGCGTCTCCTTTGCACCCCCTGCTCCCCCCTGCCATTACTTTAACCTTCGTCTCTCACTCTCCTGCCTTACTTGGCTGAGCACTGGGAAGGACAACCCCGTCTATGGACACATCGCCAGTCCGTTCATAGCTCAGCATCCACTTAAAACACAACCCGCCTATCTTTCTGCGGCCCCATACACAACCCACAACATGTCCAACATCATCGCCCCCATCGTGGCCCGCTACAGCCTCTTCTTCACCCTAGCCCTCTCAGATTCTTCCCGAGTGGCCCGATCGAAGCACCCGCGCCAGGTAGTGAGCGAGCTCGTGCTGAATGCGCAAGAGCGATTCCAGACGCACTATTATGCAAACGCAGCCCGCAAGGTACGACCACTGACTGGCCCCGCATTTTGTATTTGTTATTTGTTATTTGTTATTTGTTCTGCAAAAGACTCGAGAGGGCGTGCGACTGCAGAGGTGAAAATGCAGTCTAGCCGTTTAGTCCTCGCGGATGATGTGGTGGTTATGAAACGTATCTCTGTTGCGACAAACAACAACAAGACCCAGAACCTAATCATCGTCTCTATCTCTCTCCGCTCTCCCTCCCTCGCTGTCTCCCCCCCACCACCCCTGGCCGTCCTGATTCGACGGGTTCTCTCCTGTCTCCTGCCGGCCTCTATCTCGCGCCCGCGTCCATGACCTCGCGTTGACAACGTACATCCATGCAACGGTTATCTATGACGATCGCAATTCCTTATCCTCTCTCTCTCTCTCTTTCTCTCTCTCTCCCACCCTCTCTCCCTCTCTCTCTCGTCATCATGATCGCCAACTCTGACTATGACCCTCCCTCCCTCGCTCTTTCATGTGCATTCCCTTCCCTCTCCCTCCCTCCCTCCCTCCCTCCCTCCCCCATCTTACGTGATATTGCCCGCTCATGCCATCCCCACCCATTCCTCGGTCTCCCAGTGGCGTGCCCTCGTCCGGAACGTCTCCACCGCCTCATCCTCATCCACCAACTCCCAGTCCTCGCACTCCTCTGCCGCATTCTCGGCCCCCTCCTCTGCGGCCTCGTCCGCCGGCTTCTCCACACCCCACCTCACCACCGCTGACGGCACATGCGAAGACTGCTTCCCGTGCTGCACATCCTCATCACTCCCTCCACCAATCCCAGCATTCCCGACCAGCGGGAAGAATGCCCCCGACTGCAAATCCCCAGGCAGCGAAATCGACCACGCAACAGCGCTGCCCTCCCCCCCGCCTTCGCCCACGCTCCACTCCTCATCAGCCCATACGCTTCCTCTGCTGAAGTCAGCCTGCGCCTGTACCTGCTTCACCTCCCAGCAACCCAATTTCCCCTTTCCGCAAAGCCTCTCTCGCTCTTCTCGCTCCAAGGCCGACAAGATCGCCCGTCGACGCCAGCGCGCAAAGATAACCGCCGTCGCAACTCTGCTCTCAATCACCCTCACCGTCATCTTCCTCAGTCTCCTGCAGACCAGGCGACAGATCCTGCGCAAGAGGAAATCTCTGAGCAAACAACAGCGCTCCCAACAAGCTTCGCCCAACCCTTCACAGCAGCAGCATGATCGCTCACAATACCTCGCAATTAGAGATACCACCCCTAAAACACAGACATACACCCGCCACAGTACAACAGCTGTCAACACTACTCCAACCCGCCACGTCAAGGATGAGTATGTGACAACATGGCTCAAGCATCAGGATTTTTCACACAGCGATATCGAACTCGAGGTGTCAAGAGACGAGAACATTGACAGGGAGCCGTCTGCTTGTTCAGATGAACGCGCCGTGAGTTTTCGCCCACGAACCCATCGTCGCTCTAGCTCACTATCGAACCCTAGTACATCTATGCCCATGTGCGGGTACCGGTCCTATGCCGAGAAATCGGAGGCGGATCAGCACCGAATGTACGATCAGCACAAGAACCCTTCGTCTCAACTGCATCATTACCGAATCCAGCACTTTCCCTATGTCGAACAGCGTGTCCAGGCACAATCGGTCCAGCACCACCGATACCAGACCGTGCCAGCCGCTGTCGACACCGCCTTTGCCTGTGGCGCGCCTCTGAAGTCGGCCGAGGAGCTCGCGTGGGAACGCCACTATTATTATCAGCGCCTGCAACAAGAGGAGGAACAGATGGCGCTGCAGCTCCAACAGGCGCAGCTGCAGTACGGTGCACAGGTTTATGGTGCACGACCACTTCATCAAGATGCCTCGGTCGCTCGAACCGGTTCCCTCAACCGACTGGCTTCGCCAGCCGTCCTCTCCACCGAGACCTCTCGCGTGCTGGGGCTCTGTCGATCCAACACATTTTCGCTTTCAGCCGCCGCCAAGAGGATGAGCTTGATCAAGAAAGAAAACCCCAGTCGCGCTGCAATCCCCGTGCCTGCAGAGGACACAAAGGGAGCAGCAGTCGCACATAGGAGCAGTCCTGCCAGAGCCACTGAAGTCGTCCGTACGACACCCCATGTAGCGGTCTCGACCACGACTACTCAGGCAGTGATGACCCACAAGAAGACACTGAGACAGCATTTGACGCCGTCCTTCCGTTCCCTGGCAAGACAATGCTCACGCTTCGGCGGCAGACCCAATTCGTTTGCTGGAACGAAGACGACCCCCGTTCCCGATTGTCCACAGGGTCGACGCTCTCTGGGATCACGGTCCGGTGCCAACTTCGTGGCCAGCGGGGGACACATGTCCGATTTCAAACCCCTACAGGCCGGCCCGGAGACGATTGAGATCCTGAAGCAGAATCAGCTGAAGGCATCCCAAACCGAGACACTGCCGGAGCTGATCCAGGTGAACAGGCAGTTGGCTCTGTTTCGATCCAAGACGACGCGTGTACCGGGATCCTCTCCTTATGGACAAATGGGCGCCCGTGCCGAGACACTCCCGTCGCGCTCGAGCCACAGAAACTCGCTGCGATTCGCCAATGGCCGCGGACTGGATTTTTCCACATTCATCGATCCCAATCACGGCCTCCAAGCCCAGGGCTCGGACAAGGAGGAGAGGCGCCCGTTGGCTGCTGCGTCCGTGCCATCCTTATCGGGGGTGTTGGGATCGGAGGCGGTCCCGGATGAGGAGGAACACGAGTCGATGCGTAGACAGATCGCCACGATTTTGTCGCTCACCCGAAAGGACAGGCATCGTCGACAACAAAAGTCCTCGCTTTCGAGATCGGGGAGTGCGACCCTGTCGTTGTCATCGCTGTCGTCGTCGTCGTCTTCTTCTTCTGCGGCGGGATTCCCGCAGCAGCAGCAGCAGCAGCAGCAGTGTCTCTCACCCTTGGCGGTGGAGGCCCAGGAGGTGTTGCCTCAGCAATGGGAGGATGAGGAGGGAGAGGCGGAGAGGGAGAAGAATATGATTGAATCGGAGCTCCAGGATCCCTGTGAGCACATTGCGTTCATGCTCGTGCCAAAGTCGCGATACGAATTCCAGCCCTTGGTAGTGTAGACGCAATTTATTTTTTTGCGCACCCATTTTTTTTTTCTCTTTTTCTTTTTCTGTATATATCATTCGAGGCGTGAGCCTTTTTCATAACATTGTACATAGTCATCCTATCATCTTATACCCCAGTATGCGACCCATTTTCTTTTCTCTGTAGAAGCTAGTCTTGATCAGCAAACAGTGACAGCAACTACAGCAACAATAGCAACAATAGCAATAATAACAACAACAGCAGAAGAGTGTAGAAATATATACAAGCATTCAAAAATATAATCGTGAAAAAAGATTTATTTTTTTTCGGTTCGTATGAATAACAGCTATAGATCGGTATGGAGGCTAAAGCGCGTCCCTCCACCCTCCCCACCCCCACCCCCACCCCCTCAGATTGGGAGGAGAGAAGGGAAGGGGGAGAGGGCAGGGACAGGGAGGGGAATAAGAAGAAGAAAAAGACGAGCAGAGAACCGGGCTAGAGGGGAATCGATTCTTGACTCGAAGGGGGAGGGGGCTCCTCCAGGTGTATTTTTTTTTTTTGGAAGCAATGTCGATCGATGCTTGATCAAAAAAGAAGCAGGTCGCTGGCTCGGAACTAATGCCCTTCACACACACCCTCCCCCCTCTCTCCAGCCGAGAAGCAAAGCAAGGCGAGAGGTGGGCGGTATGGGGAGAGGGGGAGGGTTCGCATACTGCCGATAGGTGCAGGTTGAATGGATTTTTTTTTTTCGTTTTTTTCTTTCTTTCTTTCACAAGACGAAGGGTTGTGAAGGGTGAACGAGGATACACTTGGACATGCAGATCTGCATCATCGCGTCACGAATCTGCTGGTCGTTCTTGACAGGACGAGGGCTACCACAACCCTGGTTGCTGCTGCTGTTGTTGTTGTGCATGGAGTTTCGGCGTGAGGCAGGAGGGGTCATGTCAGGGGAGACCGAGGAAGAGTTCTTGGAATGGCGCTTGATGGACTGCATGGCTGAGGTGTGGTTTTTTGGTTTTTTGGTTGTTGTTTTTTCGAGTGTGCTGAGAGAGAGAGAGAGAGAGAAGGGCGTTAGGAAATGGGCGGTTGTCGTTGGGTGTATTTATACTTTCCTTTGCCGGGGTCAGGATTGATGTCCAGCTGGGATCGATCTTTTGCTCGTCATCTAGACTAATCTGTAGTAATGGTTGTCTATTACGTGTTTATTAGTCTTTTTACACAGCCGGCTATAGTGCGACCAGAGAGATAAGAGCTGTGTGGCCAGTGCCAAGACCGATGCATCGGGGGCTGGGTTGCCCTGAAAGATTGCTGGAGTTCGAAATTCCGTAGAAAAAGAAAACCATAAATAACATCGCGATAAGGAAAAAAAAAAAAAAAAAAAAAAAAAAAAGCGGGACGCGTAGTCCTCGTTCAGTACATGTACAGTACGTTCTTTGAATCTCAACAATCGGTCTGAGCAGGACCACCCTGTTTTCATTCACCGACAGCCCTAATGCCACGAGAGTGAGCAATGGAAAGATTCGGAAGGAATGAGTGCGGGTGGATATTTCCCTGGCGCTGAGGGCAGAGCAAAACGTGCTTGTTGCGAACGTAGGGGTAAAGGTAACAGGCGCTCAGAGAGTTGAAGGGATTTTTTTTTTCTTTTTGGACCGCCTTAATCTCTGTATGTCTAGTGAGGTGATGTCCTCCTCTTTAGCTGTGTCGCCCTATGCCCTACCGGGTTGCATCATTCATTGCTACAGCTGGCAAAGTGGTTGTTAAAAGGGGCTTGCTCGGCTGCGTTCGCCGGCCGTGCGTGAGATCTCCTGGACGATGAGAGGGAAAAAAATATGCTTCCTGACCATTTTTCGGCAAGGGAACGCTCGATTCCTTTTCTGGCCAGTCGCCACTAATTTAGCATTTAAGGGGGTTCAGGGGGGCACAGCGACCGCGCACGGCCTCAAAATCAATCTTCTGTGCAGGATGGCTTGAATAAATCAATCCACTCCCTTAGACCGTCTCATCTGGAAAGAGAGACAGTCACCTAGGATAAATTTTAACGGATACGGCCTGTACAGTTATTCTTGTTGGGGCCGGCGGAGGGGCTCTGGGCGAGACAGGCTACTGATCCACTCGAGACCAATATTAGCCAGCTTCTGAGCACCCACATAGACCCTGTCTATCCATCTCTGGCATCCAATCTCGAGGCACACGAACGCCCGATTCGCTGGCTTTGCCATTCTTCGACCCTTGTTTTGTCGTACACAGCTCAGGCAAGTCCATCAGACGAGGATCTTTTCTTACAAAGTCGTCAGTTCATTTTTCCAGGATCTTGAAACTGCCATTAAATGATAATCGAAATTCATTCGCTCTAACGGCTTCAATATCCAGAACATTCTGATACTCTTGATCAACGATAGTATGAATATCCTTTTTAAAGACTTGGGGAAACACGACACATCGCATATTTATGGTTACGAGGGGCTGACTTAGATCGAATGGGCTTTTTGGCATGTGAATCGAGGAACCTTACTATACACTCTATTCTTTGGAACCCCAACCATGCTGTGCAATCATCGCAGTGTCCTATCCAGTGGACTTAGGCCCAATAAGATAAGCGAGGAAATGTCCGATCTTCATGACCGTGCATTCATAATGATCAACATGCCGTCCATGGCACGAGTATCCTACTTCGACTACGCGTGTTTGACTAGTAGTGAACGCTATAAGCCTGCCAACTCGACTTGACCTCTATCCCGAGGACTATGGCTACCGATTATCATTTTTTTTTTATTCCCTTCAAGACATATACTGAGCCCGTCTGTCATCTCCATCCGTTTCCCTATGTCGAGTTTGGGCTTCCTATAGCAGGGTGATATCTTCTGACCTCGAGACTCAGGACGAGCTCCTTCTGGCTTGGAAGGGGGGTTTTTTTTATTGTCGACGGTACACATTCAGGACTCTGTGCGAATCACCTGGGTGGAGCTCAAGCTATCGCGACGAAGGCGGCTGGAAGCAAGGTAAATATGCTGGTATGCAACTCGAGGAGAGTTGGCAACGTCAACATCCTTACCTGATATTCAGGTATACTACCGTAAGCAGCGCCATGTCGAAACCATAGGCGACGATTCCAGCCATATCCAGTTTTCGTGAGGAGAAGTCCTTTCCAATGCAGCCGAACTTCGCAGCTACCATTACCATCAGTCTCTTTCCTTTGTCCTTCACAGATGGCGTCTCCCTCCTGCTAGACCTCCAGCGTTTGAACGCTTCGTAGATTGCAACGCGATGCTTTGCGTCTCTCGGACAAAACTTTTTTTCTTCTCATATATTGGGGCTACAGTACGCTTTATGTTAGCTACAACGTCGTTGACATGGAGAGAAGTTACGGCACACCCGCGTGGTCCTATTACACCGTGGCCACTGCGAAGACTGTCTGGCTGGCTCTCCGTCTCCTCGCGGAGCCTTGCTCCGATCTGCGGCTCAAGGGCCCATTATACAGAGCTGCCTCCAAGACGATGGAACCGGAAAGATCTACACCGTGATTCATGCATTTTGGGGACTAACCTTGTGTCGTTTGAGAATGTCGTGATTGTTTCTTCCGCATGATCGCAGGTGTCTGAAGAGGAGGATCGGTATGGAGTTGCAAATGATGGGGTCTGAGGTGCAGCTGAATATCTTGTGGAAGTCGCCAGGTCGCCTTTGAATTGTCACCAATTCCGAACACGATAATTTTATCCACCAATATATTTTTGCGGAAAGCCCTGGGTGCCACGTGGAGGCAATGGGTGCTACGACATGGAAGCTTATTATAGTTCTTGTTCCTTTTCGGAGGGCTCTGTTCAAAAGCAACAGCAAAGACTCCAAAGGGATATCGCGCCGCAATCCGCAGTGCTCGGTGACTGCTTGGAGTCTACTGCGGAAAATTTTTGTTTGAAATAGCTGATATTCCACGTAGCTTGCATACTATTTTGCATTTCAAGAAAGCACAACGACAGCAATATGACAGCCACCTCATCCTCGATGCTCACGTCTAGGACTACTTATCGCTACTATTCGCTCCAGGCTGTCGCTGCCCAGGCCTATGCAACCCTCCGTCGCCACCTTGTCTCTATCGTCTTCTCTTCCGCCATCGGTCTCGGCCACGCACCCAACCCCGGCGACAGCGATATCTCGATCTCATGGCTCAAGAAGACCTTGCTTGCTGCAGAGGCAATTCCAAAGGGTGCTACCATCACCAATGTAGAATGCAAAGGACTGGATGAAAACCGCGGAATGGCTGGCGTCATGACCCGTGTCCTTGTCACCTACAGGTCTAGCAATGGATCCAAGGAAACAGGTTCGGAGCAAGATTCACAGGAACTGCACTTGATCCTGAAGAAGAGTGCAGACGGATTTCGCAGGCGGCTAGGCAACATCATCTCGGGTCAGACGCGTGAGGCTATTTTTTACACCTCGGATATCGCCAAGGAACTGACACCCAGTACGCTTCTGCCAAAGGTCTATTACGCACACGCATCGCCATGGCTGGGCGAGTACGTTATCCTTATGGAGGATATCAAGCAGCGCCGTGGACGTGCTGAAGCAAACACTTCAGCTCTACCTCCAGTCGACGTCAACTTTGTCTTTGGAAACCAGATCTGGGGAGTACCGCCATCAGTCGATAAGAGCACATTGCCATCTGCAGTGGCTATGCTCGAGCAGATGTTTATCACCGCTGCTGGGATCCATGCTCAACATTGGAACGACTCTAGACTCTTGCAACTGGACTGGCTCAAGACTGCGGGGTGGTACCGTGGTACCAACCGGGTTCGCTGGGAGTGGAGCATTCAGGCCAGCGCAAGTGCGTGGGAAAAAGGCAAAGTCATGGCCTCAGGCGAGGACTATCCAGTCAAGTATTCAGAAAAGCTGGTTAAAATAATAGACGAGTCGTTGGCGAGCGCTTCCTGGGAGACACTACAACGCCGACTGCAGGACCGATCAGTACCCTTCACGCTGTCCCACGGTGATTTCCATGCCGCCAACATGATCCTGGACAGATCACAGTCTTCAACGTCTCCGGACTTGGCCATCTACGATTGGTCTGAGGTCTGCATCTGGGAGCCAACGACGGACTTGGGACAGACGGTGATCTCGGACGTTGCCATTCCGGTCTTCCAGGCCCATGCTCGGACTGCTCTGAAAAAGTATTGGGAGAGATTGGTCGAGTTGGGTGTTGTGAAGCCTTCAGAATACACATTCGACCATTGCTGGAAGGCGTTCTTGAGAGGAGGTGTGGAGAAATGGCTGCCGATGTTCGCGATCCTCTCCAGCTATCCAGGAATGCCAGCACCGGCGATGCAGTACTTTAATGATCAGCTATTGGCATTTATCGAGCTGGGCGAGGAGGAAGGCGGCATCTCGTATGATATCACTACCGTGCTGTGCTTTGCCCCTCCATCTGCATCGTAGTGTACAATAAAATTCCTATCTTCTGAACGCTTTTCATTCAATCTTTCGTAATATCAGTCACAGAGCGCAAGTAGATTTTCTATGCCGATGCACTTGACTATTGTTTCGCGTAGGATTCGATGCTCCTGGATCCCCCCTGTACCCAAAAAGCAATCGTGGGGCAAACCGCTGAGCTGAGGACGATCTTGATTATGCAAATCCAACAACGGTATTCCTGATCTGCTTGACCGTACAAAAAGTGAGGGAGAACCAGAAGCAAGGAAAATTTATTATTCCAATCCCTGTCATCTTTTATAGTTCATTGTTGAAGGTACTCGACAATGGAAGGACGACTGTTCTCTTTACCTGTTCAACCACATACTTGGTTATGTCGCATGCCCCTGACAGTGGGTCTTTCCACCACATGTGTCGATACTAATGTTTATATATATGTAAAAACACACGGCTATGTCGTAATATGTAATCCAATCGGCCGGACCATTGGCGTTTTTACGGTGAAGACGCAAGCAGAATGGGTAGAATTGGCCTGAAATACTTTCTTCCCCACACTTTTTAGGCCGCATTGTTGATGCCACCTTCTTTAGTCTCTCGGTACTCAAAACAGCCTGTGGGTGGGATGGCGTGCATGAGAAAATACGCCTGAAGGTGAATAATGCAATCTAGGGCGTATTGGCATGGCTCCGGAAGGCCGGCATGACCTCTCTCCGGCTGCCAGGACGCACGTAAGTATACATATACATCTCATATGTGTATGTCTCCAACGGCACAACATATTCAATGCACCGGATCCCTATTTCTTGTATTGTTTCCCTCTTCTTTTTTTTTTTTTTTTTTTTTTTTTTTTTTTTTTTAATGGCTGCGATTCGAGATGCCCATTTGTCGTCTGTCCATGATTCCAACGCGTCGTGATGGGACCCAGATTTTCCTGACGACTGACGCCGCCGTTCTTTGGTATCGTTATGACGACCTGCAACCTCTCAAGTCTGGGGAATTAGCGGATTTGGAGCAAGGGAGGGAGGACAGGTTGTTCTACGATACTCACAGTCCTGCTCACGTTATCCGGTTCATGTAGTCCTTCTTGTCTAGCCAATGCTGCAAAGCACCATCGATTGTCCCTCTTCTTCTTTCTCTTTACTATCTCTTTTCTATGATCGTCCATTCTCGCCGACAGTCTCCCAAAGTCCGAGCTATGGCCCTACCATATTAATTTCTTCTCCAAGATCCTTCTCCCCTGCTTCATTTTACAGCTGCACCTCTTAGTTTATATAGTCCAATCGATACTCTCCTGTGTACCTTTGCATCTTCTAATCGGTAATGATGAGGCTCTCCTTTGACATGAACGACGGATACGTTGTGTTTTGCTGCGCGTCTCCTTTCTAACGCGATTTGTCTGTGTCACCATGGTTCAAATAATTTGCCACCAAAAGCATCACCCAATCGAACGGATAACACAGCACTTCAGGGGCAATGCTTTCATCTCATCACGGTGAATCCGCCACCCCAGCCATAGCCTCTCCTTCCTCCAATACCTCTCAACCGATTTACAATGGCGACCACGACCAACTGAAGACCAGCATTGGCGAAAGCTATGCCTCAAAAATGGGCAGGGACGAGGTCATGAACTCCATGGACACTGCGAGATCATCGCCGAAAAGGCACGTCTCCAAAGGAATCAACGTCAGCAGCAACATGGCAGAGATATTTTCACCTCCGATCAAGCCAGCCAGTTTACCATTTGGAGAGCGACTTCAACACAAGGATTTGTTCATTTCCACCGATTTGCACCGCTCAATCTACAACGCGGACCACAGCACATTACTTAACACCCCTCTGACACCAGCAGTTCATGCCTCTCCATACTCACAGCTGCAACAGCAACAACTCCAGTCACCAAATCCGTCAGCGTCAAATCAACAGCGCCTCAATGCACGCCATTCCAGATCTGCAGGATCAGAGAGCGACATACCCGACTACGTCCTCAATGATACACCGCCTGCAAATTGCAAGGTGCCCTTGGATCTGTCGAGAAGATCTTCCTTTCACACTATGATGTCCCCGCCACCTAGCGGTGGGCTCATTAAATCTACTACTGCTCACACCCTCTATTCGGCCAACGAACGCCATGGCGACGCGGTCAAATTCACTGATATTAACTCGCCTAAACCACGAGCGCTTCAAAAACGACGCTCGAACACCTCAAACTCTACCAGGAGGCATTCGGTGCCCAACAATGTCCACAATATCTCGGTAACCGCGGCCCCGCTCAACGTGACAATTCAGAGGTTAGGGATGGGTCAGAGCACATTGGACGCGCAGGGTCCGGGAATGAATGACCCGTACCTGCCTACTCCCACGGATTCGGCCTTCCGACCATCAATTACTGGCGACTCCACCACTAACATGGACTTTACGACCCAAATAACTTCCGCTATTCCATCATTCCTATCTTCAACCTCCGTGGGCACTGCCTATTCCATTGGCGTCCATCCTTTTGATGTCATGCCAGCACTGAATACTGCTGACGCGTGGCCAGCCGGTGATGTCTCTGGAATGTCTGGAATGCCTGGGATGTCGTTGCCAATGTCAAACGCCACCAAATCTGCAACGATCCAATATCTTCAACAACTCCAGCAGTCCATAATGCAGCAGCCCAATGTGTCTAATACATCTCAGGTCCTTCAACAGCAGCAACAAGGCGCGCCTCTGCAGCAAGTTCAGCAGATGGATGCACTGTTGGTGCAGTCTAAGCAGCAAAAGTCATCTCAGCCGGGACAGGGTTCTCAGTCCAGACGAGGATCGAAGGCGAAAGCAAAGCGACGCGTCGGTAGTCTCCCTGCACCTCCAGCGACCCCTTCGTACATGTCCGCTGAGATGCCATGGTCCTCACTCTCTAGCCATATGCAGCAGGTGGCTGCGCAAACGATCCTTCCCTCGCAACAATACAGCAGTGCAGAAATTCTCGCCTTGACCAACAATCAGCCTATAATATCTCCAGCATTCTCTACCTCTCCTTCTCCTTCTTCAGCAGAGACAGCACAATCGCCATCGAATCTAGCGACTTACTATCGCGGCCCTGCGCCTTGCGGCAATCCAGAGCCCCTGTATGAGTACTTGGCTTCACCGACTGTTGTGCCTGGATTGGAAATTATCGGCCATGATTATTACGGCAACTATGTCCAGATTCTTCCTATCTGTCCTGAGACCACCTGCAGCATGAACCAGGACCCTGTCTATCTGAACTTGTTGCAAGCGATCTACGCGCACACGATTCCGTTCCTGGATCTCGCTCCAGGCTCTGAGGAAGAAACACAGCGATTAATGAACGGTACTCACTCCGCAATTTCTACACAATCAATCCAGCCACCTTTCAAGCACCTGCTACCACTGAACGGGTCCGCTGGGATCGGGACTCAAGCAACTTTAGGTAACCAGAGATCAATGACGACATCGGTATCCGCGCCATCGTTCCAGCAGCCCTCGGACAACAACAAGCTCGTTCGTCGCGCTTCTGTGGCCTCAATCAGCTCCACACTGGCGTCTGGTAGTCGTAAGGCGAGCACTGTATCAAATCCTAGCTTGAACAATCCCGCGAGAAAGAAGAAGAACGTACCACGGACTCACCCGTACAAGTCGACAAGCGTGTTTAAGGAGGACAATCCCATGGTTACAGAGGCAATTCTGACACAAGTCGGAGGACTCGGAGGAATCGGTAACAGTGCCACGGTCAGTGCCACCGATCCTCGACATAAGGTCGCTGAGAAGATGGTTCACATGGACGAGGCCGAGTATGCTGTCCACTACTCCAAGCACTACCAATCCATGAACAAGTCAGTATCAACGATCAACCTTTGCCTGGCCCAGACATTGGCCACGCCGATGCCAGGTAGCGGTCAGGGAGCACCGAATCCCAGTTTGCTCATGTCTTCATCTGTCTCTGCGCCCTCGATCGCTAATGCAACTACGAATAGTGTATCTGGCAGCGCGTCATCGCCGTTGGAAACCATTGCGGCCGCTGATTTTATCAGAGCACTCTCCGAGTGCAACGGCGGTATGAATGATCTGGGAATCAACACCAATGAATTGACTTCAGTGGTCTCCGATATGAACTTTGCTCAAAACGACCTCGCTAGTCTGGAAAGCCTGATGAGGATGGATAGTAACGCCGTAGCAACAATGCATGCAGCAGCATCGGCTACATGGCCGCACTGGTTTGATCTAAATCAGCTGGAGAAGGACATCTGTCAGGAGGGAATGACCCACCAAGCATCCGCGTTTTCGTCCGCGTCGTGCTCGAGGAACAACCTACCGTTAACCAGCTCGACCACACTGGCCTCGTTCGCGGGTATTTCCAGAGATAGCACCAGCACAAACCTGCTACTCAGTTCCAGCACCGATCTAGCCATGATGGAGGGTTTGTTAGATGATAACCATCCCCTAATCTCCAAGTCCTCTTCCGATTCGTCCCAAGACAGTGAGATGACCCTCGCTCCTCCAGCATCCAGCGCATATCACCAGAACAGCACCAGCCAGGTTCTTGTTTTCGACCAGTACCCCGGCCCACCCCAAGCACAATCAGGAAGCAGTTCCTTTGATCATTCGGGGCCACCCACATCTTCCTCGACCTCCTCCTGTTCAGGGTCCAACGGTGGCTCTCAACCGTCAGAGCTCAAAAAGTCCATCTCAAACGACCTTGGTATCCCGTATACTTCTTCACTTTTGACCGTCCTCCCCTTCTCGGCCGAACACTCGCATCCAATCTTTCCAACGCGCGGCAACCGACGCTCCGGTTGGTATCGATCCAAATCGGTCGCGTCCCAAGGTCTGAGCGAGATCACGGGCGTTGATTACACAACCACTTGTTGGTACGACGTCGAGCGTCTCCAGAGCGTCGTGCGCGAGTCGATTTCCTTCCAGGAATCAAGCGCATTGAAATCGCTGGAGGATTTGACTAACTCCAATCCTCCCAAAGAAATCACATAACTTGTTAGCATAGAATAATAAAAGGAAAAAAAGGGAAAAAAAGGAAAAAAAATATATGAAGCGGGTACGGATAAAGGCCAGGTCATCATTTGTGAACAAGGAGAGGGGAATCATTATAGAAGACGCGTGGAATGTACAGAATATAAACTTATTTACACAATTCATTTATTTTTTATGGTATAGGCAAAAGAAAAAAAAATGCCAGCAGTAATTTTTTTTAGAGACGAGCCATGAACTCGGAGTTCTCCTTTGCGCGGACGGACTGGACCTCCTCCTCCGAGACCTCGCGAGCCTCCGTGGCAGGGTTGTAGCCAACACGCTTGCGCGAATCGACGTACTTTGGAGATGAGCCCAGATCGGCCTTCTTGTAGAGTGAAACAACGACGGCACCACCGAGGCCGACGTTGTGCTGGAGGGCATATTTGCAGTTGGGGACCTGGCGCTCACCGCACCAGCCGCGAAGCTGCCAGACCAACTCGGAGCACTGGGCCAAACCGGTGGCACCGAGAGGGTGACCCTTGGAGATCAAACCACCCGAGGGGTTGACGACGTACTTGCCACCGTATGAGACATCGTTGGTGTCGATCAACTTATGGGCCTCGCCGGGCTTGCAGAGTCCGAGAGCATCGTAGGTGATCAGCTCATTGGCAGAGAAGCAGTCGTGGAGCTCAACAACCTGGACATCCGTGGGCTTGATACCGGCCTTGGTAAAGACATCATTGGCAGCGCGGCGGGTCATATCAGCACCAGCCAACTCGATGGAGGACTCGTTGAACAGCTTGGGCGAGTCCGTGGCCATGGACTGGGCAACAATCTCCACAGCCTGGTCCTGCAAGTTGTTCTCCTTGACGAATTTCTCGGAAGCAAGGATGGCACAGGCAGAGCCATCAGAGGTGGGGCAGCACTGGAGCTTGGTCAGGGGTCCGAAGACCTTGTTGGATTTTTCGACCTGCTCCAAGGTGTAGATGTCACGGAACTGGGAGTAAGGGTTCAAGGCCGAGTGGCGGTGGTTCTTCTCTGCGATCTTGGCCATGTGCTGAGGAGTGGCGCCGTACTTCTCGCAATACTCAATACCGGCGTTACCGAAGATCTGGGCCGCGAAGGGACCAGCGCTGATGCCGCGGGTCTCGCTCATCATGGTGACGGTCTTGTCCAAGGGGTTGGTGCGGTCCTCGAACTTGGATCCGAGCGATCCGGCCTCCATCTTCTCGAAACCGAGGGCCATGGTGCAGTCGGCAATGCCGTACTCGATCGCCTGGCGGGCCAAGAACAGGGCGGTGGAGCCGGTCGAGCAGTTGTTGTTGACGTTGATGATGGGGATCTATGTTGGGTGGAGAAGGGTCGAAGGATGATTAGGTTTACATGGTCAGTTCACATGTGAACTGTTTCCCCGCAATCTCTAGATATTCGCACGAAATAAGGTATTTCTCCTGTCTCGGCTCCCCTTGTCGCTTTACCTGGTGCATTCCCAGCTGGTACAGGGTGCGCTGTCCACATGTGCTGTCACCGTAGCAGTAACCGACAGCAGCCTATGATGTGAGATGGTGTTATTGTCAAACAGGGGGGGTTAGAGGGCTTGGTTATGCATTCGAATCGCATGGCAATTGAAGGCCGGAAGAATAAATAGGCGAGCCGGGAATTCCTCGAGGTAGAGAAAGACGTACCTGCTGGACCTTGTCGTAGGTGATACCGGCATCCAACAGGGCCTTGGTGGCAGCCTCACGTCCCATATCTATTGCACAGTAAAAAAAAGCCAGGGCATTTTGTCAGTCAAAGAGCTCCTTTGATTCAGTGGAGAAGAGAAGGAGTCGGGATAGAATGCATCTTACCAGGGTAATCTCTCAAGTCTCTGGGCTTGATGAACTTGGTCATGCCGACACCGACAACGTAAACCTTCTGGGGAGCCATTGTATTATTGAGTTGCTATGGAGAGGAGTAGAGAGGGGGAATGAGAGATTGGGGGGCCTGAGGGATTGTGGAGGAGAGGATGTGGATGGCAAAGAGGATGTTCTTTCTCCCTCTTATACTTTCTGTCTGTGAGCCGTGCGAGAGGCTATTGGTGGACGCATGCTGGATCTGGTGTCACTTTGGCACGTGATGCCTTGAGCCGAGAAGTAGGGGAAGATTCGAGTGTGTTATACACACATACGCCTTTCAAAGAGCTGCCTTGCGGTTCAGCAAAAGGACTTTGCATCAACAAATAAACAGATGCCACTCGGCCGACGAGCTTACTGCAATTGGATCGGCTGTATAAAGATATGGAGAGAGGTTAGTTTTGATCCACGACAATACTCGATCAAAGACAGGAGCCGCCTTGTGGTTTGTGGAGGACATGGCTAATGCAGTATCGGGGCCATTCCACCGTACCTTAAAGTAAAACTCCAGAACTCACCCCACCAATCTGCTTTCCTTATTGGCCCCTCTCCCCCCCTCCCCCCCCTTGACCGGCGAAACCTCGGCTGCCACTGCAGAGCAACAGACCATATCCAGCCAGATGTCTGAATACTCTCGATAATCAATGGCTATTAGCTCTGGGCTACACGGGAATAATTGGTGCCGCGAGCAATCATTTCTAGATTCAAACGCGTCCCTTGGTGCCTGAATTTGGATGCGAGGTCACGGTCGAAAGCTATTGGTCAGGGTTTTTCTTCTATCGTGTACCATCCTGACTATTCCCCCCCTCGTTATTCGTGAGTTATTGTTGTTTCTCTAGCGAAATCTCTGCTCTACGCGTGTATTCGGCTTTCCTTCCATATCGAATAAGGAACTGCAGGGATTCATCCCACGACGATCATTTTAGGTATGAGGGAAGGGGGGAGGTACATCGAGATCACGTCTCCTGTAAATCACTCAAAGAGGAGGGGTTTTCTTGATAGAAGGACGCACTAGCGCGGTAGTAAGGACGGGATCGACAATGACTGAGAAGTAAAACCCATTTTTGGTCGGACTGGGTCCTTGTGGGAGCTTCAGGATAAACATGGTGCTCAAATTCTTATGTATGGTCTCGATCAGGAATGGGTGCTTGTCTTGGTTGTTTTTTTATTTTTTGAAAGTAGGTGCTGTGTTACTTCCTTTTTTTTCACAGGCGCTAGGTAGCAAGAGCGATTGGAGCCAGTGCTTTTTTAAGGAAGTCAGCTCCAGGAAGAAAGTGACAATAGGACTATATGGATTGCATCGGTCGGCTCAAGGACGTCTGGAGCAAATATTCAAACATTGTTATCCTGGCTAGCGCATGCTACGGGTATGGTATTTAAATACACGCCAGTGGTAGATTTGGCCCCGTAACCAGTCAGAAAACCTGAAGCAAAGCATGTTACGCAGCTGTTGTGATCAACGTATATACGAGTGATTCGAATTGGCGGTGATGAACGGAGTAAGGTGCGTCGGCATGGAATGAAGGCTTTTTTTTTTTAGCGTCTGATTGCACGCGCATGATAGAAACCACTTTCTTATTTCACAACCTGCACAGGTAGAGTTTAATTACTACGCCTTGAAGGCATGTTTATTATAGGGTGATGCTATCGTGTATGATGCGGTGTTGTACAAGTGAGTGATGAATGCAGTGGGTATGAGCGGCACTTGATTGTCCTTGTTCACCCTGGATTATCGGATGAATGGACCGGCAGCAGCATCGCCCATGGTCTTATAGAGGATCTTCTCAAGTGCTTGTTCCTTGGTCATCTTGTTGGCGGGACGCTGCTCGTGCATTGAAGAGCGAGGAGTAGCAGCGGGTGAGACCGAGGCTGAGGCGGACTGGTTCTTGGAGGACTTGAAGAGGGCCATGGCTATCGAATGTGTGTTTGTATGTGCAGTAGGTGGTATTACTTGGTTGTCGGCTAGTTGCTTGGGTGGCAATTGGTTGGTTGGTTAGTTGGTTGATTGGCTTGAGTGGTGGTTGTTGCTGTGAGTGGTTATTGCTGTGAGTGGTTGTTGCTATGAGTGGTTGTTGCTGTGAGTGAAGAAACTGAATGCAGAGGGACAACGGATCCTTTTTATACTGCTGTCTCCTCCAGTGTTCTATTCTTGGCGCGCCATTCCTGCCTTTGCGGAGCCAAGCGGAGCATGGGCCACCTCGTTCTGTCTGGAAGAGTCGACTTCGAAGAGTCGACCTCGGATGTCACCTTCCACGGAGAACGTTGCCAAAGAGGAGAACGAAATAAAAAAACGCGCACGGTACATCGTGGAAAAGGAAAAGAAGAAAGGTGGAATGTTAGCTGACCTTGAAAATGCTTAATTTTGCCGCATGACATCATGTACCTGAATAGTCCATTCGCGACAAATATGGACGGCATGGTTTTGATTTCCATCCATGGCAATCATTAACGGCGGTTTGCTGGCTTGGTTGGTATCCTAGCCAAGCATGCCGAGCGTCGTTCAAGTCACTTTGTCGTGGTCCAGGGTGAGAAGCCGCGTATAAATACACTCGAGATGTAGCTTGTTTCCCTCCTCTCTTCATCAACCAGACAAAACGCATCCAAGCAACCAGTATTTAAGCAATCACATCACTCAAACACTCCCGCACACACAAACACACACACTCGATAGCCATGGCCCTCTTCAAGTCCTCCAAGAACCAGTCCGCCTCAGCCTCGGTCTCACCCGCTGCTACTCCTCGCTCTTCGATGCACGAGCAGCGTCCTGCCAACAAGATGACCAAGGAACAGGCACTTGAGAAGATCCTCTATAAGACCATGGGCGATGCTGCTGCCGGTCCATTCATCCGATAAACGGACATCCTCATATAGACACACGCATACACACTATCATTGCATCTTCACTACCCAACTGTACGACACCACTCAATCATCAGTAGCATTACCTAATAAACGTGCCTCTATGGCAATGAACAATTATCGTATTCATGACAGATTTGACCTTTTTTCAAGCGATATTCTTGTTGGTTTTATTCAAAACAAAGGATATCATACAAAGATGCTTCGTTCAACTATCTTGCATAATTCTAACTCGTACAAATATATGCTCTCACGAACTCTGTGAACTAGCTACTCGTTTTGATATCCATGCGGAGTATGTAGGAATGATATCTGTGAAAACGAGATGCACTTTTAATAATGGGCAAGTCGTGCCTTATATATCTATAAGATAGTCTCAGAGGCACTATGCTCTTAATAAAGAATCGACACCGAGCGGTGGCAGATCCAGAGAAATGGGGTACTTTCAATAAGCAAGACGATATGGTGAATACACCACAATGCATATGGTTGCTAGTTATCATAGAGCCTCAATGCTACACCCCAGGGTCATCGGCATTGATACAAGACAGCCATCGATACCTGCTCTGTATGTACTCATTCATTCGGGTCCTCCTGATCGAATTTATGTGTTACTTTATCGGCCCTTTACTATGGAGGGAGTCGCACTGCGCCTAGGAAAATGGAGTTATCAAGTTAAGGGTTATTCTCCCCACAATCCCAAACTTCCCACGGTCAAATTATTCCATTCCACAGCAGCTCTACTGGTTTTTTTCTTCTCCATCTCTCTTCTCCATACTTCACGCTCCACTCATTCCACTGAATCACCATGGCCTCCCTTCTTCGCATCACTGCGCGACGCGCCCCTGCTAGGCTCGGCCGAGCTGCATCTGTTGTCCCCAACCAGATTCGCCACTTGACTACCTCGCCCATCGATCGTATGTAGCCGTACCACGCTGTGCGAATAACGGATGCACAGACATGCCGTCGTTCGAAATGTGTATATTTCCCACCCTCATCTTCCTTGATCCTGCAGTGCAATTGACTAACTGAAGTACCCCTTTTTCTTGCTTTTTACACCCTTGTCCTATACTAGCCTCCACGGGACTCACAGGTACTTGACATGCCGTGCAATGCTGGCGCACTTTCTGGTTATGGGCATACAACCGATCTATCCTGAATTCAGGCACCAGATGCTAACTGGTCCGATGGCTGTGTGACTCAACATAGACGATCAGATGGAGCTCCAGAGTTTGGCCCGCGCATTTGCGGATAAAGAATTTGCGCCCAAGATGCAGGAGGTAATCGATCAAAGGGCACCTGCCTGCTCTTTGTCGCTTTATCCGGGAGCTATTCGTGGTAGACTCGTTCTGAGCTGATCTTTTATATATTGCTGTTTTGGATCGCCTATAGTGGGACGAGAACCAACATTTCCCCATCGATGTCCTTCGGAAGGGTGCTGAGCTCGGTTTCGGTGGCCTTTACACTCGCGAAGACGTTGGTGGCTCTGGCCTCGGGCGTTTGGAGACCTCTGTGATCTTCGAGGCGCTGTCGACTGGCGACGTCTCTACTACCGCTTACATCAGTATTCATAAGTATGGGAAAAAAGACATTGTGAAGTAGTCGTGGAATACTGTCTTGTTTTGCTACTACTATCGGTCTCTAATGCGTGTTCTTATTTTTCTTACCGCTCGTTCGTTTACTGCAGCATGTGCACATGGATGATCGGTAAGTTGACATTTTCCCCACGACTTGTAATGCACGTTGGCTATCGTAAAAGGAGCGCACATGAAATCTTACCATTACCCTCTGTTATGTTCTTGTTCCATAGATGTCTTTGGATCTGAAGAGCAGCGTCAAAAATACCTGCCCAAGTTGACCAGCATGGAGCATTTTGCCTCTTACTGCCTGACTGAGCCTGGCGCTGGATCTGATGCCGCTGGTCTTTCTACCACTGCTGTCAAGAAGGGATCCCACTATGTCCTCAATGGAAGCAAGGCCTTCATCTCCGGTGGAGGCTCCTCCGATGTCTATTTGATCATGGCCCGCACTGGCGGCCCTGGTCCAAAGGGCATCTCCTGTTTCATTGTTGAGAAGGGATTCAAGGGTTTAAGCTTCGGCAAGAAGGAGAACAAGTTGGGATGGAACTCGCAGCCCACTAGAGCCGTTATCATGGAGGACTGCGAAGTGCCAGCTGAGAACTTGGTTGCCTCCGAAGGTCAGGGATTCTCTATTGCCATGAAGGGTCTCAACGGAGGTCGTATCAACATTGGTAAGGAGCAATAAGAAGGGGAAGAAAAGGAGTATGGTGCTTATGTCTGAAAACGTTAGGCACTGACGGTCCATTTTGAATATTGCGAACGATAACATTCGACAGGATCGTGCAGTTTGGGAGCCGCCCAGGCTTCGTTGGAGCTCGCTATCGAGCACGTCAAAGTCCGCAAGCAGTTCAATCAACCCTTGGCTAACTTCCAGAACACCCAGTTCAAGCTCGCGGATATGGCAACTAGTTTGCTGTCGTCAAGACTGATGATCCGTCAGGCCGCCACGATGCTGGACCAGAACCACCCCAGCATAGCTAGCTTTGCTGCCATGGCCAAATTGCATGCTACAGATGAATGCTTCAAGATCTGCGACGACAGCTTGCAGCTACACGGTGGATACGGGTACTTGAAGGACTATAAGGTGAACGTCTTCCTCCGCGATTCTCGTGTTCACCGTATCCTCGAGGGCACCAACGAGGTAATGCGTATGGTCACCTCCCGAGCTCTCTTGTCCGAGTAGAAAAATAAAGTATCGCGTTCAGACATACAAATCTACAATATAGGCAAAGTTTGTTCAAGCAGGATAGATCTCTTATATCTGTTGTTTCCTTCGGAAGCACTAGTGGCAGAAGGTAGTTTAGACGTTATTCGCTACTCAAGCGGTCATTGATGTTTTGAGATACTCTATGAATGATACACCAACAGTAACCCCAGTCCATTTGAGCTGAATGACTATACTGAGATATGGGTTCTGTTCTGCTGCAGATGTCTTTTTTGATCTACATGGTTCGAGGTATAGATGCTTTTCCTTATTCGCTATAAAACCTTCTATCAACGTGGTGACGGCCACGGCGATCGCGACAATGATATCTACTAAATTTCAATAGGTCAACAGACGAGGGCAAGAGGCCGATTCATTGGATTCTGCTGGAGCAACATGGCAGCCTCTAGTCGCGGCGCGCCCCAGTGGATATGAGCTTAGGACGCTGATCCAGGAAACACAGCAAGTGGTATATCACTGCCATGGTACCTCGTGAGCAAATACCATGCCTGATAACTTAAATCAGAGAACGTTAGGGCTTCAGGCTTATTTTGTGTATGTGTGTTCTTTTGCTTTAGCGCGCCGAATGGGGCGATTGAGGATACTGTGATTTGAGCGTTGTGCGCATTTAGCTGGTTTAAATTTGTCAACTACAGATTGGACAAATCCAACATACTGTGCAAATATTTGTAGCTTGCGGACGAAACTATTCATGAAGTAATAAAAAGTCAATTACGTCGCCGTGCAGGTGCCACACCTGGGGGAGTTCAGCAACCGCTATTTTCACAGAGGGATTCCATTGCTGTGCTGCGTTATTGCGCAAGCCTAAGCTTTGCTAAAACTTCGGCGAGCACTGTGCTCTCACCAGAGATTGGGGACGGCTATATTGCAGCACTTGTCCTGCATACATGTAGCAAACTAACAGATACATGTAATAAAATTGGGATGAGGACATCGAGACTACAGTGTTCGGTCTATCTTCTCCGGTACATTGAATCTTGTTCTGAGGCCCCGCATTTTTTTATCACTGTTGCTCCCACATGACAGCATCCTTTTTAGTGAGTGTGATGGTGGCATATGTCTGGTACACTTCAACCTCGTCCAAGGATATCCAGAGCCCAATTTACATTCAAAAAATCGAGATGCATGTGCTGTGTATACATATGAATCAAAGCAAAAACACCAAGACAAACAAGGACCAGGCAATAGTGGCATACCGACCTATTGTTTGCGGCAATTATTCAGCATTCTTTGTCCGTTTCAAAGACTCCAAAGCTCAATCTGCGTGCAATTTAGTTACGTGAGGGAAAAAAGAAACGCGTCGCAAATCTGCCAGGACCAGAACAAAAAAAAAAAAAAAAACGCGTGAAGTTTTAAGTAGTCTACATTGATAGCACCCATACAGATCAAAGGCCAAGAGTGCTGGCTGTGGAAGGTATTTGCTCCGCCTTTCACGGTACTCTGAGTTAGGTTCAATCACTATAATAGCTGTAACCGTGGTTCCATCACTTATACGTAGTCAAGATAAGCATTAGTATGATGGTCTATTGGTTCACTTGATAATAGGGTGCTAGAAAATATAAAATTAATCCCTTGGTCCCTCTCATTCTTGTCCGTCACCCATTAGCATCACAACGCCTGGCAACCTACTGCCGCTTTCCAAGCCAGCAGATAATCCAGCAAGTACTTCGCACACGCATCATCACAGGGCTCTTCCTATATGCGTTACTAGATATCTTTTCCTTCAGGACTTGCCGCTGAGGTTTCTTTACACGCGCTGCTGCAAGTTCTCTCGTCTTACGATGGCCTCTAACGCTGCCACTGCCACGCTAGCCCTTACAATCATCGCCATTGCCGTCGGCGTCTTCCTGGTTCTGGTCAAAGAAACATACCCTAACACTCCAGTAATTGTATGCCACCCAGGGCGGCGCATCAGATCTATTCAATGCATTATTCACAGTCGGCATGGGTAGTGTAGATGGGGAGACCATAGTAAAAATGAAACTTAGAGGGAATGTAACAGCGTCGGTTTGAATATGCTTGTTTTTACCTTGAGCGGATAACTTCTAATGCCTAGCTCCTGGGCAGGGATATGGACTGGCCAGATCGAGCAAAGCCGGTCAAAAACGTGGAGCGCGCTGGTTTGAAACGGCAGCTGACTGCTGCAAAAATAGACGAATAAGTTGCATGAAATCGTGGATGATAAATACCACGGAGGTAGCATATCCCACTGCTACAGGTTGCGGATGAAACTGCTCATGAAGTCATGGTGGAGATCGGATGCAGAAGCCCCTGCTGGGAATCTACGACAGCCCTGAAACAACAATAAAAAAAAGGGCTTCCTCAGGCACATCGATTGGCAGTGAAGCTGCTGCGCCGTGATTTGCTACTGTGAAAGTATGTCCTCCTCGCGCCTGTTTCGTGCGCGGGGGGGACGTCTCGGACCAATACCGGTGCCCAACACAGCCAGGGCACCACGGAGGTTGTAAAAAAAGTACTCCCGTTGTTTCTCATTCATCTCCGCATTCGTTTCATGAACCATCTGAATCCCTTTGTCATCACTGCAGTCTCCCCGTCTTTCTTCGTACCGCAATTTTCTCTCACTCCGCTCTCACTCTCACTCTTCACCCCCTCTGGTGCTGTGCTGCGCGTTTATCTCTCTTTCCCCTGCCTCCCTTCAACTCTGCTCGGTTACCAGCTGCCTGCACCAGGTCAGACCGTACCTGCTCCCCATCCGCAAAGCCCAAGCCCGAGCACCAGCCCTACCAGCCCTCTACCTGCTGTTGGCTCTGATATTTTTGAGTTAATAACCAACTTGTGAGCAAGCAAAAAAGCATCGGCACGTTTTTCATACGTTCTTCTTGGTGTTATTCTTTTTCATCCGCTACGTTACATACTTCCCTTCCTTTCCTTGCCGGCGACGTTATAACACTCGGTTCTCGTCTTCCCGCTCTTCTTTTCTTCCCCTTCTGTTCAATGCAGACTTCCGACGAATACTCCCTGGCCAGCTCCACCTCTTCTTCAACGATCATTGCCTCTCCTCCTCCCTCGTACTCTTCCTCATACTTGCCCTCGAAACTAAAGTCGTTCTTCAAGTACGGAACCGAAGCTGCGGGTGGCGACAGTCTGCGGAAATCAACACTCGTCCGCGACAGGGACCATCACGGACATAATCACAACCATAACAATACTAACGACGACAGCAACTTCTCGGCTCCCACCTCGGCAGAATCTCAAGAGGTGAGTTCAGTCCTCTTTTCCCCCCTTGGTTCTTCCCATGACATCTTCCCATACACTTAATTCGTTATCCCCCCTGCCCTTCCCCTCTCTTGTCCACCTGGGTTTCGAAATACCTCTGCTCAATTGAGTTCGATGCCTGTGCTGGGGCCCATTAGGTGAACTGTGTACGGCGACAGACATAGTGCCTGTGGTGTATGGACATCTTTCGAAGGCAAAACGATATGTATGTGTGCATGCTATTGCTAGTGCATGTCAGTGGGCACCATCTTCACATATCCTCGAAGCAACAAATAATGGGCCGCCGTCATTAGCCAGCCTCATTACTGGCGTATGTTTCTGTGTGGAGGAAGGTGTTGTTTTGAGTCGTACGTCGAAAAAGAAAAAAAAAAGAACACTACACAGAACCACCACCCTCTCGTCATCATCTTCACCCGCTGTCATTTCATCACCTTCTTTCATCCTTCCGCTGTCAAGTTACTCCGCTACCACCTTCATTCCCACTCAGACCAAGAAGGACTGACCTTCCATCATCCCTCATACCAGTAAACTAAAACTCGTAATCTGGACCGACAGCAAAATCTGCAATTTCCCTCAACGGTCGAATGTCCTTTGTAAATGACTGAACAGCCTCTGTCTATGAGTTCTTTGAATGCTCAAATCCCTTGATTGCTTTGCTCTGATGCAAGCAAACGTAACAAGGGTTGCGCAAAAAGCTCTTATGTTTGTTACGAATCCTGATCAAGTATGCTCCCTATTCACAGCAGTTCCTTAGGCGCGTTGCCTCGACCCCCAACACCAAGGCTGCTCTTGAAGAAGCCATTAAGGACACCAACGCCAAAAACCACGACAGCAACGGGAGCCTGAACACACCGGGGCTCGCAAAGTCCAACGGCTCTATTCGCTCGGTCATGACCACTTCTTCAATGACGACTACAGCAACCGACACCACCGTCAATAGCAACGGGGCTTCCAAAATGAACGGACACCATCTCGGTATCCCAAAGAGTCCCAATGGATCAGCACTGGATCTCAGGAGAGGTGCCTTCCGTCGGACGTACTCTTCCAACTCGATAAAGAAAAAGACCGTCGAGGTCACCCCGAGCAGCTTTGTTAAGCTTCGTCTACTGGGCAAGGGCGACGTCGGCAAAGTATATCTCGTGCGTCAAAAGGACACGGACAGACTCTATGCCATGAAAGGTACTAGCTCCCTTCACGAAATTGCAATATCTTTACAAAATACGTGTTACAGCACTCGATCGCTGACGCCCTTCTACTCGATTCACCAAATAGTTCTATCCAAGAAGGAAATGATCAAGAGGAACAAGATTAAGCGAGCGTTCGCGGAGCAGGAGATCCTGGCCACGTCCAACCATCCTTTCATTGTCACATTATACCACTCTTTTCAGTCAGAGGACTACCTCTATCTCTGCATGGAATACTGCATGGGGGGCGAGTTCTTTCGAGGTAAGTTTTTTTAGCCCAATTGTCCTAATGATTTGCACAGCCGAATCGGAGCTCTATATGCAAGACTAACCCGCATTGTTGTTGTGCTTTTTCTTTCTATTCCGCGGTATAGCGCTGCAAACAAGGCCTGGGAAATATCTGCAGGAAGAAGATGCCAAGTTCTATGCGGCGGAGGTCATTGCAGCATTGGAATATCTTCATCTGATGGGGTTTATCTACCGCGATCTCAAACCCGAGAGTACGTGCTTCCGCTTGTTGTTTTTTTTGTTTTTTGTTTTTTCCCCTCTCTAGTTTGGAACTAGCTATGACACGGAATACCAAACACTGTTGCTCATCTGCAAATGTCTCGTTCGTCATTTTATGTATGTGCCGTAGATATTCTGCTGCATCAGACTGGACATATCATGCTGACTGATTTCGATCTGTCGAAGCAATCTTCGCCAGCGGGAGAACCTACGGTCGTGAAGACAGGGTCACCATCCATACCTCCAGCTATCGATACGAAGTCCTGCATCGCCAACTTGAGGACCAATAGCTTCGTTGGAACTGAGGGTATGTGTGTTTTTGTGTTAGTGGATGGAGCGGAAGCAGAAACATTGGAACCATTTTTGTAACGAGTCCTTGAAACACACGTTTTTATTCTATTTTTTTCTTTGCGCTTATAGAGTACATTGCTCCAGAAGTCATCAAAGGATGTGGACACACCTCTGCTGTGGATTGGTGGACGCTAGGCATTCTGATGTACGAGATGTTGTTTGGAGTGACCCCCTTCAAGGGCAAGGACAGGAATACGACCTTCCAGTCGATCTTGCACACGGACGTGCAATTCCCGGACCACCCAGGCGCACAACCGATCTCGTCACTGTGCAAGTCTGTGATCCGCAAATTGTTGATCAAGGATGACCAGCTCCGGCTAGGGTCGAAGGCGGGTGCGAGTGATGTGAAATCACATCCGTTCTTCAAGACGACGAACTGGGCACTGTTGAGACATTTGCCGCCGCCTATCATACCCCAGCCTTCGTTTGGCGCCGATGCGATCAATTTCCGGCAGATGCAGGAGTCTGTCAGTTTAGATATCGAGGGCGAGGAGCTGGTTCTTCAACAGCCCGGGACCAAGAACTTGTTTGCTAACTTTAGTTCTGGTAAGTGGATGTTGTGGGGTTTCATTGTGCAATTGATAGGCGGTTGGCTGGTCGAGATGTCCGCATCCAGATACTAATGGCTTCCTTGTCCATGCTCCTCTCTATAGTCACTTTGCATCATGACGGCGATGATGATATGTAACTACCTGTATTTTGAAAATAAAAAGCGAATCCAACAAATGCGTATGATCTGCCGTTCTTCAGTCCCTCCTCTTGTTTATTATGTGCTCTAGATCGAAAGACGAGAACAACATTCTTTGATATCATGGCTTGAGCGACGAGGTAGTCGATGGATGGCTCGATAATGCAGAGAACGCGGATATTGATGACCCTGCAGTTTGACCCTTGATCTTGTTGAACTTAGCTGTTGCTTCCACCGCCGCCGCCGCTACTCGCGCTCTCCTTGCTTTGGCAATCGGATCTAAATCGTCTTCGCTTGACTCATCTTCTTCCTCTTCCTCCTCCTCCTCTTCGTCTTCGTCTTCGTCGTCTTCTTCATCCTCGTCATCTTCAGACGAATGGTCTTCAGCGTCGCTGTCGGCTTCATCCTCTTTCGAGTCACTCTCAGTGGCCGGACCAAGGAAGCGATTCAAGTCTTCCTTCTCCCTGAGCTCCTCATCATCATGTGCAGCGAGCGCCTCTGCTGGAAGACCTAGCCCACTGGTGTCCATGCTTGCCCTCGCTCCACTATAGTCCATTGCTGTCGATTGTAATACGGATAGCCCACCAATAGCGCTCAATAACCCTGTACGACCAGCACGACTATTGCTATGGCCTGCTGCTTCTGCCTCTGCCTGGGCTTCTGCAATCTTCCACAGCTCCTGCTCGCGTTCCTCCTGTGTTTTCCGGAACTGTGCCATGTCCGTCTCGAACCGGTTCTGGTAGAGTCGCAGTTTCCGTTTAGCCTCTTCCTTTTGAAACTGCTCGGATCTGACAGACAATAGCTCTGCCTTATCCCACAACTCATTCCTATCGTTGACATCCAGTGCCAGTGGTTAGTCCTGCATCATCTGGCTGTGAAAGTTCCTCATGGGCTGTCGACGAGAGGCAGACGTCAAACCAAAATAAAAGGAACAAAGTGCTTCGCTCACCTTTTCATCTCCATGTATTTGTCTAATTCGGTAGTCTTGGATTTCTTCCAGTCAGCCAGCGACAGGGCGTCTGCTTCTTCTTCCAGTTTTACAATTGCGCTTTCCAATCCGGTCAGTTTTTTCTGGATGTTTTCTTTTCACAAGATCGAAAAGAATGATCGTGAGAAGGATGAAGATCATACAGATACAAATGAATCACTGCATCGACTGGACACACCCAACTTACCTGACATAGCCATCATATCGTCGAGACTCTTGTCCAAGTGCTTCAGATCCTTGGCACCCTCTGCCAACTGAACAGAGGCATTCACATGTCTCATACAGAGCTCCAGTACTTTCTCCAGGATTTCGTCCGCATTCTATGTTGGCAACAACAAGGTCCATCAATAACAGAACATGCTAGTTCTGGGCTTACAAGTTACACACAGTGATACTTATATATGATAGAGACGTACGTCTGCTTTTTCCGAGTTGTGCGTGGTATGGCTGTGGATTTCTGTCCACGAATCCTGGTATCTATTCACACAACATACAAAATTTCTTCAGTCAGCATCCGCACTTTTCACACATATACACATACACACAAAAAAAAAGGCATTCGAAGTGAAAACAATACTGCCATAGCCATACCGTTGCGCCATCTTCTCGACTTCTGGCATCCGCTTGGCTCGTTCCATCGCCTGGTCCTGCTGCTCCCGAACTTTTGCCAACAGCGCTTCGGTCTCCTTGGCAGCTTCTTTTGTCTTTGCACCCGCCTTCAGACCGCCTCCTCCATCGCTTCTCCTCAGAACCGAGTCCGCGTCACTCCCGGCTCCTTCCGAATTATCATTATCCATATTCTGACCATTCCATGTCCACACACGACTCCTGCTCGCCTGACCACCGGTGCTGTTCAAATATGGACCCTGTTGGAGCTGTTGCAGATCTCCTGTCCCTCTCCTTGACAACGACGGCATCGGTCCTGGTCCTGAGCCATTCAATCCCAATCCCTCCGCAATCTGACCTAGCTTTAAACCTGTGCCGAGATTCTTGATCGACTCCGTGACAGAATCCGTGAACGACCCTGCGACCTCTTTGATTGATCCCGGGCGTTGTTGTCCCGGTATGGAGGATAAAGAGCTACTACTGCTGTTGTTCTGGAAATGTCGTCCGGAGATGAGTGATGGTGGAAGGAAGGACCAGGATCCTGAGCGGTCTCGGCTTGTCATAACTGGCCTGCCTGTGCTCCCTCCTCCTTCTCCTCCCCTACCTACGCCTGTTCCTGGAATGAATGTTGACGTTGAGGAGGATGAAAAAAATGCGGTCGAAGGATTCGATGCGGGCCCTGATCTGCTTTGGGTGTGATCTTGCCCGTCACCGCTGCTAGTGCTAGTGCTAGTGCTGGTGCTGGTGCTGTTGGATTCTACAGGGTGTTTTGCGAGGACCGTTCGCAAGCTTTCGACGCCAGATTTGACAGCCTGTAATCTATTTGAGCTCGGACGAGGGAGGAGGGGAAATGTCAACGGGGGGAGGAGCTTTTGGTTCCTGTTTGGATTTACACACCCGGAGGCATTTCTTCGTTCTGTCGTATGGTCGGAGCTTTGCTTTTACCCTTGCTGGCTCTTGGCACGCAGTTCATCTTGTCCGAGACTAGATATATATATATAAAGATGCGTCAGAATAGCAATTGTTCATGATAGAAAGAGGAAAGAGGATAGAGAAGCGTATGAGAGTCGCATTTTTTTTTTTTTTTTTTTTTTTTGCAGAAGCTTTTGTGTGGAACACACCATGGGGGCCAGCTGCTGTTCACAGACACAAACCCCGCAGTTCATGAACGAATGCGAAGGAAGCCAAGGTGGTGCAGTAACGTACAATGCATTTCGGAGGGAGTCTGGCGCGTTGAATATGTTTTTGAACATTACGCATGCATCGAGTGGTTTGTGAGGGGGTTCAAGGAAGGAAATGGCGGTGGCAGAAACCCTTTGAAGAACGGGTTAGGTTTGGTGTGCACAGCGTGCTCAGGCTATGTGGAACAAGCCACGGGGGATGGGCCAAGTCGAAGGAATCAATCGCTTTTTTATTTTATGATTTGTGATTTATGATATAGACAAACAAAAAAACTAATGCATTGGAGATGGAATAAGGATATATGAGGCTACCTGTTCAATGGGTCTGCGCTGGTTTATACATGAACCTGTCGATCCGCTTCTTGTCGCGCCGCTGCAATCCTGGCGTTATCCTCCTCAATAAATCGCCTCTCTTCCTCTGACAGCTCAAACGGTTCCTCATCCGGCGTCTGCTGCAGGTTGGGACTTGGATAAAACACTGGCGTGTCCGACGATGATGAAGTAGCATTTGCCGAAGCGTATGCTGATGGGCTGTCGTTCAAATTCGAGCGCAATTGGCTGTAGGCCGGATCTGATCCTGACTGCTCCTGGTGTAGTGGCGAGGACTGGTAAGGCGGGCGTCGAGGCAGGTATGAGGAAACGGTTCGAATCTGTCCCTGCTTCTGCGCATTGACACCGGTTCTTGGATAAATACTGGGGGATGAGCCGCGAATGGACCCGGCTTCTTGCCTGGCCTGAGTTTCCTTGTACAAGGCGACCTTTTGGCGGTGTTCGGCCATCAGGGTATCGATGCTCTTGAGAAGACTCAAGATGACCTCAGCATGCTGTTTGCGGACAGGATCCTGTGAGCACATCGCTCTTGCCTTGGCGGCCTTGATTTGTCTCTCCATGTCGCCCTCAGTCACAGGCTTGACCGTTGCGGGTTTGGTCACGATCTTCACATTGGACTCATCCAAGTGCGTCTGGGCCAGCTGACGTGTCATCGCCTCCAATGGGTCCAACGGCTCTACAGGTGCAGTGGCTGCGGCAGCAGCAGCAACTGCTGCCTGCTTGGCACGCGCCTTCTCGACATACCCTCCGTATTTGCTTGTAGGCGTCGACGGCGTGGTCGAGGCGGCCGCAGCTTCCGATTCCTGCGATCCGCGAGTACTGTCCTCAGCAGCAGCCTGTTCCAGATCCTCGACATTCCTTTCGAGCTCTGGCAACGGCGTGTCAGGGACTGCAGGCGCCGACAGCATGAGAAGAGTTGGATCCATTCCCTCATATGGTGACCTTTGCTGCTTCTTCTTTTCGGCTGGACGCTGCAGCGTCATCATGCCGCCATCTGCTGCTTGCCTCTCCTTGGCCTTGGTCTGAGTACTCATGTCTGCATAGCTTCGCTCAGCCTTGATCTCGACCCTGGGCTCAATAATCTCCTCTTTAAGCTCAATCTTCACGTCTGGCTTAGCGCGACTATTCCTGGCATTGATCATTGACGAGATGTTGCGGTTGTCGAATGGGTTGACGGGCTGCTGGATTCCGACCCTTGTGGGCATGGATCTGACAACACCTTGCGTCGGGATGCCGACTCCCATGCCGTCCCATCCCATGCCTGTGGACCCATATGTCATTGAGGGAGCCATAGACGCGGTAGGGAGATATGGGTCGTCAGGAATGACCGTGCTGTAGATCGATTCTCCTTGTGAAGCGCCATTGAAGCCCATGTTATTGTTGACGGCGCTGTTGTTGCTGAGACTGGCAGACGCAGCATTATAGTTTGCAAGTCCATCAATACCAAATCCTGCATCCAACGCGATCGGATTCTGCTTTTGATCGTAATCTGGAAAGAGGGTATCGAACGCCTGAGGCTCAAAGACCTTTCCACTGACATCTTCAAAAAGCGTCGAGCAAAACTGGTTGAGTTGATTGAACTGACTCCAATCGTTGACATCAGGCAGGCACGAGAGAAGGCGATCAGGGGTGATCGGATTGACTTCCAGGATGGCCGAAAGCGCATTCAAGCGACCCATCATATCTAAAGCGGTCGTGTATTATGGCAATTCAAAACATGGTCAGCCTCGTTAAACATTGACACACTGGTCATTCATTCAGCACAAGATAAATTTAGAGTCATTCTATGAGACAAAAGGCGGCGTGTGCCTTTTTTTTTTTTTTTTTGGCCAACCTTACCTTCATTATATGAAGGATCCACGCGCTTCTTCTTGACCTCCATCGCAAATGAGCCCAGCGTGTCGGAGAGGACCTCGTCATAGCTCTCGCGCGAGCGCTTGGCACTCAAAGGCGATACCATGTCCTCGTAGCCGGTGGAAGCCGGTGGAAATGCGCCGTAGTACGTGCCAGAGACATCGATGTTGGGTCGCCCAAATGACTGGTTATTGGTCAAATCCATATCCAGATCCGGCAGTCCTGGCGAGCTGTAAAGATCGGAATTGGTCGAATATGAGGGTGAGGCTATTAGGAATAAGGAAATATTGTTAGAACTCCACTCCAGCGACGCATAATGCTGCGCACATTAACATTAAAAAAAAGGAGGCAGTCTGCAAAAGGGAATCATTGCATAGACAGATGTTGAGAAAGAACAGGCTACTTACCAAGACCAGGGTTGTTCCAAGACTCGGTCGAGTCGGCCATGCTTGCAGGCGACATGGGCATATTGTAAGGCGAATGGGCAGAGGAAGCCGTTGACGCGGGAATGGAAGGCGAGCGATCCAGATAGGAGGGGGGCGTGAGCGGCTGATAGCCTGGGTCGTACCCGCCCGGCTGCAATAGAGAAGAGGATGGCACGGCAGAGAGATTGCCGTTGCCATTGCTGTTGGTGGTGGTGGTGGCGCCGATAGCTTCTGTGGCTAGGTCCTGATGGGTCTTTTCGTGCTTCTTCAGATCCTGCGGTCGCTTGAAACCTTTTTTACAAACCTATTTCGCACAGCAATAAAGAAAAATGCCAAGAAACTTGGGGTCAGAAAATGACATGAGACAGACTGGGCAATTGAGTTGAGCAATTGCAGGTTCCCATGGGAAGCTGAACAAGAGGCCAAGACGATATCTCGAGAAGGATACTTTTTATTCCTTACCTCGCACTGGTATGGCTTCGAGGCCACATGGACCCGCAGATGGGATGTGATATGATCCCTCTTGGCAAAGGTCGGCACGTTGCACTTGTCCCATTTGCAGGTCAAGCACAGGTTGTGGTGTGCCTTGCGGCCGACATGGTCGTCCCTGAGATGCTCGTATAGCATCTCAGCGTCGTCAAAGTTCTTGAGGCAGGAGTCCCATTGACAGATATAGTCGTCCGAGAAGATGAAGGACTGGGGCGATGGAATGCTTTCCATTGATGATCGTTGTTCGTTGGGGAATGAGCAACAGGGGCGAGGGCGGGGAAGGAAAGGGGAGCAGGAGTGGACAGTGTGGATGAAGGGAGTCGGTGTTTATACGATATATGAATGAAGTGTGCTTTCGGGAATGAGATGAACAAGAAGGAGCAAAGGCGAGGTGAAGAAATAGACGAGCAAACTCATACAGGGCGCAGGAGGGAGACTAATAGAGATCGGTCATCCTTCTTGGCTTGACTGGAAATATGAATGCCAAGCCAATTTCTTTTGATTTCTCGGTCGCTCTCAACAATGTTGTGCCTGTTGCTGACAGGCCCGCCCCGCCCCGCCTTCCTTCCGGTGACGACAACTCGAACTCACTGGCGCTCTTTGCATACACCGTCCTCTTCGCGCCCTCGCTCTCGGCATTACTTCTTGGTCCACATTTTCGCAGTCGCGCCATCTTGGCTGTGTGTAGCTATTTTTTTTAGCGTCTGCAGACAGTCATGCAGCCCTCTTTATTCCTGCTCCTGGCCTTGTTGTCGCTAAGTTGTTCTCACGGGACTCACTATGCGTGCGTTTGTCGGCTTGCTTAAGAAAACTTGTGTGTATGTTTGCCGCCACTGGACTACTGCTGCTCCTACGAGGGATCTTGTCGACCTTCTATCAATCGACGATAATTTCCTGTGCATACTTCGTACGAGCCATTGATCTACGATGGCAATGCTTTGCGATAGAAAAGTGCTCTTTCGGTCAATTGGACTTTGCAATCCAAATAAAACAGCCATGGTCTTCGCCCTTATGTTCAACCGTGTTCTCTGTTTTCTATTTTCATCACGAAACATGGCAGGCTGGGCTGTGGCGGTGTGAACCCAATCAAAAGTACACGGAAGACAGTTGTGCCGTTGCGCTTTGTGGGCTGAAGCATGCTTAATTGGGTGGAACGTTTCAAGAGCAACTTCATGCTGCTTCTTCGCACTGCCTCGATGAATGGGCTGCATTGAAATACATTAATGCTGCGAATGGGTATGGTGGAACGCTAGTTTATTAGGTTGAAAAATGCAAGTATGGTACAGTGAAGAGGGGCAATGCTGGATGAGAAGGGTATGTGGTGTTCTTGATATGGCTGAGTGTCCTCATCGGATCAAGATACCGGAGGAGCCGCTGTGAGGACAAGCTTTGCTTGTACGAGCACACATGGGTCTACATCCTGGCCATGGACAGGGCCTGCATGTGGCTCATGCTGGCCTTCTGGAACAGCATCTCCAGGGCTTGGTCCTGCGAGAGGAGCGCATTCTTGTTGACGGCTGCGACGTCCGAGGGGTTGAGCTGGACCGAGGTACGGGGGGTCTGCGAGGGCGTGTTGGCAGCCGAGGCAGTCTTGTTCTTCTTGGAGGCCGAGATCTTGAAGAAAGTCATTTTGTTTCGTTGTTATTGGTTGAGGATTAAAGGATTGGTGGTAATGCTTTGATTTGTTGTAGAGTCGATGCGTTTATGCTGAGTGAATGAAGAAAGAGGAGGAATAGCGCAATGACCAGGTAGTATTTATACCTGCAGGACAAGGGGATCGGGTGAAGCCAAAAGAGGGGATCTGCGAGGAGAAAACTTCGCGAGCTGAGAACGAACCGCCGAGCCTGGACTTGAACCGTGCGGAGCCTAGATTGAGACGCACCCAATTCATGCTCCTGCTCCTGTACGTGACACCGTTCCTTGCCAAAAGAATAGACACGCGTTCCTCCCCTCTGCTGCTGGACCATCTCAACGCTGCAAGATGTAAATCCCTTTAGATTGTAGCGAAGGCACCGTGTCGCCATGGAGATCGTGGACAGGCCACCATCGGCTAGTTCCTTTTCAGGCGCAGCCAGTCTTCCTTTCCTTTGTTATTGTCGCGTCGTACTCTCATCTCCCAGCAAAGGACGCACTGTGCTGTCGTCGCCTTCATCAGATCCAGCACAAGGAATAGTGCTTGTCACCCTGATAGTCCCTGCACTAGATACGACGAGAAGGACCACACCGCTCGCAGGCCAGCCCACCGTACTTTCCCTCGCGTCTCTTTCTCTCACCCCTTTGCTTCCAGGCACTCAAAGCACTGTGGAAAGCTCTGGATGGTTCCTCTCAGACAATGCCAGCTTGTAGCAGATTAGCGAATTGTTACGGATGGCACGTATATGGTAAAGCTCAAGGGGAAAGCGGTGTTGGAGAGAGAGAGGTGTGTACCTTGAACAAAAACGTAATGAGGCAATTTGGTTTTGAGTGGCCTGTTTCCAGCTCCTTCCAAATTATATTTAGTCGCTGCGGTTGCCCAAAGAGCGGCCTTCGAAGCGTCGCTGGGGGGCGATCAGATCCTCATTTAGGAACCATCCCACGCTCCATTGCCAACGTTGCGCTTTAGTCGCAGTGCATTTGCTGCCCGTCACTAACAGCGGTGAATTATTTATTGTGTTTTCAGTCGGAGATCTTCTTTATCTCCCTCACTCTATTTCAGTATGCTGGCGGGGGTTGGGGAGCTCGGTCTGGGCTCCTTCTTTGTACGTATCCCCTCTTTAATTCCCATGAGCGAGTCGTGAGAGTAAACAACGCAAGCGGCTGGTCGAGCACAAACACTGGTGAGTTGTCCTCTCATACGCACATGTCCTATCTACAGGACATGGCACTCTCCGGGAATGTGGATCGATGGATGGTAAGCAAAGACTAACACTTTGGTCAAGGTGCTGCTCACAGCCCACAGCCAGGAATGAATCCGCAAGTGATAACAGCAGGATGGGCCATGGATTACACAATAGTCTTTCAACGTACACACCCCACCCCATTCAATCCCCACAGCTGCCGCCAGAAAAGGAACTTTCTACAGTCTCCACGGTCAATCGCCGCCGAGAAAGCGCACCCTAAGACCGTGCAGTCTTCATATTGGCAAATAAAAAAAACAAAGACCACAGTGGGTGGAGCAGGTCTGAGTTGCTTTCCTTACCATCATCAGGCCGAATGTTCGAGTCCAGCCAAACAGCCATACAGTTCAGGGCAGTCAGCACCCAGTGGTCAAGGGCCTGCGCGTAGAGTATGCAATGGATTCAAAGAGAGAAAGGTCCCACCGTGCCATTCAGTCAGCTAGTCAGTCAACCACTTTCTGCACTATACTTGTTCGGCCACCTCTTTTGGCAGGCCATTCATTCTCAGGCTACTCTGGGTCTCCGCAATGGTCTTTACAAAAGTCATATAAATACTGCTGATGGACCCCAGACGCGCGCTTGTTCATCACATCAGACACTTCAATACCAATCCCTCACACCAAACAGCACACGCACACGCACACGCAAACGCAAACGGACACACGCTCTCACTCTCTCTTACAAACATGCAGTTTTTCAAAAAGTCCAACAAGAACAAAACCGCCTCGGCCGCCCCTACCCCTGCTCAGACCCCCCGCGGCTCCATGGACGAGTCGCGTCCCACTGCCCCTGTACTTACGGCCAAGCAGCAGAAGCAGATCAAGGACGCCGAGATGCTCTACAGCCTAATTTCCAAGTCTGTCACTGGAGGCCAGAGCGGTCCTTACATCCTCTGAATGGGTGTATACCAACATACTGACACGACCCAGGACCAAGGCGAATCCATACTTCATACAACCCATATACCGAGCCGAGGGGCAACCCAGCCATCAGTATCACCACAAGCATCCCTGCAATCATCCACTGCACTGTAATATATTTCCTTGACAATAAATCGTCATCTCCTATTACCTTGAGATCGAAAGCAGTGATTCCTTGTACATCACGACGCGCTCTGCCATGGCGTAGTTCCATACACTTCCTACAAAAGCGACACATCTATACGCAGAAGAGTACGCTACGCGCTGTAGACATGCTGCGGGATATAACTTCTTCGTGTATACATTGCGGTTTCTAGACCATAGAAGTGGGCAGACACTAGTATTCAACCCGCAGCCGATCAAGATGGACCCGATCCAACGCATTTTACGTTGGGATGGTTCTTCTTGTGAATCGCAATGATTTTCTCGGAGTGCCTCGCAACATTATTGCCGCTTCAGTATCTCGGATGGTTCCTCTAACTCGCAGCTCTTTTCCATCCTCACCAGTACCTCTTTCAATAACTCCCAACAGCTTTAAAGTCGAACTCGCTGGCCATAATTAACTGGCCTTTGGCTTTACTTTCGCAGAGGTAGTTACCCGTCGAGGTGCCAAATGACCTTTCCACCGTTATTGGAATAGGAAATGTATTCGTCGTGTGCATAAAAGGCCAAATCAGGTTCACCAAACGCGTAAGGTAGGCTCCAGGGCGACGGAGGAATCCTCCTCGCTGACCTTTACCATAAGCGACTCTATGTTGCTGCATACCCCTTCAATAGTCTAGTAGTGACAGGCTGTCATCAGTAGAATACAAAGCAATACGTAGGCAACGAAGCGCATAGAAAGAGTGGGGTTAGCGCCAATTTCCGCGTCTACAGGCGTTCTCTACCTACACATGAAGTCTGTAGTGACATCTTACACTGCAAACGATGAGGAACCAGCGGAGAAGAATCAAAGGTGAATAAAAGGACTTTGGCTGACCCTGAAAATGCTTAATTTTGCCGCATGACATCATGTACCTGAATAATCCATTCGCGACAAATATGGACGGCATGGTTTTGATTTCCATCCATGGCAATCATTAACGGCGGTTTACTGGCTTGGTTGGCATCCTAGCCAAGCATGCCGAGCATCGTTCAGGTCGCTTTGTCGCGGTCCAGGATGAGAAGCCGCGTATAAATACACTCGAGGTGTAGCTTGTTTCCCTCCTCTCTTTATCAATCGGACAAAACGCATCCAAGCAACCAGTATTTAAGCAACCACATTACTCAAACACTCCCGCACACACACACATACACACACACACACACAAACACACATACTCCCACATACACTCGATAGCCATGGCCCTCTTCAAGTCCTCCAAGAACCAGTCCGCCTCAGCCTCGGTCTCCCCCGCTGCTACTCCTCGTTCTTCGATGCACGAGCAGCGTCCTGCCAACAAGATGACCAAGGAACAGGCACTTGAGAAGATCCTCTACAAGACCATGGGTGATGCTGCTGCCGGTCCTTTTATCCGCTAATGTAATACGACCAAGGCCATTCAAGCACTCACTCCATACCTATTGCATCCGCTATCCACTATCCACTTGTATAATACCACATTAATCCTCAATAAAAATGTCTACAAAACTATGCAACCGACTTTTACGCACTGTGCACAAAGGCTGAAGACTACGTGTTACAAAAAGGGTATCTTCCCATCCCCTCCATAGCTGTCAACCGCCTCCTCTCTTGCAGGCAGTCCAGCAGCGCCCGATCCGCTGCGTCTGGGTTGAGTACGGGGCCAGGGAAGCCCCTGTTTGCATGGTCAGCGAGTAACGCACCACACGGACAGTGGTCGGTGTCATAAATGTATCCTTATCCACCGCGTGGAGATCAGCGGTTTTAATATGTGGTGGATATCAGCGAAGATCCCTACTAGGAAATACACAGTATGCTGGAAATAAGGAATTAGGGGTATAAGAGGTTCTGTCTTCGAAAAACATATATCCCTGGAGAGCAGGCGACAAGAAGGTGTCGGGTCCCCTGCCAGCAATGCTGTTAATCTCCAGAGGGGCAGCAGTTCTCACAGGTTCAAACCCTTCAAATGCCCTTTTTGGTTTCGCACGCCTTGGGCTCCGAAACATGCGAAATGGGACCATCTGTCATGAGTTTCATGCTTCATGCTTTATTTTTTTGTTTTGTTTTCGCACGCTAAAAGCTCAGGGTCCATTGACGTCCGTGATCAGCAAGGCTAGAGTACAAGTAGTACAAGTGCACATGGGATGAACGGCACAGCACCGTGTATCTCAGCCAAGCACACGATGGTGTTTCCGAACAAACATATTGCCCTTATGCACTACCATGTACGAGGCGCAACCTGGTCGTACACGGTCCGTTTGCTCTGCTCAGGCATCGACCTTGGCTGGTACACACCCTGCCCTCAAGAATAAGAGGAGCTTTCAATGGTGTTCGCACAATGAGCAGGACACACGTGGGAATGCATTCTTTAGAGACACAATAGGTCTATTGGATAGAAAGTACACTGGAGAGAAGATCTATTGGATAGGAAATCTGAGTTTGTCGACTGCGCCTTCTGTGTTTGAGCGATGATGCTGTGGATGTGCTCGAGGTTCGAGCGATGCATGTTGCCGTTGCTAGCAGCAAGAGTATCAGCAAGAGTATCAGCAAGAGCAGCAGCAAGAGCAACAACACCAGCAGCAAGAGCAACAACGCGTACATCGAACCTGAGCACGTCCGTAACATTGTCGCTCGTGCACCTTTCGTGCATGCAGACCAAACACAGGAGGCGCAGTCGACAAACTCAGATTTCCTATCCAATAGATCTTCTCTCCAGTGTACTTTCTATCCAATAGACCTATTGTGTCTCTAAAGAATGCATTCCCACGTGTGTCCTGCTCATTGTGCGAACACCATTGAAAGCTCCTCTTATTCTTGAGGGCAGGGTGTGTACCAGCCAAGGTCGATGCCTGAGCAGAGCAAACGGACCGTGTACGACCAGGTTGCGCCTCGTACATGGTAGTGCATAAGGGCAATATGTTTGTTCGGAAACACCATCGTGTGCTTGGCTGAGATACACGGTGCTGTGCCGTTCATCCCATGTGCACTTGTACTACTTGTACTCTAGCCTTGCTGATCACGGACGTCAATGGACCCTGAGCTTTTAGCGTGCGAAAACAAAACAAAAAAATAAAGCATGAAGCATGAAACTCATGACAGATGGTCCCATTTCGCATGTTTCGGAGCCCAAGGCGTGCGAAACCAAAAAGGGCATTTGAAGGGTTTGAACCTGTGAGAACTGCTGCCCCTCTGGAGATTAACAGCATTGCTGGCAGGGGACCCGACACCTTCTTGTCGCCTGCTCTCCAGGGATATATGTTTTTCGAAGACAGAACCTCTTATACCCCTAATTCCTTATTTCCAGCATACTGTGTATTTCCTAGTAGGGATCTTCGCTGATATCCACCACATATTAAAACCGCTGATCTCCACGCGGTGGATAAGGATACATTTATGACACCGACCACTGTCCGTGTGGTGCGTTACTCGCTGACCATGCAAACAGGGGCTTCCCTGGCCCCGTACTCAACCCAGACGCAGCGGATCGGGCGCTGCTGGACTGCCTGCAAGAGAGGAGGCGGTTGACAGCTATGGAGGGGATGGGAAGATACCCTTTTTGTAACACGTAGTCTTCAGCCTTTGTGCACAGTGCGTAAAAGTCGGTTGCATAGTTTTGTAGACATTTTTATTGAGGATTAATGTGGTATTATACAAGTGGATAGTGGATAGCGGATGCAATAGGTATGGAGTGAGTGCTTGAATGGCCTTGGTCGTATTACATTAGCGGATAAAAGGACCGGCAGCAGCATCACCCATGGTCTTGTAGAGGATCTTCTCAAGTGCCTGTTCCTTGGTCATCTTGTTGGCAGGACGCTGCTCGTGCATCGAAGAACGAGGAGTAGCAGCGGGGGAGACCGAGGCTGAGGCGGACTGGTTCTTGGAGGACTTGAAGAGGGCCATGGCTATCGAGTGTATGTGGGAGTATGTGTGTTTGTGTGTGTGTGTGTGTATGTGTGTGTGTGCGGGAGTGTTTGAGTAATGTGGTTGCTTAAATACTGGTTGCTTGGATGCGTTTTGTCCGATTGATAAAGAGAGGAGGGAAACAAGCTACACCTCGAGTGTATTTATACGCGGCTTCTCATCCTGGACCGCGACAAAGCGACCTGAACGATGCTCGGCATGCTTGGCTAGGATGCCAACCAAGCCAGTAAACCGCCGTTAATGATTGCCATGGATGGAAATCAAAACCATGCCGTCCATATTTGTCGCGAATGGATTATTCAGGTACATGATGTCATGCGGCAAAATTAAGCATTTTCAAGGTCAGCCAACACTGTGCGCGTTTTTTTATTTTATTTCGTTCTCCTCCTTGGCAACGTTCTCCGTGGAAGATGACATCCGAGGTCGACTCTTCGAGGTCGACTCTTCCAGACATAACGAGGTGGTCCATGCTCCGCTTGACTCCGCAAAGAAGGTAGGAATGGCGCGCCAAGAATAGAACACTGGAAGGGGACAGCAGTATAAAAAGGATCCGTTGCCCCTCTACATTTAGTTTTTTCACTCACAGCAACAACCGCTCACAGCAACAACCACCACTCAAACCAATCGACCAACTAACCAACCAACTGCCACCCAAGTAACCAGCCGACAACCAAGTAATACCACCTACTACACACACAAACACACACGCTCGATAACTATGGCACTTTTCAAGCCCTCCAAGAACCAGTCTGCCTCGGTCATTGCCTCTCCCGCTGTTACCCCTCGCTCTTCGATGCACGAGCAGCGTCCTGCCAACAAGATGACCAAGGAACAAGCACTTGAGAAGATCCTCTACAAGACCATGGGCGATGCTGCTACCGGTCCTTTCATTCGCTAGATTGGGCATAAGCCTTCAACAAGAGATACCCTATTGGTTTAGAGCACCATCCTCCATGTATATTAGTCCCATCGCAATAAAAATCCTTTTTCTGATTAAGTATCAAAAGGCGCTTTTTTACAGATGGATGGCAGGCCGCAGTGGATCTTGTGTGTCCCCTCGCTGTATGCATGGTCCGCCACCAACTCTGCGAAAGAAATTTGGTGACTGCGAACTACGTCTTTTCAGCCAATCATCTCTTGGGAGCATGCAACGTGAACGAACGCGCCTTTGTCCTAGGACATTGACCGTTGACCAAACAATGCGAGAGGGAAGAGGAAAACACGGAATCGTGGACGGGAACAGTGAGATCAAAACATGAGCCAAGAGAAAAGGGGTAGATGGTGCAGGATGAGCGTTGAGTCTGCTACCGGCACCAGGGTATGAGGTCGACATGGGGCCAGGGTGGATCGGTAGTTCAGTAGTTCAGTACCCTGGCCCCGCTCTGGATATGGTTTCTTCGCGCCCTGAGCAGCGATTGTTGGTATGCCTTTTTGCTGTGGCAAATGCAGGGCTCGATTTGTCTGCCCATTCGGGTCCACCAGGCGCTCTTTCTGCAAGCACGTCGGGGAGTCGCAACACAAAGCTGCTCTATCCTCTTCTTCCTTTTCTTCTTCTCCTTCGATTTCCTCTCACTCTTCCGATTTTGACCCCGTCCGATCCTCGTTTGATCCTCGTTTAACATCGATTTTCTTAGCACACTTCCTCGACTCGTGTATCTTACCAAGGCACAAAGGCAATCATCGCTTTCATCTCAATGACGATCTCGATACCATCTTCGATCATACTGCACACCCTCAACTGACCAAGATTCTACTCTGGACGCGCATCTCTCGGGGCCTGCATATCCTCATTTTCCATGTGCTTAATCTAGACCTCGGCCGCTCATTAAGCATACACATTCTGCTCTTTCGCTTTATAAGTCGAGTTCACCTGGCAAGAGCAGCGACCAGGTATGGATTGTGAACACTGGCATCCACAAGGCGCGGCTTTGTGGAATGAGTGTCACTCATGTGCCATGGACTCATCACCCTCATCTACTCATTCCACTAGATTCAACACACACAGTTGCCAGAGGAAAAGGCTATTTAGTGACAAGGATTATTGGCATTCATTGAGGAGCGCTGCCTGTTTAGAAGATTGTCCCAGACCAGCAACTCGTCTGTCTCACATCAATCAGGCTGCCGTTGATCACCCAATACGGGCCCTCGAGGATCTCTCGGGTATCCACCTTAAGAAGGGCAGGACAATCAGCTGGATATTCTAGCCGATAAAGGGCTGCCACCATGACATACAACTTTGACAGCTCGTCCTTCAGCCTGGACCAAGCTGGGCTGGAACTGTCGCTCAATGATTTTGCGTTTGATGCAGCCCAAGCTAGTCAAGTCCAGCAGCGTCTTCAGCAGCAGCAGCAGCAGCAGCAACAGCAACAGCAACGGCATCTCCAGCAGCAGCAACAACAGCAGGAGCAGCAGCAACAGGAGCAGCGACAACTTCAGAGCCTCCTCCTTCGTAACGACCCTTCCCAGCAGAACCAATCTGCCTCCAGCCAACCCCAACCACAGCATACCATGGTTGAGACCCCTACGACATCTCCCCTAGATACCTATGACTTTCGCTCATCGTCCCTCAGCATCGATATGATGAGCAACATGCCGACTTCGGCCACCACCACCCCTGTTTTCCAGACGCATCCGGACATCAAGATGAACGCACTCCAGCAGCAACTGCAGCAGCAGCATCAGCAGCAGCAGTTCATTTTACAACAACAGCAGCAGCGACAACAGCAACAGCTCCACCAGCAACAACAACAGCAACTTCAGCAATTGCCCCAACAACAAGTCCAGGCACAAGCACAGGCACAGGCACAGACGCACAAGGATGGAGCAAGACAACAGCTACTCACGCCTGTCGGAAGTGAATACTACTCAACAGGTTATACCCAGTACATGTCGCCATTGGGTATCCAGCCCGAGTCCACGTCTGAAGCTACGATGGTCATGCCCGATCACTTTGAGGATGAAGAGGTAAATGGTAGTCGCGAATGATAAGCAGTACAATCATCACTCTGCGTTATCAAGGACACTTTGCGGGGTTCTAGGTATCTACGCATGCAACTAACGCCCACCGCGCTTTCATTCCTCAACTTTTGGTGTTTATGCGCTCTAGGTCTTCTTCACGCCTCTTATTTCGCCTGCCATGACTCCTTCTCATCCGTACTCAAACCTGCCCCAAGCCATGTCGGCGGCGAACGAGATCTTCTCGCCCCTTACGTCGCCAGCGCTGCAGCCGCATCGATCCTCTCAGCTGGACTACCTGACATTCTCCGGTGCGAGCCTCAATTCGTTGCCTGTGCAATTCCAGCAGGCACACCATACTCAGCAGCAACAGATCCAGCAACAACTCCAGCAGCTTCAATCACAGTCGCAATCCGATGCCCAGCAACAACAGCATGCTAAACAAGGCTCAGGCACAAAACACGCCCGCGTTGATATCGGCAGTCCCGCTGCAAATGGACAGCGTCCTCCCTTGAAACGAAGGACGACAGTCGAGCGCGCAAGCACTGGACTCGCATCAGTGATGCCGCGCCCTGGACCAGCATCGGCGGTCGCCGGTGGAGGCCCAGCTCTCGTTGCGCTGGCAAAGGGTTCGCCGGCTATCAGGCCTTCGAACAGTAATCCGTTGTCGCCGCCAACGCTGAGAAACACGAGTCGCGTTCGGTCATCGTCTTCCACCATAGCGCCTTCCTCACCCCTCGCGACGCAATACCCAATTAATGGCAACAGCATCAATATTCGCCCCACGCCCTCTCCCATTATGACATCGACGTCGCAGCCTTCAAGCAGCCAAGGCACCTTAGCACAATCTCAGCCGTCGCCGTCGCCACATCTTGTCACCAACATGACTCATCTATCGATGCTCCCAGCTTCACCGGCCATGTTTGCACTCCCAGCATCGTCTATGATGCCGCCACCACGTTCGCCCATGTTCCTGCCTTCACAGCAGACCCAGAATCTAGTCCAGACACCCAGGCAGCTGAGTATATCGCAGCAACCAGGACAGGCGCAGCGACAGCAACAACAACAACAACAACAACAACAACAACAACAACAACAACAACAACAACAGCAGCAGCAGCAGCAGCAGAAGCAGAAGCAGCGCCAACTTCCGGTTCACCAGCCGATTCAACCAAGTCAAGCACCTCCAAGCGCTGTAATTTTGAAGCCGGCAATTACCACCAACACGACAGTGGCATCTGTCCCATTGGTTCCTGCCCAAAGCAACGGGGATAGTGTCGGTCAAGGAGATGGAGCCGCGACTTCAAAAGCTGCAGTGTCCACCACAACCACACCCCCCGTGTCCAGTGCGTCAACATCAGCTTTGGAACCCGTAACACCAGCCTCGCTCATGAACCTGTCCGGGTCCGAATCAACTCCAACATCTTCACCAAAGTTCACAGCAAACACCAAGGCGCGCGCCTTGATCGCCAAGAATAACAACGTTAATAATACCAACACAGCGTCGGGGAAATCATCTGGAATACCTGGATCGAAAGCAATCTCGTCATCATCAACATCAAGTAGCTCTGGATCGAAAAGGAGCAGCGGCAAGAGGCAGTCCATTGGCAACGCCGGTGCCCTTGCCCCACGGACTCCTGGAACGCCTGCCATAATCTCGCCGATGCCACCACCGACAGCGGGGTTTGCTGCTCTGATCTCGCCGGCGCTCAAGCCAACCCTGATGCCTCAGCCGCCCCACCGAGGAAGCATCAGCGCACAGCCCATCCTGGTGTCCCCAAGAGTCCAGCCTATGTTGGTCTCACCCAGCTTGAAGCCGTGGCTGCCTGGAGGTAGGGTATTTCGATTGATTGTACACATAACTTGAAGTACATTGAGTAGATAATATATTAACAATTCAACATTTTGTTTTCGCCCATTAGTTTCTACGACGGAGGCCATGGCCCGACTAGCATCCAAGTCCAACTATCAGAATATTTTGGATGGTGACCACAAGTACGTCTCTCGCCTTTTTTTTTTTTTTTTTTTCTTTTTTTAGCCCTCGATTCTTTGCTAATATTAATGAAAATATTGAACGTGTGCCTCTTAGTGCCTTGGGTCTCTCCTACAACACGGATCTTCACTCTGGCATCGAGCTGCGCCGGACATCTCACAAGGCCGCAGAGCAAAAGCGCCGCGACTCGCTCAAACACTGCTTTGACGACCTCCGCCATATGATCCCCAATATCAACGACAAGGCTCCGTCCAAGGTCTTTCTTCTCAAAAAGTCCTTTGATTACATCTGCTCGCTCAAGTCCGATATGGCTCAAAGGGATCTGGAGAGGGTCCGATCAGAGACGCAGCAGGAGTTCTTTGTGGAGTCGCTTCAGTCTTGGCTAGCCACCTTGCCAGATTCGATCGCAAGGCCTGATCTTGATGCATGGAAATTGCCGGAACAGGTATTGGACGACAAGACAAGGACCCAGATTGAGACAGCCAGGATCGCGGCAGATATCGCAGAACAGAGCGCTGCGGCGGTCGAAGCTGCGAGACAAGGAAACCAGCAGAGCGGGAGCAAGGATGGCAAAGGCAACAGCAACAACGGCAATGGAAACAATCAAGGTGGCGGCTCTGGTAATGGTAGTGCGTCCAATGGTTCAAGTAACAACCAAGCCAACGCTCAGAATGGCACTGCTCAGGGCAGGGATGATGACGACGACGATAGTGATGATGAGGGTTCAATCTCTGCGTCTGCATCAGCCAATGCCTCAGATGCTGGTCCTTCTACAGCGTTTGCGTCCAAGGAGCACAGGCCTGGACAGTCGACCGATTTATCAAAGTGCAGCTCCAATACTACGGCCAACGGTGCTCAAATGAACAACGATAATTCAGGGGATTCCGATATGAGCTTGCGTGAAAAGGATAGATCGCAAACGAAAGCGTCGTACGGAGGTCAGACTGCGCCAAGGAATGGATCCACTGGCAGTGCTGCGAAATTTTCCACGGAAGATAAAGGTTGTAGGAGTCATAGGGCTCGTTCTCGTTCCATGAAGAGCGGTGTGGGTGAGGAGGGCGACGATGAGGAATACCAAGACGATGGCGATGGCGACGCCGATGAGGAGGAGGAGGAGGAGGAGGAGGACGAGGACGAGGACGAGGACGAGGACGAAGATGAGGAGTACGAGGACCAGGAAATGACGGATGCATCTGGTCAGCCAGCATGATTTTACACGATATTCATTTACAACAGAGCTGCATTTTTGTAACCCATTCATAGCCCGCACTCGCGGCACAGAGCATTGACATAGAAGTATTTCAAAGCTGGTGAAAAAAAGAAAAGAAAAAAAGAACACAACAACCAAGGACAACCATGATCATGTTATGAGTTGAATTTGTGTGCAAAGGCTACGTGGTACCGCTATTCTCTTCCTGTTCGGCGTCTTGTTGTTTGTCAAAGTTATATGCAACCTGCAGTCCGCATCAAGGCTCTTTTGTGTCACCCTGCGCTTGACGCCTAATCAACGCGACTTCATCGACATCGCCTCATTTCGAGCTGTGTTCTCTACTGTCTGCCCAGCCTTCTCGGATTCACCCTCGATAGTGTGCTGAACCTCACGTCGTGGGCCCTGACCCCAGATGATGCCGACCACGTAGCAGACAAAGCGGTACCCAGTGAAGACTACCAAGCCGAACAGACCCAATGCGCTGGTGATAAGGAGGACCAGTCCGAGCGCAGGCAGAAGGAATGCAGATGCGAACATGGCAAAGCCGCCCTATCGTGAGACGGGAGAATATAAACTGCACGTTAGTTGAAGGTGTAGTGGAGTTTCTCTGGATTGATTCATCACAGAGGATCACTCACTCGTCGATATTACTGATATGGGCAAGAATTGAGGTAACAAAAGAGTACAAACAAGAAGGAAAACGATGAAAATCAAAGAGACAAGGTAGAGAAGAGATCTGACATGCGACGGCAGTAGAATTCAAAAAAAAAAAAAAAAAATCAAGAGGCGACATGTTGGGAAAACAAGGAGAAATTGCTCACCTCGACGATCGTGAACGCGATACCTCCGACGATCAAACAGCCTAGGGTAACGACGCCCATGAACCCGACAAAACACGCCAACGGGATCGCGCTAAGGGCCGCAAAGGTCATGAGCACGATCTTGACCACCGTGGGCGACCGTCTGTACTTGTCCCGAATGTAGTCAACCGTCGGCATTAGGTAGCGCTGGATGGGGCCCGACTGCCTCACAGCCTGGAGCGCGTCGCGCGTCGTCTCTTGGAATTTGATCGATGTGTCCTCCAGCGCATCATGCGCGGAGGTTGCGGCCCTGGACATGGTTGAGTGTGGTCGGCGTCTTGCGTCTGTATGAAATGTGCGGTCTTGAGTAGGCGGCGGTATGGTTTCTGAGGCGTTTGCAGCGAAGATTTGTAAGGTGTAAGGAACCAACGAGAGGAGGGGAAAAAGAGAGAGGCGAAAGTAAAATCGCATTCACTCTTAACAAAAGAGGCCCTTGGACTGATATTTCCACATCATGCGCAAACACCCACAACAATAACATGATAGACAGTGATGGTAATATCAGTGGCTCCTTCACATGAAGCCTTTTGCACCTGGACAATGGCCATGCTTCCTTGCCATCCCTTGGTACAATCGTATTTAACCTGATCACTTGCACATATGACGATAGGGGAAGCGTAGGAACCTCGATCTGCATGTTAAAACTGCGATTGGTTTATTGGGTCGTTGACGAATATATCTATCGCGCCTGTTGGGCAGGTGCAATTCTCCGGTCCAGTCCGACGAACCCGCCTCGATTACCGCGTCTTGTAAATTGTTTCCAGTTCGTCTTTAGCCGGTTGGAGACCTGCTCCATCAGTAGTTGCTGTGCATCTCCAGACTGTATCGAAGTTAAAACCGATGTCATCTGCAGCATTCTTGATGCTGTGTCTGTCACCGGTATTGAGGCATCAAAGTCCATGAACAGTTTAGCAAATACGCCTATGTTAAAAAATACACATTAAGGATAATTCGGTGTTAGTGGTGAAAAAAAAAAAAAAAATTCCCATGATATCACAAGGCATCAGGAGCATTAAATGATTACCTCCAAGCCTGTCAACCATGGGCAAAATGACAAGGTCTCTGAACCCTGTCAAAGCCATGGTCCGCACGTTCTGCGGTTCAGAATCCTCATATTTCCGCTCTGCATCGGCCGCAATCGACTTCGGACTAGCGCCAACTATGCCGCTGGCGCTGTTGGACTCCATACCTCCTATGCTTATTGTGCTCATTGTGCTCAGTCCGCTGCTGCTGACACCGTTGTTGCTGAGGCTCAGTGTCAGCCCTCCAGAGATCCCGCTGCTACTGCCTCCTGTGGCCCTCCACGCTGTTTTCTCCGCATGGGCCTTCTTGAGCTGAATTTGTAGCGGAAGAAAGACCCCCTCAAAGTACGGAAGAACAGTGCCGAAGAAGAATGACCACACCTCGACCAGTCGGGAAACCAGTTTCTCGTCAGGGACATCGCCTAATTTGGCGTTCAGGGTTAGCATTCCGTTATTGAGGAGCTCGCTTATTTCGTCGCACAGCGTATGTAGACTCCTGGTCTGTAGACATTTCCTATTGACGTATTGTAGATCCTTGGTAAGTATTTTGCCGCAAGGCTTGACAGAGAGATTGAGAGCGACAAGGGATCAGCCCCACAACAGAAGCGTACCGAACAAGGTCATTCAGGTCCTCAATGGCGCCTGTCAACCCTTGTCCATTGAATAACGTCAGGACCTTGATGCATAGGGCCTGCCATACATCCTCCGTGGCATGACTCTGAGCCATTTCTCTGGCCATAACCTTGGCGTCCAGACTGGAGTGATTGTTCTTCCCCAGCGTGGGCGAGGTAGTGTGGTGGTGATGAGGAACGCCTCCAGAGACAGGACTCGTTATGTTGCTGTTGGAAGAGTAGGCTCTATCGATAGTAGAGCTAGAATGACCGCCTGGGGACAATTGCTGTTTTCGAGTGCTAATAGACGATAGCGGACCGCCACTTCCAGACTTTTTGCCTTTCCCATTGTGGGTGCTTGAGGACGACGAAGAGATATCGCCTTGGGATTTGGCATTCTTCTTCGATCCTGAATATAATTTCATGCCAGTAGGGAGTGTCTCCGTTAGGAAACTACTGGCAGACATGCCGCCAAACGAGTGCTTCTCCTTCTTTGGTTTTTGTGCCGGTGGTTGCTGAGATTGCTGCTGCGACTGCTGGTTCTCTTGTTGCTGCTGGCCGCTTGGCAAAAATTGGGATGGCAATGGGTATGACTGATGTTGTGAGGTGGGCGATGGCTGGTTGAGATGCACAGGCGACGACAGACTAGCGGGAGATGTGAGTCCTCCGGTAGTGTTGCTACCGATACTGGTCGATACCACAGGGTGGCCATATGGCCGCATCGGAGGCGAGGCCCAGTTCGAAGGTATGACTCCCACAGGTGAATCTGCACCCTGACCATCTATCGTATCATTCGGACTCGAGAGATAATTCGATCCTTGACTCTGAGGCAAAGGTGTGGTGTTTGTGTGGATGGTTGGGTGACCCCTCATGTCCGTGGTAGTTGCTGAGGATGCCACACTATCGCTCTGTAAGGTACCACTGCTGCTCTTTCCATGACTATGGAAGAAAGGTGGAGGTGGGATATAGGGGTATTGGCTATTGCTTTCACTGGGTGTCCGGCTGGTCATGGCCAAACTATGGTGGCTATTGGAGCTGTGAGTCCTGCTATGGTTCCGACCCTGAGCCCTGTTGCTAGGACTTCCTGAGTAGAGGGCATTGTCGACATTGTGGTTCCGATGGACAAGACCAAGAAACGAGTCTGAACCTGGATGCTGTTGATGTATAGGTAAAGACCCTGAGGATGAGAGCGATGAGGCCGACGTCGAGTTGAAGCTGTGGGGCGATCCCTGAGCAAGAAGGTCGCTTCCGTGGGTTACTCCCGCGGACACATCCCGAATCCCGGGAATGGAGGCCAGCGAATCGACTGAAGCTGCGACTGAACCGGGGTTGGAGAACGATCTTGTGGAGGGATGCATTGCTTGGAGAGGGTCGAGGGCGCGTGGAGAGAAAGCTCTCATGAACCATTGTGGAGCTGGTGCTTTTGCTGGGAGAAGTATGTATCACGTGCGGGATTATGGGCGCTTCTATTTTTCACAACCCTGCGCGACACTCCATCATGGACACTATATCATGGAGCATCCACCCAGACAACAGGCAAATGCACCACCGGTTCTTTATGTAATCTGGAGGTTTCAGCGCTGGACGGCACGAATGTTCAGCAGATGTTCAGTCAGGTCGAGGAAGAGATTCACAAAGTTTTTATGACAGCTTCCCCTGCTAATAGAATTACAGGGGTCAGGCCAGGTAATGCTCCTCAACAGCGCGCCGCTCCACGCAGCGCGTTAAAAATCCTAATTCTACGAAAGTTTTGGGGCACTCTTGCACCGTGTTGACGCGTCTGGCGCAGCCAATAGAAATCGATTTGCTGTCACTTTCTTGCTATGTCCCTGAGGACCAGTACCAATGACCTAAAGGGCGCCATACATATGAGAACAGGGCTGCTTGCAGACCATCTAACCGGCGCGACCCACTATTACTCTGATAAAAGTTAACAGAATCTCGCCCCGCTGCTGTGCTGTGCGAATAAGGAGGGCAATTGAGCCCACAGTTTGTGTCCACTATACTCATTGCCATGGGGGACATTACCCTCATCATCGCATTCATCCTTCTTCTCATTAGCCCTTTCCTTCATAGTCAACACTTCTTTCGCTCCTTTTTAATATGTCTGAGCACACCTCTGCCGACAAGCCTGTTCCTATGGTACTGATTGTTGGTGCCGGACTCGGTGGCCTGACCCTTGCCATGCTTCTCGAGCGCATCAACATCCCCTATCATATCTTCGAGCGCGCCACAGAGTTAAAGCCCCTCGGTATGTATACCGGCTGTTGTTGTAATAAGACCATGGTATCATGGTCCTTCAATATTCTAACATTGACATTGCATGATTCTATACGTTCTCTAGGGTGAGTACATATTAGTTCAGGAATGCTCATCAAAGAACATGACCCTTGTCAACTCTCCTGACACTCTGAATGGCTGCACCAAATATCCAGATCTGCTATGGCCCTTGCTGGAAACATCCTGCCTATATTTGAGCAACTCGGCTTGTACGAAGACCTCATGCAGATCTCTCATCCATACCCAGAGATGGACCTTTACAACGCAAATCTCAAGAAACTGGGCTCCATGTCTCTGATGGGACACAAGATTGCGTGAGTACCAGTTGCCTGCAGTGCGGCCACGTAATGTTGGGGCCATTCACCATCGCTAATGTTCCATTTCCCGGTCTGCAGTACTGGATACGATTACAGGTTACTATCCAGACCAAAGCTCTATGAGCTATTGCTCAGGCAAGTCCCGGCCGACAAGATCAGCCTTAAGAAGAGAATCCTTCGTACGGAGGAAAAAGATGACAGAGTTCACATCTATTGCGCAGATAACACTACGTACGAAGGTGATGTTCTCGTCGGTGCCGACGGAGCGTACAGTGGAGTCCGGCAAAGTCTCTACAAGCGCTTAGATGAACAGGGCATTCTTCCCAAGAAGGATTTGGAGAACTTTTCGATTGCATACTCTACAATAGTCGGCGTTGCCGAACCTAAGGATCTTGAAAAGTATTCTCAGCTGAAGGAAAAGCACTCGTTTTTCTCGCAAGCCCTTGACCAAAGCAATCGTAATGTATGCAGGAGGCGTCGACTACTGTTCTTAGTTTTTCTGTTCTATCTGCTTTTGAGATTGCATTTCGTTTATTCGTCCTATTTTTCTGTTTTTTCTTGGGTCACTCTCTTATCGAAATAGTGGTATGTGATCAATGTTCCCAACAACCAAATCTGTTGGGGTGTTGGTGTTCAGCTTACGCAGGAACAGGCTAAGGGACAACACTTTCGAAATTCAGAATGGGGCCCCGAAGCGAACGAAGCCATGATGAAAGAGTTCCAGGACCTGCCATGTCCCTGGGGAGGCAAGATGGGCGACATTTTTGATGCTACACCCAAGAATTTGATCTCAAAGGTGTATCTTGAGGAAAAGATGTTCAAGACATGGCACTACGGACGTACAGTCTTACTCGGTGACGGTAACTAACAAGCTGCATGGGAAATGGGGGGGGGGGGGGGGGGTGAATGCTCATTGGTTCCATGTCTAAACGTCTGAACTCGACTTTTACTTGCCCGTTTCTAGCCTGCCACAAGGTAATAACTCGAAAGAAACACATTGCTTTCCTTGTTGTGACATGCGGAACCGATCAATGCTTACATGTCTTTATTTTATTTTCGTTCTTTGTAGATGCTCCCTGGAGCTGGTCAAGGTTCGAGGGCATGAGACATTTGGAAAATGAGTGTCTTCTCAGTCCTTTAACAGTATTACTGAACATGCTTTTGTATCTTGCTCGCTTCACGTCTTCTAGGGGCTATCAATGCCATGCAGGATGCAATCATCATCGCCAACGGCATCTACAACATGAAGGACACAAGTCGTGGAAGTATCACAGCTCTTTTCGAGGACTACTACAGACAACGGTACCATCATGTGGAAGAGCGGTTCAAGAACAGCGCTCTCATGTCCAAGATCATGCACGGCCAGGTAAATAGGATCGAATGGGAACTATAACGAATAGAAGAAAGGCAGCGCGAAGAATACTCTGATTCTGACGTTTTTGTGTCGGTGGTCGATGGATGATCATTCATTAGGCATGGACGGAACGTCTTCTTCGCCACGTGGTCCTCAATTACCTGCCGTACTGGATGCTGAAGGAGCAATTCGCCAAAGACTTTGAATACCGCCCTCAAATCGCCTGGCTACCCCTAATCAAGAACCGTGGCACCGGAAATGTGCTTCCACAGGAGGGCAGAAGAAAGAAATTTGCAGCCGAGGCAGCAACAGTTTGAGAAGATCGTGTAGGAAGAAGATACTGCTCGACCATTGAATGTCGAGGCAGGGCAATACATCTGGACCACGGCACTTCGAATGAATCCCGTATTCGCGTTTCAGCATAAACTATAAACTTAACGACTCGTGCTGGTGTGCCGGTGTGCTAGCATGATTTAATAAAGGTTGCAGTCTGATTTTAAGCACAACTAGCTCAAACTCAGCACAACCAGCGCCATTTCACCTGCATGGTACAATACGATGCCAATACCGCTGTATACCCCTGCACGGGATCCCTCATGCGATTCTATTAGTCCGAGTCGTATTTTTTTTTTTTGAAATGCTACTAATAGTGTCTCTTTCCCGTTTCTTTTGTCCGTCAGCGCCTGCCTCTACAGCTCATCGCTGTCTTTACTCTCCCACCTTTTCGATCCTCCACACCTCACCAAGTCCTTTATAAAAAAAAAAAGCCTCGAACATGAACACTTATTACAACGATAGCAACCATGAAGATGATTTTGATAACGATCAATGGGATGAAGACTATAGCGCTGAGGAAAGTGAGATTGATAAGTCCCAGCACTTGATGACGCTAACCATCTTACTTTCCTCAGCGCTATAGTCTTCATCCCATTGATCGTTATCAAAATCATCTTCATGGTTGCTATCGTTGTAATAAGTGTTCATGTTCGAGGCTTTTTTTTTTTATAAAGGACTTGGTGAGGTGTGGAGGATCGAAAAGGTGGGAGAGTAAAGACAGCGATGAGCTGTAGAGGCAGGCGCTGACGGACAAAAGAAACGGGAAAGAGACACTATTAGTAGCATTTCAAAAAAAAAAAATACGACTCGGACTAATAGAATCGCATGAGGGATCCCGTGCAGGGGTATACAGCGGTATTGGCATCGTATTGTACCATGCAGGTGAAATGGCGCTGGTTGTGCTGAATTTGAGCTGCTGGTTGTGCTGATTCTGGGCTGGAAGTGAGCTGAAAAATGCCCAAGTAAAAAATAGTCGCTACAGTTTAAACCTTTGTATTACGATGCCAACCCTTTGACAAATATATGATACCGTTCCCTAGCACTCTTGGTTGCTCCTTTCGGCCAACCACTTCCAACCTTTTTTCATTTTTCATTTTTCATTTTTAATATACATGTTTTTTTTTTCTGTTTCGTGAGAGCGGGTGGATGTTGTCTGCTAAAGTCTTCAGCTAGAATATATTGGCTGAACTTAACAGCGCACGGCCGCGCCTGTTCTGTATCATCATGTGGAGGAGTTCTTCAAATACAGCGACGCCATGACCAAAGTTTGCTACGGCCAAGTAAGAAAAAAGTACCTCCACAAGAGGGCCGAAAGAAAGAAGACGTAGCCTAAGCTGTAATGATTTAGACGGATTATACTCAAGGCCCGAGAGAAAGAAAAAAAAAAGTAGGAAAATGAATAGCGTTATGCCTTCTAAAAACTGAATATTCGCGCAGAAGAGGCTGCCCGCGATTAATTATACTCGACGCGTCTTTAATCAAGGGACGCCCCACGTATTTTGTCCGATCGGTGGATACTTGGAATCGCAACGCGTTCACTACGCGTCCACAACGCGGTCTTTACGCGACTATGCAGTCTCAATCTCAATGGCTTTTTTTTCAAGATATTCACGTCCTATTCAATACTCTCTCCTATCCCATGGTTTATTCTAATGGCACGCTTAAGGGAATTCTGTACTAGGCTCTCTGCGAGCACAGTCCCTTATTGCTGTGCTGCTTAGCAGGTGCATAGAGAAATAAGGTACAACCCAATTTTCGCAGTACCTTTGGCTCCTCTATTCTCATGTTTCCGTATATACTCTATATACTCTATATACTCAGATGGATTGTTCCTGTGGGAATTTCTCGTAGACCACACAGATTCTCTTGTAGGCAATGACGGCACAAATAGTAACGCCCTTCGCCCTTATGGACGAAGGGTAGCTAGCATAAATACGAAAAAGGTAGTGTCTCCGATGTCTCCGAGAAAGAAAATGTACTGTTGAGAATACCTTGTGGACATTGGTTTCGCATGCAAGGAAATGGTAGGTCGCACAGGCGAGGGGGGTGAATGTGATAGCGACGCGATTGCATACCAGTTGTCGACCCAACTAGAATCGAGCAGAATTCGCACAAGGAGTACTATCAATTTTGTTGTGGTACAGTTCAATATGAGCTGTGGCACCATAGTCTAGGCGCTATGAGGTGCAGAGGAAAGTCATGAGGGGACTCAAGTTAAAGAGGGACATGAATAATGAGGGACAATATGCCAGCAGCACCAGGAGGTAGTCTACCTACCCTTTTTTCGAGCTTCCCAACGCATGAATGCTTTGAGGAAGAGCCCGGGTATTGAGCGAAACTAGGACGAGGGAGCGTCCAAAAGACGATGCCATATACTATATGCATGCAAGAAGCATGTGCATACCTTGCTATTGGTTTCGCGTCCTCGTACTGGAAAGGATATGCACTTTTTTTTCATTACTTGACCTCTGTTGAGCGCGTTTTTACGAGAAAAGAAACGTTGGACATACCTCAACTGTCTAAATCGTGAAAGGTTCGACCGAGGCCAGCCCAAAGACCAGTATAAAAGAAAGGATTCAGACCCACTTCCCAAAAAGAAAAAAAAGTAGCACCTGCTTCTTGCACTCTCATCCTCACCAAAGAACCCCCTTCCTTCCATTCTTCCGACCGATTGTAAGTCACCATCCTTTCCACTGCCATGCCCTTCCCTTTACCGTTTTGGACACTAACAATAATCTGAAAAATCCGTCAAACAGGATACATAGAAAAAAATATGTTGACCAAGAACTACCTCATCGTGGCCTTGGCTGTGCTGCTTGCCACCTCCAGCAACGCTCTCCCCACCAACGTCCAGGAAGCCGTCAAGGTCGACGGTGGCAAGGTTGATCCTCAACTATGCTATCCTCTTGGAGCCGGTCGTTGGTGCTGTGGCAACTACTGCCGCGGAGACGATTAAATGTCGTCCTGTCGATTCTATTGGAGGATACCCGGTTCCAAGGGCCAACCGTCCCCACATCGCAAAAAAGAAATAAAACGCCCTGTTTGTTGTTCAAAGTACAATTGGCCAAGGGCCTTCAGTGCCCCCTTATTGAGAGTCGTGGCAGTAGACTTTTGATACCCCAGCAGGACAGAATCGACCAGCACTATAGCTGTTTAAACGATTATGTAGAACACTTCTTTATAATACTATATGATATATGTACGTGTAAGAGGCCCTGCCTGTCTAGCAGACGACGCTAAGCGTGCGACGGCTCGTGACCAGAAACTCGAACCGATCCTGCTCTGCAGAGGCGACCTTGGCTTGGTTCTCGGCAAGGTACGCATCCAGATCTGCCTGAGATGCGATGACGTAGTGCGCGGTCAAGTAGACCTTGTCGTTGCCTTCTTCCGACAGCCAGTGAAGACCATCTGTTCATAGATGCGGGTGTGTGAACGCATTGTGTGCTGTGTTAATAAGTAATGGCTATCTTATTTTCACGACCCTTGTTCAAGGAAAGTGAGGCATGGCAACAAGCTGCCTCTTTCTTTATTTATTTTTTGGCTTACATGGTTTTGGCTGGTAGAAGACCATGGAGGAGACGAAGCCGGGGATGTTGTGTACTTGCTCCTGCTCAGCGTATCAGATCAAAGAAGCTTAAGGACATCAGATCACCGCTGAACGTTAAAAAAAAAGACGCAGTTGGGATGCGAGGATCAAGTGGCAGGTGAAGAAATTTGCGCTTATATTTGAAGAACGGATATGGCAAAACGTGTTCTTCCTTGGGATAGCTCGCTGGTACGCATAGTCGAGCGCGAGGAGTGTAGTGATGCAACTGAAGGGAGGGAATGCATTAATGATGCTCACCTTGGTGAAATCGCGAAGCCAGACGAGGTATTCCTGCTCGTTTTCTTTTGGCACAGAGAGATTGACCTCGTAGATCAAGGTGCCGGGGCTATAGCTATGAATGACAGGGCTCGATGACATGCTGTACGCTGTGTTTGTATGTGGTATAATTGGGGAAAAGGTAATAGGACGGTTGCAGGAAGGAGGAAGTAGCACCGTGCTGGTCGAAAACCAGACAACAACAATAACAACAGTAACAACATAGAAGACTTTAACAGTCCTCAATTGAACCACAGCAGCATCCCATCGCGTGCTGAGCCTAATGCCGTACCTCTCCACACTGGGATGGAAACTAACGCTGGTTATTCTGCTGATACCATCTCAGGGAACAGGGTTCAGTGTCATGGCCATAGCTGCGCACGCACCAAAAAGTATGCATGCAGAGGGATTATTCATCCAAAACTTTCTTCCGGGCTGCTATGCCTTTCGTGGAAGGGCTCAGCCGTTTATGGTGGCTCCATCTGCGTGAATTTTGTCCGCCAAAAAAAGTGGTGTAAATACGTTTATCCAAGATTAAAAAACGTGCATATAGGTTGCCACCTACGGGCACGTTTTTCAGTTGCGATATTGTGCATTGGATTGTATGTGTGAAAGGATTGCCTAAAGACGCACTTTGGCGCTTGGCACCTGACACTAGCATACAAAAAAAAAAAAAAAAAAAGTCCTAGAAGCTTATGTATGTATTGAATGTCATATTACACCATGTGCCATTAGAGAACTGATTCTTGCGCCAAGGTAATGTGGTGCCGTCATACGAGAAAAAGGAGTAAAGCGGTCGTCATTTTAAAGGGCGCTTCAGGCCGTAGCTTTCTTTGATCCCAGGGAGTAGTGAAGAGAAACCAGTATACGCATCGTCTTATGTGGAAAAAAGATGATTCTAATTCCTAGACTTTTTCTTTGTCCTTTCGTGTGCGTGTATATCCAAGAGATGAAAAGTAGAGTAATCTGAGACCTGGCCTCCTTGTCAACTACGATTGGCCATGTGAATTACCTTGACCGAATGAGCTAATAGACAGTTTGCGAAACAAATCATCCAGTATAATCAAAGTTTATCAAGTAGGGACTCGCACTTTTGGTCATTGCGAAAGTCTTACCACAAGTTCACCGCAATTTCGCAAGTTCACATTGCACCAATGGGAGCGCATTTTTTTCACATTTAAAAAAAAACACAAGCAGACGCGAACTATGCTTACACGCTTTAATTAAAGAAAGGTGGTGTGCTTGCTTTTAAACTCCATTGTTCTTCCCTCCGTCCTTACTCATTAAAGCCCACAGAGATGGAGCGCGATACAGACAGTGACGCCAGCAGCATCTACAGCAATGACACCGATATCGACGAACTCCACGCTGCATACGAGCTTAATGCCGTGGACGAAGTTCTACATGATGACGATGAATTCGATCATGTTCTATGGGATCAAGAGTTCGACGGTTTTGAGCGCAACCTTTTGGATGCTGAGCTCGAAGGCCAGATCCAGTATGAAGCTGACCTGGCCGCGAACAGAGAGGAGGGGGTGGTTATTCCTGATCGCGCTGAGTATTTCTTTGGTGTGGATGAGATTGGGGCCGAGTTGGAAGACATGCGGCTCGAGGCTGCCGACGAGATCGAGAACGAGGATCATGAACCCGAGCAGGAGCAGGGAGACTTCGAGGATGACAGGAGAGTTCAAGCTATTGTGGCAGGTATTGAGCTAGTGAGAGGGGCTGTTGAAAGGATGGATGATGAGGTTGTGCCAGATCCTGATGCTCAACAGCAGCTGCAGCGCTTCATTCCAGTATTACAACTTATTGCACAGGCGATCCAGGTGATGCATGGAAACTTTGTGCAAATACGGCCCAGGATTGAGCGACCTCGCATACCCAACATTCGTTTCGATCTCGAACAAGTCCCTAGACCAAACTGTCAGCTCTATTTCCGCTTTTACCAGGAGGACATTCTGGAGATGGTTGTTGCATTGCGAACGCCAGAGATCTTCGTCCTTGACAATGGCTCCAAAGTTCACTCTGTCGAGGCGCTTTGTATCGTGTTGCGTCGACTTGCATATCCATGCCGCCTCTTTGATCTCATGGATATCTTTGGACGATCACAATCTATGCTATCACGCATTTTCAACCACACCCTTCGGTTCCTCTATCGGCGATGGAGGCAAAGACTCTTTTGGGATCCCATCCGTCTCGGCCCCGACAAGTTGGAAGAGCTTCATTATGCTATCCGAAGGCAGAATGCACCATGCCTTTCAAGCTTTGCATTTATTGATGGTACTGTTCGTGCAGTTTGTCGTCCAATCGATGGGCAAGAGCAAATCTACAATGGCCACAAGCGCGTTCACGCCATGAAGTATCAGTCAGTTGCCACACCCGATGGTATCATTGTTCACCTGTCTGGGCCGTTTGCAGGGAACCGCCATGATTCGCGTCTTTTCGAGATGTCTGCCCTTGCTCCGATTCTTCGAGCATGTGCAAAAGGGTATGACAACCGCCAGATGAGTCTGTATGGAGATCCTGCTTATATACTGAGCGACATCATGCAGCGGCCGTTCCACACAGCAGGCATCTCTCCTGAGGAGCAGCGTTTCAATGAGTGTATGTCTAAGGTCAGAATTGGTGTTGAGTGGTGCTTTGGTTACGTTCTGCAATACTTCCCCTTCTCTGATTTCAAAAAAAATCAGAAGACACTTCTTATGGAGGTGCACACCCACTATATTTGCTCTGTCCTTTTTGCAAACATTCGCTCCTGCATCCGACAAACAAACTCATCCTCTTCCAAGTTTCGAGTCAACCCCCCCACTCTTGATGAGTATCTTCATGATTAAACAAGGCAATCAAAACGTTTATATTAAGGGATATAGTAGTGCTGTGTATTAAAAAAAAAAAAAAAAAAAAAAAAAGAGGATTGAATTTAAATCTTTTTTCGAATATCCGAAACGAGTCCGTTGATGTTTTCCATGAGTTCCAACATTCTTTTCTCAACAGTACTTGCTCGTGGAGCCTGTGATCGCGGAGCGCGTCTGTTGATAGGGTTGAAGCGAACAGATTCAGCTGTTGCCAGGCGGTTTGGATTCGAAGATGTTGCTGTGGTGGTAGATGATGAACTTGAGGAAGAAAAAGATGATGAAGTCGAAGAAGAGGGATCCATGGATGATGAGGATGCTGCCGTGGCCGATGAAGTCGTGGGCATGCTCATCTGTCGTAATGACTCCTGCCTGTTGGTATGACCATAAAACTCCTCCAAGTTTTGAGCCGAAAAATCATCCACTGTGCTTTGACTTTGTTGCTGTCTATGCCCGTCGAAGTCGTCTTCCTTCTGTACCAGTTCCAGCAAAAGCTCATCCTGCCTTGTCATAGTCTCTGTGCCGCCACTTGACCTCCGTGATGCTGCCTCTTGTTGCTTGAATTCTTTTTTAAGCGCATCATATCGCCTCATGCAAAGAAGGTAGTTAGCCTTCTTTAGGTCGCGCCCTCCTTGTGTCCTGACATATGCTGCGACCTTCTCCCAGGCCTCCTTCTTCTGACCATGTCCAACGAAAGGTGGGTGTCCCATCATGCCCTCGAGTAGAGTGATAGTGTTGGCGTGGTAGTTGTTGCTCCTTGGTGCGAAACCTTGACATACATCGCGCTTCTTTCTAACCGACTGTTCCTGACTATGCTCCATCATGGTATCCATCGAGGTGGATCCATTGCGGTTTTGGAGAGTGGACTCTCCCTCTTGCTCAGGTTCCTGGGATTGCAGTTGTGCGGGTGGTTGTTGGTGCGAGACTTGGTCAAGTGGAGGGCGAGGTAGCTGAGGCCCTTGTTGCGTGGAGAAGCGAGGAGGATGAGGTGCGAGAGGACGTTGTTGCTGCAGAGGCGCATACGGCTGATGCTGCTGTTGTTGCTGAGGGGCACTCTGTTGCGGCACATACTGCGGTTGCTGCTGCTGTGATGTAAAGGTGGACTGTGTGAAGCTCATTGACGAAGAGAAGTAATGGAGTGACAAACTCATGTTGACTTTTCTTTTCATATATCTAGACAAAGCCGCCTGGTAGCAAGCCAATCAAAACGCCGAATGAACTTTGCTTCTGACCCTCGAGTTCAGAGCTCGAACTCGAGCTTCAGAGGCATAGTTGAGTTTGAAAAAATTCACTAGCGTGAACTTTATTGAACTTCGAGCGAACTCGAGGGTCGAGTTCAGTTTCGCAAACTGTCTAATGGGTAGCAAGAGTACAGAGCGCCGGTCTCTAACTTTCATGCGAGTTTGCCCTCCATCTGTTAATTCAATTGAGAGAGAGGGATCCAAAGACTATGGTGGGCGAGTAGGGGGGAGCATCTAGGATGCTGAACTGGTGCGTTGCGATGCAAGTAAAAGCCCCTCGGAGTGCTCTTGATCTGTTGTAGAACTTGCTGCGCATACGCAGTTGCAGGAGACACGAGCATGAATGCCTACCACCCCACAGGACTATACTACGACATGCTGTAAGCAACGGATGGATGCTTAGCATCTTACACGGGTCAGATGGCCTAGGTCGTAGCGGCGTCAATTGGGTCTCACTCAGCAGTAGCGTTCCGGAGTTTTGATGAGCCACCGACGTACGACGGCGCCCCTCGCGCGATAAGTACGGTACGGCGATAATGACGATTTACTTAGGGTTCAACCACCAGTTCCCGTAAACGTATTTCCATGGCTGCTGAGAGGAAATCTTCAGCCCCTCTCCGCGACTTCCGCTGTATGATGATGACATCGGCTTTGAATGCATTTATAACTTGCGCTGGTGCCATCATATAATTGTTTGAATAGGGGAGAGGCAATTGCACAATTAGGGAAATGCTAAATTCGTAGGCAGACCGGATTATTCATCCGGCTGTGGGGGCGACTACGCCTTGCAGCCGTATTATATAAAACGCTCCACTTCCTCGCCTATTTTTTTTCCTCTTTTTTTTTTTTTTTTTTTCATCCACAACTTTTGATTCTCATTCTATAGAAACATCCAAGTCCCATTTCTCATTCTTTCTACTTCTCTTTCAATCTTTCTTCTCTACACTCAGCTGCTCAATTGACAGCACATCACCACCTCCGAAGGAACCCACAGTCACCACAGAAGCACACCCCCCTCCTCCCCTCAGTCTCCTCTCAAGCACACTCAATACCACCTCCATATATCCAACCATGGTCAAACTGCGAGTCAGCGTCGGAGGAACCTACACCGACTTGTCCATTGTGAACTGCAATGACGAGCTCCATCCCGTCGAATTCGAGGGCCCCGAATTCAAAGGACGAGCTGTAGTCCGGATTAGGGACTTTGGTAAGTCGAATGAACACAGCTCATCGCAAGCAGGGTGCAGTCTACTTGGTACAAGGGTAAACTCGAAGAGGACGAAAAAAGGGAAGAAGGGTCATTTGCACAAAAACAGGGTGTGGAGCATGGGCCAAGCTGACATTTAAAAATGGCGGGAAAAACAATCTGCCATACATATTTAGCATTACATACTTGTAGCTCAGATGGCCTAGCAATGCAGCGATGACATGAAACGCAAGAGTCTGTTTCTAATATTTTATTCTGCATTTTTGACGTCAGTTGGCATTACGAACGATGGCTCTGAACCTATCCATAACTCTGAGTATTTCAAGGGACACAATCGCAGATTTTCTATTCAGGTAGCGACCTACTCTACACAATGAATACGCAACGTAGCAGTGATTGAAATAGCCTCTGACGGGATGAATTAAGAAGCAATTTTTCCTAATGGATTCCATTCTTGTTGTTCAACTCGTTTTGTCAGGTCGAAGGACGATTCAAGCGTGAATGGGATGGAGAACAGGTCTACTTTGGAACGGACTTTGACCGAGCTGTGCAACTCCCACAGGGATTCGACACCATGTTCAAGATTGCGAAGTATATCGACCCAGTAGTCAAGACCTCGCTCTCAGAGAATGAAAAGCCCTGGATCTTGAGCCCTCTTATCTCGTCCATCAACACCATGGCGGCATGGCGCCCTCAGGATGCCAATCTTCCCTCGCCTCCTATGACACCTCAGCACGCCACAGATATCGCGCATGGCATGAGCCTGAGTGATTCAGGTCGTTCGTGGAGTTTCTTGGGTAAGCTGAAGCGTGGTCACCGCAACTCTGGCGCCAGTACCGGCAGCAACAGCTCGAGCTTATATGGCAGCCTGCCTAACTCCGCCAACAACTCTTCAGAGCATTTGGACGCGCATTTCAAAGGCGCGAATACGCATTCGCATCTTCACAGTATGATCGAGCCATCACCGCTGTCAGCTTCTCCCACATCGAGCGACTTTGCAACTGACGAGGACAAGGATGACTCGGAGATGCCTCTGGGACGCTGGCGCCAGCATATTGACGAAGATACGACGTTTTTCATGCCGGACAAGAAGAGCATGAGCACTGCACAACGTCGAAAGCAATTTCAGACAGAGGAGGCCCGGAAACAGTTTGTATTCAAGCCGGATTTGGTCCACGGATTCGAGTTCTTTGCACCGTATATGGACTTTAATACGGGCAACATCAAGATGGCGCTGTCGATGAATATCTTGAGGTACTTGAACGGCCAACCCGTTCGTTATACCTGCAGGTCGTTGGACGGCAACGTTGTCTTTTGGGCCGTTCAGTTTGAGTTCGTGGAATGATCAATTCTACTTGTTTCCCCATCCTTGCACATGTACTTTAGAAACACCATAATAAACCGAGCGAGTATTCACCACAAATGTCTACCGCAATCGGATCTATGAGGGACAAACATGACGCACTTATTCACATGGCTACAGCGTTCTTTGTTCTCCCCGTGGGGGTTTCAATCTGGGCGATGCATAAGAGGCTTTCTCAGATTGAGAGCACAAGGCATGTCTAGTGCGAACCATCGGGTCGGGTTTGAGGGTGGAGACCATTGGGATACACAATGTTCTCCCCTCTGGTTGCTGGTAACCGGGGGACCTGTGTCTTGGTACTGCTGCAACAAGGCGACGAGGACGGAGTGCCGGTTGATGTCTACGGGAATGGCTATTGGGGCGAGAAGCACAGACACGGTCGCGAACCACACTCGCACAAGGCGAGTCATACGCCGCAACTGTTTGTAAGCGGAGGAATAACACCCCCCCAATTGCGCTTTGGCTCTCACTGTCATCACTCTGTAGACTCCACGTCTACCATTCCCTCCACACCGTCGTACTCTTTCTGTCGACTCTTTTCTCTTGGCTCCACCCCTCTCTTCACTCTTTGCCACCATCACCACCACCCTTCGCCGCCGCAGCTACGCTCCCCTCGAAAACAACTCTGCCGCTTCTGTCCCTTCCTCCCGATTCGAGTCGCTTCGCTAGTTGGTCATTCATCCCATGGACATTCTCTCACGGGCACCGGTCGAGATTGCACAGCAGATTCTCAACAACCTCGACATTCATGACCTAGCAAGATGTCAACGCGTAAGGGCGACGCTCATTCCAGCCAACAAACAGCCTTACAAATCATAATTCCATAACCCAGAGTTCAGCTGCACGAATCCGTCTAACCCAACCCGTCGTTCGCTCGTTCGTTCGCTCGCTCGTTTGCTCCCTTGAAATACTTCATAGGTCTCGAGGCAATGGTACTGGATCACAGTCGACCAATCTCTCTGGAAAAACGTCTTTCTCGAGCATGAACGCGAATTCGCCATCCCAACAATCCCTTCCTCGACCTCGTCGTCTTCTTCCCTGAGATTCTTCACTCCAGCACCCACATCAACATCCTCAGCAGTATCGCCGTCACCCTCCTCAACAGCCTTCACAGCACCGTCGCTCCCAGAAGGCCAACATCTCGTACCGCAAAGGGACTGGAAACAAGAGTGCCGGACACGAATCATTTCTGACCGCAATTGGTCGAATGGACACATCCAGTCCCTCTTTACGCTCAAGGTCCATCGGGGTGGGATCGTGCGTCTGCGCATCAAGGCAGGAAAGTTATTGTCAGGGGATATGTTTGGACAAGTCGCGGTGTGGAATACGAAGACATATGAGTGTGAGGATCTAGTCGATGCGGCCGTGGGACCAATTCAATTGCTGGACTTTAGTGCCGTTGCCATGGTTATGACCGTCGTCTCCAAGTCTGGGTAAGTGATTGGGCAAAGTTGGTGCTCTCTATGAAATGGGCGTAGTGCAGGGGGGGAGGGGGGAAGGAAGGACTGGTTATTTGTGTGCTTATCTGTCTGCGCACATTATGTCATGGAATGAGTACGGTACGGCGGCTCGGTTGGCTTGGTTGCATTATGATTCAGAGGAATAACGCAGATTATGCAAAGCACGGAGCAAGCAGGACGACGAGCAAAAACTGCATACTCCCAGATAGATCGACGGAGCACAAACCTGTTTTCTGGCTGTTCCAGGTTGCATATGTAACTAACTGATACTGTCGATCCCTGTTATCCTCCATGTCATAGGATCTGTCGAATCTGGGATCTCAGGACAAAGGCGTTGATCCACAGTTCATCCGCGACCGAGGTGAGCTGCATGACTATGAGCGATGAGTACCTTGTCCTGGGCAGGAGGGATTGCCAGATCGACATCGTGGACTTTCATACAGGCAACGTCCTCAGATCGACAGAGCCACTTGCAGGAGAAACGGTAACAATTGTCATCTTTAGTGACGATTTCTATCTACAATCCAGATGCAGGGGCTAATCCAGCGTGTCTACTTTGTCTGCTCCATTTTCTTGAGCAGCTCCAAGATATCTACATCCAGAACGACACTCTAATAATTGCCACAGGACATTTCATCCGGATCCTCTCGATCGACACCCTGGCAGTCTTACTATCGAGTACATTACCAATCTCAAACAGCGCCCGCACATTCTGCTGCGTCTTCCACATCCGGTCCCTCATTCTCCTAACGGATCGACATCTTCTTCATCTGGAGTGGGAACCGCTTTATAAATCTCCTAACAAACAATTTATGATCGATACACGCCGCGAGCTCCCACCGAACCTGTTGAAAGCGCCACATATTCACAAGACGAAAGTCCCGCCAATCTCGACGATTACCTCGATCGCAATCGGGGGTAACCATCCTCATGTACTGACAACGAATGCGGATCGTCCTTCGCTGAATGGCGCGATTCGGGTGTGTCCGACAGTCTCACGATATTCAGCCGTGCGGTCTCATCAACAGCAACAGCTGCAACATGAAGAACGAGAGCAGCAGCAGCAGCAGGAGCAGAATGCGAATGCGGAAGGAAATGATGTCTATATGGATCCAGTGGGGACACCAGAGATCATTGGAGAAGGTACCAGGGTGATGACGACTGAAATGTCAGAGATTGTTTTGACGAGCCAGGTGGATGAGATTACACAGTATTTGGAGACCTGCGGACTGAAGCCGTCCTTTATGGATGTGGATGAGGATGTGATCGTGATAGGGACAAGCAAAGGCGATATTGTTGTGCTGAGCATGGCCCCTCAGGAGTAGATCAGATATGTTGTAATAAAGAAACACGTGTATTTTTACAAGATCGCTATGGTGTACCAATTAGTATTCCATGCTTTTATGATCGACTACGAGCGGATCGCCTCACTCCTGCCGCTGGCGCTGGTGTTGATGCTGGTGTTGTTGAGGATTTGGTCTTCATTGCGGATGCAGATGTCTGTTTCTGATGCTTGATTCCTGTTCCTGTGGCCTTTGCGTCTATCTCCTCTGCCTTTCGTTTGCTGTTCTTGTTGCTACTGCTGCCATCTTCCTTTGTTGCTGCCTTGGTGGCATTGCTTTCTTTTCTTTCCTGTGTTGAGGCTGGTGCTGATACTCGTGCTGATGTCGATGATGATCCAGCGATCTTTCTCTGAATTCCATATTTGTTGAGCATAAATTCAGTCCAAAGGGCCTTCTCGACGAGATGAGGAGAATCGACGATGGTGGATCCTTTTTTCTTAAGCTCTGCAGCCTTTTCAATGACTTTGGTCGCGAACTTGATGTAATATGGGATCGTGTAGGCGATGGTGCCGAGTCCGGGGACCGAGTCCATGGTTTCGTCGGCCATGAAGGGTACTTTTGCGGGGGCACCTGCACACAATATGGCTGCCGTGTTTCACAGATCGGGGAAAAAAAAAAAAAAAAAAAAAAAAAAAAAGGTAAGCGTTGTTGGGTTAGAGATACCCAAAAGCAGTATCGCGAAATAAATGCTCCTTTTCAGGCTTTCAGGCAGACAACGAACAATGGACCTGTACGTACCTGAAGCAGTGGCGGGACCGACGCCTTTGAGTTCAGCCATTTTGGTGATGGCAGTCTTCAGATCTGAGGAAAGGAGTTGGAAGGCCTCCTGACTGATACGCTTCACGTCCTTGTCTGCATTCGACGCTGCCAATTTTGCGAGGCTCGGACGAAACTTGCCTCGCTGATATGGGATCGCCACACCGTAGGAAAGACATATGTATCCGGGTGTTAATCATTACAATCATATCTCTAATTCAGCTCAGCAGACTTTTTGGAAAGCGAGAATAAGAATCGAACCTTGAGTTTCCAAGACATGAGCTGACAAAGCTCTTTGGAATCAATCCATTTGGGTTGGCGGGATACGAGGAGGGAGGGTAGAGTGGTTTGGTACCAATGGTCGAGGTCCAATAGGGAATCGTCCTTTTTGCTGGTAACGTGGAGTTGTAGAGCCTCGTCGTACTGCACAAGAACGGATTCCCAAAGGGAGATGTCTGCGGAGCTGAAGAGCATGGTGCGTTGGGATGGGGGAGATGGAAGGAATGGAAAGGATGGAAGGATGGTGGAATGAACACGCTGGCTCAAGATGAATGCGGAGGCTGTATTTTTGTGGCAGCACACACGTCGCCGGGAGAGGAAGAGCAGGGGGGACAGGGTGGACATGTTCGTGTTTGTGAGGAAGAAACACGAACACGAAACTGAAACAGGATGGATTTGACGCGTCGCGTCGCGCGTCGCGAGGAAAGGAAGGAGGAGGGGGAAGATGTCCCAGGCCAATATTGGGCGCACCTTCGCGTGCTGCTGAACGCGGGCCAGGGAGGCATCTCTATAAGTACCCCATGCGCGAGTTGATTATCTTGGTAGTGGCCATGAACCTTTTCAGAGGTTGTTTGTTCCTGTTCTTGCTCTCGGCTCTAGTTCTTTGGTTCAAAAAGAGTTGCTCTGCCACTCCATCTTGTTTTTTCTTTTTTTTTCTTTTTCCTTTGTTTCCGTCGTCAGCTAAAGAACTCATGGATACACAAAAAGATACGGGACAGAAAAGTGAAGAGAGAAGAGATGGAGCATAAAATAATAATAAAATTGTCTGGGAACAAATAAAGAAAACGCAACGGACGCGGTGCAACGGCACAATGCGATGCACATTCCCCCTCCCCCTCCCCTTCCTTCATTTCATCTTTCCCCCCCCTTTCTTTCACACACGTACCCACTGCATACTACATTCTGTTGCTGCTTACTTCTTCATCCCTACGCTCCAACCACACTCACACCTTCACGATCACTCCTGCACTTGTATCTTTCACTTCGACCATCCTCCTGCTCATACAACCGTCTATAGCAGTACCAACCGCCCAGGACTCGTTCTCTCGGAAATCAATCAAAAAAGTAAAGAACTACATCTAAATACCATTTATCTCCCTCGCTTCATTCGCACATATCATCCTTCTCCAAGGTATTCCAAGGGTGTTTCTCGCTCAAAGCAGCATTTTTTTTCTTTAATAAGTTCACTTTCGTTCTCAATCTCTCTGATCTCTCTGTCATCTGCCCATGAGTGAACATCCAACACGTACAATACGTACAACACGCGCAGAGAGCGACAGTAGGAGGATGGTGTGTGATTGAATGATGCTATCATTTCCTATTACAAAGAAAGTAAGCGAACAGAGAGAGAGGAGAGAGGAGAGGAGAGGAGAGAGGCGACTGAGGAGTGGAATGAGAGGGCTCAAATTAGTGTTCCATCTTTTTTTTTTTCATTCTTGGTCGGAGTCGGTCAAGCGGGCTGGGCGGAGTGAGCGTTGACAGGGGCCGGAGCCAGGGCCAGGGTGGGCATGGGGCGTGGCGAGGATGATATTTTTATGAATAGGATAAAGTAAAGAAAAGAGCAATTGCTTCCATCAGTTCATATCTTTTTGGGTTGGTGGTACCCATTGCTCCCGGTTCTTCTGTTTTCTTCCCAGTGGCAGGCACCAGATCAATCCTGCTCAATTCAGTTCTATTCAGTTCTATTCAGTTCAATTCCAAAGTTCAGTTCAGGTCAGTTCAGTTTGGTGGCACATGAGAGAGAGAGATAGAGATTGTATGTGTGTGCGGGATGACTTGTGTGCTTTTTCATTTCACAAGCAAGTACACTTGTGTACAAAAGCAAGGTGGGAAATGAACACACGTTTTTTGCCTATAGTGCAGCATAGCCCTAAAGTACACACTTGTTTGGATGTTTTTTGCTGGCTGTTGTAGTTGGTTGGACATGGTACCTGGAGCGGATGGTGCATGCGATACTCCAATATTTCAAAAATTAAAAATAAAAGAAATAAGAATGTTAATTGATCGAGGAGCGAGGAGCCGAGGAGCGAGTGAAAGAAAAGACCCTTTCCCTTTGTCCCCCGTCCCGATTTGGATTAGAGGTTCATAAATCGATTCGATTACAACAACGTGCTGGGGATCCGAAGGAAGCAATAATAACAGAAACAGAAGAGAGAAACAGGCGTGGAGGCAGAGGATGATCCAAAGAGGGATCAGGATTCCCACATTCGCCAACAACAACAATAACAACAGCAGCAACAACAACAACAACAACAACAACAACAACAGCAGCAACAACAATAACAGCAATTTTATTACTACTATCGCCAATCACCACTACCGCCGCTCATTGGTTTGCTTGCTGCTGGATCAACTTTTGCAATCCCCTCATGGAAGATCTCTCTTGCCACGAGGCAAAGACCGTTGGGCAGTGATTCTGATCATTTTGATCGGCTTGCGACTTGCACTTTGCTGGCGGTGTCTGTTGTTTGTGTTTATGGGCTATATGGGTGCAGTGTGGCCATATGAGGGAAGAGGTGAGGATGAGGAACAGGAAGGCACCAACATCCTCTCTCTTTTCTCTCTCTCTTTCTCTCTCTTTCTTTCTTTCTTTCTTTCTTTCTTCTCCTTCCCTCTCTTTTCCCCTTTCCCCTTTCCCCTTTCATTTCCTCCCTTCCGCTCCTCCTCGCAGTCTGATTCTTTTTTCTTTTTTTTTTTCCCCCTCTTCTTCTCATCACCATCGCCATCACCATCGCCATCGCGACCACCATTGAATCCAATTGAATCGAATCCAACTGCTGGCAGAGGATCACTTCTCACTTCTCACTCTCACGCAGACAAACCACCACTTTGCTTATTCGTTTTATTTTTATACTCGCAACATAGACTTCTCCGCTGCACTCTCTCGACCCAACTCTGCTCAACTCACGTTTTCATTCCACCTGCCAACTGTTTTCCCCTCTAGTCCCTCGTACTACATACATACACACTTCGCACACACACTCCATACACTCATTGCAACCACATTCGCACCTCACTCATCCCACTGCTTTTCTGGATTGTGTCCTGACTCTCCCTCCTTTTCTCTTTCTCTCTCGTTCTCTCGTTCTCTCTTTCTCTTTCTCTCTTTACAGCATCTCGTTCATTCTCTTAACTGGCCTTCCTCCCCCTCTCCTCCTCTTCTTCTTCCTCTTCTCTTCCTCCTCGCTATAGTCCTCCTCTGACCCTTTTCCCTCTCCCTCTCCTTCCCTCCCTCTTTTTCCTTCTCCCCCCTGCTATACAATACAAATCGGCCTGTCCACCATGGAGCCCACAGAGTACCTGGTCCTCCTCATCGGCCCTTCCTCATTCGATACCCATCATCACCTCCCCGCTCTGCCATCAAAACAGCAACAACAACAACAACAACAGCAGCAGCACCAGGAAGCATCCCATCACTCAGAGACCCTCAGCAACACCTCGTCCCACTCCATCTCCTCCTCCTCCTCCACATCCACCGCAACAACCGCGACATCCAGTGCCTCTCATGTCTCCTCTACATCCTCCTCACGCCTGTCCCCACCTAGGAAGAATCACCGCTCCTCACGGTCAAAGTCAAAGTCAACCCCATCTACCTCCCGTTCACGTTCAGAGTCTCGGTCTAGCGACGGCGCCGGCTCTCTGGCCTCAATATTACGCCTCGCCGGATTAAAAGGTAACGGAATATGACCTGGCCTCTTACAAATTGGTATTATGGCCCTATAGTTCATATGACAACAACAACAAAAAAAACATGGCGGACTTGCGTTCAGCAGTAATATGAAAAAAACGTGCAGGTGCCCTTTACTCTCGCCTTCCCTTTGTCGCATTATTTGTCCCTCTATCCTTCGTTTCTTTAGTTGTTGCTCTTGCTGCCTTTTTTTCATTCGCTATTCTTCGCGCTACTTATCCCCCTCCCCTTTCTGCAATTGGTGTATATGCGCTCCCTTTACTCTTTTTCTTTGTTGTGCCTGCTAAACTGCAGGGCACAGTGATTCGACCAGATAAGTGTGAGCAAACTGAATGGAGAATGGCACAAACTCGAGGACGACTTTCCTCTTTTGGCCTACGTTGCTCCAAAACCGCAGGAGAACGGAGACAAGGATAGAGTAAGAGCGCGCGGGAAGATTGAGAGGAGGGGATGGGGAGGACACCTGGCTGGTCCTTATTTTTATCGCTCACAACTCGGTCCTGACACTCTTTACGCCTCCTTTTTCGTTCCTTCCCCATGGATCCACTGAGGCAAAGAAAAAAAAACGAAGAGGCCGTTTCATGAGCCTTTACTAAATGGATACAGTGAGGAACAACCTAAAAAAAAAAAAAGGGTGCATGGGTATTTTCTTGTCTTGGGTTGCGTTCTGTTGTGGGAAGTGCTGGCCATGTCTGTGTGCCGAATTATGGGGTTTGATTTGTGTGTGTGGTGCTTGTCCACTAGTGTCGGATTAGCACCGCGGAATTTGGACGGTTCAGTCTGGTCAGTCTGGACTGAAGGGCCCCGTCTCTGCACTGCTTCTTGCCCCTATCTTCTCGACCTTCTGTTGATTATACATTGCACCAAAGCGCCGACGCATTGAGCTCTTGTTTGTTATTACTGATGTTGATGCTGATGTTGATGTTGTGCCTGCATCTGCTTCCTTTTTTCTCCAACTCCATTATCCACTGTGTGGTTTTTCATTCTTTTTTTTTCTTTTCATATTTTCGTTCTGTTATCGATATCCTACGCTTACCTTTCTTGGGCGCTTTGTTGTTTCTTATGCTTTCGTAAACGTGGCCAGACGTTGCGCATGTGGGCGAAAGAAGGGGCACAGGATGATTCATTTGGGGAGACACGCGCCTCCAGCACAACGGGAAGGACTCACTGACATAACCCTAATCGAACAGATCAGTGGACTGACCTTTTTTTTTTTTTTTTTTTTTTTTTTTTGAAAATAGTCTTGACTGCCGCAACGTTTGAAGCAGCCCTAACCCTTCTCGAACACCGCCCTCCAACGGAATCTCGACCATTGATACTGCTCGTGGACGTCGACACAGAGCTCGAGCTCACAGCATTCAATTCATCTGGATCTTATTCAACTCGTCTGCGTCGCCCAACATCCCAGAAGAATGTGGGCAACCATAATGGTGGACCAGTGGACTCGGGCACAAAACTGCTGCAGGCCAACGGTCAGCGCCACTCGAGGGCAACCGGCGATGGTACAACATCCAAGGGATCACAGCAGCGAGGACGTCGCGCGCACAGCAGGCAGCCCATGCAAAATGGTTTGGAGGACTCTCTGTGCGGCTTGGACTTTTTGGAGACAGTGCTGCAAGGACTCGCCAAGGGCACTCTGCGCCATGTTGTTCCCGTCGGTATGTGCTTGTGGACAAGGTATCAATTTTTCTTACTCGCTCTCAGGTTCGTATCTAATGTTTATCTTTCTCACTATTTACAGCTATCAGCTCAACTACATCTCAAGACAGGATTCTGGAGTTGTTCAACTTGGGCGTAGCAGATGTCTTACTGAAGCCAATTGAGGAGCAGGTCGCGAAAACATTGTTTTTGGTGAGTTGCGGATTCGCAAATGGCACAGACCTCTGCAGTCGCTATTCATTCGCCTACGATTTCGCCATCGGTCTGCTGGATCTAACCCGAGAACAATGTCTCTAAAAAAAAAATTCGCGCTGCGATATAGAATGCGCACCGCTATAGCAAATACAGGACCGCTGTCACGATCCCCAGATACACTACCCAGAAGAACGCGCTCGCGCTGCCCAGTCATACCCGGCTTCGAGACGTGTTTTTGAAAGATCAATGGTGATGATCGTTTTGCCTCGCTCTTTGGCCCTTTTCCAACTACCGACAGTTGTCCCATCTTTACTGACTTGTTTCATTGCTCTATGTTCTAGGCTATCCGATATATTGATCAGTCATTACTGCCCCGCTCCAAGCAAAATGTCTGTTCACGACTTTCCCTCCATGTCATCTTATGCTGCACAGGAGCGTGTTGAGCAGCTCAAGCACCGACTTCTCTCATGGGATTTCCATCCACACGATTTGTGTGAGGACGATCTGATGCGGTGCGTGGTGATTGTCATTCAGGAGGTCATGAAGCTGGAGGGCCTGGGAGACTTGAACATTCCTGAACGTAAGTGGAGGCTGCTTTCTTGAGTTATCCCGGATTGGGGTGCTTGCGGACCTTCTGAGCGGCAGCTAAGATTTCCCTTATTCTCTGGCATTATTTGCACGAAACTATCTAGACTTGCTTCATCGTTTCGTGATCGGACTGCGTGATTCGTATCATCGATCAAATCCATACCACAACTTTGCACATGCGGTCGATGTTCTCCAGGCAACATTTTATTTTCTCTGCAGGATGGGCAAGCTTCCACAGACTGGAAACGGCTACACTTCCCTGCCTCAGGCGAAGGGTCATGACAGCGACACCAACGACATGCAGCAAGAGTCAGAGGCAAACGAATCATCGGCGACTATACCCATGGATAGCAATGATGCTACTAACACTGAAGAGAGTGCTCCATCGCCACTTCGGGTCCAGGATTTCTTGCGACCTGAGGATATCTTTGCGCTTATTGTCGCCAGCATCGGTCACGATGTAGGACACCCGGGTGTGAATAACATGTTTTTGGTAAGCTCCATTTTCCACGGTTTCCACGGTCGCAGGGAATGCTTGCACTATTCTGCTGAGCAGAATAAAAGAATGTGACACTCAACTTTTTTCTCTGATTTTTATTTCGTTTTTTTTATAGGTTAATGCGCATACCCCATTGGCTCAGATCTACAATGATCGTTCTGTTCTTGAGAGTTTTCACTCAATGGCACTCTTCCAGGTCATGAAGAAGCATGGCTTTGAATGCTTTGATGTGGACTCTCAGAACCGCAAGTTCATGGGTACGTATATGCTTTGGTGGCCAAACACCGATGCCGTGCGTGTATATTTGAAGCGATGGCAATACATGTTGACTAACACGGATATCATTTGGTTTGATGTACTGGTACACAGAGTTCAGGAAGATGGTCGTAAGTACGATTCTCGCCACGGACATGGGACTTCACTTTGACTATGTTGGCAAGATCAAGGAACAGACAGAACGTCTTCGTATGCGGGGTTTGCCAGGCGGCAATGTGCCCAAGCCAAACCAGGCAAGCATTGATGAGCAGGAGCGATTAGTCCTTTGCGGCTCGCTTATCAAGTGTGCCGACATCAGCAATGCCGTAAGTTGATCTGATTGTTTTTCTGCGCAAAGCCTTATATACCTTCTTTATTTTTTCCCTCTTGTCTGGTGGACTAATAATATGTTGGTGCAATGTTCAATTTCTCACTTGAATATTATAGTCGAGACCATTCCATGTTGCGGAGCGATGGTCGACTGTGTTGTTGCAGGAGATGTGCAACCAAGCGGACATTGAGAAGGAGATGGCGGTGTGCTCTGGATCTCAGTCGGTTCCTGCTGGATCAACCAAGAGTCTAGCGAATGATCGCGGTATGCAGATTGATTCGCAGCTGGGTTTCATTCACGGCTTTGCTATGCCTTTGTTCAGCAGCGTCAGGGATATGATTCCAGGTATGATACACTGGCATATGTGGCAAGTTGATGGTGAGTTTTTTTTTAGCTGCATTCGTATGCTAATCTCTATATGGTACTTGTGTTTATTCTTTAGAAATGGGATATTGTGTCGAATACCTTCAGATCAACCACCAGATCTGGCAGGATCGCAAGACAGAGTATCTGAAGAACGGAGGCGGGGTGTTCACGATGGCTATCAACGCCTCCACTACCAACACTGTTACGACCGAGAGCAACGCTCACAGTGAAGATGAAACGGATCAGGCTCAGAAGTTGGCACTGGCTTCCTCGGGTTCAAGAAGGAACCATGGCAGAGTTAGGAGTGCAAATGGAAGGGTGACACCCAAGGATGGGGCCCAGAAATCAGGCACGAGGACTCCACAGCAGCACCGTGGATCAGAAATGGAAGAGAACCAGCAAAGCATAAGGTCGGAGGTCAATGTTTCTGTGAAGGTGCATGCAGTGAGCACGAGTACAAGGCAAGCAAATGGCGTGAATGCGAGCACGAGTGCGTCGCTGGAGATGGCAGCAAACGTGAGCTCGATTCCTCGGCCAAGAACATCAACGACGAGATCAAAGGCTGTGACAGCTGATAGTGCTGTGGGTTCAAGAAGCAGCAGTCAGGAGAGCCGGCCCAGGTCGTTAAATTATCATGGCCGTGGACAGGGTCAGGGTCAGGGTCAGGTTCAAGGTCAAGGCCAAGGTCAGCAATCCAACACGAATTCTCGTCCTCGGGAACCAAGTTCGCGGGTCCGAACGGTTACATCGACAACGGCTGGTAACACGCTATCTGTGCCGGTGTCCGGAGAAGGATTAAAGGCAGGAAGCAGGCCAGGAAGCAGGCCAGGGAGCCGACCTGGGAGCCGACCTGGAAGCAGGCACAGCAGTCGACCGGGAAGTAGGGCAGGCAGTAGACCGGTCTCACCTATGATTCAGCAAGGAGGAGGGGAAGAGAAGACGAATTCGAGGAGCCATCGATCTCCGGGAAGGCGGTCGCAGGGACCTGTGCAGGGTCATGGCCAACATCAGTCGCAGCATCAGCAACAACAGCTCCAGCAGCAGGAGAAGGAGGAAAGCATGAGGAGTGGGGTTGTTGAGGTGACGAGCATGTAGAGTCAAAGTCATGAAAGAGTAAGATTACAAAAAGAAAAAAAAAAAAACAAGCATTTGCATTAAAGAAAAGAATTGACCGATGAGTGTGCATAGCGCGAATGAAAATGTCGAGGTTGTACATATTGGATTGAATGCAGTAGGCAGGGACCTTTTTTTCGCCCCATGGACTCGATTCTGTGCGGTACATGGGGGGGGGGCACACATCGACGGGGTCGAGTATCCCATGGATAGGATACGATGCCCAGGTGGAATTTGGTAGATGATGCATTATGGATACTGACTTGATTGATGGACGTTCTTTGTCTTTGTGGGAACGAGAGAGAGAGGGTAAATTTATATATCTTTCACATGGGTGTTATTTTGTGTTCCCCCTCGCACGTATATTCGAAAGGGGAAGAAGGCGGGGAAAGGGGGGGAGGGTGTGGGGTGAAGAAAAAGAGTCATTTCTCAAGATGTCTCTCTCTCTCTCCTTTCCGTGTTACCCCCTCACTCTCCCCTCTCCTCTCCTACATTTCGCAACTATCCTCTACACCCGTTCTCTCTTTCTTTCTTTCTTTTCTTCCTTTGTTTTCCCCCATCCTCTCATCGAACCGACTGACGAACCGACTGAATTCGACTGGACGACTCTGGAACAACAAGCCAGCAAGGACTCTCTCTCTCTCGACTTTGACCTCCTCCTCTGTTCTGGACCGTTTCTTTCACACGAGCAATCAATACCTACCAACCAAACAATCAATTAACCAAACAATAACAAAAGAGAGAGAGAGAGAGAGAGAGAGAGAGAGAAAAGACAATGGCAGCTCGAGAGAAGAAATCACCATTGGTGAACTTGATCGCTGGAGGGACGGCCGGGTTCATGGAGGCCTTGATTTGTCACCCACTTGACACGATCAAAGTCCGTATGCAGCTCGCCAAGAACGTTGCCAGGAACCCAGCTGTAAGTTTTGGTGCATGTACCTATATCCCTACTTACCTGTGTGTGTGTGTGTGTGTGTGTGGAGGGAGAACGTTCGTCTGGGAGCGTTTTCGTTTCGTTTTTTTCATTTGCACTTGCGCACAGCAGACGGAGTGTGAACTTTTTATTTTTTATTTTTTATTTTTTATTCTGCAAATCGCCATGCGAAAGAGATGAGATGTCAATTCCATCCTGGGGGGGGTTTCTTTTTTCTTTTTTGGAATGAGTTGGGACAAAAAAAGTCGTTTGAAGTCCTTGACGGGTACGGTATAGCGACAAGAGCAATAGCAGCAGCGGGAGAAGGTAAAAAAAAAAAAAAAAAACTAGAGAGTCATGCTAGGCGGTTTCTTTCCCACCCTCTCCTTTATTTTCTTTTTACCCTAGTGAAGTGGATAGCATAGCAGGATCTCGTGGCCATTGCATGTGCGAATACTACGAGCAATACGAATGATAATATTTCGACGCGACTCGACTAATCGAGGACTAGAGACAGTAACAAGGACATTGACATTGACAAGGACAAGGACGAGGACAAGGACGAGGACGAGGACAAGGACATTGATGTTGACATAGACATTGTCATGGACATGGACATGGAACCCATATGAAACATTGATGGCGTACTGCATGAAGAGATGGGTAATATGACGCTGTTGGCCAGGAGGACGGAAAAAAAAAGATACCACTGTAATGCAGGGGTGTGTGTGTGGAAGAGACACTAGAGATGATCGGACAGTAACTGGAGTACATTGCGATATAACAGGATAATGGCCTCCCTTCTCCCCCCCCCTCCTCGAGATTTTGGATCTGTGCCTGTCCACAGCGCCAGTTGATGACAACCCAGAAAAAAAAAGATGTAACATTATTATCAACTATCGGATACTCAATACATACTAACGGCGATCTTTCTTTTGTTGTTGATCTTCGCTTTCTGAAAACGAACGAACATTAGGGCGCAAACTTGTCGTTTATCGGGGTCGGAATGAAGATTGTGCGGAAAGAATCTCCACTGGCGCTTTACAAGGGTCTAGGAGCGGTGACGGCGGGCATTGTCCCGAAGATGGCGATCCGATTCACGACCTTCCAGTTCTATAAGGACTGGATGGTCTCCAAGGACGGCACGCCCTGGAAGCTCAACAACCTCTGGGGTAACAACATCCAAATCGTGCCCAGCTTGGCAGTGATTGCTAACTTTTTTTCTTTTTCTTTTTCTTTTTTTTCTGTTTGAAATATCATATATACTTATATTCTTTTTTTTTTTTTTTTTTGAACGCCTGTTATTCCTCATGTAGCTGGGTTGCTGGCAGGAGTAACGGAGGCGGTACTAGTGGTGACACCGATGGACGTGGTCAAGATCCGTCTTCAGGCTCAACGCCACTCCATGGCCGACCCGCTCGACATCCCCAAGTACCGCAACGCAGCCCATTGTGCCTACACTGTCGTTCGCGAAGAAGGTTTCGCGGCCATCTACCGAGGTGTCGGTCTCACATCCCTCCGTCAGGCCTCGAACCAGGCGGCGAATTTCCCGACCTACCATTTCCTGAAGGGCTACCTTCAACGGCTCCAAAACATCCAGGACCTACCCGGTTACCAATCTGCGATCATTGGATGTATCTCGGGCGCGATGGGACCGTTGGTGAACAATCCGATTGATATTGTGAAGACTCGAATCCAGAAGACGCCGAATCCGGAGGGGTTGGGTGGGTGGGAGAGGTTTATGGATGTGAACAAGGGAATTTTGAAGAATGAGGGCTGGAGAGCTTTTTATAAGGGTGTCACACCTCGAGTGCTGAGGGTCGCACCAGGGCAGGCGGTGACATTTGCAGTGTATGAGCGGGTGTCGAGGTGGTTGGATAAGAACTCGGATACGTTCAAGCTCTCGGCGGCTAATGTTAAGTAAGGAAGGCTGAAGTGGGAGGGAGGTCGAGGAGGATGTAGTTATTTTGAACTGCGAACAATAAAGAAAACATCAGTAAGAAAAAAAAAAAAAAAAACGCGCATGCTGATGAAAACGTTGGGTGGCGGTAGGAGACGCATGGCAACCGTCGTTAGATCTACGAGGTTATGGTTGTAGAGCGATGGACGCGTAGCTGTTATGAGTAGGATGACCATGCACGCGTCTTGTCCCACCAACTGACTGACGCGCTTGGGAGAAAAATAGTCATTTATTTTATTTTTTTCTGCGAGGCGAAGAAGATGAGAGAAGCGAACCCTATTGCCCAAATGCATAAATTATTCAGAAACCCCCATCTTCTTTTTCCCTTTTTTTTTTTTTTTCCTTTCTTTCTTTTTCCTTTTTCTTCCTCTCCACCTTCTCTCCACCTCCTCTGCTTCACACGTTCCAATCACCACAACAGCCGATACAAAAGATGTCTTTGACTGCCGCATGCTGCAACACCCCCCCAACGGAGGCTCACTGGCACAACAAGGGCAAGCAGGTGGAGCTGACGAAGGAAATCGCAGGCGACAAACGAACGACCTATCGCACCGGACCCACGGAATCGAAGCGCGGTTTGATCGCCATCTATGATATCTTTGGCTACCACCCTACCACCTACCAGTTCTTTGACGTACGTTTGTCTTGTTCTTTCTGAGGGACAGTGGAAATTGTATCGATGGATGTCTTCTCGAAAAAAAAAAAAAAAAAGGAGGGGCGGGCGGACAAGTCCAGCATAGAACTTCAATGGATCTGTGGACCCGGTTCGCTTTTGCTCACAGCCCATTACAATTTTTTTTTCCCTATGTTTCTATGCCATTCCAAAACCCCTCCCCCCCTCCTCCTTCTACCTTGCTCATTATCCACACTATCTAGCGCATCGCCGAGTCCCACGGCGGCTTCCAACTCTCGGCTCCCGATTTCTTCAAGAACGGTGGTATCCCACCCGAGGCCATGGGTCCTAACGTCATGGACTGGATCCACGCCAACGGCGATTACCAGAAGAACCATATCGGCGAGATTATCCGGGCGGCCATTGAGGATCTGCACAAGGACGGATGCACGTCCGTTTCGATCTTTGGACAGTGCTGGGGCGCGTTGATGAGCGTCAAGGCCGCTTCGGAAGAAGGCTCGACGTTCTTGGCGGCGGGTGGACCCCATCCTTCGTTCTTTTCTGTGGAGACGACCAAGGATTCAAAGGCGCCTTTGATTGTTCTCGCGTCGAAGGATGAGGCCGACATGGTAAGTTGTTTCCGACCAAAAAAAAAAAAAAAAGCCGACGAAGAAGGATGGAGCGGGGCTAAATGTTATTGGAAAACCGGATGAATGGGTGTGAACGAAAACCTTTCCTTTTGGGTTGGGGGAAGCGAGATTTGTCATACTCTGACGTGACGAAAATTCCGGACCCTTGGACTTAACCGGAAAAAAAAATTACATCGTTTTGTGAATGAATTTTAGCTGCCTTTGATCGAGGTCAACAAGCAGAAGGGCTTCCCTATCGAGCCCTTCCACAAGCGTTTCGATAACATGCACCACGGCTGGACCGGAGGTATTCATTCACACGCGTCGATCAGCCAACGACAAATGCCAGCACTTTTTTTTTTAATTCATTTTTTTTTTTCCTAAAAGAAATGAAGGTCTGGTTCTAACGCAACCGAGGGGGGTTTTTTTTTTTTTCGTGAAACATTTAGGACGTGGCGACTGGACCCAGCCGGACCAGTTCAAGGCTGGATTGGAGGCCGCGGACCTCTTGGGTTCGTTCTTTGAAAAGGCAGCCGTTGCCCACGAGAGCAGCAAGCTGTAAGAAGATCGGCAGCTCATCATATAGCAACAAAATGCTTAAAATAAAATATATGTATATATAAAAAAAAAGGCAGAATGCTCTCATTGGAGTCCTACAACCCACAGTTGAACTGTTAGTAATGTGTAATACGAGAGCAACGAAACGGCATATCTCCTTCATCTCACTATAATCCTCCCTCCCCTCTTCACTTTGGGAGCCTCCCCGCGGCATCGTCCTTGGATGTCAAGAGCTTGGAGATAACTCCAGCGCTTGCTAACTGGCGGTGATAGTAGTCATGGCGGCGCTAGGATGAGGGGGGGGGGGGGGGGGGGGGGGGCAGCTTAGAAAAAAAAAGCGCGAGCTAGGCGTGCTAAGCGTGCTGGACCTGTCGAGCCTGGGCCTGCAGGACATTCTGAGCCTTCATATACTATCCGGGGTCAGGGATAAAAGTCAGGCTTTGCATTGTAGCATGGTTCTGTTGGGAAAGTCGGGGGATGCGTAGGAGAAGAATTGATAAAATCAAAGGTGTGCTTTGGTGAAATGAAGGTGGATTGCAAGGTAAGAGAGTTGCCAAAAGGTGCGGATTGTATAGGCATCAACGCATGCATGCACTGCCTACAAAGAACGTGAAACCTTTTTGACGGATAGCCTGAGGGCTGTTAGATCGCGTCAAATCTTTTTATTCATGCGCACACAATCAGTTTGACGCGTCTTCTGTCTCCGTCGCATTACCTTTTGAATATGTTGGTCGATTCTCTCCTCGCGTCGCTCCCTCTTCCTACGTCAGTCGCGGTCTAAAAAACGGAATAATGAACGAGTACATGACAAACAGAGGGTTGGCCGTGCCTTGGTAACGTTTGAGGGTCATTTGAAATTGATAACCGGCAATAGCAAATTCTGAAAACGCGCTTTAGGAAGAAACGCTCAAGGCTGGTATAAGTAAATCGGTGCCTGCAAAGTCGATGCCATGCACCGTTTTGTAGAAAGTCGTGTCTAGGCTGAGATCTTGAGATGACGAAATTTTGGATAAGGATAAGGATGAGGAAATGGTTTTTTTGAGAAAAACGCTCGTGGCTAGTGTAAGCAAACTGGTGCTTGAGAAGACAACGGCGTGCTCCGATATGCGATGAAGATCCATCAAAACAAACGACAGAAACGCGCTGTAAAACCCTGCCATCTGAACTCAAGGGAATCTTCATTGACATTGTAGTGCCGGGGAGATAGCATTCGTATTGGGGGAGTTTTTTTTTTTTGTCCTGTACAATCTAACTATCGTTGGTGGGTCTATACATTTTTTTGCACTGGGTTTATTATTATTCAAGAGGACCAAGGATGTCTGCAGGGGGGATTATGCAAGATAGTCGGGGGAGACCACGACCATGCCTCATGTTGCAAAACGCTGTGGTGTGGTGTGGTGTACATTGAGTTCTTTGAAGATCGATCGGGAAATGAGAAATTTCGGTAAAATAGGCTGCTAGGATGTGCTTGGCCCATGCAGGGCACGGATTATTCTTTCTTGAAACTCTCGAAAGAGAGAGAGAGAGAGATAATGCTATGAAATGATGTTTTGGGGGGAAGTGATACGAGACTGTCGCGGAATGCACTAGGTTTTTCTTTTGGCATAGACATTCCCGAGGATGAGAAGGAAGAGAAAGAGCGGGAATATGATGCAAAGTGGGATATCTATACGGAAAGGAAAGGGAAGGAGTATGGAATGAGATGGAGGATGAGATCGGTCGGAGCGTGTAGATGCGTGTGAGGATTGCGCGTGTTGTCCTGCCTCCAGACTGGGGGCTGCCCGTTTCCAGATTGAGGGCTGTCCGTCCCCAGGAAACGGCGGCCATGTCTGTGCGCGTTGTTCCAGGACGGGTTTCGAACGCTGCGCTGTGCTGTGCTGTGCTGTGCTGTGGATGGTTGGGCCACAATGGCACAGGCCAGCGGTGGGATGTGCCTGTGACGACGGGCGTTTCCCGCGCGAGGAAAAAAGGAAAAAAGGAAATAAGGAAAAAAAGACGAGGAGGAGGGCGGAATATGGCCGCAGAGTGACATGACGACTTTTGACTCTCAGCCAATGACGGAGACGATGTAATTTCTTGTGTACTTGTGTACTTGAGTATTTTTACCTCCACATAGACTACATCAGCATACGCTATTACTTCAGCCCTCCTCACTCCTCCTCTCTCACACCTCTCACCACTGCATCCTTCTTTTCATCGCACTGCTCGCACTGCCCCCATCGCCTCACTCCACCCCCTCTCCCTCGCATCCACCATCCCCATCCACTCCCACATCCACTCCTTCCTCTCCTTCCCTCGTCCTCATCCACTCTGATCGACATCCCACCTTGAAATCAAAGCACTTTGCAGGATGGATCGCAACACGGTCCACTTGTACGAGGCCCTGGGTGTGCCAAAAACCGCTACCCAGGACGAAATTAAAAAGGCATACAGGTACACACATCGTCATCCTACACCGACTCCTACACCTATGCCTGAAGCCAGAAACACACGGACTCAGCCGATTCCATGCAGCGCCTCAGGGACAACACACTATCCATAAAACATCAGCACCAAGAAGGAGGGGTGCCACCAGCACTGGCCAGTCAAGGCAGGAACCTACCGAACAGAACCGGATTCGACCCTGTCCCTTCCCGGGGATGGAGGGGAGGGGAGGGACGGGGTGGACAATTACACGACCACTACGCCTTGTCTTTAAAAAGAAAGCAGCAAAGAAGACTGCAAGCGAAGCAAGTGAGCAATTGATTGTAACCCAACTTCCTCACCATTCTTTCTGCGACTCTGAATATATTCACTTAGGCGGCTCGCCTTGCGATACCATCCCGATAAAGTCAACGCAGCCGAAGTCCCTGACCATGAACAAAGGGTACATCACACTTGCATATCAGAAAGAACGAGACAGATGACACATGGGTGGGCTGTCATGGGACACGAGGCCGAGTATCTAATCGTCCATTTTTTTTTCTTTTTTTCACTCCTTGTTTTCTTGACGGGATGTTAGTTCCGAGAGATTGCTGCCGCATATGAAGTCCTCGGTATGTTCAACCTTCAGGGGGTTTCGCCTGCTTGCTTTTTTTTTTTGCTCGGTTTATTCGTTGACACGCGGAAAGGAGGACAAAAAAAAAGCGTTGAACAAAAAAGAAAAAGATACACGGCATGGCATGGAATGGCTCACTTTGAGCAAACCGTTGTTATTATTGTTTGTTTGTGCCAGTGAGCAAAAAAAAAAAAAAAAACGCTTGTTTGCTCGTCTACTTCTCTCATTAGATTAATTGCGGATGTTATTGCGGAATCTAATTATCATGCAATGCAACCTTTATCATCAAAAAAAAAAAAAAAAAAAAAATAGCTGACCCAAAAAAACGACAGGTCTATGACAAGTACGGCATGATGGGCGTTCAAATGGCTGGCACGGAGATTGGAGCACAATTGATGGAGATCGAAAGTCTTCTCTGCTCCCTCTTCCTCGCCCTCTCCGTCCTCTTGACCCTCGCCATCATCTTCTTCAGCTTCCTCTCCGTCCGCGTCGATGGCAAGGTCAACTGGAACTACTACGTCGTCTTCATCCCACTCTGGATTCTGGATCTGATCTTGGCCGCGATCACCATCAGCCGTGGTCTTCAGCCAGAGGATCCGGAACAGGAGGATGACCACGAACACGAGGATGGCGACGCCACACCAATGGCACAGGAGGAGCGCAGGGCAAAGAAGTTGCAGGAAAAGAAGCGCCAGCGGATTTTTGGGACGACGTTCGCACTGTTGATCATCCTCTTGTTGACGGCGTTCCAGGTGTTGATTGTCAAGAAGGCGAACGACCCGAGCAGTATCTCTGGACCGGCAGTCTTTGCACCCTATTTCGTCTTCGAGGGCATCTTTTTCTTGTTCGCGATCATTCGGCTGGCTCTGACGATGAAGGTGCTAGCGGATGCAGAAATCTCGGCGGCAAAGAAGGCGAAGATCGTCTTTGAGGCTCTCTGGTGGAAGATTACGCGTCTGGCACTGGCGATTTTGATCATGCTCCGGATTGACGACAGGATCACATGCTCGTGGGGGATCGTGTTTATTCCGCTGTACTTGGTCGGCGTGAAGTACTTTTTCCAGCTCCTCTTTGGATACAGAGAGTTTTCGCAGATGCAGAACATGGAGATGAAACAGCAGGGACAGTCGCTCACGATCGCCGGAGGAGTTGTGTTCTTGATTGTTGGATCGCTGTCGTATGCTTTGATCGGATTGTTGGCGGCGAGACTGGATGGGTACAGTTATTCGGTCGCACGGGTGCTGATCCCGGTGTTCATCGTGCTTTCGATCCTGTTGTGCTGTTCGGGATGCTGTCTGCCCTGCATGCTGCTTGCGAGCGGTGTGGGTGATGACGATATGGTCGATCGCGAGGGAGCACAGGTTCGGTTGGTGTCGCCTAATATGAGGATCGAGAACGGTAGTGCTACCTCGGTTAGTCCTCCTTCGTCGAGGAGATTTGGACGTCGATCGAATAACATCAGTGCTCAGACGTGAGAACAAAATATCCAATCAGTCTCCACTCCCAAACCTCACTCCCATTTCGACCTTTACTTTCACTCCACATCCCCTCAGCACTTTGATGGTTTAAAAAAAAGAAAGAAAAGAAAAAGAAAAAAAGAAAAACATATATAATTATACTCGCAATAAAATTTAATGTTATGTCAAAATGTATTAAATATTTTACAATAATAGCCCTAAAAAAACCAGTTCACATCTTCTTTGCTTTGCTGGACTTAGCCTTGCGCTTCCCAGAGTTTGGTCCGCTAGCTGCACTGGTCTCCTCGGCCACGACCCAATTGGATTTGACCCATGAAAAGATCTTTCGAGGATTCCCCTTGAACTTTTGAAAGAGTCCTTCCAGTACGGGTTCTTGCTCCTTTGTGATTTTGAAATCCGTCAACCCCATTCCTGCATCTAAAGTCGACAGGGAAACGATCATGCCAGCCTTGATCTCGTCCAGAGACCACTTTGGGATCTGGAACTGGATCGGCGTGACCAACTTGTTCTTCTTGGTGACAGTCTCAGAGTCCTTGGCGGATTGTGTAGTCGCGGAGGTGATGAGGACATTGCATCGGGTGCCCTTGATCGGTAGGAAGCCATCGTCGCAGACCCACCACAGAGGCTTTGTAGTACCTTCCGAAGACGACGGTGTCGAGATGGCTTTTGAGATGATGGAGTGTTTCTCCAGGTGAGGCGAGTAAGACGAATAGTACTCCCTGTTGATAAAGGCGTTCGTGAACATGGGGTCGCTGATGACGACGTCGTGTCCGGTTTGGAAGAGCTTATGGACAAGATAGTAGGCTAGACAGGATTTACCCATCCCTGGAGATGCGGTGGCCATGAAGATGGATTGGGATTGGCAAGGTTGTTGTTCAAGTGCAGAGAGGACGACAGCATATCCGGGGCGGATCAGGAGCCTTGGGCCGAGGGATTCGTGATCGTCACCCCAGGAGCGTTCCGGAGGGAGGGTGAGGACTTGGAACGATGGTGCTGAGGTCTGCTGAGAGCGTTCCTGACCCTGATCATGGTCAGACGGCGAGGTCGTTGTTGGTGGGGCGGTGGTGGTGGGCTCGAGGGTGAGAGTGTCCTGGGTGACGGTGTTGTGGAGGATCGCGTGGAAGTACGAGTCCTCATAGAGATCGTCTAGGTTCGTGGAGTCTACCGTGGGAAATAAGAGCGAACGCGCGCGTTTACTTGGTTAACTTCTGTGCAATAATCAGTCGCCCCATTGCAAAAAAAAAGGTGTATCCGATATATACCTTCTTCGCCTCCTCCGATGGAGAGGCCGCCCTCGGCGTCCAGCGCGGCAAGGAGGTCCTGCAGCTCCTTCATGCTCGGCATCTTTTCCTTCTTTGGGGGCGCCATTCTTTCTGGTCGTGCGATGAACGTCGTGGGATGAGCTGGTTGAGGTCTGATGAGGGGAATGGGATCTGATCTTGGGATCGTCGCCAGGGTTTCTCAGAAAAAAAAAATTAAAAGTTGCCGCGGTCACGACTTTTATTTCGTCTACGGCATAGGAGGTCGTGGTGCTGGGCTCCTTCTTGTACTAACCGCTCCGCTGCTCTAAACGGCTGCGATCGATGGTTCTTCTAATTATAAAAAGAACTCATCTGGCGGCCCTGGGGCCACTTCTCCATTATCATCATCTGCCGCTTCTCTCTCTCTTACGCAACCATGCTCTCTCAAAGCGACCTGCAAAGCTATCTCAAACGCGTCGGCTTGGCTACTACTGGCCCCGTACAGGCCCCAGGGCTCCAACCCCAAGGACCCACCCTCAACCTGTTGCGGCAAATCCAAAAGCACCAGCTCCTCTCCATTCCCTACGAGAACCTCTCCCTGCACTGGCGCCCCGTGCACACCACAGACACCACAATTCCCGGGCCCTCATTCGTATCACCACCTTTCGATCTCTCGAACGAATCCCTAGTCCAGAAATTGATCCTCCATTGCCGGGGTGGCTATTGTCTCGAACTCAATTGTCTTCTAGGCGCAGCACTCCAAGCGCTTGGGTTCTCAGTTGTGAGGGTCACTGCGAGGATCGTATGCGGATTCGAAGTCTTGTCTGAACGACTCGCGAGCGAGCGTGCCGGAGCCTTGACCGAGGATCAAATCCGAGAGACCGAGACGTTTTCGAGTGATGAGTCCGGGTGGGAGACACATCAGATGCTGTTGGTCAGTCTTCTACCAACTAATGGCAGCGACCGGGAGGAATACCTCGTAGACGTGGGCCTTGCCAAGTACTCGATTCTCGAGCCGATCGCCTTATCGTCATCGTTTTCTTTGGTTGGTACGGAATACCAAGGTGTGATGGGCAAACGCTTCCGTATTTCCCCTGCCGGCGGTAGTGGTGATCGCTGGAATCTCTCTGTTCGCTTCCCTGGATCACGAATCTGGTTCCCGTACTATACCTTCGCCGCAAAGGCTGCGGACCCTGCACAGATCGCGAATATTCATTATTACATGTCCATGTCGCCGTCTTCGACCAGCCCTCCAGAACCGTTTGCGACGATGCCTCGGAACGATGGGGCTGGGCAGGTGACGCTGCAAGGATTGACGTTGACGATGGAGGAGCGTGAGCAAGGGTCGGAGAAGGAGAGGTTGGTGGAGGTGATGCAGCTTGAGGATGAGGAGGAACAGAGAGAGTGTTTTAAAAAATATTTTGGGATTGAGGGATACGAGAAGGATGCTGTACTCGTCAAGGAGGACTAGGAGATCGACGCCTTCATTTTTTTTTTTTTTTTTTGGGGGGGGGGGGGGTGCGCCATAGTTGGATGAACGTCTAGGCGTATTTTTTGTTACTAAAGTTAACTATGCCTTTCCATCGTTCAACGCGTGTTTTTGGATTACTAGTAGAAACAACGCAATCGATCCTTCAACTAGGAAACCTACATGATCAATCCTTCAGCGTATATTTTTTTAGAACCTTTGACGACTACAAGAACCTTTTTTTTTTTTTTTTTTTTGCTGCTAGGAAGCCTACATAATCGATAACAAATCATTCTGGATGTACATTGCGTATCTGTAGTACTTGGGGCAAGGACACTCTAGATACGTGGCGGCGCGTCTCCTTGGTAGACGTGGCCTGCTGTACACTGACCTGACGGCGCGCGGAATTTTTTTCGGGACCCTTCGCCCAGGTGCACTCCCCTCACAGTGTCCTCTACAGTACTTGTTCTTTTTGAAGGTATGATGCACGCTCATCATGTTATACATCGGTCCGTCTTGTCAAGGGGGGAGGGGGGAGGAGGGTTTGCGCTGCTATGGATGAGGAGGGTGATACAGCGTGGATCGAATTCTCGGTAAGGCTATGAAAGATCTCCTTTGTATTACTCAGATCGCGATCGGGACGTATTTCTGATGTTCAGAACATGCAGAAAGATCAAGAGATAGTCTATCTCCAATGAAGGATAACCATGATCAAAAATACGAACCCTTGCCACTTTTACTAATTGATAAGAACAAAATAACAGCGTTTCCATTTGTAATGGGAAACAACTGTTTTATTGGGGGGGAGACGCGCGCGCGTGCATGTTGAATGGTGTTCATTTTTGATGGGTTGAATGAAATGTCCTAATGAATTGGATACAATATCGATCAGTCCGTGGTAAAGTATACGACGGAGAAGCGTGTGTGCTGCAGAGTATTCTGAAAGCGTGCGATGAATAGGGGGGGAAGGGAAGGGAGGAAGCGCGCGCATCATAAATGTCATATCAATTTACAAAGAAATGACATAGAAGGCCGATCTGATTAACCAGCATGTTGACGATTGTCCCACCATTCCACACATATCTCGCCGTTTCCCCCGTCTTCCACGCATGCATCCTGGTACCGTTGCTGATAACTGATAAAACAAACCTCGTAGAAATAAAGAATAGATGGTGGGGAGATGTTTTATCTACATGCGTGATAAAACAAAGAACCCATGTCGAAGAGAGTACAGGGTGGCAATACTGCCGGAATGGGTGCACAAAAAAAAAAGTCCTTCCGTAGTTTCCTCCTGGCGTTCTGTAAACAACTCGGAGGGGAAAGAAGGAACAACGGCTGTTTTACTGCGCCTTGCTCTGTAGATGTTGTTGGGGGATGACCAGCTGGCTGTTCGAAGCGCGTCTCCTGCGATCAATGAATGTGTACGCGATCTGCGCCTGCCTACGACTCTGTGCTTTTTTTTCCTACCTCATCCAAACGAGGAAAGTACCTATTGCGGCAAGCAGAGTTTGAGCTTCTTGCTGGAAAAGAAAGAGAGAAAGGCAGCAGGTAGAGAAAAACGAAACTAGCCCCCAAGAACAGAACCTGCAGCTGCCCTGTTAAAGTTCCGTGCCCATATCATAGACTACATTAAGCGTTCTTCATTGGGATCGCAAGCTGCTTGTTTTTGTTTTCTTCGCTTTAATTAGTAAAGAACATGAAAAAACGGGACCATAGGAGATATTATGGATGCAGCTTTCGTTAGTGTCGATGGTTAATAGATCCGATGGTCACCATGGGAAGAACGGATGGATTTCGCAGAAGATGCCTCCATTACCCCCGCCCTGGAATTAAAAAGTAAATTGAGACCAATAGCCAAGATCATGTCTCCATGCATAATCAAGTCAGATCCATGTCCTTAGCGCGCGTCGATGGCCCCCAGGTGCAAGGAGACGGTGCTTGTTCATTTCGAATAGAATGCGATAATTTTTCGATAGAATGCCAATATGCCGCGTCGCCTGAGGGAAGCGCGTTTTTGTTTACACGGGCATAACAAACACCTGCTCGCCCTGTCTCTAGCACCCCGTGTTTGCCTTGAACCCTTGTCGGCTATGATTTGCTTGTCGCCACTGAGCCCATATTTGATCGTAGTATTTATCTGAACTAGCTTCACGATCGTTATTACACAAACAAGGTCATGCATCCCATCCAATAAACTATGTCACAGGCGGCAGAGAATCCCAAGACTGGGTTGTTTACTCCCCTGGCTCATCCTACTCCATGTACAATGACTTTTCTTCGATTGTATTTGTGTGTATAACTCTAGGTAACAGAGGAACCCCCAGATGTTCCAAGTGTTTACTGTCAACAGACATGCAAGGATCCACCTCGCTTCAGCAGCTCCAAGAGAGGAGGATCGCACAAAGAATGTCGTTGTCCTTGACCAGCAATGATCCAACAGGATGGAACAGGCAGCATGGGAAACAATCTACGAGTAAATAAGATGTGTGATTGAATTAAATGATGGCAGATGGTGCGAAAACAAGGCCTGCTGCTCTCTATGCAATAACGATCGCATGACACCTTTGTGCATTGTGAAAAGGGTCCCCCCGTACCTGTTGCCTTATGGTGAACGGGCAGAGGAGTTTGAAAATACGTAGGATGTGGGCGTCTTTGTGTCTTTTTACTTTTCGTTTCGTCATGTCAGCCAGCGCACACGACAACTGTAAACCGTGTTATTTTATTCATTGCTCACGGTAAAGCTGACAAGGACAAAGGGGAAAGCAGGATAGTCCAGACATGCAAGGATTCGCCGTGGCTGCATGTAACAAAGCGAACTACCAAATAAACAGGTCAACCTACCCTTCCTCCCGCTTCCGCCTGCAATGCAGGTACAACTGTAAAGTGCGCTTTTGCTACAAACAGTCTAGGCGGGTGCTTGTTTGAGTTGAGTCCAATCAGTGGGTGGGATAGCATCAAGCTTTAGAGATTGTGCAGGGAGATATACTGGTAAGCGTGTTTGGATGTGGGAGGAAGGTTACACAAAATAAACGCGCCTTAATTACTGATTGAATTACCCCTTCACTTCCTCATCCTCTGTCTCCGTGTTCCCTCCTTTCATCGTACCCTCAGTCCTCTCACTTCCTCTCTCTCTCAGGACTCGAACGGCCCAATTATTCATATCCTGGGTCTCATTGTCAGCATCGAATCCCATCCCGTGTCAACGCCATGTGGAAACACGCTCTGAAAACAATACAGGCAGCTGTAGCGAAGCACTGTCGAACAATAACGAGATATACTCTGCCGCATGCGATTCGATCGCAAAAAAAAAGGGTACCAGAACATCTGTACTAAACAAATGAATAATAAGACATCACGGACTAATACCGATAGCAGGTAGGTGAGCCTTGAATAGGGTCTGAGAAAACTATATGTAGGGCAACAACAACAGCAACAACAAAAGCATACTACAGGCACATCCAAATAAGCGTTCCCTGCATAATCAGTTCATCACCAAGACCCTTATTTGCTCTCGGCTCCAAAATCTAACCTCATCCCATGGACACTTCCAATGTAGGAATCTGGAGACCATTGCCGGTTATTGATTAGCCCCAACTCTATGTACTTGCATGCGACACTTTTTGTGTGTGTCCGAGGGTTTACATCGTCGTACCTTTACAATAGAGAAAAATATAACGAGCGATAAATTGGATAGATTACAAAAGGATCGCTCATGGTGATCGTAAACGAGCGATATCAGATGGCGTAGAGGATCTTCTTGCTTAACCCATAAGATACTAATGATGCTGGCCTTGCCTCGCGGTCCATTGTCGATACCTTCTCGATTGAATTGGACCCCGTGTATTCCTTATTCCGCTCTGAGCCGTGCAAGAAGAATGCCCTGTTTTTCTATGTTATCATGAATATGGCCCATATTCACTGCACGCATACCCCTGAAATGCAATATGGTCCATGAAGGATAGAATATTTCTTCCTCTACGTCTCTTACCAATGCTCCTTCTGGGAACCTTTCACAAGGCATGGACGCTTAGTGGTCTCGAGCAATATAAATACGTCCGGGTTGCCCATCCATTCCTACTTTCATCCTCATCCTCTTCTCCAATCTCCTCTTCTCCAATCTCCTCTTCTCCAATCTCCTCTTCGCCTCCAGGACTCCTGCTTTGCCAATCCCTCACACTCTTGAGCTACTCTTTTAATCAAAAATGAAGATCTCCTTCCTTGCCCTGGCTGCCACTGCCATTGCTGTTGCCTCCGCCGCCCCCGTCGAGAAGCGCGCTGCTAGCGACAACGTCGTTGTCGGATACTGGGTTCCATGGGGTGATGTCCCAGTTGCCCAGCTCGACATGGCCAAGTACACCCACATCAACTAGTAAGTCCGCTGCACACTCTTCATTTGACGCAAACATTCCTGAACATTCCCGACTGAGCTACCGATCAGATCGCGCCACCAATATTCTAACGACTATTCCTGGCCACCTTTTTACCATTTCTCCAGTGGTTTCGGTGTCACCGTCAAGAAGAACCCTAACCCCACCGACATTACCTTCGACCGCTACTACGATGGAACCCAGATGCGCGCCTTGGTTGCCCGCGGCAAGCAGTTCGGTGTCCCAATCTTGATGTCGATCGGAGGCTGGACTGGATCGCAGACCTTCTCGACCATCGCCGCTGACCCCGCCCTTCGCAAGACCTTCATCAACAACGCCATGGTCTTCGTCCGTAACAACACTCTTCCCGACTACGAAACTACTCCCGATGGCTGGAACATGGGCGGTATCGATATCGACTGGGAATACCCCGGCCGTGCCGGTGCCATCTGCAACACCTACGCTCCCCAGGACTCCGCCAACTACCTCATCTTGCTCAAAGAATTGCGCGCTCAGATGGATCTCGAGTTCCCCAACGACCGCAAGCTGTTGACCGCTGCCGTTCGTGTCCAGCCTTTCGACGGTACTGATGGCAAGCCCTTGGGTGATGTCTCTGCCTTTGCCCAGTACTTCGACTGGGTTTCCATCATGGCCTACGACATCATGGGCTCCTGGAGCGCAACCACCGGACCCAACGCTCCTTTCAAGAACGGTCCTTCCCCTGCTGATCCTTTCTCGTTCGTTCAGTCGATCGATTCCTGGACCGCTGCCAAGTTCCCCGCCAACAAGTTGGTTCTCGGAACTGCCTTCTACGGTCGCTCAGTCATCACCACCGTCGATATGAACGCCCAGAACCCCATCACCATGTACGTCAACAAGACCGACGTCACCCCCAAGGGAGGCCCAGCTGACAGAAACGATATCAACTTCTTCTGTAACGAGGGTGCTGTCTACTCCGGTATGTGGAAGTGGAAGGAGCTCCGTGGCGCCGCTTTGACCTCGCCCACCACCGCTGCCTCGGGCTGGACCAGATACTGGGATGATACCACCCAGACCCCCTGGTTGTTCCGTGCCTCGGACAAGACCTTCGTCTCCTACGATGATATCCAGTCCTTGACCATCAAGGTCAACTATGCCAAGTCCAAGGGCGTCAAGGGTGTCATGAACTGGGACATGACCTACGATTACAACAACGAGTTGCTCAACGTCCTCCAGAACATCCACTGCACCTCCAACTGCCCTGTTGTCACCACCACCACCGCTGCTCCCACCACCACCGCTGCTCCCACCAAGACCACCACCGTCCCCCCCACCACCGTTGTCCCCACCACCGCTGTTCCCACCACCACTATCCCCGCTGGTTCCTGCTCCGGTGTCTCTGCCTGGAGCAGCGCCACTGCCTACGCTGCCCCCGGCCAGAAGGTCACCTACAACGGTCACATCTACACCAACCAGTGGTGGACCCAGGGCGAGACCCCCGGTGCTAGCGCCAACGGTGCTTGGAAGGACGGCGGTGCCTGCTAAATCATCTGGCGATGAGGTAGCGCACTACGATTAGAGTTGCACATTTTTTTTCTTCTTTTTCATGTAGAGATCTTACATATCCATATGAATGCAACAAAAAATAACTGTCGAAATAAATGATAAATCACTCGCTGGGCGAGCAATAATAATTTAACTCTGGTCTCAGCTTCATGGCTTCATAGTCAATTGTCAATCCCCCCCCCCCTCTCTCTCTCTCTCCCCCCCAAGTTTTAGTATTATAGTCAACTCTATAGACTCACGGCCCTAACCCTCCTATTAGCGGAAGTACAAGTCATGTTTCGTTTAAACTACAGTACTGCACATGCAGATTTATTAGATGTCAAATGATGCGATGGTGTTGTACAAGTGGATAGTGGATGCAATGGGTATGGAGTGAGTGCTTGAATGGCCTTGGTCGTATTACATTAGCGGATAAAGGGACCGGCAGCAGCATCACCCATGGTCTTGTAGAGGATCTTCTCAAGTGCTTGTTCCTTGGTCATCTTGTTAGCAGGACGCTGCCCTTGCATCGAAGAGCGAGGAGTAGTAGCAGGAGAGGCAGGGGCCGAAGCGGACTGGTTCTTGGAGGACTTGAAGAGGGCCATGGTTATCGAGTGTGTGTGGGAGTGTGTATATGTGTGTGTTTGTGTGTGGGAGTGTTTGAGTGATGTGGTTGCTTCAGTTACTGGTTGCTTGGATGCGTTTTGTCTGGTTGATGATGAGAGGAGGGAAACAAGCTCTATCTCGAGTGTATTTATACGCGGCTTCTCACCTTGGACCGCGACAAAGCGACCTGAACGATGCTCGGCATGCTTGGCTAGGATGCCAACCAAGCCAGCAAACCGCTGTTAATGATTGCCAAAGATGGAAATCAAAACCATGCCGTCCATATTTGAAGCCCAATAGGATTATTCAGGTACATGATGTCATGCGGCAAAATTAAGCATTTTCAAGGTCAGCCAACATTCCTTTCCTTTTCCACGATGTACCGTGCGCGTTTTTTATTTTATTTCGTTCTCCTCCTTGGCAACGTTCCCTGTGGAAGATGACATCCGAGGCCGACTCTTCAAGGTCGATTCTTCCAGGCAGAACGAGGTGGTCCATGCTCCGCTTGACTCCGCAAAGAAGGTAGGAGTTGCGCGCCAAGAATAGAACACTGGAGGGGGACAACAGTATAAAAAGGATCCGTTGTCCCTCTGCATTTAGTTTCTTCACTCACAGCAACAACCATCTACTACACAAATTCCCACACACATCCGATGACCATGACCCTCTTCAAGACCTCCAAGAACCAGTCCGCCTCGGCCCCTGCCTCTCCCGCTGCTACCCCTCGCTCTTCGATGCAAGGGCAGCGTCCTGCTAACAAGATGACCAAGGAACAAGCACTTGAGAAGATCCTCTACAAGACCATGGGTGATGCTGCTGCCGGTCCCTTTATCCGCTAATGCAATACGACCAAGGCCATTCAAGCACTCACTCCATACCCATTGCATCCACTATCCACTATCCACTTGTATAATACCACATTAATCCTTAATAAAATTGTCTGAAAAACTACGCAACTGATTTCTACGCGCTGTGCACAATACGATGCCCCTTTTATGTAGCCTATTAATTCCTTCAGAGAGAAAAAGAAAGAACAAAACAGGCGCTCATGAAACCAGGTTTGCTTTGCTTTGCTTTGCTTCTTATTTATTTATTAGCTTTACATGTACGAGGGGGTAAGTAATTTGATTATGTACTATTCATATTCAATAGTGCTTATGGCTCCACTTAGTTCATCAAAGCAGCCGCAACAGCAACGGCAATGATGATGGCGGTAGATTTTGAAGCATCTTTGCTTGAGCCAGCGTCGCTAGGAAGGACGGACATTGTCGGCTTTGACGAACTGGATGTAGTGGTAGTAGAGTTGGAGCCGCCTGGAATGGGGACTGGGACCAAAGGAGGTGAGGTTGGCGTGATAGATGAGGTTGGAGTTAGAAATGAACCGGAGGTTGGGTTCAGAGTTAAAGTAGGGTATGGCTCTGGCCCGCTGCTGTAGCCGCCGCCGCCACTGCCGCCGGCTAGGCACTTGCCGCCAGTCACGCAGACGGAACCGGCAGGGCAGCAGTATTCACCTATTTTTTTTACATGAAGGAATTTTATGTAAGTAAGGAAATTCAATAGGTAGAGCAGCTGTTCGCGTAAAAGATATACTTACTGCCGCAGTCCACGGGATAGCTAGAGGGGCATCCACAGTCCCCACTTGAGTTGCATCCGTACTTGCAACAGCTGTTTCCACATCTGAAGGCACCGTTATTGCAGCCGCAGTGGCCGTTCGAGAGGCAAGAGTTGTACTATAGATCGAAGCAGTAACGGGAGTTAGCGCTGCATTTCGAACGCTTGAGCATTCGGGATGCAGAAAGAGCGAGGGAAAGACTTACAGGGCAGCAGTACTGTTTACCGCACATCCAGGGAAGGTTCTTCGGACAGCACCCCTTCACCGAGTTGAAGCACAACTCACCGACAGGGCAGCAGTAGCCGTTACTATGTATTGTGTTTAGATCAAATTGAAAGGCTGGTTAGAAGACCGGATCTACAGGACCCAGCGAATGAGAAAAAAGCTCCCAGGCGGTGCCTGGCTGTCTAAACTTACCCGCAGCTACCGTAGCCAGGGCTGCAGGACTGTCTCTTCTGGAGTCTTCCAAGATCCTCAGTAGCGCCTACTGACATTGGTGGGAGACCGCCTCCGAGACCAGTGGAGGTAGATAAGGAAGGGTATGGTCCGACACCAAGGGAGCTGAGTGAGTTGAGCGAATCCTTAAATCCTCCGGCTGAGCCTGACTTTGAATAGGGTTCGACGTATTCCTGAGCAGTGACAGTTGGGGCCAGAAGACCGAACGCGGCCACGGCAACGAAGGACGCGACTGTTGCGAAAGAGCGCATGCTGATGTGAGATGAAGGAATAGGGTGTGGAGTGCAGGAGGGATGAGAAGTGTGATGAGGAGGGTATAGGACGGTAATGAGCTTTGTAAGAGAAGAAAAGAAAAGTGGATCGTCGAGGAGATTTATATCCATGGGCCGTGGATATAGACGGGTCTCATACTCTTTGACTCTCCATCTCTCCATCGCGCTTTAGTCTCCGCCACCACTGCTCCTCCAATCAGAGGCAAATGCCCCCTGAAAACATGGCATCGACCCTAGAAAACAAAGTTTAGTTTCGAGGAGCGGCGCGACCTAAAATATGCACTGCCACATCAGAGAGCATATTCTTATTGAAAGGAGTGTATTGGAGCCATGTGGTTCTCCCTCATTCCAATATCTTGTTTACCGAGGCATGCTTTAAGCTCCAGGCTAGTTTTCAGCAACGCTGGTGGAATCTGTCGCGATCACTCTCATTCACTTTATTGATTTGTTTACACTCTCCTCATGACGCGCTTCTACTTCTGTTCCCGCGCACGCACCTTCTGCATGTCGACTTTTTGACGGCGCTGCGGAAAAAACAAGAAAGATTAGTCGCACTGCCACTTCCTAATTGGAGCTACCTTTTCTTCACACCCATACATTGAGTCGTGCCTCGTCTATAGTCCTGCAAAGACCGTTGTCAATTGATCGAGAGAAGATCTGGCATGAGAATGCGCTTGTGCTGTTGCCTTCGCAAAATGAAAGCTCTTGTCTACTATGGCACTCCATAAGGATGGAACAGCTAGCACAGTCAACGTCAATTCAGAATGACGCTCAGCTCGGGGGAAGGGGATGCAGTGCAGGCGATCCCATTTGACATGTCAAGCGCCAATCTTTCCTTCTTCTAAAAGTGGCCATACTCTGCTAACTTGAAGTTCGCTGTCGATAGAATCTCAGAAGTCTGTAAATAGTCCTACACTTTTGAAGCGGCTCGCGCCATCAGCTTAATGCCAGGGCAGGTTGCCCTTGATTGTCGAGTTTGATCCGTACCGAGTTCTGCATGTGCGTTAATCTAGACTGTCCGATTTAGAGAAATGTTTAGCTCCCTTTTTGGGGAAAAGTTCGACAATGCCTATTTGTAAATCGAAGACCTTCCCCTCAAGGCAAAACGCCATCTTGAGCATTTCGGTATTCAGTTTCTCCTTAGGATCTGCTTTTTCCTTGACACAGATGCGAGCATTCTTCAAGGTACCCAAGTACGTGGAATGCGAGCCCACACGTGTACGCTGGCTGCCTCTAACAATGACTCTAAAAGACTAGCCAACAGCGACTTACCGTTGGAGCCTTCGCCTGTAAACATGGTCCACACCTGCGAATCTGTGCAACCAGTGATACCGTATCCTAGAAAGCGCTGCAGGTTCATGTCGTGGTTAAATAGGTCTGCAATAAATTCATCAATGATGTCTGCTTTAGCACCCAGGCCCTTGTATTCTACATCCAGCTGGCGCGACATGTAGTCCGAGGGTAACCCATTGCGTAACTCAACCGGTCTGCAGACCGATGGCCCCATTCTTGACGGTCAAGGCATTAGGATTCTGGTCAAGACGCGACTCGATGGCCTCGTCAATGTAGAGTGTGCGGTAGAACAACAAGATGATCTTGATGTTCGTGTCCTTCTGGACATATGCCACACCTTTGGCGAGTTGGCTGCGGTGTCTTTTGATGACCATGATCTGGTCTTTGTCAGTGTCCAGCGGTGGATGGACGTGTTTGAGCAGAGTTTCAAGGGTGGTTCTGCAAGTACCTGCAATGTCGCTCAGCACACGGCGTTTACTGACCTCCTGCCAGATATGGCCATTGAAGCACATGAAGCGTTACCTGGCGGACCAGGTAGTCGTTCGACTCGTGCGTCCTGCCACATAGCGCACACTCCGCAATGGAGCACGGCTTGAAGTCAAAGCCATTGGTGCAGACCCATCGTTTGGCAATCTCTGTGCCAAGCATCGACTCGATGGCTGACTTAACGTTGCTCAGGAATACTGAGACACGATGCTCCTTATTGGGCTCCAAGGAAAGGCCAGCTATCTGTTGGCAAAGACCATCATACACCATTCTGGTATGGCTGGCATCTTTGCTTGCTCCACAAATGGTTTGATAAAGCTGCATTTTTTCTGGTCAACATAGCTAGGACCAACAATGATGCATCCGCCATCTCCACGTGCGTCAATGCTCATAGGCGCGTTATTTATTCGTAATTTTGTGCAGTTCCTAGCACTGTTGAAGAAGTAGTGCGTCCCTCCGCTTGCACTCTGCTGGATGGGCGTGTTCTCAGGGAGTCCGTGTTTCTTGATATGTCCTCAAAGGCACCCAGGCCATCCTCAATACTATTAGATCGACCATTGTCTTTTGGGACATCACAATCAACTGCTATCAAATCGCTGGTCTCGCCTGTCGCCAATGCAATGCCATTGTCCTCCATATTAAAATAGTCCTTGAACGTGCCCAGCGTAGTTCGCTCCCACATTGGCTTGAATACAATCTTCTTCTTGTTGGTCTGTTGGTCCCACCGCAAGTAGATGCCAATAGGCACAAAGTCCAGATCGACAAACGTCTTCGCGAAGCCTTCCATGATGTTTTCTATGCTAGTATACCTCGCTTCAATTTTCTATCCATGATTTTGCAACTTGGCATAAAGATGGTACCAGTGGTGCCAGTCAAACAGAGAGGGTTGGTTAATTAGACATGGCTCGTCAAAAGAGGAGCAAGACAAATACCATCACCCCTCCTCTCATGGCCAGAAATGCATTGAAATAAGTCGCATACGCCTCTGCTCTTGGGCAACATCATCGTCTCCACATCCTCCAATGGTCAACCAGGAGAAACATGAAGACGACTGACTGAGTCACAACTCTCACGCACCACGTATAGATTGTAAAGAGTTGCTTAAGACCCAGGTCCAGAGAGACAAAGACTAGCAGCTTAAGACGTGTCCGGGCTGCACTATCCTTACTACACCCACTCATAAACATGACCATCTATGCCATGGAATGGAGGCTGTCGCAATGCATTCCTGTTAAGAAAATAGCCAAAGTAAGTCGCATACGCCTCTGCTCTTGGGCAACATCATCGTCTCCACATCCTCCAATGGTCAACCAGGAGAAACATGAAGACGACTGACTGAGTCACAACTCTCACGCACCACGTATAGATTGTAAAGAGTTGCTTAAGACCCAGGTCCAGAGAGACAAAGACTAGCAGCTTAAGACGTGTCCGGGCTGCACTATCCTTACTACACCCACTCATGAACATGACCATCTATGCCATGGAATGGATGCTGTCATGGCACATTCTCACACCAGGGGAAGAGAAAAGGGTAGGAGGCACAAGAGCGCGACGTACCTGTGAATATTCTTTGGGTTTGGAGAAGAAGGATTGAGGATTGTGAAAATGTAATGGGGAGGATAAAGGATGGAGGAGGAAGGACAAATTGCGTTGTCGCGCTCTTTTGTTATTGTGACTTGGATTTCGCGTCCCAAGCTCGCGCCCATTGTCCTGGAATCAGCAAGACACACACACGCCACGACTTCATCAACATCAACAAAGTCGCAATGGACAGCAAGCGCGAGAACAAACTCTTGGCATTCTTGAATGGATCGGCGGAAGAAGACCAGGACCCCGTGAAGTTTTTTGAATGGGCTGGTTATCCTTCTTGGAATGAAGGACATGCAGGCGCAGTGTGGAAAACTACGGTCCGCGGCCTTGATGCAGAGAAGGCAATTGTGCTGGAAACTAGGTGGGCAAACTCCAAAGACAGGAGGAGAGAATATTGGGAGAAACTGCGTCGAAAAGAAGAAGCAGCTAAGAAAATGGTACAGTTTGTTTTTGAGGCACATTTTCAAAAAGCATATGCTGCTCGTCCTGCTGACTCTCCTTGCTTTCAACAGGAGGAATGGTCCCAGAAAATCGAGAACGTCAACAGCAATGAGCAGGATATTGTATTTGAGTTCCAGCACCATCGGTTCAAGAAGTTCATGGATGACAAAATATCGCCATTTATTACCAAGGATGAGCCCTCTCCACCATACACGCCTCCATTCCCTAATAAGCGTCCCCGTGAGGCCTTTGCAGGAGGCAGCGAGTCGTCCTGGGAAGTTCTGATGCCTGGCGATATCATTGATGCGCTACAAGAAATGTTACCTCATCAGCGAATGGGGGAATTACTGGGTCTCAAGCGGGAACATATATTCTCCTGCGTCTTGGAGGATGTTGACATGGGCGCCCTCTTCACTCAGTACTTCGAAGCCTGTTGCCTCGAGTCTTACAAGCATGGATACCCTGAGGATGCGCTGTAAGTTGCTGACATTGTTTATTGAAAATAGCGAGCCTGCTATAGAACCTGACTATCACTCATACACAATCACTAGTGCATTGTCTGCAACCCTATTGATAAAAAAGAACTCTCGCTCCCCACGACTACTCAAGGCATTTGGTGGCCAACGATTGACAGCCTTGAGAGAAACGCTCCTCAAGTCGATTGTACCCACCCTGGATACCACCCTGCTAGACAAGCAACAGGCGCTCATATCCAAATGGGTTAGATGGGTTTGCCTTGTTTCTGAAAATAGGAGAGAGAACATGGCCAAGCGAATGGATACACTGGATCAGCTGCACAGTGATTGGAAAGAGGCGAAGGACCTGGATCTTGCTGCAATGCACACTTATTTTGTGATGTGTATCCAGGGACTGTTTGCATCACAGCCATTGGACTTCCAAGAGGCAGATGGCATTGCCTCCTTCATCCGAAACTTGTTGGCAGCTTTCCTGCAAGAAGTGGACTTGGTTAGGTTTTCATGGTAAGAGGCCCATAACTGGCTGCATTCTATGCTTCTGTTAAGCACTTGCTCACTGTATATCTGGCATTCAACAAATAGCGCCGACAAAGGCTCAGAAGCCTCGCGGTACAACAAAGCCATTAACCAGTTGCAAGGTAAATCAAAACAGCCAGACATGGTTGGCATCTTTACTTATGAGGGAGTCAAGGTCGAGACTTTCTTCGGTGAGGCTAGTAGCGTTGCAGCAAAGAGCACATTCAAGTATGGTGGAGATACCATAAGGTTGGGGGTCTTTGGCAAGAACGGCCATGATATGATAAACAACCTCGTGGATCTGGAGGTGCCGCTGCTTCTCTTCAACATTAATGGACTAGTGTTGCAAGCATTTGTTCTTGAAAAAGTCCAGGATATCTATGCAATGCTGGAGATCGGCACAGGACGGATCCCTTGCTCTGTCAATGATCTGCTATTCTTATCGCAAGATCTACCATTCTGGCTACAGCTCAGGGAGATTGCTAAAAAGACGTCGGCATCTATTGAGCGTGCGGTGGATGCTGGCCAGATTGACTACGAGCGCAGGAAGTCGTTCTACCCCACTATCACCACACCGTCAGCCCGAGGCGCCCTTAGCTCAGCGAAATAAAGCACCTCATGCACCCTGACACTGGGATTCCAACAAGAATGTTCTCTTTGGATGGATTGGAACTGGAGACAGCTTTTTTCTATATATTTGACCAATCTTCTCTATCTGACTGGTATCAGTGATACCGCTTTTATACAAAGCAAGGATACAGAAAACCATGACAGAGCATGCACCACCAGTCTTCAGCAGCCAGAGCAGGGCGTCTTAGTGGACACAGGGCATATAGGCCAGGGGACAATGTTTTGGCAATGGAGGACTTGCGCCATTGTTCCTCGAGCCATCTATGCTAACTTGTAGCTCGCTGTCGATAGAATCTCAGAAGTCTGTAAATAGTCCTACACTTTTGAAGCGGCTCGCGCCATCAGCTTAATGCCAGGGCAGGTTGCCCTTGATTGTCGAGTTTAATCCGTACCGAGTTCTGAATTTAATTCAGTAAGAACGACCTATCCACCGACATTGCACTTTATAGGTGCATAAAATGCAACCTTCCTGTCTCTCTCTTTTTTTTTTTTTTTTTTTTTTTTTTATCGTCAAATTTGATCCGTTTTGAAGTTTTCATGGATCCCGGTGCGAGTAACTTGTCCGCGGACGTTGTGCAACACCACGTCCTGAGAACGAGTCAGCGTGATTTGCTTTGCATGTTTTAGATGAACCTGCCTATCTTGTACCAGCTACCTTGAGGAGATGTTCTTTTTTCCGTATTAGAAGCAGTACTTAATGCAGTACGAGCCAGCCTCAGAGGACCTTGCAGTGTGTTATGGAAAGAAGGAAATATGCTCCGTTGTGCACACAAAGCTGTTTCTCTCCCATATATGCATACATATCTAATCTATGTTCTAGGAGCTCGGTAGTATGTAGCACGGTCGACCTGGCCGGCTGAAACAGATGACATATGCATAAGCCACCGCTTACCGCCTTCTTTTCTTTTTCTGTCCTCTGTCCCCCCCTTCACTTCTTCACTTCTTTCCACACTTTCCACACCTCCACAACTTCCTTTTGCAGCACACACAGTGACCCTTCGTCTCTCGTTCTACAAAGCCCCCCCTCCTTCTCGCTCCTCCCACGCTCCCAAGCATTCTTATGCCTTGTTTCCACTCAACCTCTTCTGATCCTCCGCACTTTTTTCGTAAACACTTTCATTGTTTAGCCGTTTCCTCCTGAACGAAGGAATTCTGCTAAATCGACCCGAGCTCTATTGCTTCTATCCCCCCCACGTTTTGCCCAAGACGTCGCTTTCACCAGATATTCGTATCCTCTCCCGCAGACTCGACACTATATCTTAACTCGACAATCCATCTGAATCCTATTCACCATGGCTAATCTCAACATCGGCGGTCAAAGCGACGATGCTTTTTACCGCTACAAGATGCCCAAGTTGATCTCAAAGGTATGGCTGAACAAGGGCTGCTTTGTCTTTATGTCTGCATCTGCCCCTTTTGAAGGATCGCTTCTTTTTTTTCACGGAGAAGCATCCGATCGGTATAATATGACGAATGAGAAGAGGACGGATCATTTCGTATATTTTACTGCGGTTCAATCGGCCTGTTTACTAATCCTCCTTATGAAACCGCAATATTGTTTTCCCGCCGGATCTTGTAGATCGAAGGCAAAGGAAACGGAATCAAGACCGTCATCCCTAACATGTCGGACATTGCTCGTGCACTCAACCGCCCCAGTACCTGTAAGTCAAGGGCCCTCTGCCAAGAATCACATACAAAGAATAGAATCAGTCCCTGGGATTTATTTCCCCTCCCTTTGGGCCTATATTTTGATGTCGTAAATGCTAACATGTGCCTCTTCTACGATTATTCCTTTTATGGCGATCCCTGGACCAGATCCCACCAAGTATTTTGGATGTGAACTTGGTGCGCAGGTCAAGTGCGACGAAAAGACTGACCGCTACATCGTCAATGGCGCCCATGATGCCACCAAGCTTCAGCAGCTTCTGAACGGCTTTATCTCAAAGTTTGTTCTCTGCCCTTCGTGTGGCAACCCCGAGACGGACATCATCGTGGACAAGACCGGCACCATCCAGATGTACTGTAATGCCTGCGGCCGTCGCAACAAGGGCGAGAACATCCATAAATTGGCAACATACATCGTCAAGAACCCTCCTGTCAACAGCGCCTACGGAAAGAAGAGCAAGGGGGACAAGGCGGACAAGAAGAGCAAGAAGAACGGCGCCTCGACCCCACCTGAAGAGGAGGAGGAGATTCCGGATGATGATTTCACCAAGAAGATCAAGGAGGAGGCTGCTGCTATCCCTGATGCTGATAACTACAAGTCGGCTTTGGGCGATGACTGGTCCGTCGACACCTCCGCTGAGGGTGCTGCTGCCCGCATGAAGGAGTTGGAGGGCAGCGTCAAGACCCAGCTCACCTTGGATGATGATGATGAGGACATCGAAGGTGAGAACCCCTATGAGTTGTTCGGTATCTTCTTGGAAGAGAACCCTAAGGCTACGGACGCTGAGATCTTGGAGAAGGCTGGCGAGCTCAACATCACCACCAAGTCGCGCGCTGTCACTGTCTTGGTTCAATGCATCTTTACTGATGACATGGCTCGCGAGGTCAAGACTCGCACTTCTCTCTTGCGCAAGGTATGTTTTTACTTTTCTTTTTTTTTTACCTCGGCTTGATCTGATGTTGATCAAATGCCATACCACTCTCGCTATGTTTCGTTTTCTCGTATTGACATTGAAATCTTTTATGATATAGTTTGTTGTCAATGAGAAAAACCAGAGAGCTTTGCTCGGAGGCATGGAGCGCGTCTTGATCACCTCCAAGAGCTTGATGCTCAAGGCTCCTTTGGTCTTGAAGGCGTTCTACGACAACGACATCCTCGACGAGGACGTCATTCTGAAGTGGGGCGAGAAGCCCAGTAAGAAGTATGTCAGCCGTGAGGAGGCCAAGGACGTTCGCACCCGCGTCGAGCCTTTTCTTAAGTGGCTGGCGGAGGCTGATGAGGAGGACAGCGATGAGGATAGCGATGAGGAGTAAGGATGTTTGTCAACGCCTTTGCTCGATTGCATCACCCTTGCGGCTCTGAATGACCACTGCAGCATACTCGGATGGCCTTGCAAGGAAGCATTCATTATTTTTTTCTTTTTTCTTTCCTTTTTTTGCTGATACTTTTCTACTCTCAGTGCTTACTTGAATACGTCTGTGTCTTATTTGAAGCAATATCCAGCAATCTCAATAGCGTCCGTACTTTGTAGTACCACCAATAAACGCTCAAACATTCTGTGAAGCATCAATAACCATGAGCTGGGAAAGTTATCATTGATATCGAACGACTTTTATTTGGATTTCTTTGCTTTCTTGTCTGCCTTGCCCTTGACTCTTCCGCCTTTCTTCGCGCCCTTGTTCTCCTTGGCGGCCTTTTTGGATGATGATGACGAGCCCCCGGATTTCTCCTCTCTCAAGCAGCGTTCGCAGCAGCAGTGAAAGTGGTAGTCGCTCAAAAGCGCCAATCGGCGGGCATGAAGCGGCATCTCGGTATCAATGTAGGAAATCGTGATATCTTGGCCTATGGATATAAAAAAAGAAAAGAACTTTTGAGTGCTCTTGATTTCTCAGGAAATATAGACACCACCCATATAATATAAGAAGATCCTGGACACGCTCTTCATACCTTTCGCAATATCCTTGATGGCGAAAAATGTCATCATCCTGAACCCGCCGATCCTGCAGTCGTATGGGTCCACACTATCTGCAGCGGTAGCAGTGGCAATATCGTCCTCGTCCTCTTCCTTCTCCGAGTTCTTGGCCTGTTCAAGTTCCTCGCCATTCGAAGCAACAGCAGAGGTCTCCGAGGGTGTGGGCAAAGGCGCGGGTGGTTCTGATACGGATGATACTGCTGCAGCAGACGAATCCTTGTGGATCTCGGCTTCCTTTGATTCCATGAATCCCACGACGTCGTCTCCTGTTACCTCGCCTAGGGACCCGTCCGCCTGCACGGCTGTGGCGTTGCATTCGCAAGAGTGGTTGAAGAACGATGCAATTGGGTAGATAGCTATAATGACAACAAATTAAAATAAAATGAAATTAAACCGCAAGCAGTGCATTATTAGCACATTAAGAAGCTACACACCAACGACATGCACCAAAAAAAAAAAAAAAAAAAAAGAAAGAAAGAATAAAAAAACACTCCTGTTGTCGCTAAACATGAAATACCTCGACCAAAGCACACGGGCTTCTTTTTCATCCGATCAAACATCCCAAACGCATTACTCTCGAGCGTACTGATCAACTTCTTGATATCCGTCCTCGTCAACTTCTTGAGGGCCCCACCCGGCTCCGTCGCTATCTCCGTCAGACCCGACATCTCCAGGAACGAGAGCACCGTTTGGGACTGTCGGTTCCAGTCCTTCGTATCTTCTTCGTCCCAATCCTCAAAATGGGATTGCAGACGCAGCACGTCGTAAAAGTCATTCTCGACCGGTTCTTGGATCCGGTCCCTGCCATGATCCGCCCCTCCACACCTTGTCTCGCTCGACCCTTGTTCCTGAGCAGTGGGCGGCGCAATAGCCGCTGTGTCCGGATCCGTGAGGTTTAAGGTCTCGTGCAATTGCTCCGCTAACTGACCTTCCTCCTCCTTGTCCGCGCCGTCCAGTCCTCCCTCCCCACTTCCATTTCTCTCCTCATCCAAGGCCTTCTCCTCCTGAATCGTCTTCCGACTCTGATACGCCGTCGGGATACCATGTCTTTCCCGCCAATGGTTCAACAACACCTGGAGTAATAACTTAATCATACTTTTCGTATGCCGATTCGAATTCCACGTCGCCAGTTTCCGTAACGTCCTACAGACCCTCCCATGGGCCCCCATCTGTGGGTCCATGGCTATGGCCTTGCATGCTTCTGAACAATAATAAACCTGATCACACTCCTGACACCGATGCGTGAACGAACTCCGGTTGTGGTAGAGAAGACAGACATGACACATCCGCTTCTTGTAGTTGTCAAACACCTCGGCCGCATAGGGCAATGCCTAAGGTTTTCGAAAATCAATAGAAGGATTTTTTTGTTTGGTTTGTTGATGAATATGGGAGTGGGGAAAAGGTTTATGGGGGAGAGCAGGGTATTAGACAGAAGGAGGGGGGGAGCCACAAGGGTTCAAAGAAGACTGTGAACTGGAAGGAGACGATTACGATGCAAGCACATGAATTTGTACCCGCAAAAGTCCTTCGCCTTGAGGAATGTCGCGTGCTGCCTTTGCGTGGTTTCCCAGCGTCGGATTGTACTCGACCACGATAGGGTATCCTTCGCGTTCGCAGACTGTGTTGATGTATTCCATTCGTGTCTTGATGAAGATTATTGTCGCTGAGTGCTGTTGAGCTCTTTGTTTTTGATGCCCCTCTTTCCAAACATGGCAGGTCACAGTGGCTGTGCTTCTCGTCTCTCCCTCTCTCGCTCTCTCCCTTCACACACTCGGCTTCTTTTTTTGCAGGCAAAAACACAAACGATTTTTACTTCTAAACTACTAAACTATACTGTCAGCAGCCTCCTTCAAGAAAGAGCTGTGGACATTCAAAATTCACAGAGTAAAAAGTACAATGCTAGGCAAGACGCAAAAATGAGGCACCACTCATTACAAAGGCACCGAGCTCGAATACAGAAAAAGCAGATAAAAGACACATGGAATGAGGTAAAGAAATCCGCATCGGTCTATCATGAAAGCATAGTTCACATAGTGGCGGACTTTATGCTTGAGAGCCAGGGGAAGAAGCAGAGGCTGAACGGACCGAATGACCCCTAGCCAACATCTCGGCAACAGTCTCCGCCGCTCCAGACACGGGTGGACTGCCCGTTCTCTCACGACTGACACCGCAACTAGAGACAACTGAGTCTGATCGTGAAAATGTCGATCCAGCGATTTCACTATCATGGCACTGGGTTTCAAAGGCCGCAATGACTGCTTGGGCCTTTCCTGCAGGTACCAATGGCACAGCAACTTTCTCCTTGATATCCGCGTCGCCCTTTTCGACATCTCTCCAGAATGGCAGGAGTTGACGAACCGTCTTGAGTCCTGATCCCAGTCGATGTTTGAATACAGATTTGAGCTGATAATTCTGATCCGCGTCTCTTTGCTTATGATTCCGGTCTGCTCGCCTTTGATTTAGAAAATCAGAAATTGCGCTTGACGAAGTGCGGTCCGCCGGACTGGGACTCGGCAATCGCGAGCCATGCAAGGGATATGGTCGATTCAAGTTTCTGCCAGTCTCGCGAAGTCTTCGGGACAGTGGTGTTGATTCACGTTCCTAATATATCACGGCGATTTTTTGTTAGATCCTGGATAGAGGATAGCAACATGTAATATACCACTCTGTCCGTAGAGGCACAGCCGTCGTTACATACATGGCGCGCTGGTTCCCTGTGCAAGTCATTTCGCACTCTATATAGTGCGATGCATCGTGTCAAGACTTTCTCTCTAATGGCGCAAGGAGTGTAGTTGAATATTAGATCATAGCTGATAAGTGCAACTCCACAGGTTCGAGTGGTAAATCTCCACGGTACCTTGTCCACTGCGGTTTCTCTCCTGTCTTAGCCTCTTGCTCCGCCAGGAAATGATCAGCGATCGAGTTCAAATCCTTCTCAGCCATAGAACTTCCCTCCATTTCATTGTAAATCTTCTCGAGTGCTTTCCAGTCCTGGGTTGTCCAGAGTGCGCGTTGAGCGAAACTTGCATATGATGCAGTCGATACATCAGACGCTGTCGAGCCGCGCCTGTACATGATGGCAGGTGTTGAGGGCGGCGAGAACCCTTTTGGCTTCAAAAGGCCTGTGGTCATTACCACAGATGTGCTGACAGTCTTGGAAGTGGTGATGGCAACGCGTTTCGATGAACTTGGCTGTCTCTGCTGCAAGAGATGTGATGATGGCTCGAGCTCCCAATGCCGCCTCTTTACTCCAGCATGCGATGATTCGCTGATCTCGTCCTGAATATCCATCTGCTGTAGGTATGATCCGGTCTTAGTCTCTTCATCAGTGTCGAGTGCGTCATGGAAGGTCTCTGGCTCTGCAGTGTCCATGTCCTCATCATCCACAGTCGGTGTGGTCACAATCATCGAGCCTCCGAATGCTGTCCTGCGTGTATGACTTGGGCCTACCCGTACTGCGGTAAGATAGCTGGCAAGTGGATCACTAGCTGTCAAGATGCTGTCACCCACTTCCAAATCCTGCTTTTCTGGAAGGTGGATTATGGGTACTCCTGCGGATCGACTTTGAGGTGGTGTCAATAGTCCAATATGGCTAGGCGAAGTGCTCTGGGTATTCAAAAGTCCTGGCTTGAGGCTATGTTGTGTAGCAAGTGAGAAGACCAAGAGTCCATGAAAAGTGAGCACTCAGGGCGTCGATAATACTTGGAACAGATGTGTGGACAAAGAGGAACAGTCGCCGTACCTTGAGGAAGAGGGTCGCGGTGGTTGGGCGCTCTTTGGTGTCGGCATCTGTCTTTGTGCTTTTGATTTTGGGGTGGATACTGGAGTGATGGCTCGTGGCTCCTCGGCTTCGCTTTCATCAAAGATCTCCTTTTGATCCTGCTCGTTCTTCTCTTTGCTGGGGCTATCCGCGAAAGGCACAAGGATGGTGCAGTAGCGAAGGTCGTATATGCGCTTCCACTCCTCGTCCGTCAGTCCTTCCTGGCGGAGGAACTCGTCTATAGTTTTCATCAAAGAGACAGAGGTAGTTGTTATGGGATGAGCTGTGAGGAATGGGGTTTCGGAGGGATGTATGCAAGTGGGCAGTAGTTCGTCATGGTTGGTAACGCACCCACGGCGGGATTAGGGGAAAGGTTTCTATTTGAGGGCATAGCAGTCTGCATTGAGCGAGGTAGAAAAGGTCTCTGATGGTGGCGCGTGGGAGTGGAGCTTGATTGCGTAGGAGGAAAGAGAGGAGGTGAGGAATGAGTGACAGAGTGAAATAGAGGAGGGGGGAGCGAGAGAACGAGAAAGGGGAAACGAGGGAAGGAGTGATGGATGTAGAAAGTAGAGGGGAGGATGAAAGAAGGAGATGAAGAAGCTGCAACAACATTAGTCCATGGTTAGACTACACTCATTCTTCCCGTCCCTGTCCCTGTCTCTCCCCCTCCCCGTCCCAGCAACAAGAAACAAAAATTGGTGGCACTGGCTGGGAATCCTGTTGGCTGGAAACCAAGACAGGCTAAGCTCTGCTGGTATTTCTTTTGGAGCATTGCAGTTCCTTCTTTTCTTTTCTTACCTGAGCCCCCCTACACATGCATGACATCGATCGATCCGCGGAATCGAGGGTCCCGTAGACAGCAAGCACCATGGAGCACATATTCAGCCCCCCTCCCTTCTAGCCTATTCCGACCGCAAACTACCCCCATGGAAATCATCATCTGTGCCAGTATTCTCTCAGCCGAGACATCTGCACAGCAAACGCCGATAAAAGCAAGGAAATCATGACTCGAATATCGGCCGTTCTCAATCAAATGAATGTAACAAGTAGGTCAATAGGATATTACATCGGGTATTTCTTATGAGCGACACTAATCGCAACATGATAGCACCCGTAGTCAGTATCAATTGACAACAAAGGCAATGCGCGTCGGCATAGTGAGCGAGTGAACGGGTGATCAAGTGTAAAAATGCCTTGATGCAGCAAGTGAACTAAGTGGTATATAAGTCAACCTAAGCGCCACGCAACAGGAACCAGGCGGATGTGTTTACTCAGGACACGTCCAGCAGTCAATGCACAACCCAGCCTGTGTAGTACAGGCCGCCTCCAGTTTGACAACAGCAAGCATACAAAAAAGGTCATCAGGGCCGTTCGCGATGCGTCTCCTGCAGTTGTTGAATTCTCAATGGACACCGTATTTGGCCCTCGACTACCAGGCAGAGAGATGAGATATGTTCAATTTGCTGTTGAAAGCGCCACAGTAGGAAACATTTCTTCCACGGCGGAGTCTGTTCGCGCCCTTTTATACTCCACAAAGTCTAGCTGACAGCCCATGCACGACGGAGATTTCTACGACGCGTCAGGCAGAGTGACGGAGCGGCTTTTCTTTTTTTTTTAAGAACAATTGGGCTCAGAGTCATCGTGGTTCACCTTCAGGGCGGGGATGCAGATAACCCTTTACTTTTTGGTGCTTCGCGAGAGAGAGGGATCGACAGGGTGAAGCAATGGTGTTCAGGCCTCAACAGTCTCAGCACCCAACACAGATCCAGATGCAGAGTCATTCGAGACTGTTGCCAATGAGACCCCGACAGGACCATAGAACGAAGCGAGCGTACCATCATGGCCAGTGGGTAAGGCAAAGAATGATGACAGATGAACAGAGGAGTGTCTTCTTTACTTCGGCTCCTCTCTTTTGTGTACTCCGAACGAAGTTTTTTTCGGTCTCTCGACAGTGGGGAGGAAAGAAGTGCTCAACAAAAAAAGAGAGACAGCGAGAGAGTGCGAGAAAGAACTGTTTCATCATCGGGGTTCAATTCAAAGGTGGAAAACTGTTTATTGATTTCAACCAATCCTTATATCGACGGGGTGTACTTTGTGCTCGTAACGGCGGGGACAACGAAGGTTTGTTCAATCACCCAATCACAGGCCGCGATCTAAGCTTGATAAGCCAAGATTAAAAAACAAATGAGAACTTTGACCATTCGAAAGGGCGCTAATGGGGGATGTGTGGAAAACAACAGCGGGTCTCATCTTCTTTGTCCTCGCGATGCCATGGAAGGATGTCCATGGTATGCTTCTCCAATGGACTCATTCTAGAGTCTTCCCTTCTTATCCTCAACTGAGCCATCGATGGAGTAAAAAGGATGAAAGAGAGAAGCAGAGTCGAAGAAGGGACCATTAGACAATCAATCCTCTCACAGAGATCAAGAAAAAAAAATGACGATCTTGGGGTGCATCCGGTTGGCTGTTGAGCCAAAGTCCGGAAGAAAGACAACAAAGGGCCGCGATGAGGAGGTCGGCATGGTTGAGGTATGGAAAACAGACAGGGACAAGGAAAGGGAGAAGGGAGGAAAAGAAAGCACATCCACATCAACAACACCAACGGGGACTTTAGAAAGACATAATGATCCAATCGCGGATTCAGTGGGAAAAGGAGAAACGATTATGCTTCTTGTGTGTGTGTATGTGTGTGTGTGCTCACTCCACAAATCAAAGATTTTTTTTTTTATGACACGACAGCATTTTTTTTTTTTTTTTTGTGTTATATCAAGCAGACCTCGACGGCTTTGTTATCTTCTTTCTTCCTTCTTCTCTCCTCATCCACCTTCCCCCCTACCACACCACCACCGCCACCACCCCTCCCTTCACCTAAACTCAAACCCACACTCGTATTCACCATGAGATTAGTCATTCGCAAGGACTTTGAGGCCGTCTCCTACCACGTCGGTAAGTATCACCCCTGCCCTCCTCCGATCTTCATTGCGCCCGTTCGCAGGCCCATTGGCCCACCATTGCCACTGGGCTTTTTCATTTTTTTTATTTCACTTTATTTTTTTTCGCGATTTCTTGGTCTCAAAGATTCGTTGGTGCTCATTTTTATCTATATTGCCGATCTTTATCTATCGCTTCCTTGCAGCCAAGTACGTCAAGGAGCGCATCAAGGAGTTCGCTCCCACCTCCGCCAAGCCTTTCGTCCTTGGACTCCCCACCGGTTCCTCGCCCATTGGCGTCTACAGAAACCTGGTCAAGTTCCACCAGGCCGGCGAGCTTTCTTTCCAGCACATCATCACCTTCAACATGGATGAATACGTCGGATTGCCCAGGTACAGTGCATACATATCGACGCTATTATTATTTTCGTGCTATTGGGACCAGGGCAGTGGAATAATGATCTGCTCGATAAGAAAAAAGATGAGTGAGGGGAGGAAGGAAACCCGTAAAAATGCAGGGTTCACTTGCACCCTCATGATGTCTGAAAGGCTTCTCAAGTATCGAGTTCGAATTGGGTCAAGTCCGATCAAGGCGACTCGGAAAGAACAACAGAAGGGATTGACCATTAAGACACCAAAGCACTAAAGATCTCACAGGAGCGCGGGAATTTTTTTTTTTTTGTTATGCAGACACCACAGGGCTGGGTGATATCATTGCAGCCTGCAGGGAAACTTCGTTGTGTGAATGCACATACACTAACGCTCACATCCACGCCTTGCTTGTACCATGCATACAGGGACCATCCCGAGTCGTATCACTCCTTCATGTGGAGCAATCTCTTCAAGCACGTCGACATCCTTCCCGAGAATGTTCACATCCTCGACGGCAATGCCAACGACCTGGATCTCGAGTGCCAGCGCTACGAGGAGAAGATCGCCGCCGTCGGTGGTATTGAGCTCTTCTTGGGCGGTATCGGTCCCGATGGTCATATTGCCTTCAACGAGCCCGGCTCGTCCCTGAACTCCCGCACCCGTGTCAAGACCCTTGCCTACGATACCATCGTCGCCAACGCTCGCTTCTTTGATAACGACATTACCAAGGTTCCCAACCTGGCCTTGACCGTCGGTGTTGCGTAAGTGCATTTTATATACTTTGTCTGCGTTTCTTGCGAATGTAAGGACCGTTCTCTGTCCAGTTTCGTACAAACGAGAGCCCTCCTTCCGCAACATGTGCCCGACAAATCGACCTCTCTTCGATTTCCAACGACATTGAGGAAAAAGAAAATGGACAGTTGTCGGGACAGTTGGACTGGGACGTGAGCTGGGACACGAATTGGAAGTAGCGGAGGGACAACTAAGTGATACGTTGCAGTAACGATCTCCCCCGCCCCCCCTCCCATCTACTTCACTCAATCAGAAGAAGGTTGCATGACCAGGTATCAATATCAAGCATCTGACTGAAACCTTTTTTGTCTGTTCACTCCCTTCATTCATTCGCTTGTAGTACTGTCATGGACGCCCGCGAGGTCTGCATCATCATCACCGGTGCCCACAAGGCCTTGGCTTTGGCCAAGTGCATTGAGGAGGGTGTCAACCACATGTGGACTGTCTCTGCCATCCAGCTTCACCCACGTGGAATGATTGTCTGCGATGAGGATGCCACTCTGGAGCTCCACGTCAAGACCGTCAACTACTTCAAGTCGATCGAGAAGGTTCACGAGCAGCTCATTGGATCGGACAACGTCGGCTTGCAGGGCGGTGTTCGCTCGTGGCGCGGTGGTGCTGAGTCCACCTATCACCAGTAAAGGTGCTTAGGAAGGTCTTGCTCATATCCCCCACCCCGCCCCATTTATCCTCCTCCGTTAATTGCTCTGTAATCAATCGCTGTTCATCATATCTTCTTTCTTTCTTTGTTCTCTGTCAGTGATCAACGGCAGAAGTCTTGTACAAATCAAACCATTTTTTCCAGCTAGAAAAAAAAATGTCATAATAAACTTCCCCAATCAAAGCAAAAATCTATTGTCAAAAAGTGGTCGAGTTTATGGGCATCTATGATACATAGAGGGTGGAGAGGGTGAATGGCACCTAAGGCTTCACTTTCGACACATCCGCGTACAAATCAAAACGGCGCTGGGTCGTAAGAGGAATGCTCTGGCGGAACTCTGTCATCATTGTCTGGTCTAAATGCGCGTTGAACAACACATATCATCTTAGCTTTCGGGTTGTCTAACAAAATGTCTACACTAGACAGACAACATTCAAAAAAAAAAAAAAAAAAAAAAAAAAAGCTCCCATAGTCCTTACCGAGATCAGCATAGATGATACCCTGTTTCTCCTCCATGGTCTGAAGCACATCGCCAGCAGGGCCCACGATCGTCGAATGACCCCAAGCGTGATAGGACGCGTCCAAGTCGCGAGCTGGTGAACAAGCGGCCACGAAGATCTGGTTATCAACAGCCCGAGCGCGCTGGAGCAGTTCCCAGTGCAACGGTCCTGTAGTCATGTTGAACGCGCCCGGGTAGATCATCGCGAAGCATCCTATGGAAAACACCAGCATGTCTGCGTTCAGTTGCAATGTCCCTTCCTGTTTATGATGCTTTGTACAAAAAAAAAAATTGTCCTCGAACCTTGACGAGCGGCAATCATGGCCGGTTCTGGGAAACGGATATCGTAGCAGATACCAACACCGATCTTGCCGAAATCTAGGGTCGTCCCATTGAAATAAATAAAAATAAAAATAAAATACCAAGGCAGGCGGTCATTAGAATGCTTCTATCCCAACAAGACAATACTAGACCGACCGTCCTTTCTACCGTCGCGGTCGCGATTATGTGCAGTGTAATGTTGGGAGATTCAAAATATGTCGTCCAGCTACATTGCGAACCGTGAGAAACCAAAAAAAAAATCAAATCAAATCAAATCAAATCAAATACCTGTATCAACATGAGTCAAATGATTGCCCGCCGTCAGCGTCTCGCTCTCCTGGAAGCGGATCTTGCCCGGGACATCAATATCGAACAAATGCACCTTTCGGTGTGTCGCAATCTTCTCTCCCTCAGGATTATAGACCGTGCAGGTGTTGTAGATGTTGTCGTCCGTAGGATCGTGTTCTGGGATCGAACCTCCGATCAGGTAGGCCTTGGCTTCCTGAATATAACAAAGAAAAGAAAGGAAAAAATAACCATAGAAGGGACAAGCGTCAATTGAACTGCTGGAGTGAAAGGTGGTGCGCTCCACAAGAGGCTAATTTTCAAGTAACAGATAAATGCTTGAATGGAGGGATGGAAGAAGCGCTGTGGGTTACCTTGGCCATGGCAGAGAGTGCCTTGACTGAAGGACCGTCCTTCGCGCTTTCGGCGTACTCTGGAAAGAACTTTGTACCATATGGCGAGTTGAAGCATTCCTAGAATGAGGACCATATGGGACCACATGATGTAAGCAGCAAAGTCTTGGTCTGCAATGACCCTCAGGTGTTTTCGCATTGCAAACCGGCCGGTTTGGTTTGGCAAGGTTACCGGAAGGACAATCAGGTTGGCGCCATTGGATGCAGCCTCGAGGACATGCGTGCGGGCGTTGGCGAGATTCGCATCCTTGTCTGCGGTGACAGCCAACTGGACGAGGGCTAGTCTGCAGGGCTTCATGGGGGCGGGCGAGGTCATGGTGGAGAGGGTCCTGAAGGAGTGTTTGAAAGAGGAAACAGCGCGCAGCATGAGAGGCAAAAAAGAGCAGGTGGTGGGGAAGTTGAAGACCAGAGGGCCAACTGGGGCGGTCAAAGGGCCGGGCGTGGGTCAATTGATCACGTGTAGGCCAGGTTCATTTTTGGCGGCGTTAAAAAAAAAGTGTAAAAGGTTCCTGGCCCTGGGGGAATGGATGAGTTCCTCCTCTTACTTTTACATAGCAAAAGGTGTGTGTCCCAACTGAAGGGGGGGACCATCAAGCATCCATCCATTGACGATAATCCATCCATCGACCCCATCACGTCCTCATCTCATCGACCTAGCTCACCCTCCACCCCTCCCTCTACTCTTGTCGTCGGCGTCCATTTGCCATTCTTCCATCGATCGTTACTCCTCTTGCGCAAAATTTTCAGGACACACGACATGAGTGGATGAAGCATCAACATACCCCACTTCAGGGCAGCGACCCACCCATCTTCATCCCTCCTTCCTCATTACAACAGCTCATTCTCTTTCATTTTGTTCAACTATCTCGTCAGAACTGCTCTCATCGCCCCCCGCATCTAGGCATATGATCTGCTTCGATCCGCTCGATCAGTCAAAGTCAAACATGCAGGGTGGTGACACATCGCAGGCTGGCCTGGACAAGGACCCATTCCTTTATGAATCCTCGCTTTCCTTTCTCTAGTCGTATTTCACTCTTGATAACGGCAAGGAAGAGATGAAAACGGGCGACTCTCATATGAGCAATTGGTATTCTTCCCCCTTGACACTAACCCCTCCCCTTCCTGTCTGATACTTTTAACTTCATCAGAAGCATATCAAAATGGTCCGCATCTCCGTCTTGAACGACTGCCTCAACAACATCAACAACGCTGAGAAGCGTGGCAAGCGCCAGGTCTTGATCCGTCCTTCCTCCAAGGTCATCGTCAAGTTCCTGTCCTTGATGCAGAAGCACGGTACGTTGGCATCCAAATTGAACCATTATCTCGTTTTCTGTTTTCTGTTTTCATTTTTTTTTTCATTTCGTCTTTTGTGTCCTTTGTCAAGCCGGAATGAATACTTGGATGAGTGTTACTTCAAGCTTTCAGTATCACAACATTTGTTCTTTTTTTTAAAAACTATTCCGAAAAACCAACCTTACGCCCGATATAAGCTGCTGCGCCCTCTTTTCAATTCATCCTTGTCAATGGCCTTCAGTCTATAACAGGCGAAGACATTCCTACACCGTGTTCACAATCATTGAATCAGAAAATGAAAGACGAGCATTTGTGCATACACGGACACAGAACCTAAACACAATTTTTGTCATCTGACATATGATGTAGGTTACATTGGCGAGTTCGAGGAGATCGACGACCACCGCTCCGGCAAGATCGTTGTCCAGCTCATTGGACGCATCAACAAGACCGGTGTCATCTCGCCCCGCTTCAACATCAAGTTGAACGAGCTCGAGAAGTGGATTGCCCGTCTCTTGCCTTCCCGCCAGTTCGGTTACATCATCCTCACCACCTCGGCCGGTATCATGGACCACGAGGAGGCCCGTCGTCGCCACACCGGAGGAAAGGTCTTGGGTTACTTCTACTAAAGCCCCTGTGCCCCCTAGGATCAGGAAATAATAACCTCATTTTCTCAGTCTGAAATAAATCGTTTTTGGATTTGGAATCAACACAACAGTCAGTTCGAGTATGGGATGTCTACTGGATGAATACATTGAGAAAAGATCGACTCTTGGTATTATACTCTGGCTATTTGCTATTTGGGGATTCATTATTATGGAGCTGACTACATAGCGGTAGTGATCCGCTGCTGTGTTTGGCTGCGTTCCTGGTTTTCCGGTTTCCAAAAAAAAAAAAATTCGTCTGCTCGAAATTCTGCTTCGCCCAATGAACCTGAACCAATATTGAGGCAATATTGAGGGTCGGTGGTGGTGGTGGTGGTTTGAAAAATATATATACAAAAATATCGAGGACACACAGCTCATCCTCCTTCGTACGCTTCACACTCTGTTCGTGTCCTTGCGTGTGTGTGTGTGCGTGGGTGCTTCGCCTCCTCCCCTGTGCTTATTGCAGTTCAGTATCGACCTTTTGATTGATATCCAGAAGTCGGACCTGGTGCATGGCTGGCAGTTTTGCAATCAGATTAATGACCGTGGCAATAAATGTGATCGAGAACGCGAATGGGGCGTAGTGAGTGTAATGTGTGCTTAGAAGGAACCTAATCCGCAACAGGCAGTACAACAAATTAAAAAAATTGTCAGATATAAAGATCAGGAAGGGCTTGGCTGACCAAAAAGACTTCGGCGTTTTTGTTTGTAAAGATGCATGCAAGGTCATGTCACCCCAGATGAAAAAGAATAAACATCATTTGGGCCCGTTCTGCATTAAGCACGAGCAATCTCTGTGCCCTGAACAAAGGCAAGGCAACAAATAAATGAAAGACCAATTCATGCAAAGGTCCTTTTGGCACTGTTTGAATAAACATCTTTTTTTTGGTCCGCTGCGTGATATCTGCATCCAACTTGTTGGCTGAACAAGCGGCACTGTACACGCTCCATGACATGGTTCATGTTTTGTGGGGGTCGTGTGTTCATTTTGTGTTCCTACACCAATTGCCTATCCCGTTTAAGATTTGTCAACCTGGTTCTCCAGCGCGAGCACGAGGAGAACCGCGTGCAATAACAAGATTCCTGATCCTGGCCGTCAATTATGCCAAGGAAAAAAAAAAGCGATATAAACAAATAACCATAGCAGCGAACACTTACAGGACAATCGGCACAGTTGTGAGATACTTGCGCGTGGCCGTGAATTGAACGCCTCCATCAATCTGCTCCCAGAGCGTGATCCCGTCATAGGCGCCCTGTGAGAACTCGAACGGTACGCCGGTCACCGCATGGAACATTATGTAGCTTCCCTAATGTCATCCAAGCACAAAAGTCGATATGGCCGTCGCGATTAGAAGACGTTTGTTAGTCTAGATTGCGGAGCCTTTTTCGAGGTTCTCGACTGTTGGGGGAGGGTCAAAATAAGAAGCCTCGAGGTCTCATTTTTTAACGTTCCGGCGAACTGGTATGATCGCATGACACACACACACTCTCTCTCTCACCCCCCACACGACAAAAGATTTCTGTCCGAACCAATAACCCAAGCCCAGCATCGAAGGAATCAAGACAGGCACAAAAACCAAGCAAATAAAACTTACGACGTTGTAGGTCAGGGTGGTCAGGGTCCATGACAGCTCCGGTGAGATCCCCGGGATGATTCCAAAGAAGAACTTGATGAAGAAGATAATCACGAAATTGGTCATCCATGCTCCTATACACACAAAGTCAGCATTGCAAAAGCGCACAAAAGCGGTGCAAGCCGAGGTTAAACATATGAGCTTTAGAACAGAGACATGAAACCAATCCTAATTGAGCACGCAAAGTAATTTCTTGGCATCCGTTTGCAGTTCTTCGGGTCCCAATACATGGGTAACGGGTCGGTGACGCGGATAAACGGGAAAAGGGAAGCGAAGAGGAGAGGAGGATATACGTGGCATAGTGTCGATCTTTTTTGGTTTTTGATTTTTGATTATTATTTTTTTTTTCTCTGGAAGCGCCGTACCTTTGTCGTTGACCCAGGAAGAGTTGAGGTTCATCTGTGAATGTTGATCGAGGACTTGGACATAGTCCATCTTATACATTGCTGCCAGGGTCATGGTTGATAGTTAAGGCGATACTCGGCGGTAAGCAGGATTCAGTGGGATATGTGTCTCGGGATGGATGTTTTGTGGGTCGCAAGGGCGAGAGTGTGTATGGTGATGGTGAAAGAGTGAGGGGAAGTGGACAGAAGAAGCGAAAATAAACGGGCGCAGTTCCAATACAATTTATATATCGGGTGAACGGAATCATACGCCCAAGACGGCAGGGCAGGCAGCAAGCCATTTTAATCCTCGCGCTGCCAACTCATCCCTGAAGGTCTTCTCCACCATTCTCCTGCAGTAATGTATTTCATTTCCTCGCATATGAGCATCCGAAACAACCTGTTGCTTTATTCGTGCACCTCGTGGATTCGAATTGCTACTAATAGCAAGGACCGCAAAGTGCAAAAAAAAAAAAAAAAAAAAGAAAGGGCTTCAAGGAACTCATCATGCCCCCATACGAACTCGCTTCACGCCAAAGATCCCGCCATCCAAATAAAGCAGTCGCACTGCTGCGCTTACTGGTTTCCAATCCTACATCATGATCCTGCCGTCGTCATTGTCGCTGCTGCTGCTGCTGCTGAGCAACACACATCACGGCAACAATCAAAGCGGTCGTGGCAGCAATCGTCAAAGCATCAATCATCAGAGCAGCTGCCTCGATCCCATCGCTTCTGCACCGTAGATGACGTTGGCGCCGGATTAGATTCAGGCACAGAAGCAGGGACAGGTTTAAACATGGACGAGATCAGATCAATTGAGTGCTAGGCATGCCCATGCTCGAAGGGTTCGTCCATTAGCTTCCTTCCCTACCGGCACCGACCGCGGATGTAGTAGCGGAGCCCGAAGGGACAGCGACGATGGAGTCGGCCGACACCATGAACCACGATGCAGTCAGGGCAGCGAAGGAATAGATACGAATAGCGTTCTTGGAGGTACAGGTCAAACATGGTTAAATAAAGAAATGTAAGACTCGTTGGAGAGTGCGACATTGAGCTTTGCTCTTTGCTTGGGTAGCGGAGGCAGAGGACAAGAGCAGCAGCAGCTCGATATTTATGGACAATGACCCTCTGGGTGCAAGGTGACACCGGAGCTGAGGGTAGTGATAAAGCGACTGCGTTCAGGTTCATGTACGCGTCTTTCCGCCATGGCCGTGCAGGTTTGAACGGGCCGAGAATTTCGAACTTGTGCAACAATCGGCCTCCTTTTCAAAAACGGAGAATCGCGTTCGTGCTTGCAACTCATATAGACCAGACTGACGACTATGCCGTGCTCGCCCTATGCAAGCATCCAACACGCTATGCATTTTTATTTCTGGTGAATAGAGCTGCCCGCTCACACCGCACCGATGGTTTCGCCCCGAACTCACACAGGCTAACGAGAAATAGTAGTCGAGACACCGAAATTACGGCCAAGTATGAAAGAAGGCTCTAAAATACCGACCGCGGTCGAGGAACATGCCTTCGTTCCTGATTCCCGATAGAAATTCGATCTTCAATCGTGGAGAAAGATTTTTCAGCGGGCATCTGAGAGGCCTCATGAGGACGGGACGATCACGCACTGCGTAGGCATATGTGAAGTTCCGGGGAGGCCTTAACAGACGAGGTCGGATCAAGAGTGGCCCCCTATGACAATCACTTGATGCGATGGAACGCTCGGAAATCTTGGTGTGTGCCCAAAAACGTCAATACGCCAACATCCGAAACCCCCTCTCCCCCCCTCCCTGGGAAACAAACCATGGAAACGGAAGGCCCGTATTTTTTCTTTTCACGGGGTGAACACTCGAGAATAACGCAATAGTGTGGGAGGAAACAGCTACGCCTAGGTTTCAAGCGATGGCGCCGCAGACTTAAAACCGGCCTATGCAGCCTCTCTGCGCATCTCCTAGGATACTTTTCGCGTCGCGCACCGCCGTCGTGTATATAATAGGAAGGGATTCAGGTGCGACTGATCTCCCGGGAAAACAACAACAAAAAAACATTGCAAGAGCACAGGTATTCGTTCGTAAAGTTTAGCAGGTGCAGGTGGAGGAGGTACAGAGGTGAAAAGAATCCCAGGAAGGTGCAGAAACGTCCATCGTTCTGCGCGAAATATAATAACCCTCACAGTACGTAGATTCGTGAGGGGGTTTATTTTGACTTTCTGTCGATGCCCGTGACCAAGAACACATTGCAGGGATGTCTCTCTCTTTCCTGCCAGTGCCCTCCGGAATAGAATGAGATGAGGACGGGGATGTGGGAGGAGAGGGGCAGGGGGAGCATGAGTGGATCAGAAACCATGGGTCTCGCTTGGTCCTAGGTCTCTGCTCATGGTCTGTAGCCTTGTGCCAAGGCAGGCAGGGTCATGTAGTTCTAGTTCCAGGAGACAAGAATAGGCGCCCCTTTGACGTCGAATGGAATTCTTACATCGAAAAAGAAAGAATTTGCTTTCTAGCAGTAGAAGGGCGTTCATGGAAGCCCTCTATGGAACCAGCACTGAGATCGAACAAATGGAAGCAGGCCATAGGTCTTTCTAAATCTATTAAAAAAAAAATTCTATGTATTCTTCCGCCTTGCTGCTTAGCCGAAGCTTGGCACCCCATCGACAATGGATTCCAAATTTCTAAATTTATTTGTCGTCGACAGCTGTAGGCTGGAGCAACAAGACAGGTCAAAGACAGCAGTAAGCCCATACGCCAATATTACGTACAGCCCTGAGGAAGGGGCATCCATATCGGTGTTCTATGGCTTCTTTTGGAAAAGTGAGGGGAGTCATTGCTCATTGTCAAGGACCCTTCTATCGAAGGACTCGATGGAAGTGTTCCGTGCGCATGGGGACAAACATGCCAGTAGCCGGCATGGCATTATAAAAAGACCATCCCTTCCCTCGCATTTCCCAACACAACAACATCTTCAACTACTACTACTACTACTACTACTACAGCAACAACAACAACAACAGTAACAGCAACAGCAACAGCAACAGCCATCATTTCGATCCAACACTTGTCAACCAACACCCCAGCCTCATACCTCATCATATCCAACACAATGGTCGATATTGCTTCCTCACCCACGGTGCCCACCAACACCATCACCATCACCAACCTCGAGAACCACCACTTTGAGCCCACACTCCTGCTTGCCCTCCGCACACAGACAGAGGCCTTTGGCCAGGTCTGTTACTTCTCCCCGATCAAGTCCTTCCACCGAGTCTTTGTCGTCTACCACTCTGTCTTTGATGCCCAGAAAGCCAAGGCATTCCTCCACAGCACCCGCTTTGAGGACACCACACTTCGCGTCTACTTTGGCCAGCACACCGAACTGTCCATTGACCCCGAAAAGTACTACCTCCACCTGCCAGAGCACGTCCAGGTCAGCACCGAAAAGACCGGCTTGATCTCCCCTCCCGGATCTCCACCTGTCTGCCATATTGAAGACGATGATATGGATACGATCGAAAATCTCTCCTTGGATGATATTACTCCGTCGCCTACACCATCCACCTTTTCACCAACATTAATCCCAAGCGAAACCACCCAGTATCAACATATCCTCAAACTTCGCATCGATACCCTTTGCACACCCTCGTCCTCCTCCTCGTCACTCCTCTCTGCACCTCGATCCCCCATCACCCCAACCCGCTTGGCCTTCTCGCCCGCTAAGGAATCCCAAGGCGAGCAGCCCTTCATCACTGTCCAGGACTGGGCCTCTGCAACACCTTGCTGTTAGACTCACATTTACCCGACTATTATAATATAGAATAAAATAATAAAACCAAGCAACACTCGAATTAAAATATAACCAAGTATAACTTTATTTTTACTCCTTCCTAAAAGGCTGATCGTTTTTCCCCACAGAAGATTATGTCTTTTTTTTTTTACAGCTCGTCCTTGGTCGAGGGAGCAACGGCGTTAAAGACCGTGATGATGTTGTGGCGGATCGAAAACTCATCCAAACGAGCCTTGTTGACAGACTTGTTCTTGATGATCTTTGCCAAACGCGCAGCCTCCGTGGCCGCATAGTTCTCCGTCGACAAGGCCTTCTCAAAGAAGCGGCCGTAGTACTTTGCGCTCGCATGCGTCAACTTCGAGGCCGCCTCAATGGCCTTTTCGCTGATCGACTTCTTCTCGTCCTTGTCCTGCGACTTTACAAACTGCTGGGCCAGCAAATCCAGCTCAGCAATGCGGCCCGCATCAGGATGCAATCCTCCGCCGACAACACGCTGGGTACCGGCCTTGGCGTTGATAAAGTCCAAAAAGTCCTGCTCACTGCGTCCGCCGTTATAGTCCTCGACCTTGCCGTCGGCAGTGAAGAACTTGATGGTGGGGTATCCGGTAACGCCGTACTTGTCAGCGACCTTCTTCTCAACCGTGGCGTCAACATTGGCGATCAAAACAGTCTGTGAAAAAAACAACATGAAGTCGAAAACATTAGTCCCCATAGCCTTTTTGATGCAGTCGATACGTATATACCACAGTCAGCAATCCTTGGGCGCCGCAATTGGAGGCTGTGCTTACGTTCTTGTCATTGGAAAAGTCCTGGGCGACCTTCTCGTAGGTAGGAGCTATTCAATTTTTTTCACAAAAGTAATATTCGCATTAGCATCATCTCACAATCAAATCTATTCTCAAAATCATGAAGCATTGCGAACAACAACATACCCAAGTTCTTGCAATGTCCGCACCATGGGGCATAGAACTCGACCAAAGCGCTCTTTCCACTCTTCAAGACCTCCGACTCAAAGGTAGCATCTGTCAGGACAGTGACCGCGGGGATGACCTTGACAATCGAAGACTTGACACCCGATTTCTTTGTGACGAACGACGACAACGAGTCCAGATCGCGTCCTCCAGTGTAATCCTCGGGTTCGCCCTCGACTCCCTTGGGGAACCACTTGAGCGTGGGGAAACCCTTGACGTCGTAGCGGGATCCGAGCTCGCGGTGGGCATCAGCATCGACCTTGACGATCTTCACCTTATCCTGCTTGCCGCTGAAGGCTTCACCGAGTTCCTCGTAAATCTGAGGGCGGAGAAGACAAACATCAAGAGAAAGGAGAGGGGGGAAGAGGAATATGGGGCATGAGCTCTTCCGTGCTATCCGTGACCCGCTCGTACTGAGATGGGGTAGCGCTTATAACGCTAATGTAGACAAACCGCAGAAAAGTAGGGGCTGGGAACTTACGGGAGCAAGGTTCTAATGATAGAGTGACACGTATGCGGGTAAAAGGGGCATTAATAATCGTTGGCTGTTTCGATTGCGATACCATCGATCAACTCTGGGAAAAGAATAATAAAGACGTATATCGTTCGTTACCTTGCAATGTCCACACCAAGGAGCATAGAACTCAACAAGGGCTGGAGTGGAGCCAATAGACTGAACACATGAACAAAAAGAGGGTCGTTGAGAATGTTAGAACATGCACTGCACTTTACTGGCACTACTGATAGAGCCCTTATGAGATCGAAGATGATAGCGTGCCTTGTCAAAGTCCTTGGGGGTGAGGGCCAGGACGTTGTCTGCAGCGACTGTGGCAGCGAAAGAGAGGACAGTGGCGATGGCGCCATAGAGAATCTTTTTTCCCAACATGTTGATGATGTTGATGTATGATGTGGGTGTGCGGGTTGATGGGGAGGGCAAGGTTGACGAGCGTCTTTTTATGTGTCTCTGGGGTACTCATTAAGGGTCAGGCCCTACACTGCCAGCTTTGCCTATTCGGGTTGGAACCCGAGGAGGGCCCAATCTGTCTACGTGCAAAAGCAACGCTGTCATCAAGACGTAGAGACGTAGAAGGGTTTCCTTCGAGGAAAGTGAGGTGAAGCAGTCCATGATGGTTACGCATGTGGGACCCTATCTGAACGGATTGGACCAGTAGAGGTCCAACTTGGGACATTTTCCCTGTACTGTCGGTATTTGTATATCGTCCTGAACGCCCTCATTTCTGTTCAACTTGTCATATTGAAGCAAGGATGCTACATCACGATGCACACCTTCATCATTGCTGGGAATGCATCTTTTCGCGTTCTTTTTCTACAAAAGTGAAGAAGCTGTGGAGTTGTGAGACACCACGCTATGCAGACCCTTTTTTTATCTACCCCGGATTGTCTCAGTGCAAAATTGGTGGCAAAAAAAGCAGAACGCGTCCAAGGCACGCATTTTTGTATCCTCATCTCGATGTCTAGTGGCGAAAATGCTTCCAGGGATACCGATCCTCAAACCCTTCACAACATCCTTGCCATAACCATAGCCCCGAAAATCCCAGAAAGAAAAACGGCTTGTGGACAGCCGCCTTGGCAGCGTAAAAGAACGAGAAAGTGCGTATGGGCTCATGCAATCATGCATGTGTGGTCCAGTCGCGCGTGTTAAGGGCCGAGAACGCGGTCTGTTTGTTTTCTCTATCCGCCTATTCGCAGCTCTCCTCATCTCTCTCTTTTTTTCTTTCTTCATCATCTTTCCATTCTCTCCACCTCATCATCATAAACATAATGTCTGATGCCAAGCACAACGCCATGACCGCCCCTCGTCCTGCTGATAAGGAGTGCATCGAGGGTACGTTCCAAAAGCCAAGTCAGAGGCTGTTATTGTTATATTGAGGAACGATAATCCGAGCACATCCTTACAACCTATTCTTTCTACCACACTAGTCTTCCGCACCGTCAAGGACGAGGTCCTGGCAGAGATCCACCGCATCAACCGCGAGGACGACCGCCACGGCCTTCACGAGATGGACAAGCGTAGGATGCGAGCGGAAGGATCTTTATTGGATAGGTGTAATTCGGTATTCGAGAGTCTTTGACTGATCTCCCGCGCCTTATTTACCTCATCTAGTGAAGCACATCTCCGAGTACACCCCAGTCTTGTACGCCACTGAGGATGTTGCCTTTGGCCGGTAAGTTCAAGTCGCGTAGATTCTTATTTCTGCTTTTGGCTTGGACACATCTATCTTTAACTACAGCTCGAGGAACTCATCTTTATGCCTGGGGTAATTTGAATACTCTTTAGTAACTACTTTGCCAAGATCCATCTCGGCGATGAGAAGTACATCCATGCCCGGTAAGCCCGACTCATTTTTTTTTTTTGACGGATTGCATACATGAAAGATGTCAGCGAAAGGACGCAAAGACTCACCTATCTTATCTTTTATTTTTTATTTTTTTATTTTTTGCAAAATGCTCCCCACCCCGTGTCTCGACGCGAATAGTGCCCATAAGAGCAACGAGGGCGTCATCGACTTTTACATGCTCCATACCACCCCCGAGTGCGCAGTCTGGGAGAAGGATACCCCTCTCGAGTACTTCATCGACTAAATCCCTTGCTGTTTGCAAGAAAAAACATCCGTGAAGGAGTCGCGAATGGTGTCTAAATAGATGCCTTGTCGCGCGACAAGAGCGCCGTATCGATGAATAAACAAAACGCAATATTTGTATTTTTTTGGAATGCAATTGAGCTTCGCCATGGATAAAGGCGACGCATGTGCGTAATAAAGGGAGGCGCACTCGATCTCATGACCCTACTGATCGTATGGGGGGAGGGGGAAAGCCGCATTTGTGGCTGGCCTCATTTTCAGGAGCTACACAGAATTGACTTTATCATTTGGCGCACAGATGCAACGGCCCCCCCTTGAAATCCCATTTCTAAACCCATAACCCCATCCTTTCATTTCCATTCCCATTCCTCTCTCCTCCCTTTCCAACCCCAGGATTCATTCTACCGCGCGGGGCACCTTCAGTATACCACCTAACATTACTCTACAGAAACGATACATAAAGCTTTCACCTTCCAGGACCTACACAGAAACCTTCTCCTGTAAACCACCACGAAGAGCGCGCCTACAAAAAAAAAAAAAAGAAGAAAAAAAAGGAAGAATGGTGCTGGACCTTGACGCATGCATAGAATCCCTCTTCCAACGGCAACTCCTGGCCGAGTCCGTGATCAAGGAGATCTGTGAAAAGACAAAAGAACTTCTCATGTCTGAGAGCAATGTCGTCCATATCAAGGCGCCAGTCACGGTCGTGGGCGATATCCATGGGTAAGACAAGGGGGACCGGGGGGAGGGGGCGCACCACGTGGTGATCATAGACTCGAGCAAAGCAAGGGGGGGGGGCATGAAGAGATGCTTTGTTATCCATGTGAACGGAAGTGAATCCAAGCTGAATGTCCTCTTTGTGCAACATCTAGGCAGTTCTACGATCTACTCGAGATATTCAAAATAGGTGGATACTGCCCCGATACGAACTATCTCTTTCTCGGTATGGGATACCTTTTGTTTTCTGGCGATCATGCCAATGATTCTTTTCATGGAGACTCCGACTAATCCTACCTAACTACTTTATATATATATATATAGGCGACTATGTGGATCGAGGACTGTACAGCGTGGAAACCATCTCTATCCTGACATGTCTTAAGCTGCGCTACCCAGACAGAGTCCAACTCGTCCGCGGCAACCACGAATCGCGTGCGGTGACTCAGGTAGGGGCTGCACTTGGATGTCCCCTTAAACTTTCAACTATTTGATATTGATACGATTTTATATTTTTGCAAATGACTGAACATGGGATGATCGTCTTTTGCAATGGCACTCTTTGATAGACATATGGATTCTACACAGAGTGCATGAAGAAATACGGCAGTGCGCAGGTGTGGCACTACTTTACAGATCTCTTTGACTACCTCACACTCTCGGTCGTCATCGACAACATGATTTTTTGCGTCCATGGGGGTACGCGATTCGATTGAAGAAGCAAAATGCTAATGGACCGATACGAAAAAAAAAAAAAAAAAAAATGAAAAACATGGCAGAAACTGCTTGCGGACAAAATTAATTTAACAGATACTTTGATGATGTTTTATTATATTTTATTTTTCGCTCATAGGGTTGTCGCCATCCATCCACACAATAGACCAGATCAAAGTTATGGATCGCTTCAAAGGTGGGGGTTGTCTCTTTGTTGAACTGAAATTAATTTGGACTATGCCGAAATATGAACCTTGAGGGTTTTTGCAGTCTCCTAACGCTCTCCTTGTGGTTGTGGTTGTGGTTGTGGTTGTGGTTGTGGTTGTAGAAATCCCGCATGAAGGTCCCATGGCGGATCTCGTGTGGTCTGACCCGGATCCAGGACGAGAAGAATTTGCAGTCTCACCGAGGTAACCCCTCCTCGCAAAAACAATATCCAACCCCGTGCTTTTTATCGGACCCCAGTATTACGGCGAAAAAAAGACATTGCAACGATTTTGCAACAGCTCCTGACATAATATCTACTTTTATTTATTTTGTTTCTTTTTTTTTTTTCGCGACCGAAAAAAAAAAAAAAAAAAAAACAGAGGCGCAGGATACACATTCGGAAGTTTGGTGGTCGAGAAATTCCTGCACGAGAACGGGATGGACCATATTCTGCGCGCACACCAGCTCTGCATGGAAGGTTTCCAAGTTCTCTTTGACGACCGACTCTCGACCGTTTGGTCCGCACCGAATTATTGTTACCGCTGTGGCAATCTCGCCTCGATCCTCGAGGTCGGCGTCGAGGGCGAGCGGCATTTTAATGTCTTTGAGGCCGCACCAGAAAACGAGCGGCCATCCGCTGCAGAATCACACCGGACCCTGTTTTCGAACGGTGTGCCGACGGGCCTGTTTAGTAATGGGATCGGCACCATCGCTACCGGGGATGGAGTAGGCGTAAACACTAATGGTGGTCTGGGCTTCTCAAACTCGTCCGATCCAGTTCAGGTAATGGTCGTGTGTTCTGTTCAATTCCTCGAGCAACTTTTCTTTTTTTTTTTTCTTCTTTTCTTTACGGGATAATGGCGTCTAACATCTCTTGCTCTCTGCTTCCCTTTTGCATGTCATTTTTATCCATAGGATACAATCCATTATTTTTTGTGAGCTGGGACGTTGCTGCTCCAACTTTACATCCTAAGAAAAAAAACTCATGTATGATAAGATGGCGCACAATAGATCCAATACCTTTCTTCAAGTTTACAATTTTCCTGTGAATGATGTATTTTACAATTTCAAAATAAAAGTACAAGGCGACCGAACAAAAACAACAAAAACAACGACAACGAAGATAAAAAGTATGTAAAGTTAACCACTGGGGCTTAGAGGTCGCACTTGGTACCCATGGCAGCCTGGCAGATGCCGATGGCAGCAATGCCTCCAAAGAAACTATACTGCACGACCTTGGTTTTGCTCCTGCCTACGCACTTGATAGCCTGGGGCCACATTCCGTTGACGGCGATGGACGACATCATGCCTGCCACCATGGCATAAATACATCCTGTTGCTGAGACCTGCCACCCCATACTCTCCACCTTGTGGAGAATAAACCAGCCCAATACTGCGCCCAATGGTTGTGAAAGTCCACCCAAGGCTGCGGCGAGGGCGAATGCCTTTGTCCGAGAGTGGAGTCCGATGTAGAGCGGGAACGCAATCAAATAGCCCTCGATCAGATTGTGAACCGCGATCGCCATGAACACAGAGAAGCCCAGGCAGGGATCTGCAGTCGTTGATAGAAATGTAATCAACCCCTCTAATCGCGTGCAAAATATTAAGGTACCATTAAGGTTCATGTTCATAGTATGGGTTCATTGCCTCGCAACCAAAAAAGGATCTAGATCTTATCATACCTGGGAACTTGTGAATAGCGATAGTGAGGGCAGTCTGAATTCCAACCTCTGTCAAATCAGCGTGTTCGCGGTCGTCAGCTCCAGCATGGTCAAGGACATCATGCTTTGAGTAGATCGTGCTCGCACCCTTCAACCGCGGGAAAGAAGTACGGCGAAGATGTGCTCCTTGCTCAGGACGAGGGAACGAGGGTAATGATCCAGAATAGTGCCGATTGTTTGGTGGAGAAACAGCACCATATGTCGACATGGTGTTGATACCACCCGAGCGCGGTTGCTGCTGCTGATGATGATGATTCTGTGTAGGGTGTGACTTGCCAGCATGTTCGGCAGCGTGGTTTTTACCGTTCATTGATGAATATTCCTTGGGACAGTCCTTTGCGTGCTTGCGTCCCTTGACCTTGTGTGCATTGCCCGACTTCCTTCTCTTATTGACAGGCGCGAACGGTTTCTGGGAGTGCGTCGATGCCGAAGACAAGGAGTCCGTGCTTGATTTCAGTAGCCCCCCATGAATATCTAAATCATCAAAGTCCAGGTCTAGATCGTGATCGCTATGATCCAGAGGTGCACGTCGCAAGATCTTGTCTTTTTGGTCATCAATCACGACCTCTATGCTCTCTGCATCGTCGTCGCAGGTCCCCTTATAATCTCGATCTCCGTTCCTGTTATGGTGGCGCTCCATGTGTGGTGTGCCATCATCCATGCGGCTGTTGGGAGTCTTGCCGATTTGAAGGAATGCGTTGTTCAACAGAGACGCCACCTCATCGTCAACGTACTCTGAATCGTCATAGCGTACTTCCTCGTCTGCCTCGTCGCTCTCCTCCTGAACGCAACCCTCGCAAACACGCGCAGTCGATGCTGGAGCTGCGGATGTGTTGCCGGTGCCAGAATACGTTCCATTGGGTACTGCTGCTTTAGCCCTTGAGTAGGCATGACGGTGTTGAGGCAAGGAAGATGGGGGCGACTGTTGACCGGCCTCGCGCTGCATGAACTGTTCGATTGCGTCACTGCTCTCAATCCCTGGTGAATTGGGTCTTGACTCGAAGCGGTGCATGATCCAGTGGATAAGGGCCATAAATCCAACACCTCCAAAGAAGAACAGCAACAAGACCATATCCGCATGTTTGGCGAAGATGGACAGTTCCGACGATAACTGCTCCTTTGCCTCTGGCAGTAGATTGTAGAAACTGGAGAAGATCTATTTGAAGAGGATTCTTGGTCAGACACGTGTATGTACGAATGACACTACAATCCCTACTGTTCATTAATTTGTACCCCCCTCCCCCTTTCCTTCCTTGTTACTGATGTAATTACGAGTGAGTCCAGCTGATGTTGCATTTTCCATAATACTAACTTCACCTCCAAGAAATCAAGAGACTCCGTTCCCACGTCCCCTCGCTCCCTCCTTGTCCGCAGCCTGGTGACAAATAAAGAACGCAGGTTTGCATATATTACTGACTTACCATGACCCCGGATCCTAGTCCGAGGGAGCCTGCCAAGAACTTGTGGTTCTGTAGTATTTGGACGTCCTGTCCGGAAACTGCTTTCACAATCGTGTCGATGAAGATCAGTCCGGCTAGTGGGGAAGTAGATAAAAAAAAAAGACCAACTGATAAGCAAAGCGTACCACGGAATCAAATGATAAAAAAAGGCAAGCCATCGTTAGCAGTGGACTTACCCCCAAAGACACACGCCATTGTCGAGGCCAGAGTGTACATCCATGCTCGATAGTCGTCAGTGCCATTGAATGCTGTCATTATGGCCAATTGAAATCGAGCTATGTCGAGTTGTGTCGCTGTGTCGCTGTGTCGAGTTGTATCAAGTGTACTCGAATGGAATGGAATGGATTGTTGGAATCGAATGGCTAGGTGTACAATCCCTAAGACAAGGCGAATGTGAATGACGTCTCCGCAATCAGCTCCCGATCTTTAGTTGTTTTGTGAGTAGTCGAGTTAGAGAGCACAATGTCGGCGAGAAAAGGAATTGGTGAGTCAAGATTGAAGACGAGGGAAAAGCTGGCAAACAAAAGACCACAAGAGACGAGAAGGTCGTCTAATGACTTTGGCGGTACTCCTTTCTATTTTTCGCGTCCAAAATCGATATTACAGGACAAATGGAGCAGTCCTGCGCTGGGAAAACAGCCGTAAATGGTCTTGATGGTCTTGTGCGCCATGCACACAAAGAAAAAGCGCTGACCCTTCCTTCTCGAAGGGCAGCATCCACAGCAAACAAAGCCAGCAAAGCCAGCAACTACAGAAGCAACAACAACAAACAATGAAGCATGCAGATGCACGGTTGCACGCGTTCAGTGGGGGACGTTCATTTTTACCAGCTCAGGACTTCCATGTCCACAGCGTTTGGTTCCCCTTTTGCCGGGAAAGAAATAAAAATCCCCTCGCACGCGCGATTCGATCCCCGACAGGCGCACCGCAGTGCTGTAGTACAACATGCTCTCGGGTTCATTGGTTTCCTGTTGGGCAAAGCATGAAGAATGTTAGTGAATGGAAATCCGCGCGCGTACGGAGGGATCTTCTTCTTTGCCACCAAAACAAACCGTCATTGGAAACGAAAGCGGTGTATGGAAATGGACAAGGAAGATGTACGCTGCCGCTGCTTCCAGCTCTCTTTTTCGTCAACGGGAACAGCTTTGACCTACAACATTCGCTCCCTAAGAATTTACCAGAAAGACAAAGCAGCTCAGGAGCCACATCAGTCAGTCAATCAATATGCGCCGTGAAACGATGATGGTGACGTAATTAGTGGTCCCTCAATGGGAACCAGCAAGGCTACCTCGCTAGAGACATGGTTCGTGTTAGTGCTAGGACCTATTCCAAATCGGATGATGATCCCTTGCTCTCGTCCGCTCTTCGCTCAAAGATCACGCACCATGGCATGACGCCTCCAAGACTTAGCGACAATGATCGTCGTCCCTAGTGGCCTGACTGGGATGGGTACCTCTGCCAAGACCAATGCCCCATCCATTGGCACCCGGGCCAAAGAAGCCAAGCCAGGACAAGACAAGTCACGCCATGGAGTAGGGGGGACCATCGTGGATGAAAATTGAGCAGGCACATTTCCCTCTTCTTCCTCTTCCCCATCTCTCCACACTTCGCCTTCTAGGCCCGTTCTCCACTCTCCACCCTTCACCCTCGCGCTTCTCCCGCTCGTCTTCTCTCCCTTTCACTCCCCAACGCTCTTTCCGTAGATCTGGATGCCTTTTTGCCAGGACACGCTTCTGAGCAATTTACTCCCTTCCTCCTTGCATTCATTCCATATTCCAATATTAGCACCCCATTAAACGAACCTCACCCCCTACACCCTCGCCCCAACCCCAACTCTCCTAACAACATTCGTTACAGCCCTTACTCCGTACTTCAAATACGTCCTCCTAACAGCACAAACCAGCCATGTCTTCCACAGACACAACTCCTCTCCTCAGTGGCCACCATCCACGGCGCGCCTCCATACCCAGCAGCCACAGTGTTGGTTCCTCCTTCCCAAACTCCTACAGTAATCGCAACCTGACCTCTGGTCTTCCTAGCAATAGCAACAACAACAACAATCAGCGACACTGGTCTGAAGAGACTGAAGACATCTCTGGCCCAGACCCAAGCTCTTACGGCCACCAGAATACCGGCGCTGGATACCGTCGTAGAGGACCTCCTCCACCGATCCATCATACCTCGGATCTTGACGCCCAGCGGTTCTCGGGACAGGATCGACCGACGGGATTACAGCGACTGCTCTGTGGTTGCTGCTGTCTGCCCTGTCGACGGGCGCTGTTCAATTTCAAGAACAACTACTCGAGAACTGAAAAATACGCCATAGCTATGGCCGTGGCGTTCTTTTTCTTGGCGGTTGGGTTCTTGTGCGCGTATGTGCGTGCCAAAGAGGCCCTGCCCGAGACTGGAAAGAATGTAAAGTTGGACTCTGCCCATTCACAAGCATTTCTTTTTCTTTCTTTCTTTTTTTCCTTGTGAAAAATACGTGAGTGTGTCTTTACTGATCATGTAGTGGTGTGTGTATGTGTTTGTGTATAGGGAATTTGCACCTCGCGAGAGTGTACGATCGTGGCTGCCGATATTCTGAGGGACATGAAACCTGGAGTGGACCCTTGCACGGATTTTTTTGACTTCAATTGTAAGTTTATACTTCCCCATTTCCCCATCACCACGTAAACCTCTGCGATTGCTTGAAAGAAATGCGTTGATGCTAACGAGAAGCTGCTTGCGTCTATCATGTCACATTGGCTCGTTTCAAGGCGGTGGATTTATAAACCGGGTGGCGATCCCAGACGACAAGGCTCAAATCGGATACTTCAACCTGGTCAGAAAGCAAAATCAGGTATGTGCTTCCCTCGCCAGTTTCCCAGCATGACAGAGATCCTAGACCACGCATTGCATAGGAGCTAAGGTGGTTCAATGTCATGCCTGTTTTAGGAAACTATTCGCGGTATCCTTTCACCAGAGATCAACAATGTCCAGAGGACCAAGGACGATGCCTCGAAGCGCAACCTGATCAAACTTCAGTCATTGTACGAGAGCTGCATGGATGAGAAAAAGATGTCCGAGGTTGGCGTCAAACCCCTGGCGGATCTGGTTCAGAAGATGGTCAAGGCCTTCCCTGTCCCCTCTAGTGTCATCGATACTAACGCCCCCATGAAGTCTTTCCAGAGCAGGATTCAGAACCTGAATAATGTCAACACACGCCCCAAGACTATCACCACCAGCTCCAAGGTCAGGAATTTAGACGTGCAGCGGATCCAATTAGTGCAGGACGCGGAAGAGGAGAACGAAGACCAGATTCAGTCATCCTACCGCGGCTCCGCACTTGATGAGGTATCAGAGCAGCAGGATATCCCCTCACGCGTGGACACTTTTCTGGACAACGACGAAATCAGCAAGCGTGACGATGCAGGAGCAACAGCACATTTGGCCCGGGCAGAAAGAGAAGAGTTGGCACAGGTGATCGCTCAATTGGCATGGCTCGGCGTTGCGACCATGGTGGAGTTCGATGTCGACTCGGATCCCAAAGATCCCGAGATGAACGTCTTCAAGCTGAGCGAAAGCGGACTGGGGCTTCCTTCGAAGCAGTACTATGACGAGGAGAAGATCGTGGCCGTCTACCAAAAGGCTGTCGAGGAGATGTTCACTATCGTCTTGGGCAAGGGCAGTAGGAAGGGAGAGGATAAGGAGCAGCTCGGACCTATTGTCTGGCCTGAGGTGGCCAAGAATGTGGTCGAGTTCGAGAAGCTGCTCGCCGCCATCTCGAGCGACCCAGAGGACCTCGACAACTCGGAGCTCACTTACAATCCACGCACTCTAACCCAGATCTCTGAGTTGGTTCCTACAATTGATTGGTCTTTGGCTCTCGAGAAACTGCTTGGAACTGGTGCCACGACCCCTAACCCGATCATCGTCTCTATGCCCGAGTATCTCGAGAAACTGAATGCGCTTCTGAGAGACACTCCAGCGCTGACGCTTCAGAACTATTTTGCATGGCGCATGATCCAGCGACTCTCGCCGAACCTTGCGGTCGAGTATCGTAAGCCCATGTTGGAACTCAGGGCGGCTTTGCAGGGTGTGTCTGCAGATCTGGTGACCCCCCGCTGGGAAACATGTGTGGATGTTGTCGACGGTGCTCTCGGTGCGATGGCGGGCCACTACTTTATCCAAAAGGCGTTCAAGGGCGACAGTAAAGAAATGGCCGACAGCATCATCAGCTCGCTGCGCACAGCGTTTGTGAAGGGACTCTCAAAGCTGGAATGGCTCGACAATGAGACACTTTTGAACGCAACCGAGAAGGTTGATTTGTTGGTACAGAAGATTGGATACTCAGTCGAGTCGCCAAATATCCTTTCATCAGAATCGCTCGAGGACTACTTCAAGGATCTAGGGATTGACAAGGCCGACTTTTTCGGAAACCAGATCCGGGCGAGGACATGGGATATGCAGCAGATGCTGAGCGACTTGGGTAAGCCTGTGGATAAGGCCAAGTGGCTGATGAACCCTCAGACCGTGAATGCGTACTACAATCCGAGCGCGAATGAGATTGTCTTCCCTGCGGGTATCCTTCAGCAACCGTTCTTCCATGGGGATAACCCAGAGTACCTAAACTACGGAGGCATCGGTGTTGTTGCTGGACATGAGCTCACTGTAAGTGTAGGCAATACTGATCTGTTTGTCCACACATTTTTACTACGCTTTTACTGACCTTGTCCTTCCTTTTTTCATAGCACGCCTTTGATAATGAAGGACGATTGTACGACGCTCGCGGCAAGTTGAATGATGTAAGAAATACACTGCCATATTTATGAAGTACCGCTTTGGCAAGGAAGAATACTGACTACAGAATATCCTTACTATTTGTTAGTGGTGGTCCAACTCGACGCTGCAGGAGTTCAAGGAGAGATCACAATGCTTTATCGACCAATATGGAAACTTCACGGTCAAAGATCCTCAAGGTCGTGAGAATCATGTCAACGGTAAACTCACTCTGGGTGAGAACCTTGCTGACAACGGAGGGTACGTTTTTCGATCAATTACCATTCGGGTGCTATCTTGCAGTCATGTTTCCAAATGCGACCCCTTGATCTCTAACGGACGTTTATCTCGACAGACTGAAGAGATCTTTTGATGCATGGCAGACACGTTTCAAGTCGGATCCTCGTGGCAACAAGTAGGTGTCTCATCTTTTTGGTCCGCACATCGCCTTTAATATGGGAGACAAACCTAACGTTCGCTGCTTCTACACATGAAAAACAGGCACAAGAACCATTTGCTCTCAGGTCTTGAAGACTATACGCGCGAGCAACTGTTTTACATGTCCTTTGCTCGTGTCTGGTGCTCGCAGCGTCGTCCAGCTTCTGCTATCGAAGGAGTATGTGTGCCTTGGAATGTGGCGTCGTGTTTAATACTGAACTGTTGCTCTCTCGCTCTTGCCATGTGCTAACAGTAGATCAACTTTTTTTTTTTTTTTTTTTTGTGTATGAATAGCTCCGAACGGATCCGCATGCGCCTGCACGATGGCGCGTCAACGGAGCCGTTCAGAACTCCAAGCACTTTGCAGAAGTTTTTAATTGCAAACCCCGCTCACACATGAACCCCGATACAAAGTGCGATCTATGGTAGGAGCGCGGTTCCCCCTCCCCACCCAAAAAAAAAACCTAGACAAGTGATTGGAAAGTATTTCTGATTGAGTAATTGTTAATTGTGCCCGATGGAAAAAAATAAAAAAACACGTCTATCAAGAAGGTTTATTGATGGGTGATCCATATACTGTCGTTGCTTGTATGTAGTTGGCGCGTTCCAAATCTCCTGAATTATAGTAATAATGAGGTCTCCAGGTTCTGTCCTACATCTCGTCGTGCAAGACTTGTTGTTGGTGTTTTCCCATTGCCTCATCAAACTTGGCATGGGTCCCGAACGCTGTCGCAACCAAGGACCGTTGGTCCTCCGTCAGTTTCTCAGGGAATTCGACCTTGTATTCTACAAACATGTCCCCGAAATCGCCCCTTGATCCCTTGATCGGCATTCCCTGACCCTTCAATGTCTGGACATATCCATACGGCGTCACATTCTCGCCCCTAGTCAATTTGATGGGCTTTCCATCCAAGTGCTTCAGCTCCAGATCGAAACCCAAGAGGGCCTGCTCGAGGGTGATGGTCACATAGGTATAGAGCGCATCCTGTCGTCGTTCAAAGGTCGAATGTGCGCGAGTCTTAATCTCAAAGATCACGTCGCCTGGAAGTACCTCTGGGGCCTCATCTCCCTCCCCATCAAAGACAATAGTTGAACCGTCCGCGAGACCGGGTTCGACCACGATCGTCAGTTGTTCGGATCCACGTTGGACCTTGGTGCCATGACAAACTGGACAGTGCTCCTTGATCGTCTTGCCCTTTCCGCCGCATTGATCACAGCTATGAACATTTTAAATCATAGGTCGTCAGTGAACATGAACAGAAAGTAAAAAGATACGCTCTGCTGCTGGTGACAAAAAAATTGTTTTTCCGCAGAAAATGAAATCAATCAATCAATCAATCAATAATAATGAGAGGACCAATCCTTACGTTTGTCGGAACTGCTGGAACATGCCCGGTGCCAACATATGCTTCACAATCCTGACACCCTGGCCCTGACATGTTGAACAAGTGACCACATCGTCCGAGGATTTCGCGCCCGATCCGCTGCAGTGTGGGCAAACGATCTGTTTCGAGACCTCGATTTCGATCGATTTCCCAGAATACAGTTCCTCCAGCGTGACCTCGAGCTCCATACGGAGCTCTGGACCTCTCCTCTCCTGCTCCGCGTGCTGGTGTCTTGATCCGCCGCCAAAGAATTGTGCAAAGATGTCGAATGGGTCGTGGAAGCCACCGTGGCCCTGCTGTTGCTGCTGCTTCAGTCCTTCTTCACCATAGCGGTCATAGATACTCTTCTTTTCCTTGTCCGATAGAACTTCGTAGGCTGGTTTCAGAAAGATTGTTTCAAATTGTTCAAGAAGAGATTACATAAAGATACTCGGTTAGATACATCTCGTCCTTACTTTCTTCTTCTTCTTCTTCTTCTTCATTTCAGGCAATCGATTATATCAAATGAAAGAAATGTGTGTTGTTTGCGCGTTTTTACCTGCAGCGACCTCGACAAACTTCTCCTCCGCCTCCTTGTTTCCGGGGTTCTTGTCCGGATGATACTTTTTGGAGAGGACCTTGTACTGCTTCTTGATCTCCTTGCTCGAGGCACTACGGGTGAGTCCGAGGACCTTGTAGTAATCTGCGCCGGCCGCGACCAACGTCGCCAACAGCCCGAGGATCAAGCCCAGTAGAATGATTGCCCTCATCGTCGCTCAATTTAGGAATCAATATATATATGTGTATATGGCGGATCCTCTGTGATATCGTTCCTGAGAATAAACAGACTTGATTATGAAAAAAAATCAGAAAGTGGGTCGTCAGGGAAGAGTCGTGAGGCAAGCGAAAAGAGGGAAGAGAGAGTGTGTGTGTGAGAGCGAGAGAGAGTGAGAGAGAGAGAGAAAGAGCGGGGAGTTTGATTCCAAAGACAAGGGCTAGATGAGTGAGATGAAGGTCTTCATACTCGTTGTCACTCTGTATGGTTCGATTTTATTATTTTTTGACGTGGCACCAAATGGTGGCCAAATGCATTTCGGATGGGAGGTACAAAATTAAGGGGCTTTGGCTTCTGAATTATTATTTTTTTCTTTTCGTTCCTGAAATTGTGGTACAGACATAGTCTACGGCACGACTCTTACAGAGCACGAGAGTACATACCATTGACTGGAATGTGAGGGGGGAATATAAGAAGAGACGAAAGAGGATGAGGAAAGAAAAGGACAAGAAAGAATGAGGGTAATGAGGGTAAGAGTGGGAGTGAGAGTGGGAGACGCAACAAAGAGTAACCGATCTTCCGGAACGACTTTAAGCATCACATCATCACAATCGAAGACCACGCTGCTTAAAATAAAGTGTCCGCTAGAGTTAATGACATGGATGCAATCCTTCGAGGCGTGCATGGTTATGTTGTCGGGCTGACAGATAAAGGTATGGTGCAGTCGATGAGAGCTTTTTTTTTTTGTCACTGAGAAATGAAAGATATAAACGTGAGCGTGTCTTTTTTTTTTTTTGAGCAATGGAGTCGCCTGGTGCCCATTCAATCGAGACGATAAAAATACATTTCCTGGCTGCTGTTCGTATCAAACGGTGTATCTGGCATTGCCCCGGTTAGCGCATTGATTCTCAGCGAGAAGGGTCTTTTCTGGGCTTGGAAGAAAAAAATAAATAGAAACTAGAAAAGCTCGATCGAGGCAAGAGAACAGAAAGTTATCAATTGGCTGTTCGTTGTCGTTTGTTGTCGTTTTGTTGTTTGTTGGTACAAGGCACAGGCCCCCCTTCCTCTCCCACAACCTCATGTCAAGTAGCCTTACGGAAGGATCGGTACGTTTTGTCGCCCCTGCAGATGTTGGCGGGCAAAGAGAAGAAAAAAGATCCGCGGGAATGTGAACGTGCTCAAACGTTCAGACTCGATACCCTCGTTTTGTCTTTTTTGAACAGCAGTGAGATGGGCCACAGCCGCCGCTCTTGCTTTTTTTTCCCCCTCCACGAGAGAGCAGGACGAGGAAGATGAGAAAGAGCGAAGATGCAGTTGCTCCAGAGCATCTCGCAAGTATCTAATCTAGCGGGCCAGACGCCGACAAGGGACAGACAGGCACAGAAGACAGAGGCGGCTGAATGAGGCACGCAGGAAGGAAGGCGGCCCCATTCGAGATATCGGAGATATGAGCACGACCTTAATTGAACTGAGACGAGGGACGGGGGGATCACCAATGGGAAGGGAAGGACCCCGGACTGAGGGAGTCCATCGTCTTATTCAGCATCCAAGCAAGCTGGCCTCGCCACTTTCCCTTCGCCCTCTTCCCACCACCCTCCTCGCACACCCTTGCTGTATGCGTGTCTGCCCTTTGTTTTATTCTATTCCATTTTATTTCTTATTCTCTTCTGCCCTTTTCCTCGTCCCATCGTCCCACCGTCCACCGCCTCTGTTTCTGTTCCTTTATCTCCTCCCCCTCCCTCTTTCTCGCGCCCACCTTCTCTTTCCACCCCTCACTCTCTGTTTCATTGCCCATTCCATCCCCACCTCCAACCCCCCATCCCTCTCCAGCGCATCATCCCACTCCCATTGCACTGCAGCACATCCTCACCCACCACAAACACGCCCTTCCTCTTCTCCCCACTCTCATTCACATACACACACATACTCCAACATGGGTCTCATGGACAAGCTGATGCGCAATTACGAAATCTGGAAGATCGGCAAATATACCAAGCGCAGGGCAGCACTCACCCCCGAGTTCGAACAGCGCGACAGGGACTACTACGAATCCAACTACAAGGACGGCATCTACACCCAAAACCAGGTTGGAAACGACAGCGTCTCCCGCGCAATGTCCTTCAAGCGTGCCCTTTCTCGGAAGGACACAAAGGCCGTCCGGAGCAGTGAAGTCTACAACGACAATCCCCATGGCACCTTCAGGTATTTAAATGAACACTTCATCCATCACTTCTTTATCACACCACTCTCTCCCTTTGCTTCGCCCTCCTCTTCTCCCAGGAACAGAGAACAACGCCAACGTTTCACTCTGGTAGACCAATCAGGATGGCTTTGGGATAACAAGATGGGCTAGCACAGCAATTCGCTCGATAGACCCGCTGATATACATGGATGCTACCATGGAAGAATAGGAAGGAAAAAAAAAAAACGACGATGGACACGCAAAAAAAAAAAAGGAGAGCTACGGCCGTACAACCAACACCGAGGAGCGATTACTTTGATTACTTGAATGAACTAAATATAACCCTGTGGTCAGATCCTTGTGTGACCATTCCTCCAGTGGGTAGCAGGGCCATTCTCGTTATTAATACCTCCTGGATTCAACGGAAGGACAATCCTCTGTGACATCCCTGACATTCAGTGGATGGGTGGATGGGTGGATGAGTCGATGAGATCATTACCAAAAAAAAAAAACGCTGCCAGTGACAAGTGGATTTGTTGTCCTGTGCATAACATTACCGAGGGACTGGAAGAGGCATCAGCGCTACGACACTTTTGTCGTCCCCCCGCATATCTTTGGAAGGCCATGTGTACTTTTGAACTGACTGACAGGAATTGTTTATTGTTTTGAACTGGCCAATAGGGATTGAACCTTGGGCGGATGATCGAATCTTGATTACGGGACGGATGTACATACGACGCAACGAGAACGCAACACACAGCAGTAACAGCAAACAGCAACAGCAAGCAGCGATAGTGCTGAACCATTCAAACATACTCCAGGTCTTCTCTTCGATGACGAGGGGGGAGGGAGGGGGGGGCAAACAAGGATCTGGGGGATAAGCGGTCGGATTTTGTTTTAGCAAACCCCCCCCCCCCAATCGACTATTAGTCTTTGTTTACCTTGGCCCCTTGGCGACCCTGGTAGTCAAACGCGTCTCAGGGCTACCGGAAATTTGCACCCACCGCCGATATATCCTTCCATCTCCACCTCCATTCACAGAGCTGTCGTTGCCTTTCTGTCGTTTTCTTTTTTTTTTTCCGTTGTCGTTTCGTCTCCTCTGGTCCTTACTTTTCTCGCATTTTTTTTGCTTTTTCAGCATAGGGTTGAGTCATCTATATAGTATTTAATTGAAAATAAATCAAAAAACAACTGCATTGCTATTTTTTTCTTACAAAAAAAAAAAAAAAAAAACCATTTGGAAGGAGGATTGGCCGTGGTGCTCGAGACATTAATAGCACGAAAGATCAATGGAATAAAGTGAAGCTGGTGCCAGAAATTGCACTCTTTGTCATCCTTATTAGACTATCTTACGCAATATGCGACGCATTGATTTTTTTTTTTTTTTTTTACAAAAAAGCACTTCACTCGTCATACCATCGATTTGTCTGTCACATAAGGATCATTATTAAGAGATTTTATTATTATCTGTATATCTTTATATCTGTATTCTATTTCTGTATTCTGTTACGCGCCCTTTGTCGCATGTTTAATTGATGGCAACGAGGGCCTTGACCAAAGCCCGGAGATGGATGTCGAGCCTGGCGAGGACCAAATCGATTTCGGCATGGACGTTCAAGCCGACGGAGACATCGACGTCCGCGGCCGCTTCGGCGGAGATGGTCTCGAGGACCTTGACCTGGGCGTAGACCTTGGCGAGGACGTGGGCATCGACATGGGCGACCAGGGCGCTGATACGGGCGACGATCAAGGCGCGGATGTCGGCGACAATGGCCTTGACATCGACAGCAACATCGCCGGTAACGTGGGCGTCCACGATGGCGCCCACGGCGACCTTGAGGTCAACATCCACATCGAGGTCGATATACGCCTGGATCGCGGCGTGAACGGCAGCTAAAAGGAGAGAGGCCAAAAAAAAAATTGTCATGGGTGAATAACAATGAAAACCAAACAAACACGACTATGTTTGTCGAATTGAGATGATTTAAACCAAGCGCGTCGTGTACTTACCATCGACATCAGCTTTAACGCTGACAAGGCCGGCAACACCCAGGTTAGCGCGGACATGGGCCACGACCAAGGCCTCGATATCGGCATACAAGCGCACGTTGACATCTGCGACCACCCGGACGACAAAATCAACGATAGCCTTAACCCTCGCATCGACAACGGCTGCGGTGACATCGCGCTTGCTAATATTGGTACCCTCGAGAGGGCTACCGACGGTACCCAAGACGCCATCGATAGTGTCTCCGAGTTCTCGCTTCAAAGCAGGCATATTGATGCCATTAAGGATGTCGTCAGTGGTGGGGCCAGTGGACGGGACTGGACCAACGGCGGGCACCTCAAGTTCTCGCTTGATCGCGCCCACACCGGCACCTTGGGGAACGTCGCCAACAGACTGGAATGTACCATCGACGAGCTCCTGGAGCGAACGCTTGTGGGTGTTGGTACCAACTGTGGTGCCGCTGAGGATGGGCTGGACCACCTGTGTAGCGCCACTGACAGTGTCGGCAATGGAGGCGTGAGCAACAGCAACGGCGGCTGACAAGGCGAGGACGGCGAAAGTGAACTTCATTTTTGTAAGGGTTGTTGTGGAAAGGTAGGTTGTAGGAGAGAAAGAGGAGTGCTAGGGAGTGCTAGAGTGAGTTGAGGATGTGTTGGCTGTGTGAGGTGTTTGATGAAGGATACCATGGGTGCCCTACCACCCCAGTATTTATACCTGGCTCCCCCCCCCTTCACCTTGCTTTAAGCTCATGATAGAGAAGAGGCCAGGATGCAGGTCGTTGTTAGCCTAAGATCCAATATTTTGAAGCCCCAGGAGTCGCGTGCAGGGGAGCAGCCAATGATCACTCTGCGTAGTCTATGAAGTGTTGGCCGCCCCTTGCATGAGCCCTGCAGGAGGTGTTCGCGCTAGTGCAATAAAAACGGTGAACGCTCTATAACCGAAGAGCAAGGGACCATTAGACTACCAAGAGGGTAGGATGAGCAGAGAGGCATCACGCCCCCGCCTGTCCACCACACCTCAAGATATCTATTTCAGGTCACCCTCCCGTCAACTCGCGATGCAGCCACTCTTTCTGCATGTATTCCTTTCTCATATAGCTACTCCTTTGAACGGGCTCCTCCGCTATTTCTGTCTCCGTGTTCTTTAGTCCTGGACTGTTTTTATTTTTATTTTTTAATTTTATTCTTATTTTTATTTTTTATAGGAAACGCACCCCCTTTGACCGATTCGGAGAAATAGGATGTGAAAGGCGCGTACTATCTCATGCGGGACAACCACCAGCGGTTTAACAAGCAGATACCATCCAACCCACCACGGCCCGAGATTGTATCCAACATGCTTGAGGCTATATAGGTGGTGTCTTTAATAAAATATGTTACTCGGTCCCTTCCCCCCGGTGTCTAATAGTCCCCTTCTGGTGCATGCCTGACTAAACGAAGGATCTGCCTCACCTTTCGAAGCTCCCAGGTCATGAGGGACATCATGCTATCTTTCAGTGTTCGATAGTCTCCGGTACTTGGAATTAGTATTCACTAGGTTTGTAATTCTAGGAAGGGCGCTTTCCTTAAAGTGGAATAGTGATTACACTAACCGGGAGGGACGCCAAAAGCTGCTCTTGGCTCTGAAAGCCCATAGTCTATCACCTGAGGAAAGAACGTGGCCCCCTCATTCCAAAGTAACCATTTTGAGTAGTCGTGGGCATAGTGCACCACCCGGTTCTATTTCAGCTATTTCGAGTCCCCACCCCCTTCAACCCTCCTCCTGCATCCCCTTCAATGCTCACATCAAACTACACTCCTGCTTCTCTTTCAGCACCTCATCAGTTGCTAACGCTTGAGTGCCAGGATAAGCTAGCGCTCGAGTACCAGAACAATGATACTCTGAATAATCCACTAAGCGTTCAACAGCAGCGAGGAGTGAACGTAGGGCGCCCGCTCAAAGAAGCCCCTCGCATCTTTGGTGCACTAATGAATTCGATAGGCGACGACGACTAAAGGTTACTATGTAATTCGTCTGTTCAAGGACGTACAGTCTTTAGCGACTGTGATAAGAATAAAAGGGGAGCAAGAAACGGATGATGGTAACGAAAGGCACGTATAGGGCTACATATACCTGCTTAGCAGTTGTCCATCTATGGACTCCTTATCTCTCTTACGCATCGCGTAGACAAAGTGCAGACAACGCGCCTAGCATCCTCCTATGAAGAGGAGGGGGAGAAGGGGAGCTCTTGCTAGAAACGCGTCTAATGTTGATTAGATGCGCGGACAAAGGCTGTAGGGATAAGTGTTGTGCCATGAACAGTCAATTGCACTAGGGATCTAAATCCTCGGACCAGAACAGCCCCTAGGCGGCGACTTTATCGGCCACTCTCCAGATTTAACCTGGAGGATTAGCGATTTGTACCGCGGCATTACGCCCCGTCAGCCTAATCAAGGAGTGGTAGCCTATTCACCTCCCTACCTTCAATTGCGCGACAGGCCATCCACAAGTTCATCAGCTTTATTGAGGCGCAGGTTATGGAGCTGATCTGGAAACACGCTGCATACGCGACTATTGCTCGGGAAAGAGAATGGGGTGGAATCACAGCCAAGATGAAACGCGCACCATACAAGGGCCCTCGAGGAGACTGGAGTGAGGGCAACGGATACATATTTGCGACGCTGACCACTGTCCTTGTGGTGCGTTGCTCGCCGATCATACAAACGGGAGCTGACCTGGCCCCGTGCTTAACCCAGACGCAGCGGATCGGACGCTGCTGGACTGCCTGCAAGGGAGGAGGCGATTGACAACCATGGAGGGGATGGGAAGATATCCTTTTTGTAATAAGGAGTTTTCAGCTTTTTAACACACTGATGAGGTGTGGCAGTTGTTGCATAGGGCCTAGGGGCAGGCCCAGGGAATGAGGCCCGTCTTTTGGCGACTGTGGATCGGCTCTACTTTGGTGGAAAGGACGATTGTAGTATAATAAAATTGTCGAGATACGGCATTCGAGGTGCTCTCTAACAAGATTTGATTTCACGCTATTCGAGTTCTCAGCTCCTTTTTTCTGCTGGGCATGATCTTGGGGTCGGTGTATCAAGATATGGTAGTTACTTATCGACCCAATTGGTGATACTGGACGTGGAGATGCCCAAGAGAGTTGACGCATCTTTGATATCTATGCCCATGAAACAGAAGAGGACTATGGCACGCCATCGAATATCCTCGGAATAGACCATCCTGGATTGTTCGAAGACCTCGGTTATGGACCCCATCTGGAATAGAGGAGTGAGGACAGGGGGCGAGTTTTTTTTTATATTAACATAAATCCACACGAGCACGAGGCGCATGGTCCGCAAAGGCTTTGAAGCCATAGATGCCTTCCATGCACGACAGAGCCGCGTCCCCTACCAACTATGTTGACTTGAGGCATCTGATTCATAACCCATGTCGCATAGCCAGTCTACCCTAACTCCTGTGTGACCTGTTGCGCGATACACGTCCGCTAATAGAGATTGAATGTTAATAGAGTTGTTTTTAAACCGAATAAACCCTCCATTATGTCCAACTTTTCTCGCCCCAAACAATGCTGCAGCACCCTATAATCCGCGGTCCGTCTACCTTGCTGGATTTTCGTTGCAAGTAACCGTCTCCCTTTCAAATCAGAGAAATCATCAACACTACGTTGGTGTCCCCAATCACCGTTGCGTCCTCCGGCGCGTTTACTCATGAAGGTGATTCCAGCTGACTTTTCCCAGACGACAGTGTCCTCGCATCGTTTGTTCCATATCTTGGTCCTGCCAAACACTTCGATCCTGCTCACGAACTTTGTCACCATGATCGTTGCAATCTACTTAGTAGTGGTAAATAGCTGTTTCCAGGTCTCAATGAGTCTCATTGGCACCAATCGGTATAAATCCTTGACCTCCCAATCCGCGACACTCTCCGGTGCCTCTCCTTCAGCAACGTGATATGCCCTCGTCTCTCCGACGTCCCCTGAATCCACTGCATTGACTCCCAGATAGCCTTCGTTCCTGTTGCCGAAAAGGTGGGACAAGTCGCAGTGAAGGGCTCGTCCTTCCGTTCGGCCGCCTTGCCTCCATGCTCGATATAGGACTGAGGACAGGGGTGTTCCTTATGTTTTTTTTTTTTTTTTTTTTTTTTTTGTAAAAAGGTAAGGAATAGTGACACCATGGGCTTAACGGGGGTGTTATCTTAGTTGAGGATCCCTATTAGAGGAGTCATGTCGCTATTCAAGGCTCTCATTTGTTGTTACCCTTAGATTAGCTCTGAAATTCTACAATTTTATTTGAAAGGCACAATAGATCATTGTAAAACCTCCCCCCCGGACCAGAACAACACCAAGATTGAGCTGCGCCTGCATTGTACCAAAGTCCCCGTACTGAACATTAGGTATGAATGGGGATGATAATAAGATACGGTGGGGTTGAAAATGTGGAAATGGCATGCTGTATATTTACAGTCGTTCACGGGTAAAAGGCAAAACCTTTTGCCAAAAGAATCTACTTGTGTTTGGATCACAAATAACAAAACGCGGTGTTGGCGGTGCGCCTCGGCTTTCATGAAGAATAAAAAAAAAAAAAAAAAAAAAAAAGCCGGAGAGCGCGTCTAATCTAATGTAGATAGGATCAAGACAATGGTCTTGTAGATTGCAATGCTTCTCCTGAAATCTGTACTGCAAATGCCATTTGTATGCACTATCTCCGATGAACAGCTTTTTGAGAGACGCTGCGCTCGGGAGTGAGTCGACGTTCAAAAATGGTGTACATCCGTCTGAAGCCGAACTTTTTTTTTGTGTTCTGGCGATCTAGACCCTCTTCTCATCGGCGTAAACATGACAAAGGAGAAGCATCTGTCGCAACACTATTAGATCATCGCTGCATCTCATTCATTTCTTTGTTGTCTATCTTCATTTTTGTGAAGAACAGACCACGGGTTCTTTCATGGCAAAATGCTAAGAAGCAACATCTAAAAGCGGCCCTTGTCCATTGTGTATTCCTTGTATGGCGCACTGCGACAAGAAGATAACCGGCATGAAGGAGGATCAACTGCACTCATGAACGTTCTGGCCGTGGAACTGCGGGTGTATGATTGCAGCCCCGAAAGACGCGGTGGTGGATAGGGGCGACCATTGGGCGGGTGGGATTAGCCGGACCAATCACAGGGCGTTTGTCAAACAAAACCTCCCCCACCTTGTTCATACACTGTCTCTCCCCAGCGTGCAAAGATCTCGGTGAGACGATGTGTGAAGCCTCAGACAGGAGCATCGGCGCAAATCTGGAATCGTTCAAGAGTCCATGGAGTAGCCCACGTTTTGTCATTGCTGGAGGTGGGATCTTCTTTATATTTGGAATCGATGGGCAACCCGGGAGTTGGGCAGTCGGAGGAAACTATGCAAGACATAAAAGTCAATGCTAAGGCGTGCAGCTTCTTAAGAAGGACCGGGATAATTCGAGAAAATTAGCCCTGGGAGAAAAGAGGGGACTAGCATGGGTCCAGGCAATGTACGAAATTTGCATGGCCCCCCTTCATCGAATATTTTTAACCTTAACGGGTTCAAGGCTGTCCTTCACCCTCGCACCTCAAAAACAACAGACATCATTCAAACTAGACCCTCAATAGAGTTGACCGCTGTGAGAAAAAAAAAGAACCGTGTGTCCAAAAGAGGCAAACATACGCCGTTCCTTGTACCGCGCAATCTGATGGAGTTTAAGCGAAAAGAAAAAAGAAGAACGCTTTGTGCACCTGAACAACTGCACACCTTTATTTCTACTCACCTCTGTTTGTATAAAAGAGGCCCCATCTCGCCACCAGTTTCCTACCCTTCCCCCCTTCTTTCCATACCCGCCCATCGTCATTTCATATTCTTAATTCGTGGTCTTCATATCACTCATATTTTCTGGATCGGCATCCTGATCTTCACTGCATCGGATATTCACTCCCCCTCTCCCCTCTCCTCTTGCCCCTCTCCCCTTCCCCTTTCAATCATTTGCCATACCAATCCCCTGGACCTTTCTCTCCCTAATTCCTTCCACATCCCACATCCCACATCCCACATTGCAGACACCCCTCTTCTCTTTCCCTACAGATGAATGAAAAATCCGATCCCAACGTACATCCCAAGAAATCGGCTGCTGATCCTGAGGCCGTTGACGTGTCAGGCCAGGATGATCGCATGTACACCCTCTTCAAGAAGGGCCCTGTCTCCCCACAGAACTTTGCATGGCTGCCCTCGCGACTATCGCTATGGTGGCTCAATGGCTTCTTCGCGAGAGGATACAGGCATCGCATCGAGGAAGACGATCTGTACGAGATGCTCGACCACAACAAATCGGGGGTACTGGCCCATGGGCTCATGCACCAGTGGGAACAGGAACAACAGAGGGCTGCTGCAAAGAAAAAAACGCCCTCGCTCCTCAGAGCAGTCGTCAAAACCTTCTGGGACAGGTATTACACTTGCATCATTGGTCTAGAACTAGGAGGTAAGAAGCACCAGAATTTTAAAAGAGGGATGAACGTGCATCCAAACTTGGGTCATTAATACCGATCGATCGATCTGCAATAATAGACATGTGTCAAGTCAGCAACCCACTAATTCTTCAAAAGGTACCGTGCTGTCAGCTATTACTTGGTTACATTCTATACGATTCGCAGTACCAGCCCCGCCTCATATCCTCATATCCTTCGCACACGATCTAATATATATAGGTCATCGACTTTGTCAACAGCTCTGCATTACCCAATCCACCGCCCGCCTGGCATGGATATGGACTTGCTGTCGGCATGGTCTGTCTGACGCTTTGTCAGAACATTCTCTATCAACGCTGGAACCTGGGTTCCGTGACCATGGGTATCTACATCCGCGCCGCACTGATTGACCTCGTCTTCAGGAAGGCCACTAAACTCTCGTCCCGGGCTCACCTCATCTATCCCGACGGCGCTATCGTCAACCTCATGTCCACGGATGCCAGTCGTATTGATACTGCGATGCTCTCTCTCTTGCTCGTCATGTCCGTGCCCATCTTCGTCATCGTTATCGTGGGCTTGTTGATCCATCTCATGGGACCATCTGCGCTACTCGGCGCTGCTATCTTAATTCTCGCGAACCCTATTCAGGGCTGGGCCATGTCGCGTCTAGCACCGATCCGAAAGAGGGGCTCGCAGTTCACGGACATGAGGATTCGATTGACTCAAGAAATCTTGCAGGGCATCAAGGTTATTAAGTTCTTTGGCTGGGAAGCCCGGTAAGTTGTGTGTGTGTTTTTTTTTTTTGGCATTAACGACAGTCTGAGTGGAAAACAGTGTCCAAGACTCACAGCTTTTATTATTATTATATTGTTCTCATATAGGTTTTTGCAAAAGCTATCCGAGATTCGAAGCAGTGAGCTCTATAATGTCTCTAGGCTGCTCTATATCCGCGGATCCGTCGCTGCCACTTCTGCGGTGAGTCCATTCCTTCGTTTCTGTTTGTCTGTTTACCGTAGCAGACGAGTTCTGATCACTAATAAATGCTTCTCAAACCTTGTTGTATTTAGTCGTTGCCTGTGCTGGCCTCGGCCCTGTCCTTTATCCTTTACGGCGCTATCGGAAACGAGCTGAAGGCCGAAGTCATCTTCCCCGCCCTGGCATACTTCACTGTCATGCGAACGCCGCTCATGGTCCTCCCCTCAGCATACACGGTCACCGTTGACGCCTACGTGGCCATGAAGCGTATCGAGACTTTCTTGCTCTCAGAAGAGGCCAGCCCCATCCCGCCACCCGATACTGACCATGAATACGCACTCAGCATGAACAACGCTAGCTTCATATGGGACCAACTTCCAAACACGAACGGATCGACCGACACCCTGGTCCCGAACGGCGCCAGCAGTGTAAAGAGCGAGGTGACCGCGACGGCCATGTGCGATGAGCCCAAGGTGGCCGATACCTCAGCCGTCTACCTCTCAAAACTCCACCTTCAAATCCCCCGCGGTTCTCTCGTGGCGGTCGTGGGGCCTGTCGGAAGTGGAAAGTCGTCCTTGCTACAGGCCATGATTGGAACCATGACACAGACAGAGGGAGAGGTCATTCGAGGAACCAACATCAGCTACGCCTCACAAACCGCTTGGATCCAGAATGCTACCATTCAGGACAACATTTTGTTCGATACGCCCTTTGATGAGGAACGGTACAAGCGTGTGGTCAAGGCATGCTGTCTGGAGGCAGATCTTAAACTATTCCCCTTTGGAGACCAGACCGAGATTGGAGAGCGTGGCGTGAATTTATCCGGAGGCCAGAAGGCCCGTCTGTCGCTGGCCCGCAGCGTCTATTTCGATGCAGGGACCGTTATCATGGACGATCCACTCTCGGCCGTCGATGCTCACGTCGGAAAGCGTCTCTGGGTGGACTGCATGCTGACAGAACTGAAGGGCCGAACTAGGATCATTGCGACCCATCAACTGCATGTCTTACCGGACACAGATTATGTGATCTGTATGAAGAACGGCAAGATCGCAGAGGTGAGTAACGACAAAAACCTGCATTGTACATATATCCTGAAGAATGGCATGCATTTAGATACGTTTCTTAACAACCAAATGATCCCGAATCTTTTTTTCTTTTCAAGGAGGGAACATTTAAAGACTTGATGGCCAAGAACGGCGACTTTTGTGCGCTCATGGCTCAATACGGAGGCGTACAGGCTGAGGAGCAGAAGGAGGCTGTCGAGGAAATCGACTTTGATGATATCAAACCCGACACCCCTGGCATGTCCCCCAAGTTCTCATCAGATGCTGATGGTGACAGATCCACAGCCCTTGACGAGAAGAAGGATATTTACAGTAAAAAAGAGGACGGAGAATGCAGGAAATCTTTGGAAGCCAAGGGAGAGAGTCCTCAAAAGTTGATGTCGGAGGAAGAGCGCGAGTCTGGCGCTGTGAAAGGAAATGTCTATGGTGGGTATGCCAAGGCCTCAGGATGGCACCTTTGGGCCATCACTTTCGCTCTCTTTTTCTTCCAGCAGGCTGCCAACGTCCTGTAAGTGTTTCTACCGTCCATGGTCTGTACAGCTAAAAAAAAAAAAAAAAAAAAAAAAAACCTACTGGTTACTAACTTTCTCTCATTCTACTTTACGTGGTCTTCTTTTACTGAAGTGGTAATCAGTGGATGAGTTGGTGGAGTGAAGACTACTTCAAGCTGACGACTTCAGTATATATTGGAGCATATGCTGGTTTCGCAGTCGCACAATTAGTCCTCGTCTTCATGGCCTCCTTGATGTTGTCGTACACGATAGTCCGGACCTCCAATGCCATGCACGACGCCGCCTTCAGGAGGGTTCTTTACGCGCCTCTCGCATTCTTTGACACCACTCCCATAGGCCGTATCTTGAACAGGTCAGTCATTGACTATATTCTGGTCCCCTGTTATCGAAAGTGTATACGATTCTAGCAATGTCCACTAAACGTCTTGCCTCTTTTTCATATCGATAACAGATTCAGTCGAGATGTTGACACGCTCGACAACGTCCTCTGGAGCACACTCTACGAGTTCACCATCACGGTTGTTACTCTTATCGGAACCATGGTCCTCATCATCGTTGTCTTTCCTTGGCTCGTGCTTGCGCTTGTCCCGATCCTCGGTCTTTACTACGGACTCTCGATCTACTACCGCACAACATCGCGTGAGGTTAAGCGTCTGGACTCGAATATGCGTTCATACCTCTACGCCTACTTCTCGGAGTGCCTCACAGGCCTCAGCACTCTCAAGGCTTTCAACGTCGTCCAACAGAGTATTCTGAAGAACGAATACCGCATTGACTTGAATAACCGGCCCTATTACATGTACCAACTTGGCGCCCGTTGGTTATCGTTGCGTGTCAACGTCCTGGGAGCATTGATGTCCTTCTCGACTGTTGTGCTTATCACAGCGACACGGTTCAAGATCAACCCGGCCTCTGCAGGTCTCGTCCTCAGCTATCTGGCTCGCATCTCTGGAGATCTCAATTGGGGAGTCCAGCGTCTCTCGACCTTGGAGAACAATATGAATTCTGCAGAGCGTCTGGTACATTATGTCGAAAACCTTCCTCAGGACCGGCCTTCAGAGCGGCCCGAGAACACGCCTCCAGCGTCGTGGCCGAGCGAGGGCAAGGTCACTTTCAATTCTGTTTCGATGCGTTACCGACCAGAGCTGCCTCGTGTCCTGCGTGAGATCTCGTTCGAGATTCAACCAGGCCATAAAGTCGGAGTTGTCGGGCGCACGGGTGCCGGAAAGTCTTCTTTGATCCAGGCGCTGTTCTTGTTGAGTGACCTCGATGATGGACAAGTGATCGTCGACGGGATCGACACGACGACGTTGGGGACCATCGATCTGAGACCGAAGATCGGGATCATTCCTCAGGATCCGGTGCTGTTCCAGGGCACGTTTCGGTATAACCTGGACCCCCTGGGACGACATTCGGAACAGGAGTTGTGGCAGGTTTTAGAGACGAGCGATCTGAAGAGCTATGTCCAGGCACAGGAGGGAGGACTGGACTCTATGATCTCTGCACAGGGCGAGAATCTGAGTGTGGGCCAGAGGCAGCTGGTTTGTCTCTCCAGAGCGCTGCTTGCCAAGTCCAAGATCGTTGTTCTTGATGAAGGTAAAGGCATCGAAGGCTATGATTTAGTTTACAAGAATCGAGAGCGCATTTTTTTTTTTAGAGAGAGTGCCATTTATACTAACCATGCTGGTTACTTCTTCGTTTATCTCTTTTTAGCAACGGCAAGTGTGGATATGGCGACGGACGCATTGATTCAGAAGGCGATCCGCATCGACTTTGCTCAGTCGACGGTAATCACGGTCGCCCATCGTATCAACACCATCATCGACTATGACCGAATTCTGGTGATGCACCAGGGCCAGGTCGCCGAATACGATACCCCGCGTAACCTCCTCGGCAACCCCAACTCTGTCTTCTCGAGCATGGTTGCCGAGACAGGCGCACAAAATGCCAGCCATCTTCGGTCCTTGGCTGGACTTTAGATAGCATTCCATCTCATTGTCTTTCATTGTCTTTCATTGTCTTTTTCATTGTCATCACATAACGTATTATTTAATAGCTGGTATCGAAATAAACTCCCATAGACAGAAAAGAACTGCTTAATAATAGCTCCAGACCTCACCCATACGACCCTTGAGCCACTCTACGGACTCTTGAATTCCATCGCCCTCAAAATCGGCCCTCGTGCTCTTTACACACCAGGGCCTCATCCCCTTCTCTCTCTTCTCCCTTTCGCCTCCTCCTCCTCCTCCTCCTTTTTTTCCTCCACAGCTCACATCCCACTCCTCACACCCCAAGATCTCTATAATCTCATCCAACCGGTAACATGTCTCCGGATCCGTGCCTGCCTTATTCGCAAACACGACCACCGGAATATCCTTCCTGCAGAAATGTGGATCCGCGACAAGGGAGGCTAGGAACTGTCGTGCGTTCAGGATATGATCGATTCCGCGGGGATCATTCTTGCGGGACGCATCCACGATGTAGATGATCCCGTGCGCATATGGGAACCAGAAGGTTTGGGCCAAAATCCGAGGTACGGGCCAGGTCGTGTCGAGTGAGAAGGCGTGGATAGATAGGCTGGCCTCTGCGGAGCGGTTTTGCGATGATCCTTCGTGATTGTCATTCAACGAAGAAGAAGAAGAAGAAGCAGAAGTAGGAGAAGGAGCGGCTGTTGTGGAATCGACTGGCTTTGGATCTGAAGGCACTGGTGCTGGCACCGTTACTGCGGTGTCTCCCTGCGTTTGTATATCGCCTGTCTTTCCCGTAGACTTTTCATCATCTGCCAGGACCTCCTCTTGCTGCAGTTCCTTAACACTATTCACGGTGCTGTTATCGCTGCTGCTCCTGCCACAGGTGCTCTCCGTCAACGTCTCCTGTGTGAACGATTGCCTCAACTGCAGCAATGTCTCCTCACTTGCCCGGTCGTTGCACCCTTCTCCATCCTCAGATTCCAGAGTTGACGACCTTGGACTCTTGACCTCCTCCTCCTCCTCTTTTTCGTCCTTCTGCTCGCTCTGCTGCTGTTGCTTCTGTTTATTCTCTGATGGTTTTCCCTCACAAATAACCCCGTCGTTGGCTCGAAAGTGCGCAACAAAGAACCCCGAGATCTCCTGATAATGTCGAATCTTACTCGTCCCCGGTAGAAGACTCGACATCTTGTACAGCGTGCTCGCTAACGGCGACGAATCCGAGCCCAGCACCAACACGTTAAAATGAGGAATACCTGTCGCCGTGACCGTTATCGCCATCGTTGCAGCCGCTGCAGAGGAGGGCGCCGGACTTTGTGTTCGTGAAGACGAAGATGAAGAAGTCGGGGAGAGAAGCTGTGTGAGACTGAGCACACTGTTCCTGAGCGATTGAGCAAACGATCGACGTTTGTGTAACTTGGGCGTCTTACCCTCCACCACTCCTTCACCACCACCGCCATTATTCCCTCCTGCTTTTGCTCCTACACCAACTGTCGCCGATGATGTGGACAACGATCTCGTTAATTCGACTCCAAAGATCGGAGCGTTACCGCTATTGTTGGTGGTCATGATGTTGGTTGGTGACGAAGTAATAAGTGTCGATGAAGACGAACTGAAATCAACGCTCCAGGCCTTGATCCTGTCGTTATTGCTGCTACTGTTGGGGCGGTTCGTGTTTCCCTGCTGTGGCAACATCACATCTGCCGGCAGACTCTGTCGCTTGCTGTTACTATAGCCGCCCCAGCTACTTCTTTTGCTGCTGTTGGCCATATCAGGCGTATTGAACATCCCGAACGAAGGCGACAATGGTGATGTGGGTGAAATCATCGCTGTCATCGACAGTCGCTGCTGCTTCTGCTGCTGTGGCTGCGGCTGTTGGAGACTACCAGGACACCGCGTGGTCGGGGACGTTGGCGACAGTGGCGGTAGGCCATCAAAGGCTGCCTTCGAAGTACTGCAGACCTCATCTGTCGCCTCGTGTCTTAGTTTACATTTCTGCTCCTCTACTCCTGCAGCAAGAGGAGGCGGGGGAGGAGGCGAGAAAAAATCCCAGACGTTTTGACCGGGGGCTAGACGATCTGCAATGATATGTGTGAAGGAAAGGACATCGCTGGTCGACTGCCGTGGTAGGAGCGGGGTCCTCTTGTCCAGGAAGGTCTGAGGAGGGTTCTGAGGACAGGTGGGCGAGTGTATGGCAGCCATGGTACGCTGGGTCGTGTTCCTGACACGGCGCTGGTTGGTGAGGAGTGGACACGGACGACGGTTCCTGGAGCGGAGATATTTTAGAGTTGATCGGTGTGGGGCAGGGCGCAGTGGACTGTGCGCCAGGGCAGGCAAGAGAGCGGATCAACAAGCGGATGACAAGACGAGTGGATGGGGGAAGGGCGAATGAAAAGAAGCGGATGAGTGGGAGTGGGAGCGGGAGTGGGGCGAGAGGGAGAATAAGAATGGGGAGGGAAGAAAAAGAAAACAAGGTGTGTATCCTTTCTTGTATGCGCATGCATGTTTGTATCTCTGTCTTCCCTCCTCGGCTATCGAAACCTTCAGCACCTTCTTTCCGCCTGCATGTTGTTGCCTATTTGCCCGCAAATGTTTGTATCTCCCCCCTCTCTAAGCATGAACCCACGTCACACTCACTCTCCAACTCAGCTGCCCTTCAACCGAGCGGATATCATTGCATCCCCCAGCTTCCCACCTCCACCTCCTCTCTGGCCATCTGCATGCACTTCATTCGTACAGACAACTGGCGGGCGGAGCCAAACACCGGAGGAAGAAGGGGAGTGGAGAGTATCGCACGGAGTTGATGGCCACCTCTCACTCCTTAATGAAGGCAACAGAGCAGACAGCTTTGTCTCTATTACATTTTATCTGTACTTTGTTTGCATTATGGTAGGGAAAAAAGAAAAAGGAAAAGGTGTGTAGTTGAAATGACAAGAGTGGAGCGGGGCATAGCGATATAGAATCAGCGAGTGAATTCAGCTCATCACTAGCTATCGACAGACCCTGTCAATGATGACAGGGATGATGAAGTCGAAGCAATCGACGCACGACGCGCAGGACTCTTCGTCGACGGACGGCCCTTCTTCCGCTTCGTAGCACCAACGCTCTTGACTCTCAATGCAGTTAGCTCCATCACTAACTTTCGGTCATACTCCACTCCTGAGCCAATAATCTCTGGCACCCCCAGCTTCTTACCCTGGTACTCAACCAGTCCTCGAATGCGCATCTTTCCTCCAAGGGTTCCACACACCTTTGGCTGAGGTGGGGTGTGTCCCTGAAGGCTCTGCATGGCAACCTCGATGGGGACGCTTAATGCTGTCCGAAGACGTGCGACCTTGCCTGCACATGGTGGGCACGTATACTTCAGACTCTCGTCTCGACCCATCTCCTCGACCTTCTCCTCCGACAGCTCGCCATCACAGTCCATGTGTACCCAGCGATTGCACTCGTCACAGCAGACCATGTTGTTCTCATCCTCACCCACGACGTCTGATCCACCATCATCCTCGCCGCCATCGCCACGGTACGTGCGCAAACAAACTGGGCAGAAACGTCCCTTTGAGAAGTTGTCATGGCAGTTGGTACTATAAGGAGCAATATGTATAGAAGGATTAGAACGAGATCCAAATTAATGGAGCCAGTGGCAGCGTCCTTTTTTCTGGGGCAGCGTACCAATATGTGCAAAGATAGGTCGGGTGCTTGTTCGATCCTGACACAGTGCTCATAGCATGCTTGTACTTTGTCATTGACGCCTCCGTGCCACGACACGAATGACACATTGCACAGAACGAGCACAGCCATTCTCCTACAATGGGAGTCGAATCAAGCTCATTAGTATCTTCATGCTAGTACTTGATAAAACAGTCAAAAAAAATGGGCACGCGCATCTTCACAAAACACCAACCTGTAGGGACTTCTTTGATGGCGGGGTCACAGCAACTCATATGCCAACCACGATCGCAGTCGTCGCAGATCAGCAACGAAGCCTCATCGCCAGCATCCAGACAGACCACGCACAGTTTGCAGTCATTGCACTGCCAAGGGTAGGACGCAATCGCTGAGACAATCCTTGGTGTGTCCAGCTGGAGACAGAGCGGATGAAAACTCTTAGAACAGGTCTTGCACGTATTCAGATGTGACATCGAGCATGGCAAGGGCTTATCCGTTGGCAAGGCTGTTGGAGGCGCTATTGCCAAATTGCATTCACCGCAAACCCCCTATTTTTTTTTTTTTTTTTTTTTTTTTTTTTGGTATGAATGAAAAGAGTTAAAAGATAGGACTCAATCGTGGCGATCAGCCGCTCCATGCTTATTGATATAAAATTATAAAATAATGGCCCTACCTCCTGTTTGCCGTTCGCACCGGAATCGGGACCGCGGTGGTTAGGACAGAGCTCTCCCTGCCTGCTGACAAGTCGCTGGCAGTAGCCCAAACCTGTTTTCAGTAAAGCTCCGCAAACAATTCCATGCGTCTGTGTCTAACACATATCAGAGGGCAATCAGTGAGTCCGGCTGCTATTTCTTTTTATGTAGTGCTCAAAATGCCCGTTCATAACAACCGATAAAGTACGTACTGGTGGCGTTTCTGGCTTTTTTGTGGCCTGCAACTCTTGCTGTTTCTGCTGAAGTTTGGCCTGCTGCTGTTGCTGTTGGAGCAGCTGTTGTTGTTGTTGTTGCTGCTGTTGTTGTTGTAGTTGCTGCTGTTGCCACTGAAGCATTCTCGCGTCCTGTGCTGCAACCTGTCCTGGTAGTAAGGCCTGCTCCATGATTGGACCCGTCTGTCCTGGATATTGTGTTGAATAGAGGTGGTGAATATAATGTGCATGTGCAGACATACTTTGTGGCACTACCATCCTGTATGGCTGCTGGAATCGTGCTTGATGTCTATGGAACCCAATCAGAAAAACACGCCTGTTAGTTGATCGTAGCAAGGAAGGTAATATCCTAATTGAATGTAAGAAGCGCGTTGCGTACACTGGGAAAGCAGCTTGATATTGTCCCTCCAGAAGCGAAAGCGGAAACTTTGTGAGATCCTCGTTGTCCTCTTCCTTGGGCTTGGCTGCCTCGGCAGATTCCAATGCTTTGCGAACATCTTCCGGAATGACCGCCCAAATGTTTGGGTCCTGAATGGTAGGCGGTGCCGGTGCACCTCCTTTAATTTCCACTTTGATGACAGTATCAACCCTGGGCCCAATTGAACGCGGGATGGACAGCACTGTTGAATCCGTTGATTGATTAGCTTGGTCCTCTGATCCTTGCTTCGTTACAGTCGATGCGACTTCAACCTCGCACCGTGTGGGCTGTTTTGCTAGCGGTACCTGCTCAATGTTGGTGTGTGGGTCCAAAAACTTTGGATTGTCCTTTCGCAAATCTTTCAGCTGTGAATTGAGTGCGCGAACAGCCATAGCGCTCTCATACATCCAATTGAGATCTGTCACTTGTCGCATCGGCATATCCAATTGAAGAAGTGTATGCTTGCGCTTTCCACTGGCAAGGCCATCATCCTGAGCACTGCCATTGAACTGCGATCCATCCTGATCGCCTATCCTTAATGTTTCCTCGTCTGTATCATCCATATCATCACCCTCGACAGCACGCGATTCGTAGTAGTCATCCACCTTGCTCCGTCCTTTCTTGATAATCCTGTGTCCAAAATACTTGAAGATCGATCGAGCTGTCACGACTGCAATCAGTTTTGATTTGAAGTTGGCCATCAGCATGCCGTTCTCAATCATCCATGTTCGCTCCTCAACTGTAGTATTGACGCGAACAAGCTGCGGGTTTTTCAAAAAGAAGAGGTAGCTGTCTCTGAATCCAAGAACTCGTGCAGGATCCATCGATAGCATGTACACTCTGCTGCCTCTTGTTGGCATCCTAAAGCTCCTGCATCTGTATTCGCGTCCTATAGATCAAAAATTCAAAAGGCGAGTTAGATCTGGCTCTTGAACGACAAGTGTATAGCTTATTAAAGTCCGCACTCTGTCTTACCTCCCAAGAGTTCGCCATCCTTTGTAACCTTGGCCTCGCCTGCCTCCTCGATTTCGCCCTCAATTTCTTCAAGATCCTCTTCCTCTGGTGTCTCTGCGGCCTCAGTGTCCGTTTTGTCCACTGATATTTCCTCATCCCCATCCGCTACATTCTCTTCCTCGTCAGAATCTTCAGATTTTGAGGGCTTTGCCCCAGACGATCCATTCCGGGCTGGTCGCGTAGGTCGCGATGCCCGTCCAGAAGTAGTGCGTCTTGTTTCCTCCTCCTCATCTTCATCCTCCTGCCCGTCACCATCTTCTTCGTCTTGGACTTTTGCTGGTGCGATTTTGGGCTTTCGACCTCTCCTGACAGGATCCTCCTTCTTGATGGCTGTGAGGGATGATGCGCTCGGTACCCTAGCATTCGTTCTACGTGGTCTGCTGGGCGACGGTGAAGCCATATCCAAATTCAGATCCGCCTTGTCGGCCGCGGATTTTGATGATTGTCTGGAGAGGGATTGACGCGAAGCTGACGCAGGCGATGGGGATTTGAGGGGTGGTCGTCTAGCGCGGGAGCTCCTTGTTCCTGAAGACGCAGAGTCTGGCGAATCAACCATAGGACCGCGTGTGATACGTGCAGCCGGTCGATGATAGTCGAGCAAACAAAAAGGTCCTTGCCTTGATAGCCCTGGTCACCTAAGCCCTCATAATTACAGTAGATTGTCAATAAGCCGCTGGCTGCACTTGGTTTGATACCAACTAGAATTCATTGCAAGCATGAGGGGTCACCGCCAATAAATTTCGCAAAGCGAGTTGCGCAAATTATATATCGACTCACCTTTTACCGCAAGGCCTTTTTTTTTTTCCAAAAATTTTGTTTGATCAAGTCCAAAGATGACCCGACTCCGCTCCTAAATGCAATCAAGACGCGTTTTGCAAACCTCATGGTTAGTCTTGGACAGCGCGTCAGAACCATGTAATGCCACAAAAAGGGAGGGAATGCTTGAGGCGCCTGACTGTAACAAAGCAACAGACGCTTCTTCTGAGGAAGCTGTAGCGACTGCTGGAAACACAGCGACATACCGGCTGTGCTTAGAGGCGAAGAGGTGCGGAAGAAGGGTAATGGATATTGATGTGGAATGCAGCTGTTTGGCGGTTGACCGAATGGCCCATCAACAAAGACTACGGAAGGGGGCAAGAGATCATTTTTCTCAGCCACACCACTGTGGTATCGCGGACTGGACGCCCTTAAGCGGATGTATAAAAGAGAGATTGGCTGCAGCTTTCTTTTTTTTTTTTTTTTAAGGATTACAACGTTTATTTGATATCGGCTTCTGCTCTCGTACACTCCGCAATTGATACATTGAGCGCTTAGAAGCACTTGCGGTGGACAATGGAGGGGCCAGACTCGTCGTACTCCATCTTCGAGATCCACATCTGTTGGAAAGTCGAGAGGGAAGCGAGAATGGAACCTCCGATCCAGACAGAGTACTTGCGTTCTGGGGGAGCAACAATCTTGATCTTCATCGAGCTGGGGGCAAGGGCGGTAATCTCCTTCTGCATACGGTCGGCAATACCGGGGTACATGGTCGTGCCTCCGGACATGACAATATTTCCGTACAAGTCACGACGAATATCAACATCTCCCTTCATGATCGAGTTGAAGGTGGTCTCGTGGATACCGACGCTCTCAAGACCAATGAACGAAGGCTGGAAGAGAGCCTCAGGGGCACGGAAGCTATGGAGATTTCGCAATAAAGACAATGCAATTAGTGAGATTGAACCCGACATAACGTGTCATGTAGCATAGGAGGCAGGGCAGGATGGGAAACTTACCGCTCGTTACCAATAGTGATGACCTGACCGTCGGGCAATTCATAGGACTTCTCGAGAGCAGAGGACGAGGCAGCAGTCTGCATCTCCTGCTCAAAGTCGAGGGCGACGTAGCAGAGCTTCTCTTTGATGTCACGAACGATTTCACGCTCGGCAGAGGTATAGAAAGAGTAACCACGCTCCATGAGGATCTTCATGAGATAGTCGGTCAAGTCACGACCAGCGAGGTCGAGACGGAGAATGGCGTGAGGAAGAGCGTAACCCTCGTAGATGGGAACGGTGTGAGTGACACCATCACCAGAGTCGAGGACGATACCGGTGGTACGACCAGAGGCATAGAGGGACAAGACGGCTTGAATGGAGACGTAGAAGGCGGGGGCGTTGAAGGTCTCGAACATGATCTGGGTCATCTTCTCGCGGTTGGACTTGGGGTTAAGGGGAGCCTCGGTCAAGAGGACGGGGTGCTCTTCAGGGGCAACACGGAGCTCGTTGTAGAAGGTGTGATGCCAGATCTTCTCCATGTCGTCCCAGTTGGTGACAATACCGTGCTCGATGGGGTACTTCAAGGTGAGAATACCACGCTTAGACTGGGCCTCGTCTCCAACATATGAATCCTTCTGACCCATACCGACCATGACACCCTGGTGGCGGGGGCGACCGACAATCTGTTCGGGATAGGAGGGGATTTCATGACAAGTAGAGTAGTGATTGTGAGAGACAAATTTACATTTTGTTGAACACTCCAGTCGCGTGTGAGTTGCGAGGAGAGGGGGTGGTCCCACACATTTACACGAGACGTCACAACAAATTCACAGCTGGATTCTTACCGAAGGGAAGACGGCGCGAGGAGCGTCATCTCCAGCGAAACCGGCCTTGCACATGCCGGAGCCGTTATCAATAACCAAGGCAGCAACTTCGTCTTCCTATTAGTACCGCAAGAAGAGAGGCATAGATATATAAATTCAACAGTTAGATACAGATGCTATTGAAATCCGAAGGGGGATTGCTTCATTCCAGTCCACTCCTCGGTGTCCATTAGACAGTAAGAGCACATTGATACTTACCATTCTAGTGTGATTGGAAACAGCGGAGGAGTAAAACACCAGGAGATGGAGGAAAGCGGAAACGACAGTTAGTTTTGAGACTTCCGATATGGAAGATGGCATGCTCTATCACTCAGGCTGACATGCCGCTCCTCTCATCAGGGCAGTGGTTTTAGCTGCGTTCTCAAAGCAGCATAAGACGGACTGCGACAACCAGATACGCCATCAATTGACGACAAACGCGTTGGTCCAAAAGTCATGACAGAAGGTAGGGTGCGAAGCGCATGGTGACAACAGTAGCGATTGATAACAACCGATCGATGGACGCAGCCAGACGCGTGATAGAACATGAACAACAGGATATTGAACGGAAAGAAGCAAGAAAAGTGTTGAGAGATGAAGACAGAAGGCAAGGGGAGGGAGAGGAACAGCCAATTGGGGCACGACACACCAGAATGATGACATGACAAGCAAAAAGCGAGACATTGACGCGCGGTGCATGTTGATACAATGCAATATAATGCAGTGTGATGATGTGGTTGTACGTACTTTGCAGGTGAGCTTTGGTATGAAAAAAAAAAGAGAGAGGGAGGCGGAGAAAGTAAAGAGGTGGGAGCTGAGTGAGTTGGTTAAGTGGAGATGATGAGAAAAAAAGAGATGGAAGGAGACCGCTTCCAGTATATATAGTGGTCCAGGGAAATCTGGCTAGGCCGGGGGAAGGGCGTTTTATCACACAGTCTGCTTGATTTTGATTTCCTTTTTCCTACAGGACAGACACACCACACCACACAGTGCGCTTTTACTGTCGTTGGCCTCCAATGCTACTGATAGGAGACCAAAAGCGACACAGCCCAGCCCTTTAGTCGATGCCTTTTGCGATGTGTCTCAATAGTATGAGATGGATCCGTGCTTGCAAGAATGAGCGTCGCTCATTGGTCTATCCGCCCTGTCGTCCTCCGCTGGTAGACATGACATCGCATGAGATGGTCATCCATATCCTTCGCCCTGCGCACCTGTCCTGCAAAAAGAAGCAACTGAAGATGACGACAAGGGGTCTCCAGGTTGCCGATGCTTGATTCTTGGCTAATTATGCCCTGAATGCCCTGCATCGCAACTAACTTTCAGCGTGTACGACATGTGAATGAACAGTAAGTACGTCCCACCTTTTTTTTTTTTTTAGGAGAAAGAGGCCGACTTTACTCTTCACACAAGGCATCGCTCCCTGTAAGCATGCCAGAAAAAGATATCGATACAGCTCTCCCTTTTCCTGTCAATGCGATGCGCAAGAGCATGAGCAAGAGCGCAACACCTCTATAGCCTAGAACCGCTCAAAAATGACAATTGTCGATCGGGCAACATCCGATTCGAGTACTGCCTTACCTGAAAAGCCTCCAACGTAAAAGGACCAATCGTCTCTCCGTGGACAGTAACCGTTGACCGCAGGATGCAACAGAGAACAGAGCAGCCCGGCCGCCACGGAGGCGCATTTTGATTGTAGAAAATTGTCTCTCCCTCATAGTAGATACGGAAAAAATAAAATATCCTGAGCTGTGGACGCGTTCGTAGTCAATTGATGGGCACACAAAGCGTCATAACCTATATTTTAGCATAACACTGAATTCCAATCGAGTGGAGTGGGTGCTTTGTTGTTACTGGTGGCAATGTCGATTCATGTCTACCTTTGCTGCATCGCCTCCAGTACGAAACGGCTGTTGCCAAGGAGAGAGGGGCGTAAAGCGTCATCAACTTATGCCATTGCTTCCCTTTAATGCACATTCCCCAACTGCAAAGCTAGCTCATAACCAGTGATTCTCGCCGGTGATTATCACCGGTGAACAAAGAATCGGTGAAATCCAGTGGAATCCAGCGAAGCTCAGTGATATAGAAGTGCTATTACCATATGTGGAATTCATCGGTGAAAAAATCACAAAAAAAGTTCATCGCGGTTAACCGTTCACCGGCGCGAATCACTTACTCATAACCAAATGCAGTTTTTTATTTCGCGTTTGAATACAATCTCTTGCAGACGTAGTGCTTCTAACAGCTGCAGCCCGAGTATTCCTGCGACGCCTCTACATTGGACTGGAGACGGACATTGGAGGACGCCTGTTTTTGCCAAAGACTCGGGGTGTCGATGATCTGTTGGACTAGTTCGTCAAACGCCTGCTGAACTCCCAACTTTGTCTTGGCGCTACACTCCACAAACAACGTCTGCAGTTTTCGGGCCAAGTCCTGTCCTTCCTGCTTGCTGACTTCTCTGCTCGACTCCTAAAGAACCACCATACAAGAAGCGTAGCAAATACGGCGCAATCGTGGAGAATATAAAGAAGTAAGATGAATTCGGTCAGTCTGACGGGCCATGCACGTCATTCAAAAAAGGACGGTAGAGGAATTCGTTGTATCGCGTGCTCGCACCTTGTCAACTTTGTTTCCGACAATCATACGGACAACCTCCTTGCTCGAGCAGTATGTGTCGAGCTCATTGAACCAGGTCTGGAGGTCATTGAACGAGTCGCGGTTGCTGACATCGTACACTAATTGAGGTTTAGGGAGAAAAGGATCATAATGGTTGGTCTGCGATGCTGGAAGGGAAAAAAAATCCGGTGTCTATGCTCGAGCTGTATTATACCTAAGATGACACCCTGGGCTCCGCGGTAATAGGAAGATGTGAGGGTCCTGAAGCGCTCCTGTCCAGCAGTATCCTACAATGCACATGTCAGAATAATAGTGATAAGTTTTTGGCGCACCAGTGAAACAGATTTGCGGACGTTTCCTACTCCTCTTTTTTTTTGGATGTCGTGGCACAATGACAACAGATACATACCCAGATGGTCAGCTTGTATTTCTTGCCCTCAACATCAATAACTTTTACTTTAAAGTCGACACCAATCGTCGCCGAGACCTCATCAGGGGCAAGAAATACTCCATCGACGAAGCGCGTGAGCAGGCTGCTCTTTCCTGTGCCACTACTTCCAATGAGCAGCAACTTGAGTGTGGCGACAGTCTCTGAGGAGGAAGTATGAGAGTCGGACATGACTAGTTTCTATGTCGAATGGGTGCAGGTGAGGGATTGAAGTGTATGATTAAGTGTTTGAGAGGGTGAAAAGGAGGAATGGGGAGTGATGTTCACGAGTTGGGGGTGTGGAGGTGTGTAAAGTGAAAGAGGAGCAAGGAATGGGGTTGGCAATGGGCGTGGTGGGGTTGCAAGAAGGTTGGTTTGCCCACTGACTGACACGCGCACACAGGCCACTTGTTCCGAGTGACTGGTTTCCAAGAAGTGGGGGGGGAGGGGAGAGGGTTCGAGCAGCGATGGTTTGCTCGTTTGCCACTGCACTGCACACGACAGACAGACACAGTCGACGCGTCCCTCCTTTCTTTCATTTGATCTCTTCTCCCACAGAACCCTACATCCTTCCCCGCGTCAACCACTCTCCGATCGTTCTCGGTCCACCATGGCGCCCAACGAGCCCACATTCGACGAGATCATCTCAAAGATCCAGTCCTGCTCAGACACCGCCGCCATCACTAAGACACTCGCACCATTCCTCAACAACCTCAGCGAGCAGTTCTTTTCCGCTCGATCCCAGGATCAGGCCGACCCCGTCGATGCACTCTCGCCTGCTGTCCACTCCTTTGCGTATCTTCATTTTCTGTAAGTGTGACAATCCTCGCGCGTCTCTGTGATACTGCGCCTTCCAGCGTATTTACCAACTCGAATGAAATCGTTTCTTTCACGGTCATGTCGCAATGAAAAAGAGTGTACCGTTGCAAGGCTTCGCATGGATTTCACCCTGCGCTGCTGGAGAAAGTCTGGGCGTTTGTCACCACCTGTGACGGAGAGCAGGTTCGCCTGGCCTCGGATAAAGGTTCGTCTTTTTTTTTTTTTTGTTTGGCTGACGGCACTGCGGTGACCCTACTCCACTACAATCGTACTGACTGTACTATATTTTTGATGTGATGTTATTTCTAGCATTGAGCTTTGCAGAGGCACTGGTCAATATGGCAACTGAGTCTCAGCAGGTATGGGGTGTCTGAACGGACGCGACAATGGGACGACATCTTGGATTTTGTGACTTATTAGACATATTCTTCTTCTATTCTAGCCCATTATCGCCATCAGACCGCTGGCCACCTTCATCCAGAGGCTGCAAATATCTCCAGGACAACTTACCATGATTCACCCTCTATTGGCAAAGGTAATCGGCCTCGGGATATCAAGTTCTCTCCATGCCAGTCACTGTGTTTGTGCAAAGGATTCTGACACGGCAACCTTTGTTATTATAGACATGTCTGTTGGCGCAGTCATTCAAGGACATCGTTCCAATCCTCGACAGTGACATCTCTGACGTGAATCCAGTGGTAATGCAGCAGGAGAAAGCTGTTATCCTGTCACCATGTTGGAATTTAGTTTGGTTTGTTAATGCGTTTTACCCTGTTTATATCTGTCTACACAGCAAACGCATATCAACTACAAGGACTTTTTGCTGTACCACTACTACGGAGGAATGATCTATGCCTACCTCAAGAAGTTTGACCGTGCTGTCGAGTTTTTCAAATTGGTAGTGAATCATCGAGACTCATGCTGTCATTTTGAATGTGCACTCACTATCACAAGTCAAGTCCTAGGAAAATAACATTTACTGATCTGACGTGCTTGAAATAGGCGGTATCAGCTCCTGCAGAAGTCGCCAGTGCCATTCAGGTCGAGGCGTATAAGAAATATATCTTGACGAGTTTGCTTCATTACGGAAAGGTAAGCGGAATCTTGCAAGGATGCCCAATCTCCGTCAAACATTTTTCTAGAATCGGGCAGCTGACTTATATTCTACATTCCGCGTTAGGTCCCTGTTCTACCCAAGTACACAGCCACGTCGGTCCAGAGATGCTTAAAGATGCAATGTGGGCCATATTCTGACTTCGCCATGGCATACGAGAAGAAGTCGAACATTGTTATCAAGACAGAACTGGAAAAAATCAAAACTCTCCTCATTCGGGATAAGAACTATGGACTGGCAAAGCAGTGTATGGAGGCGCTTCACCGTCGAAACATCCAGGATCTCACTCGCACCTACCTGACTCTTTCCATCGAGGATATCACGTCATTTATCGGTCTCGGTTCAGAACCAGAAGGGGCACGGCGGGTAGAGGGGATCATTGTCAGGATGATTGAATCAGGCGCCGTCTTTGCAACTATCAGTCATGAACACGCCGGAGGAATGGTCTCGTTCCTGGATGACCCCAATCACCATAACAACACTGGAACGATGGATATGATCAACAGTCAGATTCAAAAGGCGACCGCAATCACGTCTAGCCTTGTTGCGATGGACCAGGCCATTTCCAGCATGCCTGCATTCTTCAACAGAGTACGTTCATATCAGAGCGCGTCACTCCACGTATGCATTGGGCATTCCTTTGTATGGCGTCGTTTTACAACTGGATATTGATACATGCTTGATATTATTCACTGATCCTTAGGGATCGCAACTGTGGGATCGTGTGGGCGTCCCTACTGATGAGGCTGACTATGGCATGCACATGGGATACGATGCCTATGCTGACGAAGGTTTGTTTGCATCCTCATGTCATTCCTCTTGCCTATCTTTGTGTGGGTGCTTGGCACTGGCCGTCTGACGCTTCTGCGGTTCATCATTTTCAAATAGAAAGCCTATTCTAGTGCATCGAAGAGGAAGCGTACAAAGTCGCGGTCCCGAGGAGGAAGACAAGGCCCGCGATCGCGTGGAGGTGAGCAGGTAGGAGCGCGCACAGGGACCGAAGGGGATAGTGACGAGGACAAGGCACGCGAGGTAGAAGATGAGCAGCGGGACGAGGCCGACGACGCGTAAGAATGAGATGGAAACAGACGAGATTCCGAGTTATCATTGATATGCAGGGTATCCATTCGACGACTCCGTAGTCGCCATGAGAAGGAGACCATTCACGAACAGAAACAAAACAAAGGCATTGCACTCAATAAAAGCGTCTGTTTCCGCACACGTCTACGATCACATCGACACTACATGGAGCGTCCCTTGCAGGAATGCAACGCCTTCGCTAGTCAGTGAGACTTCACAGCGAATAGACGTTCAGCAGACGGCACACGTCTGAGAGGACACTTTATTTTGCTAGGGTGGTGCCCTGGATGCATGGACAATGCTCGTGTTGGCACGTATTTGCGCGCATACAAGGATATGTGTGTCTATGTGCTTGTTCCCTCATAGCCCAGTCGCTCTTCATTTTCACCCCCTTCATGGCACTCTCCTGGCATTCAAAACAACCTAACTCAGATATCTGCTGGCCAGCATCTAAAAGATGCAATCTAGAAAGACGGCGACGATGGACTCCTTTATTTGGTGCATATATTCCCTTGCGATCTTATGTCGGCTCTCCTTTTCTCAGATAAGAAGGAGAGCCCCCGTCAAGAAGAGATCACTTGCTCTTGTTTTGCTGCCACCTCCTGGCATATTTGCCATTGACTAGGAATCGAAATTAGCACTGACACTCAAACCTTTACTGCTTGCCGATGATGGTAAAGAAGCGGAAATCCTATATGGCGTGGTTTTTTTTTTTCCCTTGCTTATAACACCCGTCATTCTGTTCCGGTCTTGAAGTAGAAGCCGAACGCCGTTCCTTAGATCCCAGTCCACTGCTCATCCCAACTCGTTTGTTGCCAGACACAAGACTTTAACGATCATTGCTCCTCTGCATAAACACAAACATTCACGACTCAGCGACAGAAACTAGCAGATATGATTGGATCCTTAACCTCACGCATGCTTGCTATGCTGGCAGTCTTGGCCACAATCGTCTGTGTTTCCGCCTTTGATCGTAAGTTCTTGCAATGTGTGCGTGCAAATCAAGTGCTATATAATGGAAACGTACTATTACCGCGGCGCTAATGAAGGTGCAATAATGCTCATTTTTTGACAGCCATGACAGTCGATAACAGCACAAAGTTGACTTGGTGTCAGAACCAGGTCGGGTTCTGGTAAGATGGCATTCTTTTGTTTCGAAAGGGTCCTTTTGCAGACGTTTACAGCGAATATTGATGTTTTTGCCTGGAACTTCGTGGTATTGTGATAGCACAAACGTCTGTCAGGAATTGACGAAGGGTGCCGAGGCCCTCGACAACCGATGCGATATTATGACCTTGCAGTACACCTGCCAATGCCAGGGGGGCGTCATTCCCAACACCACCGGTAATATACATGGCTTCTTCTGCGTCCCACACCCTGCAGTCGCATCATAGCTAAGGTATATCGCTCTAACCTGCCACCTTACCCGCCATTCTAGAATACACCTACACGATCCCTTACTTCATGTGTGTCGCCGACGTCCAGCATTGCATCGGCGGCTGCCCGCTTTCCGATAACGGCTGCTACGCAAACTGCAACCAACGCAGCTGTGCTGCCGAATTCCCGAAGAAGTACAACCAGACTATCGCCACCTCGAGTATATCAGCTTCAACGGCGACCAACGGACCCCAGGTTACGGGTGTGCTTCCCCCAGGCATATTTGGCAACGCTGCCAATTCGAACAGAGGTGTCCAGACTTGGGCGGCCATCGGCGGCTCCAGTGTCTTGGGACTGATTGTCTTCCTGACCGCCGGAGTCTTGTTTGGTAACCATGCTTAGATCTGGAACAACTCGCGGAGGACATAGAGTCGCATAATCAAGATCCAATTGCGATGGCATTTGCATCTGCTTGGCTACATTTATCTTTTAAATAATATCTCTCACATAAGATTTTCCGAGTTCATCGATTATGGTTTGAAAATGTGTAACATTTCTTGTCGCGTCCATAAAAAATGGTCCGTGCCCCGCACAGCAGAGGCACAAACTTTGATTTCATGTTCCGAAACGGAATTGTGTGAGTTATTCTACTATGAACGACAACATCTATAACCTCACTGGCTCTGACATATATAAATGCTTATGTTAGACGACAGATGTACCCTCTTCCTCGTTCTCCTACTTAGTGATACACAAGTTCTTGAACATCAAAAACGAAGCAGACGCAGCTCCCCCGATTCATCTAGCATATTTACGGCCTTGAGGGCGAAACAACCTGGACCTTAGTAGAGTTAGAAAACGAACGTCTTGATCTACTTCCCCAGTCGTTGACCGATGCCTGGGAGCAAGGACGTTCTTCCAGCAAGCACAACATTCTGGAAGCTTTAGCAGCCAAAAGTTGATGTGTGAAGAGAAATTGAAGACCATGTCGATAGAATTAGGAAGGCTGGTTCATAGCGACAAAACTCAAAAAGGCACGTTGACCAACATCCAGTCCGCCATCGCGCCTTTGAAGAACTCTGTGCGTGAGATCAAAGGAACAAACGAGGCCAATGCCAGTTACCATTGCCAGTGATAGCTCTGCTCGTTGGACCTGTAAGAAAAAAGAGCAGTCCTTATTTCCCACATCCAGCAGCATTATATCCTATCCGGCTCCTTATTTCCTCCTGTCTAGAAAAAATAGATCCAAGCAGATGCATTGTGGCAATAGAGCGTCAGTTTGGATCGACATATGCCATATGCGTAAAAGCCATGTCCATCACTACTGTTTTCTGCATATATGGTGGCAAGACATACTCAGACCTGTACCTCGTGCTGCGGTTTGCCACCATCAGGGTTCAGATCTTGGCCCTCTCACACGCTTCTCACATCACTACAAAAACACTCGCTTTTCGCATCCACCCAGTCATCTCTCCTCCACTCCTTCACCCGCTCACTCCATCACACTCAGCTGCACGTCGACCATGCCCGAACACCTGAAACTGTTCTGTCTTGTCAGCGGAGATTCCGTCTCAAGAGTATTCCCGGTCAAGGTCCCCTCGGATGACACCGTCAGTGACCTCAAAGAGCTCATCAAGGCCAAGAAGGCTCCCGAGTTGGACGACATTGCGGCTGACAATCTCACGCTCTGGCACGTCTCTATTCCGCTTACGGATGGCGACGATGAGCATCCAGTCATCCTCGACACTCTGAATGATAAGAAGAAACTCCGCCCGGCGACTGATCTTTCCGAAGTATTCAGTGAGGAGATACCCAGAAAGACCGTCAACATCCTTGTCCAACGTCCCCAACCTGGTAAGCATTCACTCATGCTGTTCGCGTTAGTGCTTGAACTGGTCCCCTACAGCCTGTTTCTTTTTCTTGTGCTTATTCGACCTCATTGTCTCTTGCATCCTATCGTGCTGTTACATTAACTGTTCCTATCCATGTCCCCACCCATCCCTCAGAGTTCCCCGCTCGCGCCGCTTCACCCCTTGGTCCTCCCATTTCTCGTAAGTGCGCTACCTGGCGATAGTTATCAAGTACTGGTGCCTACTACAGTAGATCAATGCTAAACGTGTACTCCTTTGTTGCCATTCAAATAGTCGAAAAATGGCAAGAACTTATTGAAAAGACTGAAGGCGACTTCTTCACACCTGGCTCGATCAAGTACACGGTCCTCGTCCGGTTCGTGAAAGGCGATGCGAAGCTTCCGACAACAGAAGGAATACTGGGCGGTCTGCCCTGTATTTATCCCCGCGCAGGCATGAAAGCGAACCGGCTCAGTCTCTTATTCCTAAATCTTCCAGAATCGTCCGAGACACAGGAGCCTCCCAGTACTGCCGGCAAAGCGCTCGTGAGGATTCATGGACGAGCGATTCCTCTGTTATCGTTTTTTGGTGTTACTGGATGTGGAAAAACGAGGACGGCGATTGAGATGCTCTGCAAGCAATGGGGCTTTTATTTTTATGGAAGTCGCTCAGACTGGGGCTCCAGCGATCTCTACAAACTTCTTAAACTAGTCCGAACCAGGGATCGATACAAAACTTTCAGCGTGGAAAGCAACACGCATGTCCACGTTCTGGCGCTGGCCCTTATCCTCGCGCGCCTCATGACCTTGCACCACTGTCTCGACATCTCGGAACGCGAGAATGTCAGATTTACGTGCAAGCGATGGATGCTGTTGCAAGTCTCCTTTCAATCAATGGACATTGGTGACGTCTTTACCAGTCTATTTGAACTGATTGCCAGCCATATCCGCAATCATTATGTCGACCATGGATTCATGGCGACGTTGGTCCGTGAACGATTCTCTGAACTACGCCAGCGTCTTGTGAATTACACGCCAAACAAGACTTTCCGTGACTCTGCTTACAAGATTCTAATTATTGTTGACGAAGCTCAAGAACTCAGCAAGGAGATTTTTGGAACCTACCTCTCAGGACATGCACCTTCGGGATTTGCGCCAAAGAGCGCCGCCATCGCCGCACAAGAGGACTACAAGCGACCGGTCCTCTCTCCTTTTACCCACGGATTGTACCAAACTGCCTCGGACGAGAGTCAAATTTGCGTGATACCTTGTGGGACTGGCCTCAGCATTTTCGATATGAAGTGGCTCGACGGCTCAGCTCCTGGCCCCAAAGGCTACGTAGATCAGCTTGGACCATTTACCGATTTCGTAGGTTGGGAATCACTCGAACAGGTACGGGACTACCGTGATCTTGTGCGTAGCGCGTTACCGAATCAGGAAGCCAGGATAATCTTCGATGCGCAAGTACCAGAAACATCAATGCAAGAGCTCTTTGACAGCTTCCGCGGGCGGTTTCGACCAATCGTTTCCACTATTGAGCGCATGATCATACTCAAGCCTGGCATCAGTGGAATCGATTGGAAATCGGCGATCAAAGAAACAGAGGATACGTTAACGTCAACAGATTCCCGATATTACTACAGAGGAAATATTACTCACGACATATCGCGGATGATCGCCAGAGTTCACACATTCGAGTCGCGATACGCAAAATATCAAAATATACGGTCCACCCTCCAGCTCTTTGTGTTGGAACACTATCTGCATGGGCGTCCCGTGCTTATCAACAGTGAGGAGGCACCGCTGGTAGAAGCTTCTGTCGGGAGAATCTTGCATTTTGGCGAAGAAACAGCGACGGTTCTAGATGAACCATTTGCATTGCGTGCTGCCGTGAACTATTTCCGCAAGGAGGACCCTGACTTTTACAGTGCGATCTATACTCTGTTCCGTTCGGCACCAAACGCGTCCGTCCATGGGCACACATGGGAGACGGCAGTGCAACCTAGCCTGGTTCACGTTTTCCACGACAAGGTCCTGTCCAAAACAGCTCTAGTTGCGAAAATGAAGTCCTACGATGACCTTCTGGATCACACAGCCAAGATTGTTGGAAAGGACGATGCACCTATGCTTGGGATCGACTATAGAAGTATGTCACTAGAAGAGTTTCTGGCGGTTCGTGTCGAGAATGGTTCACTCAAAGATGGGAAGCCGGTTCCGCCGTTTTACCATCCTGCCGAGATACCCTCAGGACCTGACATTGTGTTTGTTCTCCATTTCGATAACCATGGCTACTGTCCTGTGTTTATTCAGTTGAAGATGCGAACTTCCATGAACAAATCACAAACCCAGAGTGCGTTCACAACGGTCAAGACCGATGGGGTTCAGGGTCATCTCGGAGAGATCATGCTCCAAAGGTTTTGTACCGTTTCTCCTAAACGGTTCCTCGAAATTGTTATTGGTTATCCAATTGAGCTGAGAGACATCGAGGACTTATTTCCCACGGGTAAACAAAGCGAGCGGATTCGCACAGCGCAACCCTCCGAGTGCATTTTGCTCAGGATCAACAAGAACAACATACACAGCCTCTTCCCAAAACGCCATATGGAGGCACTGGATCGCCTAAAGAGCATTAAGCGAGAACTGAACCAAGACAGTGATTATCTGGTGGACCAATGGGCAGCAAAACAACGTCAATATGAGGATGATGAATCCCATATGGGCTATAGCTAAGATCGCCCTTGTTTCTCAACTTGCTCTACAATCTTCCCGATTATCCATACGTTCGCTCCACCAGTGGCATTCTCTACTTTGTCCCTTCGACGCTTCAAAGCCCTTTATATTGCATTCATATGGCCTCATGAAGGCTTTTCAGACTTTTAGCTCGCAATCAATAAACTCTGGCTGTCCAAATCGCTGTTTGATGAAACAGGCTTACGGTCGCACTAGTGGCACCCTTTGCAACAGGTTATCAATTTCTGGACAGGCAAGCAATTAAGGGATGGAGAAGCAAGTGCGAGTACAAGGCAGGAAGGTGAAGACTCGTGTATGAGCCGAAAGACTTGGTGAAATTTGCAGTTATATCCGGCAAAAAAGGAACGAAGCATGATACAAGCAGCAATATGGATATTTCTTTGTCTGCATCTCGCGTGAAAATTCAATAATGGCCTTTGGTAGTCCGCTGTGCATTTTGAATGGCTGGGTTCCTCAGAACCTTGACCAGGATCCCTTGGGGACCACAGCTTTACATGATGATCCTGTCCTGTCAAGTACCAAGATGCTGCACGCTTAGGATATCTGTGCAACAGGATAATAGGGAGGAGGCAACGTCGCCTTTATAGGAAATGTCACAGAATCTCTTGACTAAACAGTTTGCGCCATTCTATCGATGATTAGGTGTCGTTCTTGCGATCGAATATCGTGTGGCAAGGATTGAAAAATCTAAGTAATGCAATAATAATATCAACAGCAAATGTTAGCAAACACCGACCCATCAAACGCAGAATTCGCATAACGAAGCAATCCACAGCAACATACCACTTGATACTTGGCGACAGTGTCCTTGTCGTCGCCCTCCAGCAGCCGAAGAATGCAATCGTGCAACAGACCGTCGACAACCTGCGTGTCGATCGATCCTGTAGGCACAAATCTCCGAAGCGACATCAAGTTCCGGAACAGCCCAATGGTCCTCCACAAATATCTCTCCCTGGCTTCTTGTCCCTGCGCCGTCAAGATGTGCCGCGGCGTGAGCGGTTGTGCTGCCTCAACAAACTGATCCCGATGCAACTGAGCAGTCTGGAGAATAGCCTCGAGAGTCGCCTTCAGCAGCTTCTCCATCTTGTTTTCCTTCTTCTCCACATAGTCCAACAACTGGTCCAAGATTGCCTTTAAGCAACGCGACTGTTTAGCCGAGTACAGATCCACCCCTCCTGCGGCAAGGAACTGCGTGATTTTGGGGCACAGACTCTTGGCGACGACTTTGCCCATCAATTCCTTGTCCATATCCTCCTCATCCTCATCATCTCGTTCGCTTTCCGAATCGCTATGGGTATGTAATGCAGATGAACGCACAATCGTATAGGAGGACACAGCTTGGTGCCAAGACTGCTCTGAAAGATCTTGCCTGACACGAAGCGGGTTCCAAAGACAGGTCTCCTGGCGCACAAAGAAGTCAAAGACCAGTGGCAGAAGGAGTCCGCCGTATGCCTTGTTATAGTCCTTGGGATAGTCTGTTTTCCACGCCTGAAAGTGTCGCTTCACTGCCTCAATCGTTCTGAATTCTGATCCGACCTCCTTGAAAATGTTCACGCGGCGTTCTTCTAGCTCCATGACGGCGTTGCCAAGTTCACGGTCATCCCCGGCACCTAACTCATCGTCTGTGGACAGTCCATCATGACTCTCTGACTCCTTTGGATTCTCTCGTGCGTTATCTTGATCGTCTGTTTGAGTTCGCTTCCTTTGCGCTTTCCGGCGCTCTCTCTCGGCCCTCCGTCTTTGCCGCGCTGCAAAGGGGTCCACGACTATACTCCTTCCGAACTCATCGAACTCTGGCGGTGCTCCATTCCGGTCTCCCTTCCCAGTGCTCTCGTCATCAACAACATTTGCAAACTCTGCCAGGTCGTCCTTCAAGTCGAGTCGTCTGCGTTTCGCGACCACCTTTGTACGTTCTGAGAGCATGGATGTATAGTCGCGCTCGATGGTTTCCAATTCTGGGAATTTCTCCTCGAAAAACGCAGCCAAATTTCGGCAATATGACCGTAGCTCCTGGAAAAAGGTATAGCGTGCACTCAATTTGGCCATGCCCTCCTCCGCCTCTGCAGACCGAAGCATGATCTCGGCCTTCTCATGGCGAATATGCTCCAGTTGCTTGCTGTGTTGGCTGTTCTGTTGCTTCAAAGTGTCGAGACGACTTTGTAATCGACTTCTAACACTGGCAATGTTTGGTATCGGGGAGACAGTTGGGACTAGAGATAATAAGGCCGCTAGTTAAAATATGAGGCGTTGTACATCAATGCGCGATTACATATCCTAAACTTACATGTAATGCCTTTCTGAACAGAGACAGTCTTATTATTTTTCGCTGCCTTGTCAACAATACCGGCATTGCGAATCTGTTGCATCTCCCACTCTCTGGTCTCTTCGTCGTCGTCTTCCTCCTCCCCGTTTCTATACATAGAATGATGATGAAATGGATGAGGTGTTAATAATCACTGTCTCTTCCATGCCTGGTCCGCCGCAACAGCAAGTCAGTGCCTCGATCCTTACACTTCATCAATAAGCTCCTTGCGTGCTGCTCTTCGGGTCTTTTCAGCCCGTCGCTGTGCTTTGGAACCCAGTGCCAGTTTATCGCCCATAACCTTTTCGAGATCTAGTGTTGAAACACAATGGCGATAGATATGATGAGACGCAGTCCGGTGATACAAATTCCTTGAGAAAGAGCGATGGTCCTGGTTTCGTACCAGCTTCGCCATCGTCCATGTCGTCATCCTCCTCCCTGACCAGTCTAGTATTTCGTTCTTCAACAATCTAGTATCAAGAAGATGCTACTCTGTGAGCCACTGCTGATGCAAATTCCAATATACATGCAAATAAAATATAAAGGGATTGTTGCTTACTCTGTCATCATCTCCGCCTGCCAGCGAGATAAATTCCTCTTCATCTCTATCGTTTCTTAGTCGCATCTGTTCACGTTTCTTTTTCGCAAGGTGGATTGCATGTGCATCTGGTATGATTGTTGACCCTATAGCGAGGTGGAAAAAAAAAAAGAAGAAACCCACCAGATCAGCATCAAAGATCTATATCTCTCCGATTCCACTTTCAGGGCTGCGGGTCGCAATATCAAAAAGCCATACCTCCGAGAAGCGTAGGAAATTTCTCTTCTGTAAGACTCTCTCTAGTGTGATGAGATCGGCTGGATGGTGTAGTGGACAAGGTTGATTTCCTCAGTTCTTCCAATGCCTCCTTGCTATACGAGATCGAATTGCCAACGGTCGCTCGACTGGTGATACTGGGCTGATCCAGAGCTGATTCATCCTTTCCTTTGTTGAGCGCCAACTTCCTGCTTGCGGAGCTCTTCTTGACCTTGAAAGTATCCACTGGCTCCTATGTAATCGCAGCGTGGACATGATCCGGTTAATATCGGCCGTGGGGATGGACCATGTTGATAAAAATCCTGCGCTCTCAATGTAATCCACTTGCCTGTTCTTCGTCGCCAAAACTCAGAACTGTAGTCGCCGTCTTCTTCTTGATCTTTTTCGATTTGACGGCAGTCTCTGTAGTGTTTTTAAACCGAGACCATATAATGTTAGTTACGGTCAAGGTACCAGGGGGCGCGGGCTTTAACAAACTGGAATGAGTGTTGTTGAGATCGCTGTACCTGTGGTGTTGATAGCTAACGACTCATTATTAAGAGGGTCCTCTGCTGTGGGTTCCTCGCCGTCAACGTCGATCTTTTTGCGGATATGTCGGTTCTTCCTTGGCGTGAACATTGGTAACAATGGTGATGGTGAACGGAGAAGCAATGCAGAGACTCAAACAGGTTACAACTGAAATAGTTTATGATTCGCTTATGCTTATGGGACTGTCGTGTGCTTGAAAAAAAAAATCGTGTCAAGGGCTGGTCGAAGTGTATCTTGCAGCACCAGCGCAGCTTGCGGCTACAACTGTCAGGCGTGCGGCAGTGCAAAGCATGGTCGCTGCCATACGGTCGACCAGCTTCAGAGACGAAGGCATGCTTGATATACGAGCGTACTCCAAGGTAGCCTACATGGTCAGAATCTTTTCTCACACAAACACCTTCAGTCACCATAGATAGTGACTTGGGGAAGACGGGTCAAGTTGCCATTGATTTCTTCTAGGATTGTAAGAAGGGAGGTACCCTATGGCTGGCGGTAAGAGAGGGGCCAGGGCCAAAAGAATCGTCGGCACGCACTTACCGGGTGACAGAGGCGTGAAGAGCTGTGCGCCAGCTACAACAATAGATCGCCCGACCCCCCCCCCCTCCGCGTGATGACGTCTCACCTCCAGGCGATTTGTTCGCGTTGGTATAAAAAGGTGAGCACCGTGGGTTTGGGCCTCTTTATCTCCCCATCACAATCATCCCTTGGTCAAAGTACTCATCATCTCACATCATGTCCTGGCAAGCATACGTCGATAACAACCTCGTCGGTACCCACAAGGTCGCCAAGGGCGCCATCTATGGCCACGACGGCTCCCTCTGGGCCTCCAGCCCCAACTTCAACGTAATTTTTTTGCACTTGTGTTCTGCTTCACCTGCTCATCTCCACCCTCCGTTCCCACACCCTGCCATGTCGGACCTATTCGTCGGATTATATGCTGGACAATATTCAACGCATTTTGGATAGACTATCAGGACAACCGTCAACTGGCGCGCGATTTCTCTTCGATGGAATAATATTGATGTTCGCTCTTGAAAGAATACGCGCTGTACTGCAGAGGGCATAGCAATATGTTTTTTATCTTGGTCCGACATGACCCTGTATTGTGTTCCCACAGTGTCAATTGCTCACTCTGAAAACATTTTCTCCTTTGCTTCAATTCTATCAGGTCGGAGGTGCCGAGGTTCAAAAGTTGATTGCTGCCTTCAACGACGAGAGCGACATTGCCGCCAACGGCCTCTTCCTCGAGGGCAACAAGTTTGTCTTCTTGAGAAAGCCCGAGCCCCACGTTATCTATGCCCGCCACGTAAGTTTCAGAACTGATATCCCTGAAGCCTTTCTTCCTGGTTTCTTTTTGGTTTCTTTTTTTTTTTTTTTTTGCACCTATTGTTGGAGACCCAATCCAAGGACTAGATGGGTCTCGAAGATGGATGATACTGAGTTCAGGGGGGAAAGGAAATAATGGACACGCGCAAACATGCTGGACAAACTGGAGACATGTGCACGGCACAACGACAATAGGCATACAATTGCATGACTCTATCTCCCCCTTGAGTATATGATCCTCCGCATTTGTCTGTATGCTACGTCTTATGCACTGAAGAAGAATATCAGCAGGAGGCTGAGGATCAAAGACGGGTCCCCATGGTGCCTCATTGATCATCTGGGCACCAATGGCTGGCGCTCAATCGGCTCTTTTTGTTATTTTTGGCTGCAAGTGTCTATTTATGATTCCGTTGTCTACTTGCCTTTCCGCTCCCATCCTTCGGTCAGACACTTTGAACAGACCAACTCTAACCCTTGCACCGTCCTATCCTCTTCCATATCATAGGGAGCCACCGGCGTTGCCTGCGTCAAGACCACCCAGGCCGTCCTCGTCGGCTACTACGACGAGAACATCCAGGCCGGCGACTGCAACACCGTCGTCGACAACTTGGCCAACTACCTCATCAGCACTGGCTATGTAAGTCTTTGTCACAGCACTCCGTCGTCCGTTCTATCGACCTTTTATGCAGCGCGATGCTAACGTGTGATTATCTATCCCTATCTCTAGTAAACAACAATTCTCATCTTGTCTCTCGCCTGCCTTGTCGTGACATACCTCCGCGTGCGATGGTATATAAAAATAAAAAAATAAAAAAACAAAACTAGAAAAGCAGCTCCAAAAAAAATGTATCAATAAAAAATGCTTTCCTTTGATGCTAAATACTAATGCTTTATCGACGCATCGGACGACAACAGAGATACTCTACTATGCATCATTGCCCTCCTCGTCTTCGTCTTCGTCTTCGTCTTCACCTTCATCTTCGTCTCCGTTCTCAAGCTCATAGTCCTCTTCGCCTCCACCGTCGCCCTGTAAGGCATCAACTTGTGCTCGGAGTGCATCATTGTCTATACGAATGCAATGAATAGTAGATACGTTTAGTTTACATACTACCACAACACATGCTTACATGAACTTTTGTCAAAGACTTACAAGGATCTAACTCTAATGCTCGGGACAGCTTCTCCGTAGCAGCATCAAAGCGTTCCATGATCATATCCTCATCCTCAATCAGGCCTGTCGACATGAGATATGCCTGCCCCAACTAAATTCCCAGAGTATAATGAAAACAGAAAGATACCGCAGATCAGTTATTGCGGCTCAGTAGATGTGGGGCTGCAAAGCCGTGGCAGCACTAAATCAGAAAAACTTACAGCTTCAAGGGTTTTGGCATCGCCCTCTTCATCCTGCATACCCTCAGCCTTTACTAATAACTCGATTGCCTTCTCCACGAAATCCTTGGCCGGGTTCTCGTCGCCCTGACTTTGGTTATCCACCAGCCTTGCCTTGCTGTACAGACAAGATCCATAAACACTCAACACATCCGCGCTAGAGTTGAACAACTCACTCTTGCTCTCCTGTGCGTCCTCCAAATGCTGGATTGCCTGATCAAACACCTTTGTTGCAAGATCTATGCAGGCAGAGATATACAATGCGTTTAGAGACAAATGACTAAGGCCATTCATGTATGGCCCTGAAAGTAGCATGTCAAAGATGTTACCTATGTTGTAAGTCAGATCCAGAGAAACACCGTATTCTTCCAATTCTTGGGCGGCACGAATACATTCTTCAGTAAATGCAGATCCAACCTCGCCCTTCAACAACCCCAAGCCCTTGGTAAAGTGTTCAAGAACTTGATAAATCAGCAGGGCCTCTGGTTTCCCTACAAACGTAGCAGCATCCCGCTGCTCCTCCGATGGCTCCTCATCTTCTCCTTCATCCTCCGGATCTAAGGCCTTCATGGCCTGTCGACGAACATCTCTGGCCTGTGAATAATAAGATTGAAGACGGGACGTTAGATATGGACTGAGAGCAGCCAATACAGATCTTCTTCTCCTGCTCTTTCCTTCTCTTCGTATATACCTGAGAAATCTCAGCAATGCCCAATCCCACCAAAGCATTGCCGTTCTTCTGAGCCGTCCTCTTGACCAAGTCCTCGAACATCCGTGTGCCCTCCTGCAACATCTCGGACGAGGGCATAAAGTTTCCAATTGCAACTACGCACGCTGCATGATGTATCTTGGTCTCTACCATCTTGGATGCAACCTCCGTTCCGTCGTTGATCTCGATATGCGCGTTCGCTTTATCCAGAGCTTCGAATTCCTCAATAGCCTTATCAAACAGCGCCTTGGCCATCCTGGACAGTCCTGATCCAGAGTCCATAGAAGTTGGCTTCTTCAATGCCTCTTCACGCGCCATCTGGAAGAGCTCCACTGCGCTGGGCGGGGTGTCGAATTGGAGAACAATTTCGCCTTCAGCGCATCCTTCGCAGTCTGGGTCCTCACAGTCGTCCGCGTGTGCTGTCGTGTCCTTGCGAGGTTTTTTTGACTCGTGTTGGTCAGATTGGTGGTCATTCGAAGAACTTGAGGCTTCCGGCGACAACGCCTTACGCTTGTGGATTGAAGTGTCTGTAGAGCTCATGGTTGTGGATTCAAAGAGTCGATGGCAAAAGACAAGTATGCGATCGAAGGCAGATCTGAACCAGATGTCTGAAGAGGCACAATAGACACGATGACAACAGTCACCGCAAGTCAGGGTCTGGGTGTCATCCGCAGGCTGCTTCTGGAAAGTGCAAAACGAACGACGGCCGACATTATCCATGCAGCGAAGTCAAATACAAAGCAGCGATCCACGTTTCTTTGCGAAAATAAACAAAACATTTATTGAACCCAACATCCTTGCCGCCATCCTTCTTAATACCATGATCTCGAAAAACATTTACTATGTGTGGCCATGGATGATATTGGATTACGTTTGAGTCAGCGAAAAGCGTTGCAGCGGGATACAATTGAGACATGAACCAGGAATGAAACAGAAATATGAAACTTACAGCAGCAGCCTTGACACGCTGGGCAGCGCGCTTGCCAGTCTGCGCCTGGAAACCAGACTTGATGGCCGAGACGGATCTCGTCGATCCACAGGCTTCACATTGCAAGAAGAACAGACGGTTCTCCTTGGTCAAGATGGTATCGGGCGATTTGCAGGTCTTGCAGGTAACATATTCGACAATATAGCGACGCAGAACAGCCTCAATCTGCTTTTGTTGGAAACGACCCTTGATCACAAGACGCTGCGAACCGTCGATCGATCCAGAAGTACCCAATTCCGCAAACAAGAACTGGATAACGTGCTCGGGCTGACGATGCATCCTCTTGCAGATATCGGCGACGTTGGCAAAGACCGTCTTCTTGTTACCATCACGCATGACGGAGGGAGGAACAATCGTGTAGCGCTTCTTCTCACCAGCCAACTCAGGGTTGTTCTGACGAAGGATCTTGAACACGCGGGACAAGAGCTCCGTGTATGTGTAGTCACGGTTGGTACCGATCCAGCCCTCCTCAGTGTCAGCTCCAACCTTGGCGCTTGTACGTGCGCCACCCTCCTCATCATCTGCAGCAAAGATGTCGTCAGGATCACGGGCGTCATCATCGCCCTCCTGGTCCTGACCATCCTCGAATGCTGAAAAGTCGACCTTCTTGGACTTTTTCTTCTTCTTCTTCATATCGCCGAAATCAAACGACTCGCCAGCATCAGCAGCAGCACCTTCCTCTCCACCTTCGGCGGCGACTTCCTCCTATCCATTGGTAATTGTGATTATGAATAATAAGAATAAAATGCCATTAGAAGTCTGCTCATGTCAAAATCCATAACTATTCAGTGCAAGCAGCAGCAGCAGCAGCAAGGCAGATATAGGCGCTTGCTGATACAACAGTGTGCCTCCAAACATACCTCAGTCTTGACCTTCTTCTTCTTCTTTTTCTTCTCGCCAAACATGGCCATAGGATCCTCCTCGGCGGCATCTGCGGATGCAAAGCAGGAAACAAGTGAAGGACGATGCATCGTTAAAATATGCTATGAGTGCAAATGCAAGCCCTCCATCTTGGTTTTTGATTTAATGCAGCGATCCAAACAAGACATGCTCCACGTTACCAGCAGCTGGTGCGATCTCCTGAGGCTCGGCAGCGGCCTCCTCGACGGGCTCTTCCTCGGTCTTCTTTGACTTCTTCTTCTTTTTCTTCATGCTAAGATCAAAAACGAGCTATTGGCAGCAGAAAGGGCGTTGTGTGATGGTAAGGTTGAAGTGTGATTAGTCTCTCCTTCAGTTGCAACCTAAATGAAGATACACGGCGGCAGTTGCTGCTCTGTTGTTATATAATAGCGTTAAATCGTCGATGTAACTAAAGAAGGATGTGTTCGAGTTCGAGACTGTCGACGTCCAGTTTGACATCTTACTTCATCGTCCTGAATCTCCATGGATTCGAGCTTCTCCTCAAGTTCGGCGGACATAATGGTGTATGTAGAGTTGTGTGATGCAAGTTGCAAGATCGAGCTGCTGTAGTGCTGTAGTAGTATTTTGAAAGGGCATAGTTTGTGGCTTTTGGTAGTCCTGCAGGAAGAATAGTGGTCACATACTATTTATTGAATAGAAACTATTGTACAGGCGCGCAAAGCAAACTAATATACAATTTTTATCGGTAGCGCTTATCCATTTCAGCGCGGGCAAGGAAGGCAGCACGGAGCTGGGCGTTGATGTCTTGATAGAGATTTTGGATCCCTCCTGAATGATCCTGAGGGTGCGCTTGGTTGCCTTGAGTAGAGTGAACAGGTTGATAGTGTTGATTCAAAATATAGCCTGGCTGGTGAGCGACTTGTGTATCTTGGATAGCACTGAGTCCGAATGCAGGAAAAGTGGAAGAAGAACTTGGCCCTGGACTCACCCCCACGTCCGCCATTTCATCGTCTTCGTCCTCTGAGCTCTTCTGCACCTGATTCCATGCGGTGTTGGCGGTAAACATCATATCCTGGGATGATGGTGGATAGCATTGATACTGCTGTTGCTGTTGCTGTTGCTGTTGCTGTTGCTGTTGCTGTTGCTGTTGCTGTTGCTGTTGCTGTTGCTGTTGCTGTTGCTGTTGCTGTTGCTGTTGCTGTTGCTGTTGCTGTTGCTGTTGCTGTTGCTGTTGCTGTTGCTGTTGCTGTTGCTGTTGCTGTTGCTGTTGTTGTTGTTGTTGTTGTTGTTGTTGCTGTTGTTGCTGTTGTTGCTGTTGCTGTTGCTGTTGTTGTTGTTGTTGCTGTTGCTGCTGCTGCTCGGAATGTACATCGATCGGTGTTCTCTCCGTATCCAAGGGCAATTCTGTAGGGATCCCAAAGCGTGCTGCATGCATTTGGTGAAGGATACCATTCATTCCTGAATACAACGCATAATCTTGAGGGCGTGATTGAGACCCTTGATTATGGATAGGAACTAGTGGCGCCAACTCTGGAGTCCCATTCACAGTGGGTCCTGAGGATTCTGAAAAGGGAGAAGACCTCGTTGAGATCTTGATTGGACTGAATGCTCTGAAGGATGAGGCAGGGTGAAACAGATCGTCTCCTTGAGATGCGTGAAACGGACTGTCGCGTTGACTCTGAAATAACGGTAGATTTCCCGCATCAAGGTCATCTTCCTGTGCAGCGATCATCGTATCAGGGCTGTCCAATGGTGGAGAACTATGCCAGTTACCATTTTCAACGATATGTATTAGCGACCTTACAACCATTCGCCACCATTGTATAGTGTCACGAACGGGAAGACTTACTCAGAGTTCAGCTTTATGCGCTTCATCCTTTTTAGTACTCGTCCTTCGATGAGATCAATCCCACTCTCAGCGGGCTTCACTGCATAGCTCTCTTCAGGTTGACCATGTTGGAATGGCTGATATTCAGCAGGCCCAAGCAGATCGGTGCTTTGGGCAGGAACGCCTCCGTCATTGGTTGTATAGCGATCCCTTTGCTTGCCGCCTGCAGTGTATCGGCGCTTCATCCGTGGGGGTGACAAGTAAGAGTGCTGCGCAGACTGGCAAGAGGGTAGTGTCAAGGCTGCTGTGGCGACTGCTGTGAGAGGATAAGGAGTGATGGTGAAGAAGTATGGTATTCTAGGTAGACTGAACAATGGGCTTGCAGAGGGAGATGACGGCGTGCGGTTGAGCTTGGTCGGGAGCGTCATTGCGTCCTCCCTTGTGCTGCAGAGGCTTTGAGTGGGACGGAAGAGCGGTGAATGAGAAGTTTGGACGATGCGAATGGAATGCAGAAAGTGGGAGGCAAAGAGCGGAAGCCAAAACATAGACTACGCATACCCTTTTGCACCTGTGACAGCTGAGAAAATTATGCAGTCTAGGGTCGTACAAGGGGACCGGCATTGAACGCAATTTTTACAAGAACAACAGGGATCTTTGGACTCCAACGTTGCATAGCAAAACGGTCCTCTCATGCAAAAGTGATGGCATTCTACTTAAGAAACCAGAACTTCCTGAGCCTAATGATGTAGTTAACTTTGATCAGCGAGATAATTCTGAATCAAGACTTGGTGGATCCAGCTCTTGATAGGCCGGCGTCCAAAAAATTGGTGGCAAAACCAAGTATTTTTTTTGTGCCATGTGTTAGCCACGGGCAACACACTAATCAGGATTGCAGTGCACGAAGACCAGAAAAACCAGGTCGACACTTCACGACGTTCACCAAGATCAAGGCGCAGCTGTATGCGTCTTGTTTGCCAAGGAACCAACCTCGCCCATTCTATTTCCGGAAATGCAAGCGGGCTGTGTGATCTCTACCCTGTAACTCCAAAAGCGCTCAATGACGCCATGAACTATAGCAGCACTCAATTTTTGTATGTTTGTAATTGTCAATGACTTCCACCCCCCTCCCCCCGTTGTCACGTTCGTTTGATTCCAATAAAACTCTGCTCTGTCGGTCTCATCTTGTGACAGAACAGCGCACACCCTATTTCTCTTATTATTTCCGGTAGGAGGAATGTGATGATTAATCTACGCTCAGCATCCTGTAACCGGTTTCATCGCGCACATTATTTAGTGTTGAAGGAGGGGCCTCGATGGCATGCTGAAACTCTTATAATCGTTGTTGTTGTTTTTTTCCTCGGATGAGAGTTATTCCCCTCCAATTGGATTTGGGTTATCAGAAGGAAGGGACCCCACGGACAGAAGAATGATGATGTCTGTCTTTTGGTCGCCTGTGGAGGACGGGTGGCTAGAAGAGGTGGGAGGCCTCAAGGAAACTACGCTATGACGACAGCTGAATGCGTGCACACGACTTACACGAGTCTGTTGAAAGAACCAAAAGGGAATTGCAGTAATGAAAAGCAGTGTGCGTATGGTCATTAACATCCAAAAATAACCGGCTGAATTACGGATCGTCGATCAATTTGCCTGAGCCTCCGTCCCTGAGAGAAGATTAATGACGATGGGTCTGCGAGGGAGGGCAAACGATAAACAAAGACTATGACATAATCGGAACCGAAATAAGCAAGTAAGTTTTCGCCTTCAGCACAGGCCCATACTCAAAAGAAACGGCGCGCTTGACTGTTTGTTTTTGGGCTAATCAGTCAGCCCTTCTTTTATTGCGATCGTCGCGTATAAAAACCTAGACCCCTTCTTCCCTCTTCTCTTCTCTTTTTTTTTATTCTCATCCCTCCCACCAACTGATCTACCCATAAAACCAACCAACCAACCAACCAACCACTTCTACGACCAACCACAACCACAACTACAACAATGGCTCTGACTTTCTCCGACATCTTCAAGTTCCTCTTTGCGATCATCCTCCCTCCTCTGGGTGTCCTCCTCGAGAAGGGCTGTGGTTGCGACCTGCTCATCAACATCCTGTTGACCTGTCTCGGTTATATCCCTGGTACGTACTCCCTCTTATCAGGCCTTGATAATCCTCGATTCTGCTTCAAGAATGCCCAAACCAAAGTACTTACTTTTCTCCATCCTCTATTTTCGCCTGACATCTCTTAGGTATCATCCATGCCTTCTACATTATCCTAAAGTATTAGGAGTCCAGGAACCAACTGGAGAATATAACCGGACCCCCCCCCCCCCCCTCTCTCTCTTTCTCTTTTCAGGATAACAAATACCGCCTGATTCAATCAACTTCCAACTATAATCCGTAATCCCCGTAACATGCGCATGCGCTCACCACCACCATACCGTATTCTGTATTGTACTTATTAATAAACACACACGCACATACACGCATACACACATACACAGACCAAATCAAAATAACTGCTTTTTTTTTTTCTCCTGGCAAGCGCCGTGTTTCTTCTTACTATGGTTTTCTCATAAGCATGCACAACGGATCATTTTTTTTGCTTACTGCACAATTTATTTGTCAAAATGGGGCACATGTATCTTTATTTGCGAAAATGGGAAATGAAAAAAAAAATAGACAAAGGGGAACTCCTCGGGGCAATTCAAAGAACCTCACGCAAATATGCAACATGTAGGATAGACTAGTGGAAAAAAGGAAAAAAATATGCCGCATACACCCAAAATGCATAGAAACAGCCCAGCTTTTTTTTTTTTTTTTTTTTTTTTTTCAATTTCCTCCAATTTCTCTGAGTCGCCTCTTTTTGCGCCTCTCCGTCTCGTGTTCACGTCTTTCCTTTGTTTCTCCTTCTTGTTGGCTGTTTGGGGAGGAGGGGCCTTAGGCATGTCGCTGCATACTTGTATGCATGACCATTATTGATGAGCAAAAAAAAAATGGGCGCGCAAGCATCAACGGTTTCGGTTTCACGAAAAAAAAAAAAGTCCAACGATCTTCGACCGGGGGTTGTTCCTGGGCCAGTTTGAGAGCCGCAATTGACATACAAATATGTCTGGCCATCAACAATCACCATAAAACCGTAAAACTCGATGAATGTGCAGTGATAGACTAGCAACATACTATTATAAAATCTAATCCCCTATGGCGGTATGTACAAAAAAAAGTAATCAGGCCTCGCTTTCGCTTGTTTGACCCCCCCACGTCCTTGTCTCTCTCACAAAAGGACGGTCGCGACAACGGCGCGATGATCTGACGGCCATGGTCTTAGCATCTTCTCATTCTTTTCTCCTGATCGACAAGGCTCCTCGCCCATCCTAATCGCCATTTCCTTGAGCGCGATCGGACTCGACTCCCGGTTCAGTCCAAAAATGTAATCGATCCGATCACAGTGATCCCTCACGTCCGCCTCGGACTTTAACACTGTCCATGTGAAACCAGGTCGTTCAATAACCTGGCTATCGATCTGGTCCTTCTCCCTCGCATCCTTGACGCCGCTGTTTGGAAACTGCACGCTACTGCCAAGAGTAACGGGACTCGGAGGCAAGGTACAGCCCGAGCCCATCTGATAGGGTCGATAGGCCCTCCACAGATCCACAAGTCCTGCCTTGTACGCCCGCTCCGTTATCGGCCACTTGACCGTCATAGGGTGCAGCCCAGCCAAGACCGACAAAGCTGTCCAGTCTAGATGACTCGGCTCATTGAAATCGCCTGTCAAAAAGATAGGTACATCCTTTTCCTGTTCTGCAACTTGTTTGATCTCGTCCAGAATGATGTCCATTTCCTTGCCGCGGGTATCAATACATGACTGAATCGCCTCCTCAGCTGTCTCTAGGTCCGGCTCACCTTCGTATGGGATCTTGAGCAGCTGGAAGGGCTGATATGGGAAATAATACAGATGACAGTTGAACAAATACATGAACCGCGTGTTGGACGTCATGTGGATGCTACCACTGCTCTCACGGCGACCGCTGCTCGTAAAAGATGAGATGGACGCGGATGACATTGACGATCGACGTGATCGCTCCACGGGCGGGTATTGATCTTCAGGAAGCTCAAAATATGGGGACTCAATCTCGGGATGACGATGGTTGTTGAGCTGGATTTTGACTCCGAATCCTTTCTCAGTCGCGCTGACAATCGGGAACTTTGACACTACGCCCCATGGGTTTCGACGTCCTGTGCTGAATGAACGTAATTTCTGATCGCTGTAGTACCATCCTGGGAGATACTGCATCAGCTCTGGAAGCATATATCTTCTACAGCCCGATGGCTCAACCACCGTAGAGCACTCTACAGAAAGGAAGCAAACGACAAACACCATGAGTACGGCGTACTTGTGTATATTAGATCTCACTTGACAATCAAACATGCGAACTTTTATACCTTGCAGGCCGACAACATCAGCTCCAGAGGCGAGAATGGCCTTGGCTGTTTGTTCAAGAGGCTGACCTCCTGACAGTCCACCGTTCCAGATATTAAAGGTCATGATCCTCAATTCAATGCCTGCTGCCTGTCGATCACGTGGCAAAAGTCGGGGCAGAGTAATAGGGACTGACTCGTCCTCGTCATCCTTGAGCAGTGGGAACTTTGCATGGAAGCCCAGAGCATTGTTGGCGCCCTTGATGTCATTCGAATACTTTTCTGCCGTATCCTTGTAAATCCTCTTCCATTCGAGCGCGATTCGAGCCATGACTTGCCTGTACTGCAGTGGTTGCGACGGCTCAAACTATCAGATCATATCACAAAATGAACGCCGTTTATTATTAGAGGCACGTTGAAGAGACTTGCAATAACAATCAATATTGTCCATCCAACAGATTTGGAACAGCGTACCTGCTCGGTTGGCCATCCTGCAAGATTGCCAAATCTCAAATCCTCCTTGCCATCGACGTGTCCATATTGGCTGTGAAAGAACGACGGATCTCCCTTGGCCGGCGGTAATGTGTTCAACAGGCCTTCCAGTTCCTCTGGCTCCACAAATGTGGTCAATTGACTCATAAACTCCTTATGCCTCTCTGGGGCTCCGTAATCCGCGTCGTTGAAATATGAAAGGATGACCTTGGGTGTAAAGTACGTCGCAATAAACGGAACACACGAGTGCAGATCCGTGATGATCACGTCAAAGGCCTCCAGGAACGGTAACAAAGATGCATGCTCAGCCTGTGCCACTGTGAAATTGGCCAAGACGAATTTTACATTCTCGCGCTCCCTTTGATCTACGTCTGATTCGTCCTCGATGTTATGCCCATCCAGCTGTAAAAAGCTTGGGTGCATCTTCCAGATAAATCTCCAGCGGCCAGTCTGCTCCAGTCTGTGTAAGAGTTGGATCAGGGGCTTCTGTGCGAGTATTGAGGTACTGCCATAGGATGGTGCCACCAACACTGCGTTAGTGGAGTTAGAGGCCGATCCCGTTCTGTTGGACGCGTAGAGTAATCGTACGTCCTGCGCTGTGTACGGCAACCTAGTGATTGATGGTGAAATGAACACGAGTTTTTTTTTTTAAGTTTACAAATGAAACAAGGGTCTATTTTCCTCCTCCAATAATCAACAAGCAGCGCAATAAACGAGAAAGAAACGCTTAAGCATGAACCGTAAGCATGACAGGTAGACTAGCAAGCAACAACAACTTACGTCTTGTTGAAGTAACGCGTAAAGTACAACGGCACCTTATGCTCGACACCGGAACAGAATGCACATCCATACATACAATGTCCTATAACATTCACAGCCCGGACTCTCTCTGGTAAGGCGTCCTTGACTGCATCCAGGATCTTTTTCTGTGTCAGGTTAAAGACCCCATGGTCCGGATTCATCGATCCCGTCAACAAAAATACGACCTGGTGCTGCTTCTTGGGCTCGAACACATGCTTACTGACGTTCATGGTACTTCCCACGCTCGCTAAACTATGGATGCTTCCATTGCTTTCTCTTCTGCTTAGGGAGTTGATACTGTTGTTGTTGTTGGTGGTGGTGGCATAGGTGGCATATGTGGTATTGCTTCCATCAATGCCGCTCCTGTCGAACCTATCAAGTCGATGGTCTAAATTCTTGATCGCATACATGATGTTCCTTAGCGAGAACGACATGACCTTGACCCAGCCGTCGGGATACTGCCGCCGGTAATAGTCAGTGATTGTGTCCTTGGCAGCATTCCAGTCGTACACAAAGACAACGCCTCCATATCGGTCCAAGAACGGCGCACAGAACTCGACCTGGGAGAGGTCATAGTGGCATGGCCTATGGAAATAAAGGGGGCAGACAGGGCAAGGAGGTGGAGGCAGGTGGCCAGGAAGAGGAGGCCGGAAGAGAGGGCAGGTTTCGAAGGAGCAGAAATGAATAAGTGCTTTGGGTCACACCCACGGACCATCGTCATGCATAAGTAATAAGCCGGGAGGGGTGAGATTTTTTTTTTTCCCTCACACACCCCAATGACCATGAGGAATGAGAATGACATTCAGCTTCTTTTTTTTTTTTTTCTTGTTCATTCCGGTCAATGTCCGTCGCTTCAATTTCATTTCTATATCCATTGTTGTATGAAAGAGAACAAAAGGGGGAGATGGTTGGATCACTCACAGGAATATCTTGACTTTATGATTGATTTGTCCACCAGCAGCGGCCACCGCGGATGGAGCAACAGGGGCGGATGAGGCTGTGTGTGGAGGCATGTTGACGCGTTGGAGGGAACGGCGGCGGCGGCAGTCGTGGAGAGAGCAGTGGGGGTCTAGAGGGGAGGAAGAAGAAAGGGAAGCACGACTGCGACTGCGACTGCGGGCGAGGAGGGAGCAATTGTGGACGACACAGCGACTGAGGGGAATCGCGTGGGTATTTATACCCATTCACGGACGGGGGGGGGGAATGTGGGGGAGGAGGAAGCACCATCACCTGCCTGTCCCAGGTCCTTTTTTGGCAGTGGAGAGGGTCTAGCGACTACAGGGCCGCACGGCGTGGCAGTGAATGGACCTCCGAGAGATGGCCAGCCCAGCTCCATCTTGCGCCTCTCATTGTCAGCTGCGGTAGAATAGAGCCTCTTCGCTTATTTATTCAAGATCTCAATAATAATAATAAACTATTGTACAGCACATGGTGTCTTTTGTTGATACATCGCCTAGGATAGACAGCTGTTTATGACAACAATACTCGCTCGCCTCTCCGGAATACATCCCTATTATTCTGCTGCCCCATCTGGCGAATCCGCCGTCGTCATCAAGTCCTGCTCCCGGTTATCCGTCCCTGTCCCCGTCTCCGTCCCTGTCCCCGCCTCCGTCCCAGTTCCAGTCCCAGTCTCAGTCTCAGTCTCAGTCCCAGTCCCAGCCCCGGCCCCAGCCCCAGTCCCAGCTCGTTCAAACAAAGTGCTCATGCTCCTCTGGTTCCTGTTCTGCGCCTTGTTAAATGGATTCGCAATCGGTTCCAGCCTCACCTCGCGCGGAATGTAGAGCTGTCGGATCACCATGTGCATCAGATACGCCAGCCTCGGAAACCGAAACTGTCTCCGGTACTTTTCCTGGACTGGATCCATTTCGTTGCTTCTAGCGTACCTCAATCGATTCGTTAATGACTGCACAGCCTCTCCAAGGGCGCTATTCCTCAAGACGCCCAGTGTCGTACGACCGCCGGATGACGCTTTAGAGGGCCGTGCACCCATAGGCCGGTATTGTCGCGAACTTCCATCGCCGCCACCAATCGTCGTGATCTTTGTGAGCTTCGGGAACAAGAGAATGTCGCCTGGCTGTTGGTCACTGAGGTTGCTGCGGCTGTGAGGAGGTCGTTTTGGGCCCGTTTCCAGTTCCAAGTCGCTGCCACCTGCGAGATCGCTATCGAGCGAGTCTCGTACATGATTTTGACGCAAAGACCTACGGTAGTGCCCATGCGAACTGTCGCTGCTGTAGGCGCGACCGGGTTGAAGTGGCAAGGACAGAGCCTGAAACAATGACAGGGCCTCGTTTGAGGTGCTGCTCTCATGGACAGCTGGCGCTAGATCTGATGATGCTGACAAGCGACGGTTCTCCTTGACCTTCTGCCCCTGTTCATGCTCCTCATGTCCATGCGCGTCTTTACCGTCCACACTAAACCTCGCCATAGGGTGTATCCTGTCATATTCCTCATCTGGATTGCGCGGTCTCCACTCAGGGGATAGATTGGGAAATGAATAGGTATAATCCGTCCTCCTAAAGTCCTCGCGCTGCAGATCCATCGTTGATCGTGTCCTGGTCGAGGATGATGACTCCACCTGTGTTCCTTCATTCTCTGGAGTCACTCTCGGTATCACTGCGGGTGCAAACCGTATGACGCTGTTCCTGTTGCTGCTGCACGAAGGTGTCATCTGGCTTCGTGCCGGTGCCGCTGTGGTCGGGATCGACCCCACATTCGACAATGGGTAGCTCGTCTGGAAGTCTAAGGGCATAGCTAGATCGTCGTACTGCAGCGACCATGAGTAGGGCGGAGCCTTCGTCAGCTGGTCAAATTTGGCTTCCTTACCGATTCGGTTCAAGACTTGGCACTTTTCAATAAACCGCTCCTCAAAGTCTCGACCCTCGTGTGGCATCGCAAGGCTGTAAAAAAACTCGATATAGTATTTCCAGACCATGTATTTCTTCCAATGCCGACGCGTCTGCACCACGGCTGGATCGAACATGAAGACGAGGAAGAAGAGAAACCCCTGGACACTGGTCGCCACGTTGGCCGCATGGTTCAACGAATTGCTATAGTCCGTAGAATTCACCAACGTCAAATCGACAATGACCTGAATACATCCACACACCGAGATTGAGATGGGATATAACGATTGCCGAAGAATTGCCACCAAAAACAATCGATCCTGCATGCGTGGGAGACCAGACGCGGTTCTTGTAGATAATTTTGGTGGCCAAGATGTGTTGGTTGAACCACTCTGAGCCAGCCCAGCCTCTCCCTCGGCTCGCGCTAGATCTACGCTGGGTCGAGCAGCCACGATGCCCTCACTACGGAGTGTTGGCGAGTCCAACCCAAGCGAAACCATAGTGGTGAAGAGTCCTGGACCTACGACCGGATGACCATCCATGGACCCGGCCTGATTCTCATTCTCATGAGTCTGTTCCTGTTCCCCTGCCGATTCCTGGTGTTCAGTATGATGGCTTCCTGCGGATCCCCGCTGCCTGCTCCCTGAGGAGAATACAGATGCGGACCTGTTTTGGATATTTTGGCGTATTGTTCGTAGTCTCTCCATGGCCGAGGTCGACTGTGTTGGCGGTGATTCGACGGTGACATACTCGAGTGTTTGGTTGGCGACCCGCTTCAGATCCGCTTGCGAGTGCATGACGGCGAGCGCAATCTTTAACATGACAAATAGAGTCGATGCAAAGAGGATCGCCAAGAAGAGGATCATCCACGCATAGTAGCAGAGCCATGCCCAAAGTGACCTGATCCTGCAATCAACCTGGACCAGCGTGGGTGTGAACCAGCAATAGCGTCCGCATTCATTGAAATCAAAGTGTCCTGCTGCGGCCGGCGTTGTTGCGAGGGTAAAGGCGATTATGGGGCAAATAGCGATGTATTTCGAAGGGAACGACCGTCGCTCCGTAAACAGGAATACACCACAGAGCCGGAAGGTGCTGACGATGACTAAGGTAGAAGTCAATAGCTGGAAAAAAACCTGGAGGACATCCCAGAAGGCGACGGACAAACAAACAGCGCCAGATGTGACATCATTTGTTGAGCAACAGAAGAGTGAGTTTCGACCGTCTTTTTTTTTTTTTTTTTTTTTTTTTTTTTTTTTAGCAGAGCAGAGCAGAGCAGAGCAGAGCAGAGCAAATCAAAAGAAAAAAAAATGGTCTGGTTACATACATAGCACCAGGCGGAGAATGTGCACGGCAGACGGGTGGTTGTCGAAGCGAGGTCTATTTCGAGAGCCAAGTATCGGTTGCTCAGTTTCTCGTAGCGAATTAGTCGCACATGGTTCAAATACAATGTCTGCTCCAGCTTCAAGCTACCTGTGATGACATTGGCGAGAGAGAATCCAAAGTTGGATATGGCTGTGAATAAAGTGATGGTCATGCGCTTCCGCTGTGCTGGTACCCGCTGCGCTACTCGAGGGACCTGGAGGATGATCAACAGGGACCCAATAAGGCTTAACCAGTTGACAATGATAACAATCGACAGCCTGGGCCGTGTCATGTCGTCTCCAGCACTGTGTGGATAGATGGAATGGAAGCTGGACCCATGGGTCGACTCTATTGGGGAGATAAAGGCCAGGTGTGCGAGCGAAGAAGATGGCGGTGTAGAAAACGCAGTTGCTAGGGTGTCTGCGACGAACCCATGGGTATTTGAAGCAGGCGAGGAGTCTTTTGCGACCGAAGGGATCCCCTGTCTTGCAAAGAGTGGTCTATGGACGAGGGACGAAGGGACCCTTCGCTGTAGCATTGCGTGCGTGCAGATGTCTGCTGTACGAGGAGGAGGGAGCTCAAAGGACGAGGATTCGGGTGTCGGGGGGATGAAGAGGAGGAAGGAGGTGTTGTGGGTGGCGAAGAAGGTTTTATGGACTATGCACGGATATGGAGATATGGAGACGGAGTTTGTATGAGCAAGACGGACGCACAAGCCAAGCAGTCCAGATCGACAAGGGCGAATGCAGCGAATGCAGCGAATGCAGCGAATGCAGCGGTGGATACGGTGGATACGGATGGACAAGAAGAAAGAGTGGAGGAGGGTACATCAGCCCAGGACTCGGATGGACAGGCAAGAAAGCTGCCTCACTGAAACAGAGCCCTGTCCCGCCACCTCAAAGGTTCTCTTTTTTCTTTTTTTATTACCATTACAATGGACTCTGCTTCAAACAGGATCGTGCTCTCCTGACAATCTGGGTCTTGGTCCTGATCTTGACCAGCATGAGAGGGGCATCGACAACATCTTATCCTCATATGCGCTCCAGCTCAAAGACCATCACCTTGAACCCTATCGTGATCTCCCTTCTCTGCAGCAGCCTCAAACACGATCTCGCGAACGGTGCATCTAACTGTCTCTGCAGCAACTTGCGCTCCCCCGTAACAAACACAGCCCGGCCATTCTTCTTCAGTAACCGGATCGCCTCCTTCACAAGTCGTGGATACAGTTTGCAGTTGTACATGTGTGAACTCTCGCGCTGGCCCCATGGTAGATCTATTTCCACATGAACAATCGAGTAGAAAGTGTACAGATGGTTAGACAATGAAAAGACAAGTATACAACGGAGTACCAATATACGAAAATTAAATTTATATTCAATGTTACCGCTAACAATGAGGTCCACTGTGCCTGGTCGCCAGCAAACTGCCCTCGCGTCGCCCATCAGTAAACTGGGGTAGCCATGATGTTGCGGAGCCCTTGAAGAAGATCTGCTGGATAATTGCGACCGTAATTGATCCAACTTTTCCTTCATGCCCCTTGAGTTCTCGATCGCCTTGTCGACATTGTGTGGCACAATCTCCGATCCAACAAATAAACAATTGGGGTAATGTGTAGCCCCCACGATGGGGATCGTACCGACGCCTGAGCACAGATCCATGACAACATCTCCGGGCTCTGGACCGGCCAATGCCAGGAGTGTGTATGCGATTTCCATCCTTAGGGCTGTACGACCATCCATGGGCCGAAACCGGTACGGACATGTTGAAAGGGCGAGGGGTAGTGTCATTCCAACCTGCATCCTTTTGAACTGCTGCTTCTCCGCTTGCTGTTTCTGCTCAGGCAGCAGGTGTGTATCCGACGGATCTGCTTTGTAATGGATCTCTTCCAGGTCGTCCTGAATCCATCTGCCCATGACCTCGGCATCAAACTCTTTCAGATCAACCCTCCATTTTGGAAACAGCTTCCCTGTCACATCCCCAAGTCCTGCTGCAAGATCCTGGGACCGAACGCCCTTGTGTTGTACATTCCCTCGATCGAATGACCCTCTGAAACGAATCGCTGCGTTGGCAGTGTTGGCTGGACAAAGACGTCTCGCGAGAGATGCCGATGTGCTTTTAAGAACGGATAACGCATCCTGCCACCGCAATCCCAGATCACCAGTTCCATTCTCATTCAACGGCCCTGGAGTTGTATGTTCCTTCTCTCCTTCCTTCGACTGCTGATCTTGAAAGCCATTAGCTGCATATTCCAAGAGTCGGTGTGGCATGTCAAAGATCTGTCGAGGAATGTCAATTTCTCCCATGGAAACATAGGCGGCAAAGATACAGAGTGGTGGATATTGCACAAGATCTGCAATCGCTTGAATTATCGTCTGATTCTCCAATCCAGCAATATCGTTTTTAAACTGAAGGAGGTCCATGGTCACGTAGCCGGATCCAATTATGTAGCTGATTTTGGTGGCAACCTTGACTAGCATTGCCGGTAGCTTGCGCACTGCAACATCTTCGAGACCTGCTGGTACAGACAAAAACAGACTGATAGGTGGATGGAATTCCTGTTCCTGTGACAGATCGGCTACGGGTGTAACACCGTTTGCTCCTTCCTGGTGTTCATAGCGATGTGTTGGCTGTTGTTCCATTGGCCAATGAATGATCTTTTTTTTTTTTTTTTTTTTTTTTTAAGCCAGGAACTTTATTGTAGTCTAGGCGGTGAATAATACTGAAAAGCCACGTATGACATGTAATTGGGGTCTATGTTAGGAATGAATGATCTTTGGAAGTCCAGATGGAAAGAAACCGAGAGTATGGCTGTGCGACCGTTGGATGTTTCTTATTAAGGGTCTTTCATGGTCCTGAATAATTTGAACTTCCGCCACGCGTAACAGTGTATTTGTGCGGTCGACAGACAGACAGACAGACAAACAGACAAACAGGCAGACAAGCAGACAAGCAGACAAACAGACAAGCAGACAAACAGACAAACAGACAAACAGACAAACAGACAAACAGACAAGCAGACAAACAGACAAACAGACAAACAGACAAACAGACAAACAGACAGACAGACTTGTAGGCAGCGTTGTGTTGGTTTGATGCTCCTGCTTCTTTCTTTCGCCGAAAGTCCGTTTTCTGGTGCTTCCGGTGTGGCAGTGCCAACACTCTGAGTGTCTGCCGCAGACTATGGAACGCTCGATCATACAATAGCGCACTTGCCAAACAAACACAAGCAAATGACATTCCCCCCCCCCCCCCCCACCTCATGGTTGGAATTAGATAGGACTGGCTGGCTGCAACAACAACCAACTGTGGAGGCAATGGACTTGGTGAGAACAGGGGAAGGGCGATGGCGGTGCTTCTTACATGCCATAAAAAAAGATAATTTATGAGAGCCCCAGTCTCTTTCTTCTGGAATACGCCTACAGGTTGTTTACAAACGCTAGATTGGATCCATCCCATGTCCATCTACCGCTAAATACAAAGGAGGAGAGCACTTTTCACTCTTTAAGAACACCGCTGTCCCGCTTTCCCACTCTCTCTTTTCTCTTTTTCCCTCTTTTCTCCTCTTCCTTCTCTCCTTCCTCTTTCTTCTCTCCTTCCTCTTCCTTCTCTCCTTCCTCTTCCTTCTCCCCCTTTCTACTCCTCCTCCCTGCCTTCCATTCTTCCTCAAGAGACACTGCCACCAACACATCTGCGGCACCATGTCCTGCTACTACACCGACTGCATCGACTTTTACACAGACTTCTCAACATGCACCAACTACTCCATGTAACCAAGCCCGCTTCTACTCCTCCTTATCCCTGTTCAGGGCAGCCCATCCTATCTGCTCACTCCAATCTCCTCGCCTTAACGCCTCCTGTTCTCCGTCTTCTGCACCCATAGGAATGCGACAACTGCATCGCTGCCCTGTCTGTGCAAAGCTGCAGTCATCGCTGACTACAGTACGTTCCTTTCTCATCCATCTACCAGTCATACCAAGGGAGCGCCGCTGCGGCTTCTGCTGCTTTCAGGAACCGCACGCACGTTTTACTTTAATTCATTTTAACTTGACACACTTTATATTTTCCTCCGCCAATTAGCTAAATGCTACCCATGCATGGTCAGCATCAGCGGCACTACCAGCACCCCTTCCGTTCAGGCCTACACCAACGCCTGCAATGGCAAATCTACAGGTACCGTACCGTATTCACATACAATCAATCACCGAGTCTTCTCGTCTTGTTTGTACCCCTACGTGCACAACCAACTAATCAGAAAACACAAACGCTCTCTCTCCCTCTGTTCTCTTCCTTGCGCTCGGGTCTGGACTCTTTTGCCTTGGAAATCGAACCAAGCAGGCAACCCGTACGACCCCATCTTGCCAACCATGTACTCGACCTCCGGATTCAACTTTCAACCCACCGGATCCAATACCCCCAACAACCCGAACAACAGCACCAACAACAGCAGCAGCACCAAGAGCAACACCGGTCTCTACATCGGTATCGGCTGCGGTGCCGTCGCCCTCGTTGCCATCGTCGCCGCCCTCCTCTTCGTCTTCCGTAGCAGGCGTAACAAGAGACAGGACGCAAAGCTCAGCGCTGCCGCCGCTGCCGGTGGTGTCCAACCCTCACACCAACCTCCACCCATGCAACCGATTCCCGTCCAGAACCACTTCGTCCAACCTGGACAGCAGCAGCAGCAGCAGCCTGTATTTGGACAACAGCAGCCTGTATTTGGACAACAGCAGCCTGTATATGGACAACAACAGCACCACCAGCAGCCTGTCTATGGACAACAGCAACAGCAGTACCAACAACCTGTCTATGGACAGCAGCAGCAGCAGCAGCAATACCCTCAACAATTCGTCTCCCCACAGCCCCCAACCTCCGGATACTATGTCCCTACCTCCGGATATGCCGACCCTGCTCAGCAGCAGCAACAACTCTACCCCTCCGTGGTAACACCCCCCACCCAGACCCAGCCCACCCCTTCTCCAACCTTCGTCCCTGCGCCCGTTCCCACTGCAGATCCCTATCAACAGTACCAATATCAACAACAACATCAGCAGCAGCAGCAGCAGCAACAACAACAGGGCGGCATTGCGACTGCTGGAGGATACGCCCAGGAGCCTGTCGCCACCACTGGGGACTACCATGCCCCACCGCCCATGCCCATGCCTGGCCAATCTCACCCTTACTCTAGTCCGCCCCCCGCTGCTGCAGCTCCTTCGCCCGTGACCACTGTGATGTCCGACTCTCTCGCCAACAACACGACCGTCTACGAAGGATCCCCAGCTGCCACCACCGCGAACGTGAATGTTTCCAAGCCCCAGGTCTCACAGCATGGTCCCCAGTACTATGCTAAGGAGGATAGCATCGCCCAGCCCGCTCGACCCAGCAACCCACAGTACATAACCTCCGACAATACCTACCATCAATAAGTCTACTCCATCATCATCAAGAACGCGACTTTATATATATATATATTCCTTTCTTCACTTTTGTGGGTGCGGACAACAAGAGTTTTATGCACAAAAATATACATACATACATACAGCAGCATCTTCTAAAACAATGGTATTCATAAGTAATAAAAAAAGGATATGCGGGGCAAGAGAGCAAAACAACCATGCGCGCTCCACAGTTTATTTTGTCGATTAGACTACATGTGGAACCTCCAGATCAAGGACTCTTACACAACCAAGCACCCTTGCTGTTTCGGCTATTGCTCCAACAAGCTGCTGCTGCTGCTGCTGTTGCTGCTGCTGTCACTGCTGGACCCCACGCTGTAGATCTTCCCATTTCAGCTGCTCCTCCCACTCCTGCTCTTCGAGTATCTGCCTCTGCTGCTGTTGCTCCTGAAGCATCCTCAACGTCGCCTGCAACTGACGGACCTCACCCTCTGCCTGCTTGCGTTGCTGCTCCCTCATCTCCAAACATGCTTTCTCCTGTTTCCGCACTCTCTGCAGCTCCCGTTCCAACTCCTCTTGCTTCTCCTCATACGCCCGGATCTCCTCTTCCGCCTGCTCCTGCAACTCTTGCCTCTCCCGAACCCTCGTCCTCGTTCGGTCAAGTGTCCGCTGTAGTGTCTCCTGATCGCTCTCCAGTCGCGTCTGCTCCTCTATATCCGCGAGCAGTTTCATCTTCAACATCGACAGCGCCAATCGTGAATCTGAACTCAGTCGCACAACTCCTGATGCTGACACCGCTGGTGGTAGCGATGGACCTGAACGGCCGCTGCCACCGCCACCGCCATGATCACGACGATCCCTGGAACGTGTTGGGACATCGCGCGTCAAGCCCAGTGCCTTATCCAGCACACTGTCCGTCTCCTTGTCCCGTTTTGGTCGACTCACTCGCTCTTCCAACCATTGCGTTTCTCTCCTGAACCTCTTCAAGTCCGCATTCGATGCCGCCATCTCTGATAGGAACGCCAAATCCGACCCAGGAACAAAATGCCAGCTCGGATGAGCATGTCCATGGTAATCCGCCGCAGAAAGTCGGGATGCGGTCGAATTGCGCCGCAGCACCGAGGGTGAGGTTGACGATCGTCGTCTCTGTCCGTGTCCCTGTCCGAGGCTCGATCTCCTGTCATGAACACCACCGCGGTCACCGTTGTCTGGCGTTGAACTCGAGGTGGGCGCCGGAGACGAGTACGAGTTCATTTTGACATCCGGCACCGTCTGTGGTCCGTCCACATCCATGTCGCTCATCCCCTCGGACGAATCACGAATCTCCTCGGCCTCCGCTGGAAAATTTACACGATGAGACTCTGATGACACCTTCCGTCCCCTCTCCTCGACCTCTGGCATTCCTGTCGTCGTGTCCAGGTTTGAGTCAACTGCATCTACGACGGAAGGCTCCAAAATGCCCTGTATGTGCTCGGTCATGTCTTTCAGTGCAGGTTCCTCGGCGGGACTCGTGAGAACCACTGACTCCTTGACTCCAGCCTTGTCCGCCATCGACTCCACAGGTGCCGTTTCTGCTGATGCTATCTTTGTCGGTGCTGACTCCACCAGCGTCGCCTTTGCCGGTGCGATCTCCGATGATACAATCTCCGTTGGGGTAGTGTCTGACAAAATAGGCTCCATTGACATGGATCCAGCTGGTACACTCTCCGTTAGCAAAACTTCCGCGCGCGCAGCTTCGGTTGGTCCATCCATAGCCAAAGTCTTCTTCGCATGCTCAGGCTCGATAAAGACGATGCCCAGTAAAGCATCCAAAACCTTGGAATCCAGCAAATCCTTCGCTACATCGATATCCAGTCTCGTCTCTAATAGCTGATCCGACATCGCCACCGAATCCGAAAGCGTTGCCCCGTTCTCAGTCTTCAAAGCGGCCGTAGAAGTGCTTTCAGGTTCAGTTGACCGATCATCAGACACCAATGCGTTCTCAAAATTGTCCGAGTCGAATGCAGATTCCATCGACAGCGAGTGGTAATCCTGACTCGCGCTACCTACCTGTAGTCCACCAAGGACATTCGCTGCCTCTTTCCGATCCAGGTCCACGCCTACGGCCTCTTCCAGCACTGGTGCATCCTCGATCATAGCAACCAAAGTCGACAAATCCCCCCTATCCGCCTTCTCCATTTCCCTGTCATCCATAAGCTGCTCCAGCTGCGCTTTATTCATGTACTGATCCTCGGCCTCTTCAGTCCCGACTTGGTTCATCACCAAATCCTGAGACAACCCTGTTGAAGAGAGTGTTGATTCTGGGACATCCAGCGACATATCAGCTTGCATTCCAGCAGTGTCAGACTCGTCATCCTCCATCGCATTGTCATCTGAGGTCCGCGCCTCCGCTTCGCTGCCACTCGCCATACTCGCGTCCGAATCCCATGGACGGCTCTCAGTCGCTGCGTTCGTATCGATCCTACTTTGGTCAGACGACTCTTGATCCATCGCCGCACTACCACCTGTACCCTGCTCCGATGATACCGCAACACTGTCCTGTGACGAGCCCTGAGCTACTATATCATCAGAATCCGTATGAACCAAAAGGGGCTGGATCGTCTGGAGCAGCATCGTCGTCAACGGATCCGTAGGTGCAGCGGTATCATCAGACAGACTCAAACTTGATGGCTCTTGTGTTGGCAATTCCACCGTGGTTGAATCCGCAGATGGTTCCTCTGGCTTGTGATGCTCCGGTCCAATGGACGGAATCGCATAAACAATCGTCTCGGACTCCGTCTCTCCTCTTTGAGACGGTAAATCGCGTACTTTTGCCATATCTTTGATCATCATCATCAACCTATCCTCTGGCCCAACACTCTTCGTCTTGATCTGCTCGATCTTCTCGCCAAATTCACCATGATTTGCCATGGGAGCTGCATCCACCAAGGCTAATGAGGCCGTAGCCTGGTCTCCTGATCGTACATCGCCACCGTTTCTTGTGATGTTGTTACTGCTGTCACCAGTCTCTAAACTCGATACTCTTGCGACTGCTGCTGATACCGTTGGTGCTGGCGATATCGCAGACGGTGCTGTAATGTTGACACTACCATCCTGCATCCCTCCATCTTCTCCGTCTTTCTTTCCTTCACCATCGTCGACATTAGATACGGCAGCGGTCATCTGTGTTGTCGGGGGTATAATCGCGGAAGCGATCGTGCATCGGTTCTTATTTGGCGGCGACTGCTGTGGTGTGATTAGTACCAAAGACTCAGCGTCTGCTATGGTCGTCAATGTGGCTTCTTCGGTATCCTGCACTATGGCCTCCGCCTTTACTTCCGTTACATCTGCAGGGACTGCAGGTGCTGAAGGAGGTGTTGATGTTGCTGGTGGAGATGGCGGTGGAGGTAGCATTGTCCATGCTGGGGGTTGTGGTGGTAAAGATGGGTGTGTCGATGGAAGAGTATGTGGAGGCCAGACTGGTTTCGAAAATGGGTCGTCTTGTGAAGGTATCGTTGGCGGTAGATCACTTCTCGACTGCAACGTGCTCCTGTCTTCGATTTTACCGCCTGGTACAGATTCCTATCATTCATAAGATAAGAGAACAACGCATAAGTAGAAGACCTGGACATGACAGAGATTGATCTTAAAGGTCAAATGAAACTCACGTCTTGTGCATTTACCCGCCGGGCTTGGGTCTTATGCTCTTGATGTTCGCTCGCTAACATAAGATGATGCTGCATCTCGATAAAGTCAGGGCTAAGGCTCCTCCGCCTCTTTTGATCGTCGCGGTCATAGGGTGATGCACTGTGACCCTGGTGGTCCGCATAGCCATCGCCAGATTCAGATCCATAACCATATCCGTAACCGTATCCGTGCCCTTGAGCAAGACCATGATCGTGACCATGACCCCGTCCAGGCGAGAACTGGGGTGTGCCCGATCCCTCTCTCAGCGAACGCATGTCCGGTGTCGGTGACCTGAAACTGTTGTCGCCGCTGTTGTGGTTGCTGTGTCCCATGGAAGTGCGCCGCCCCAAAGGCACGAAATTACTGCTGTGCTTCCCGCTGCCGTTGCCATTACTGCTGCTTACGGGAAGCTGATTCTTTCGCGACTCGAACGCCGATTGGTCTATTGAGTTGGTCCTCTCCCTGCTGTTGTTGTTGTTGTTGTTTTTATTACCTCCACCATTCCTGTCACCGCGATGATGGACATTATTGTTGCTGCCATGGTTCTTATGTTGTTGATGCTGGTGTTGATGCTGATGCTGATGCTGTTGTTGTTGTGGTCGATTAAAACCCGGTTTCCACGAAGATGACGACGGAGGCAGGATTTGAACCTGCGGCGGAAGCGCTTTCCGCTGGTGCTGCTGTTGTTGCTGGTACGACGACGAGGAGTTGTAAGGAGAAGACGGGTGGTTCGAGGACGGACTTCTTGGCCGGCGCATGTCGCCCTTATCACTGCTGCCGTCCGGACTAAACGTTCGCATCTATGTTTTCGTATAGTTGTCATGAGGTGTGAAGCGTGGAACAAGAGACAAAGTTGGGTAACTAAAAAAGAACACACTAACACACTCAAAATGATACGCCCCTGCATCCACACACAATTCATCCAATAAAAAAAATCATATAACAACAAGGCGCAACATTTTGCTCCTACATACCCGCTTTTGTCTAGACTGGTCAGGGTCATCATAACTTGGCCGTCTTGGCAGCTGCTGAATCGGTCGACGATGCTGGGGGTCGTTCGAAGGATGATGACTCTTGCTATGATTATTATTACCATTAATATTATTGCTGTTGCTGCTGTTGCTGTTGTTATTGTTGTTATTGTTGTTGTTGTTGCGATGCCTGAAGTTGTTGCTGTTACTACTATGGTGATGGTTCCTGTTGTTGCCGGTATTGTGATGATGCTGAGTACCTCCATTCCCATTATGATTCCCAAAACTATTCTGACTTGGACGTCCTACAGACTCGTGATGATGTCTCGAGTGATTGTTGCCATGGCCGCTACTATTCCTGCCACGACCGGGATCGCCCCCAGAGCGGCCTCCACTACTGCCGCCGCGACGACCTCTTCCACGGCGGAAGGATGGATCACGATCATGAACTTCGCCATCTTCGAGTTCACCGTCTTCATGGTCATCATAACGAGGCATGGTGTTGTTATAGAGTGCAGGGTGTTGATGAGTAGGAATGTTGGGGATATTGGTTGGTTTGAGGGAAAGGCTGGAGAGAAGGCACGACTACGGAAAAAAAAATCGTAGGACGAAGTTCCCCTAGGGAACGTGTTCGACGTCTCACGTCTCACGTGGGGACACCATAGAAAGAGAACCTCTTTTATTTGAATAATAGCTACCTGTGCCTATACGTACTACTCCAAGGAATGGTTCAACCACTCGGAATAATCTATCAGCGACGACAGGACATTGGGCTCGTTCTGAATGATGGAGCTGAAGGGATCCGAGCTCATATTGATCATGGAGTTTAACGGGTCCGTCAAACTGGCCATAGGAACATGCTGAGGCATCTGCTGTTGTTGGTGCTGAGTGACCGGTGACGACGGCTGCAGTCCCTGTGTCAACTGGAACTGCTGTTGACCTGGGGATGATAGACCACCTTGTTGTTGTGATGGTTGTGTATATGAATTATGTCGCTGTAGTGGACGATGATGTATAGACTTTTGCTGCTGTTGCGGCTGCTGTTGAGGATGTACTGGGTATGCTTGTTGATGTTGTTCTTGGTGCTGATGGATATGTTGTACCTGGGTATGATCAAAGTGAATTTGACCCAGAGGCACATGGGGATTAAACAAACCAACTTGCTGCTGGTGTTGTTGCTGCTGTTTCTGTTGCTGTGGATGTTGGCACTGCTGCTGATATTGTTGCTGTGATTGCTGATGCTGATACTGATGCTGTTGTTGATGTTGCTGTATCTGCTGTAAGCTGTGGTCCAAGGCTGTTGGATACATCTGAGATGCATCCACATGAGCCATAGTACACCCGCCAACAGCAGCGCAGGGCACCTGTGCACAAGGCGGCGGAGAAGGCGACGGCGCTGATCCCATCGACTCGGTCATGGGCGAAGCAATCGATGCGCTCGACGTTCCAGGAGGCGTCAACGGAGCAAGATAATAACTCGATGCGGAGCATGAGCTAATGCCCATCACCGATGCTGCACCTGCAGAAATCGACGCCGTTGCTGATGCTGGGCCGATGGAGTCTACAGATGCAGTGATGGTGCCGATAGTGGTAGAGCTGTTCGGGTTCTGAATCAACATGCTGGACGAGACCCTGGATGTGGCGCTAGGCTGCGTCCGTAGACCGAAGCCCTTGTCGCGCAATGCCTGACGCGTTATCGGGAACATTTCCTTAAACAGCTCCATCATGGGCTTGACCTGCTGTTCGTCCTTGGGGCGCAAAAATGGCACATTCTTTACATGCTAAGGTAAAAACAATGGTCAAATGTTAGTTGAATAAACCGAAACTTAGCCACACCAATACAGGAAGCACCTTTGTGAGACAAATTCTTACCGTTGAACCACTTGTACTTTCGAGTTCTGTCAAGGGCTCATCTTCGTTTGCGTGGACCAGCCGACCTGCTTTCTTGATGAGATAATAACTCTTTTGCATGTTCAAGCACGCGGGCGTACGGATTCTGGGGTTCTCGCTAAGCGTGTTCTCCTGCTGATAACAAAGCGCCATCCAAAGGAGAGCGCCTGCCATATGGTAAAACGTTGGTCGGGTCGTGGGGTATTGCCATAGCCGTTCGCACGTCAATGTAATTTTATTGGCGAACTGAGCCAGCGTCAACCGAGACAGCGGCGACGGTGCCTTTGAGAACACATGTTGGGGTTGATGAAGCAACAGCTTAACTGGAAAATATTGTTGGCACGTTAATGAATATATCCTTAACAAGATGCGGACCAAAAAAAAAAAAAAAAAAAAAAACATGCATGCATGCATACGGAGCGAGAGCACTTACGTCCAAGGTAGTTCAGCTCGAGCATGCCACCCATCGCATGGCGCCACCACCAATCCCCTCCTGCGTGAAAAAACTGCGTTGAACCCACAGGCTCATATCCAGTCGTGGTATCGCCATCAGTTGCCTGACCCCAGTCCGGTTTGAATATTGCCGGAATGGCGTTGGACCATGTTTCCAGATGCTGGTCGATCTCAAGCAAGCGCTGTTCCAGAAGTTGAACATCGTGCATGCTGGCCTCATGGTCATAATCTGTGCCATCCTCTGCTTCGAACGGGTGATAGTGCAATTGAATAATGGCCCCACATAGGTAGGCTGCCTGGATCGATTGTTGAAAGTAGAGTACAGTTCTTTGATCATTAACGTCTCCGAATCGAAACTCCCGTGGAAGCGATAATGTCTCGCACAGCGAGAGATGTAATGTCTAAGACGGAAATAATGGGCGCTTGTGAGTGTAAATAATCAAGGATCCGTCCCTTCAAGGTAACAAGAGCCATGGACCCTGGTACACGATAAACATACCACGTATTGTGTCAAAATGGCGGCAGTCCACTTTTCCGCGATCCAAACAAACCACCAGCAACGGCGAGCCAGCTCGCGTTCCAGCGTGCCCCACATCTTGATCCTACTGTCTGTGCATCCGTCGCCGCTGGGATGATCCATCAAGTGCCAACCTCCTGCGATCATAATTCGAAGGGCGAGAGCGGCGCAAGCCTGGGCTTCGCGCTGACGGCCCACAGAAGCATCCCATGTAGAAATCATGATCAGTCCCTGCACCACCGTCAATGGGTCTCCCATCCCTCCTGAGCGATCAGGTGATTGTACAAGCGGCAGTTGCGTCCTGAGATATCCCTTGGCGAGGGCTGCAAAATACTCTCCAATAGACCAGATCATATCCCTTGTTGCGCGCACATGGGGCTCTCCGTTTGCAAAACTGGGATAAATAGGGTTAGGCAGTGGTGGGTCCTGCTCCGCCCATAGGCGTTCAACATCCGCGTCGTCGATGCATCTCGCTGCAGCCGCGCACATGGCGGCGATAATGAGCGGATGCGGAGGTGCGCAGTACTCCTGTGCTGCCAGCTGAGTCAGGAACGTCGGTGCATCCAGGATGGGTTGGCTGGGTAAACATTGGGCGAGATAGAGCTGAATAAGATGCGATTGGAGTACTGGAGAAAGCGCACGCGATTGCAGGATTTCGAGCTGTGGTGGAGGCGCTTGTGGCGCTTGGTGCATATCTGGGAATACAAAAAGCCGAGAGAGTTTCTGGCTCAGGCTATTGATTTTCTCGGAGGTCTCAATCACAGATGAGGGCAGCTGTATTGGCTCGGTTGACTGAGGCGGACGATGTCGAAGGCTGGCGGAGCTGCCGACGACGCTCGAGCTACCAGTACCACCCAGAATTGCGGGTGATAATTGTCCAGGTGTGACAGATCGGGCAGACTTTGAGGAAGCTTGTGGATTGTGCACTCGGCACGGGCCTATTGTCGATTGTCCCCTGCGTTTGAATGCTCCTGTTGGCGATGATGTTGATGATTGTGCAGTTGAGAGTGCTAGGGAAGCCGCTGCTGATGAATCTGAAGGATCATTGGATGTGGCGCCATCCTGTCCTTGAGCTGGAGAAGCGGGAGATGATCCCTGCGTATTGGAGGGATCCTGACCAGCAGGATCGGTCGTTGTTGGTGGGGGCCCCGGACAGGTGCACTTTTTGGCGGTCGAGGTCTGCTTCCTGCGCCTGCTCATTTTTGATTTTTGCCAGGGGAAGGTCGAGGCATCCTGGAGGGGTGCGGTCTGGTCCTTGAGTAGCTCGATGGGTGGGATTTCTAATGCCTCTGGTTTGGCGCCTGTTGTGGTAAGGAACTCTTGCCAGGGTTCCTTCTTGGCGGGCGTGGGCGCCTTGACGAGTTCGACATATGTGCATTCAAGTTCGAGACGAGCACACCTTGAACAGCAGGGCTGTCCGTCACATTTGGAGCGCTGTTTACGACAGGGGAGACAAGCATCTCTGATCTTGAGGACAGAAGTAGGGGGTAAGGCGATGCCGAGGGTCGGGGGAGCGGGATCAGCCATGGTCGTCAAGAGGGATCAGAAAGATCAGGGGAAGGGGAGGGGAGTGAGTTGAGATGATGTCGACGTGGTGCTGCTTGAGATGCTGTTTCTACTGAAGTAAGGTGTGAATGTAGACTGTGGTCTGGGGTTCAAAGAGACTGTTCTGACAGTAGAAGTGCGCCCTGTTCCCCAAGAGGCATTCAGTCGGTCGGCGAAAAAGGAAATAATAATATGAAGGAACGTAGGGAAGAGGCTGGAAGGATCGGCTGTGTGGATGTGGAGAATGGGGGAGATTCGAATGAAGGGAAGGGGACGGGGAGGAGGCGAGTGGAGTGAAGGTGTGATGGAGCGAAGAAGGTGAGTGTTTGGACTGCAGTCGACCCGAGGATGGGTCAAATAGAAAAGGACGGAAGCCTTATGCTTAAAGGGTTATGCCGCAACAGATAACATCCGCAAAGCGCAGTTCGCAGCAATGGGAGCACCAAAGGGCCACTACACGGATCATGCCATACAGCCTCCACTAGCAAACCAGCCTACTGAGCATATTGGGAGATGAATAGGCTCATCCATCAACTCAGCCTACTCTCTTTTCCGTGTCTTATGTACCTTTTTGCTTTTTCTTTTCTCCGCCAACGGAGACGATGCAACTCAATTTTATCAACTGAACTATCCACCTGTCGCTCCACGATCGACATTGACAATCGGCAAATCGACATCGATATCAGAATACCAAGGTAAAACTACTCTATTGACACGCTTGCTAATAACCCCCCCCCTTTCCCCTCCTCTCCCCTTGGCAGGGGTAATGAAGCGAGGCCTGGACCCGCATGCAGGTTGCAGGGCATGTACAGGCTATGAATTACAGTTTTGTTTTTCATTGAATAAAGGATACTCAGATCTCGTTTTACCACTTGAGCCTCGTACCCACTTCCGTTCCACCGGATAACATATGCCGGGTCAGATCGTCCATCGCTGTGTGCAATGCATTACATTGCAGTGCAACATCATCTGGATCTGACCCATTTGTCATTCATGAAGTAAAACACGCGTCCATCATGAGCCTTACGCAAAGAACCTTCAAGATTCCAAAAGAGCAGATGGCGTTTTTATCTTCTGCATTGGCTGGTCGAATCTTCTTTTCTCCGGCTTACATTTCATAAGCTGGAGCTTCTACTTTTTTTTTTTCTTTTTTCCTTTTTTTTCTGTTGCAGTTACTTCGCCCTCTGTTTTTTTTTTTTTTTTTTTTTTTTTCAGAAACGCAGAATAACAATTAATGTTGCACGCGTGTCGCTTGACACTTTTGTTCTTGTGGAGACACCTTGTACCTTTGCCTAATTGGGGTCGGACAAAACACCAATTAGGGTTTACTCGATCTGTCTTTCATAAAATGACAAAGCAGCAGCAGATCAATCGAAGGAACCGGTGGTCTCCCTCACCACCGTTACATCGCCCTTGAGCGGTACATCGCCAGCACCTTTCCTCTGTCAATGATCTCTCCACGGCAACGCAAGCGTCTCCACCGCCTTAGAGTTTAGACAAAAGTAGACTATATGCAAAACCGCATAGAAAAAGACGCGTTCAGGGGGCCGAATGAATGGGAAGGGGCGACGTCAGCTTCGTCTTGAGAGCCCTTCTTGCGCAAAAAAGATATGATCGGGCCCAACCCCCCCCCCCCCCCCACGTCTCGTCTTAATTCAAAGTGCGCGCAGTGTGTCACTACCCCACAGGCCTCCTTCTTTACTTAAAACAGCCCACCGATTGCATAACCTTTACCAATGTGTTCATAAATAAGCATAAACAGAAGAAAGGACGGTCAAGCTGAGCAAGCGCATGGAATCGACCCCGTCAAAAATCGCTATACATCACATCAACTCTCAGTCGGAATGGCTAATGGTATGGATTAAGGGAGGAAGTGCCCCCCAAGTATTCAGCCCAATTGAAAAAAATATATAACTTGCCGCGTGCCCACTTATCAAACTGCTGGAAAACAATGAATGTGGCAGTGGTGGTCCAAGAATGAATGTGGCCAAAAATGAAATAATCAAGAAGTATGCCACCCTAAACTCTTATATTCTTCTATTTTTCAATTGGACTGAATACTTGAGGGCACTTCTATCCCATCCTCAATCACAAACTTTGTTCTCTGGAGTGAGGAATTTTTCAAGTGCAACGTACAATTAAAAATGTTTTTGTTTTCTTTTGACATCCAGTTCCCGAACCGGCATAAACAACACATGGCACAAGGGTCTCATCACTTCACTGGAGCACAAAGAGAAACAAACGTTGGTGCCATCAGATGCAAGTTGTTGCATGAGCTTTGCAGCTTGTATTACAAAAGCTGCAGCATGGCTAGAAGGCTCAGCCTAGCCGAGGATGGCTGTTACTTGGGACAACAGGGCAGCCACCTGCCTCAAACTCGCGGCCTGGCTACCAGATGGGGCCTGATCAGAAGGTGTTCCCGAAGAAGGATCGGTGAGGGGGTTCATGGCTAGAATTAGTTTGATGGTTTTCATTTATGTAGTTTTTTTTTTAAAAAATTCTTCGTTCCAAAGTGGGCGAAGGGATAACAAGGTGCATTTTTAAAAGTCTAACGATTTGGTGGTTGTATCTAGCATGATATACATGATATAAAGAATATCAGAGAACAGATTAATTCTCCTTCATCGATGGATGTTCCGACATACCGACAAATTCACTGGGATCATCAAGGCAACAGTCGCTTACCTCGCTTTTTATCCCTGATATCTCGCATGATGCCCTTCACGAAGCGCTCAAATACTTCCACATGTTCCTTCAGCGATGTCTTTTGCCAATCTATTGTACATCATGTGAATCAAGGCGCTGCTGTTAGCGGCCATTGGAAAATACGTCGCTAAACCACGTAATAATCACTCCATCTGCAAATACATGATCCATCAGCTACCTTGAAGTTTGGGTCCATCTTCGGTCGCAGGATGCTTTGCATCGTACTCGTTTAACTCGCGCACAAGCTGCACCACTGTTGGTGTAGATGCCGGATCAAAGTCCTCGCAGGTCTCAATTGGAATCGGCACACAGACGCGTCCTATCGTACGTGGGGATGATTTGAAATTAGGCCATGCATTATTTCAAAAATAGCATATTAGATAGTGGGCCGCAGCAATGGAGGCAGCGCGATTTTTTACCTGATTTAGGATGGATACACAACGGACTTTTTAGCAAATGCTTTATATCCGTGGAGACCTTTTCATCCAAGCGAGGATAAGTGTACTGGAAAATGATATCGCGAGGAACGTTCTCCAGCAACTGCTTCTTCTTGGGGGACTTGATGAAATGTACGTGAAAAAAATAAATAAAAATGGCAATGATTAGTCTCGGTCAGCTTATAAGAGAAGGTATAAAAGATATCTTCGTTCAACATATCTTGTAGCATGCGCTCACTTACATTAGCAATGGCGTCTCCAATGATATCAATGAGATCGCCCCACTTTTGGGATGATGCGCGACCAGGTGCATTTTCCCATTCGGCCCGAATCTTTGCCTGAACAGCCTCGTCCGGAATGATGGCTAGAACCTTTTCCCAGTTCTCTGGTTTTGACAAAATATCCTGGGATGAGAACGCGAGACTCCTGAAATGTTCCTGCATGATCTCATAAGACCGGCTTATCGCACACAAGTTTCGAATTTACGAGGGTTAGACATTGTTAAGAACAATACCCCCAAAATGTTATGCACATCCTGCATTCCAATGGGACGTACCTTAATGAGGGGTGGAGAACATGTGGCAGCTTGACCTTCTTTCCTTGTTGTGAACCTCCCTACAAGTGATCGAGCATTGGAGGAAGAAAAAAAAGTAATGATGAATAAGCATAGTCCATCACTAGAGACCCACGACGTCCTCAACGAATTTGATCCGCATGTCCTTACCTTGACGACTTCCAGGTACGAAACAATCGCCTTTCTTTGCTCATTGGTCATGATGCGTGCCCTTTCGTCTCCGACCCAGCAATGGATTCCACGACGTCCAGAGTAAACCCATAGCAGGTGCTTGAACCCAAAATCATCCCGCAGGGCTGCGTCAATGATCTTTAATGCGACCGTCATGAACTCCCAGCACTTTGTGCAGACATTACCTCCCGAGCAGCATGTCCTGATCTCGTCGTAATCCGTCATATCGATATCAAAGACCATCTCCTTCGACACAGCTACTAGAGCTCCAGCTCTAACCATGTTCTTATCCTTGGGTCGAATGTTGTATACGGCACCCAGATCGATCCTCGTGGGGCATAAACGAATTAATTCCTGCTTGAATTCATCCAGGTTCTTGAACGACTGGTGTCTCATAAATGTGTTGTCCGTAAGATAAAATGAGAACTCGCGATTCATAAATGACTTGGATGGCGTAGGGGCTGCAAAAAAAAAACATGAATGTCAATACTCAGTAATGTTAATGAGTTGGACACCTCTATGCAGTGATGAGTTGCATCAATGACCACTTACAGATGTCGTAGTTGAGCCATTGGAAGTAGGGTTTCGCAGGGAAGAAATGGCGATAGAAGAGCATGTACTGCCTAGGGCTGTCTCCAGCGAGATCATCAACACCGGCATTTCTAGCAATAGCGGGATAGTATAGTTCGTCAAGTAAGCTGTCATTATCCCTGTATGCCTCTCGCTGAGTTTAATCAGTCGATCCCTGAAAATGACTCTTACTTGGCGCTGAACAACTCGACGGATGCTGGTTTTAACAGCCAGGGGTTCTCTGCCTTGAGCACATCCTTGTCATCCAGATCAAAGAGCTGTTCTAATTCATCTCTGTTGTCTCTTCCCTCTGACTGTCCTGCCTCCACTGTTACTTCTGGACTGCTGCTGGTCGCTATTACAAAGTGAGTACGAGAGGAAAAGGAACATCAATGAGACAGTTTTGATCTCAGGGGTTGATGGAAGCAGGCCTAGAATGACGTTGATGCTACAGCTGGTGAGACGAACATACCAGAGGCATGGTCGACATCCATATCCGTCATGGTAATGATGCGTTGGATGTGTTTGTGTGAGCGCGAAGGAATGAATGGAAGCGAGCGATGGCAACAAGGTGCTTAAATCAAAACAAAAAAAGTACGCGTTCATCACGTGCATTAAATTAAATCAAAAGCGCGCGTGGGCCACCGAAAAAAAAAAAAAAAACGCGCCTGAGCATGGTTTTCCGGACACAGCACAGCAACGCGCGCGCCTTCGCGTCATAACGGCCACAAAACAGCCAAATACCACATGCTAACCATCAATATAACGTGTATACTATTCATCGCGGTTTTTTTTTTTTTTTTTTTTTTATTTATTTACAGGTCAAAGCAATCAACCGATACCACCATCCTGTCAACGCCTCCATATTCACAAAAGACTGAGAACCTGGCTGCCCTCCCAGGAACCACCAGCAGCAAGAGCGATAAACTCAGCGACCTGTCCAGCCTCGACACAAATCATCCGATGATACTCCTCATCTCCAAAATCAGCCATACCCGCGGCCTTTTCCGTCCAGGGGTTCCACACCACGATATCATTCACTCCATTCCTGTGCAGCTGGACCCCTCCATCTTCACCACCGTACTGGATCTGGATGTCGGCCGTCTGGACATTCGCGTAGACACTATCAACCTCGCCACGGACCACGACCTCGCCTTCCTGTCGGGAGGTCTTCTGCTGAACCTTGTCCGTATAGTCGACACCGCTCAGTCCAATCACCCGGACCTTAGATTCATCCTACATAGAAATATTTTGTGAGGGGGGAGGGTGTCACAAACCAGCATAAAAACAGAACAGTGCTTCGTCAATTGCGAGGAAAAGACGACGATAAACTTACAGGAATCAAGAAGTAGGTATGCAGAAGTGTGTTGAAATCAAAGGCCTGATCACCAGTATTTTGGATCTTCAGATGGGTCTCGATGGTCTCTGCGCCCAACTTGACGGTGTAAACCAGGGAGAAATCAAAGGGCCACATCTTGCGGTGTTCCTCCGAGATCATGTTGTGATCCAGACCAAACTGGGCTGTGACGGTATGCGCGTCCTCAGAAGAGTTGACGAGCCTCCAGCGCGAGATTCTTGCGAATCCTGTCATAGCAATGAAGGAGGAGATAAAAAAAAAATTAGGACAGCTGCCAAAAAATAAGCTGCCAAAAAATAAAAAATAGAAAATAAAAAAGGTATGCTGCTATTACCATGCTGAGGGAGGCTGGCGGTGACATGAGGGGCCTTGCCCTTGCCAAACACTGGGAAAACAAGCGGGATTCTGAAGAACCCGCCGAGAGAGAAATAGAAGCGTGGAATTGAGTACGAAATATAAAGCGATCCATTAGCAATCAGGTCTATCTGATCATATCGCGCTCTTACCCTCCACGAATGGCCTTTGATCCGTCAAGCACGGCCTTTTCGCTATGGCCGATTGCAATTAAAAAAAGGAAAATAGACGCATGTTAGGTAAAGAGATCCGGAAGGGAAGGAATGGAGCAAGGAGCAATGGTTGTTATATTGATCTCTAGCCTTTGTATACCTAAGAAAGATGCGCTCCTCGCTGGCGACCTTCCAAGAGGTGAGGGTAGCACCAAAGAAATGGACCTCAGCCGAAGCACCCAAGGGATGAGTGAGGACTGTCTTGTTGCTCTGCTGGGAGACTGGCATGGTTGAGATGAATAGGGTGGGGATGAGGATGGGAATGAAGATGGGAATGAGGATGGGAATGAGGAAACAAGCGAGGGAAGAGAGGGTGTGAGAGAAAAGAAGTGTCCAATGCCCAGTCACCGCTGCTGCATGACGTTGAGTTCAACCACACTGTTACCCATTGAGCTATAGCCGATCCATTTGGAATGAGAGCGATCGATGAGAAGATAAGATACGGTGCAGGAATGTGGGGAAAATGTGTGTGGGGCTCAGGGCTAGGTTTGCAGCTTAGCCCTGTATGGAGCTTCGACTCCATGGGGAACCATCATCTCCATTGCATACGACCGGGCCCCAATTAACGGGACAAATCCTCGCTGGGAACCAGGCTGTGATAAAGCTTTGCATACAAGGGACATGCTCGCCCCCAGGGACGATCGACCGTTGGATATGACGAAAGGTCTATGGTTTTTGTAAGCTTTTTCGTTTTTCACCCCTCTCCCTCTCCCTCTTCCTCTCTCTTTCCTCACTTCTTTTCATTCCTCATAACTTCTCTTCATTCACCATGCTCAAAAACTCATTCATCTCCATCCTCCTGGTCTGCATCGCACTCCTGTCCCTTGTCTCTGCTCAGCTATGTGGACCCGGTAACGGAGCCTGTAGTCCTGGCTACTGCTGCTCGGCCGCGGTATGTCAAAAATGATAGATTAAAGAATAATACTGTTGTCTTATCATCTGTTGACCCTCGTTTTAATGTGTAACACATTCCTCGCTCACTCATTAGGACTTCTGCGGTCAGACAGAGTTACACTGCGGTCAAGGATGCCAGCCAGCCTTTGGCGTCTGTGGGAATCCCTTCAGTCCCTCGCCCTCGCCCACCACGCATTCCACCACCCGTTCTTCGACTTCCAGCTCCTCAGAGTCGACCTCCTCAAGATCGTCGACCCGCAGTCCTACAACGACCTCCACAACATTAACCACCACAACCACTTCGGAGACTACAACGACTACAACGACGACAACGACAACGACCATAACCACACAGAGTACGTCCTCGGAAACTCCCTCGACTACCAAGGGAACATTTCAGTTCCAGCCCACTGGTACGCCCAGTGGGGCGACTTCTTCGCAGGACAAGGGTGTCAAGTCAACAGTGGCCCTCGCCGTCGTTTTCTTTGCGGGACTGATGATGATTTAGAATTTCTCGTCGTCAAGAATCCATGCTCGTATACCAACCCAGCATGATAAATCTATCAAGAGCATACACACCACTCCAAAAACACCCTCCTCATCCTTTAACTAGTATCATCATCATCATAACTATTAATCCTAATGTACATTTTTTATATCTCAGCTAAGGAATTGGAGTTGTTGTCATGGTTACTCGTAGATATGACGTGACTTTTGTTATGTGCTAGAGTTGCTTCTTGGTCTTCCCTTGAATCAAGGTTTTCCTTATCAACGTTCAAGAAATCCGTGGACGACTAGACCCCTCCCCCTCCCACACACACACACACACACATATTTACACACGGACGCTCTATATTGTAAAATCCACAAACATTCTTTCTGTTCTCCTTCTTCTTCCTATCCCCCTTATCACCTTCTTCACCCATCCATCCAGACCCTACTCCTCATACGTCGCTTCTCCACACATCATGTCACTGTCTATCGAACAACGTGAGGAGGCCGCAAAGCTGCTGCCCAGCCTGTTGGCGGAAGAAAAAGAACTCCATTTCCCAAGATTCACCAACAGCGATGCCCTCGACCTCGGCCTCAAACTTGTCATGCTCGTCAAGGACAAAGGCCCCTATAAGGGTGTCACCATCATGATCAGTCGCAACGGACAGGTTCTCTTCCAGCATGCTATGGAAGGTAATAAAACAAAAAAAGAAAGAATCCTTACCTTCACGAACGACAGACCTAAAGCTTCATGGATGGATCGTGAAATGACCAAACCCCGATCTAGCGCTGCGCTCAACATTTCCCTCTTAAAAAAATTCCCTTTCTGCAGGCACAACGGTCGATAATGAGAACTGGATCCGTAGAAAGGCCAACACGGTCGTACGTCTTCAACATTCCTCCTATTACATTGGACGCCTGCTCGCCTCCAAGGGCGAGACCGAGATGGAAAAGACCTACAAAGTTCCCATGACCGACTATGCCTGTCACGGTGGAGGATTCCCTCTGCTCATCAAGGATGTCGGTTGCGTCGGCGCTATCGTCATGAGCGGCCTAAAACAGGATGAGGATCATGCCTTGGTCGCCCAGGGCATCCGGGAGATGATTGCCAGCATGAAGCGATAGAACGGGAAAATCACCTTGTATACTTTTGCCCTGGCCTAAATAGAGACAATGCATACCTCAACTCCATATATACTTTTCTACGACACTATCTGGTGGTCGCTTGTTCGATTACTGGGCACATTTATTGCTACAATTATTATTTTTCTTCTGTAATGAATTAATGAGTATTGTTACAAGGGAAAGCAAGGAGTGTAGGTTGTTGATAGGTGTAACTTTTACATGAGAGAGAGGGAGGGGGGGGAGAGGGGGAAAGCTGTTTTAAGCAGCGGTCTGCGCAAGATTTGTCAGTGTATGAGCAGCATCTTGATCTTCAGATTCAGGCGCCTTCACCACCACTACAACTCCGCTATCTGGCTGATGAGCCTCTGCTGCTTCTTCGCCATCGCGTTCGTATTCAACCTGTTTAGGCCGCTTCGCGTTCTCATCCTCGCCTTCGTCGTAGGTGACTAGCTGAGTCCTCTTCTTGGGATTTGGGCTTGCAGGATATGAGAGCGTGGACGTGATAGACGATGTTGGCGAGGTAGGGTCACTTGTTTCTGAAACAGCAAAGTCGCCGGCCCTCTTCTTGTCCTGGATACTCGCTCGAGGGCCCTTGCCCGACACACTTGACGCGCTACGCTTCCTCTGCGCATTCCAGGGCTCTTCCTGGATAAAGATCGATTCAGGCTGCAAAGACTTTGGTCGAGGCTTTGTCTGTGACGGGGCTCCTTGATTGGGGTCCGACTGTCCTGGCTGTGGGTATCCATAGGGATGAGCATAGGGGCTCGCGAAGGGAAAACTATGAGGCGCATAAGGCTGAGGAGAAGGAGTCCCGTCTTGTGCCCAATGAGGATAGGGCGAGTTGCCAGGCGACGAAGCCGATACGGGCCCCACCGAGGGTGAACGGGACAGCATGGGCGAGAGCATGAAGGGCGAAATGGGAGGCTGATCTGAAGAATGGGGCGATAGCGTCAGACTGCTTCTGTTGCTATTGCTTCCGCCTCTGCTGGCGCTGCTGCTGCTGCTTACGGGTCCACCCTGCTGGTAGGATGGATGCAGATGGTGGGGCTCTGGGATCGTCAGCGGTGGCAGAGTTGCGCCTCCGCGATGAGGGCGTCCAGAAAACGAAGATCCGGGACTTGCGCCGGTGCTGTGCATGGACTGGTCTTCCCTGGCGGAGGAATCCATGTGCCCTGAGGGCGACTGGATAGCCAAGGACGAAATTGGTGGCAAAGAGGGCGAGGGCGAAGCCATAGGGGAATGGCTCATAAAAGGAGAAAGTTGTGCACGCTGGTCTCTCTCAGCCCCTGAGCCACTTTCGACATGGTCTTCGCCAGATGGAAAGAGACCTGAGCGTCCATAGGGCAATGGCGAAATGGGCGAGGGCGGGAACATAGGGGAGCCGGTAAAAGTGGTTTTGGGGCTCATCTGGTCACTGATGGATGATGCGAATGAGTTGGCCCTGGGCCGAGACTCTAGACTGAAGACATTGGTGGGCTCAGTCGCCTTTTGCGATGGATCACTAGGAGCATTCGTGACAATGACTGGAGGCGGGGCCATCTTCCTTGGAGAGGATGAAGAGGCCTTTGTTGGAGCTGAGGGCTTCGATCGAGATGATTCTGAGGGCGAAGTTGACCGCGAATTGGTAGTGTCAAGCCGAGTCGACTCTCGATCTTCGTCCATGCTCTCCCTTTCATCCTCATCCTCATCTTCGCCCTTCACCTTTCCATCATCGTCATCGTCATCGTCGTCAACATCCATAGAATCCGAGTATTCTTTGTTCGCAATGTCGGCCTTTGTCTTCTCTGATGCAGGCATAGGCAAGACAGCGTCTTCGCCATGAATGGCTCGAATCGATTTCGCGAGAACATCGTTTGATTCGTTAAGAAATTTGATGTGGCTCACAGCTCCTCGCAAGACATTGACGCGGTGGCATTTCGAGGTTGCCTCCTCGAGATGCTTAGTCGGCAGCAGCTTTGTCAGATCGTCAATCAACTATATAAAGACAAGTGAACATGAATATATGTGTTAGCATTATGAGGACAAACATGTACGTATGCACTTCCATCAGGAAGCCGATGGTGATGAGGGACGAACCTGGTTGATGCAATCTCTACGCTTGCGCTCTACACGGTTATGGGTCTCTCTACGACGCTGCAGCTTGTCGAGCGCGGCCTTGGTATCGAGGGGCTTGCGGTTGAGGATGTTGACGCCAGCGAGGTCAAAGGACTTTGTGGTTTTGAAGGACTCTGAGGAGATGCTACCCTCAAAGCGGAATACCTTTGGTGTCTTTGGAGCTGAGGATGCTTTGCTGGCGTCGGATGATGAGGATTGTATATCCTTTTGCTGAGTCTTAGTCTTTGGCGCCGGTTTTGCCTTGGAGGTCTTGGTTGTAGCAGCCGTTGTAGAGGTCGCCTTGGGCCTTGTGGCTGTGCCAGGATGTGCTGAAGACATTGTCTCGAAGGGCAAAGTCGGTGCTCCGTTTCCATTGCTGATGCGAGTGGTGTTATTGTTTTGCTGGCTGTAGGCTGGCTGTGCATATGCGTGTACAATGTGAGAAGGGTGTGGTGGGGGTGGAGGATAGGGTGCAGGTCCATGGGGCGGATATGAGTAGTAAGGATGGGGATGGTGCGAAGGGTGGGTGGGCGGCGATGTGGCGTGGTGGTGTTGATAACCCTGGGGATAGTAGTGGGGAGGGGCATGTTGAGGGTGGTGTGGGTATGGGGATGGCTGTGGATGGCTATGGTGAGCGTATGAGGGATGGTGCTCAGTCGAGGGATCTGGACGGTGCTCTCCCTGTGAAGACCAATGCTGCGAAGTCATGGCAATGGACAAGGTAGTACTTTAGTGCGGTGGAAGAATGGGTGGTAGCAGTAGTGTAGTAGTAGCAGTGGTAGTAGTAGTAGCTGCTGTTGTTGTGCAAGGAAGAAGCAATAGCCGGTCGTTGGTAGTGCGTAGTGGGGAATGAGCGGGTGAAAAGTGGAATGAGCCGAAATGAGCAATTGGAGCAGGGATGGACACTTTTCTTGTCGCCTTCCTTGTCTAAAAACGATTATTTCCAGTGTAGAGAATTAAAACAGCAGAAGTAAAAAAGTAAAAGTGAAAAGAAGAAAGTGAAAGGTGGAAAGTGAAAAGTGAAAAGTGAAATGTAAAAAGTAAAGTGAATGAGAGATGAGTATGAGGAGGGGATCAATGAAAGAGAGGGAAAAGATGGGAGGAGACAAAAAAAAATAAAGAGAGAGAGAGAGGGAAAGTGGGAGGCGGGGGGGGAAGAAGGGGGAAAGGGAGGGGTGCGTGTTTGTCTGCGGATGGATGGATGGATCAGATATGAGCACCACAAATACAACCCTCGGTAACATGGAAAGGGCGAATCATTTCCCGGGGAATCGATTGAATTGGATATATCATTTTGTGTCCACACGCCCCTCGCTTAACACACAACGCTCCCATACACCATCCACCCTCGCACTCACGAAACATTCAACTCACTGTCGCTGCACCCTAGAGACACACTGTCGATACTGCATCCCCTTGTCCCCATTCAGATCCACTGCAATGCAAGCGCAGCTCAATGTAATGCCACGCAGCCACGATCGACCAAAATAGATACTGAACATCCCGTAAGCAGACTATTGTAGCGCAGTGAATTTGTCCTCTCTCTTTCCTCGACTTTAACATATATAAAAAAGGTATCACAGTTTCGTTCGCTGCACATGCCCTTTGCTCTGGCTTATATCTGCTCGTTGCCCTTCTTCATCGTGTTCCTCTTTGTCCTTGACAAGGCAAAGCAACATCCAATGTAAACTAACTTTCTTCAAAGAAAGCTAAAATGGACCCCTTCTCTCCCTTCTATTATAAGCTGAGATTCTGTGCAACCCAATGCAGTCAGCTTAGTTCTTTCAGCTTGTTTCGTCGTCACAGAAATTAGACTGTGAGCGGGGCTTCGGATTAACAATAATACATCGCACAATGTCCATGTGGACGCATTCCTCGTTAACCCCAAGGGAACAGGAAAACACCAACAATATCCACAGCATCATGGACCACAAGAGAAAAAAAATACACACACGCATACATCACGAGGAACAACAACAACAACAACAGGCAGCGCCTAGAACACAAACTGTAAAGGAACGCGGACCATAGGCTACACGCTGTACAATCGCATTCTCTGTCTTCGCACTCTCATGGAATAAGCGAATAGACCACAATAAAAATATTGTGCATGGGCTCTAGATATTCCATGTAGACCGTTCGATTTTGCATGTCTTTTTTTTTTGCCCAGTTGGATTTGTTCTTCCAGTTTTGGGGTGTCTTTTAGTCAGGAAGTCTAGTGTCCGCATGGGGGCTGACTTGCACCAGGGTTGGTCCATTGTTTGTTATTTTTACCAAATAATTCAAAAAGGGAAAATGGATCGATGGAACGTCCAAAAAGAACATCCTCTCTCTCTCTCTAGCAAGCAAAAGCAGTTGCTCTCGCTTTTAACTCTCTTTTCTGCCCACGCTCATCAACCTTCGGCCCGAGCGTCTTCACTTGACATGCCTGCCCTAAGCCCTGCACATGAGATGCCGTCTGTCTGTCTGTCTGTTTTTCTGTTTTCCTCTATGGCTGCATGTCTGCTTTTCTGTCTGTCCAATTGTCCATTCATCTGTACTTCTCGCTCTTGCCTCCTGGCCTCTGCTCCAGCAGTTTGGGATGTCTATTGCTTACACGAACAAAAAGGAAATAAAAGGTCAGGGCCTGAAGGAGGGTAATCAAGAGCTTCAAGGTGTCTATTGTAATCGACCTGTTTACCGAGAATCTTATCTGTCATGTATCGAATTCTTGGAAGGCCCTTGGTCTATTCCCTTTGTTGGACCGATTCCCGATCCAACCGCCCGCAATTCTCCTATTTTTGTCGAATTGGCGACATCCGACCTCAATCCACTCACCTTTACCTTCGTGGAGGTACACACTGGCCGACACATGTTTATTCTATAGCTTACTATGCACTCAACTGAAAAATAATAAGACACCCCTTCACCCTCCGTCGACATGCCCTTTTGCCCAGCCTATCCCTGGTGCAAAGGTCAATAGATACGTCAATAGATAGGTCATTTCCAAATGTCATGGTCCTCCAATTTGTCAAACATGAAAAAAAACGGTACCCAGGTCTTGGCCTCCGTATGCTCCTAACCTTCTGTCCTGAGGATGCTAAATGATATTCGTGATCTGGGCAACCCCATTCTGGGACGCGTCCATCATCTACTGGTGCCGAAAACCTCTTCATACTTCCAGGGAAAAATAAAAAAAATAAAAAATAAAAAATAAAAGAATCGTATTGGAAGTGAGAGCCGGACTATGCTCGATGCTCTTGAGCCTGAGTGTTGTGGTGGAGAATTAAGCTGCAAACTATATCTCAAAAACCAAAGGCGTTCTACGACGCTCGTTAACTGGCAACCTCAGCCTCTCATTATTGAAAAAAAAAAAAAAAAAAACACGCATATAAGCTTACTATCATGCTATGCTGTAAAGGACAGAAAAAAAATCGTGGTTGCGGCTACCATGCTCCATACTGTTGAAAATGGATGAGTCTCGAAGACTGATAACCATTGCTTCAGAGATTGCATATCATAAACAGGGAACCATTAACTTGCTTCCGGCAGAAGAAAAAAAAAGTGTCTCATAGAATGACTACTCTACGTGCTCACAGTGAAAAAAGCAACAACAACAACAACAGCATAATAGCATAATAGATACTTGAAAATTGGCAATGTATAGTTATCCCTTACAACCAAGCATGCGTTCCATGAACTGGATCGCTCATACCCGTTCTCTACGGTTTCATAGATGAGTGTCATAAACACTCTGTTAAGGAACACCCTGAGAATAGTCATCGCTATTCCTCGCAGATAGAAGTACACAAGTACACTAATCCATAGGTACCATGGTACCATTCTCGTTTCTTGAAATAGAAAAAAAATAAAAAGGATACCTTTCATATGTTCACACAACGCCTAGAGGAGGTTGTCGATTAGGGTCTCTCAACGACAATGCTGGTCTCCGCAAAAGAAAAATAAAATATAGCGTCAACAGCAGGATTTGAACCTGCGCGGGAGATCCCATGAGATTTCGAGTCTCACGCCTTAACCGCTCGGCCATGTTGACGTTTATTGCTGATATCTATGGAATAATATATATTACATGTAACTATTTCAGTTGCATATACCCCTTAATCATACATATCTATAATTGCACACCCTCCCTATCTGCACAGCCCTACAGGCGGGCGAGCCTGTGTGGTACAGTAGTATCACGCGAAGCTTCCAGAGAACAGTGCTGTGGATCCTAGTTTCGGATCCAGCTTGGTGCGGTTGTTTTTCGGCACGGGGGGCTGTGTATAAATTACCTTTCGGATCGCGGGCAGCAGGGGATTGGCTCCCTCCTGAGAGAATGTTCTATTCTGCTCAGGTTCGCACGCCACCGTGGGCTACGAGGAGATTTTTCAGAACTGTCACTCGGATTTGCCAGAGCCGTTCTCCAGGACTAAGGTTACGGGGGGGACTATTGAGAGAGGAGACTAAATAATTTACTTCAGAAATCACTCGAGGGCCGCAGTAACATCGTAAGGAAGCCGTACATATATGCCGGATCGAAACATAAGTTGAATATTTGCCGAATCAAGTCACACAGGAGAGAGCCAGTCCAAAGGATCAAGATATCAAGTTAGCAGGAACAGGACGACCGAGGCAGGCTTGCGGGAAAATACGCGGGATTTATATGGCGCCTCCTACCATTGTTCGGGACAAACAGGAACATCCTGACCAGCGAGAAATAGTAACCCCCATAAAATAACCAATAAACCCTGGCAAAGATTGTCCATTGGAAAAAAAAAAAAAAAAAAAAAAAAAAAAAAAAAAAAAAAAACCCTATCTGCACAGCCCTAGGGGCAGGGTGCTAACGGCTCTCGCCAAGGACTGGGAGAGCCTATTCAAGACGACCACCTCGATCGCGAGGTACATGGTCGGTCGATTCGTCAAGGCCATCGAGGAATTCGGACGGACAGAAATCTGGAACAAAAGATGCAAAGTCACCGTCGACTGGGAAAGAGAAAATGGGATCACTACCATGAGCAAACGCGCCCGGGGACGCAACTGTGTTGGAGAGCACAGACGTAGTGGTAGTGGTTTTGTTGGATCCTCCAGGAGACAACGACGTGCATTGGATGTGAAAGAGATCGAGGAACGAGCGGACAAGCGAGTGCTGCAAAGCTGCATGCAGCAGGTGGAGCTAAACGTGATGGAACGCACCGGCAACTGTAAATTTTTGATGATTGAGGAACGCGGCTAAAGGATGACCTTCGCGCACAACAGGCCAAGTAGGGAGCAGGGCTCAGTCACCGACCCCAGGCGGGGTCGAGTTACCACTCATGCTGACTGGGATTGTGAAGGGGATTGGAGCTGCGAGTGACCAGCAGCGGTGCGGCAAAAGCCGTTTATTAGAATATTGAGCACCCTTTACTATGCCTCTAGCAATAGGGTTCCCTAGTCTAGAGTCCCTCACTAATAAATCCCACATATCCTCGTGGGTTCTAGTTATCAAAAAAAAAAAAAAAAAAAAAAAAAAAAAAAACACAGCCCTAGGGGCAGGCCCGGGGAATGTGACCTTTCTTTTGGCGACTGTGGATCGGTTCCGCTTTGGTGGTGAGGACAGCGATAGTAGATCTTTGCTAGTTAGTCTGATAGATTCGCAGAGTCAATTGACTCGAGAGACAATTTGTTATAAAAAAAAAAAAAAAAACCCCTTCCTTATCTGCACGACTGTAATTGGGTTTCCTAGTCAAGAGTTCCTCACTAATAAATCCCACATATCCTCGTTATAAAAAAAACCTCTGCATGACTGTCCCTTTTACCACTGCCCAAACCCGACCGGCTCCCGGGCGCTCTCCATCTCATTTCTATCCCCTTCACGCTCTCCATCTACATCTACACTTGATTAGTCAGCGCGGCGCCGGTCCGGGCCCCACTTCTGTATATAAACTACATAAACGCGAAGGATATCATGAATAATAAAGCGATTCCGGACATCAAGAGAAAGATATAGTACCCTTTGCGATTTGACTGAAGTTTATTCCACTTGCTCCCTTTTCCCTTCCACTCCGATCCCAATCTACCTATCCACCTTTCTCTCCCTTGCACTTATCTTACCCTTCCTTGCCTTTCCCTACAAGCCTACCCTATCTTACACCAACCCCGATTTCCCGTAACATTATTGAAGTCACTTGAAAAGCCTTTTATGCCTTCAGAACATAGTGGGGAAGGGTTTTTTTATGCACCGGCCCCGTTTTGAGCCCTGGAGCGCCACCCGCTGCAGATCGGATGCTACTGGACTGCCTGAAAGGAAGGAGGCGGTTGATAACCATGAAGTGGATAGGAAGATACCCTTTTCGTAACAAGTAGTTTTTATTAATAACAATTTGTCTAAAGCCGATGGATTTTTCAAATAATCTTTTGCTTCTAACACACCGATGAGGTGTGGCAGTTGATGCGCAGAACTTATGGACGGACTCGGGGACTATGACCTGTCTTCAGGCGTTTGTGGATCGGGTCTGCTTTGGTGATAAAGGAAATGTAACCCTCTATAATTATTTCGTAGAAAAACGATCTAGTACAAAAACTCGTGGCGCGACGCGACCGAGAGCGCAGAAGCGTTAATAGGACTCCTTTTTGGATATGAAAGTGACGGGGCAGAGTATGTATGATATAAAGGCGACTGTAGACCAGTCGATGTCAACTTCCACAGCCTCTACAGTGCAGCGCTCGGTTCATTCTTCGAAAATGTAGATCGGAGGATCTTCAATGGCTCCTTAAGGATCATGTATGTTGCGGCTTTCAAGCTCCTGCTGTCTTGAGCAATTGCTTAACCCATCGTCCTATTATTTTCTCAAAGTCTCCATGAATTTTAGAGACATCTTTTCAAGCTCATGGTTGGCCAACCATCTGAAAGGTGTCTTCCATTCCTCTGCCAAATAATTGCCATAGTGAAGGCAGGTGTAGGGAAGGCGAGAAAGGGAGGATGATGCAGCTTGTGAGGACTGGATTGCTTGGAGTGCATGTTGATTATCTATTTCTGTGCATGGTTGGCAGTGCATGTGCGCATGTTTGGGCCGTGGTGGAGTGTCGGGTTTCCTTCCCGGAAACGTGGGTGCTCAGGGCAGTGGATGAAGAGCGCCCTGGATCCAGTCCTTCATAAAACTTACATCAGTCTGAGCGAATGAAGTTCGTTCCCAATATCATTGCTCACTCGAAAATTAATGAGTTTCACCAAAAGTGGATCCTCGTTTATTTTCTGCTCATCCCCTTCATCCATTCCAATCATCCCTCTTACCCTTCTTCGAAACAGGGCCGCATCGTTACTTTTCGAGGACAACTACGCCAGGGCAGTTAACCTAAAGGGCCACCCTTCTCGACTTCGGCCTTCACACTCAGTTTCGCATTCAACGGACGCCAGAAACGGGGCTTTTTTGTTGCTTGCATCAATCTCGACAAAAAAGTCATCCACACGCGTCTACTTTCAGTCGTCGACCAACGCCGGCTGTAAAAACGGTATAGTTTTAAGTCATGATGAACGACACCAGTTCTGCCGCCGATCAACCAGGCGCGCCCATTTACAGAGGTAAAAACACAGAGACAGCGAACATCGTTGCCGCCAACGAGTACCATAGCGGCACAACTACCAACGACGACAGCAGGCCTAGTCTCGATGTGAGGCGCGAGAGGAAAAGTGTCTATTCGGATGAGAGCGAGGATCGCAGCCAATTCACAAAGTTCAGGAGCAGGCGCAGTCTTCCATGGTACCAGAGTCGGGATCTGCAGATCGTTGTTGCTATCACTGCCCTGGCGCTTGTCGTGAGACTCTGGGCAATTGGATATCCCACTTCAGTCGTGTAAGTATTTGCTGTGTGCTGTCACTACTGCCACCTTCTTCTTTCCTTACCTTATTGGGATCCATTAGTCACTCGATCGACGATGCTGATACCATAATCTTGTCCTATAGGTTCGATGAGGTTCACTTTGGAGGGTTTGCCTCAAAGTACATCAGAGGTCGTTTCTTCATGGACGTGCATCCTCCACTGGCAAAGATGTTAATCGCACTTACGGGATGGCTCTTCGGTTTGAACTCTTCATTTGATTTCAAGGAGATTGGACTGTAAGAAGACCCTAGTTGCAATCTTTATCGATTGTGTCGAGTTTGTGTACCAAAATTTGACCTTACTGATCGACTCTCATAACAACAACAATTCAGGGACTATATCGAGCCAAAGGTACCTTACATCCCAATGAGAGTCATGTGCGGTCTTATGGGGGTCGCAGTCATCCCTATCGCATTTTACACCGTCAGGAACTCGGGACATTCGATCCACGCGTCTACTCTCGCTGCCTTGCTGGTTCTCTTTGGTAAGACGGGCTCTTTTATTGTGCTGGATCGAATGTTGGCAGCAATAAAAGTCTCGACTACCCACAGTCAGCTTGTAACTTTCGTTTTACTATAGAAAACAGCATTGTTACGCAGAGTCGCCTTATCCTGTTAGATTCGCCCTTGATTCTCTTCACTGCATTCACGGCTCTCGCCTGGGTTAATTTCTCCAACCAACGTTATGATCCCTTCTCAGACGACTGGTTCATCTGGCTGTTCCTCACAGGCGTTGGACTCGGACTTTCTATAAGCGTCAAATGGGTTGGCCTCTTCATTATTGCGACGATCGGCGTCTCGACCCTCAACCAGCTATGGTCACTTTGGGGCGATCTCCGAGTGTCTCCACGTACCTGGCTGAACCATTTCTTTGCACGCGCTCTCTGTCTGATCGTGGTCCCTGTTGCAGCGTATATGTTAATGTTCGAAATTCATTTCTTGCTCCTCGGATCCAGTGGGGATGGCGATGGTTTCATGAGCGCGCCCTTTCAGATGACCCTGGGACACTCGCTCCAAGACTCACCTCTCTGTAAGTTGGCAATAGTTTCATCAAGTTCTTTTTGGCGGTGAATCAGTATTCATCAAAGTGCCGTAAGTTTGTAAGCACCGTACTGACCCTGTACCATTTTCCTTCCGACCGTTTTTCAGCGGTCGCATACGGCGCAACTGTCACGATTCGTCACCAGGGCACACAGGGTGGTTACTTGCATTCGCACAACTCGAACTATGAAACGGGAAGCAGACGTACGTGGAGTTTTGACAACGTTGGTATCAGAGGATCGACCTACATAGGCGAAGCTGTAAACTAAACACTTGAGATTCGTTTCTCTTTCTCAACAATAGAGCAACAGGTCACTCTCTATCCTCACAAGGACTCAAACAACGACTGGATCATTCAAAAGAAGGATGGCTCTATTCCTGAGGAACTTGAGTATATTAAACACGGAGATTATGTCCGCCTGGAGCATGTCCAGACCCATAAACGTCTCCATTCGCACGACCACAAGGCTCCGGTGACCGAGAACGAGAACCATTTTGAAGTCAGCGGATACGGATACGAGGGATTTCCGGGTGATGCAAACGACGAATGGCGCGTGGAGATTGTGAGTCACGATGGATCGAATTCGACAGCCGGGGAGATGTTGCATACGCTTCGATCCAAGTTCAAGCTGGTCCATGCCAACATGAACTGCGATCTATTTTCGCACAAGGTCAAGCTCCCTAAGTATGCGTTTGAGCAGCAGGAAGTGACATGCATGCGTAGCGCAGTTGTTGCCAAGACGACCTGGATGATCGAATCTAACAGCCATTCAAACTGTATGTACTACTTCATGTCTTGCTATTGAGCGAACAAATGCTACTCTGAAGAAGTACTAATTGTCTATTTCGAATTCGACATTAGATCCCAAGGACGCGCCTTTGGTCAACTACAAGAAGCCCGGCTTTTTGGGGAAATTTTTTGAATTGAACAGGGTCATGTGGACGACCAACGCAGGCTTGACGGACTCGCACCCTTATGACTCTCGTCCCTCCTCCTGGCCATTGTTGAAGCGCGGCATCAGTTTCTGGGGCAAGGATCAGAAGCATATTTACCTGGTTGGCAATTGGTTCACTTGGTACCTGTCTACGGCGGCGGTCGGATTGTATGCTCTCATCCGTGGTATCTTGTTTCTTCGGGACAAGCGCGGTTACCGCGATGACTTCCGAGGTACTACGTCTGACTATGCCAAATGATTGTGTCGTTTTTGTAAGCTTAGATTGGGTAGAAGGTTCTAATTGTGAGAAAACATATTCTTTGCATAGGCCTGCGCGAGTACTACGAGCTGTCGGGAGGATTCTTCTTCATGGCATGGGTATTCCACTACCTTCCTTTCTTCCTAATGGGCCGCCAACTGTTCCTCCATCACTACCTGCCTGCACTCTACTTCGCGATCCTACTCCTTAGTGTTACCTTTGATCTCGGTTGCCGATTTATCCCTAATCGGTTTCGTCTCGTGGCACTAATCATTCTTGCGTCCGTCGCCATCTTCGTTTTCCGCACACGTGCTTCGTTGACCTACGGCTCAGAATGGACACGATCCGAGTGCGAGGCGTCTAAGGTGTTGAGCACTTGGGATTATGACTGTAATCAGTATCCGGATACGTATGAACAGTACGCTCTTAATGCTGCCACCTCTCAGGCTGTAAGTGCTGCCAATGCAGTCAGCGCTGCGAACATCCAGAGACAGGAGGGTATTTTAGATAGGGCGGTTCCTGCTGCCGAGGTCCCTGTAGCAGATGTAGGAGAGGATACTGGATCAATCAAGGATGGAGGAGAGGCCAGCGGGGCGGATCCAGAGGTGACAAATCCAGCCTTGGCAGCGGATGAGGATATTGAACCCAGCGAGCTGGCAAAAGAGGATGCATAGGGTCTTGTAGCGCGAGGTTATTCGGTAACACAAAACAATAAATTTTCTGCATGAGGACTCATCGACGAAGGAAGGGAGTTTTACTGAACACGCGAGAAACTGTACAGATATGGAGAAAATGTCCATTAAACCAATAGAGGGTACCCAGATGGATATTTTGCAGTGTAAGAATGAGGACCATAACATACGCATTGAGACTCGTAAATCGAATTCTCCTGGGTCAACGACTGGTTTTATTTTTTCATTTAGTTTTGGGATCCCCAAAACTGCTGCTGATTGCGTCCAGATCCTTGGTGCTGTCCCTGGTGCTGGTTGGGGTGGTAGCCCTGGTGATGGCTAGGATACTGGTAGTTCGAAAACATCTGCTGTTGGTAATATCCCTGTTGTGTCTGAGCGCCGTTGCCAGGCTGCTGGCCCTGCAGCGATGCAGCACCGGCCATCTGGGACGAGCCTGATGGCTGTGATCCTGCAGCAGCATTCAAGTCTGTGCCAGAGTAATTCGATCCAGAGCTGCCCTTGCCATTACTGGCATTCGGTGTGGGTGCGGCAGGCTGTTGTTGGTTGCCCAAGAAGTTCTGCATGCCAGGATTGCCGTACTTGACATAGGGGTCGTTGTTCAATCCACCCATACCGTGAATGCCGGCTCCAGACATGTCCTCATAACCACCCTGAGAGTACTGGTGGTGTCCCTGACCAGCAGTCGAGCTATAATTACCATAAGGAGAGCCGCTGGCAGTACCAGGTTTGCTGGAGTGTTGTTGCTGCTGCTGCTGTTGGTGCTGGTACATAGGGTACATATTTTTGTTGACAAATGGCTGACCATATCCAGATTGCTGATAGGCGTTGGGGAACTGGTTGGGCGCCATGTAGTAGTAAGGATAGTAGGGCATACCTCCAGCCATGCCAGGGTAAGCCTGCTGCTGCTGTTGCTGCTGCTGAAGGGTCTGCTGAGCTTGGGTCGAGCCAGTGTTGGAGGCGCCAGAGGTACTGACAGTCGAGGACGAATCCTGGCTGTACTTGGTGTCACGGGACTGGTAGTTGTTGCCGGCTGTCACTGGGATCTGGCCATAGCTGGTAGGGTCATAGTACATAGCAGCCCTTTGAAGCTCATTGCCATAAAGAGCAGCGTAGTCGTTGGGGAGCGATGCCATGGGACCCATGCCAAAGGATCCGAGCTGGGTGGCAGGGTTGGGCATATATGAGCCGTAAGGAGATCCCATGGCATCGAGGCCCATGCCAGGGTGATGGTGACCGATGTAGTTGGCCGCAGGATCCTGCTTCAAATAAGAGGCGTTGGTAGCTGCAGGTGAGAGGCCGCTAGCAGAAGGAGTGGCGCCCTGGTATCCAGTTGCTCCTGTGGGCTGGCGAGCATAGCTAGGCTGCTGAGGCTGTGTGGCGGATTGAGTGGCGGCAGCGGGCTGTTGAGCAGGCTGCTCAGGCTGGGTAGGTTGGGAAGGCTGCTCGGGCTGGATCTCAGGTTCAGAAATCTCCGCGTCGTCGTTCAAAGAGAAGCTGCCAAATTTAACGCCAACACTCTGCAAAGCCGACGATCCGCTGGGCATGACAACGGGGGCATCCTGGTTCAAACGACGAGGTTGAGAAGCGACCTTGGGCTTCAGTCCAGGGGGTCCAACAGGAGTGGCAGGCGCGGGTTCAAGCGTAGCAGTTGGAGCAGGCTCGAGTGCAGCAATGGGTTCCTCAGCCTTTTCCTCCTCAGTCTTCTCCTCCTCAGCCTTCTCTTCAACCTTCTCCTCAACCTTCTCTTTGACCTTCTCTTCGACCTTCTCCTCGATATTCTCTTCGATCTTCTCTTCGACAGCGGGCTCAGGTACTGGCTCCTCGGGTGCCTTCTCTTCAGCGGCAGCGGGAGCAACCTCGGGAACTTCTTCGACAGTTGGCTCTTCAACCTTGACAGGCTCAGAAACAGTGGGCTTAGGAGCGGGTATATTAACAGCGGCTGCAGGGGCGGGTGCAACAGCGGGTGTAGGAGCGAGAGTGGGCTTAGGGGCAGGCTCCGGCCTAACATCGCGATGTAGAAGTGAAAGAGTATGTGAGTATGCACAGATCACGACGCGACGTAGGGATCGAAATATGTTGCAGTGGTTCTTACTTGACAATCTTTGCCCAAGACATTTTGCTTCCGGCTGGGATGGTTGCGGTGTTCAACTTGCGAGCAGATGCAGCAGGTGTGGAGGTAGCGGGAAGTGCGGCTCCCCATGAGTCAGTCGAAGATATAGCAGTGACAGGAGCTGCCCATGAATCGGCGGTGGAAGCAGCGGAAGCAGCTCCCCGTGAGTCGGTTGAGACAGCAGCGTCAGGAGTGGCTCCCCATGAATCATTAGTAGTTGTAGTGGTAGTGACAGCGGGGGTTGACCAGGCTTCGGTCGTATCGGATGAGTCATTAATTGTTGAGGGTTCAGCTCCCCATGAAGGCGCAGCATCCACAGAATCGACTGCGGTTGTAGTCTCGAAGCTATTTGTCTTTGAGTCGGCAGTGCTGTTCCAAGCGTTGTCAGAAGCTGCGGTAGTGTCGGCCTTGAAGGGACGTCCGCTCCTGTCGCCACCGTTCAATGCGCGAGGAGCGCCCCTTGTCGCACCGCCACGTCCACCACGGAAACCATCTATATGAAATCGAGAGTAGGTATGATAATGGCGTTAGCAATGAACGAAAGGTGAGGCGTATTGAATCAAAGGATAGTTCAAGCCGACTTACCACCACGACCACGTCCTGCAAAACCACCACGCTGGCTGTTGGAAGTGCGGAATTCCTGCTTCTCGGATGCAATCTTTGGTTTGGGAGTCTTTTTCTTGCCCTTGACTTCACCCCACTGGGAGGCATGACCTAACAAAAGCAAAAAAGGAAAGCAACGGAGGAAAAGAGGTCAGTATTTCACTTGTCTACGTATAACAGGAGCAATAGCTATTGGGCCCGTCCCGCCGTTTGTAGTGCAAAATACTCCAATGAAAAATTGCAAAGGGGTCATGGATTGATTGGTGCTGCCGGTAACCACTGTATCGGAGAAAAGAATCACATCATCGCAAGAAAAGACAAATGTAGCCGTATCCAAACAACAAGGTGCTAAGAAAAGGTGAGGAGTGGCGTATGGGGCTTGATCTGTTCCAAAGCGTCGTTGTCGTCCTCGAAATATTTAATAGTTGCCGTGATGGTGCCCGAGAACAGAACAGAGCAGGACAGAACATCGCCTGCTTGGGACACAAGCTGGATTCTGAACGCCAACTGGCCCAACTGCTAGGCCTTTTCCAGTATCTCATAATACGATTTTCATTGACCAAAACGCCTTTTTTTCCTTTTTCGCGTGTGCCAAGAAGGCCGAGGTGGACCGCAAGTAGGCAGATCACTGGGAATAAAACAAGGCGCACAAAGCAACAGAAGAATTGGAGGGACATCAAGCAAGAGACGCCTTACCTTCGCTGATCCTGAGAATCGCAAGTTCGACATCTCCGTTAGCATCCTGAATGGCGTACAAAAGATCTTCCTCTGTCCAATCTGCAAAAAGCTCCTTGAGTGTGGCCAAGGAGCCTCCATGTTCTTTACGGAGTTGACGGAGATCCTCTGGTTCATCTTTGCCGCCGTGGCGTCTCTGTGTGTTACTGCTGTGAAGGGTTGCCATTATATCTACAGAGAGCAGGGGCATGTGATGGTTGCCTTGATTAGCCTTCCAGATTGCGATTGCATGCGTGGTTGAATAAAGCGGATCAATTCCCTAGCCGAGATTGTGGTGGAGTTGACCCTTCAACAGTAAGACAAGCCAGTGGGTGTTAGGTAGAAAGTCGACGCCTCCAAGGCCAAATGTCTACAGAGCGAGACAAGTGGCGATCTGTTGTAGAGCTGCGTGAACGAATCTTATCCATCTCGCTGTTGATGGCTGTGCTGAGGTCCTTGCTCCCCAAGCGTTGACTGGGCAGTAAATCGCTGTTGATCAGTCCAAGGACCAAGATGTCTTTACCTCTTGTTGTATATGATGGAGGGGTGGGGTAGGCTGTGTCGGATGAAAGTAGCAAAGGCTTCTTTTTTTCTGGCTTCCGAAGGCACTGGGTGGATGCGGCTATGAGGATTGGGGGCGACAAGGGGGAGCGTTGTTGAAACGAAAAGGAAGAAAGAGTGTGAGAGAGATGCCCTTTCTCTCAAACAGACGAAACGCGCTCGTCTTATCACGTGCAGTATATCATCCCTATTGCTATCATGGATTTACTGTGAAAGAACGGGTTCCTCCACTGCTCCACTGTTTTTTGTTCGATCTGGTGGCTTACTGCCTTCACAACACACCCCAAAAAAATAGGACGATGCTCGCTGTCCAAGAGCCAGCGTCAAAAGTCGTTTACAGGCATTCACCCTCCTCCCCTTTCCTTCGAGCCGCCGATTGCACCATCCACAACGACAGCCACTATCCACCATGGACGCATCACTCGACCTTTCCAAGCTCAATGCCCTCTCGCCTGAGGTCATCTCCAAGCAGGCTACCATCAACATCGGTATGCAGTCGATCGTGTCGCCTTACTATCCAACCGCAGCACAACAGGGTCATGAGCGAAGCAAACCACTGGCACCGTGATGAATATGTGGCGACTAAGCAGCTTCTCCAATTTTCCTTTCCCGCTTTACAGGTACCATTGGTCACGTAGCCCACGGTAAATCCACTGTCGTTAAGGCCATTTCTGGAGTTCAGGTACCGTATCGTGAATCCTGATACATGATGCGTGCCGTGCAAGCGTATCGCTGTTTCGATCCATTGGCTGACACAACCCCTCCATTCATTTCTTAATGTTACATAGACTGTCCGATTTAAGAACGAGTTGGAGCGCAATATTACCATCAAGCTGGGATATGCCAATGCTAAGGTAAGAGCTGAACATTCCGTTCCTCTGTCGATTTCTAGAGTATGGTGCTGATATTAATATCATAAATCTTGCATAGATTTACAAATGCCAAAACGAGGCCTGCCCAAGACCTGGATGCTACAAGTCGTACCGAAGCAACATGGAAGATCATCCCAAGTGCGAGCGCCCAGGATGTGGTGGTATCATGAAACTGGAACGGTAGGTGTGCCCTTTCCTCAGGATTGTTGAGTCATACTCAGTCATTGCCAAAGCACATATTGTTATGCACTCTCGGTCGCTATGGAATAGTGCTAAATGCTTACTTCCGTGATTCATACTATCGCCCATTAGTCATGTTTCTTTCGTCGATTGCCCAGGTATATACTCAATTCGTTCAGGATTGGTGGACCCTCCATTTAATGGGAATCATATAGCGGCATTAACATGACTTTTTTCCCTTCTGCTTGTACAATACGGGATGAACAGGACACGATATTCTCATGGCCACCATGCTGAACGGTGCTGCTGTCATGGACGCTGCTCTATTGTTGGTGGCCGCCAATGAATCATGCCCTCAGCCCCAAACAAGCGAACATTTGGCTGCTATCGAGATCATGAAGCTGGAGCACATCATTATTCTTCAAAACAAGGTCGATCTGATCAAGGAATCGGCAGCACAGGAGCACTACCAGAGCATCTTGCAGTTCGTCAAGGGAACCATTGCGGACTCTGCTCCCATCGTCCCCATCTCTGCCCAGCTCAAGTACAACATCGATGCCGTCAACGAATATATTGTCAAGCGTATCCCCATCCCTGTCCGCGATTTTACCTCCGATCCCCGTCTTATCGTCATTCGTTCCTTCGATGTCAACAAGCCTGGTGCTGAGGTCGACAGCTTGACAGGAGGTATTGCTGGAGGTTCCATTCTTAACGGAGTCTTGAAGGTAAGATATCGAGTTAGTTGTATTTCTTATTAGATACTTGTCGAAAATATTGAAGAGCTGTCTTTTTAACATGCTCATGCGACCCTGTTGCTACATGGTTTACAAACAGCTCGGAGATGAGATCGAGATCCGTCCCGGTATCGTCACAAAGGATAACGAAGGAAAGATCAAGTGCAGACCCATCTTCTCCCGCATCGTCACGCTCTTGGCAGAGACCAACAACTTGAAGTTTGCCGTGCCCGGCGGTTTGATTGGTGTTGGTACTAAGATCGATCCCACACTTTGCCGTGCCGATCGTTTGGTCGGTCAAGTCTTGGGTGCGGTTGGGAAACTGCCTGAAGTCTACTCCGAGCTCGAGATCAACTACTTCTTGCTCCGTCGTCTTTTGGGAGTCAAGACAGACGACAAGAAGCAGGCCAAGGTTACCAAGCTGACTAAGAACGAGGTTTTGATGGTCAACATCGGATCGACCTCGACCGGAGGACGTGTCATCCAGGTTAAGAATGATATTGCAAAGATTGCCCTTACTGGTCTCGCATGTTCAGAGTAAGTATTCAGTATCAACACGGACGCTCTTTAAAAAATTGAAGTAGTTACTAACTGTCCATTGTCTTTTGATGTATAGGGCTGGCGCCAACGTTGCCTTGTCGCGCCGTATCGCAAATCACTGGCGTTTGATTGGATGGGGCAAGATCACCCGTGGTTCCTCTGTGCCTATCTAAAGCGTATAGGAGTATAGGACCGAGACGCATGGGAGGAATGCACCAGATAGAGCATGCAATGAAGCCTTATAGGAATAGAGGCCTCAACATCGTAAAGTAAAGTTCACATTCATTTTTATCCGCACAACCGTCCATGGGGCGTCCACATTTATTCTTTTGCCAGTTTGCCCGCAAGTCTAGAAGCACGGAATAAGGACAGTTTCTTGGGAGGCTGATTTCTATCGTCCACTTCGGCATCCACCGCTACTTCATCGTCCTCTTCGTCGTTTTCTTCGTCATTTTCTTCGTCGTTTTCTTCATCGTTTTCTTCAGCATTTTCTTCACCGTCCTCTTCCTTTTGGCTGTCGATGACCTTGGCCTGTGGTTCTGAAATGATCATACCGGGAGGGATAACTACTTGTTCTTCCCATAGCCGCTCAATCCCCTCCCGGTTGAACGCCCCGTGTTTCGCAATCATAGCTTGCCTGCGCTCCTGGTATTCACTCACCACCTACAAAAAGATAATAGTATAGCGTTAACAACCTGAAGAAATATTCGTGAATTATGATGAGAGAAAAAAGATATCCGTAATTACCTGTCGCATCAGCATATCGTCCTCGAGTTCATCCTCATCCACCGATTCAAGTTCCTCGTGCTCAACAACGGCTCCCTTCATCAGCGCAGTGTCCTTGAGCTTAGAACTGGCTACGACAGGAATGGTGCGCAACGTAGGTGAGCTTAATTGTTTAGAATCCGCTGATCGCTGAGCCTTCGCAATTTCCGGTGGTGCCTTTTCAACAACAGATCCCTTAGGAGTAGATCGAGCGGGTGTTACCTGAGGCACTATCCTCTCGGGGCCATATGGATCGTCCTCATCTGCCTTATCTGCCTCGTCCTGTTGAAAACTCGAATCCGGTACTGCAGGTTCCGGCTCTAGGTACGCCCGCGACTTTTGTTGTTGCTGGTGTTGACGGAAGAGAGATGGCTTTTTGCGGCGAGGGCTCAGACCTACTTCTTCCTTTTTGGCCGTTGTGATCGATGGTTTGGTAAAGGTGTTTGCAATAACGTCCTTGACTCCCACAATTGATAGAGGTGTAGAGGTGCTCTCCTTGATAGCTGAAACGACAACGCTTTTCCGCTCATGCATTTCAGGGGCTGTCGAGGACGTCTCCTCGATGATCGATGGCGGTGGCACAGCAACGTTCCTCTCAACTACATCCGAGACCCCAGGAGTTGTTTGTTTGCCAGGTGATGGTGGCGTTACGACGTTCCTCTCGAACGCCCGCTCGGAAATACTTCCGACAGCAGGTTCAGGTGGAGTTGGCTTGCTATTCGAAGACTCTATTGTTCTTCCAGCTGCAGCTGCACGATCCCTCGCAAATTTGGACATCTTCTTGGATGATGTCTCCTGAGCACCCTGGACAGCCTGCTGTTCTGCTGGCTTAATCGACTCCAGTAAAGTCTTCTTTTCTGGCCCCTGTGCTTGTACCTCCGCTCTCAGCTGTTTGAACAGCGACGTTTTTTTGGGCAGGGGCTTCAGTGCTGATTTCAGAGAGGTAGGTGCTGTTGTTTCTGCTGACGCTTCAGACGCTCCAGTGTTCATGTTAGCGAGAGCTGATTCCAGATTATCAATCGTAACCAATTGATCCAATCCGGAAGACGCCCGACCACCCTCCTGCTGCTTGGACCTCATTTGGTTGATAAGATCCGAGGGTGACTTTGGCTTGATGGAAGGTACTGCTTTCTGGTTATTGTTGCCGTTGTTGAGCTTCAACTTGGTAGCCTTGGCAACCTGATCTGCAAAACGGACCGATTTCCTTGATGAACCTCCGATATCTTGTTCAAGTTCTTCCTCCTCAAACTCGTCTTCATCAGCAGAATGTTCCCAGACCTCTTCCTCATATTCCTCGTCTGAATCCAATGCCTTAGGTCTAAACTCGTCCTCGCTCTCGCCGTCATCATAGCCTTCCGGCATGCCATTATCATCCGATTCAGTCTCCTCGTCCGACGTGACAATCTCTCCAGCCTCTCTTCGGCGTTCCCGTTCTTCGTCCTCGCGCTCCAGTTCTGCGATCCTGTCTAGGATAGCGCGATCCTCTGCTTGTTCCTCGGGTGTCTTTTGAGAAAATGGAAGCAGACCTGACTGTACAGACTTGTCCTTGTCTTCCTTGTCGTCTTCGTCGTCCGAATAGTAAGGTTCTGTGATTTCAACAATGGGAAGTCCTTCTTCATTATAGTCTTGTCCTCCTAAAAGCCCAGGAGCCATCCCGCTCTTGTCCCGGATCTGTTCTTCCTGAGCCTTAAGTTTTGCAATGTTTTCTTGAACAACTAGAGGACATGCAAATTTTAGACAGAGCACGTATGAAAAAAATAATGTTAGTCATGGCGGTATCTAAGTTACTCAGCCCTTCTAGCTCGAAAGTCCTGCAGAAATCTTACGCTGCATGCGTCTATCCACGATCTCGGCGGCCTGGACAGCAGACCGATCAGCGAACCAGTTGTCTCCAAGCATGACTAGTACCTCGTTTGTGTGGACTAGTTTTCCTGGCATGAAGGCCAAGTTGCCAATCGGAACCTATCCATGAGAGGAAACAGGGGTATTGTAAATAAATATTATCCACCTGAACTGAGGGGAAAAGAAAAAGAAATAGGTACCTCTGTATGTAACAGTTGTCCTTACCATGACAGAGTGCGTAGTCTCTTTGGGCAAGTCAAGCAAGGTGGCCTTGAGAGCCTCATAGTCCGTCTCATAATTCTTCCATCGCACCAATTCCTCCTCCAGTCGTGTCAGTGCCCCAGAGAACTTTGCAAAGTATGTCGCCAGTTCTGAAGCCTCTGCCTCACGATCGTTGCTCTTGCCCTTGCCCTTGCCCTTGCCTCTGGAACCGTTCATGTTATTGGTGAGTTGATCAGGTTCAAGTTTGACGTTGAAGGCGGCTTTATTTTTCAGCACAACATTTCCAGTGGTCACAACAATAACGAATTTGACAAGGCATTGCAATCAAATTTATTTTGCTCTTTCAGATATGATGATCGGCGTGTGTTGGCCCTTACACAGCAATAAAGAGCTTCAGCAGTCCCTGGGCGTAGCTGACGATCTCCATGGCGCCCATCTTGCTGTCTCCAAAGACACGATCCACGAATGTGATAGGGACCTCTCCAATCGTGAAGTTGAACTGCCTTGCACGGACCATCATCTCCATCTGGAAGACATAGCCCTTGGAAATACAGGACGAGATCAGCTGGGTCAGGACCTCCTTCTTGTACAGACGGAAGCTTCCAGTAAGATCCGAGACACCAGGGCGGAGAAGCACTGTGGCCAAAAAGTTGGCTCCACGACTACACACGATTGACAAGGGATAGTAGTAGACGTGTTTGTTTAATAGCCGACATCCTGACAAGCTGCCGTATTCGTATATTATACACAACATCAATGTAACTTGCCTGATGACCTTGCGTTTCAGGTCCCATCCATAGACACCGCCGTTGCCTGCATAACGGGTTCCTGTGACAACATCAAGGTTTTTCGACTGCTGGAGACTAAAGAGTGACAAAAACAAAAGTCCCTGTTAGTGTTACTGAAAAATCGTGTTCGCTGGAAAGATGGCACAGCTCCATGAGAATAACCGAGTTAATAAACCATACCGGATCATCTCGGGGATGAACTTAGGCTAGTAGATCCATTGAGAACGACCAGTGAGAGAGAGGAGGGCAAGAGTGATGGTTCGTCAGTTCGGGGTTGTTTCTTTACATATCCAATTTCCCTGAGTAGGCTCCTTGTTCCTCCCTTACATGATGAGACATGTCCGCATCCAGAATAAAAATGAAATCGCCAGTGGCATGCTGGATTCCGTGGACGTATGCAGTACCTAGCGCAGATCATGTCACCAACAAGTCATATAGGTCCCTGATCAGTTTATCATAGATCGGCACTGTCTGGAGTACGTGTCATGTCGATGTGAATGTCCATTGCTCACCTAATCCGAGCTTTCCAGCGCGAGGTCTTAAAAGCTAAGAGAGTGGTAAAAAATGGGACCCAGTACAGGTTCAGTATGGACTTCCATGCTGACGGGAGCTGATAGGAATACATGGACTAACAATGACGCTGCATACAATTCTATCTTCGCCATAGATCTTCTGGAGCTGCTGCGCGATCTCGAGGGTGCCATCAGGACTGTTATCGTCGATGACAATGATCTCGTAGTCGATGTTGCTATTGGAGAAACAAGGTAGATAAGGTCGCGATTTTACCATTTTAAAACGCCTATCCTCTCTTTCTGATCCAAAACGCGTGGCAAGAACAGAGGCGTAGCTGACTCACTTATCCTGGAAGGTCTTTGTGAGAAGCCAGATGATGACGGGCAGATTCTCACGTTCATTGTAGGTGGGCAGGAGCACAGAGTACTTGTGATGTCCAATCATGGTGTTGGCGTGGTTGTGATTGTGATCGTGATGATGGCTCTGGGTCAGAAGCGGTGTTGTGCCTGTGGTCGTGTCGTCCTGGATGTCGATGCTGATGGCGTCGCTGTGGGTTGATTCTGATCTGGCGAACGGATGCGCAAAGGCAGGGGAAGAAGAAGGGTATTCGCCGTACGAGGAAGTCGTTGTCTGCATTCAAACGAGGATGCAATAGAAAAAGGGGGGTATGAAGACACTGATAAAGCGTGCGGAGCTTGTTTTGTTCCAATTGGCTGAGTTTACTTGGATGTGGATTTCCTACGAGGCTGGCAACTGTACAGCTCAGCCAAGGGAAATGCTCAACTGATCTCTTTTTCTTTCAACACCTACAGACCAATTCATCAAGACCGATGGCGAGCAAGAAACGGAGTTGGGGCTATAGCAACCTTGACAACAGCGACAGCAAGCGGGATAGGGCCCGCCATTCACGCCATGGAAAAGGACAAAGCGGACAAGTAGCACAAGCGGCAACACAGGCAACACAGACAACACAGACAACACAGGCAGGACCAGAGGCGGCAGTAAGAGATATCCCAGGATTTTATTACGACCTTGAGAAAAAAAAATACTTCAAGATCACAGCGAACCATCAACTCGGTAGTCAGCACCCGTTCAGTCAACAGAGCATCAAGGAAAAAACGACCCCGAAGGTAACGGAATAGTTTTTGCAATCATTTTGCTCCCGCTTCCATCTTTCGCTATATACCATTTAACACTGGAAACTCATATTTTGTAGCCAACATTGGAGCCTATCAGACGGCGATTTGGACAGAGATTTCCCTCAACGACTTCACATTATGGTCGTCTCGATTGGTTTTTACAGGATTGTCAGCTCGGATTAGCAGGTAGCCCTCGCAGGCAGCTTTGGTACGTGGGATTCCTCTTGCTATAGCAAAAGGCGAAACAAGCAGGCAAAGAACTGACTGAATGGGTCCTTCAATAACGCATAACGAAATAGCGAGATGCATGCCTTGGCTGTCAAATTCTGGAAGAGGAGCAGGCATATGGAACCCATACTCCCTGAAGCCTCTTTCGAGTACACGCATATGACGGTATAGATGTTGAGGTTTTCTTTCTTCAGTCTCCAAGATTTAGTGCTACTTGAATATTAATTGTAGATTTTCTTATCATTAATAGGTGAACCATGCTAACCGAGTCTTACTTCTGGGCACATCGTACGGTCAGTTATGGAGGTGCCCCGTGTCGGAGAGAAAATCAGACCAAGGTCCCTGCACACGACTGGAATCCAGGGAAACATCCCGGGTCACATCAATACACGAGACCCCAGACAAGTTCTTAATGTAAGAATGAGGTCGTGGTTAACCCACGAAGATTACTTTTTAAGGATAGGAGTGTGTTACATAGAACTAATGCCTATTCTATCTTACTTTAATAGAACCACGCATCTTGGAAACGTGGCTTCAGGAGTTCTTCTGGTGCGGAAGGAAACGATGCCAACGGAAGACAATGTCGTTCTAACGTACTCGCCCAGAAAATCAACTATTTGGACCAGTGCTCTTGCCGGAAACAAGCTGGTAGTGGGTGAAGACGGTGGTATTACGATCCTTTTAGATTGGAAATCCGGGAGACACTGCATACGATCTCTCAAGACTGGAAGTGACGTCTTCTCAATCGCTATTGACCCTCCAGAGAAAGGAAACGCTGTGTATGCAGGATGTAGGAATGGCACCGTCAAGATCTTCGACTTGAATCAGCCTCAGACCATGAAAGTCGCCGCGGGATCAAAGTTAAGTCGGTCTAATCCGGCGTTCCAAGGGATTGGACACCAGGGGTCGTCGGTGAGCTGTATCAAACGCGTTTCGGACCATTACCTTGTAACATCAGCCATGAGCGGGGAAATATCTATGTGGGATATTCGCTTTACAGGCGCATTGGCGAAACCGGTGCTGAACATTCGCGGACCCTTGCAAGGTCGCCTCAAAGAGACTCCATTCGATATCAACTGCGAGGAGACACTTTTGGCAGTAGGAGGCATTGGAGGTATAGATCAGCAGCTGTCATTGTGGTCGCTAAGTACTGGCCATAGAGTGCGAGACTTGGACGTGGGCGGATCTGCTAGTTGCCTTGGCTTCTCACGGGATCGACAGGGCCTTTGGGTAGTTGTAGGGGATCAGGTTCAGTTCTGGGGACTATGACACTAGTTTGAATAAATGAACGTTCAAACGAAGCTGAGTGACTTGTTCTTTAATTACGCAAATATAAAATGCTGTTGCAGGCGGCAAGCCGTTTGCTTTTTTCCTTATGCCTCGACTACCGAGTAAGGATAATATAGACCCCTCGTGAAATATCGAGGGATATAAACCAATATTTGGAAAGGGCGCTATTGAGTCAGTAACCCATGTCCGTTGACTACTGTCCTCACACTGTCGATCCACTTGGAGCGGCGAAGGATGGTGGACCGGCAGGGTTCTATCTGGCCAGCCCTTCATTTTTATTACTTTTCATTAAAAACTAAAGCATTGAGATGTGAACGGGAATGAGACGGAATTACTGTTTGCGATGTGCTGCGGTAAAGGGACATGAAGGTTTTCAAGCGTGAGGCATAGATGAGGACTGATCACGCTGTTCGATTAAGATTAATGATCCGACTACAACCACTGGCCATACTGCGGTTAGAGGAAGGCAGAGTGCTTCTAAGAGAAACCCAGTGGTGGCCAGACGTGCAACTGAGCGCAGTTGGCCTTTGAAGTAGTACGGGTGTTGTTCGGCTGCTCAATTGGTAGGGGCCGAGTACTGGCAGTATAGACTAGGCTGGTCATCCAATGGACATTGTGCCTGGGACTGGACGTTTAGCAGAAAAGCTGTTTCTTCAACATTGAAATAAAACCATGTTCTAACATGCACTCAGGTTCACAGCTGGTTGTCCGCTGTTTGATATTTCTCTATCATATCCATCCTACGTTGCGTCTTCTATCTTCTACTTGCTCTCGCATACACCATCACCTTCCGAATAGCAACTGCATATCCCTATTTACTCAGTGAGGATGGTACCCCTAAAACTGCTTCTAGCGATAGGCCTAGCGATGGCGTTGCAGCTGGTTCATGGCGCACAGCCTCCATTATACAATAAGGTAGTAGAGTCCTCTGCCTGCTTAACGCGTACTGAGGTGGGTTAGTTGCTAATCCGCGCCGACTTTACATGTAGGCCATATGCGCCGCTCCCCAGTGCATTCTTACAGCTGCTTCGATTTTGCAAGATATGGATCCTAACGTTGATCCATGCGAGGATTTTAGCGCATACACATGTAAGATAGCAATTTCTTGATCAAACATCTGTTCATAAGCATATCTGGGTGCTGATAGATATTATCTTCATTGCATTTGACTAGGTGGTGGATTCGCGAACCGGGAAGAGATACCGGCCGATCAAGAGTCTACTAGCTACTTTCGTATCCTAAGCGATGAGAACAATGTAGGGCAAAACTGCGCTTGTCCAAAGATACGCGACTTGGTTTCGAGTTTTCTACTGAGCTTCTGTTCTTTTTTTATTTTTTTATTCTAGCAAATCATCCGTTCCATTGTCGATGCTGAGAGTGTAAAGGCGCCGCAGGTTTCGAGTGATGATGAAGCATCCCAGCGAAATATCCAAAAGCTAAGGAACTTGTACACCAGTTGCATGGATGAAGCACAGAGTGCCGAAGCAGGGCGCCAACCTTTAATGGACGAGGTTCAGAAATTACTCGAGGTGTTCCCTGTCACTGGGAGTATTTTAACACCATCTCCAGACGCAGAGTCAATGCTCTCCTCACCTGTGGGTGCTGTGAACAGGAACGCTTTGTCATTAGCACTATCATATTTCAACAAAATAGGGCTGGATTTATTCAGTTCTTTTGGAGTCACAACAGACCTCAAAGATCCGAACCGACATGTCCTCAGGCTCACTGAGGGAGGGCTCGGACTTCCTTCCAAGGAGTATTATTTGGATGACAGGATCATTAGCATTTACGAAGCGACTGCTAGCAAAATGTTCAATCTAATCTTGGGCGAAGACACAAACGTCTCCTCATCCTCAACAGGCAAGACCACCGAACTGCCCATTAAATGGACAGGCATCGGTAACGATGTTATGAACTTTGAAAAGCAGTTGGCAGCCATTTCAACACCCAAGAAGGACTTGCGCAACTCGGAAAAAACATACAACCCATTTTCTATCGACCAGATCTCCTCGATGACGCCCTCAGTCGACTGGTCCTTTGTCCTCAAAAACTTGTTACCCACCGACGTTGATACCCCGAACATCATCGTTGTTACGTCTCCAATTTTCCAGACAAAGCTTGAGTCCCTTCTTCAAAAGACGTCGCCTCAAACGCTGCAAAACTACATGATTTGGAGTGTCATCCGCCAGATGGCAGGTTATCTCGCCGAGCGCTACAAGCGACCAATGCGTGAATTAAACGCGGCCTTAGCTGGTATCTCCCCCGATGTTATTCCAGAGCGCTGGAAGTACTGTGTCTCGATTGTCAACGATCGATTAGGTCAAATGGCTGGCCATTATTTTGTCAAAGAATCTTTCAAGGGGAGCAGCCGTACTCAGGTTTATGACATGGTCGAGACAATTCGCTCAACCTACCTCAAAAATCTCCCTGAACTGGATTGGCTGGACGAACCGACTGTAGCGGGAGCGGTCAAGAAAATGAAGGCAATAGCTCAACTGATTGGTTTCTCAACGGATGCTCCTAACGTGGCATCGTCAGAGTCCCTGGAGGAGTACTTCAAAGGATATAGTGTCGATCCGATGGATTACTTTGGGAACATGATGCGAGGGGGTCTGTGGGAGACAGAGAGCTCATTCAAGGAGCTCAGCGAACGTGTGAACAAGTTGCAGATGCACATGTCGTCTCAAACTGTGAACGCATACTACTCTCCGACGCAGAACCAGATTGTCTTTCCAGCCGGCATTCTCCAGCCGCCTTTCTTCCACGCAGATAATCCTGAGTATGTCAACTATGGAAGTATCGGTGTGGTGGCCGGACATGAGATCACGGTAAGGAATGTCGCGCGTGGTGTTTTCACTTGAAAAGCGTGTTTTGTTTATGCGGGCTATTGTTGACCATCTAGGATTTTCACCGATGATAGCATGGGTTCGATAATATGGGCCATTTGTTTGATTCAGAAGGTCGTCTGATAAACGTAAGCTACAACGGACATCTCCAGACACTTGGACATGATGTCAACATATTGAGAATGTTTTTTTTATTTATGCAATTCACTTGTAGTGGTGGACCAAAGCAACTACGGACGCGTTTGACAGCAAAGCACAGTGCTTTGTGGAGCAGTATGGGAACTTTACGATTCTAGGACCTGATGGTAAAAATTACCATGTGGATGGACAGCTCACATTAGGGGAGAACATTGCCGATAACGGAGGCTTGAAGAACTCTCACGAGGCATGGCAGGCACGATTCAATTCTGACCCTGCAGGCTGGAGGTATAGTTCCTAATCGTTTCTATCGTCATCCTTTAGTTCTCCGGCACCAGTACTAATGCATCGTCCGTTGTCCCATCGGTTGCACTATAAAAAAGGTACAAGAACTTCAGGCTACCAGGTCTGGACCGTTATACACCCGAGCAATTGTTTTTTATTTCGTATGCGCGCCTGTGGTGCAGCAAGCAGAGGCCAGAAGCATTGGTCCGGCAGCTGAGGACCGATCCACATGGTCCAGCCAAATGGCGTATCAATGGCGCGGTGCAGAATTCTGTCGCGTTTGCCAGGGCATTCAGCTGCCCTACCGGTGCACCTATGAACCCAGAGAGGAAGTGCGGCCTCTGGTAGGATGGGCCGACCGAGTGCAGACACAAGGACAAGATTGCAGTGGCGCGATTCCACAAGACAACAGCAACAAACAGCAATAAACAATAGGTAGCATGCAAGACGGCGTAATTTTTTTTATCATTGCAAAGAGAGGAAAGAATTAGACCCATTGGGCATGCAGTTCTTTTTGGTGGTCTGGTGGCTGTGCACAAAGGGAAGAGGCCTTTGCTGCTGCCGCTGGGTCGGACAAAGGACGAACTTCATTTGGTGCATAGTACAGGACGCTGATTGGTTGCTTTTTTGTGCCTATAAAAAATGCATCTCCCTGCCTTCTCTTCTTTTTCTCTCCCTTCATCTCTCTTTCTTCATTCTTTCTTGACTCACTGTCCTTCTTTTCTTTTCTTTTCTCTTTTGTTGCCCATCTCCTCCTTCCCACTCACTAGCCAGCTCCATCGCCACCATCCACACATCCGCTGTATTTGTGTGCCCTGACATCCCCGCATCCCTATATTACACCTCCCTCGCTCCTCATTCTTCGCCACCAACCACCCCTCTACAGCTACTATGGAAGATAACAACGCCCAGAACATGCCCATCAACTGCGCCAATGGGTGTGGTTTCTACGGGTAAGGCCCTTATCCCCCTTCTCCCCTCTTCCTTCCAACAGCCGTTGCCTTCTTTTGTCTTGTTTCCCTTCCTCGTCTCCCCACTCACTCCTTTCTGCCCGCACACGCGGCCTCAATGTTTCTCTTCTTCCTCCCTCCCCCCTCCCCCCCTTTGACTTTTTTTTTTTTTTTTTTTTTTTTTTTTTCGTAACATGCCGGCTGACGACCAGGTGTTCCCACTCACTGCTGCTGTCTTTTGTTTGTGCTGTCCCCATCGCACCAAACTATGTAAACATTGCTGTGGTGACGAGATGTGTATGCCTTATGGTCATGACAAAAAAAAAAAGACGAGAATCATTCTATATTTACTTGGTGTATCTGTCTGCTGCAGAGCATGCTTTTTACTCTTCCTCCTTTTTTTCTTTTTATTTTTTTGGTGATGCTGCATGGAGTTATGCCTGACGTTTGAGTTGAATGCAGTACCACACGACCTGCTCTTCATGTCCACATGTCTGTGTTGTCAATCTGACGAGTAAATAAAAAAAAAAAAGGACGCTTGCGTGTTCTCTGCAGTCTCGCTCAACGTGATATGCTATGTTTCTGGGATACACCGACTTTCCATACTGGCAGAAGAGACCACAGCGTCGAGCGCAATTGCGCAATGGACCTTTCTGCTTGGATTAGTGACTAATCAAACCTTTTGATGAACACAATGCTTTACAATAGGAATCCCCTCAACAACAACATGTGCTCAAAGTGTTTCAAGGAGCTGAGCCAGAAGAACGGCACCATTCCAACCGATAGCAATAACGCCACCGCCGCATCATCTACTGCCACGCTCTCAGAGAAGCCGACGCAGCCCTCCACACCCACTCCAGCACTCGCACCGACAACAACTACGCCCGCATCCACAACCCCAGCCATATTGCCCGCTGCGCCCACACCGGCGCCATCCACACCCGAAATCGCCAATGCGCCAACGCCTACCCCAGAGAGCGGTGTGAGCACGCCGACATCCGTCGTATCCGACGTTTCCGAGGGTCTTGCACCGGGCGAGCGTCCTCCTCAAGTCAACAAGGGTCGATGCTACCTCTGTCGTGCCAAGGTATGTCGCCAAGGGTTGCTTTGTTTTATACATCTTGCGTACCAAATAACATGAGCAATTTCTGGAAGCGAGTGTTTATTGATTTCGTATTGCACCTTGTGTCCCCAACATTGCATCGACTGCCGGATGACTCGTTTCATTTGGCCATTATAATAAATGCAACTGCAGACTATCGTGGATGTGTACGCTGATTCGCTAACGTCCGATATATATTTTGCCAATTCAATTTCGTCCTATAGATCCCACTTGCCAAGCAAGCCATCAACAAGTGCCGATGTGGTAAGTACTTGAACATTGTCTGGGTTACGCTCATGTATTCGGACCCATCATCTGTCTTTCAGACCCTGGCTCTCTCTTTTTTTCTTGGGATACAAAATGAATAATAATCCTAATATGTTTTTGCTTGGCGCATCCTTTGATTTATAAAATATAGAATTCGTGTTCTGCGACGCACACAAGGCGACGACGAAGCACGACTGCGACTTTGACTTTGCAAAGATGGGCAAGGACCTGTTGACGAAAAACAATCCAAAGTTGAACGACAAGCCAAGGGGAGGACGCAGCTTCACACGCATCCAGGAATAAAGAGCATAGGACACCAAGACACCAAGACACCAGCCGTCAGGACCACAACATCCATCTAATGCGATGAGCGGTGCAGTTTAGCATATTATGGAAATATGCTTGTCAACAATAAAGCCGCGGAAGATCAGACTGAGTTGGGCTTACTTATACCTCCTGAACCTTTTATTTTATTCGATATATTTTTTTATATCATGGATGCCCTCAGGGCGCATTCCTTTTTGCTCATGTCAGACACCAATGCCAGATGAATCCTTGCCCACCCCTGACGGTCGCCTCCAAAAGGGTGGAGATGTCGCACATGAATGTACTGACAGACTTGATCCTACCCTCGTCCATGTCTTTCTGCACTCTGGGCTCGAGCACTTCAATCGCTTCGATGTACATTTCGTCGCCATAAATATGCCAGGCGATCTGGAGACATTTCAGATAGTCCGTCATATCGAACCCCCTGAGGTTCTCGACTGGCCAACCTTCGCCGCCGGAGAGGGAGAAGGGCAATAAAAAGTCGACGGCTTTCTTGATAGATTGACCTTCAGGACCTTCATAGGACCACATGTCAACACCAAGATCATCACCCCAGCGTGCAAGAGTCATCAGGGCCTGGAGATTGAAGACGGAGTAATACCAGGATGTCTTGCGGGCCAGCTCTTCCGGCTGCATACCCTGAGCGTTGATCTGAGGGTCGATTCGTTTATGGAGAGCTTTGCGTGCGATCTCTCGGGCGTCGTCCACGCGGCCGAGGAAGAGATAGATGCCAATGATCTGGACGTCAAAGTAGGTACCGTGGTTATTGTCGCCGTCGCGTTCGAGCCGGGCCAGGGACGCAGTCTCGAGCCATTGGACGTATCGTGAGAACCATTTCTGAAGGCGGGGGATCAGATCCTGAGGCCAGGTCGGCTCCTGTTTGAGGTAGTGGAGAGCATCGAATACTCTATCCGTCATATATTAAAAGCCAGTATCAGAAGAAAGCGTTCGTTTCGTTCGTCTACTCAGGATATTGAAATACTGAAAGAGAATTACCGGAAAATCGTAAACATGTCGAGGATTCCAGTCCGCGCCCCCAACTTCTCACCCTTCCTCAGTGATCCATAGTTGATATTAGGGTTCATATAGGTCGCCTCGTCCAAGAACCACTCACTGAGCCGCATGGCACACTTGTCGGCATACTCCTTCCGTCCCGTGAAATGGTACGCCATCCCCATGATATGGACCTCCCGAATCATAGTCCTCAACAACCGGTAATCGCGCACGGTCTCGATCTCCGGATTGACATGTCCGTCAATCCTCTTGTACGGCAGCCCACTGAGCTTGTTCTTGTTCGGCCAGTAGTACTTTGAAAGTGACAGATAGTCATGGACATCGTTCGAGGGCGCCGTTTGGTTCTTGTTAGTGACCGAGTACACCTCTGTCGACTGCACCGCCAGATCCGCCTCTCGGACCATCAACGCAATCGCGTAGTTGCGCTCCCGACGGATTGCGCTCAGAAAGTGCGCGTAGCTCACAGGCGAAGCTTTACGTTCTTGGGTCGCGATCGCTACCGCCGATTCTTTGACCTCGCTGATCTCACTTCCAGGGACATTGGCCTCATCATCGACAATGACCTCCTCTTTGTCCGTACTGTGGTACCCTGTATCACTAATAGGCCCAGACTCTAATCCAGATCCTGAATTGTCCTGGTCAGCCTGCCAAGGCCTGTTCTTCTCGCCGATAGGGTCCAACTGGATTAAAGGTACTTGTTTGGGCGGATGGTGTTCAATCCCTCCACCACTACCACTAAGATGCTCCTGCTGCTCCTGCTGCCCCTGCTGCTGTTGCTGTCGTTGAGATGATCTCCAGCCAGGGTGCTGGCCATTCGGTGGTGGGCTGGAAGAATCCTCGTAGGGATCGGACTCTTTATGCTTGACAGCCGAGTGTTGGTTTTGAATGATCATGGGCATAAATACGGTGGTGGCGATGATGTAGGCAAAGAGTAGACCACCAAAAAAGAGGACGACACGACGCAGGGTAATGCGGCCCATCAGGTTGACGGGGCTGGTTCCTCCACTAAGGGTGAAAGGCTTAACCTTGAACTGAAGGGCGGTATGGGAAGGTAGTACAGATGAGTTTGACTTCATTTTTTATTTATTTTGTATATTCTCAGTTCAAAAGGGTCAAAGGGAAGGTGTGTGAACGGGAAGAATCGAATGAAGGAAGGATGGAATGAAAACGAGAAAAGACGAGAAAGAAATAGGGAGCACCAGGAATGGCAACAATGGGAAAAGGGGGATCATACCAAGAACCATAGCCAAAGAATACTGGAATGCTGGCGTATTCATACGTGCGTGTCAATATCAAATTCAAATTCAAATCCAAATCCAAATTAGGAAGGTGGCTCCACGCACTTCGCCCATTCTTTGTCTCACTCACATATAGCGGAACCAGATTCTTCATTTACTTTTTTTTATTCGCATTGTAGATGAAGATACATTTGTATGCCTCCTAATCAACCCACTTGGCTCCAAGGGAGTGAGCAATGAACGAGAATTTGTCCGTGCTCTCCTGAATGCGCTTTGTCAAGGGCTTTCCTGCTCCATGGCCAGCCTTGGTCTCGATTCTCAGCACCAAGGGCTTGTCCGTCACCGGTCCTGCCGTGTGCTGCAACTCCGCTGCCAACTTGAACGAATGCAGAGGCACCACACGGTCATCGTGGTCCGATGTAAACAACGCCACGGCCGGGTAAGGATGGTCCTTGCGGACGTTGTGCAGAGGCGAGTACTTTAGCAGGTTTTCGAAATCGTCCTTGTTTTCATCAGAGTATCCAAACTCGGACTGCCAGGCATGTCCGATCGTGAACTTTTGGAACCGCAACATGTCCTGGACGCCCACATCCGAGACCACGCATCCGTAGAGCTCGGGAGCCTGGTTCACACAGGCACTGACGAGCAAACCACCGTTGGAGCCACCGTTGATCGCCAGACGAGAGGGCTGGGTATATTTCTCTTGGATGAGGTACTTGGCAGCGGACTGGAAGTCATCGAAACAAGACTGCTTGTTCTTGAGCGCGCCGCCCTTGTGCCATTCCTCACCGTATTCTCCGCCACCACGAATGTTGGCGTAGCAGGCCACACCGTTGAGGTGCTGGATAAAGGCAATCATTTCTGGGGAATACACAGGCTGGATGCTAATATTGAATCCTCCATAGCTGTACAAGAACGCGGGATTGTTGCCGTCCAGCACGAGGCCCTAAAAGTTGCCAAAGAAAGAAAGAAAGAGACAACAAAAAACAAAAAACGCGTTAGAGTTTGGATCATTCAAGCAATGAAGGCGAGCGCAGTACATGCAAAAAAGTGGCTCACCTTCTTGTGAGTGATAAACATGGGAACCTTGGTTCCATCCTTGCTAGAATAGAAGATTTGCTTGGTCTCGAACAGCGACCCATCAAAGTTCTTGACTTCAGCCTGTCTAAAGACCGATAGTCTCTGCTCGTGATCTTCGACCTTGAAATCATAACGGTAGATGGTGCCAGGGGTAAGGAACGACATGAACTGGATGAAGAGTTCAGTGTCCTCTCGGCGCGCGGATATGCTGACGATAGTGCCAACGGGAATCTTGATCTCATGAATGAACTTGCCGGTGGGGAGATCGTGAACAACGATCTTGCTGGTCACATGGTGGATATAGTGGAGAACAAGCTTGTCATCGCTCACGACTTGGGAATTGTCCAAGACGTCCTTTGACTCGGGAACGACTTCAACAAAGCCCTGTGTTGCAGCCAAATACATAGGACTCAGATTAGTAAGCTTGCCAGGAGATCACAAGGTAAAAAAGAAAGCATGATGACAGTTAGTCCATTACCTCTGCGGGCTTGTCAAGGTCGTACTTGACAATCTTGCCCATAGGAGCGTTCAAGTTTGTCTGGAAGTAGAACGTGGTGCCAACATTGGTCAAGCTATAGGGGAAAAGATCAATATTAGCTATGTTGACCTAGAGCTCTGGTATGTCTGCGCGGTTGGCACACTGTGCAACTGGAAAGTACTCACTAGCTGTACTCGCCCTCAAAATTGTCAACAATCTTGTTCAGCTTCATATCGGATGTGATCTGTTTCTCCTCCTCAAGGTCGATCAAGTACAGCATATTCACAGGGTCGCAGTCCTTGGCGATGGTGATGATAAAGTACTTGCCGTCCTCAGACACGCGGCCATCGGGGTGATAAGTAGGGTTCTCTTTGTCGAGGAACACGAGGACATCCTCAGATTGAGGAGTACCGATTTTGTGGTAGTACCTGATAGCGTGGGAAAGATGGGGAAATGATTAGGGTGCGTCTCGCTCTCACGACACTATGCCGCAAAATCATCTGATAGCCAATACAGCGACTTACAGGCGCTTGAAGTGGTTGACCGCGGTCTCGGTTCCTGCCTTTCCGGCATCGACATCAGGCTTCTCAAAACTCTATATTGAATTAAAGAAGTTGACGTCAGCAGTGAATCGGAGAGGAGTAATGTCAAACCCGCAGCTCCTGCGAGACACGACAAAAGCTAGGCCACAAGAGAAGGCATGGCTTACAGAGTAAAAGAATCCCTTGTCGTCATGCGTAAAGGAGATGTTTGAAAACTTTGTCCACTCGATAACATCGTCCAGCTTCTCGCCCTTGTTGTTCATCAAGTAGATCGTGTTCCAGTCAGATCCTGACCTGGACAGGCAATAGGCGTACAACAATCCCGTCTTTGAGAAGGCGCTGGCGCCCAAGGCTGCAGTGCCATCCGCCTCCAAAGTGTTGACGTCCAAGAAGACACGGGCCTTCGAGTCGAGGCTGTCCTGCTGATAAAGAACACTTTGGGCCTGCAGACCGCTGTTGTATCTGTAGTAGTAGTAGTCGCCGCGTTTGAAGGGGGTAGAGTAGCGCTCGTAGTTGTACAAAGCGGTCAGACTAATAGAAGAGATGAGTAAAAGACATGAATGATTAGAGGGCTGCTTGAAATGATAAAGCCCATTCCTAAATATACAGAGCGTGTTTCCATACCGCTCGTTGAACTTTTGTTTGGCATCAAATTTGTTCATAAACTCGTTTCCAAACGCAGCCTGGGCCTCGACAAAATCCTTGGTCTCCTTTGAATCGGGATTCTCGAGCCAGCGGTAGGGGTCGGCGACCGTAGTGCCATGGAGGGTCTCGGCGAAATCGCTACGGCGGACCTGGGGATAGACGATCTTGCCGTCCAAAGACGTGATGAGTTCAGGCTCAGTTGTAAGCATTGTAGGGCTTGGATGTGTTGCTTGGCGAAGTGCGCTTGAGGAGACCAAGGGGTTGAGGGTTGGGCTGGATAAAGAGCGGTGGGGGGAGAGGAACAAGGGGAGAGAGAGGCTTAGGGAAAGACGAAAAGAAGAAAAGAAGGAAGAAGGGAACAAGAAAAAACGTCGCTGGCGTTTTATACGGCCAGGGGCGTATTGTATTTTGTGGCACCGTGATTTCCCTTGCGTGATTCTATTCTTTCAGGCATGACAGCAGCTGGGCCCATCCCCTCCTGCCACAAGAATGAAATAAAGCCTGGCGCCCAAAGCCCCAAGGGGTTCGTCGCACTTCAAAAACGAAAAGCGAGCCGATGCATCCGTCTGCTACTTCCCATTCGCGCCATGAGTCTCTCCAAGATATATAGCAAGACTCCAACTTCCTCCCCAGCCCCGTCGCGGCCGTTCATTTTTCTCCCACGGAAACAGACGTACACTAGCCTCGTTTCACAATCAAAGGCAGGATGGGGAAGGTATCTACGGTGGGCTTTATGTGACAACTGGTCGCGTTTGATTGGATGGTTGGTCGATGTTGCTGTGTCTCTTTTTGTTGTGAGCACTTCAGAATGCGAGCGGGGTAAGGAGCCTGCATTTGGTTCCCTTTCTTCCCTTGTCCAGCTGATATCGACATAAATGGTGTGCATTCAGGGTGAGGTTGCTCTGCAGGTCAGTCTTTTTGGTGAGAGTCACACAAAAGGACCCATGGCGTGCTCTGCAGAAGTCCTCATCGAACATGAAAGTTGGAGGCAAAATGTATTCAATTTGAAAAGCACTGTTGAACAAATGATCCTACAACTGAAATAGCTTTAATCCATCGTGTGAAGAACTCGTCATAAGCACCCTCTAGCGTGCAGCAGACGGGCGGGTATCGAATTCAGAGGCTGCGGCAGAGACCCTAGACTTGACATCCCTGAAAGTGTTGTCAATTCGACCATGATGCTGAATCAAAAACGGACGAAGGATCCTCACGTAGATGAGAGCAGCACCCTAGATACATAGCACAGTCCACCAAAAACGCACGTTAATCTCCTGTGCATTGCGTTATAAACCTCATTTTATGTTTCTCAATGTCGCACAGGCGTACATTGAATGGGGGGACCATGAGCCAGAGAAGGAAGATGGTCTTGAGGAAGAAGTAGAACGGGAACCAATACAGCAGGATGTCCGTGAAAGATTCGATGACGGCGACAAATCCGTAGACGGCCCTAAAAGAGTACGTACACGCGCGAGAAAAATGCAAGCTGTTGAGTGTTCGTTCATATGCCAGTACATTAGTGCTTGTATATATCTTCACTGCTGCTGTTCGGATGACGATATTGTTTCTCTCTCGCCCCGGATTACTATACCAGTAGGTTAGCCTATCCAAAAAAAAAAAAAAGAAAAAAAAAAAAAGGTGCAAGAATACAGTGTTAAAGCGACATGTTCATTAGGACGTCCTCACCCACTTCCCTTGCGAGATCAAACACAAACGGACCATTGCTTGTCGTCGTCCTGGGACGGCGTTTCCAGAGCTTTGAAGGATCGGTAGGCCGGGTAGACCCAGCCGAGAATGTTGGACAGTAGTTTTCCTGCAAAGTTGAAAAAGATCATCAACAGGATAAACACACCAGATCCGAGGGCCAGGAATGTTTTCGGAACTCCTGTTGCTGCCTGGAATCGGTTTAACTGTGGATACTGTCCTAATTCCTTGTCCAGCTGAGCGTTGTAGTATCGTACTATAAAAAGGTTCACAGGACAGGTTATTTTGGTCGTTAATACGGACAATGTCTGGAAGGACTAGAGGCGGCTCCGTAGCCGATCGAGAAGATGACCTTCGAGGACAGAGAAGCGGATTGACATTCCTGTCCATGTCCAACAGGCGGTGTCATATCCCTGAGCCTTAAAGAGCCAAGGAAGCTAAGGGACGAAGGAAGTTGAACGCGCCAAGGAAAGCGAGGTACGTTGGTTGTGCCCTTTGTGTCTAGATTGTTTTGCCAGCGTTACCTTTAGTCTGGATGCTTTCCATTGTCAAAATGTGGTTGCTGTCAGGCAGATTGTGTAAAGAGAGAAAGTGAAGAAAGAAGAAAGTTCTCAGTTGCCCAACCGTGGTTATCTTGCTTTGTCCCCCGTGCACAATCCATATTGCGCAAATGAAAATGATTGTGTCATACCGATGCCACAAGCGACAGCAGCACCAGCAACGGGGGACCAGAGTCAAAAATGTTAACCCACTGTAAAACCATTCCGCCGTCGAGTCGACTGATGCTCCTGGAGCTTATTCCCACGCAGTCTTCAGCTAACGAAATGGACATGCGAGGAGGAAACGAGGTCTCGGCTGCCACCCATTCATCTTCATAGCCCTCGAGGAAGCATTGTCATTACATTGCATTACATTACATTGCAGGTTTTTTTGTATTGCTGTATATCGAATGCAGGCTATTTAAATAACACTACAAGTGAGTGGACAATACGCCTGTTCCTTGCCATTCATATTGCATCTAGTAATCGTATTGCTGCTGCGAGGGATGCGATTGCTGTGCTTGATTCATATACTGCATTTGTAGCTGTTGTTGCTGCTGTTGCTGTTGCTGTTGCTGCTGCTCTTGGCTCTAGCATTTCACAGCAATGAATGAAAAATGATATCAACTCATGGACTTGAGGAGAGCACAGACCACATATGCAGGTTCATAGTCAATGTCACACAGATCATGTCTTCACATACCAGCGTATACGTGCTATTGTCCATCATACCGTATGGGTAGTATCCTTCCAAACCCATGCCTGCGTCCAACGCACTACCAACACCAGCACCAGCCACACCCGGTCCCTTGGGTCCCGTGGCGCTCGCGGGTCCAGGCATGGGCTGATGAAACATTTCCTGGCTACGACGACGATCGTGTCCTGCGATCCCGTGCTGCATCTTGTGCTCCTTGGGAAGCGAGATCTTGTACTCTTCACGCGGGACAATGTCGATCAGGAAATCAAACATGTCGGTCTTGGCGATCGCTGCCGCAATGTCGCTTCGTTGGAGTGTCCGCCTCTTGTTTTCTTCTGCGTGGATCCTGCAGCGTCATTTGGAAATGTGAAATGTGAAATGGTTTCAGATTAGGGAATCGAGAACATCGCTCGACATGAATGAACTGCAATATGGCACATGCGCCGAGCATTTTAATAGATTCATCTTTTCTTCTTGCCATGCGCGGAGTGTCAACTCCGTAATGAAGATCTCGCATCCCTTGTCAAAGATCATCGGCGCGTCGGCGCTGATCATCTTGGCCTGATCATACCACAGTGGAAGAACAAGGATAAGTAGGTAGGGACTCAAGATGCACCATTTTTCCGGAGCGCGTGTCAGCTGCTGTTTCGTTCTTTCCAACCTTGACATCATCGTCTGTCTTCATGACTTTCTTGATGCGCGCCAGTGGAAGGTGGTGGATTTTGAAGTCTTGGGGTAAGTTTTGGATCTCATGCATCTGTCGCAACCAGAAGGATTGAAGCAGATGCATATGTGCCTGCTGCATGGGTTGATGGTGTGCAAACGCAGGGTCATGGTGGTGCATCAGCGGTGGCGGAGGGTGGTTCATGGAAGGGAGCACTGGGTACATGGGCTGCTGGTGTTGCGGCTGTACGATCTGCTGGCCCTGCTGCTGGCGGTTGGGCTGCTGTTGCTCCGGATAGTAACCAGTCGGTGCTGGATAGGGTGTCCCGGAGGAGTTGGCGCGCTGATGCTGCGGGTTCATGGTTAGTGTCGCGGATGTTATGATTGGAGTAAAGAAGAGGTTCGAAGAGCTGTGAGTGGATACGCCCGTAGACAAATGGTAACTTACAAATGAGACCCACACAGAAAAAAAAAGGTAGCATCAGGTGATAGTCTTCCTTGGACGTTTCAACACTGCTTGTCTCACAAAAGAGGTCATTTAGAAAGTAATAGTCTCCTTTATTCAGTCGATGGCTGGATCGACTCCTGGATTGGAAATGGAGGGGACCATGATAGCAGTTCCAAGTGATTTGAATGAAGAGGGGGGTGATCTGCGTCCTCGCCCTCCAGATCCGCACGATCCCATCCTCCCGTTGCTTTGGGAACAATGCGCAGGTACTCTGGCTTTGTGTTGATGTTCCAATTTGGGATCGAATAGTCGATCGGTGAAGTGTTGGCGGTTTCCATACTTTCCATATCCTGATCTGCTTCCCGTTTGCCTTCATTGAGATGAGGTCCTGGTAACCGCTTAATGAGCTCGCCCTTGAAACAAAGCACTGGCCTGCTCTCCAATTGTCCGTCTTCTCCCTTGTACCATCGTGTGGCGACCTGCAGTCCATGCATAACCTTCTCGGCGGCTCTGTTCCACATCAACTTTCGACACTCTTGTTTCTTAGTGTCGATCACTACCAGCGCCATTGGCCACAGTGACTTTGCGTATGGGAGAAGGGCCTGCTTGGTGAACTCGGATGAGATTGCCAAGATAGCCATGGTCGGCTGCGTTTCATACGAGAGCGAGCCCTGCAGCTCGCGGACAAATTTCGGACCGACCTTGGAGCTCATTTTCTTGCACTGCACGATCACTTTTAGATGCCGTACCATGTCCCCTGGTTCCGCGGAAGCACTCAATGGTAAGAACCATGTTCCACGAAGATCGATGCCCAGGTCGCCGTTTCCTGCAGACCGTTGCGTGTAAATGCCGAGATGCTTCTTGAGAATTTCCTGAGTCTGATATTCGAAAAGCGTTCCTCGATAGATGGTGCTGCTAGTGTTGTGGTCAAGACCTTCAAAGCTCTCGAGGTCGTTATGGGTATGGTTGATGGACTGAGCCTCATGTATTCTTTTGTACAGCACATTCCGATTTACGTATGGCATGCAGGAATGAATATCCTTAGGAAACGGCGCTGGTTTAAGGCCTAGAAAGCCGGGATCATTATCTGTAGCAGCCTGTCCCTGATATGTTAGGGGCTGTAGAGACGGCTCAGAACATTCTTTTGGATGAGGTATCGAGGATGACGTCTCCTGTGCCTGTGCCTGTGCCTGTTCCTTTGCTGTACGCTTATTGGAATTTTTCCGTCGACGTTCCTTGGCTTGAGGTTGCAGTGAACATACATCCCATGCGACCGAAGATTCGGGCTGAAACAGAGGCTGGGGCGGGGTCTGTTTTATGGAAGAGCACGGAGCTTGAGAAGCTTCGATAGAACTGGTGGCGGCGGTAGTTGCGGTGGAGCGAAATCGAAAAGTTGTTTGCACATAACAGCAAGGGAGCCTCCATGACCTCCTACATGCGATGAACGAGGCTGCTCTGAGCGTCGCCTTATTCATTGTCCTGGTGATTGCTAGTTCCTGGATTCACGATTGCTTTGTTGCTGTGCTTGGGTGCCTTGGACGGAAAAGGGCAAGGGAAAAGTGGAGTCGAGGTTCAGGGTATTAGTGGCTTGATGTTTGTGGTGTCCATCTTCTTGCGGGAGCGCTCTTTCAAGAACCCTGTGGTTTTCGCGCGTCAAAGAGCACACCGAAGACCGCTGATACAGATCGTGCAGTAGCACTTCAATGGCCGCTCTTTATTCTCGGTTGCTAGAGCTCCATCGAGCAATTGAACCACGCAGGCTACACTCATTCGTTCGCTCTTTTTTTTTTTTTTTTTTTTTTTTTTTTCCTGGGGACACGGAGTACTTCACCGCGCAGGATATCTTATCCTCTAACCACTATGCCCCGAGTAAGCTCACGACCTCAACACCAATTGTTGCGTAGCCGATGCTTCCTTCTCCAGTCAAGTTCGAGTAGAACGTTTGATTGAAGAAGGACGCGCTAGCCAAGAATAACAAGGGATATGGGAACATGGCCTCATGGCAGTGTTACCACCCAACTGGTTTGTTCAGTCCATTTCTGGCTAAAAATTGATCCAGGGTCAAGGGCGCTCACTCAATTTTCTTCAAGCACATGAAAGCCGAGGTTAGCCTTCAAGTTTGTACGCGCTTTCTCCATTCCAACTCTCTGTTAAACCCATTTGACTTTATAAACCACAGGAGGCAACAAAGGCAATCCGGGACAGCAACAGCAGGGATAGTCGACATAAGACACAACCACGCAGCAGCACGAGCATGACAGGACATCAGCAGCACGAGCATCATCCATTGCTCCGTGTCAACCATCAGGATAGCAACGACCACGATGCAACGCAACTTGCATTCGGAGCTTCGACCGAGGAAGCGTCGTCGTTTGTTGGGCAGAGCCAGCCAGTAGCACAGAGCTATGTTCATAAGAAAAGATATCAGGACCGAAGCACAAACCCGTCGCTGTGGAATACGAAGGAGTTTTACTTCTATTACTTCGTCTTCATCACCTGTGTGCCATACATGTTCAAGACAGGCCACGATGCCAGCTCGGGTGAGCAAGAATGAATATTGAGCCGCATTCTGCATTCAATCGATCAATCGAGCGCAGTTTCTCATCATATCCCTTTAACGTAATAGAGTCGAACCCGAACTATGACAAGTTCAAGGATCTGCTTTCGGATGGCTGGTTCGGATACAAAGTGGTGTGTTTCGAAGCTTTAACAAGCTTTCATGTCTTTTCTTTCTAGCACAGTATGTTGAAGTGCCATATGGACTCAATTTGACCATCTTCCCATTTATCCCGATCGATCGATTGTTCGTTGAATAATAGGATAACAGCGATGAACAGTACGCCAACTTTCGCAACAACTTGCCCGTCCTTGCCGCCGTGATGTGCATTTACGTTCCTCTCAGTCACTTGTACCGCCTCTATTTTGTGCCAGTGACACCGCTGAAGTCGCCTCTCCAGCCATTATATCGCGCCTACTTCTTCCTAGCCTTTTCGGCCGTCTACCTCTATTTCATGTATGGCAACAGTATTCTCAAGATCGGCGCAATTGTCACCACCAATTACGCGATTGCCAAACTAGGCGGATCATCCCGCATGATGCCTGTTCTTACCTGGATCTTCAACCTCGCCATCCTCTTTTTGAATGAGACCCACCAAGGCTACCAGTTCGCCAGTTTGCACGAGTCCTTGGCATGGTTGGTAAGTGTTTCTTCCCATTCCGTTTGCTTGTATATCGTCACCAGTAATGAAACGATTCTGATAAAGGGGTTCTCTATCGTTATAGGACGGCAACACAGGTATGAACAGGCGCTGGGATGTCAACTTCAACTTCACGATGCTTCGACTTGTGTCATTCAACTTGGACTACTACTGGTCTCACAAACAGACCCGCGAGAGCATTACTGTACGTTATAAGTCAAAACAAATGAACAGAGATGGACGCGGCAACGAAACAGGCAAGCAGAGCAGATGTGTAACATGTGCCCTTGACTTTTTTCCCAACTTTATAGAAGGAAGACAGGGATAAGGCACCTACAACAGACAAGGAGCGGGTCAGCACGCCTGCATTTGCCGAGGATTACAATTTTGTCTACTACCTCGCATTTACTCTCTATGCACCGCTCTATGTTGCCGGACCCATCATGACCTTTAACGACTTTATCTCTCAGGTAAACTTCTTCATTTAGCTTCCTTTTTTTTTTTTTTTTTTTTTTTTTTTTTTTTTTTTGAAGGAGCATCTTGTGAATGAACGATGCTGACTCTCTGCTGTCTCCTTCCAACACAATTACATAGCTGCGTTATCCCAAGAGTATCCCAGGGAAGACGCTCGTTATGTGGGTCGGTCGACTCATCTTTTCTCTATTGACCATGGAATTCACTATGCACTACATGCACATGGTCGCCGTCAGCAAGCGTCAGGCATGGGATAACGATCCCGTACTTCAGATCTGCATGATTGGTCTATTCAACCTAATCCTGATCTGGCTCAAGCTGATGATTATTTGGCGGTTCTTCCGCCTTTGGGCACTGCTGGACGGCATCGAGGCTCCTGAGAATATGATCCGATGTGTAACCAACAACTACTCGGCCCTTGGATTCTGGCGTAGCTGGCACAAGAGTTACAACCTGTGGATCCTCCGATACATTTACATTCCACTGGGTGGCTCGCGGTATGCGATCTACAACATCTGGGCCGTCTTTACATTTGTCGCAGTCTGGCACGACATCAACTTGAAGTTGCTGGCATGGGGATGGCTCATTTCGTTCTTCATCTTACCCGAGATTATTGCCAGCAAAGTGTTTTCCAAGAAAAAAGTATGTTGAGTTGTCATAAGAATCTCATGCTTTATCCTTTTGCAAACAAGTAACCACTAATTAATTCTTTCTTCTGATGTTTAGTGGGGAAGCTGGCCATACTACCGCCATCTGTGCGCCGTCGGAGCAGTCGGCAACATTTTGTTGATGATGATTGCAAACTTGGTTGGATTCTGCGTAGGACTGGAGGGCGTTAAGAACATGTTGTACGGTCTCTTCTCGACTGCTCAGGGATGGGTGACCATGTGTTGCTGTTTCTGTGCGATGTTCGTCTGTGCACAGATGCAGTTTGAAGTGCGTGAGGCAGAGAAGAGACGCGGTGTTTTTTTGAATTGCTAACGGTGATATATTTCAAATAAACTGCTCTTTTCTTTGTTGCTCGGCGTTGAACCACAACTGTTGTGGTTGCTTCCCACAAAGCACAGAGCCAAGGATACGCTGTGAAGACGTTAGATTAATATTGGCAGTTGTTAGGCGATGGTGGGGATGAGGGCCTCGAGCTCGTGCAAGTCTGTCAATTGCTCTTGAGACGCTTGACTTCATGGACCCCGTGGTTCCTAGGCCCACGGGGACAACGGATGACGTTGATAGTCTGAAATGCCTGGTGAACCGTGTCCTCAAAAGTGTGTCGGTTGTAACACACGCACGCTTGTGCATGCTGGAGCATTGGGCAGATTGCAGAGATGTGTTGCAGATATTTTCGGCGGATGACAGGGATCGTGTGCTTTTTTGATGTCAATCATCTCGGACGAACGAGCGGGAAAACAAACGCGCGTGCCGCAGATGATGGTGATGATAATGATGACACTGGACCCCATCGTAGGGTTGAATGGGTCTTCAAATATATTACCCTCTCATTCACACTTTCATTCATTCGACGCAAAAAAAAGAGCAGTGTGACCAAGAAGAGGCACGCAGCTGAGATTGGCCATCGGCCCCTTTTTTTTACTCTCTTTTTGTCCGACCCCATGAACAGAAAAAAAAGAGGGAGATCACACACACACACCATCGGAAGACACGCCCGCATACTGCTGCAATTAAGCTTGAACCGCACTGCACCGCGAAGGCGGACGAACCCACGAGCCATTTCCATGGTCTGGAGGAAGACTGACAGTTGGATGGGGCAGGGGAAAGCACATACACCCCCTGCTGAACAGGTTTTTAATTTTCGATCGCCACTTCTTTTTCCCTCTCTTTTCTTCTTGCTTGCTTGGTCATCTTTCCTTATTCCGCCACCCCTTTCCCAGTTCCTTTTCCACGAGACGTCTCCTCCGTCCCTGACTTCCATACCGCCACCACCACCACCACCACCGCCGCCGCCGCTATCCCCGTATCCTCGCTCCACTTCCCTAACTTCCCTCCCTTTGCATGCACAACACAACCCATCTTTATCCTCGCATCTTTCCTCGTCTTCCTCTTCCTCATCCTCTTTCGTATCTCTGATCTATCTATTCCTTAGTCTCTCACCGATATACACATTGTACCTCTATCTTTACATTCCAACGGGATTTATACGCCACTACCTCTCCATTTCATAACCTGACCATCGTTGTCTCCCTCGCTTTTTCTTTCTCTTTCTCTCTCTCGCACACTCTCGCTCATACTTAACGATCAAGACATTCTCATCTCGAGACAACTTTTTTTTTTTTTTTTTTTTTTTTTTTTGGAATTTGCCACCAAAATTATCATCCGCCAAATTCAACTCGAACAACGACTTTACTTTATTTTAGAGGAAACACTCTATCCGAAAGACCAAGACTCTATAGCCGCAACCATCAGAAGCATTATGGGCAAGAGCACGACTATGGACAGTATCGCACTCGAGGGCCAAGGAGCGCCAGTTTCAGTGGCAGTGGACGGCTCTACTCATTTAGGTGTCAAGAGCATACTGCCGTCCAAACTTATACCCATCACCACTAAAACCATTGCCGTCGTAGGCACCATCGACGACGCTGGCTCAACGTCCTCCTCCGCATACTCGCCAGACTCCACCTCGCCCACAACACCACAGGCCACCTCTTCAGCACAGCCCTTATCACCCATCTCGACCAATGGGATCCCTACTTTGTGTGACCACGACGAAGCCTCAGCAGGTACTGTCACGGCTGTGCTCCACAAAAAGGACTCAGGCACGTCCATGAACTCAAGCACCACTTCTGCCTCTGACAATGAGGCAACCGCCGCCGTCGACCCTGTCATAACCGCACAACACAACGGCAAGAGTGCCAGCATAACCCGTAATAAGAGCAATGGCGCTGCCAAAAGCGGCAACCCAGTAAAACCATCAGTTCCAAGGCGGTTATCGCAGCCAGAGGCAGCATCAGCAGGATTCCAGAGCTTTCCAACAATTACACCCACAGGGCGCGTCCTCAGCCGACCCCTCTCGACCTCGAAACTATCGGCAACTCCCATGGTGGCGCCCCATATCCTTCCAAACCAACAGCGGCACGCCGCCGGATTCAATCTCGCGACACTCGGCCAGCTTTCGCCCACGGCCTCCGCTGCTGCGACGGCTACTAGTATGACGATGTCACGAGCCGAAACGCTGGCCTTCTTGAGCTCCAACAGCAATAATTCGTATTTCACAGCAAATGCAGGTTCTTCGCGGTCAAGCCATCACGGGGATATCCATGGTCTCGGGCTCGCCAATCTCCAGCAGCAGCATCACGTCGATGGAGGAATGACACTTCCTTCAGGAGGCACTAGGACTATGTGCGGATCCGATGCTATCTCATTGCTGGATCTAGACGATCCTCACAATGACCTGGTTATGATTGACAGCAATGGAAACAGCAGTGGAAGCGGTGTTACCGGTGTGGCGGTTGTAGGCGAGACCATGGCGTCGGCATCGGCTATTGTCGCGAATGGCCATCATTCAGGGAACCATCACCATGGTGTAGGAGGAACTCTGGCTGCAGGGCTGACTTTGACGGCCTCTGCATCCTCGGCTCTACTCAGAGGTAGTAGAGGAGGTGAGAGTGCAGCAATTTCTGCCAACGGTAGTGGAAATGGCGGCGAATCCCATGCTGGGACGTTCTCTGCGGCGTCCACGAACCTTCCGCAAAGGTCCTCGCTGCCCACGTTGACTTCACAAGCCAAGAAGGATGCGATGCAGCGTGCAGCCATGATTGCAGCGATGCAACAAAACGGCGGTGCCAAGGTGTTGGCAGCTCAGCGGGTCGGCAGGCGACAGGATCGTCCTAGTCGTAATATTCGATTTGGTGAATTCCATCGGATCTGTGAGATCGAGTATGGATTTGACCAGGGTAGGGTAAGGCATCAAATCAAGATATCGAGATTTGAGTCGGCTGTCTGTGCGCAGGATTCATTTCTTATGCCACTAACATCGATTTGACGTTCGTTTGTGTGTGAAAAAATGTAGCCCCTTATTGCAAATGGCAGGGGTCTGATCCACTCAACGCGTGTACTCCGGATAGAAGGTCAAGAGAAGCGCGAGGAAATGGTATAGCGACAAGTCAAAGATTCAAGCGAGCTGCCCTTGATACTCCTGATTGCTGTCCCAAACTCACTGGCCAGCCTCCTCTTGTCGTGTCTTTGATAGCTGTATCTATTCTCAGATGTCCTGGTCACTGGAACAAGGATGCGAAGGCGCGTATCAGAACCGGTTCAGGGGTCAACAAGAAATACAAGTGGCGTGTCAGATAAGCAGATTTGTTCTGCAATAAGCGACTCCATCCAGGGAGAACCCAAAGGCGAAAGCGCCAGTGACGTACCTGTCCCAGGAAAGGAGTATTCGACAGGCAACATCAAGGAACAGGGGCATGTATCTGAGTCAGTCCAGGGAGCTGTACAAGACAATCCTTATGCTGGACATTTGGAGAATCAGCGCATTTCTCGACTGACCCAGGTGCAAGCCGACATTGTCGAGAATGATGGTATGGTCTTTCGATAAACTGGAAAAACATTTGTCAATGCAAATGCCCGGTATACTGAACCGGTATCTCTGTGATTTCATCATTTTCTCTATAGAGCGGCCATTGCTAAAGATTGCTGCACCGCAACTGTCTTTGATTCTACTGTTTGGTTCGACCGCCGCCAGGGACAGCTTTCTCGCGCTTCTGAACGAGACGACTGCCGCACACAAGCATCACCTCCTCTTCCAATCCAAGTATCTTGCAGACCTTAAGAAGTTCAAGCGCCACTCCGCATTTTCCTTTGACACCTCCTTCCTCAAGACATGGGGCATCCCTGGTAGCCTGAATCTGGGATCTATCAAACCGACTGGGGGCAGCCATGGTAATGGCGCCATCGGCCCTAGCGGCACCTTCACAACCTCGCCTTTGACATCGCCAGGTGGAGGTGCCTTCGATCCATACCAGTACCAGCAATACCTGAACCGTCCACAGTCTATGGCTGGAAGTCTATTCAACTTTGCGCTGAATGGCGGATCATTCCCATCGTTCTCGGACCACAGCAAGGAGAGCTCTTATGCTACATTACGAGGCGCTAATGCAGCAAACACACTTCAGTACCATCACCAGCAGCAACAAATGCTACAGCAACAGCTCCAAAACCGGCTTTCGATGTCTTCAACAGGATCAGTGCGGCCAGGAATGGATAGGACGTCGTCGGGCTCGGCTTTTGATGGGCTTTGGTTCATGAAGGGCGGTGATCACAGCAAGACGCGCAAGACTGCGTTGGAAGCCGTTGCTGCTCCGACTGTTGGCGGTGAAGAGAAGGCGAAGGCCGGAGAAGATGATTCTGAGGAGGGATCGGCTTCGTCGTCGGTGCAGTCATCGTCATCTGGAACGAATCTATCTGCAATTGCCACCAAAACCAACAGTAACAGTCATGGCAGTGCTCAGAACACGAATAGATTTTCCTCGTCCTCGACCCTTTCGATTCTACCATCAACTCCGGCCAGCAACTGCGCGATGGGAACGCTGCGAAAGGGAGCCGGCTGGGTCCGAGATGAAGACGCGACAGTGTGTATGGTGTGCTCGACGACAAAATTCGGAGTCTTAGTCCGCAAGCACCATTGTCGACTCTGCGGGCGCGTTATTTGTTGGAAGTGCTGCCAAATGAAGGATGTAGTTATACAGGACCCTTTTTCGTCGACAGAGCTCTCTGATGCTATTCCACAGGAGCTTCGAAAGCCCATCCGTGTATGTCTGGACTGTATCGAACATGATGCCGCTCAAGAGAACCAACAGCAAAATCGACAGCAGTCACCTCCTCAGTTATTCCCGCTCCGGGGGGTGCTTGGCAAACTAATGAGTTCGACAAGCACAAGCTCACATCTGGCGACTTCGGCTACCAACGCCCTTGGGAGCATACTTACGATGCCTCAAGCCCAAACACAGATTCAGTCGCCGCTCTCTCCACGCGTAATGAAACATGGCCGAACGGGCCATCCATACCCACATCATCACCGCGCTTCTCTTTACAGGATCGACGTGGAGCGCGTCGGAGAGGAGGACGAGGAAGAGGAGGAAGAAGAACAGGATATGGCGCTGAAGGACAAGGGCAATGTCGAGGACCGCCATGGACATGATGAAAGTCAGGAGCACGAAAGCCATGATCCCCGTAATAGCAGTGCCATACCCAGCGCAGAGTCCACCTTGGAGGAGCCAACAGATCCCTTGCGTGAGATCATAAGGTCGAACCCAGGTACGATTCGTCTCAAAGACTTGGATCCTGCGGATATCAACGAGGATGAGGTAAATACACAGATCATGACGCTCGAGTCCGAGGTCGAGAGTCTTTTGATCCAGGGCGCAGGGCCCATGATGTTTGTTAACACTGGCACCAAAAGCCGTGGCGGAAAAGGCAGCGGCGGCGTCAGCAGCAGCATGGCGAGCAAGACGCGTGTCCTGCGTGGTATACCCAAGGAGTTGCTCCAGGGTGCTGAAGGGCTGGAAGCCAGAATAGATGGAGGTGATGACGAGAAAACCATGGAGGAGCTGCTGGCGGAGCAGGATGAGCAAGTCCGACGTATCTTGGCGCGTTGATGTGAATGAGGTGCTTCTCGATGAGATGTTTCTATACCCCCATTGAAATGAAATATTCTATATAAATTATTCTGAATATACGAACAAATACACGATTAAGAAATGCTGTGCGATAAGTACTTAAAGATGACAAGTAGCCATTTTGTAAATATGGGGCGATTGCTTGGACTCAATACTACAGCCATGGGCATAGTATCGTACCAAGTAAAATGTAGCTGCTCGATACTGCTAACAAGTCTGGTCATTTCGAAGCTCTCGCTTTTTAGAATGTGTCGTTTATTATTATTAACGGTGTTGCTACTACGACCGCAAAGCTGCTTTCTCCCCCTTCCTCCCATTCTTTCCAAAACAGGAGGGCAAACGACTGTCGTTCCTGTACCGGATGTATTTTTTCCTCTTCCAGAGAAAGACGGGCCGCCGGAATATGTTGTCTCCGACGTTTTACTTTCCCTTGCCCTTCTTGATCAGCCATTGCAGCGTGATATCGATGTTGGTCTGGTTCTTGGCCGAGATGGAATAGCACGAGACCTCGCGGTTAGCAATCTGTTTCAGGTTCCTATGAGTTTTCATACAGATTCTTCTGTGTTAGTTCCTTGTGATGGTCACGAACAACTCGCTTCGTCTCTTTCTGTCCGTGCGGGGCGCGCTTTTTTTTTTTTTTTTTTTTTTTTTTTGCCATACAATGCCTCAATGATCTGTTCGACTGTTAGCGCTCCTGGCAAATCATTCTTGTTCCCCAGGACCAGCACTGGAATGCTTGCCAACTGAGGTTTGTCTAACAAGTTCCGCAATTCTGTCCTTGCTGCATCCAGCTTATCAGGATCTGCCGCGTCAATAACAAATCTATCGTATGGTATATCCAGTTCCAGATGATAAAAAAAAAAAAGAAGAGGTTGAATGGTCAGCTTTTTTTTTTCTTTTTTTTCCACACAAAACCTCAGAGACATAGAGAGAAAACAAAGAGAAGACATCTTACACTATAGCGTTCACGCCTCTGCAATATCTTTCCCACATGCTCCGGAACCTGGGTTGCCCGCCAATGTCCCAGAGCTTCATGGTAACACTGCCCTTCGTGACCTTGCGCATGTTAAAGCCGACTGTTGGGATCATATCCTCCGAAAACTGGCCGGACTATTCGATAACGAGATGAGGCAGAAAAAAAATAATAATCAGATACCGGACTTTTTGTTCGAGGGCTGTCGAGTTCCACCCCTCGGCGACATCGTTTTTCATTCCCTTTTTGCTCGCTCAAGGTGGTAGCGGGAGGACAGGGGACAGGGGACGGGAGGAGGAAGCTTGGAATGACGCCTCTGCAACCACGCCAAAAAAAGAAAGAAATAGAAAGAAATAGGGGGAGGAAGGGAAATGATGTTGTGTTGCGTTGCGTTGTTATGTTCTATGGGGACAAGGGGGGACGAATAGCAAGTGGTGGCAAACATCACGAGTCCGAGTCCTGTTTGTCCGGCACCATCCTTGTCCGCAGACTTTTTTTTTTTTTTTTGCATCTTCCAGGGTAAACGTGGACATTGGTATATGGTTCTGCATCCGCTCCATTTGCTGATACTAAGGATATCGTCGTAGTAACGGTCGACCTCTGTAATGAAAAATGGCTGGGATTATTCCCAGGAAGATTTGGATGTTTCCTTGGAGTTTGATCCTGTCCTGGAAAGCACTTTATCCTGGATGTTTAGACATCGGTTTCAGTCGTTTTCCCTGGTTCTGCATATCTTGATGGTCTTTGCTTCACTTGAGATGATGCCGGTGTAGTTGAGAGAGCATGGGGGTAGAGGAAAAAAAAAATCCTTCAGAGCGTGTGTGGCCGCATACTGTACGTACTGCAATAACGTTCACGAGCGTGGTCTTGCCACTGTTCTGCAACCCAACCAGCGTCAACTCCATCTCGGTCTAAATAAGAAAGAAACATAGCCATAGCAACGTTTCGTTGGCATTGTCAGCTCTCATTCACCAAAAGCCAAAAGCCAAAAGCCAAAAAGTCCTTCCTCATGTTGCTTGAATGAAGCTTTTGTTAACCTTGAAGAAGAGCCCCCGGAGCCAGTCGAGCAGTGCCTGAATAAGGGACGCCATCGCGGGTTTATGTTAAGTTGTGGTTGCTCCTGTTGTGTCTGGTGTCAAGCGGGGCCCTGTTCTTTCCGTAAAGTGGGTAGGTGTTAATGTGTTGATGTTGATGTCGGAGGGAATGGAATGAATGAGAAACGACAAAAGAGGAGAAGAAGCTAAAAAGAAGGAGGAGGGGGGAGACACTGTGTTCAACGTGGCCATTAAGTGTAAAAAGGACGCTGGCGCGTGCTGCAGTCGTATATTGTCCATACCTCACGTCTGATACGCCAAGTGCGCATCCGATCTGGATTGTGCGCTGCGATAATTATGTGGCGAGCTCTGCTGTGCAGCCTCACCAATGTCCCATTTTGATATTGTCGTTAAACATGAACGATGCCAGCATGGATATATGAATACAGAACGGCTACGGCTATTTTATTAAGTTGAATATGAATATAGTTATCAGTATAAGGAAGACGGCCGACATGTGGAGGACGTCTTGTTCACTTGGCCCTGAACAGCTTGCTCGAGTTCTTCGACAGAGTGTTCGGGCGCGAGCTCGCCAACAACTCATCCACCTCGCGTTGCTCCGCCTCAATCAGCGCCTTGTACTGCTCCAGCTCTGCGATCATCTCAGCCTTCTTGGCGTTCAATTGCTCCTCGCGCTGGCGGAGCGCAATCTCCGTCTCCTGCACCTTTTCGATGAACGATTGACGAATCTCTTCCTCTCTACGGTTCATTTCTTCTCTGGTTTGGAACCTAGTGCCCTCAATCCGAGCCTCATACGAGTCATCGCACTCCAGGATCGACGCTGGTCGGCCGTTCGAACGAAGAGCCTTGGCACGATGTTCGTGGTAATGGACTCCATGAGTACTGTCGACGAGATCATGCAGGCATGTTACCAGCAAAAGTTCCCTCAGGTACACAAAATCCGAGTGTTCCGTGTTTTCGACTAAAATATGATAAAGAGTAAGTCAGACTTTGCAGTGCAGTTCATGTTGTCAGGATACTGGAGAAACCAAGGCTGCAGTTTTTTAATAATAAAAAAAACGTACCCTCAACAACACCCCAGCGATAAGATCGGGCGCGCACTCTTCGGCCGCCAATGACCTGAAAGTTGTCGCTTCCAATAACCGAGAACGGAATGTGTTTCTATTAGAATTGCAAACAGAGTCTATTAGCATAAGGAACTGTGTCATCAGTACATGAGCGCGCCTGTTTTGACACCACTTACAAACAGCTCCTCCCCACCATCAACATGATCCCGGTACGACGTAGGGAACGACTTGATCTGGTGTGCCTCCAGATCCGTCAGCAGAATCTTCTTGAAGGCTAGCTTTTCTTCCGCGGTCATGGTGTCCGCCTTTGCGATAATCGGGATGACGTTCACCTTCTGAGACAAGGTCTTTAACGCTTTCACGTCGAGTTCCTTCAGTCTAAAAAACAATAAAGAGTGAGCCCTTGTCTTTGGTAACAAAATACAATCCATTTTCCAAAGAGGTACAGATGGCCTTACCCATGCCCAGTTGGAGCGATAAAGTACAGGATGGCATGAATCCTGGTATCCGGAATCGCCTTTCGAACTCCTGGATGGCGTTCTGCAGCCATGTATTCCTCGAACTGTTGATCGATGTACTGGATGATAGGCGTCAGGCTATGTTTTTTTTTTACAGAAACCAAAAAGGGTGGTTAGAGACAGAGATTAATTGCATTGCTCTCAACATGTCTATGGTCCAAATGAATGTCTTTTTCACCCTAATAAATAGAGCCAAAAAAAAAAGACCTACTTGTGTTCCCTGTTCAATTCATCGCCAAAACCGGGTGTGTCGACGATACAGAGGTTCAAGAGAACTCCATCTTCGACCAGCTCTACGAAATTCCCGCGGAGAATCCCATCAATTAGTTCTTTGCAACAAATGGAAGGTCCTTGTGCCTGTTGTATTGTGAATACATCAATTGAGGGAATGGTATCTCTTACGCACCATAGTACGCTGGCTGAATGCTGACGGTTTGAGTTGAATGGATTTTCTTTGGAAGAATCTCCTCCTTGAGATCCGTGTTAAAGAGCGTGTTCATAAAGGTCGTTTTACCCAATCCACTCTCGCCTACAAGAAAGAAAAAAAAATCCAGCACATTAGCCAAACATCCTGCAAGCGGTGTATGACATACGAGCTTAACTGAGGCGTGCAGTTCAGTTACCGACGACCATGAGGTTCAGCCCAAAGGAAGCCCGCTTGACCTTTGAGAACCGCTGTGCTGGCAATGTCTCGAGGCCGAGTGGTGCAGTGAGCTCCAACGGTCTACCGACAGGGTGTCTCCATGGTCCGGGGTCCTGGAACCGGCCACTATCGCATTGAGATAAATAAGGGGGCGTGAGGATTGAAGGCGTTGATATTGGCGTTTTCTCTGCGCGTGTCAAGTAGCAGGGCGACGGTACTTGTGTTGATGGGCAAATTCCTTTTTCCGAGAACGAGATTGGGAAGAGAGACGGGTCAAGGGTTAATGAATCAGTTTGGTCCTTGAGATGCATGGAATCACGCCTGGAAGCTGTAAATAGAACGAAAATAAGAAAGGACAGGCTGCATACAAGAGGCATCGGGCAATAATTATTAAAAGGCAAGCGAGTACGCGAGAGAAAGAGAGAGAGAGAGAGAGAGAGAGAGAGAGAGAGAGAGAGAGGGAGAGAGAGAGAGAAAGAGAGAGGGGGGCGAGTATGGAATGTATAATGGAGCTCCTGTAGGGGTGTGGGATGGAGGGGAATCCAGGCGAGCGATGGTTGAGACGCGGATGAAGGAGTCCAAGGCGAAGCAGAGACAGAGACGGAGAGTGATGGAGACACAGGGTGGCCCACGCTGCGCGCTACCCGACCATACCATTGGAGTTCGACTCATTTGTTATTTTCCTTTTGGCCAGGGTACTCGAATGCACTCAGCCCTGTTTGTTGGTGGCAAATAGTGACCGGCACCCATCCAGCGGAGTGTTCCATCTATCGCGCGTTTTTCCATCTCCGACATGCAGACGCCTAGACGCCTAGACGCCTAGACGCCCATCGCGTGCCGACGCGAAGTCTCCTCCGGGACAAGCCCCTAGGACACCGAAAGAGAAACACTGCGGCCGATAGCACCCATGCATATTCGGAGACATGGCTGCACTCTGCACGGCCTGAAACCGCCTCACGTATTTTTGTGCACCGGTGGACATGGCGCAAAGGAGCTATCAACGGAGGTGAGGGTCCAGGTGACCCGCCCCAGACACACCACACAGACCACGCAGACCACACGGACTGCCAAGCAACGCACTGAGGGGAGGCTGGTTCCCAGGCACATAGGAGACGGTGGGCTCGGTTAAGCGAATGCCCCAGCCGGATGAGGATCACACAGCCAGGGCTGCATGACGCTGCATTTTCACGGGGCTGTATTATACTGCATCCCAAAATGCCTTGAGTGCGCTTGGCTGCACCACTTTGATCATTTTCGGCCAGCCCTTGGAGGGCCGACCATACTCCACCCACTGACCCCAGTCTTGGCCGTCGTCATCGCCATCATCCCATCACCGCTCGGAGCCATGTCCTCGTCAGTTCCAAACGAAGTGCCGCCTCCTTCCAGTATAAAAGCGCGCATTCTGACACCGTTTTTCTCTCTCTCTCTTTCTTTCTTTCCTTCTCCTTTCTTCTTTTTCCTTTTTCTCTTTTCCCCCTTCCTTTCCTCCTCCTTCCCTTTGAGACCCTCCTACTTCCACTGCCACCAGTAATTCAGCCCATACTGCCCACCTCACTTTGCCACTTCTCTTTTTACCCCAGTTATCCACAATCTATCACCACATTACCTGAGCCCATCAAGCAAGAACCCGCCCTTCGATCAGTCGTCCTCAAGTCAACAAAAATGTCGGAATCCGTTCTCGCCCAGATCCTGGTCACTCTCGCGGACCTCAAGGACAGCCAGCAGCTCCTTTCTGATAAGGTATGCACAACTTGTAAACTTGTACATCCAATGCGCCTGCTGTGCTGAACCTCTGGACCTTTGTTTGCCACTAAGGTTCACAAGAACAGGGACTTGGTGCTAACACTTGCATCGCATGAACTCCTTTTTCTAGGTCGACAAGATGCAGGTTGACGCCGTCCTGTCCAAGGATGCCTTGTTGCACAAGGCCGTTCACTACGATAACAGTACCGGTAAGATACCAGGTGCCGGAGATACCGTTGAGGGTACATTAGAGGGTATGGCCACGGGATCCGGTCTGCTGCCTTCCTATTTTTTCTTTCGTTTTATGAAAGGGCAGATCAGCCCCACTGGAATGAGGTGGATATTGTTTGTTTTCCAGCAACTCGTTGGCATTTTAGAGTGCATTTCATGCATTATTTATTCATTTGGCTGTCGTCCTTAAAGGAACAATGACCATGCCCCATACATTTTCTCTTTTGTACATCCCTCCCCATATCTTACTGCGACCCCTTTCGAGTGAGCAAAGACTGTTATGCACCGCAGACGCTGGGGAGCGGCACGAGCGCAGCACCAAGGGGTCGTCACGCTGACGAGCGGAAAAACAACCGTGGGGCACTTTCCTTTCTGCGCCTGTCCCTATCACACAATACGTTTGACTTCTCCCAGGCCTAGTGGCGTGCGTCTGACATTGAATGTCTCGATATCCATTGTCCCTGACTAACCTTGTGCTTCCTTCCGCAATGCTACGCCTAATCCGCGTTTGCATTGGTCCTCTTCCATTGACATTGGCATTGATGTCGTAGGACACTCGGACTCTGATGGGGACACCGTTGCTTCTCCAACCTTCGAGGCCGAGCCCTCCGCTCCTGGTAGCGTCTACACCGAGAAGCCCGTCTTCACGAGTAAGTTGCGCTAACAGTGGCAGGGTATAACCATGGCCGGTCCTTACATCCAAGTTGCTGACATCTACGATCTTGTATTCTTATTCTTGTAGCGTATGCTGGACAGAAAGGAGTCAAACCCTCCAAGCTGAACTGGGGCGAAGCTGACCCCAAGGTTCGTGGCCCTATTGTGGTCTCTCACCTGGCCAACCAAATCAACATCCGGTAAGTAGAGTCAGCATAGGACACCGCCCCGTACTCCAACTATGCCAATATGGCTAACATCTATAACCATATTCAAATCCTTTAGAAATGCTGTTGGTGCCTATGGCGGGCCCTACTCCATTTACCGCTCTCTTGCTGTTGCCATGGGTGACCTGCCTGCGGATGTACGTGTCTTCAAATTGCAAATTGGTCTTGATACTCCTGCATCCATTATTTTTGGTATTCTAACCTCACGCCATTCTCGTTCATTCTAATCTTCAAGCACAAGCCCAACTATGAAAACACACAACCGCCCATCGTGATCAAACAGCAGCCCCAATGGTCGGACACATCCAAGATTGTGTCTATGGATCCCTTTGGCCATCTTACAAGCGAGTTCTTCAAGGCCGAGATCGAACAGGGTCTTGACATCCGCCCCACGATTTCCATTACCCGTGCTCATATGATCGTTCCAGAGCTGCAGGCCGAACTCCAGAGTGGAGCAATGAAGGTGGATGGCAAAGTCTTTGTGAACGAGCAAGGAGAGCTCAATGTGCACAAAGCTGCTATTGATCCTGTCTGGTACCTTCCTGGAGTTGCAGCTCGTCTCAATGTCGAGGAGAACCACTTGCGTCGGTCTCTTTTGTAAGTCGATAAGATTCAATTAAGCAAGCAGATGATTGCTAGGATAGAAAAAAAAAAGAACCATAGGATTGCCTATCTGCATGTGCTAACATCCTGTATCTCTCTCTGTCTTTCAATGCAGCGAGAACACTGGCGGCATGTATCCCGAATTGGTCACAAGACCAGATCTGAAGGTCTTCTTGCCGCCCATCGGAGGCCTCACTGTCTACATCTTTGGCGATCACGAGTTGCTTTCTGACCCCAACACCCGAGTTACAGTGCGTGTTCATGACGAATGCAACGGCTCCGATGTGTTTGGATCTGATATCTGTACCTGCCGTCCTTACCTCATCTTTGGCATGAAGGAGGCAATCAAGGAGGCCCAAAATGGTGGTGTCGGTTTGATCGTCTACTGTACGTTTGTATCTGTCACGTCAGATGATGCCATGTCTTTAGCGAAAAGCTCCTTGTGCTTGTCCACTGATACCTCCCTGATTTTTGTTTTTTGCTGCACACTATAGTCCGAAAGGAAGGACGTGCCTTGGGTGAGGTGACAAAGTATCTCGTTTACAATGCCCGTAAGAGAGAGGGGGACTCTGCCTCAAAGTACTTCCAGCGAACGCAGGATGTCGCCGGTGTCAAGGTAATGCAACAGACATGTGCCTTGTCGATTGCAGGGTCTCTGAAAGATCCACTTTGTTGACACCCTACCTCTTATTCTACCCTTGCATCATTAGGATATGCGATTCCAGGCATTGATGCCCGATGTCTTCCACTGGCTCGGTGTCACGAAGATTGACCGCTTCATGTCCATGTCAAACATGAAGCACGATGCACTTATTGACGCTGGCATCAAGGTATGATAAGAACGATTTTTTTTTGCTGCCACTACGTGCTTTTTTTTTTTTTTTTTTTTTTTTTAAGCATCCGATACTCAAGTGTTTTATTTCTCTCTTTGTTACATAGATTTTGGAGCGCGTTCCTATCCCGGATGAGCTGCTCCCTCCAGATTCCAAGGTTGAGATGGAGGCTAAGATTGCAGCAGGGTACTTCACCACTGGGGCTATCCCGCGTGACGAGGATCTGTGCCGCACCGTTGGACGTGGCTGGGACGAATTCAGTGCTTGAAAGAATGTCGTTGGAAAAACGAAGAGTTGAGTGATGAATCGGCTAGTGTTGGTAGAGAAGGCATAGATATATAGTTGTACAATACCTGAAGGCAGCTGACGGCATTCATTTGCGCTTGCTGCATTGTTCTCAAGCCTGAAAATACATGTAATAAAATCGACGCCACCAGGGCTTCCAGAGTACCAGTCCAAGCTGGAGTTCATGAACGAGGATTGGCCAGGAAAAAGGGTCAGGTCGTTGCCCAAAAATAGCCTGTTTCTACTATGCTGCGCTGTTGGACGTGGAGAAGTTTAACAGGTGTTTTAAACAAGGAGAACAATAATGCATGGATCGGCACTCTTCCCTTTCTCGATTGGGTTGAAGCGACCTGATTGTGGGCTGCTATGCTAGTCGCTGCAGTTGGCAACATCCATGTGCTGTGTTCGAATGGTGCATTCAGTTTCCCAATTTAGGCGCTGAAAGAGATCTGTTTGGAGGCTGCAGGTCATCCTGACAGCTAAGCAGCCAAACCCAAGTAACTTTGAAAGAAGGAAGGAACAAACAATTGCTAGTCCAGGATCCAGTCTCACGGATCTGTTTTCGCATGTATGTGTATGTTTGCTGCACCGACATGGAAATGCGAAAGAACGCTAAAGTTGGCTGCAAACGCGCCCCATAGCGCACTCGAGAGGGTCTTTGAGCTACCAGACCGTTGTTCAGTCCAGGTCTGCTTGTTATTGACTACATGTCGCTTTGGGTACCTCAGGAGCACCCTTCACCTTGTGTCTTCCCTGTCCAGCATTTGCAACCATTTCATTCGCTTAATGCGACGCCCTTCCATACCAACACCTTTTGCTTATCCCAATCGTGTACGGTATGCGTCGCAACGTGGGCTGCGAGGAAGCAATCGTCTTAAACGTTTTTGAATGACAGGAGCTCCGTACCTCACAACAAGGTATGTATGCACATTTCGAATCATCTAAAGGGAGTTTCTTTTTTACAAGGGCTGAATGGTCAGGGATAATGTTAAATTACGATATCGGTCTGCAAAGAACCCACCAAAGTGCATAGACTGTTGGTGTTTCCCGTCCCTGTTGATCTAGCAGATGCTGTAAAGTCCCGCAATTGTTTATATGACTCCAACAGATGCATGCGCGCTTGGGCTCCATGGGTGCGCAACTCAGACCAAGGGAGGGTGGTTCAAGGATGTAGCGACGGATGCATAGGAGTGCATGCTGCACTAAGTGAGCTTGAGGAAGAAGGAATGCTGACGATTGATGCGTGTTTTGAGGTCGATGCAGTCGTATGGAGCTGTGGTGCCTTGGCATCTTTCCTCTCGTTCTTCCCTCTTTCTTTTACTCCATTCCCGATGGATGCACTACCGATACCGTACTTGCTCGCGCGTGCTGTTGATATCTGTCCCTTTTTCGCGTGTCGCGTTTCTTTGCCGCATATGCAACCGATACGCGAACACGGCGCACCATAGACTATCACTTCATGTGGGTCGGTTCTCAATGGCCTCCAGAGACGGACATCCTCGATGCAGTCGAACCATCGCTCAACTTTTTGTTCATTCAATCTCTGCCGATCAACTCAGCATAGTCGGCCTGACTCATTCCAACCAGTTTAAGGTCTAAACTGGGTTTCGTTGGCGTAGCGGCCCAAACTGCCACGCGAAGTTCCATTCAGAGCACTTCCATTTCAAGATAGTCGGCATTAGGACCCACCCAGAGGGAGCATTGCTTTGGCATAATCTCACTTTCCTCTCCATTGGACAGCTCAGCCTTCCTCCCTTTTCTTCTTCTTCTTCGGTCCCCAAGCGTCGCCTTGGACAAAACAATCGAACCACTCTGTGGACTTTGTTCCCCTTCGTAGACATTTTCGACAATTCCGACATTTTTCTTTTATATTCCTTTCCGAGAATATTCCTTGCACTCCCTTGTCCAAACAAGGACCATCGCACCGCCCCCCTTCATCCACTCATGCGATGATAAAAACCACCATCGGAGCGCTTCTCCCGTGTATTTCAGTAGACGCGTCCTCTCCATCTTGCATCTCTATCAACATTGTCCATATCAGCACATCGCCCAACGCCTTCGCAAGATCATCTCTGACCAATCCCGCCATTGATCACACCTTCGTTTTGTATTGCCTGCTCATCATATCGAACCGACCACCGTCTGTTGTCCCGACACCCCAGAAGCTCCCAGCACGACCGATATTATCATGACGGGTCAGTTTTCATCACCAGGTCAGGGTCAGAGCCACGGCCTTGATCTAGATAGCGATAGCCTTGACACCGACATTGATGGCTCGGCTGCATCCAACATTGGGCCACCACCGGCGATATACATGGCCAATTTGATTTCCAAGAAGCTACTCAGGATAGGCGCAAGTATGTTCGGAAGGCGTGAGGACGCCAGCTGTGTGCTCATTGTAGGCGCAAGGCGTTACTATGTACACGTTCAAATATTGGCTGTAAGTAAAAAAAAAAAAAACTACCTTCAACATGTTTTCTTTCTTTCTTTCTTTATTCCTGACCAATCCCAGCGGTTGCAGACCTTTAAAATCCCCGAAGAAAAGAATTGTTGTTCAAATGGTCCGAATGCCATCAGGAAAAAAAAAAAAAAAAAAAAAAAAAACTAGGCGTGAACAAAAAGATACGGTTTCTTCAAGAAACTAGGCGCGGTCAAGGGGAGCGCCTGTTTGTTTGTCATTTAACGATGCTTTATTTATTTTTTCTTTCTTAAAAAGATATACCGTAGGATCTCTTTTGATCCTTACATTATACATTAAGAGTGGAGAAAGCAACAAGACTGGTTGCATGGGTCACATACAGCCATCTTTGACATGCAAAATATTCCAAAAAAAAAAGTACTTTTTCCTCGCCGAACGCGTATGGTTACACCAACACCCGCTTTATGGATGATTGGTCAAAACAAAGTCAAACAGAAGAGTGCGCGTTATGGAAAAAAAAGACAGCAATGACGCGTGTTTAATAACACGCTGTACATACTTTCCGTCGCCTCTCAATTATAGTCACGGTCTCCTACGTTCCAACGCATCTTTGATGACATGATCACGAACAACGCATGGGGTGTGTCCTCGGACGAGGACTTCTCGAGTGCTTATTGTCGTTCTTCAACGCGTGATGGCCAAGATTGCGACGTTGATGATGCCATGGTATCGAGCGACGAGGGCGATGATTTTGCAGATGATGAGAGCACACAGGAGGTGCACAGTGATGAATTTGACCACGAGGTCGAAGAAGACTATACCCAACGTGAGCCTGATCTCACTGGTACTAGCCAGCAACAGCAGAAGATCAGCATGGCAAGTTTGAGTACAAGTCTACGACACTCATTACGGGTACATGATGAGTATGAGCCTGGACTAGACGAGGCTCTACCTGAGCTGAGAGTAACGTTCGCGGATCCTGAAGGGAGCCGGTTTGACGAGCTGTTGTACTGGGTAAGTCCCTCTCTTTCTTTTCTCTCGTTACGACGTCTTTATAATCGTCGTTTCTCAATGAACTGCATACTGAACCTATCTAGCGATGGATGAAAAAATAACTCGATAGCTTTACACTAGCGACAACGAACGCTGGGTCAAGTGTTTCACGCCCGAGAATTACGGTACCATTCTCGAAAACATTGCACGACTCCGTATCACGACGGATTCTGTCCTGAATCTGTGTCTCTCATACGAAGCGACAACACGTCCAGAGCTTGGACTGAGGGGCATGGCCATGCATATCCTTGGAATGTCTTCAAACATGGCTAGTGATGTGAATGAGTAGCATACGCTTAATATACGGAACCAATAGTTTTGTAGATTCAACGTCAGAAAGGAAGAGCTATGAGAAAAATAGTGATTGAGATAGAGAAGAGCGCGTCTACTCAAAAGAGGGCATCAAATGGCGACATCTTTATCGATGGTATGCCCTGGTCTAGCCTTTCGACAAAGTGGTGTCCTTTCCCGCATGGGTTAAGGCCATAAAAGTCAACAAGATGCCGCGCGTCGAGAACAGGGAAAAAGTGATAATAATCGGTATATGGGTTTATCATAGGACTCTAGTACCAAATCAGCTCGCTAAACCCTGAGCCATCATTGCAGCGTCTTCTCAACCCCGGTTTGGACGACCATTCTCTTCAAATATTCCTTCTTCAACGCTTCATCCTTGACGATCCTTCTAGCCAGGCCAATCCACTCTGAGACACCCAAGTTCTGAAGCCCATAGTCCTCCCGAGTCCTGTACTCGATTACGAACTCTGGCAGAGTTTTTGCTTCATTCGCCAGGGTGAGATTGGTCCAGAATTGTGTGTACGCCAACGGGAATCCGAATGTGCTTACAGGGACGGGCTTGGATGGCTTCTTGGGACCCTTCTTTTTCCTCTCCAATGCATCTGCGATGTCCAAGTCACCGTTCAATAACGCTGAGAAGTACTCCTCCAGCTCCTGGTCGCTCAACTCATCCTCGACACTATCGCCATCCTCTTCATCTCCGACTTTCTCCTCATTTTCGTCCTCTATGATTTCAGAAGGCTGGTCGACAGCAGCGGTAGTCGTGTTTTCTCCAAGCTGGTATTCAAGCACGCGCAAGGTCGGAAAGTAGGTCGGTATAACTGACGGAGATACTTGGACGACAGCGTAATTGTCCAATCTGCCCTTCTTGGGAATACGCTCGTATTGCTTCCAAAGAGACTCGAGGTAGGAGCCCAAACCCATCAGATGGAACGGATCATGTTCCTCCTCGTTCATGGCACTCATGGCCAACCTGTCCTGCTCCTCTAAATCCTGCATCATGGACCGGTCCTTGCCATTCTTGTTTTCGGAGAGCAGGAAGAAATGGTCAATGTTGGCATGTCCGTATAAATGGCCCACGATCACATCCTGGAACTCGATCGCAATCCTTGTATAACTGGCGTGGCATGAAGGAATGTACGACTTCTTCTCTGGTGGGACGTGTCCTGTCAAGTACGCGACCATCTTTCGGCTCCTCAGCTGTTTCAGCTCATCTTCCAGCCATTTCATCTGCTGAGTCCCGGGCTCATCCTTGTCCTTGCATCCGTCCACGGCCGCGTTATGGATATAGAAATATAATGTGTTCAGACCAAAGACTGTGATCTTTCCGGGCACGACTTCTGAAGAGTAGTAACCTCCCTTGCGGAATGTCTCGATCTGTTCCGCGGGGATGAACTCTGACCAGATATCTGAGTAATGTTGAAGAATCGCGCTTGGACCTGGGTACATGATATTATGCGGGTAGACATCGTTGTTGCCGATCGAAGGGACAATGGGGAGTCTCTTGCCGCTGGAATCGAGGGGGAAGGCCTGAAGGATGCGCTTCGCCATCGCTTCATTCATCTCATTGATTTGGGCCTGTGTGCGCGGGTGGGTATTGTCCGAGTCATGTCTGTATTTCAGCACAATTGAGCAAGCGCAGGGTATACAACTCGATTAAGAGAAGGAAAAATACAAAAATATATGTATATCATGCCATGCCATGTTCATCCAAACATATCACACGACAGTACCTGGCATTATCTCCAGTCCAGACAACGAAATCAATTGAGCTGGCGAGATTTTTGTCGATCCAGTTGAAGGTCGCATCTGCGAGGGCCAGGGGGCTATCACAGATCGTGTTGGGTGCGCCGTAGTATCCCGCCGGGATGAATGAGCTCACGCCATCATCGGTCATAAGTCCCGGTCGAATGGTTCTCATATCCTCGATTGTTCGCGCCCTTGCTGGAGGTACTCTATCATCCCCTTCGATTTTCTTGTTCAGATTGAATCGGCCCTTTCTGAGGGAAGTGTTGCCTTCATTGCTGAAGATGGCGTGACAAGATGTCGGGACGGCTGCACCCTCGAGATAGAGCTCGTCCGGATGGATGTCTGTGATATGAAGGAATCGACCATGGAGTCCGGAGGAAGGCTCTGCAGAGGCGGTGGTCGAAACAAGACAGCAGGCCAGAGCAGAGCATACGAGGAGGACTAACGGCTTCCTCAGCGGTCGGGAACGAGAGGCGAGGAAATACAATGGTCCGTCTTGATTTGGCATGCTGTATCGGACGTATCTCTTTTTGCTTTCTTGAAGTCGGTATCGAGTGAGGGCGCGCTTTTCGGATCAGAGAATGAATGAGTGATGAGTGGAAAGAAGAATGAGAGAGGCAGAAAAAAGGAAGGTGTGCGCTGTTGGCGTGCAATATCTATTCTGGGCAGTGCCAGGCCCTGTGGACAGGCTGATGAAGACCAAGAACTTTTTTTTTTTTTTTTTTTTTTTCCATCCTGCTGGCTGTAAAAATACGACCAATTGCATCTGGTCCCTGTATATCTATTCCCCAGCCCAGGCCGGTCCAGTCCAGTCCAGCGCCGGAATGGCGTAGAAGACGAACAGCAGGTCCAAACGCGCGGAAAAAAAGAAAAGAAAAAGCGGGCTGATGCCTGTTCCTGAAGTTGAACGACTGAGACGAATACGCTCATGTCCCTCTTTCCCGCTGGCCAATTGTGTCGTGTGCCAAAAAAAAAAAAAAAAAGTTGGAGCAAACATGTGTTGTGTCGGGACACGAAAGGGACTCCCTGGACATCACCCATCGCCAGCACCAGCCAGCGCCGCATTCATCCTATTCCATTCGACTCCATCGACTCCATCGACTCCAATCAAACGATCCAAAAAACACACCCGGTACGCCGAACACTAGTGTCTTCATCGCGCAGACATAAAAAACCAACGTGCTGCAGGCTGAATTACTCACTTCACCTTATTTTTCCCAAACTATGTCTGCAGACGCGACTCACCTCCTCCAAAAGAACCTCGAACTCGTCAAGACCACTGACCCTGAGGTGACTCGGCGAGTATGGCTCAATAACAAATCCCATTTCGCATGCAATCTTTCTGATGAGGTCTGGCTTGCAAAGGCCGCGCTTCGAACAGGCCTTGATCTTGGTCCAGGAGTCGAACACAAGATCTGGGTCCTTGTCCCCAGAGGCAGAGGCAACGACCCTTCCGCCATCTTATCTGCTGTTCACACGTACGAGCGGGCCGGCCTCATGACTGTGGCAACCAAGGTCAGCGATCACACGAACTCGGCCCAAGAAGACAGCACCGGAACAGGCAATTCAAGGGTTGCGCTGAAGAACATTGTGATTGTCTATGTACTCCTGGTATTCACGCCTGTTGAACACAGGAAGCGGGGTTACGCCAGGACGATGCTCAAGATGCTGAAGGAGCAGCTTGAGCAGCAGACAGACCCTGCTGTCGAGCTCTCCTTTCTGTTCTCCAGCGTTGGACGCGATTTCTATGAACCAGCAGGCTGGCCAGCAGTCAGATCGCGAGAGCTGGTCTTGAACGTCCAGGACCACGTCTTTCCTGAGCTCAGCATGGATACCGCCACTAACAGCTGGCAATTGGAAGATATCACTGAGGCCAATCTGCAGGTTGTCATGGATCGGGATATCGAACTACTTCGGGCCGAGATGCAGGATCGTACTCTTAAAGCCCACGGGAACTGCCAACTTGCAGCCATTGTCCCTGAAGCAAGGATATTCCGAGGCCAACTCGCAGTGACACACTTCACCCACCAGAGAGTACTCAACATTGAAAAGCCAATCATCAGGACAGGCGTGCGACTCAATGCGGCAAATGGAGGAGACGCGTTTATCATTTGGGCGTATCACATCTCATACAAAATACTGCTCGTCCTCCGAACGCGATACGAAACAGTGGGCCAGTTGCAATGTCTTCTCAAGGAGGCCGTGCAAGAAGCGCGCGAGTGGGGATTGGCCAGAGTTGCGGTTTGGGATCTGAAGGACGAGGACGCTCACGAGGCTGCAGGGGTATCTAACAGAGACAGAACCGTGGCATGGTCCTGTATAGGCCAGCTCGGTCGCGATACCGATACTGGAGCGAGGCGTGGACCGGTTGATCTGATGCTCAACGAGGGCTACATCTGGGGCCTGTGAGAGATCTAAATATCTGAATAAAGTGCTTGGTTCAAGGAAACCTGTCACATGAAAACTTTATTTGAGCTGTCATGAGGATGAATGTCCTCTTCCATTGTCCATTTCGTCCCGTCCACCCTTCACTTCACACCGCTTCTTTCGTCTCTTGACAAACACACAGAGTCGACTGCCACAACCATCTGCTTCACTAGACCATCAGCTCCAGCTTGTTTCCTTGCTCGACCTCACGACTGACCTGTCCTCACCATGGAATCGTTCATCAGAGACTACGACAAGATTCTGAAGAAGCAGCGGGCTCTAGAGTCAAACGATCCGCTGGATAGGTTGATTGCCGTCGTAAACGAAGCCAAAGAGAGGATTCGGACAGGTACAGCACTTGCTTCGATTGCCACACTCTTGGATACCTGATATGTTGGCCAAAAACTGCCTTCGAGTTACTCACATCATCCTCACTATATTGTCATTGTCATATAGACTCATCATCGGTTACGACTTCGCTGGCGACCCTCGGAAAGTCGTTCAAGACCGTCGCCAATACTGTATCCGACGAACAGAAGGAACTTCAAAGCGCGCTCTCGAAATTCTCTAAAGCGATCGACAAGGTATGGACAACTGTGGCTAAACCAACCACCCCTAGTTTCTGGATTTTCGCATACTAAAAACCTTTATCAAATCGGTGTCTTTTAGAAATTCACGGCGGATACGACGGCTGCCATTAACCCGCATGCGTTCGACAACAAGGAGAAGGTTCTGCAGAAGACTATTGCGCTGCATTACATCAGACAGGGGAATTTCGAAGTCGGGGACATGTTTGCAAAGGCAAGTCAGTACTCAAATATCAAGTCGTGATCATTGTTCAATGCACCCCGAGCAATATAGAATGCGGTATCTAACATTATTGCCTGTTTCTTTATTTGCAAAACAATAGGAAGCAGGACTGACAATACCGGACTCGATGCGCCATCAGTTCATGGAGATGTTTGAAATCGTGGCGGCGTTGAAGGATAATAACCTGGAACCTGCTCTACAGTATGCACCAGAATCAATCCACACTGCTTGCTGATGATATGACCCGCTTCGAAAGTATGCTCATCTTGGACGACATATCCCTATTCCACTGAACAAATCTTAGATGGGCTTTGAGGCACAGGACTGAACTGGAAAAGCGATCCAGCACGTTGGAGTTCAAGCTGCATCGCCAGAGATATTTGCAACTGCTCATGACTGGACAGAAACAAGAAGCCGTTGCTTACGCACAAAAGAACTTTGGGTACTTTGGCACGCGCCATATTCAAGGTCAGGAGCCTGGAGCACTTAATATACGCGGTACCAACCCAGTCCATTGTGGTACGCTTCCGCTAAATTCCTAATGATCAACTCCTTTTTATTTGTTACAGAAATTCTACGCCTTATGTGCAGTATTATATTCATGGATCGCATCAAGACATCGCCCTATGCAGACCTCGTGGCATCCAACTCTAGCGACGATATCCAGCACATGTTCACACGCGACTTTTGCAGCCTGCTTGGCCTTGCCTGCGATAGTCCACTATATGTCAGGTATGATTATGCTCTACTCTAAGCTTCCTGATGTCTGGATTTACTTATTCTGTTATTCATTGGCTTGCTTTTTTTTTTTTTTTTTTTGGCAAATCATAGTTTGACGGTGGGAACGCAGGCGATGCCGACCATAATCAAGATGGCGAGCATCATGAAGGCAAAGAAGACGGAGTGGAGCCAACAGAGCGAGCTACCGGTATGTCCATACTTTTTAAGCATATGCATCTTTGCAACGAAGTAGTTTCGGATGCTGACTGCATCCTGTTTTGTTTGCACCTTCTAGGTTGAGATCAACCTTACAGATGATACAAAATTCCATTCCGTCTTTGCGTGTCCTGTCTCTAAAGAGCAGGCGTCGGAGGAGAATCCACCCATGATGATGATGTGTGGGCACGTTATCTGCAAGGAGAGTTTGCAAAAACTATGCCGTGGAGCAAGCAAGTACGTCTTCTTTGCCTTTGTCATTGTCTTTGACTTTGACTTTAAGGTGAGCGCCTCAGTACGCTGACATTATGTTATTATCTCTTATCATTTGTCTTTTAGCCATCGGTTCAAATGCCCGTACTGCCCAACAGAGTCGTTGGCATCTCAGGCCAAGAATGTATATTTTTGAACAATATCGTCGAGGTACTCGTTCGTATAGTTCCTCGCGCTTCACTTGGTCTCTGCGACGACTTTGCGCGAAATTGAGACGATAGGGGAATCCTTGTAAATAAAGTTTCTATATTGCTGAAGGAGATGCCCGGTCGATCTTAGACCATGCAAAATTAGTGGCAACCGGGTTTGTATATAAAAAAAGCCACCAAAGGCATGTTTACGATTTCTTTCTTTTTTTTTTTTTTTGAAGCTGCCTCCCCACTTTCATTGCATCAGCTCTCAACGACCATCTCAACAACTCACCACCATGGACGTAGCGGATGAGCCCTATGATTTTATGACCTGGCACAGCAATGCTCCAGTGGTCAAAGACGAAAAGAAAGAGAAGGTATATCAGCTTAGCTTGCTATATCAGAGCCATTTGAATTTATCATGGGGTTTTCTTTTTTTCTTCTTTGAGCATCACTATCCTAACATAGCAATGATGCGATTCACAAATATAGAAAATGCTGAAGAAGCAGGAAAAGGAAGAAAAAGCAAAGGTGGAAAAGGCGGCGAAGAAGGAAAAGAAATCAACTAAGGATACCAAGAAGAGGAAACGGGCGCCATCGGATGACGAGAGCAGTGACAGGGATGCGGACGAGGACGCGGATGAGGTTCCAACGAAGAAGACCAAGTCCACCAAATCGAAGAAGGCAAAACCAGTAGAACTAAATTCAGATTCATCATCATCAGACTCTTCATCAGACGAGTCCGACGACCCCGATACACAACCACCACCAAAGTCCAAGAGAAAGAAGAATAAGAAGAAAAAATCCAAAAAGAAGGCTGGCGAGGGCGAGGACGACGAAGCAGAGGCGCCCGAGAATGAAGATGAGGATGAGGATGAAGGTAGCGACTCTGAGAAGAAGAACAAGAAGGACAAGAAGAAAAAGGAGAAGAAGGAAGGGCCTGGACGCAAGGGTGAGTTTGGAATCTGGATCGGTAACCTCTCCTTCCTGACGACCGAAAAGGCTATGCGACACTTTTTCAGAAACGTCGGCGCCGAGATCACACGCTTGAACATGCCCACAGGATCAGGATACAACAAGAAGGGCAACAAGGGGTTCGCATACGTTGATTTCGCCTCAGCCGAGGCACAGGCCAACGCTATCAAGTTGTCAGAGTCAGAACTGGATGGGCGCAAAGTACTGATCAAGTCAAGCAAGTCTTTTGAGGGCCGTCCCGCGCTGTCGAAGGCCGCCGTTCAAGAAAAGTCCATGAAGCAGAAGCATGCGGTCTCACCTACGCTCTTCATCGGCAACCTGTCGTTCCAGACCACGAGGGAGTCCTTGCATAAGCTGTTTGAGGATTGTGGAGAGATTCGTAAAGTGCGCCTGGCGACCTTTGAGGATTCTGGTAAATGCAAAGGGTAAGGGACACAGCTAACTGGATTGTTTAGAGGCAAGCAACTAAATTGTTAGAAAGATGTATATGAGGCATGCTCCTGACAAGTTTTTTTTATTTTTTTGTTGTTCGTTCCTTCATAGATTCGCCTATATCGATTACATGAATCCGGAATCAGCGACAACAGCACTGACGAACCCAGCCAAGCACTTTTTGGACGGACGCAAGCTCAACATCGAATATGCTTCTGCGGAGGCCACGTTGAAGGGCAATCCCAGGGAGTACAGGAAACACAAGCGCGATGCAGAGGAAGCAGATGCGGCAAAGTCCCGTGGCGAGATCCCAGCCTCACACAAGGATGGCCTCACTACGGGTGGAGATGGCGCCGGCGATGATACTACGGCAGCGACATCAGCGGAAGAAGAGAGGAGGAAGTTCAATGCGGAGCAAAAGGCTAAGCGACAGAGACGTCAGCCTGGAGATGCACCCACCAAGAAGTTGCAGGGTCATCAGCGTCCTGGGTTTGCGCTCGCCAACGCTCAAAGACAGACCCAGAGTATTGTGGAGTTTAAGGGAAACAAGGTTACTTTCTGAGCGCAACATATTTCCTTGTTTTGTCATTGGTACATCCACATTCGCATCCACATAACTGCATAGATATCCCTTTGGTAATAAAGAAATGTATTTACACAATATAAAGCTATTTTTGTGAAATGCTATTATTGTATTATGAATGTTGTATTGTTGTAATGATGTCTGGGTATAATACAGAATGAGATTCTATCTACATGATCAGATTGAGCTGGAGTGTCATTACTCCATGACAGTGGGTCCTTGCGATGATCTCAGCTTGTTGTGCTGGATAAACAAACTGCACAGCCATGCAAGACCCATAAAGGGAACACAGGCGATAAAGCCAGAACGGAGAGCCATCATGTACGCGTGCAAGATCTGTGCTTCCATCTCGGGTCCAAACGTCGGGGCAAGGTACGAGTCCGAGATCACTCTGCCTACTTCTGGGTTCATGACGATCAACGGCGCCAAGTTGTTTTTGATAGCGTTGTTGAATACCGTGCCAGTGATAGCTACTCCCAGCACAGAACCGACCGTGCGGAAAAAGGTCGCATTCGCGGTCGCGACGGCAATATCCCTGGAAGGGACCGCGGACTGGATAGCGAGCATCACAGGCTGCATGGAGAAACCGATACCGAGGCCGTTGATGAACAGGAAGCCTATCACCATTCCACGTGAAGAGTCCTCGCGAAGGAGCGTCAACAGTCCAGTGCCTGTAGTCGCGAGCGCAAGACCGACCCAGATAAAGGGACGGTATTGACCCCATCTAGTGACCATCAAACCGGAACTGATGGTTGCGACCAAAAGACCGACGATCAAGGGCAGCATCTCAAGTCCAGCGGTCGTGGCAGATTCTTGGCGGACGATCTGGAAGAACAAGGGCATGAAGAACATGATGCCAAAGAAGCCCATGCCCAGGAACAGGCTGGTCAAGAAGACGGCGACGTTGGTGCGGGATTTGAACAGGCGGAACGGTATGATCGGCTCCGCAGCCTGCTTCCACTCGATCAAGCAGAAGATCAGCATAACGACGGCACCCGCACAGAAGAGTCCGATAACGATGGGCGAGTTCCACTTATAGGTGCTTCCACCCCAGTTCAATGGCAAGAGAATAAGCACCAGCCCGCAGACCAGAGCGAGGGCACCCAAAAAGTCGACACGTTTGATCTTGTCCTTGAAGGAGCCCTTGGTACGGGGTAAGTGAAGCAGCTTAACGACGGCGACAAGGGTGATGGCGCCGATAGGGAGGTTGATGAAAAATGCCCAGCGCCAAGATGCCTTGTCGGTGAAAACGCCGCCCAGCAGGGGTCCGATCACGGAAGAGACACCGAAAACGGCGCCGATCATGCCCTGGTACTTGCCACGGTCTCTGAGAGAAACTAGATCGGTGATAATGATCATAACCATGGACATGATGCCACCGGCACCGATACCGGCGATACCGCGGGCGATGATGATCCAAGACATGCTCTGGGCGGCACCGCAGAGCGCGGATCCGATCAAGAAGACAGTGATGGCGAAGAGGAAGGTTGATTTTCTACCAAAGATATCGCTGAAGCGACCGTACCTATTGTGGGGGGAAGTGACATGGAGACGAAGATAAATGGTTGTTAGAATAACTGGATGTGCATCGGGATAAAAATGAATGGAGCATAAAATGATGTACAACTTACAAAGGCTGGAAGGAGGTCGAGGTCAAGAGGTAAGCGGTTCCGACCCATGGGATCTCGCTCAAGGAATGGAACTCGTTTGCAATGTTGGTTGTGCAGACCGATACGATGGTCTGATCCAGGGACGACAAGAAGACTCCGAGCATCAGGCCGATAAAGACGATGATGAGTTCCTTGAAGGGCAAGGTGACGACACCCTCATCAGATGGATGGGGTGGACCGGGATCGAGGTTACCATGTGCTGAGGATGCGTCAGAGATGGAGGAGGATATACTGGCGGCAACCTTTTCAGAGTGCTCATTTGGAACGGCTATAGTGGCAGTTTCGGACGAGTAGACCGAGGGTGCTTGCTCGTGAGCGCCCATTGTAAAGACTGGTGATTGGATAAAGAGATGGGGGGAGGAGGCTGGTGTGGAGGGATAAGGAAAAGCGGATTAAGGGACAGATGCTTATTATTTGGTTTCTGTGTGCTGAAGCAATGTCGATGATGATGATAGTGGTGGTGATGATGATGAACAAGGGGGATCTGGGGCTGTTTATATACCTGAGGATGGAAGCACCATTTCTCCGTCAAGGGACGGATGTGTGCACAGACGAGTTCCTAATATGGCGATAATAGCATTTCCCTCTCTCCCTCCAAGGAAACTAATTTTAACATCGGGAATGTATATCCGCAATAGAGTTTACAGGGCTGTCCAATGGACAGGACCTGCACCTGAGTCCTGTTTGTCCTGAGCGTCCATATTGTGGGTCGCATCTGTTGCCTGGGATACGATGGCGACCTTGTTTCTTGTTGTATCTTGCTGCTGCCGGCTCCATTCATATCGAGGGTTGCCTGTATTCGTCGAGTTAGTTAAGACCCCTAGAGCCAAGAAGTGCAGGATGTTGGATACTATGGCTGATCCTGCTGGGTAGTAGAAAATAAAAAAATTATTGTAATTATAAATATTGTAATATAAGGTCAAATCAACGGCCCACGGTTCTGCCGCGGCAAAGATATTCCCGTACACGGTCACGATATTATTTCTGGTTGGTTCAGAAGCCGAAATTCCGGACTGAGCTGTGCGTTGTCATCGTTAGAATGCTCTAGAGCAAAAAGGCTTTGTCTGCCCAGATTGAACCCCCCCCCCCCCCCGCCCCCGCGCCCTCGCCTCATGTTACTCCATGGAGGATGGATCACATGCATCATGTCATCCCGACGTCCTTGAACAATTAGCCTAGGATCTTTATTTGTTTCTAATGGTTATTTTGGTGTTCGCGACATTTTGCGCTGCCGCTGCTTCTTTGATGGTCCAGTAAAAGTCTCAGCCCTGATATCAGACGTGATGGGGCTGCCGTGTCGTGAGGATGGCGCTCAGTCCCCGACCGTCCCTCAACGCCTGCACTGCTGCTTGGAACTCATGTCGGATGATGTTCATCATGTCCTGCTTGGCTCCCGCCGCGTTAAAGTCGAGGACGAACGGATCCTCAACCACAAATGCATGTCTCGACCAGCTCGATGGTGCCTCGTCTCTGGGAATGACACCTCCGCATCGGATGCTCACGCACATCTTCGTGTACTCGAACTTGCTGCCGTAGTATTCCAGGAATCCAATAAACAGTTCTCCCAGTGTCATGCTATTCCGCGGGATACAGGGTCGAATCCTAGAAGGATCCGTAAAGGCAACATTGACCAGTCGTGTTGACCCATACGGTCCTGGGTTGGGCACATTATGGGGGATGAGATGTGGATCTTGTAGAGTCGGCAGGACAGGAATAAGCAGTGTCTGGAAGTACGAAATGGCCATCAGGATGTAGCAGTAGCTACTCAAAGATCCCAGTTCAGGTGCATTGATGCCTCGAGCCTTAACGAAAGCCTTGAGAACCATGAGAAATGTGTGGACACGGTCATCGATGCGGACATAGGACTGGATCATTCGCGTGTTGTAAAGGCCGGTGTATTGACCGTAATTGAGGTCGACCTTGATGCCAGTCTTATGATCCGTGAACTTGAGGATGGGGACCCGCGCTCCCTGAATGACCTCCACATCCTTCATGCTGTCTATTGTACATATTGTCGACCAATCCAGTGGTTGGGTGCATTATCAGTTGCTGGATTGTACAGTACATACACATGTTTTTGCTCCCAATTATGTATAGGATAATAGAGGTGCATAAGGTTGTGAATGCAGTTGGACCATGCATATTTCATACACCATTCCTCGTCCATAATGCAAAACACAGGGCTTAAAGGCCTGCCAAACTCAACCGCCGGTGGGAAAAGTGTGAACTCAGGCAATTAGACCCAGGGCAGGACGTGAAAGGAAGGAGGTTTCTGGTATAACTTACAGCGCTGGAACAACGTTTTGAGGACAAACAGGTCCTGGAACCTCCCTGGCGCCCCCAGTTCTTGGTCCTGATCATGCAATGCGGGCAGAATAACCAAATCTAGATCGCTAGCATCCGCCGCGAGTCCTGATGCAAATGAGCTGAGGCGGAATGTAATTCATCAGCATCGGGGAGGTACCGGTTGTTTCGGTCACAGGAGAAGTGATCAGCGTTGTGTGAAATGATAGTCAGTCCCCTTACTCGGCTTTCTTGCTCGCTTACAATGTTCCCATTCAAATCGACATTCATTCCCCATGAGGATTCCGACATCCATCACTCACCCGAAGCACTCAATCTTGGCCTCTTTTGGCCACTCTGTATTCAGGATACCCTGCACGCGAGTTACGAGAAGCTCTCTGAGCTGAATGCCTTCCTCAGAGATGGCTATCGCCTAAATTAGAAAAAAGAAAAAGAGTATCAGCGCGATATGGCCAACAGAGCTGAGAGCATGCTGACAGCGCGCCCCATTCCGATGCAGGAGTTCATCCTTACTTTGGCCATTGCTATCATGTCCTCGGTGAGCTGCAGTGTGTGGGGATTGAGGGTGCCATTAGGGATCGCGGCAGCAATTGTTGTAATCATATTGGGTCGGGTGAGGATGGTATGTTGCAGTAACTGTGTTTGCTCCAGATGGTTGCCGTGTGGAATGGCCGTGGTAAACGGGGCGACAGGGATCGACAGGCGGCAGAGTTTAAAGAGGCAGAGAGAGGGGGGGGGGGGAGGGGGGGGAAAGGAGAGGAAGAAAAGGGTACGGCTTGTCGGGCCAATGGGTTCAGGGGTGGTGGCCATTGCTGTAAGTGTTCTCGTCAGTTCATATGTACTCCAATATCGCCCTACCATAACTATATTACAAAAATAGTCTACAGCACTCGCTTCAAATCTCATGGGCTGGCCATTGACCATCGGCCACTGACTATCGGCTAAGAATGCCTGTCCATTCAGTAATCACTGTGCCCTGTTTTATGATGGTCCGTCTTTTATTTGTTTACGCCGGTGAGCTGGCTTCATTTCAGGATTGCCCTATTTATTGCGTGGCATAGACTGTTGTGCAGCAGCCCTCTTGTACTCTTGTGTCAACATTTGACTTTGCATGATGGAAACACAAGAAGAAGCGAAGAAAAGAAGGGGCACTATTTGACAAAAGGCGCGGTTCGGGGGTCAGCAGTAAGGGGCAGTCAGGGTGAACAAGGGGCTGCGCGGACGAAGGAAGGGACAAAAACAACTTACTGCTGCTGGCTTAGTGAGGCATTCCCTCTCCCGCACGCATCGCTCCTCTGCGCCCTGCTCATTACTCCCAGGGCGGAACTAAGATCGATGGATAGCAAGATTTGACACAAGGGTTGAAGAGCTTACACTTGTCCCTCGGAGAGAGAACAAGGCCGCCCCTTGGTTACCCTTGCATGCATAGACTACCCGGTGCGTTATGACAAGCACACCAGGATCTTTTTTTAGGGGTTTTTCTGGGGCGAATTATCGTAAACCTACTTACTTCCAGCTGTCTGATTGGTAGAAACGCGACGCGTTCATTAGGCATACCTTGGAATGTTCTGACCGATAAAAAAAATTATTCTGCCACATACTGCCCGTATGCGATCTTGGGGTCCTTCGGTATCTTCATCGGTGGCTGTGCTGTGCTTGGATATCTCTTCCCCTGGATAATAAGATAACAGCCGGCATGGCTCCATCATCCATGAGGAAAGAGTACACTCACTTCACATACACATTCTTTTCTAGTCCTCGACTTCATCAGGCCTTTCCGTCCATCGAGATCTTGCGCTACTCTCTTCAGCTATTTCGGACGCAATGGACTGCATGTTTTTGCTGGCCTTGCTTTGCTTACTCCAACTGCACTCTTCAGAGCATAATAATTGGTCCCTCAGGTATTCTCTGTTCTGCACTGTCTGCCCAAACTTCTCCTCTACCTCTCTCCTCCCGCCTCGTCTTCACCCCCTGAGATTTATAACAAAACATCTCGCATATAGTTCTTCGCTGGTAAAGGACAACCATTCAACTTGGCAACCACTTTCTAGATTCCCGTCATGGATCTTATTTAAGAAGAGGCAAGCCGAGGAAGAAGCCATATAGGAGCAGCACAGATGCAAAGTCAATACACGTGAAATATATAATGAGCGCGAATCTGCGAGGGGGGGAGGGGATAAATTCTCCTTTGCGATAATCCAAATCTGTGGACAGTTACCCCTTGAAATCCGTGGTTCAAATACCTCAGCACAATTCTGTTCCCGCCCGGCTGCTTTTGGTTTATTGTGTGGAAATAATCCAAGGCACGGCCGGAGTGTGAGGGATGCGTACATATCCCCCTGCCTTTGAGACGATAAGCTTTGACAATCTGTTTTCGCTCCACTTCCTCGACTTTCTTCCTTTCCATTCTTTTACCCAGCCTGCAATGTAATTGTCACTAAGACAACTCCTCTTTATTAATACGCTTATTCTACGTTCAATTCCTCTCCATTAATTCGTTTATCACACATCACATATCCAATTCTCCTCAACGAAAAAGGCAAAAAAGCGCGTTTCCTGCTTGTGCCTGTTGGTTTCCAGTATATCCAGGAGACCCTCGCCGTTATCTTCCTGTCCTCATCACTCCTATTCTGATCTCTTTGTTCTCCATCTTGGACACCTTGTCAATTTCTAATTACTCGTTTGATGGTTGATACACTCGCTCTACAGTCCATAGAGTCTTCTCCACCACTCCAACAACTGCTGTGCCGCTCAGATAAACCAGAAATTCAGCCTTTGTGTAGCAAACCATTGACGCGTGCAGTCTCAGATTCCTTGTGCCTTCATGTGCAATCTGGAGTGCCAAGCAGCTCAGAGTGTGGATCCGTTTCATTCAGTAGCGCATTCCCGCATTCCTCCCTCATCTTATCCAATTCTCCTTCTACCACCAACGGAAGCAATAGCAACAACAGCCGCATACAATTAGGTCAACAACACCTTCGCCTCCATCTTCCACACGTTATGACGCCCTTGGACCGTCAGGGCTGTCAAGCGGATCAAGGATTTGCCCAAGACACTCTTCAGACGCTCTCAGCCTTAATGAACAGCCAATTGGACTCTAGTACAACAGGGCACCCACATACACGCAGCTCCAATACCTCAGCTCAGTTCTCCTTCTCAGCCTTTTCTTCCACTTCCTCCACTCCAAATTCGGGATCCACAACCCCTGAGGTACCAACAGCATCCCACAGTATTGCAGTCATTACGCCCTTGTCAATGGCCAGAACAACACCCATCGGAAGAGGGGGAAGAGATCAGGATAACGGAGGTAATGGAATTGAAATGAATATAGCCGAATCGCCTATCCGCCTTATCCTGAGCAATTATCCTTCATTCCATGCATGTTTTCCCCGCTGGCTGGGTGATACTAACTGAAGGCTGTCGATATATCGCAAGGCGTCTATCCTTGCTTTGCAAATCAGGGTCTCCTGAATGACATGGAGTCCTCATCTACGCCTGCATTCGATTCGCTTGAGGCTCGTGCGATCTATCCCGCTAGAGTCCTTTTGAGCGCAACCAAACGAAAAGTGGGAGTGGCACATGAAACTGACAATCCTCCCTTTCTACTGTCCATGTTCATCGCTTTACGTGCTAATATGCGGGCGTTGGATAACTTGTAGCATGGTTGTCTACTGCTGTACCATCCAGTCAAAACACCGGCAGCAGCCTGCTGATTGGTCTCGATCAACACCTCCTCTCCCCTGAGAATGCAAGTGTACATGGCTGTCAACTCCAGCAACGTGTGGTACAACCCATTGCAACCCATTCAAGAATGCCTAGCGATCAGCAATCTATCCATCCGCTGCAGTTAGACCCGGAGCCCTGCCTCTCCTTTCACTTGCAACAGAATCCTTCAGAAGAACCTAATCAAGATCTGATGGCAACCACGGCTTTCCCTAATGGATTGTTGTCACCTTTTTCGACTTCCCGTCCCTTGGTCAACTTTCAGCCTCTACCACCAATTCTAGCTTCACAAACGAGCAATGGGGTCCGTAAGAAAACACCGCTGGTTTCCAAGATACGTAGGATATTTGTCAAACCCACCATGGGTCTCTCTACCAAGGAGCATAAGATTGAGGTCGCCGCTGTTACTGACGTGGACATACTGCTTCAACAGCATCAACAATTGCAGTTTCTTGAGGATATCACCTCAATGACCTCAATTAGCAACAGTTTTTGCCCACCTGAGTCATCGCTCGATCAACATCGTGATTCAGTTTCGTCCTCGAGTTCGGGCGAGACGATGTCGGTTGGTCAAGTAGAGTTTGGTCTAAGCACACCAGCGACTTCGCCAGAAGCTTCGCCACCAGGATCACCAAAATTGAAGCACAGCATGTTGCCACGAACACCTATCCTTCCTGAGATGCCAAGCCCACAGCACTCTCTTCCGTTGTTTAAGTTCGAAAGTCAAGCTACTACAACCACGCCGACAGCAACCCTCTCTAGCGTGTCTAAAGCCAGTCCGACGAAGCGGTTCGAGAAGCTCCAAGGCCTTGACTCGACACCGACCTGGACAGGGAAGAAACGACTCTCTTTCGCCATGATCACGTCATTCTTCAGTCCCCGGAGCTCCGTGAATGCAACAGAATCCATCAAGAAGAAGCAACAACGGTCGTTCTCCGTACCTAATGTAGAGAATCCCTTAGCCGTGGCGGGATGTCAGATTATGGGATTTCAGAGAAGGCATTCATTCAACGATATACCTGAGAACGTCGAGCCCAAGGCTTTGGAGCAGCAGTTAACACCACCTCCCCAACCGGGACACAGGAGCGACATTTCTGATAGAGCTGTTACCATTACCACCCGAGCCGCCGGAGCTTCAGCTTTTGCCTCGGTTCTTCCTACACCCGTGACGCCGACCAAGAAATCCAAAATTTACGGCGTCTTTGGCAAGCAGACCAAACGGAAGAGCAAGAACAATACGATTGCCGGTGCTGGGTTAGTTGATATACCCGCTGCGTTCGCTACGTCCACCGATCCCCCGGGACCCGCATCGGTCCACCGTCATCAGCGATCGTCTTCGGCCAACCAATCCCCATCAAATCGCTCGAGCATATATGATCAAAGTCACCAGGAGCTGCAGCAGCGGCAACAGCAACAACAACAAGAACAGCGACAGAGACAAGCAACTAGTAAGCGTTCAATCCAATCTGAGGCCCCCATCAACCTTTCTCCGGACGCAGATTCAAGCAATCGAAGAGCCTCAGAGGAGCAGCAGCATGGTCGACTAGGCGAGAGGGTTGTGGGTCCAACGCGTCATCGTCGTCAGAGTAGCCTTGTTGGTCGGCAGGCTAGTCAACAGGGACATTATCCTGTTGCGGAGAGGAAGCAGCGCCTCTCGGTCCTCCATTCGGCCTCCGGGGACAGTACTAAATACACAGAATCCTTTCCATCGGGGCAATGTTACCAATATCAGCAACAGCAACAACCACAGCATTATCAGCAACAGCAACAACCACAGCATTATCAGCAACAGCAACAGCAGCAGCAACAACAACAACAGCGGCCTCAGTATCAACATGCATATATCCATCATCACCAACGCGACTGCGAGACACTTGGCCTGCCCCAAAAGCCGGGGGTCATGCCCATCTCGACCATATTTTCATTATCGTTCTCGTCGCAAGGAAACAGTGACTTCACACAGAAACGTTCATCAAATCTGCCTCCCAAATACTCTCAGCAAAACCAATGGTCTACTGTTCAGGGAAAAGAGGGATCGTTTGTCTCCTCTGTCGTCAGCAGTGATTCTCATTCTGTGGGAGGATATCCCTTTCACGAGCTGCTCGCCGCACAATGTAGCAGTTCATATCAACAGAGCGAGAGCGAAAGTGGCGCTTACGATGGCCGATGCGATTCTTTCACATTTTCTCCTCCAGCCGCCCGACTCTCGATGTATTACGCCCCAATGATGGAAAGTCAGGGCCCCTCCACAATGCTTTGCCCCAGGACCCCCAGGACTGCTACCTCTCCATTCACAGGGCCCACTGTGGCCAACAACCAACACCAGCATCTCTACCAGCAGCAGCAGCAGCAGCAGCAACAATACCACGTTCAGCAGCAGCAGTACCAACGAGCCCAACAACAACAGCAACCATCGCCCCAGCAACAATATCTCTTTGAACAGTTTCGACATCAACAGCACCAGCAGTATGTAAACTCCCTTACTATAGCCTCTCTACCGCATCTGCCATCCCAAGCTCAGTGCGGTTTATACACGCCCTTAGCCTATCCATACGAATTCAGTCCCCAAGAACCATTCCCAGGATACTTTTACTACCAATCTCCACAGTCACTCCCATATCGCCCACAACAATATACAACAGGCGCCACGACCACGTCCAACGCTAATGGAAATACTACCAATAATAGCATTTATGTATCTAAACCATCATCAGCGCCAGCATCCTCAAAGTCAGCCAGGCAGATCCAGTTCTCTGCCGCACCAATCATCCATGCAACCTGGACACCAGAGCAATACGACCGCTCGAGTGATCCCAACATAACGGCTCATCGACTTACTCCAGCCATTGCCCAAAGGATCAAGTTGGAGTTGAACCAGTTCAAGAGCCAAGAAATGGCTGTTCATCAGGATAGTCGAATCCATACACATTTCTTCATATAGACCATACACATTCCTGGGAATGATAATTTTAATAAAGCACTTAGCCTAGAACAGCGATCACCAGTCTCTTTTCACCTTGAACTCCCACCCGCAATGAAGATCCATGATGTCTTATACGTTGATCGACTCCGAGAACACATCCCTTCACCAGAGCGACTTGGACAGCGAGCACCAGCACGACCACCGCCAGAAATTATTGACGACGAGGAGGAATACGAAGCGGAAGCCATCTTGGATCACCGGCTCCACAGCAATCGGATGGAGTATCTGATCCAGTGACACGGATACCCAGGGAGGACTCGACATGGGAACCAGAGAGTCACCTCACGCACTACGCCCGGCTCCTGAAACAATACAAGCGAGGCCATGGACTTTGATCTTTTAATTTTTTTATTATCGTTCGAGGGAGAGGGGACACCACACAGCTAAAACCCTTGCCACCAAAGTTGCTATGCTAATCATGCAGGTCAGGACAAACTAATGCTCGTCCTTTTCTGGGCCCATTCACTAATGAGCTATCTAGCTGAAGGCCCAGCAGCAAGGAGTGCATGCATTTCAATGAGAGGAATCAGGCAGTGATTCTTTGGCCGATAAAGAGACGAGAGCGTGGAGACCCAGCCGCAAGAATCACATGCGCTTCAATGAGAGGAATCACGCAATGCGCGCCGATGGAGAGGAGAGTGTGTCTTTTTTTTTTTTTTTTTTTTTTTGGTGGCACTGTCTCCCCCATTGATGCATTCCAGGATTTCAGGAATTCCGCCCAGATTCCATTCCCCGCTCCCCCGCTCTCTCTCTTCCAGGCAGATAGACTATTCCTTTGCAATTCTGAAACTTTATTTGTAAATCACGACAGGGAAACACCAAAGAACCTGGACTTGATCTCCTCGTGGGATATGTGTCTGATTCCTAGGTACTCCTGAGCTTTACTCGAGTGATTGGTTGCTCCTGGTCTGCCGCAGATGTAGACGATCTTGAATTGTGGGCAGGCCCGGCCATCTCTTGAAACGACAAATGTTTTGGTGCAGTTATTGCCGCCCCTGCAACTGAGACTGATATCGGCCTTATGAACGCCGCCAAACATCGCAACCAGGTATTCCTCGATTTGATTCTTGCCACCTTTCCGCTCGAAGGCGAGGCCGATTTTTGCCGTATCACTGTCGTGTTTTGTGGAGTTGCTGATAGATACTTGAAAGAATGTGTATCCAAGGAAAAAGTCGAACCGCGGATACCCTGCATAGCAACGTATCAATATATCCATGCCATCTTGGCCGAAGTTTCTGGGTGGTTCCTGAAGCAACTCGTATCCTGAAATTCTCAAATGTATATCCACTACATTTTTTCTGACAAGGTCTATCATCTCGGGCACTGAGTCTCATCTCCGGATAAGCCGCTGGAAGAGGGCGTCCTTAAATTGTGCACCGTCCAGAGCGAGGCCATTTCGATAAGCCTCAGATAGTGAACATAGCTTGTACAAACCCAAGAGCGCGGCTTTGGCAGCTGAACAGATTGAATTGTGAAGCACCGGTCCCTCACTCTCACGATACACTATTCCAAAATCCAGAAACTTCCAATGAAATGTAGCGGTGCGTCGGCCTTTACCAGGCAGGAACATCCCCGCAAGGGTCAGACGGGTTATGTCCTTAAAGATTGAAGGAAGTGAATTGTAATGAATTCTGGTAACACGAATAAACTCACGACGCCGGCGGTTCAATCTTTCGTTGACTTTCTGCAAGGTAAGTGGTGCGGTTCCGATCTCTTGGGCTAGATTCACGAGCTCACGCGACACGCAATTCGTGATCCTCAACACCTCATCCTCGATGTCAGACACTTGACCACGGACCGTCGAATCGAAATGAAAAAAGACTGCAGCCTGTGAATAAAGTAGGTTCGATCTGGAAAGACCACCCGCGCTCCCGCTACCGACTCAATCCAATGGTTGAGTATTTTCAGCTGCTGCAAAACCACGAGCAGATCAGATGCGAACAGCGCACCATGCTCGTCGATGATACAAAGAGACTTGCGTTCTCGTCGCTGGAGCAAGCTTCTGAGGATGATCGCGGCGCTAGACACCACAAAGGGGGTTGATCGGTCCTCATAGGTTACCATTTCCCTGAGCTCAGCGACAGTCAAAATATCCCTGTTGATAGCCAAGAACCGTTTGCAAATATCGATTGATGTCCTCTCCGACGCGCCTTGCTTAAGTATGGTCGCGTCACTAACGTAAAGGACTGGCCAGCCATTAGCGTCACGCCTGGGCCGCAAGGAATCAGGCAAGATACGACTTTCATACGCCCATTGGACCCGACAAGACTTTTTGACTGGGAACTTGCTATCACGCGCAAGCATTTGCAAAATCTCCGTCATCTGCTCCGTAACGAAGAATTGATTGCCCTGGTAGCCCTATCCAACGCACTTGGGACTTGAACAAAATGTTTCGTCGTAATTTGACTGCCGGCTTGAACACTTAACAATGAAGAGAAATCTGTGCGGGAGTCCGGCTTGAACTTGTTACTCTTGAGTATCGCCAAGAATAGCGGTGGCAATTCCGCAGATTCGCCATCAGCAGCAGTGCACAGTAGCCAGTGCTCGGCTAAACGACACCGTTTCATCGGACTTGCCTCCACTGCTATGGTCAAAGAAACGGACGATATTGTAAGCAAATTGCAGGAGGCAGGTGTCCGACTTAGAAATGCAGACGCGAGGTGTTTTGCTTGAAGAGCAGCTGTCACGGAAAAAGCAGAAAGCAAGTTTACTTATGTTCATTCATTGACAATTCTTTTTTTATTTTTGTTCCGAGTCTCGAAAGTGCTTGCTGCCTTAGGGTCCACGTATTTGAGGAGTGAGAGATGGGGGATGAGGATGCAGAAGTGGATTGTGCCGCGGAGACTCGCCATACCAGGGACGCAGTGTATATCGGACGAAACTGGCGGCTAATCCCCAGAGTGCTAAGCCGGGCAGCATTCTCTGCGCGACTGGATGCGATTGTCACGAATTAAGGTTCGGGCAGAATTGCGCACCTGCCACGCGAGCCTGAATCAGGTCGCGTCTCAAGGACTACGTCTCAATGACTACGCCAGACGGAAAACATATCCGGTTTAACGTTGCTTGCCCGTTCCAAGTACGCGCTTGCCCACATCCAGCTTGCTTATTCCATGAGAGTTACTTTATGTTACGGTTCTGAGCACGGGAACTTACAGTAACTCCGGGAATTGAGTCAATGTTTCCTACTGTTGCAGTATTTAGGCTATTGCGCTTCACAGCCGCCTCCAATCACCTCCATATTTAATATGGTAATGGGCTAGCATCCCAGGCATCAGATATTAAAGTTTGAATTCCGTCTGGTACCTTCCTAAAAAGGAAATTAAGATCCTGCTGGACACCCCCATTGACTCAATTTCCGGCCATGCATTCCGAAAATTGGAATTCCGTGATTTCTTGTACTAAGGACTCTCAGAACCTATTTGACTATCAGTAGAGGTACTATGATGTATCCCTGCAGTGACTCTGAGTCCATAGTTTTCTGATAAATGCCACCATTGGGTGGTTTTGTTTACATGTGATTAGTGCGTCAAGCGACATTTCTTGGCTCCCCTGACTTATACCGTGGATATGATTGCAGCACCGGGTTAAAATTTAATCCATAATATGTGTGTGCATGAGATCAAGGTGAAAAGGGCATAGACACTAATAGTTTTGCACTGGTAATCGAGCAAAACTCAAATTGTATTATGAAATTGCCGCATTTCCCATGGATTGTCAAATACATGTACAGCCATTTCCAACAACGCTGGATTTAACTACAAAATACCATTCTCCTGCAAAGCTGTTCCAACTTGCCGAATTCAGAAATAAGATTAGAATGCTGCCTGGACAATTACCTAACATATGGTTTGGTTCCTGTACTAATCACATGTAAACAAAACCACCCATGGTGGCATTTATCAGAAAACTATGGACTCAGAGTCACTGCAGGGATGCATCATAGTACCTCTACTGATAGTCAAATAGGTTCTGAGAGTCCTTAGTACAAGAAATCACGGAATTCCAATTTTCGGAATGCATGGCCGGAAATTGAGTCAATGGGGGTGTCCAGCAGGATCTTAATTTCCTTTTTAGGAAGGTACCAGACGGAATTCAAACTTTAATATCTGATGCCTGGGATGCTAGCCCATTACCATATTAAATATGGAGGTGATTGGAGGCGGCTGTGAAGCGCAATAGCCTAAATACTGCAACAGTAGGAAACATTGACTCAATTCCCGGAGTTACTGTATAGGATATAAACTACCGAGCTGGGATTCCGAGTCATGCTTTATTCATGTATAAAAGGTAGCTAGTTGCCCTAGTCAAACCCCAGTCTGCAATAAAATACCTTCTTGCCTTGTACTCGCTCTTGTTCCTCCATCCCTTACTTGCTTGCCTGTCCAGAGCTTGACAACCTGTTGTAAAAGCGCCACTAATGCGACTGTAAGCCTGTTTCATCAAACGGCGATTGGATAGCCAGAGTTTATTGATTGCGAGCCAAAAGGCTGCCAAGCCTTCATGAGGCCATATGAATGCAGCATAAAGGGGTTTGAAGCGTGGAAGGGACATGGTAAAGAATGCCACTGCTGGGACGAACGTATAGGTAATTGGGAAGATCGTAGAGCAAGTTGAGAAACAAGGGCAACCTTAGTAACAGTCCATATGGGATTCGTCGTCCTCATACCGACGTTGTTTCGCTGCTCGCTGGTCCGCCAGATCATCACTGTCTCGGTTCAGTTCTCGCTTAATGCCACTTAGGCGATCCAGTGCATCCATGTGGCGTTTTGGGAAGAGGCTGTGTATGTTGTTCTTGTCGATCCCGAGCAGAATGCACTCGGGGGGTTGCTCTCCTTGCGCCGCGCGAATTCGTTCGCTTTGTCTACCCGAGGGAAATAAGTCCTCGACGCCTCTCAGCTCAGCTGGCTAAGCAATAACAATTCTGAGGAACCGTTTAGGAGAAACAGTACAAAACCTTTGGAGCATGGCCTCTCCGAGATGACCTTGAACCGCATCGGCCTTGACCATTGTAAACGCACTCTGGGTTTGTGGTTTGTTCATGGAAGTCCGCATCTTCAACTGAATAAACACAGGACAATAGCCATGGTTGTCGAAATGGAGAACAAACACAATGTCGGGTCCTGAGGGTATCTCGGCAGGATGGTAAAACGGCGGAACCGGCTTCCCATCTTTGAGTGGACCATTCTCGACATTAGCCGCCAGAAACTCTTCTAGCGACATACTTCTATAGTCGATCCCAAGTGTAAGTACATCATCATTTCCAACAATCTTGGCTGTGTGATCCAGAAGGTCATCGTAGGACTTCAGCTTTGCAACTAAAGCTGTTTTGGACAGGACCTTGTCGTGGAAAACGTCGACCAGGCTAGGTTGCACTGCCATCTCCCATGTGTACCCATAGACGGATGCGTTTGGTGCCGAACGGAACAGAGTGCAGATCGCACTGTGAAAGTCAGGGTTCTCCTTGCAGAAATAGTTCACGGCAGCACGCAATGCAAATGGTTCATCTAGAACCGTCGCTGTTTCTTCGCCAAAATGCAGGATTCTCCCGACAGAAGCTTCTATCAGCGGCGCCTCTTCCTTGTTGATAAGTACGGGACGCCCATGCAGATAGTGTTCTAACACAAAGAGCTGGAGGATGGACCGTATATTCTGATATTCTGCGTATCGCGACTCGAATTTGTGAACTCTTTTGACCATTCGCGATATGTCGTAGGCAATATTTCCTTTGTAGTAATAATGGAGTTCTGTTGATGTTAACGTATCCTTTGTTTCTTTGATCGCCGATTTCCAATCGATTCCGCTGATGCCAGGCTTGAGCATGATCATGCGCTCAATAGTGGAAACGATTGGTCGAAACCGTCCACGAAAGCCGTCAAAGAGCTCCTGTATTGATGCTTCCGGCACTTGCGCGTCGAAGACGATCCTGGCTTCCTGGCTCGGTAACGCGCTACGCACAAGACCACGATAATCCCGTACCTGTTCGAGTGATTCCCAACCTATGAAATCGGTAAATGGTCTGAGCTGATCCATATAGTCTTTGAGGATAGAACCTGCGCTATCGAGCCACTCCATATCAATTACGCTGAGGCCAGTCTCACAAAGTATCACGCAAATATGACCCCGGTCCGAGGCAGTTTGGTACAATCCGTGGATAAAAGGAGAGAGGACCGGTCGCCTGTAGTCTTCTTGTGCGGAGAAGGCGGTGCGCTTTGGCGCATATTCCGGAGATGCGTGTCCCGAGTAGGTTCCAAAAACCCAATTGCTGAGTCCTTGAGCTTCGTCAACAACAATTAGAATCTTGTAGTCGCGGAAAGTCTTGTTTGGTGTGCAATTCAGAAGACGCTGGCGTAGCCCAAAGAATCATTCACGAACCAACATCGCCACGAATACATGGTCGACATAATGACTGCGGATATGACTGGCAATCAGTTCAAATAGACTGGTAAAGACGTCGCCAATGTCCATTGAGTGAGAGCAGACTTGCAATAGCATCCATCGCTTGCACGTAAATCTGACATTCTCGCCTTCCGAGATGTCGAGGCAGTAGCGCAAGATCATGAGATGCGCGAGGATAAGGACCAGCGCCAGAACGCGAACATGATTGTCACTCTCCATGTCGCAAGTTCGGTATCGATTCCCGGTTTGGATCAGCTCAAGAAGTTTGAAGAGGTCACCGGGGCCAAAGTCTGTGCGGCTTCCGCTGAAATAAAAGCCCCATTGCTTGCAGAGCATCTCGATAGCTGTTCTCGTTTTTCCACATCCGGAAACACCAAAAAAGGCCTTGAAAGGAATAGCTCGTCCATGAATCGTCTCAAGCGCCTTGTCGGCAGTGATAAGAGGGTCCTGAGGCTCGGACGATTCTGGCAAGTTAAGGAACAACAGACTCGGTCGGTCGTTCTGCAAACCCGCGCGGGGAGCAACAAATGGCAGACCCCCAAGTGATCCTTCGGTTGATGGAATCATCTGGTCGGCTTTCAGGAATCGGACGAGGCTCGTGTAATTGGCCGAGTCAGGAGCAAAGAAGTCGCCTTCAGTCTTTTCAATAAGTTCTTGCCATTTCTCGACTATTTGAATGGCAACAAAGGAGTAAACACGTTTAGCATTGTCCTGCTGCAGTATGCACCATCATTTGGTAACCATCGCCAGCTGGCGCACTTACAAGAAATGGGAGGACCAAGAGGTGAAGCGGCGCGAGCGGAGAACTCTGAGGGATGGGTGGGAACATGGATAGGAACAGTTAATGTAACAGCACGATAGAATGCAAGAGACAATGAGGTCAAATAAGCACAGAAAAAGAAACAGACCCGATTCCAGCACTAACGCGAACAGCACGAGTGAATACTTACCAGGCTGGGGATGTTGGGCAATGATGTGGATTGTTCCCTCAGGCAGGTCCCTGGGGAATATCTTGGAAAGGCGAGTTGTTGGGAGGAGCTCTTCTTTGGAAATAATCTTGTCAAGAAAAACATTCTTGCCAGCAACTACTGGGATCGAGACGCGCCAGAGCGTGAGTTCGTTCGCATCGATGTCGTCCAATTCGGGGGCCTTCTCGACCTTGACCGAGAATGCACTTGAGACGGAATCTCCGCTGACAAGACAGAATAGTTTCTGGTGGTCGGGCATGGTCGACGTGCAGCTGAGTGTGATGGAGTGAGCGGGTGAAGGAGTGAAGGAGAGATGACTGAGTGGATGCGAAAAGCGAGTGTTTTTATAGTGATGTGAAAAGCGTGTGAGAGGGCCAAGATCTGAACCCTGATGGTGGCAAACCACAGCACGAGGTACAGGTCTGAGTATGTCTTGCCACCATATATGCAGAAAACAACAGCCACATTAATGAATGCATATGCAAAATCACGGCAATGTTAAAGTGTGGGAACACGACTTGAATGGTCTGTGCACTGTTTATCTTCTCTAATCTCAGGCCGCATTTGGTCTTCAGCCAATCAAGCCACTTAGGTCGGTGTTAAATATCATGCCTACAATCCAGGAGCAATACCTTGAAACAACATGGACGATTGACATACTGTGATTCCGTGCTGTAGATCATGTACCCAATAGACATACCTTTTTGCAAATAGATGTCCTTTACAAGAAGAGTGAACAAGTACGCGGAAGGGAATCACGAAGAATTGCCATCCGGTGGGCGATACATGTTCTTGACAACTTTGTGTGTCGAATCCATACACACGACACAATTGTTGTGTCGAATGAGCCGCATCATGAATAGATCATAGATACAACATGCAACCATGAAATGTTGCCTATCGTTTTCGCCCACATTATCATCAAATATAGCCATGCCACCTTCAGAGCGGATGGTCTCCACCCAAAGATGTACGCTCTAGATAACATCAACATGCTTCCTCAGGATGGTTGTCTTGTGCCGATACATGCATTTACGGATATTCTCATGTGTGGTACGAAGGTCTAGAGATGCAGTTCCGTTACTGGATTCCAGCTGGAGTACGAAGGTGCTAGCTGAATAGAGCACAGGCTTGCGCCTGACAATAAAAAAAAAGGATAACCGTACTCGCGCGAGCTGTTCAGTGGAAGGTGTAAGCTTCTTCATGATGGAATGCCGATATTTACCCTCTTTGGCCATTTTCCTGGCCCAGTTACACTTATTCGGGCTCAGAAAATATACCGCTAGGGCGGGTAGGTTTGTCGCGTGTGAGTGTTTCCAGTAGTACTCTATCCGCACCCTATCTTCGGCACGCAACTTCTGGATTCTAATACAAGTAAAGCAACCTTGATGCACTGAGTTCCGAGCAATTGACAGCGTTTTTTTTTTCACGCCCTGAGTGTTTACACGCGTATTTGATGGAGCAGTCGTAAAGAAGTGGGCCGCCGGTCGTGTTGGTGCAAGCTCCCATCAAAGGGGGGGTCTCCACAGTAAAACGTCCGAGAGTGCTTCTCGGAGAAATGAATCCACTGATATGCTAGGCGCTACTACTCCCAGAACGACTGAAAAGTTTATGGAGTGTAAAAAACCTTGCAAAAAGGTAGGATGAGGCCATGTCTCGTGGAGTCGTATGGAGTAGCAGAGTTAAGTGGGGCAGAAATGAATGATATCCTTGGTTTTTAATGAGTCCACGATAGCTGTTCAGAGATGGAATTATAAATGGAGCGATTTTATTTTTTTCCTACGTACACTCTTCCAATATCGTCCTTCACACCCCAATCTTCTCTTCCAATATCACCCTTCACTCTTCATCCTATTTCCTTCCTCATAACACCCTTACCCTGACAACTTCGATTCCTCACAGCTTCGCCGAGGGTATTGAAGACCTGTGCCCTTTTCTGAAAACGGAAAGGGTACGAGGCCACTGTGCGCCATCGGCAATCCGACATCCCCAGTCCAATTCTCGACCGCCTACTGTTTTCGAGTAGGCGTCCTTGGGACAGTTTTCCTTACTATTTAGTATGCCTACACATCTTGCGTCATGGAAATTGCGCATCCGATCGTCGAGAGGGAGCTGAAGAAGCTGGTGACCCCTGCCAGTTCTGTTCTTCACTTGGACGGCGGTCTTTCTCAAGAAAAGGGACTAACTAACCTTCGGCGATAAGCAATTGGCGACAAAGCATTGGCATTGACTCAACAAGGAATCGTTCAGTTGAAGGGTTGCTTAGCGCAGGGGCTACGTGTGCGGAAGTAACATTTCCTTACCGCACAAAGGAACCTGAGGAAGGTCTTTTATTGGGCCCTAGTGGCACGACAAGCTCTTGCAAGCTACCTCCGTAGTTCTACGGAGCAATGCATGGCCCCTCGAGGTGAACTGGCGGACTTGGAAGAGGTCGTAGGAGTGACGAGGGCACTTGATGAGGAACGAGATTCAACGATTTAACTTGAAGAGCCACAATAATATAGATCGACATATCGATCAACCTACCTTTGAAATCCTGGATAGCCTCGAGGAACGAAGCTGGAGTGTAGTTTAGGAGGATGATATTCGGAATGCCCTAGAATACCAACACGACAACAGATCGTTAATATACCCGATCAAACGACTCTTCTTTGACTATGCTTCGACGATGTGCTCCTCGCTTCTTACTTTTTTATTATTATTAACATAAATCTGCTCCTCGCTTCTTAGATGATATATGCCGCATATTATGTGAATTTGAAGACCGCAATTAGTCGGCAGAACAGCATGCGTTAAATGACCCTTCCACGTCCATAGCGACGTTCAGTTCCATTCATATGTGAACTTATGAGCGGAATAACGGAATGGCGCACAACGCAGTATTTTCATGCGGGTGGGGGATCGGACCATCCAATGCCGAGAACTGTAGAGCATTCACGCAACCATTCGTATACGAGAGCTCCACATCTTTACTCCGGCCTGTCGTCCCACTTGAATAGCAAATCAAAGCCGTCTTCTCTTCAGCAATCTTTCTATCCCGATCAATCACCATGGCTAGTGGGTCCTCCGGCACCGACTTTGGAGGTATCAGCGACATGTACGGGCGAAATCCGCGGACAACCTGACTGCCATATAAGTAATTGCGATCTTCAGACAATTCAACATCCTTGGCGCTCGACGATCGTTACGTCCAGAATGCTTGGATGAGCAACAAGAACGCTTGCGTGTGAGTTACACAGCTGGTAGACTAGCTCATCCGCAGTATATCTTGCGTTCACGGTCGTAGCAATGGCGCCGAAAAAGGAAGGCCGCAAACATGGGGATGAAATAATCGACTTGATTAAACGAGAAAAGTGCAATACCATCCCCCTGTTTGTCCTCGATGGACTGAAGGCCTGTTGCATACCGTCGAGTATCCTGCTTCCGTTCTCCAAATATAGTGGCCCTGTGGGTAAGCACGTCGGCGAGGATAGGAGAGGAGTTGGGCGTGTTGCTTGGATTGGATGTTACAAACGGGAAGGCATTGGAGGAAGGGACGCGAATCTCTGAGAACTGCGACCTGTAGATCCTCATTACCGGGATACGTGAAGAGGCAAGTACAATGTATGCAGGGGATTTGACTCTTGATGAAGAAATGGGAAACGACAGCATGCTTTCATATTCAATAAGCAGCGCAAAGGGCCAGAACGAGTAACAGTGGGAAAATGGCGTGATATGATCTATAGAATGCCCGGGTATAGCTGGAGTTGCTACTACTAAGGTTTAACACGCAGTACGCGACGCCTATCATGCAGGTCATGCCCATCGCATGCTTGTGTTCAAGTGCGCTAGGGTGCGGGGCCATTTCTCCTCACATTGCTACATTGCAGAGGGAAGCCGCGTACCTTTTAATTAGCTCTCCAGCTTCCGATATTTGATACTAACACATCATCCCTGATCCATATCCCGATTGTGCCCATATTAAGATTGCAAGTAGTGAGTGGTATATGACCATTATTACATACGATTTAATATTTGAAAAGATGCTGGCTCTAAAGCCGCTTCTATCGCAGCGGAGGTGGCCGCTTCCACACCTTGATGTGTCCTCTCCGGTCACTCGTCATGATCGCGTCCTCCTTGAAAATTATACTTGCCAACGGTTCCTGATGAATCACTTTTGCCATCAAAGGCTGCAGCATCGCGACGTGAGATCGTGGTTCGGGTGGTCGAACGACCTGAAAGTCCCCGTTATTATGCGAGAGTCCTTGTCCATGATTCTGGTTATGGCTGTTATTATGGTGGTGATGGTGGTGGCTGTCCTGGTTATCTGAGCCCTGAAAGTGAGGCTTGTGTAGGTGGAGATGAGGCAACGTCCGAGCATGGGCGGTTTTCCTGTAAATGGCATTCGAAGAGCCCGTATCGGCTGTTTCATCCGCGTTGACCCCGCTCGAAGTTCCAGCCGCAGTACTAGTTGAGTGCGCCCGACCACGACCAACCTCTGAGACCAGCGTCGCAGAGTAGACGGACGAACTTGATGAGGAACTTTCATCTACTACAGGGACTTCTCCCGCCCGAACCGGATACTGGAATGGTGATGGGGCGACGCCGGCACTAGCATGGGTGCCGTAGACGTCTCGGGGTGAAGGCAAGACCGAGGAGGTCTCATCGCTTCCATCGCTTGCGTGGTCTTGAGCACTTTCCTCTGCAATGACTGGAGGCGCACGGTGATGAAAATGATGGTGATGATGATGATGATGGTTCGCTGCAGGCGTTGGATGCGACGCCTGCGAAGTGGACAACTTATTCGCGTGGTGTCCCGAAAACAAGCTGTGGCCGCCATTCCCCTTCAAGCTGCTGATACTACCCTTACTGGCATGTCCTGGCTTATACCCACTGGCGCCTCCTCCGGACGCCATGCCTGATACAGTAGCGTTGCTGCCGCGCCTTTGAGCCGCCGCCTATCATATTGAGAGTATTTGAATTAGGACGCATCCTCGAATCTCGAATCTCGAATCTCGAATTATATTATGGGAGAACGAACGGGTTGTGGAATTTGGCACTCACCACTGCCTTGGGTTTATGCAGAGCACCCACACTGAAATCCCAAAGAAGCAGTTTCGCATCCTCGCCTACACTCCCGAAACGGTAGTTGCGCTCATCACACCTCCATGGATCAAAGGCCACTCCTGTCACGTACGATTGGTGTCCCTGGCATCGTGCGACAATTCTTTGGTCCTTGAAAGACCAAATAGTCACCAGATCGTCCTGACCGCCAGTCTAGAGTACACAAGGTTGATTACAGGTAAATAAATGTCGACATTACGACCATATGAGAAAACAGAACGCAAATGGGCTCTTACCAGGACATATTTGCCGTCAGGGCTCCAGCACACACAGTTCAAGGCTCCAAAATAGGCAGAGAAGGTATCTAAGAGTCTTTCGCTCCTGAAATCGATTATTCTTAGGCAGCCATCCATAGACACAACTGCGACATGCTGGAGATCGGGCGAGAATGCAAAAGCTGTGATTGGCTTCTTGGACACCTGCCAATGGCTGATGGGATTGTGCTTTCCATGCTTTGGTCGTGTTACGTGAAATCTAATGTAGATTAGCTCCAGAATTAGAAGGTCGTGCAGCCTTCCTAAGCACACACAGATCATAGAGCGAGAGTATGAATCAGGTCTTACAGGGTGTCATTTGGTGGGTGTGGTACTGTAAACGTGTTGTCGTCCCTGTCCTTATCCATGATCAAGATGGATCCATCCTGGAAAGCGGTCATGAACTGGCTTTCAGACCCGGGCATCCACTTGATCATGGTCACTGCGCTATCCTTGATGATCGCCTACATTCCATTCGGGAAAAAAGATAACGGCCGAGATATGAGGGTCGCGTACAGACTTTCACAAACGCAGAAATACGCATGTCGTATTGCATGTTTGTCCAGTTGGCTCCGCACCTGTTTATTGAGTCGATAATACTTGTTGCAGAGTGGATCGAACCAAATGATATCGCCCGTTGAAAAGCCAATGATGACATCCAGATGATCGCAGCTTCGCGTGAGTATATTAACATCGTGAGAGGTTGGAAATGCCTTTGTAAACGAAATATGTGACAGCGGTTCCTAATCACCAAGAAAGAATGGTGTTAAGTGTTGGCGCTTTCTGCAGGTAACACTTTATAAAAAGGCGAAACGTCAGCTGGGTATCGGCTTACATTGGGTTTCTGACCCAGGTCACTCCAAGTGAACGTCCTTCCCGTGTTCCAGAACAAGTACACATCTTCGCCTACGCGGTTGGCCAGGATCTTGGCCAGGTTATCGTGCGTTGTGATCTTGGCCACAAATGTCGAGTTCGTTTTTGTAATGTTGTTCTTGGACCTCTTTTTCTTGCTGTTGAAAAATGACGAGAACCCAGCAGAGGAGCCTCCTGTGACCGAGGACGACAGGTTGGCACCGCTGTTGTCTTCTTGACTCTGAAAGTAATAGCTGTTGCCTCGACTTAAACTCTTGAACCCATGTTGTTGTTGTTGTTGTTGTTGTTGTTGTTGTTGTTGTTGTTGTTGTTGTTGTTGTTGTTGCGGCATAGGTGGTGGTAGTCCGAACTGTGAGCATGGGTCGGACAGGCGACTCGAGGGTGTTGAATCCTTCAGGGGAGGCGGGCCTGGGGTCATCGGCTGAGAAAGTGCTGGAGATATCATATCGCTGCAAGAACTCTTGAGCTCGCTTGAGACATCTTCATTGTACAAGGGCAAGTCGACTAGGTTGCCGTGGAAGTTCCTTGACAAGACCCTTCCTCCTGCAACTGATGACTCTTTCTCATCCCCGCCACCTTTTTCATCCCCAAGTTTGAAATCCTTGAGACGTTCCTCGAGGCGATCGAGGTCCGAGGTTGAGAGTATGCTGTATGTATTAGTTTGCTTATCGTGTGCTCTCGTCACATTGGCGCCACTGCCTCCGGCGCTTAAATAGTCCTTGTACTTGACAGAGACGGAAGAGACATGCGTGGGGATGACAGGGTGCGGCAATACTTGGTCTAGGAAGATGTCCTGATACAGCTCATATCGTCCCTCCGCAGCTACAAACTCGGTACAGGCGAGGACCGGGGACAAAGGCGTGGCCATTCAGCGGTTTCGGAAGTGAAGTTGGTAATAGCGCCCTCGTAGATAGACTACAGAACAACCCGTAAAAAGAAAAAAGAAGAAAGAAGAAAGGAGGACGAGAGCAGGTTAGCGAACAGCAGTCGCGCCAATGAAACGCAGTAGAGGCCATCGCATTCCCATACCAGGGAGGCAGATACACTCAGGGCGGGTGATGGCGAAGGAGGGAGAGGGATGGCAATGAAGAAAGTGAAGTTGTGGATGAGGACGATGAGAAGGTGAAGAACACAACCAGGCCGTTTCACTCGGCCGCTCAAGTGGACTGTTAAATTGCTTCATATTTTCCTGAAACAGAAGTGAGGTCAGAGGGACGCCCGCAAGCTTAAGCGCTCTTTGGGGCCCCAAAATCACTCTCGGCCTGTGTTCCCTCGATTCTCTCCCTGCCTCATTTCTTGAGCAATTTGGGATTGTAAAAGCCGCTCAGAAGGCCTTGTGGGTGCCACCAACGTCTCTAGTCTTCCTTATATAATAGTAAAGAGAAAAATGGTTTGTCGGATAAGGATTGCAAAATACCCGGGTATTCGATCAATGGCTGGTCCACTGCTCTCGAACTGAGCGTAGATTCTGGTCCACTGCGATGCGTCAATTGCATCGTTATACTTGATGACTGGTCGACAGCGCTTCAGGCTCCCCAGCGCAAGCCGAGGTGGTCTCCTGGCATCGAAAGCCACTAAGTTCGATCATAGGGCATAAGCTGGGAGATAATTCGGACTGGTGCCCCTCACGCTGAGGAGCTTTGGCCGATCCAAAGACGCTCATCCTGCTTCAGTAGCTTCTTGACGCTGTTGCGGATGGGTGAAGATCGCCTTCAGGCGGTCTGAAGGTGCCTCCATGTTACAAATGTCCAGTGTCTGTTGCGCCACCTCGGCCATGGTCGTCAATCTCTTGCCATATGATGTCTGTCCTTTGCCCATGTTCTCCGTGGTCTCCTTCGTGTCCCCACGAAAGAGGTGCAGGTGTTGACAGACGCGTTCGTCCTCGACCAATCGCAGGTGTTTAAATATGTGGTTGCAGCACAGCACAGCACACCCTGGCATATTATTCCATCCCCGCAGGACGGAGCAAACATCCCGCGGGCATAGGAACCAATGGTTTGGTTGTGAGCATATAATACGAAAATCGCTCTCGCCCCCTTCCTCCTCCGTCCCCTTCCTCCTCCGTCCCCACATCGCCACTTGTTTTGTTCACCATCAGCTCACAAGCCAGTCCTGCATCGATCTCCAGCAGCACTTCCACCTGTTTCTGCCCTGTGTACTACATGCACGCTAACCCATGGTCCTCTCAGTCTTACCTCGCTTGCCTCTTGCGCACGCTGTTCGCAACAACCCCTTCACTCTCCAGTAAACTGAACCCAGCAATCTGTCTTCATCTACCTTCATGCGCTGCTCCTCTCCACTTTATCAGGCACCGTTGTCCAGTAGCCGCGACACTATTCACACTTGCACTTGGTTATCATGCTCTTCCTACCCGTCTCGGCGGCCTCCGTTTTCCAAGTCAGTATAGGGGTCGTCGATGTTTCCCTCTATTTATACGAAAGAGGTATCGAAGGACAACAGGTTAATCCCAATAACCAAGCGTGGGGGGGTGCACATCGAATCTGTCTGGCGTTTTTTCTACGAGTATATCATTACCACCGAACAGGGAATGGTTTTGCGAGCACTTTGAAAAAAAAAAAAAAAAAAAAAAAAATATCGTCGTGATTTCACGCTAGACACCGTATTTACAGGCCCTCCGACACATCAGAAACAGAGGCGCTCATCAGGCCAGATCGTCAACACGCAAATACTCGACTTTGAAGTTCTAAGAGATGGCAGGTCTGCCGCAAAAAATAAAATAAAAATAAAATAAAAATAAAATCTTCCATGTGAATTTGACAGACTGTACGGGTTTCTATTTCAGCAGAGCAAGCAATGGCTATGGACATGTATCTGCGAAGGGCGATGTGCGAGTGCATGTAAAAGGAGACGGAAAAAAAAATGGAGCGCAAAGGAGTGCTATGATATTTCCTATCATACGTGCACTCTAAACCCCTCCTCCGCATAAGAGTGCTAGGGCCTGAATGGCATCCATTTGGTCCGAAGCGAGATCCTCGCCATTGGGTATTACGATCTCGGGCTCCAGTCGGGGGCCATTTTCGGTAGGTGGATTCGAAGCCGAGTTGTCGTGGGTGGTGATGGAGGCCGTTGCTACTTCTGGTGCAAGGTTTTGATGCTTGGTCTCTTCCTGTTGTGGTAGAGGCAGGTACGCTACTGGGGCGCTGCTCGAGGTGGCATCATCGAGGTAAGCTCCTTCAGATATGACAATGGCAGGGCCGCCTTGAAGAGATGAACTGTTCGTTTGAGGAGCCGATGAGACTGGCATGGACGTTGGTGAGGATGCTCGAGAGTGCTGTGACTGGAGGGCAAGAACAGCAGAGTTAATGGCATTCTGTAGTGGTGCCATATATCGCCTAGCTGGATCTTCTTCATCGTCAGTTTCCTCCGATATTGCGCCCTTCAGCTGCGTGCCGAATTCATCAACCATGGACAATCCTGAGGTAGTCGCTAAGAGAGGCGGAGAGTTCTTGGGCGTTGGTTGATGATAGGAAGAGAAACGTCTTCCTGTGGTGGTGTATACTGCAGGGCGATGATCAATAGGAAGCAAATTGCTGGTCGAGGCCGCCACTGATAAGGATGGGTTGAGGGATGCGGCCGCAATGGCCATACTGGGGCCAGTTCCCGAAGTCGGGTAGTGCATGGCGTTAGCGGAAACAGTCGAGCCAGAGTTGTAATGGTTTTTAGGAAAAGTGTCCGTTGCGATTGAATAACGGCGGAAGGAAAAGTTGAGTAGACGCTTTGATCCAATGGCCTTCCAATCCTCATCTTCTGTAACAGATGGACTATCGGTCGCGTCGTCTTCTGCCTTCACGGATGGATTGCTTGTTGTGCCGATTCCTGATACCGCGTTGCCATCATTTAAGACGATCACAGGATGGGAAGCTTGGGTCACCATCTGCCACCTTCCTCGACCCATGGCCTTGAAGAGTGGGTTGGACTCGAGAGCTGCTGTTAAGTCCTTCTGCCATGCGTCCCCTGGAGCATTCCGGTAGATGGGATAATTATCATGGACCCATGCAAAGATTTCACGGATCGTCTTTTGCTTGGGAGATGCCTCAAACATCTGCACAAGGAGATTGCACCAGGCTTCCATAGACATACTGCATTCATCCTGCAGACCCACGGGTGGTGATCGTGTCCTGGGTCGACTTGCGTGTCCGCCGGAGGCCTTTCGCTTCAGTTTCCGCGCCTGCGCTCCTGAATGCTCTTGTTTGAATCTCTGGATCTCCTCAACGGACAGCGTGGGCGAGTCCTCGTCCATCAGGTCCAAATGTTTGTCAACATAACGTATCCTTGTATCAGATCCATCCTGACGATGCTCATACGGGCTGTGTTGGTCCTCGTACAGATTGTGTTCGGCATATCGAGTCCCCGAGCTGCCCTCACCCATGTCCCGATCCAAAGTCTCTTCACCTTCGTCAACATCCTCGTTCTCGTCCTCTTGACTAGAATGGTCGCTTTCGCCACGGCCCTCCTCTGATTTAAGGCTTTCCAAATGCACCAAGGCTCGCCTTGGAATAAACGTCCATGTGCTCCGTCCGTTTTGTCGAAAGCATTCATAAGAAGATAAGGTTGTTTTGACACTTGTTTGCATCGTGTGCATGTCGTGGCGGTAGTAAGGATATGCCTGCATGATCCATGCATAGAGTTCCGACTCACGATAGGTGAGAGTCTGCTCAAAGTTGCTCTTAAAGGCATTGACGAGGATCAAAAACCAGGACTCGTTCGGTTTAGAGTGCTCCGTCCGCGAGAGCTTCCTCTTGAAGACTTGTGGAGAGGTTGCGCTGGCCGAGCTTTTGGCAGAAGGACTTTGCGGCGGCGTGGACATGAGGAAAAATATGGCTATATGGCTCGGCGGAGGGTAAGAAGGTGTAGCGAGACAAGAGATGAAGAGAATGTGAAGAAGCAGTTTCGGGAATGGAAGAGCGGTGATGGCGAGACTAAGGTAAAGCAGAGTGGGGAGAGGAGGGACGGGGTGGACGTGTAAGCAGAGCGGAGGAGCTGTAGGATGGTGATGAGAGCGATGGGGAAGTGAACGGGTTTGTAGAAGGGACCACCCATAGCAAGAGGGCTCAGGGAAGGTATACAGGGCAGGTTTGTTTACGCCAAGCCACTTCCGACTTGAACAATTGAATTGAACGAAGAAGCTTTGCCCTCGTTTGAGTGCTTCGCCCTTGCCCTTGTTGAGTGCTTCGCCCTTGCCCCTGGTATTTGCGCGAATCATGCCCTCGAATTGTTGAGCTGAGTGTCCTGATATTCGAACAGCTATCCCCCGGTACCTTGTATGCGCTACTTGAAGTATTTGGGCTAAGCTTTTTTTGCCGCCGCCGCCGCCGTCATCGTCATCAAAGTCACCAAGACCAATCAAGAGTACCCGGTTGTGGGTCTAAACTTTTACTGATTTTTTATGGGTGTGTGGCAAGGGGAAGTTTTCTTCTATTTTGTGAGTTCTGCCGGAATAACCTCCATCATAGCCTCACACCCTATATTCCTATTGCTGCAGCCTGAAGCGAAACGAAAAAAGACGCCTCAGTTTGCATTTGATGCCTCTATCTTTGTAAGATGTCCGCAACAAAACTTGCGAAGGCCATGCCTCGCTATCGATCGTCCTTTATCTCTCCCAAGATCCGTAAATCCTCCTCCGGGAATTCTACTTCTGAAATCAGCGTTGACACAAACACCCTCTCAGCCTGAAGACGACCCATGAGCATGGGTGCGTCGTCGCTTGAGCACTGCAGCAACGTTGGAGCGAATACCATTGCTAGATTGGCCAGGCTCATCTTGGTCGCCTCTTTGACTGTTGGATCATTAAATGTCTACATGGTATACGCAGCACACGATAAATAAAGACAAATACAGGAAAAAATAAACATGAAAAAAGAGTATGTGCAAACGCTATAGTCACCTTCAAGAATGACACCAAGTAGATCATCATTTCCTTGTGCCACAATGGCAAAGCAGAAATTACTCTGGCCACTGCATCTTTATCCTCTGCTCCTTGGATGCACTGCTGGTACATTCCATATGGGATGATGGGTTCTGGGAGATCCCGGATCCAAAGCCGCAGCAGTGAACATGGAACATGAGGATCGGTGATTCCTTCAAGATCATAGTTACCGAGCTCTATCCTTGCCCTCTGTAGTGTAACGCATATGCAGAGAGTTAAAAGAAGGTTGTGAGAAGTCCATAGATTTTTGAATATACGTCTTTGTGCCCTGTGCTCAATGGTGGCTGTGCTTATGCACGGGCCATGCGGGCGAACAGAGACAGGACGACCAAAGTTGAAAACACTGAAATCAACTAGGACACATACCAGCTCTGCTACTGATCCCAGGTCACCGGAAATGCGAAAGATACCCTCCGTCTTGTGACCTCCAAGGCTGATAACGCTTTCCTTCAGAAACACCATGAGTCGAGGCACACGCCAAGCAGCCCATTCTCCTCCTGATGCCATTTGGCGTCCCATCAACCGCTCAAGTGTCGCTTCAAACACGCTTGGTCTGAACGCCGCCTCTTGAGCTCGCGCAATTTCAATTAAAGTTAATTGTTTGGCCCTGGAGCCTCTTTTGCTGATCCTACGCAACAGGTCGAGGCAATGCTGAGCCATTACTGGTATAGGATGGAGAGATGTTGTTGCGTGTTGAGTAAGGAACGAGGCCAAATACTCGTGCAAGTTTTTCGAAGGCGCAAATGTGATCAGCAAGATAGTGAACAGGTGCCATCCCTTGATGCTGCCCTCTCTGGTGCCCAGCGAAGATTCGTATAATCGAAGGGTGAAAGTAGAAAATGCAATGTGAATGCGATTAGAAATAATCCAGTCAAACCATGTCTACGTGGATGCAGATGCATTCATACAAACGACCCACTAACCTGCTTGGGTTCTCTGTAAGCTGCTTACAGAGCTGCACATATATTTCGTCACGAAGTTCGCCATGGTCCAGGCCTTTCTTGATCAACTCTAGAACCAGCTTGGTGTCGTCCTCCGATTGGATCGACAGATCGACACATGTCTCACCCAACTCTATCCCTGTTGGGCCCGCATATCCATTACCCTTCCGCTCTCCCATCAACTTTTGCACAATTTTGAAGCACCGAAGGGCGTCTTTTTGAACCCCACGTTTGTCGAAAACCATCAAAGGTTGACTGAGCGGACTCTTCTGATGGAGTAGCATCTTCTCCATGGGGACTCTACGTCGAAAAAGCCCCTTTTTGTGTGTTGAAAAGTACTTTTCAGCGAATCCTGCGATACGAAACTGGGAAATAGACGACTGCAACTCTGCCGGGAGAGCGGGATGTGTTCCTGGTGGGAAAACGCTACCGCCTATTCTGGGATGATAGGGTTGAACAATATGCGTTCCGTCTCTGACAGAGGATTTCGGAGGGGTTTGAGGCGGGCTAGTCGACATTTTGCGTAGGGCCTCTTGTTGCTGCTCAATTATCATTGGCGACATCTTCCTGGCTGCTTCATCGTTCACGATCGGTGCCCCGATACCAAATTTCCTGGCTCGTTCAGCAATCTGAAAACTCTTGCGGGCAGGTTGAAATGATGTGCCACTAAAGGTCGCACAGCTGTTGAGCGTCATAGAACTGCCTGAGGTTGGAGGATGTGAGGCAGACAGAGGAATGCTAGGGCGGGAGTTCACCCCTGACTGTGATCGAGATGGAACGGCGATCTGTTGTGCTGACGCAAACGAAGATCTGCTGAGTGTCATTGAAGCCGCCTTTTGAAGGGTCGAGACGATTGAGTTTGTCGAGAGTGTAGGGCCAGATTGTTGTTGTTGTTGCGAATTGGCGTGTTTGGGTTTTGATCTCCAGTTACTAATGTCCTTCAGCCCTGAGCCAGTGGTGGGCGATAATGGCGGTGACAGCTCTGGCCGTGAAACTGACTCTGGGTCGGGCAGGTTTCGTGATATTCCAAGGGAGATTGTGCTACTGGAGTCTTTCGGTGGAGTAAGAACGATCTGCTCAGAGATGCTGAGTGAATTTCTGTGTCCTGCGGCGTTACATAATGCAGACGGTTCAGTCGGGGTTTCGGCTGGGGAGAGAAGGCCAGCGTTACTGAGAAATACGATGGAGGCCGTTGCATCCGGTGCAGACGGGATCTGCAGTCTTTCGACGCTCCTTCTCGCGGCTGCTCGGCTCTGCTGTGCCTGTGCCGCACCAGTGGAGAGATGAAGGGAAAGGCGCTGGCCAATAACGGATTTCTAATACGATTGTCAAGCAAATCCGGAACGTAAAAAATTATGCGGTCATTTTCGATTGTTCTTTGGCGATCAAGCGGAGAACACCATCGTTCGTCCTGGCGCGGTGCAGTGCAAGGACGGGGCCAAGCACGAAGCCACAGACTTTGGATCGCGCTAAAATGAAAGGATACTTGCCTGGATTGCTGTTAAGGAGATGATATGGGTGCTATCCTGCGGTCGCTCCCATTCAGTCTGGCCGGTCTTTGTATTGTAGTAATAAGGCAGATTATGGATATCATCAAACAGCTCCCACCACTCGCCCGCCGGGCTCTGGTGCTGACTTTGAGCGGCGTGGAATATCGTGGGGTTAGGACGCAAAGAAAATACCAATGTTAGCCGAAAGGGCCTTGATTCTCTCATGGACCTCGTACAACTCTGGGAATAGACCTTACATGGTGGCTCCCTCCGGAAGGGACCAGTTGCACTCCCCGCTGGCCTTTGGTGCGCGTAGAAGTCCAGTAGGGCGACAGAATAAGCCATGGCGGGGGAGGGTCGCGTGGTTCGACAGCAAAGCATAACGAGTTTAGAAGTGTGATGATTGGATAGAGCGAAAGGTCAGTCAGCACCAAAACAGGGGCAAGGTCTTGACCTGAAGGAAAATGTCTCATGAAAGGGCAACAGTCTCCCAGTCCCCAAGACGCAATCACTCTTGATCAAACAGAGTCCTCTTTACCAGGTTGGCGTAGAAAGTGTTGTGGGATTCAGGATCGGTGATTTCCACCCAAACGGGACTGGATATTGCCAATGCCATGCTCGCAGGATCGCTAGGATCAAAGGAGGGTATATATGTCCGTGCACGCGTGGGGACGAGTATGGATGTGAGTGCGAGAACGAGTGTGAGTGTGAGAACGAGTATGGGTGCAAAGACGAGTATGGATGCAAAGACGAGTATGGGTGCAAAGACGAGTATGGGTGCAAAGACGAATATGGGTATCAGCACGAGTATGGATGTGCAGGCGGGTGTGCGTTTGTGGGGAGCGACAAGGAAGAAGGTCGTCGGGTTCGTGGGATACGGTGAGGGCCCGTTGGGATAAACGAGTGCAATGAAGAGGAAGAGTGACTTGAAGGAAGTAGTGGCAGAAGAAACAGACAAAGAGGGGGGAGGGAGGACAAAGACAAAAGGCACATTTGGGCAATTTAACGAGGACAGACGAGGACGACAACGCAAAAGTGACACCAAAAAAAAGGAGTCCAATTTTAATAAAGAATGGACGACGTCAACAGCGCGCAACAGACCCGCCGGAAGAGGAAGCAGCAGCGGAAAAGGAGTGAGCATGTGTGTAGTAGGCAGAGTACGAATGGCCAGATGGGCTTGCGTCCGTTTGCACCTGGATCGCTTGGATCAGCAACAACAGATGTGGTACTGCAGCCTCGGGGGTGAGTATTGGATGCGCCGTTGACATCAACCATACCATGTCTGTATCTGCGCCTGTGCCTGCACTTGCATCTGTACCTGAAATTACATGTGGTAACTCCCTTTCCCCCTTTTTTTCTTTTGTGCAGCTGGCCCTACTCCTGCATGGCACTTAATGCACTCATCATGCATTCAATCAACACCTTCTTCCCCAGTTGTATGCAAAAGAAACGGTGAACAGGCAGGTTAATTGGAAAAGAGAAAAAAGAAAAAAGAAAAGCATACTCCCTGTAGACATGTATCTGGGTTGCCGTGTACTCCTACCCCCTTTTGTCGGATCCAGGGTATGGTCCACTGGGGCGTCCTGGTCTGTGCGTGGGTTGTAAAATACGACCTATTGTGGATCCTTGGAACGATGCTGTGCAGGCGAAATTACAAGACGATCTATTAAGCATAAACAGTCACTTCCTCGCAGATAAACAAACCGAAGCTTCCAAGACCGAAAAGATGTCTCCTTTGTGTCAACAGGACCCCCCACCATGCATCGGATCACTATTCATTACACGACTTCACGGCAGACAGGTAATATGCCTGTTCTTCTTCTTCTTCACCCTCTCTTCCGTGCGGTTTTGTTTAGCCCTTGAACAGAAATGCTATTGCGAGGGCACCACAGAAACTGATCGCTTTTTATTCTTGGTTGTTGCCATAGCCGCCAAATATCCCCATGTCCGGCAGTATATTGCCGGCCATCGGCTCATACGAAACCTATCTACATCAACAACAGGATTTCAAGACGGAGACAAGACGGGACCAGACAATACAATATCTAGTGCATCGGAAGATGACTTGACCAATACCACTGTGTCTGAAAAGCAGTCGGATCCCACACCGGTACCTACAACGGCTACCAACACAACCGATTCAGAATTGAGAACCAAAGAGGACTTTGTCAAAAAGTTTAGGTTGAAGCCTTCTGTTGAGGTCGGTATCCGGGCAAGGTTTCTGGAAAAGCAGAGAAAACAGGCGGAGGAGGAGGCTGCTAGACTGGCCGCGAAAGAGTCTGAAGAAGTCGATTCGAATATTGAAACCGGAAAGATTCAGCGATTATTCGAAAAGTTACAACTGAATGGAGATACAGCTACATCAGGATCAGCAGATGTTACCGGAACAGGACCCAACAACTCCCAAAACGTCTCCGACTCCTGGAAATTCCTGTTTGACGAGGACGACTTGGGTGACAAGAAGGCCACGGAGGGAGATAGTGGTGACAAAGATAAAGATATGCTGGACAGGATACCAGGCGCCTCCGAACTATTTCCGAGCCTGTCCGAACATCGGGCAGCAGCATCCACAACAGTTTCTGAAGACCGCTCACATAAGCCAAGTCTCGGCCAGCATTCTCCCAGCACGGATCGTTGGAAGGATCCCAGGATGAAGAGCACAGAGAGAGATGCATTCAAAGCTCTCTTTTCTTCTCTCTTCGAGCAAAAGAAGCCAGAGCCGCAGGAAACCAGTGTAGGCGGGAAGATGCAGTCTCTTTTCTCGAACTTCAATCGGACAGGGCTGGACGATGCGGTCGAAGGCGATCAAACAGAGGACTCAGGGTCTCTGCCTCTATTTGGCACCCTTCCGGCAAGCTCGACTGCTTCTATGGGCTCGCAGTCTTCTGACGCATCGACTGATGACGACCCCATGCAGGTCCTTCGCCGACAACTCCAAAACCTTTCCAAGCGCGTGGAGCCGATCTATCTGGAAAGGAAACCAAAAACGCCGAGCTTCCAGGTCATGGAGAACACTGTCGGACCACAGGACTGGATGACACGAGATCCAAGTATGCCCCAGGAGAACAATTTGTTCAATGCGATCAGAGAGGAAAACAAAGTTGCTATCAGGATGAGGAAAGAACTGGAGGAAAAGCAGCGAGATATCATCAAGGTGAAGGAGTTTGTGGACGAGCTGATCGAGCCTTTTGTTCAACCACCATCACCCTCGAATGCAGATGTCGTGAGGCCCTCTAGCGTCAGCTTGGACAGTCTCCTAGCCCAAGCTATTTTGGCCGCGTCCTCGTCAAGTTTGGAAGTCAGCAGTTCTGGAAACAATGGCGAGGAAACGAATCCGGACACCTACAGCCCACCCTCAAGATCTCTACATCCGTTTATGGGGCATGCGCTCGTGGAACACACCCGTAGACAAGGTCTTCCAGTGTTTATCCGGACGGTGCGTACAGAATCCTATAAGGCGCTTCTCAAGAGTCGATGGAATGCATGGCACGACGGGCCTGGTTGTCTCGAGATCCTGAGAGAAATGCAGCGTAGTGGCGCTTTGGTCGATGGAGAGACCAAGAGTCTTGTTCGTAACATGCGGAAAGAACTTAGGATCTTCTCCTTAGCACCCTCATCTATGGTCTCAGAAACAGTGAGTTCAAAGGAACAGCTTCAGCAGTACGGCTGGGGCGATGAGGAGCAGGCGGCTCCACTCGTTGAAATGCTGAATATCATCAAAGCTGCACATGAAGACGGTGACCATGCATATGATATGAAGCAGTGGGCCAAGAGGGCCGAGCCCAGGTCACATTCTAGCCGCCGGTCATCTACCGTTTCAGTATAAAGTTAATAAACGCTTGCAAGCAATCCCCTTGACCGAAAGAGATTCTCGAACGAAAGCCACCAGCCGCAATTTGGATGTGCTGGCAACTTGAGAGCGCGACATCATCCTAGACCTCTTCATCGCGCAACTTGACATCTTTACAACTCCTTCATCACACACAATCCATCAACATCACCATGGACGAAAACACCCTCTTTGCCATCCGCAATCTTTTTTACTCGGGTACGGCACCATCTTAGTCGTTCACTGACCAGGAACAAGATTGCGACTCCACTCTGTGCTCACGACAAGCGTTCCTTGCCTTGTCTCGTAACCAGAGGCGACACTAACGCTTCTTCGCTGCCGCTTTATCCTTCTTGAATATCGCCAATCAGGTAACTACAACCAAGTCGTCGCCGATACCACCTCGTCCAAGACCCGTACCTCCGCCAACCAGGCAACAGCCCACCAGCTTGACCTCTTTCTTTTCCGGTCACTGATCGCTACTAAGGACTATGCTCGTGTGGCACAGGAAATCACAGAGTCCCATGGCCTAGGACTCCAGGCACTGAAGGCACAGGCTGTTTACTTGGACGCCGTTCAGTCGGCTGACTCTGCAGGACGTGATGCAGCCCTAGCACATTTGAGAGAATTGCTCCAGGTTCATTCACCCGATGATCCTCAGCCTGAAGTCACGGCGCTGGAGGTCAAGGTCGTAGTAGGACAGGTCCTGGCATCCGAAGGTCTGGTCGAAGAGGCATTAACTGTCCTATTGCCCCATAATAACCATCTTGAAAGGTAACGAGGAGTTGTGGTCTGCACTGGAGCAAACGGATGTCACTGATGGATCGCTAATCTCTTCTTTTTTTTTTTTTTTCTTTTTTTTTGTGTATGTATCGATATTAGTGTGGCGGTCGTCGTTCAAATCTATCTGCAAATGAACCGCGTTGATCTGGCCAAAAAGGAAGTGGAGGCTTGCAAATCATGGGCTGAGGACGCTATGTTAGCTCAATTGATGGAGGCCTGGGTGGGTCTCCGTGTCGGAGGAGGCGATCGTTACCAGAATGCGTACTACATTTACGAGGAGATCGCCACCTCAAGCACATCACCTACGGTCAAGTCGCTAGTCGGAGAGGCCGCTTGTAATATTCAGATGGGACAATATTCAGAGGCGCATGGTATTTTGCAAGAGGCTCTTTCCAAGGAACCCACCAACACGGACGCAATTGTGAACCTGATCGTTCTGTCAACTTTGATGAGCAAACCCACAGAGGATATCAGTGCCCTTGTCCAGTATGTTTTATCAGAACGGTTCGTTTGGCAGAGGTCAGGGCCATGTATAACGTTGGAGGGTTGCTGATACTGTCATTGTTTTACTATCCACTTACCAACATTCTAGGCAATTGCAGAGCGTGGCGCCCAATCACTCGTACTTGCAGGACTTGGATCTGAAGTCGAGCCTTTTTGACCGCGCCGCTCAGCGTTTTGCCGTCGCTTAAGATGACCTCGGGCTAGGATATCAAAATGGACATAGGGCTGGGCATTAATATGGACGCCTGTACGAGCGTGTACAGTAAAAAAACAGGGTGCACAATGGATCTATGATACCAATGGAAGCAGTAGCAAGGATGAGCAAACCGGACTTCGCTATATAACGTCGCAGAAACATTGTCCTCCCAATAAAACATACAGATATATATTGTCGTTCGGAACAACACATCCTGTTGCATGTAAATATATGGACAGTAATGAAGAAGATGAAAAAAAAAAAAGATTTTACTGCAAGGAGAGGATGAGCATGCTTGCTCTTGCCTCAAAGAAGCGAAGCCGCCATTTCTGTGCAACTTGTTCTTGTCAAGATCTAGCATCGCTTTTGATCCTCGTGCGCTTTAACTTTTGAGTGCTGTAGCTTATACGGATGTGGGGACACGGTGAGAGCAGCACAGGGCAGTGCCCGCATCTTATTTCATCTGTACTGTACACGTCGCGATTATTGCCAGATTATAACTTTGTGCTGCTATGGCACGATAAGAAAGGACGTATCTCCTTGAAACGTACACACAAAGGCTCTGGAAAGAAGACACACAGTCAATCATGCTATCATTTTCATGGCCAGGTATTATCAATTGTAATAGATTGCAAAGAAGGGAAGTGGCTGCACTCAAGTATGAAGCACAGCAGTGAAATTTATGGGAGCATGTATGTGCAATGAGCAAGAAGTCAAAAGATACTTTTTTTTTTTTTCACTTGAGAAATCGCTCTTCCTGCCCTGCCCTGCCCTGCCCTGAGGATTATTCGACTTCCCCTTCCGCGGAATAGATCTGCCAACCGTAAAAACCATGAGCGGGCGCGATGGTTTTAATCTAAGGTTGATCCAAGGTTGGATCACAAAAAAAAAAAGGGGGGCAAACCGGTGTTTTGTGTTTGTTGATGGGCAACTTTGCTGGTGTTTGTGGAGAAGATAACATAAATGGGGTTTTGGGTTGCATCGTCCACGATTGTTAATCTTTGAGTAGGACAATCTCTCCACCCCGCCTCGCACAAGGCCCGAAGAGCTGTCTGTCAGACCCAAACTTTTCAAAGACTCGAGACCATGGTAGAAAAAAAAAAGAAACTTCAACCGCGGAGCTGTCCAGAAAAAATAAAAGGGAAAATGTAGACGCCATTTGACGATGCATATACATTTTTGTGGAGATGGTATAGTGTCGGTTGATGCAACGCCATCTTGATATGCCCCATATGACCCTGCCGCTGTATTTACATGATCGGGGGCAGGATAGTGGCCCCAAGTATAGGCCCACAACTCCTGTCTAGATCCTCTCTTCCCTCCATAAGCCCCTGGCAATTGCAAAAAAAAGTCTACAATGCCTCGAAACAAATCACGGTGCAGCATGCGTTGAACATGCAGGATGCGCCTGACTCCGCATACTGTGGATGAATAATAACAAACAGACGTCTATTTCCATATCTATTCCATGGATCTTAACCATCGCATATCCTTCATGTCTCGCACCCGCATAGGGGGAGGCCACCCTGTCATCCCCAGTTTCACTAACACGACCCACTCTCGCTTGGTCCATCATCTCATTGATGATCTCTGTAGGACGGAAGATAAGAGATATCTCGGCAACACAAACCAGGACACGGACGCGCCTTGCAGTCTACATGTAAGGGCTTTTTTTTCTTTTGTGCACTTGTCTCTGCTCATGGACAGTGAACTTGGACACGAGATCAAACAGATGAACAACAATAACAACAGCAACAACAATAACAGCAATAACAGCAATAACAGCAAACAGACGACAACAACAACGGCATCAATAGAGACTCCTGGACAACAACTTTACAATCTGGACGCAAGCCAATAAAGAGACAGAAAACACCTGATTACCCTTTTCTGCGTTGGACAATATTTAATGAATGCGAAGTTCTGACTTTGTGTCCCACTCTCCTGCGAGATAAAAAAAAAAAAAAAAAAAGAAAAAGAAAAGATCCTTATCTCGATCGGTCTATTCACATACACGTCAAGGAATGTTAGCGCAACATCCAAGCATCGGCTCTCCTTTTTCTTCTTTTTTTTTCTTTCTTTCTTCCTTCGTTCACAACGACGAGTATGAAGCCGTCAAGATGGAAGAAAAAAAAACAGCCCAACGCGATTGAGCACTAAATTAAATGAAGATCCTGGTTTTTTTTTTTTTATAACCTGCAAGCCATTTTGAAAAGAGATGAGATGGGCGAAATATAAACAGATAGACAAGGAGGGGGTCCAAGCTTGCAACGACATTGTTACACACACACAGGTTTCCATAGCACTAACAGAATAAAGTTTCGGGCTAGCCTTGCGCCTCCTCGCACGAGTGTTGGGATGGATGTAGACTATTCAAATTCACTTTCCCAAAAGTTGGGTTGGCTGGCTTGATGAAGGGGAAAAAAACAAAAAAAAAAGGCTGAACCAGAGAGAGTCTGGGTAGCATATTCGCCAGATACCGGATAGGTTCATGAATAGCGAAACCTTTCGTGCCTGAATGATTGTCATGGAGGTCATTGGCCTTTAGCTCTTGCGATAAAAAAAAACTGTAATATACAGATATACAGCAAACCAACCTAGTTTTCATGTCATACCCCCCCCCCTGCTCGCTCCCACTGCCCAACAGGAATCCGGTCCATTGAAGAAGCAGAGGCGTGTGAGAGGAGGAAGGTTGGATACCCTATCATCTGCAATCAGAGTTCGTTGTGGCGGGATTTTTCATACTCCACTCACGAGATGCTCGCAAGGACCGGGCATCATGATTGGGCAGCCTGAGAGCGGAAGCATGACACGAACAAAGAGCGCGAGCTGAACAATGGCTGGTCAGGCGTGTTTGCGGAAGTCGCTCCAGAAACTTAGAAAGCCTTAACGTCAATGGGCCTTTCCACAGGGTATCCCCGCCCCGGGTCCTGGCGCGTATTTGTCCTCATATATATATATTTTTTTTTTGAAAGCTACCCCTTACCGTTATCTTAATGCACCAATGCACTAGTGCACATCACTGTATAGGTACAATTTCTCGGTGGGTGGAGTTGCACTATCTCTACGCGTACCATCAATCTCCGTCGACTGGGTCCCCAGTGATTTGTCTTGCAGCCATAGGACGGAGCTTGAGGGGGAGCAAAAGGGCTATTTCATACGTCCTTTCGCCTTGATACGACTATCTCCATGAGTACCTCTAGTACCTTGCTGCTGTAAATGTTCCGACGCGGAAAATTAAAGAAGCTGCCCTACGTCTAGAGCTGTACTATGGTTGCCAATGCGTTGCTGGTGAACACGGAACACTCAATAGCAATAGGTACCCAAATGAATGTAAAAGGAAAAATATATGAAAAAGACCTTTACATACGATACGTACTCTCCAGGGACCGTGATGTACATCCAGACTATCGTTAGCCCTTTCCATAGACAGGATAGTCAAGGATCCTTGCGAGGGGAGGATGCATTTTGGTAATTTTTCCACGCTACAAAGCTACGTGGACGAGAATATCCAGGCGGCAGTGCAAAGTGTAGACTACACGGTTTTCCTATATTCATATTCTTCTCGTTCATTTGGAGGTCTCGATGTGTGCTCTCATAGAACTGAAATCACTGCTCCGTGTGTTGTGTTTTTTTCCATGTACATGTACCACCGCCTTGTTGGTTTTTTCATTTCCAGATGTTGTTTTTTTCTATTCCGCGGTGAGCTCTCTTTGTTTCCTCCATGTTCAGTATGTATTATTATATATAGATAAAGTAAGCTTCAGAAATGAATGTCATTGCCTGTGATAAAGGAACGATGTTATGTCGGATAGTTACTGTAGGTCCAAAAAAAAAAAAAAAAAAAAAAGTGAGATCATGAACCGACCGAGAAAGATTGGGGGTTTTGTCTTAATTGTTGTCTCTTTTTTGGTTGCACTCGATCAACTCAAGGTTGTAGAGCAACTGCCGTCCAGCCCAGATTGTAGCAACTAAGATATATCAGTGGGCGCCAGGTCAAGAAAAGAAAGAGCTGCCATATGAATAGAGCATAAACAACAGGAGACTCGTTGGCCATGAACAAAAAGGTTGTTGTATTGGACACAAATAAGAAATACAAGAAATACATGGGGAAAAAAAGTCTAGAGGGACTCGAGTGGTGTTTTGTATACATGGAGAGAGAGAGAGAGACCCATGAGAGCACGGGGACGATGTGGCTGACCGGTCTGATTGTATTCAAAAGACCGCATGCCTTCCACAAGGAGCTACTTGGGGACAGACAGGTAGAGAGAGATACGACCAGCGGGGGAGGTTATCGCAGATGGTGCGATGGATGGATGCACGCAGGGGCGAGGATACGTTTCCACCGGTGTGCATGTTCATGCGCATGCACATCACAGTTCATGGACTAATTCCACGGCCGCACTATGGAGCGGCGAAGTCCACTGACATATCCATGCATTGAAGATGCATTGAGGGATCACTTCAAGGTCCAATCGCAATAGGAAAGAGGCCAGAAGAGTGTGACCAAGAGAGGAAGAGGAAGAGCGGGTGAGCATGAACACAGTAACCCAAACTGTAAAAACTGTAAAGCAGCAGGGCGCGAGTGGTTGTAGGCTAGACTAGTCTACCGCCCATCACCCTTTCGGTATCCCCCTCCTCCGCTCCTTCATTCCTTCTTTGCCTCTTTTACTCCTTCTCTCAGTCGCGTACTAACCTCAGGTCCCCCTCTCTCCTCGACAGCGCAGCCCTCTCGCGTGCGATCTCTCCCGCCCTTGAATCTAACCGCCAGATTCTCATTCCTCCCCCTCTCCTGCGCCTTCCAGACCCACATTTTTTGGTTTCTATTTTGTTTTTTTTTAATCGATCAACTCTGTCCGCATTCCTAAGCACCACCCCCGAGGTCCGTTTTTAACAAAAAAGAGTTGTTGAGTTCCAATTCAATACACAATAGAGTCGCCATTGCCTTAATCTTCTTTCATCCCTCTCATTTTCCACCCTCTTTTATCGTTTTCTCACAGGCCCTGAACACCCTTTCTCCTCTCTCTCTCCCTTTCTCTTCTTTCCTCTTCTTCCCTCTTCTTTTCTCCCTCCCCCACCCCTCCTCTCACCCGTCCTCCCTCTCCTCCTCTCACTCCTCCTCCCTCTTACTCTCTCTCTCTCTCTCACGCTCTCTTTCTCGCAGTCTCTCTCACTCTCACTCTCATTCTCACTCTCACTCTCACTCTCTCTTTCTCGCAGTCTCTTCCCTCCCCCAGAGACATCTCAAGCAACTCCATCCTCCCTCGCTCTCCTCCCCACACAACATACAAGCCATGTTCGGCATGCAGTCCATGATGATACCCAAGGCCACAATAGTCACCGACGAAATCTCCTCCGCCAGCTCAATCAAGAGCGGCAAGAGCGGCAAGAGCAACAAAAGCCTCCCCAAAGACACCGACACAAACAGCGACACACAAAACAGCTCCACCACCAGCAAGCTCGTCGGACTCTTCAAGAGCAACAGCATCAGAAGCGGCAGCATATCCTCCGGCACATCCGCCGCCCCCACTTCGAGCCCCCATCAGCACGACATGGGAGTTCTCACGGAAGAAAATCACCAACCAGTCGATCTCGATAGCTACCGCCAAAGTCTTCAATGGCTTCAACAGACGTGTCGGCCCGTCTTCATGAAGGAGCTGATGCAGGTCAGCAGCGTGCCCGTCCCCATCACAGCCAACAACGCCAAGCACTCCGATATGATCGGAGGCATCCAGCAAGTGCAGGTCGCTACTTGGAAGCAGTGCCAGGTCCAGGTTGTTCCGGTCGACAAGTGGGGTTCCCCACAGGATGTCCTTCATGAGGTAAAGATAACACATACTGCAGCATCCGATTCTTTTATCCCCTCTGCCATATCCCTGGAGCAATGGTCTGCTTGGTGCAAGAAAAAAAATGCGTCGTCTTCATCTACGCGCACACGCGACAGACGGAGTAGCACATGGGTACCTGCGTCGCTTCAAACACCGCCGTATCAAAACATCTTTGCTCATTTGCCTTGTTCAACACACTGCATTCGCCCATGCTACCGTACTAGACCTTCTAGCCAACCGCCACGGCCTTTTTTTTTTTTTTTTCTTCATCCGTCCATCTGCCTCCTTCGTACCTTCTTTTGGGGAACAGTTCACCCATTGCAGAATGTGCTCTTTTTTGTTTGTTTTGTTCCAGGTTGTTGTTGATTGTTGTTTTTCCTTCGCCCCAAGTACATGTGCACCAATGCGGTTGTCGCTCTCAATTCTCTACAGTACTATTTTTCTTTCTTTGGTTTATCGTGCACGAATCGTAAAGGTGCATAGCACAACGGCTCTGCGGCCGATTTTGATTCTTCTTTTCCTTGTACAACTTGGGCGCGTGGCATCGTGTGACTAACAGAACATGCCTCTCGGTGTCTAGATCCAAGCCCTACATAGGCTACGTAAATGCCGGCAAATCATCCAGCTGTATGGCTATCTCCCAAATATATCCACCACTGCGAACTCAAGTCAGATTCCAGCCCTTCTACTCCAGCAGCCCAACTATGGATCTCTCCGCCAGTTCCTCGATCACCACTTTGATTCTATCCAATGGCCTGAGCGCTACAAACTAGCTCTTGACATTGCCCAGGGCCTTCGGTTCCTGACATCACAAGGCGTGCCTTGTACAATGCACTCTGGAAACATTCTCATCGACAATGAGGGTGTTGCCATCCTCACAGGATTTGGTATCCCAGCAGGCCTCATCACCGCGGCACCATGCCAAATGACGGCCCAGCCTTCTCCATCCTCATTACTGGTCTATATGGCGCCCGAAAAACTCCAGGGCAAAAAGGATCATTCACCTGACTGGGAGGTGTATTCGCTCGGTATCCTGCTCTGGGAACTGTCCTCAGGACGGATTCCTTTTGATGAGATCATTGCACGCGCCGAAGCTGGTCCTAGGCTCTCCAAGAACATGGAGCAATTGTCTTCAGCCATTGTAAAGGGCCTTCGCGAGGAGACGATTGCTGGCACACCCGAGATCTACGAGCAGCTCTACAAGATGTGCTGGGAGGGTGAAGCAGAGTCGAGGCCACCGCTTGAGGTTGTTGAGGAGACTTTGCAGATGCTTGTTGTTGTTGAGCCGATGGATATGCTGATGTTACCTGGAGAAGAAATGGGTATGTCTGTGGCCACTGTCGGTAAGTTTTCCTGAGTCATTTTTTTTTTTTTTTTTTTTGGTGTTTTATGGTTCCTCGACCCAATGATTTCAAGACCCTAACCTGGATTTGGCAATACTTTTTTTTTTTTTCTGTGTGAACGCAGTCTCTGATAGTATTGACGCCGACGCTCTCAGCACATACACACGGTCAAACAGCACCCGCTCTAGCTCACCCGGCCCTAGTCATGTGCGTTCCTTTACTCGTCCACAAACCCTCCATCAAGCTGTCAGTGTTTCCAACCCAGACATGACGGAGTGGTATATTCTCTCTGGGCACGACATCAATGGATACGCGATCGTGCCAACATACTCGCTCGAGTGCGAGATTACGCCCGTCCAGACATGCGTCGGACATTTCCTTCCCAGCTCGCTCCCTATTCTGAAAGAGCTCATGGATCAGGATGCCGATATTTCTCTCCTCGCTAAGCGATCCGAACAGAACTGCCTGCATATCCTCCTGGACCGCTATATACCCTTTAAGAACGAGAATGACTCGGCGCATCTATTTGCAGCACTTGAAATGCTTCTCGAGGCTGGCGCAGAGGTGAATGCCAGGGATGTCCAGGGTTACACACCCTTGCACCTGCTAATGAAAAACCCCAAGATCTCGCCCGAGGACGTGGTCGAGGTCATGAACAGGATGGTGGCCAAGGGAGCCGATACGTCGATCCAAGCGCCCCGAGACGGCAATGTGTTGTCACTGGCAGCCAAATACCTGCATTTCGAGGCTGCTCGCACAATCTTGAACACCGACGTCCTTGCCTCTGAGCCCGAATCGATCGACCGTGCGATCGAGTCCTGTATGACGATGACAGGTCGTGCAACAGACAAGTTTGTCAACCTGAGGACGAAGACAAGGGAGCTCCTTAAGTTGTGGACGGGCAAGGCTGGTGCACCAAGGCGAGAGAAGGTTGTCGTCAAGGTTCTCACGGAGGCGGGACAGCTGGACCCGACGGGACTGCGCGCCAAGGTCAAGCCCGTGCGCCTGGCACCGCAGATACAGCTGGACTGCGCCAACCGCTATTATGATCTTCATATCAAGAAGAAGCGGGAGATGATACTGCATAATATGGGCGGCATGCAAGGGATCTTCCGATAAAGACGTAGATCGTCTTCAGATTCATACAGACATACACACACATACACACACACACACACACATCCTTCCAATATCTTTTGCATGTCCCACCATTTTCCCACACACACACACACACACACACCCCATTCATTACATGTCAAGTATATAGCGCCGAACCTGCATGGATATATGAATATAGCCGTTTGTAATAAACAATCACCAAACGCACTTGATTGAGATTTGAACGCAGCAGGGGCGGGGCATGAATGGGGGGGGGCATCATTGCGTCGTCGGATAGGCACACGTTGCACTCGTAAGCACGCTTGCTGACCTCATCTCGGAGCGGTGCGGCGATTTCATTTGCCATGTTTGACCAGGGTAGGGGGAGGAACACCCCCCTGGGGTGTGGTAGACGAGTGCTCTCTGTGTCCCCCTCCGTCACCATAAATCGGGCGACTGCGCCAGCACAGAAAAAAGCGCGGCATTTCTTGTGGAAGAGCGGGGGGGCGTTTACTTCAGCTGATACCATTGTTTGGACAATCGGGGCCATAGCCAGCACTCATGACAAGAAATAAAAAAAGTTTTTTCCCGCCAAAATCGATAATTATACGAAATAAATTGGGCGCTTGTTGTCAACAAATCGAGTCCCTGGGACGCTTGCAAGGGCGTGTGAAGTATGTGCGGGGTGGTGACTGAAGAAGGTCTGCTCCTTTTACTTCATTTTGTGTTTGAAGTAGAGTATAAAAACAGTGGTGCCTGCATGATGCATTGGGAGATCGTGCCGTAACGAGCTGTACTCGAGACAACGTATCGATCAGATGGCGCGGGATGGAGGAGAGACAGGGGGGTGTGTGTCTATATTGTAATACTGGTGGTTGGTGGTCTGATGATGGTTGCTGGCGAAGGTGCATCTCGATGCATGGACTGTATGTTAGGAGTCGATCAACCTCATCCGATGCACCATGCGATGGATGCAGCGAAATACATCGTACAGAAACCGATGACGAGAAAAAAAAAACTACATAATATCAACACCCCCGCCCCCCCTCCCCACTGGTCTCTTCTTTCTCCTCTTCTCTGAGTCCTTTGTTCCCTCGCTTCTTTCCTCCTTCCGCTGCCACAGCCGACAACAGCAACAACCACAACCATTACAGCAACCGCACACTCGCTGTCCTCTCTTCCTAGCCGAACACCGCTGTCTCTAGGTCACTGTCGAGGCTGTGGAGGTTGGTGTATTTTTTTTCATTGTATCTCGCTGTCTGCATGATCGCACAACACAACACAACAACACAACACATAAACAACGCCGATACACAAACAAACACGCATATCTGCCATTACAGTTTTTTTTTTTGTTATTACATGTCGTCTGCTCAAACCCTGATGAGACCCGGCTCATTTGCATTTAACCCATTCTTCGTCTCTGCTTCTGCCCCTCTGTCCCTCTGTTGATCTCCTCCTCTTCTCGTCCTGCTGGCTAGTTCTGTGCGTTACCTGCTGTCCGCTTGTTCCCTCTTGTGCTCACGGCGATCCCTTCATCCCTCCATTTGTTTCGGCGCAAATCCTCAACAGCAATCACACGCAGCGTGCGCATCACCGGGGACCGGCTCCAGCATTTGCATTTATTTTTTCATCCTTTCTTTTTTTGAACATCCTCTCTCTCTCTTTTTCTTTTCACTCTCCACACCCATCCTCCCTCTGCCCTTCATCTCTTTTTTTATTTTCATTTTCATTTTCATTTTCATTTTCATTTTCATTTCTTTTAACGCACACTTCCACCGCTTGACGCACACTTCCCCCTCCTCCATCTTAGCACGCTCCTCCTCCCCCTGCAGATCGTTCACCATATCACCCTCGACCATCGACACTCCTATCGTCACTCAAGGGATTCAACCATCCGACCTGGAACAGAACCAGAGAACCAAAGACCGAATACACCCAGCGCGTGGACCCGATACCGCCTGGTCAGCCCCAAGCAGAGTCATGGACGACAACACCATCCTTTCCCTGTGTTTCCCCTCGACACAGGTGGGCGGCACAGTCGACGAGGCCACGACGAGAATATTTCAGCAGCTCTGTGAGGAGCAGACTCGGGCGAATCAGTGCCAGGCAAGCCTCCATGTCAGTGTCAGTAACGCAGGCAACAGCAACAGTAACAGCAGCAGTAACAACAGTACCGCATCCGTCTGCGCCAACAGCACCACCACCAGCAGTGCCAACAGCAGCACTAGTTCACTCACTGCTGTTGCTCCTAAACACACTTCGGTCGATACCCACCATACCGCTGTAGTATACAATGTAACGCTGTCAGGATCCTACCAAAAAGTCATGCTCGCCCGAGGGGTTTTTCTGCGCAATAGCCCATTGAAGGTAAATACTGCACTACAGGGTTTTACATTACTTTCATCCCTCACAGCATGGACATCTTCAGCGTGAATCCGTCTCCATGCTGCGGTAGCTTTCCTTCACCCCTACTCCTACCACCACCCTAGCCTCTTAACAACAGCAGTCCTCCACACCCTTTTTCATTGGGGCAAAGATTGTCGTCACCCTCGCAACCTAAGGCTCACGCCCAATGAAGTGTCCCCTGTTTTCCACATGAGACTTGACGATCAGTTTCTGTTGTTCTTTCACCTTGTCCCTTTACTGGCGTTATGTTTTTCACATCTGCAGTATGTTCCTGGTGGTGTTGGCCCCATGTGGTTTGTTTATACAGGGGCACGATTGTTTATTTGAATATGACTGGCAATTCTTCCATTCTTTGCGCAAATACATAAAAAATCTCGGCTCCAGGAACGGCGTCTTTTGCGTGTTGGATCCCAGGCATCAGGGGCTTCCTTGCTTGAGCGTCTTTCGGAGGAGAGCGATGTGGAGTGCACCCTCTTGCTACTTTGATATGCCCGGTGTTGATCTGATATCAAACATGTACTCCAACCACATCCCTGCTGCCCAACACTGTAATCACTCTCCTCGATCTGTTCCAGCTCAACTCCACTGCGCTTGGTGTGGTTGATCAGCCGATATCGTATATAGTCTGTCATTTTGCCACCAAGTCTTCAACTGACCATGAGCGTGTCGGATCAAGTACTAATTCCACTCCCATCACTCTCTACTCACTTTATAGCCAAGGCTGTCGATCCCTGTGAGCAAGGCGTTGATCACCTTGAGTGAACCCCAGGAAACCGTTCAGGATGAAGCTATGACGACCGAGGATGCTGCAAAAGCGCAGAAGCAGTCTTCGCTAACAACATCAACAGCAGAAACCCGTGTGAATGACCAGGAGCGAACAGATGCGTCGGCATCTTTATCATCACCATCAACAATACCACGCTCCGCCGCAGCAGTGACTTCAGGAACACCCAACACCGCATCCGACCGCAAGATAGAGGTAGATACCCAGAGCCAAGGTCTCACAGTCGCCACTTCAGAGTACTCTCCGATATCCAATGATGACAAAGTAGCGAACCATTCTGCAGACCTTTCATCAACATCAAGCGAAAAGGCATCCGTTGTAGCCCCATCAGCATCCTCGACCACTACACCCACACCTACACCCACGTTTACAGTCCTGCCTCGGTTCAAGGCAGCCGTCGATGAGATCTCGGCCAAGACCAGGACCTCGATTACGCTTTTATCCAGCCTTACTCCTTCTCACATCCTCGGGCGATCAGTCGTGGCCGGTTTCGCCCGGAGAGATATGGTCGAGTTGCAGGTCACAGGGACATGGGAGAATGCTGAGGCGGCTCGTCTTCTGTTGCTGGTCGCGATTGACACTCTCAAGGCTGGCGTCGTCTCAGATAAGCTGACTGTCGAGCTCAAGTTTCAAAACATGATCGGTGGTAGGAAGCGTCAGGACTTACAGGAGCTGATGGCCAGGACAAGGACAAGCATCTATCTAACTTCGCCGCTTGTTCAGACGGCCAACAAAAGCGGCATCCCAGTCGACTCCCGGTATAACGAAATTTACATCACAGGCGAGGCGAAGCAGGTGGCGACTGCCAAGGACGCTCTCTCGCGGGCCAATCGTCGAGCACAGGCATCGTCCCTTTCATGCACTCGCCAAGTCAATATTGCCACACGCAAGCTGGACTGGATGCTGCAAAACCACCGTGAGAAGTTACGCAGCATCATGACTGACAACGCCACCTTTATTGCATTCCCACCGCTGGGGGGAACACATCCTACCATCTCTGTCTATGGTGAATCAGGTGTGAACGTCGAGCGGACCATCCGTACAGTGATGCAACTGGTAAGGATGATTCTCTGTATATTCCTTGTTTGAATAGCGTTTTGCTGAGTTGCTGCGCACAAAGTATGATCGAAAAGCTAATGCGGACTAAATTATTGCTCTTTGTTCGTCTTTAGTCATGTCATTTCCACTCTGGATCTATCACCATGCGGGATATTGCTTTGTCTATCCATGTCTCGCACACACACTCCTCAATTCCCAACATTTGCAAGCTCGTTTCACAGGCTGCCGGAGCGGAAGTGGAATACCGAAACAACGGGTTTCTCGTGTTTGGCAGTGAGGCCCAGACCAGGATGGCGATGCAGTTTCTGACGGAAGTTGATATTGTCAAGGCTCTTCCATCCGAGTTCAAGTTCTCAGTAGAGTTGGCGAACGAACACCGCGAGTTCATTTCAGGAAAAAAGAACGGCAAAATCAACCGTATTATGAAGGCAACAGGAGCCAAGATCAAGTTTGACCAGTGCAACGAGTACAACTTTTACGTTGATCTAAGTTCTACCATCTCCGCAAAAGCCATGGAGGCACTCGCGCTGCTTCAGGAAGAGCTTCCAGCCGAAATTTCCTTCTTTGTGCCAGAGGCATACCACAAGCGGATCATCGGAGTTGGTGGCAAGAATATCCAGCGGATCATGAAGAAGTTTGGGGTGTATGTGAAGTTTTCCAATTCCGAGGAGTTCGCGACTTTGGGAGGCTATTTCGACAACCTTGATAACGTCGTGGCGCGGACACCATCGAAGAACGCTATCAACCTTGACAATTTGAAGCAGGCTGTCATGGAGCTCGTGAATCCAAAGGATAAGGATTTTGTTAGCCATCATCTGGTCATACCCAAACAACAACATCTGTCCCTGCTATCGGATCATGCGATCGCCCTGAGGGAGATCCACGACGCTACCAATGCGACCGTTCTATTTCCCGTACGCGAGACAGGAAGCGACATCGTCACGATTTCTGGACCCGAATCCCTTATCCAACAGGCGATTACGATGCTGCTATCGATGGTGGACGAGCAGAATGTTTATCCTGTCAAGTATTCAGAAAACCTTGGCAGAGTCTTGGCCTTGCCAGAGTTCCAGTCGGATGTTGTGGACGCAATGAAGCGAGCATGGAATATGACGTTAGTTGTGCCTGAAGTCAAGAGTGTTCACATTCCAGAATCTCAGGAGTTTACATCGACCAAAGAACCTGCAACCCCGTCTCCCACAATCTCCTCAGCACAGGCAGCCGAAAAGATTCCAAAGCCCATCTTGAAGCAAGTGAAAAATGAATCTAAACAGGCGGCTGAGGCATCGCAGGACGCTGCCAAGAAGGACGAAGAGGCATATCAGCCAGCATCCTCAAGTAACGAAAATCAGAAGCCGGTCAAGGCGCCGACCGACCACGTGTTCGTTTTCGAGTATACTCGGAATAACGAGGACTATTTGCAGAGCGCAAAGGATCTTCTGACGCAGTTCCTAACCAGTCATGGAATCGAGGTCTATGATGATGAGCCCCTGATTCCGAGGCCGCGATCCACCTCCTTTGGAGAGTCGCTCATACATTTTCACAGCAGGATTCCCTCGTCGACTGTCGCTGATTGTAAGTGAAGCGGGCTTGTGTTGATAGCTATTTGGTCAAAGTATTTGTAGGTTTTGCACTGTACTAAGCTTTAACTGATACTTAAATTGTAGTGCCAGCACGAGGTTCTCCCGACTACGCGCTATTCGACAACGCAGCAGCCGCTTATGAGCCGAGTTCTGGGCACGCGTCAGTCCTCGGAGCAGGTCCTTTGGCGACATCAGATATTCGCTCTCTGTTCGCGCCGTCGTCTCCTTCAGGTCTCCCATCGATCGATACGTCTTCATCCAGGTGGTCAGACCACAGCCGTAGCCTGAGCGCGTTCCCGGCATCGCCCTCGACGCACAGTTCTGCTTCTTCGACAGCTGGATCTTCGTTTGGCTTGGGATCTGCGTCCGTCATCGGTCATAGTCCCAGTGGATCCAGTATCTATCCTCGAGTGACCTCCCTGCCAGCCGACCCTTGGACACCATCCAAGCATGTGCAGCGACAGTCCCAAACCTCTGGCGGTTATCTGGGCACTATTGGCGACTTGCGCTCCACATCCTCTGGTGTCGCGCATACAGCTGGATCGCATGGAAGTGGTTACTATCTGCCTGGCTACCCTCAGTCTCCACATAGCTCCACGCACACACCTGAGGCTGGTTTCATCAAAGCGCCTGGATTCCAAACGCCCGGCTCTACGACCTCGGGCCATCGTTATTCGGCTGGTAATTCTCCAGTTCAAGGACCGACTACCAGCATTGGAAACTTTGGAAATATAATGGGTCATCAAGTCTCGCCACAGCATACATCGGTCCAAAGACCGTCGTCAGGATCCTCCGCGAATCGTGGTAGCATGCAATTTCTAGAAGATAAGATGCTTTCTGGAGCGACTTTTGGACCCGGATATGGACCGTCCTTAAACAGTGGGAGTGGGCGTACCTCTCATCATCATCAGCAGATGACGTACCAGCATCAGCAACAACCGCAGCCTCAACTTGCTCAACAACACCAGCACCAACACCAGCACCAGTCCTTGAATCCATCATACCCCCAGCAACAGCACGGATATTCTGGTCAAACATACCCTTCTCACCTCCAGCTTCATCATGGATTGATGTATCCCCAGCAGCGTCAGCGCCATTCGAGCCAGAACAGCGCTGCCAGCCATCACACCATGGGCCTGGGTCATATCGGAGGAGGCCCGGGCTCTGCAGGAGGCAGCGTCAACAGCGATGAGATCTCAACCGAGGATGACAGTGATGAGGTCTTTGACGAGATGAGAAACCGCCAAAAGGTGCAGTCTACGTCCACTCCAGTGTTTCAGCATTCGATGCACCAGGGCTATCATCAGAGCAGTTTTGGAAGCGGATACGAGGGTTATTCGTCACACAATTCTTCGTCCTCGAGTTTACTGAATCGTAGAGGATCAGCAGGATCGACGCACAGCATCGGCTTTCAACATCAGCATCAACAGCAACAGCAGCAGTTTTTCTCGCAAAAGCCGTTGGACTACTCTTCGCACCTGAACAGTAGTGGCATTGATCTGTATGGACAAAATGCTCTTGTCAGTGCCATGGAGAAGCACTCTATCAGCAACAACCAGTCAGAGAGCGACTTGAGCGTTGGTGGTGGTCGATCTTCGCAGGGACGATTTGGCCAAAGTCGCCAGTCGACGGGTATGTCGAGCGCAGTTGGTGCAGGATTGGGCGGAGCTGCTACGGGATCGAGATTTGAGGACGACCGCGGCTTCTTCTCAAGCGGTTTCGGTGGTATCATTGGTGAGGGGGCTCACGGATACGGTCAAATGACCAATGGCTCAATGACTAGCCTTGGTCACCCTTCCGGCGGCACATTTAGCCAGCATGCCTCATCCAACGGCCACCGGAGCGGCAGCAGTGCCTTTGGCAGTTATGGGGCGAACTCTGATTATGGTGGTGTAACCCCGGCAAATACTAGTCTGTCGTCCTCGGCCTCACCATTCTATTTGGACTCGGCTCTCCATCCAGGACAGTCTGCGGACCGTGTCAACGAGACAAGCCGCGTGGTTGGATGGGATCGTTAGAGACGCTGCAGACTGTGTCCTCCTACTGAGGGCCTGCATTCCTTTTTTTTTGTTTCAAGGGTTTGCGGTTTTTATGAACAAGTCGCTTCTTTTTTCCTTCCTTTCTTCCTTTTTTCATGTACATGCTTTCGTCTCATTCATTCTTGTTTACTGCTTGCAATTTACCTTGCTTTTCTGCATGCTTGCATATCACCATCGCGGCCGTTATCCTCTTTGCTTTTTTTTTTTTTTTTTTTTTTTTTTCCTCTTTCTTGTGTTTTAAGCTGCTTTCGCTTTATTTTACGGTCTTTTCCCTGCATCTTTGCTTGAGGTTTGAGGTTTGTAATATATTGTATCAATATTCAATATGTCATCCTCTAATAATTTGCAACATGTATTCTTGGCTGCTTTCTTTCGTCTGTTTGTCTCGTCCTTGTTTCTTTGCTTGCTGCAGTGTATTCCCATGTTGCATTTTACATTTGCTAATATTGAACCAAACAATAAAAAAAAAAAAAAGCGATCTCGATCCACCATGAAAGAGTGACCAGGATTATGTCCAAAGAATGGTTTGAATCCAAAGCTTATGTATTCCCTCTTCTGTGGAACATTCAGCTTTTTCTTTTGGAGTCGCGAGATACAGAATCCATTGCTACGTGCATTCGAGTGGATTGATTCTCAGTAAAATGATTTTTTCTGCTGTTTTTGTCGGAGACAACAGCAAAAAAAACACTCTCCACAAGACTTTAAGGCGAGCCTGGAACTTGTATCGTCTTCTTCTACCCATCCTCGTCCGCGCTCTCTCTCTCTTTCTTTATTTCTCTTTTCTTTCCACACCAACTATTCGCTTTCTCATTCCTCTCTCCTAAAAAAATTCAGGCACGCACACCTCCTGAAAGAGCCCTGAATTCTCCCACGCCCCCAAGGAAACAGATCCGAGACATTTCCCTGCAGGCACTTGCACCCGATCAATCCACACACACAGACCCTCCACAGCCTCGAGTTCCCGCTTTTTTTTTTTTTTTTTTTTTTTTTTTTCAAGACCCATTTCACTCCAAATCAATTGGATCATGAGCTTTTTAGGATACGGCGCCACTGGAAGCAGCAACAATAACACCCCCCGCGCAGGAGGACAATCTTCGTCTTTGGGAGTGACATCCTCAGACGGCCGACCTTCCCGGGATGACTATCTCCAGTTGGCATCATCATCTCAAGATACCGAGAATGTCATCTCAGCAGACGGCGGACTCGTGCCATCGGCCGCTGGAGTGCAAAGTCGGTACGATGAAGGAAACGCTGGAAACGTAGGTGTAGGTGCAGGAACGGATGAAAAGATGCCATTGAGCTCTCAGACACATGCTGGTGGTCGTGTAGGGGACGACGGAGTGACTGGCCACGATCATGGTCCTGGGGAGCATTGCCTGTTGCCGAATATGATCCAACCTTTGGTACCGTCGACACATCATGATATGCTCGAACATGTTGTTGTGAAAGTGAGGGATAGCGCGGATGTTACGCAGAAGGTGAGCCAGAAGATGGGAGGTTTTTTTTTCTTCAGATGAGAGAGAACCTTTGCTTTTTATTTGAAGAACTGATCAAAGAGCATTTGTAACATGTATGGATGTTTTTTGCATAGACGATTTTTTACTTTTGGGACGAGTGGAAACAATTTGTCGACCGAGGAAATGTGATCGACCTTGGAATTGGTAAGGTCCTTTCAGGAGAGCAACAAAAGAAGAAGAAGGAGAAGAAGAAGAAGAAGAAGAAAGAATCGGACAACGACGGAAAAAAAACTCTGCTGATATCCCATCTGCTTTTGCTCGACCACTCAATCAACCAAACCAACCAAACAAACAATAGGTGTCGTAATTGGTGGGGCATTCAGCGATATCATCGACTCGTTCGTGGCCGACATCTTGACACCGCCGCTGTCGTTGTGGGCCGCGGGCACGAACCTTGAGAATTCGTTTATTGTCCTGAAGCATGGACAGACACCGGGCAAGATCTATGCGACCTATCAGGAGGCACAAGCCGATGGTGCAGTGTAAGACCGCGGGACAATGGCCATTTGCTCATCTGTCTTTTTTTTTTTTTTTTTTTTTTTTTTTTTTGAATCCTATCGAAAAAAAAAAAAAAAGACGCCTGGCCTTGTGGCGACATGATACTGACCCAAAGGCAATTTCTGACTTTTTTTTTTTCCAGGACCGAGAACACTGGTCACTTTTTGAAATCGTGCCTTAACTTTGTGATGATCGCGTTCTTTCTCTTCTGGATCGTTAAAGGTGCAGTGTTGGGTTAATTTTCTTGAGAGAGAGAGAGAGAGAGAGAGAAAAAAAAAAAAAAACAAAAAAAACGAGGCTATGCAATTCTGAATGGACTTCCCGAGACCATAAACTCACCTTTATGATATCGACGAATAGCGGTACACAATATCAGGAAGGAAAAGATTCGCCCGCCACCAAAGGAAAAGACCTGTAATTGGTGTCGAGAATCTATTGCATTGGACGCCTTCCGCTGCAAGTTCTGTCAGAGTTTCGTGAAAGATATTCCCGGGATCGAGGACGCCGGCGTCGGTATGTTTGTCACCATCAAGAAGCCCAGGCAGCAAACTCTGCCGCAGAATCAGTCTTCGGTAGTAGACTCTTCGGCAGTCTCAGCACCTGGTGTTGCAAAGAATGGGAGGTCAGTGATATCTGGATCGAAGGACATTAAAAAGATGGAGAGTATATAGAGTAGACCAGTTTGTCCAAAGTCGAATCTTGCCAACCATAAAGTCATCTTCTGTATCATTCCTCAGTCAATCGTTGAGGCAGCAGGTATATATCGTTACATGGATATCTTCAGCACTTGCGATACCTCAAACTCAACACTTTCTCTCCGCTGGCCTCAATCCACTCCGGCCAAAAGAGCGATTCCAGCGATCGTCGACCATTGCCTCTAAATGATCGGGCTAAGCAGCGCCCTACTCACCCGGGAAGCCGATCGCACCAAATTAAGTGCGACTTTGCTATGGTGTTTGGGACTTTAAAAATCCACGGTTGCTTCTTTTTGGAAAATCAGATGGTTTTATCACCAGGTTTTACATCCCGATCTGGGGAAAGACGCGAGTTACTTTGAAAGGCCCGTCCTTTAGTGCATTTGCTACGGGCAGAACTATCCACTATTTATTGCAGCAGGGAGCTAGTTTGTTCGAGACCCAATGATCGATTCTAAAGACTCATTTAGTATTTATTGCAGTAGTATAGGTAGGGTAACTTTCATTCTCTTTTCATAGTTTTGATCACAGAGTCGCTGGTGTTCTCTTTTAAAGACGTGCTACTCGATCGCACTCCTTGACTCGTGCGTTGATAGCGTCAATGACATCCAGTAGCTTTTGGGTCTCCTTCACGGCCTCCCGCCTCTTGACGCGCGCAACTTCAAAGTCTGGTTTGCATGTGACGCCGTCAAGTGCCAAGAGGGACTGTAACAGGATCTCGGACATCATGCCATGCTGGTCGTGCAGCTTCTTGCGAGGAGGGGGCATGGCCTGCATCGAGAACGCCGCCGGTTTAGAAGCCAGATAGGCTGCAGCTTCCTCTTCATACTTGGGAAGGTATTCCGAGACAAAGTCTTTGGATTTTGCAAGGGATCCAGAGATTCGAAGGATGAGAGCATATTCCTCTGGATCACCGTTCGTTGTCATCGCTTTGATTTGTTCCTCCTATTGGATAAAAGACCATGTGTCAGTCAGCAAGAGCTTTGTATCGTAGCATGCCTTTCTTGACCTTGCTCTGGTTAACGTACGGTTGGTTTGATCCCATTCACGACAATATTCGATCCAGGCTTGACGCCCCAGCATGACAGTGGTGCATTATCGTCCTTCATACCGGCGCCTCCAAAGACAAGGCTCAAGCCTCCGAGGGGTATGCCCGTCAAGTCCTTGCAGATTTCGCGCAATTCCTTTAATTTGACCTGGCCAAGAATCCTGCCTTCAAAATCAATCGTGTACTTTTCCTTGTTCCATCGAATGTGTAGGGTGGTGTCCGGATCATATTTTTCATGACGCACGCCGAACAGGTTCCTGGGAATTGCGGGCGTTAGCCGCCAGAGGAACGAGAGAATGGACGAAATGGTGGGCAAGCTGCTGCTGGATCGTTTCAAAACGTTGCCGGCAACGTTTTAAAACGAAGATCGAAAAGGGTGTAGGGTATTGTTGGTTGAGTGAACGGAAGGCACACTAAGGTACGATAAGGACGATCGGGTTAGGATAAGCTGATACGATCTTTGGATGGTCGTGTTGAATAAATCCTTTGTCTTTTGGTGAACGGGCCTGTTGGGTGGGATCCCAAAGCGCAAGAGGTGCTCTCATCAACCATCGTTTTGATGGCCCTGTTGACATCCTGTAGTCGCAACACTGGGGTCTGCTGTGTGCCCTATTCCTGCTCCTGTCCCTCTGTGGGTGCTTCTGATGGACTGTACCTGAGGGTGAATCGCGTATGGATACAGATCCCGGTGGATGGTGTTTGAAGGTGCAAGAAGTGATGAGATGCTTTTGAGCGAGGCCTTCTTTGTTCCAGGAAATCGACGTACAAAGTGCCCTTGTACGTGACGGCACAGCTCAACCTTAATTCCTCGCGCGTTTTGCTACCGTGTATTCATTCAGTGGCGATATGCAAGAGAGAAGGGCCTACTTTTCTATTCCTTCCGCCCTCAAACTCCTTCGATCTGATGCGAATATCTGTCCCTCGGCTGCGACGATCGACATCCTGTACCATCGAACCTTTTTATCCCATCTTTTCCACTCTCAACTGCACTTCTCTCCAGTCCATATGCATCCACCGAGTATGACCCTGCAGACCTGGTCTTTTACTTTCACCTTCTTATCCAAAAGCACAGTTGCTCTTCTAACTGGGATCTGCGCAACCACGCTATGTCTGATGCTCTTCTGGAGCCGAGGATGGATCTTGCTTTACGGAACCGCTTCCCTCGACCAAGTGCGGGGCAAGCCAGCCATTCCAACCACATCCGACAACGACAACAACGACTCGTGCGTACAATACGAAATGGTCTGGATGCACGACTATAGCCATTCACATCGCCACCAAGTCCGATGTTGCCATCGAATTACGGGGGATGATGCGAGCGAGGCAGATCGAGTCGATTTTCCACTGGAGTACGGGATCGTGCGATGTGACAGCGCCCTATGCTTTGAAGCCGACTCGCAGGATGGACCGTGGCTGAAAGACTGCTTGAATGCCTTTTGCAACGCTGTTTGGCTCGCAGTACTCATGCTCTCAAAGGCTTCGACCATCATCATGCTATGCATCCTCGGAGTCATGTGTGTGACCAGGACAGCGACAAGTATCGGATCCGTCATCTTCCAGAACCTGCTTATCATGTATGTATTGTCGACAACGATCTTCCATGGAACATGGTGGGTGTCTCAGACGTTGATAGTGCCGCTTGTCAGGGATGGATACCTGTTCCAGGCAGTCGTGATAGTGCTCCTAAAGGATTCGTTCATACGGATCAGGAGGGCGGCTAGGCAGAAGCAAAGGCAGTAACATCAAGGAGCATCACCGGTATCTTTCAGGCAACAATGGCCGGCAGCAGCACACTTGCGGATCGAAATCACGTCTGAGAAAGACAGATAGAAAAATGCACGGCATGGTCGCTCCCCACCGATCGCATAAAAAGATTCAGTAATAAATTCATGTTGGACAATCAACGCCACCAATCAGTGTCCCATACGAATGAAAAAAAAAAAAAAAAAAAAAAAAAAAACGCGTCTTTACAGCCTCTCCATGGAGAGGGGGCGCATCGAAGCGGGGGGCCGTCAATTCATCCGCGGTAACCTTCGATAAGCAAACGGGCTCCTTCTGAGAGGATCAAGGGGGCGCTGACCGTCCGCATCTTCAGGCGCCCCCATAGGACGACGGGAAGGCACCCGCGTGACAAGAAGCACCCCAGCAAGCGCATTTCCATCCCGCGCACTGCAGCCCTGCAGCACTGCGAACACCACCGCGCTTGCCTCCTCGACCTTTTCGCTGTTTCCATCGGCCATTCTGCTCATTCTTCATTCTTTATTCCCAACCCTCCACTCTGAATCTCCCCCCTTTCCTATTCCACTCCGCCCTCCTACCCTCTCTCACTCAGGAACCTAAAACAAACAGGGCCGCCCACCGATGCGTTTCCTCTCCCAGGCTGAAGGGCGTAGACGAATGAGTTGCGCCGGCCTCCGCATGTCGTCGCTCATGTGCATGGCACTCTCGCTGGCCGCGACCATCACCTCTGCCTTACCTCAGTCGTACCATGCCTCCCCTAAAGACGGCTGGTTGAACCTTACGGTGATCCACACGAACGACGTCCACTCGCGCGTTGATCCCGCCAATGACTTTGGTGTCAGCTGCTCGAGCCAGGACATTGCTACGGGCCATTGCTACGGAGGCACTGCGCGGCACAAGACGGTCATTGAGCGCCTGCGCGGATCGAACAAGCACTCTTTGCTCCTCGACGGCGGAGACGAGGTACATCATGTTTTTGTCTTGGTGTCGCTCTCAGCAACAAACGGTGGGCCAACGAAGGTTCTGCGGTCAGTTGCCTCGTTTCTAATCTTTTTGCAACTCTCTTTCTTGGCTTGATGTCTTCGTTCAACTTCCCACTGTAATAGTTCCAAGTAAGGCCCGGGCTGGTTGAAGAATGCAATTGCTGATTGTTTTTTTTTTGTGTCACAAAACGATCCCTGTGGTTTTGCGCTTTTCGATTTCATGTTGGGTCGACTGCTTACACCTCAGTCTTGGAAACGTGCCACATTTATTTGCTAATCTGATCCCCCTTTTTTTTTATGCTGTCAAAACGTTCCCAGGGCACGCTTTTCTACACATACTATAAGGTACACAGTGCTACATGAGTGGACCCGCTGTGCCGCGGACGTTTGTATGTCTTAGACTAACAAGCGATCATATTCATATATCCCGTGGATGCTTTTTTTTTTTATTGCGCAGGGAAATGTCACTGCCGAGGTGATGAATGAGCTGGGATACGATCTCGGAACTATTGGCAACCACGAGTGGGATAATGGTCCCGAAAACCTAGGACGATACTGGCCAAAGCTCAAGTTCCCAATCGTGTGCGCTAATGTGGATCTTGAAAAGTACCCAGAACTCGAAAAGTGGGTCAAACCATACCATATTTTTGAGGACCTTGGCATCGCTGTCATTGGATACATTACCAATGTAAGTACTTTTGCTTTATGCTTGAACAACCATATAAAACCGCATCTGTCCATCCCGACAAGGCTGGATAAATTACTGATCGATATTCTCATCATTGGTTTTTTCATCTTCGTAATGCAATAGACCACAGGCGATATCTCTAATGCTGGACCTAACATCGCGTTCACGGACCCGATCCCTGCGGTCCAAAAGTACGTCGACGAGCTGGAGGCCAAGGGAATCAAGCGCATTTTCGGACTGTCGCACAATGGATATGGACCCGATATGGAATTGGCTGCCAACACGCACGGCATCGATCTCATCGTCGGAGGTCATAGTCACTCGTATCTCGGAGATCCCGCGAACCCGCTTTATGAGGGACCCTATCCAACCGTGATCAAAAACTTAAAGGGCGAAAACACTCTCATTGTCCAGGTATAGCCTATGCGCGTCAACACTTTTTTGCTGCGATGCTCGTTCATATATTCACACATGCTAATATTTTTCAACTTCAATTTTTTATTCATTATTTCTAAATTGCTTCGTTCGCAAAGGCATTTTGCTGGGGCAGATATATTGGCCATCTGGACGTGGTCTTCAACCCAGAGGGCACGATCGTCAGCTGGGAAGGTGCTCCTATTCTGGTTGAGAACTCCATTCCTGCAGATGATCGTCTCCTGGATCGAATCGATGGCTGGCGCAAAGAATTTGAGGAATGGGGTCAGACCGTCCTTGGAGTAGCCACAGATGCTTTTGATCAGAACAGCTGCAAGCAACGCGAGTGCACGATGGGCAACTTGGTGGCAGACGCGATGCTGGAACATGCACGAACGCCCATCTATGCCACTGCAGCCATCGAAGAGGATGCAGAAGACAAGGGGAGCGTTCGCCCCTGGACAGATCTGGCGTTTATCAACAGTGGAGGTATCCGATCGGGTCTGCCTGCTGGAAACGTGACGATTGAAATGATCATGACGACCTCTCCCTTCGGCAATGGTCTAGTGCAGACACAGATGACGGGCGAGGAAATCCTAAGCATGCTGGAGGCAGTCTCTGCGGGGAGGTACAAGAAGAGCCAGAAGCAGGTCACATCCAACATCCAGGTCAGCGGATTGCGATACATGTTTGATTCATCGCGTCCTCTGGAGGAGCCACATTTGATCAAGGCCGAGGTGCAGGGATATGACAAGGAGTGGCGTGAGATTAAGAAGAGAAAGTTGTACTGGGTGGTCACCCTGGATTTTCTCTTGACAGGAGGCGATAATATTTTGGAGCGCAAAGAAGGGCGAAGGGAGATCAAGCTGGGGCTACTAGATAGCGTCCTGATGGACTACATTGAGAACCGGGGCAGGATCAGCCCGTACCTTGATGGACGGATCAGGAACGTTGCTTCTGGAACGGACGAAGAGGACGAATGGACTGGCAATAACGCCAAGCGGTTCAAGATTCCACCGGTCTGGCCTGTTGCAGCTCCAGAGCACCTCAAGACCAAATACCCGGGAGGTGTCGAGGAGATGCTGAGGGACTACATCCGACTTCGGGAGGCAAGATCAGAGCACAGGGTTCCAATGAAGCCAATGTTCGAGGACCTGGAGTCCAAGCAGGAGGTCTGGGCATAAGGAGGGCCAATTTCAGTATGCTTCAACCAGGATATATAGATCATCGAAAAATAAACCAGATGTCTTACTGTTAAGAGAGCACTGCGCGCTTTATTACGATGGAAGTAAAGGGTATACGTGCGCGTCTATCTCGTGAAGAACTTTCCCAATAACATGGGCTTAAAGTCATCCTCCTCCTCGAGCTCCTCCTCCTCCTCTTTGTCTTTGTTCTTGTTCCTGGTCTTGTCCTTGGCACTGATCCTGCTCCTGGTCGTGCCCTTGCCTTTGCCTTTGTCTCTATTGTTGTCGCTGTCATTCCTCTTGTTTTTGTCCCTGCCTTTGCTCTTATCTTTGGATTGTGCCTCGTTCTTAGCTTTAGTTAAGATCCTACCCTTGCTCTTGGTCTTGATCATTTGTTCTAGCTCCTCCGTCTTTATGAAAGGGTTGCTGTCCGATCTATCCTCTTCTTCTTTCGACATCATCCTTGTCCGTCTCTGATTGGGCTGCTGCTGCTGCTGCTGCTGCTGTGTTGCTGCTTTGGAAGGTAAAGACGACGATGACGATTCTGCGGATTGTGGACCTCTCTTGCGGTGATGATGGCTTATTTGGGCGTGATTTTTCAGGTCGCTCTCATGAACAAAGGCCATCCGACATGTTCTGACAGTACACTCCAGGTACGGACCTAGAGATATGATCTGGGCTAGGAGGTCGTTGATCTGGGCGACTTCGCCCCCAAGATCCGTTACGGGCTTGCGATCGTCGCTATCATTACTAACATCATCATCATCATCATCACCGTCGTTGTCGTCGTCGTCGTCGGTTATTACCGCCTGCCTTTCTTGCTTGCTTGAAACGTCGTTCTTTTGATCGTCGCTCGTTAAACCTTCGATATCTACCTCGATCTCCATGTCTGTGCGTATATCCATGTCCATATCCATGTCCATGTCGGTGTCTGTGAGCTCCTCAATATCCGAATCAGTCCTATACTTCCTCTTTTGACCCTGAGAATGCTGGAGAGGGGAGGGCGTTGGAGTTGAGGGACCAGAGTGTGCTGAGGAAGATGAAATCGGCGTAGATGTTCTTGAAAATGCTGTTGCTGCCGGCTTTCTTGATGCTTTTTTTGGTTTTGATTTCGATGCGGTGGCCTTTATCTTGGTAGGATTCTCTACCGATGTACTGTCCGGAGTAGCGACGTTGGGTTTGATGATAGTGGGTTGAGCACCGTTCAGGGTTTTCAGAGATGCGTAGTAGTCAGGTATCTGCTCGGGAACCCCAATGGCAGGCAAGGTAGTTGGGATATGGGGTGCTGATTCCGTTACAGGCGATGGTTCTGTTGACGGCGGTTTTGTTTTGTTCCGTTTGAGTTCCTTCTTCATGGCCGTCTTTGCTGCCCTTGTAGTCTGTGTGGTCTTGGGTGTGGTAGTTGTGGGCAGTACGGATGATGGAGGTGTGAGAAGGTGTGAACTGGGCTGAGAGATCGAGGCTGTTCCTGAGATATCCGATACTGATAACATAGCCTGTATTGCAGGTGTGTGTGCAGTCTGATCCGCTGCTGCTGGCATGGCTATGAACATGGGATGGGTTGCAGGCGGTGATTTTGAGGAGGCGGTACTGGCAGGCGTTAACGGCGAGGGTGTGGCGGACCTTGACTGTATTTGGGCGAGTGCTTGTGCCTGTGCTTGTGCGACGATCTGTTGCGTTTCCGGGGCTACAGGGTTCGAGAGTCTGTAGGCAGGAGAGGGCAGAGAATGTTAATATCTGTGTCTGAGTGTCGAGTGTATTGTCACCACCGATCTGTGGTAAGATACATATGTGAAGTCCATGAGGGTTGAATAGAAAGAGACAGACAATAATAAAGGCAACGACAAGAACAACAGCAAAGACAAAGACAAAGATAAAAACAAAGACAAAGACAAAGACAAAGACAAAGACAAAGACAAAGACAAAGACAAAGACAAAGACAAAGACAAGAACATAAACGAAGGATGGTTGTTCCTACCTCATGGAGGCATGTCTGCGGACGTGCCTTGTCCAGTCAAACAGGACTGTGAAGGTCTCGCCACAGCCAGCGACACGGCAAACATATGAGGCTCTGCTCGCGAGGACCGATTTTTCCTGGGTGGACATTAGAAGGAGCTGCTTAAAAGAATAATGATAATAATAACAATAACAAAAATAAAATGGGAAAAGAGACGTGAGAGGTTGTGTATGCATCCACAAGATGTTGAACAGGAGTATGATACAAGCAGTGGAGGAAGAAGAAGAAAGGAAAGAAGAATGGCAATGGCACTAATGGCGATGGTGCTGGTAATAGTGCTGGTAATGGTGATGGTGGCGAGTTTTGCGGAGAGAAAAGAGACCGCCAGGCACACCACTGAGACGCGAGTATTTATACAAAATAAAGCGGTCACACTCGACTTCAGCACAACACGCCTCTTTTTTTTTTCTTTTTTCTTTTTCTTCCTTCAACTCCACCTCCTTCCATCACTCTGGCCCTATTGCCTTCTGCCTCATGACACTGAACACTCCTCGCTCCGCTTCTTCACAATTATCCTCTGTGGTTGCAATCCATCCTGCAGCATCACCCAGAACACGTCGCTCGAGTGCACTCGCCACTGCAACGACAACAGCGACTACCTCAGCCTCAACCACTATTATTTCTACAACGACCACTACATCTAATACAGCCATCTCAACTAATATGATTGATACCAATGATACCATTGATACGAATGGTACGAATGATACGAATAAGGCATCCAGTGCTCCTTTTCACTCCAGTGTAACCATTGGACAACGTACGACAACTGCTACGACTACAGCTGCCATCTCCAACAACACCTACACGCGACGCAACGCTCCCCAACGGTCGAATGTCAAACCTCGGTGGCACACCCAGCCCTACATGATGTTCCTTGCCCTGAGGTCCATGCCAAACCATACTGCTGCACGACAAGAGCTGATCAATGCTGCCGTCGCATTGGACCGCAAGTTCAGTGCAGAGAGGGGATTGCCACGCGTGTTCACTGGCAAGGTATGAGGAAATGAGGGAAAAGGGCAGGCAAAGTCTTTAATGGGAGGAGGGGGGAGGGGGGGGGGTTTTGCCTGTAAATTGCTAAATAGCTCAAATTTATTTTGTCGATTTACATAGACCCCAATGAACTCTGCATCAGCTTGTTTGACCAACAATGGAGACAAGTACTTTGTTCCTTTTAAGCCCGAAGGAAGCAGGAGCACACACTTTCGACTCGCTTACGCCCCCGGGGATTTCGACACCGCCGTCAGGGAGTACGACGGTTGGATGGAAAAGCTCATCAAACACGATTGGCCATTGTGCTTTGGTGTACCAAAGGAAGGTGCAGTTCCTATCCACATTCTAGAGCAGCAATCCCGCACGGCCCTGGAACAGGAGTCATCAAACGTACCAGGAGATCAGTCCACGACAGCAGAAACGACGGCCCTCAACGATATCTCTTCCGCATTAGCAACAACGATAGCCCTCAACGGTGTTTCCTCCTCAACAGATACTGACAGCATCAGCACACTCTCAGGAGCAACACCGCTCGAAGCAGACAGCGTCAAAGCCAATGGTGAATACCCAACAGAATCAAAGAAGCGGAGCCCCGAACCCGTTGATACCGAACTGGACAAAGTTGAACGGAGCACTAAGAAGGCCAAGGCCGAGCTAGACTCGGAGGCAGTATCAGGTGCAGACCGTGATCTGGATCAGGACCAGGTGGGCGCTTCTGAACAGGACTCCAAGGTAGCGGAGAGATTCGAACAATTGGAACTAAAGTCGACGAGTAGCGCGGCGTCATCTCTCCCATCAACGCCTGCGACAATGACACCACAGGAGCCAGAATCAGCATCAGTATTAGAATCAGTATCGGCATCGGCGGCATTAGTGACTGCGCTTGCACCTGCACCTGCACCACTATTCTCAGCAGCAATGGTAGCAACAGCAAAAACAACCAAGGCTGCCACCCCACAGCCGGACGTTCACAGAGTGGATGAGTACCGCCTGGAGGATCTAGATCTGACGAATGTACCGACGAGTCTTTCGCACGTCGTCCGTGTGGATGAGTCAACGATCCCTAACTCAGGAAATGGACTCTTTGCGAAGATCGATATTCCGGCCAGTACACCGCTTGGATTCTATTTCGGCGTGCCGATGACGGAGAATGAGTTTGATTCACTCAAGGATGGCGTTGGCGTCGCCTCTCATTACTCGATCATGTACCGTCGTACGGTCCTGGATGCCACGGACGAGAATGGGACGCCCTATAGTGACCCCAACGGAAGACTCTATTGCCCATTCCACTTTATGAATGAGGACCCCAGTGGCAACATCACATTTATCACGGGCAGCGTGGTAAACCAGGTCATTTGTCAGACCAACCGGGATGTTAAGGCTGGAGAGGAGTTATTTGTGTTCTATGGAAAGGAGGTCGATCGGTTCTGGGAGAAGGAGAAGGAGGCCTTTAGAAGCGATACCAATAGCGATCACAAAAAAGGAAAGACGGGCTCCAGGGCCGCTTCACCCGTAAGAAGGGAAGAATCAACGACAGACCGACCTAGGCGGAACAACATCTACAAGCCCGCACGTTACACACGCTAATTCACAATGACCTCCATCAATCTATCGAATAAAACTTTGGATTGGGTGTTATCTATGCTGATATTTTATTCGCTGCATTAAAATGAAAAAAGAAAAAACTAAATACAGTCAACGAATCGTCAGAATCGTTTTGAATGGGAGTGAGGACCATGCGGTAATGGAATTCCTGCGATTATGTATGTACAAATTAATTAATCCTCAGCGACGACATCGGCAAACGAGACACCCTGCTTCATCTTTTCGAGGTCCTCTGTTGGGGCGAGCACTTCGGCTTCCTTATCGGATGAGTCGTCAAGGTTGTGCTTGGCCATATCCGCAAAGCTGATGCCCTGCTTCATCTTTTCCAAATCTTCAGTCGGGGCAAGAACCTCTCCGTCTTCCGTGGTCGGCTCCTCAATGTTCTCGGCGACAACATCCGCAAAGCTGATGCCCTGCTTCATCTTTTCCAGATCCTCGGTTGGGGCAAGAATCTCCTGTTCTTCTGTTTCCTTGACTGGTTCCTCGATGTTTTCGGCGACAACGTCCGCAAAGCTGATACCGTGCTTCATCTTTTCGAGATCCTCGGTCGGCGCCAACACCTCAAGGTCCTTGTCCGACGGTTCAATGGTTTCGACCTTGTCTGACCGTTCAATGGTCTTGACCTTGTTTGACCTTTCAATAGTCTCGACCTTTTTCGACCGTTCAATGGTCTCGGCCTTGTTCGACCGCTCAATGGTTTCGATCTTGTTCGACGGTTCAATGGTCTCGACCTTGTCTGCAAAGCTGACACCCTGCTTTGACTTTTGTTCTGCAGTGTCTTCCTTCTCCTCGGGCAGGTTCTCGGCAACGACTGCGGCAAAGCTGATGCCTTGTTTCATTCTTTCCAAATCCTCGGTCGGCGCTAGGATCTCGGGCTCTTCAATGTTCAGGGCCGTAATGTCCGCAAAGGTGATGCCTTCCTTCATCATTTCGCTCTCGACCGTGGGCTCGACGTCGTCACTGGGCTCCAGACCGATGCGCTCCATCTTCTCGAATTCCTTGATTTGCTGCAGCCTCTCCTTGTAGCTGTTGCGGATGGCGTCCAATTGAGCAATGAACTTTTGAATCTTAGCCAAGACGGATCTCCTACGGCGGCGGATCTTTTCAATGGCCTGGATCTCGGACTCGTTTTCCTGGGAAATGCCACCGGTCTCGTCCCCGATCTCGGCCAGCTCGCTCAGGCTGACTTTCTCAACCCGTTCCAACAGTCGCAGAAGCTGCTTGTGGAGGGCCTTGACAAGAAGATCCAGCTCTTTGTAGCCCTGGCGGACCTTGGCATGGTCCTCAAAGCCTTGGGTACGTTCGTGAATCAGCTCTTCTTTCGTCTCTTCGATCTCTGCACCGAGGTCGCTCTTGTCCTGCTCATTAATTAGACCCAGCGAGGGGAGCTGGACGCTTTCGTCGCCGGGGTAGAGTCTGTGGGTGCGCAGGGTCTTGGTACGAACTTGGATGCGACGGAGGTCGGACTCGATGATGTCATCGAGGGAGTCTTGGGCCTTGAGGAGCTGGGAGTAGAGACTACGTTGGAGGGAGCGGAATTTGGTATTGGAGGCGGGACGCTGTTTGCTGTCGCGGAGGTAGAGGTAGAGCGAGGCGACGGTGGCAATGCCGAGGACCGCGGATATGGAGATGATGACGGTCTTTTGGGAGGGGGGAGTGAGTTGGACCATTGCTGGCTAGGAGAGGGATGGGTGTGGAAGGAGGAGGGATTAGAGGGAGAGGAAGAGGGGATATGGATATGACGAAGGCGAAGAAAGAAAGAAAGAAAGAAAGAAAGAGGGAAAAGGAAGAACGAAGGCGTTTTATTACAGGCGGCACCGGGCGGATGCGTCGGATGGTGCACAGGTCAACATGACATCATCCTCTCTTACAAACACGCGCCAACATCGCACAGAGCACACGGAATGTGATGTCGGTGTATCCGATACGACGACGCTTCCCATGGTGTAGTCTATTTGTAGTCCATCTGTGCACATGCGTGCTATTCAAGCAGGGCAGACTGACGCCCTTTAGTCGCATGCAGGCACAGGGACTAGTCGCAGACTATGGACAGCAGTCTCCCCCAATGGATTTCCTGGGCCTGCCAGCCCAATGGCAGGCTGCACATTTCTGCGCCAGACTGGTATGGGTCACGCCGGGCCAATCGCATCGCAGGACTCAGTGCAAGCCCTTTTTTTTTTTTTTTTTGGTGGGCCTTCTATCCATCACATCCTCATATCCTCACTCAAAAATGCCGCCACGCCTCCCCTCCTCTTCTTCTCACACTCTTCTCCTCCTTCCTCGACTACTCCCTCGCCCCGCCCTTCCCATCCGCATCCGCATCCACACCCACCACTCCACTCGCCTACTCCTGTCCCCATCCCTTCCACCCTCCTCCCCTTCCTCCTCCTCCTCCTCCTTGCTCTCAACCGCGCCTTTCCTCAATATCACCATGAGCACCACCAAGAACTCATACCTCCGTCCTGGCCCGATCGAGAGCTTTGTCTCCAATGGCCTCAAGTCCCAGGACTACTATTTCGATCTGCCATTAGATCACGCCAATCCCTCCAGCAAGGAGACCATCGTTGTCTTTGCACGAAAGGTTTGTCTACGTGTTATTTTCCCAATGCTCAGTTACTCAGTGTACCAAGAACGCCTTTGGCAACATGTGGAAACAAGCAACAACAAGTGATATAACAAGTATCCTGACCCGTCGTTTGATGCTTGATGTCCCACGCAAGGTTGTCGCAGTGGAGAAACAGGCCGAGTCCGACAAGATGCCCTGGCTCATCTTCTACCAGGGCGGTCCAGGATTCCAAGGGCCCGCTTATAACACGTAAAATGAAAGCAAGGTGGACCAGACCTCAATTGCCATCTATCATTAGTTTATCCGCGCTTTCTAACCTCCATTGCGTGCTGGACGGATTTTTGGATTTATTCTCTCCTTAGGGGTTGGGTCAAGACAGCGGCGAAAAAATATAACGTCTTGTTGTTGGATCAGCGCGGAACAGGTCTCTCAACCGCCATGACGGTCCAGGCGCTGTCCCAGTTCAAAACCCCTCAGGAGCAGGCCGAGTACTTCATGCACTTTCGGGCGGACTCGATCGTCCGTGACTCTGAATTGATTCGAGAGACTCTTCTTGGTAACGAAAAAAACACGAACATTCTGTCGAACCATCCTATACCATGGGATGGATAAAAATGGAAACCTTCGCAGGAATGCGTGAGAATTTTTTTTTTATGGTTGAGAACTTGGGATCTAATGGAGATTGTTATTATTATTTTTTTTTGTTGCAAACTAGCCAAATACGCGGACAAGAAGTGGAGTCTGTTGGGTCAGAGCTATGGCGGATTCTGCATCACGACATATCTTTCCATGTTGTAAGCACTCTTTTTTTTTTTTTTTTTGGAAACAGCAGGCGCCATCTCATGATTATGTTCTTCACCAACGAAAAAAAAAAAAAAGTTCTCTGACCGCAATTAGCGCTTTATTCTTACAAACTCTAGCCCAGAGTCAATCACAGCGGCATACATCACCGGAGGCATCCCGCCAGTATTCGACTCTCTTGAAGACGTTTACCGCAAATCGTACAAGAGCGTCATGGCACATACGGAGCGGTACTATAAGCGATTCCCCATGGACATCAAACGTGTCAAGAAGATCATGAAGTACCTTGCCCTCAACAAGGTCACACTCCCGACCGGCGGTATCCTCACACCTCGCAAGTTCCAACAACTGGGCATGAGCTTTGGACTCTCGGGTGGAATGGACCATGTGCACACACTCTGCCTTCAGGCCTTTGTGACCTTGAGGGATGGCAAGGAAGAGCTGTCGAGCTTGTTCTTGAACGAAATGGCCTCGCAGGAGCAAATCCCGCCGATCTATGCGGTCTTGCACGAGTCCATCTATTGTGACGGACCTGGCGTGGCTTCCAAGTGGACGGCGTCTAAGCTGCTGAATGGAGAGTTCAGGAGCGCGTTCGTTTACTCTGCCAAGGAGTACGATGCATTCGAGGACGACGACAACAAGATCGTGTACTTTACAGGTGAGCTAAAGCGATGCTTTATTTTCTTCATCTGTTCTCTTTTGACCGTGCAAAGTCGTACTAATGTAATAACCCATCTACCCTTTTTCTTTTTTCTTTTTTCTTTTTTCTTTTTTCTTTTTTCTTTTTTTCCTCTTTTTCCTCTTTTTCTTTTTCTACTTCGTAGGAGAGCACATGTACGACTGGATGTTGGATGACTACGCATCACTCAGCCCTCTGAAGGAATGCGCCGAGATTTTGGCGAATTATGATAAATGGCCAAAGCTCTACGACCCCGAAGTCTTGGCCAGGAACAAGGTCCCAGTTGCAGCTGCTGTCTACTATGACGACATGTACGTCGCCCGCGAATACTCCGAGAAGGCTGCGGAGGGCATCAAGGGAATCCAGCTCTGGATCACAAACGAGTACATGCATTCTGGCCTGCGCGACAATGAAGGTGTCTTGACAAAACTGTTCAAGATTGTCAGCTGTGAGATCGATGTTCCTGTCGCTTAGGACCTTTTTTCTTTTCTTTTCTGTTCTTTTTTTTTTTTTTTTTGGCGTCCTAGAGAGTTATCACTGTTAAAATAAACGCAGCTGTATTATCTATACTATATGGCATTTGCTCGATCTATATGCCATTACAACTTGGCTTGCTCGCTGGTAATGCCGTGAACGAGGACACAGGGTCCTCCAGCAATGACATGGATGCCGACTTCCTTTGCATAAGCCAATGCTTCCGGAGAATCGACATCGGGCTGCAACCAGACACGCTGGATTCCGTTCTTGTGTGCCTCTTCAAGAACGGACTTGGTGACCGCAGGAGGGGTGATGATCGAGACATGGTACTCAGAAGGTGAGCCAGGCAACGAGGACAGGTTCGGGACACAGGCCAGCGACTCGATTGTCTTTTCCTTTGGGTTCACAGGCACTGCTGTATAGCCATGGTCGGTGTACCTGGGTGGTGGACATTGAAGATGGGTCGGTCAGGTTTAGATATTCAGGGTTTTTACGGGCATAGGAAGCGTATAAAAAGATGGAGCTTTTGATCGGATTTGGGGGGGGGGTTACCAACGCAGGACTTTGTTGCCGAACTTGGTGCGGTTGGAGGATGCACCGACGACGGCGAATTTTTGGTCGGAGGAGGAAAAGAACTCGGTGATGGGGGAAGGTGTCGACATGCTGCAGAGATGTTGAAGTGAATGAAAGAAATGGAAGTGATGGAGCGAAGGGGGGGTTCTCGGGCAACATCTCCCCCGCGCCCGCGTGCCAAAGACCCGGCACACTGTCGTCGTAACAAACCTTATTTTAATTGAGACAGCAGTTTTAACATCTATGGAATTCAGGGCAAAATTCAGGTACACTTGGCCACTAGAATCGGTTCAAGGCGTTATCAAACATGGTGTGGTCCCCTTCCTCCATCACCTTCGAGATCGGCGTCTGGCTCGCAAGTCCTTCGCGCTTCAGATATGACTGTGCATAATGCAGTCCATTTCGATGCTCTTCCGCATTCGCACCCGCGCCAACCCAGACAAAGATCTCGTGGTGGACGTCCAGAATGAAGACATCGTTCGTGTCCAAGAGCTCCTGCGACACTTCAGGACCTGATCCCTCTAGCGTGAACTCGAGTTTTCCGCTGGCGTTACTCAATCTAGATGGAGAGTGTAGTAGTGGGGAAAAAAAAGGCAAGGTAATGATGGTTATGCGGTTTGTTCTCTCGTGATGACCTAGAAGAAAAACGAATCCTTACCGGAACAGTTTCTTGACATAATCAGGCTCTTCAGAAACGGCCTCTGCAGGCTTCACCTCGGCCTCACCTCCAAGCGCCGTCCAAAAGATCCTCTGATCTCGGTCGCCCTCATCTACATACATTAATGGACATTGCAGTAGGGGTCAATACCATCATACAAAGAATAATAGAGACTTTTCATATTTCTACCGCAACTTACCAAAGGTCTCGACGTCAATTGCACCGGCGCGATCAGCCCTAATCCCATGTACATACTCTGCGCCCTTGACCCTTTCGACTCCCGAACTCTCCTTTCCGTTCCACTGGTACAGGATCTTGCCCGTATCCAAAATAAAGACATCCCCACTGTTCATCATCGACGCGGGGACTTCGCGAACCACGACCGAGGACTTGTGGCCACCCTTGTTCGGTGCAGACTTGACCATCAGCAGGCGAGAAATGTACTCAGGTTCGGTCCAGTGATGGAACCCAGAGGCGACTGCGCCGGCGTGGGTTGAAAAGGTTGCGAAATAGGACAGAAATAACCTGGACTCGTGGCCGTCGACCTCACGGTGTTGGATGGGTTTTCCGTCTAGGTCTTTTTTTTTTTTTTTTTTTTTTTTCAGTGGGGGGTGAGTAAGATTACCTGGGTTAAAAAAAAAAAACGCGCTTCACATTAAAGAATAAAAGATCCTGAATTCCCCATCTTGCTTCAGGTCCTGCACTTACAATCGTCCAGCTCGACAGTCTTGTAGGCGGCAGTACCAGCCTCGTCTTGGCTGGTTTTTTCGCCCAGCCAGAAATGTATATCGTACAGGAGTGCATCCGAGTCCTCCTTTGCGTACGTCTGTTCACGATCAAAGTGGATTGTTATTCTCATGGGGAAGAAAGATCTGCAGACGATGGCCAACTACTCTCGGTCTACTTACATTCAAAACAATATAGCTGTCGCCGGTGTAAAACCGGCCATAGTCCTTCTTGGGCACTGCCACGACCTGGAACTGCTCAATCCGCCAGGTCCACAGACCTGTCTCTGATCCAACACCTGTATCTGGCCCCCAAGCCTCTTCCAGAGCGCCTTCTTCCTTACGGCGGTCCTTCTCGAGTTGGCTACCGAATTCGGCCAAGTTGGTATCCTCGAGTTCTAAAAGACGGTTTGATTTGGTGTGTGCGTATAGGGGAAAGAAAGATCAGATAAACAAACACAGGCGAAGCACGAAGCACACGAATAGTCTACCAAGCAAAATCCTACTCCAAGTTGAGTTCTTGAGCATGACAGGTAAAAAGTGATTCGAATTGAATGAAGTTTGCAAATGAAGTAAATGAACAAGACAGACCATTCTGGGATGCCACCTCTTATCTCTTTTCTACAGTTAGCCCTACGTTGCGCCCATGAGCGTTAAGCCCGAACCCTAGCCCCGAACATATGAATTGTTCAAGGATCTTTTTTATTCCGCGCGACGCGACAATATTATGTACCCAACGAAAACGCCCCATCAAGGTACAATGCAAATATTATTGCTGTATTATGCTTTATTGTTCTCAAGACTCTTCAGCGGGCCACGATCCGTCCTCGGCTTATTTTATATGTCCTACTACTGTCCTGGATATCCCTGATAGCCTGGTGGCGGAGGTGCTCCATAGGGCGCATAATTTCCTGGTGGTCGCATGGGTGGTGCTCCTCCTGGGTACCCTGGCTGCTGCATAGGCGCATATCCTGGTGGCGGTAGTGGGCCACCCTGCATCATCGGAGGCTGGTTAGGATTGGGTGCATACATCCCTGGTGGAGGCGGTGCCATTGCGCCTGGTGGAGGCATTGCTCCGAAGGGTGGCGGTCTTGAGAGCTGACCTAACGGAATGGCATTACTTCCATGATACTGCGGTTGCTGCTGTTGCATGTGACTAGGATATCCACCGAAGCGAGGGGGTGGGGGTAATTGCTGACCGTAAGGTGCTGGTGGCCGGGGCATACCCGGGGCCTGTGCGGGAGGTTGTGAAAAGGGAGGTGGGGGACGAGAAACGGGTGCTGCATTGGCTCCTGTGGGTGTGAATCCTCCTGGCGCTGGTCCTGGAATATCTGCAAATAGGCGGTTGGGCATGCTGGGCTGATTCTTTCTTCCCTGTGCGGCAATTAGACGCTCTGTTGAATGAAAAGGAAAGGAGGTGGTTTGATATCAGTCCCAGCTTGCCATAGCCCATACGCACGCAACAAAAAAATGAACACCAATATCCAGAGAGTTACCTGCAGCTGATCCATGCCGCTCTCCCTTTCCATCCTTCTTGTACGCATATCCGACTGTAATGGGTTTGTTGGCCAGGATCTGTCCGTTCATGGCATCGATGGCTGCGTCCGAGCTCTCAAAGTTATCGAAGCTGACGAATCCATAGCCCTTCGATTGACCCGTCTCCAGATCGCGTGCGACCTTTGCGTGCCCAACAATTGTTCCAAATGCGCTGAAGGTGTCCCTAAGCAGTGTCTCGTCGGCATCCGGGGCAAGATTTCCGATGAAGAGCGATGCGCCAACCTCCAGATTCTTTCTATCCGATGTTGCTTTGTTGATCCTGAGGGGCTTTCCGAAGAGTTTGACCTGATTAAGAATCTTGCAGGCATAGTCTGCATCATCCTCTGACACATATTCGCAGAATCCATAATTTTGGTGCATCTGCGTTACCCTGTCCTTTGGTAGGTGCACATTCACTGGTTGATATGCAAGCCGAGTCGAGTCGAAAAGACAGGTATTAATAACCACTCGATTTTACGATAATAAGAAAGACAGCAGTATGCAGTACTTTGCGCCACTTGACGCGAAGCGAAGCAGGCGGTTTCCCTGACAGTGTGCCACTTACCGACAGGACCAGCTTGAGCCATGAGTTCCCAGATCAGGGCATCGGTGCAGCGGTCATCCAGATTGCCGACATAGACAGTCGCGTCCTGATTGCGCTCGATAGGCTGTGCCATGTCGAATGCTGTCCTGAGCGAGAGTGGGTGAACAGGTGGAGGTTGGACGTCGAACGCTGCGGAGGAAGTTGAGTCGAGTCAAGTCGAGGCACTGGGAACCGATCCTCAGCACCATGTCTGCACTTGCACTCAAAGTAGGGTTGCCCAAGCCACATTTTTTTGTTCTCGTTCATGGGGGCTGTGCGAGCACTAAAAATAAAGAAGAGACATTCATCCCATATTACCAACGGCTATCATCGTCGGAGTCATTCGAGGCTCATCTGCCATACCTGAGTTTAGTCAGTCGTTACAGTCGTCGAGACTATTGACGCTGACTTGCTACGCTTGAGCCCGGTACAAACGAAAAGTGTATAATGGAGTGTGTAGGGATCGATCAATTATAGTGGCAAAAGTGCTGAAGGATCGTCAGGTACGGGCGTATCATTTGTTAACAATCCAAATCTCTGAGTATATACAAGTATGCTAACGCCTGTTCTTGCCACTACCAACAAACACACACTACGGCATCAATTGTGCAACTATACTTCTTCAGGCTACCTAGACCACCATGTGGAATTCACTACTGCTGTGTGGCTGGATTCCACTTCCAGTGTTCAATCGCACTTGTTTCGTTACCAATCGGCTAGATAGACTTGTAAGAAGCAGGTCCAGAACGCTGTCTTTCTTTGGTTTTGCAATGCGTGCTGTTGCCACAAAACGACGTAATGCTGCTCTTTGTGGATTGACATCACCATCCCTCTTTGTGCGACCTGCTGTTCCATTTTTTTTTTTTTTTTTTGTTTCTAAAAGAGCAGAAACAAAAGACGGGAGCAGTGAACAACAGGCAAGGACGGTCACAGTTAAGACTACTAACCCATGCATTCTATTAGTCCTCTTGAGGACTTTGCACCCTTTTTTTTTTTTCCTTTTCCTGCAGACGAACTATCCAAACCAGACCAAGCAGACCAAGCAGACCAAGCAGGGGGGCGGGCGAGGAAGAGGGGGCGAAGAAGTGAGGACTCCTTTGGAGGCGGTGCAGCTTTCCCCAATTTGTCGCCCGCAGGCGATTGGGCGTGTGATGCGAGGACCAACCAGAAGCTGTATATACTCTTTGGTTTGTACGTGGCACGGCACCATAAATAAATCGTATTATAAAGTTCGATTCAGTCCCATTCAATCAGCATATGACAAATCGCCATTTCTGGCAGATTCCAGTGCCGCCGCGCGCCCCGTGCTTTTTGTGTCCCTTCCTTTCCTTTTTGCTTGGCAGTGGTTCCATCCGCAGCAGACGCATATAAAAACCTCGAGTGCCCCTCCCTTGCCTCCCCTTTTTTCTTTTCTTTCTTCAACCATCTCTTCTCCTCCTCTCTGTCTTCCCCCTCATATCACACAAGCACCTTCTGAACACACACCCATCCATCATGCAGATCTTCGTCAAGACCCTCACTGGCAAGACCATCACCCTTGAGGTCGAGTCTTCCGACACTATTGATAATGTCAAGCAGAAGATCCAGGATAAGGAAGGTATTCCCCCAGACCAGCAGCGTCTCATTTTCGCCGGCAAGCAGCTTGAGGATGGCCGCACCCTCTCGGACTACAACATTCAGAAGGAGTCAACCCTCCACTTGGTTCTCCGTCTCCGCGGTGGTATGCAGATCTTCGTCAAGACCCTCACCGGCAAGACCATCACTCTCGAGGTCGAGTCTTCGGACACGATCGATAACGTCAAGCAAAAGATCCAGGACAAGGAAGGTATTCCCCCAGACCAGCAGCGCCTCATTTTCGCCGGCAAGCAGCTTGAGGATGGCCGCACCCTCTCGGACTACAACATTCAGAAGGAGTCGACCCTCCATTTGGTTCTCCGTCTCCGCGGTGGTATGCAGATCTTCGTCAAGACCCTCACCGGCAAGACCATCACTCTCGAGGTCGAGTCTTCGGACACGATCGATAACGTCAAACAGAAGATCCAGGACAAGGAGGGTATCCCCCCAGACCAGCAGCGCCTCATTTTCGCCGGCAAGCAGCTTGAGGACGGCCGCACCCTCTCGGACTACAACATTCAGAAGGAGTCGACCCTCCATTTGGTTCTCCGTCTCCGCGGTGGTATGCAGATCTTCGTCAAGACCCTCACCGGCAAGACCATCACTCTCGAGGTCGAGTCTTCGGACACGATCGATAACGTCAAACAGAAGATCCAGGACAAGGAGGGTATCCCCCCAGACCAGCAGCGCCTCATTTTCGCCGGCAAGCAGCTTGAGGACGGCCGCACCCTCTCGGACTACAACATTCAGAAGGAGTCGACCCTCCATTTGGTTCTCCGTCTCCGTGGTGGCCAGTAAAGCCTCTCTGCTATTGGGCCGGGCCTCCCTGGAACTTTTATGATCAATGTAGCACGGCGTATCTTGAGCAACAAGTATGATCATTAAAGCATTTCTGTACATACAAAACATTGAAGTTGACATGAAGTAACTGTAGAAAAGGATATACATTTGGGGGGTAGGTTTGGCGAGTATTGATCTCAGCCATAGTGGAGAAATCGACTGCCACTTTATTTCCGTAATATGTTAGGTTAGCTACATCTCCGCTTTCCAGAGGAGGTGCAGCATATTTTCATTATCCTCAAAGTTCAAAGCCATGAGCGTCATCTGGGCGCACTCACGTCTAAACGCAGTGGCGTTAGTCGTGAACCTGTCGCGGTTAGCAGTCGTCAGGTTATTTTCGATGCCATCCATGAGCTATAGCATTAACATGACGGAAGTAGAATGGTCATTTAGTGACACGCGATAGTAGACGGTTATTACGATAAATAGAGAGAGCTGAATGCCGCACTTACCCCATCTACCGCCTTTTGAAGTTGCTCCTGTCTGTCCGGCAGCTGTGCTTGCACAAATCTGGTCGTATATTCCACAAAGAACCCTCTATTCAGGAGAATCAGCCCCAGCAAAGGTCGGCTCAGACTCCATTGGTTGCTTCGGTTCTCAAACGCAATGACTTGGAAGAGAACCATGAGTAAATAGGCAAACGCTTGTTTGTTCGATAGCACATATTCGACTAGCCAATGCGTTCCCTGTTGCTCTTGTTGACGATGCTTAGGCAACCGCGAGTTCGCGCCACTTGTCAAGTCGGTACTCCCTCGATGGTGATTGCCATTATTGCTGCCGACAGTCGCCAGATTTCCAATATCCACTGGGATATCGTGCATTTCATCCGCACCTTCATCACCAACCTTGCGGATTTTATTCCTAATCAGCCAGTTCAGGACAAAGGTGCAGACCTTGTCAATGGCAGAGCAAGCCATTGTGGAACAATATGCGTCCGTTGCAGGTAGCGGAATGACTTCGCCCAATGCTCGAAAGATATACGACAGGACAGGATGAGGCATCATAGCCAGTCCTGTCATATGGTCCGTTGTGAATACATCAATCACCCTGAAGTACGCCTGTGCCAGTTTCGGGAAGGACTAGAGGGTGTCGAGAATAGTTGCGTTATTGTGGGAATGTAAGCACGTGTATCTGGGTGCCGACCAATTTGCTTGTCGCCGCTTCGAACTTACAACCATATCATCCACGGGAATAGCAAGCATCAGCTGGAAGAAAATTTCCAGGACACGATCCAGGGCTTTGTCCCCATATAGCTTGAACACTCCAAAGTTGGCATACTTTCCAGAGAGCGAGACCGACATGATCTCAAAGTAAAGCATTATGCCCTTATACCTACGAGGCGAGCGAAGAGATTGTGTTAAAAGAAGACACTAATATATCAGCCAAATCCTACCAAAGGTAAGCAGTACGTTCATTTGGTGCTTACTTTTCTGACCAACGATTGCTCTCATTTGATATGGGCCGATTTAAGAGGTTTTGGCCATAGGTATAAAGGACGTTGCTGAAAGTCATCGTCGACCAAAGTGTTTAAGTATTAGCGTCAGATCTAACAAATAACACTACCCATGCTCCTCCTCCCTAGCGCTTTCGTTTGGTCTTTGCTCACCTTGTCTCTCTAAAGAGGAGGATGCCGTTCGGGCTGCTGCTATCAAACGTGACACGGCTGCTCTTGTTGGTGGCAAACTCGTGCCAAAAACGGAGGATTGCGATCGCAAGTTCGTTCTGTGGCCAAATCTCAATCGCACGCGCGGCGATAGGAGCGTATGCAGGGTAAAACCACTCGTAAAACAGGTTGAACTGTCTCCGATTGCTTATACTTGTCACAAATCCCCGCAGGTCCTTGAACACACCTAGAAGGATCAACTAAAGTCGAGAACACGAGAATGAACATATTGAGTAGCTAGCCTTGATGGTCAGCTGCACAAATGAGAATCCAGAATTTGGACCAAGCAGGAAGATATTGATTAAATACTCACCCGAATCTCCTCTTCGCCCAACTCGCCGCTTCCTTCGAACGCAAGTGTTATCCGGTCCAGGGTCGTTTCCCATGGCTTGATAAACCGCCAAAAGTCTGCATCGATATTGTCTTCTGCGAATAAAATCCTGGCGAGCATCGTGTAGTAGATTGTCCTGCAACGACTGACATCACTACTGGAGGGTTTCCTTGCTGGATCCAGGAACCGAAATTCGCTCGAACTATGGTTCTTCAGTAGTGCCTTCGTTGTATCCAATTTTCGAATGTATTTTACGGAGCTGTATCTATTGCAGATGTGCAAAATAAATAATATATTTTAGTATGCCTATTTCAAATAATACCATATTACGAATACTGAAATGGTGAAGTACCCTGAAGAAAGATTTGTAAACAGCTTCAGTGTCCGAAGCACTAGCTGATCCTCCTGCTTCCGCCATTCAGGGTCGCCACTCGAACGAAGATTACCCAGTGACGAGTTCAAAATCACATCCAGAACCTGGTTGGGAGTATTTAATCCCCATCGCGAGGCGAGCTGCGTGTACACCTTGACTGCTTTGGAGGAATCTTCGCCGATGTACGATGTTCTGAACTCGGTATAAAAGTAAATGATGGCAGACTGAATATAGAGGTGCGCGTCGGCAGAAGCGAGATACAGGGGTCGCTGCGTTGTCCATACTTGGAGTTGATGGATAAAGCCAAGTACCTCACAGGCGAATTCTCCATCCACCTGATCCTGTTCCGAAGTGCTTTGATACATCTATAAAATATTGAACAAGCCAAATTAAGTTAACATCGTCAATAGTACAGTGTATGCAAAAACGTGGAGCCAAGATCTACTTACCACCCTGGCACCGATGCACGCGGCCATGATATAAACCATCCATGTTAATTGCATCTCAATCACCATGAGACTCTCCTTGATATCGCTCGCTCCGATGGGCGGAGATGTGGTGCCAGATAAAGCGGATGCCCTCTGGATGAGCTCCCGATACTTGAGCAGCAGGTCCTTGAACTCACTGACGATACTGCGACCGGACTCTGTGTACTTTGTGCGTGCAATGTTAGCAAACATCTCCAGGGAAAGTAGCAGAGTCTCTTCCGACTCGAGAGGGTCTGTTAAGTTGAGAAGGACTGGTTATCAACAAATGGAACTAAAATGGATACAGATTGGTTCATAGTTCGACGCAGAGAACACGCTTACCATCGGCCTCTCCGTCCATAACTGCATGAACACAGTCCAGACGTGACTTGACATAGGCCCTAGACAAGTTCACTGCGATATCCTCGATAAAAAGCTCGGTCTCTTGCTTCACAGAGCTCAGTGAGCCCACAGTCTTGTTCCAGAATGTCAGCAGATACGGAACACTATTCGGTGACCACTATTCAGAATGTAAAATCACATAAGAACTATCAGGTACAAGTTCTGTAAACATAAATCATTGCGGACATAATTTCTAAAGGACAATTACCTTCCAAGAATGAAAGCCTTGGGCTGTAAACTCGCCGATGGCGGAAAGCCACTGCTCAGAATCCTTATATTCACAAACCTCGGCGAGTTGATATGTGCTCTTAAACCGCGATAACATCCGACAGAACTCATGAAAGTTGCTCACATCCTGCAGTTTGCTTTGTCCAGCAGCCGTGGTAAGAGTTAGGATCGTCTCCTGCATCATCTGATGGATGTACGTATGCCGCGCACTGTCCGTGGAAAACACTGAACGACGGATCGACGCTGCCTGGGATAAGCATTCCATCACTCGAACGGAAACAGGGCTCGAGAAAATCTTCCAGCATTCCCAAAGGACATCCAGATATCCTGATTGCTCAAAGACGACCCTCCATGCTGTAGGCACCTGAATGCTCCCCACATCGTCTGATGCCTCTTCATGCGATGCCCCAATGAAGTCAAATGCCAAGCACGCTTTCAACAACAAAAGGATATCCTCTTTCAACTTTTCTGCTTCAGGGTCTTTACATAAAGAGTAGTCAGTCGAAAGGAGGGATTTGTAATTCATTCATCCTACTGGCAATACTCAGGTAAACCGATTAAGCGCTTTGAAGCTTCAGACTGAAAAGCAAATACGCACCTGTAAGTGGGCTCTGTAGCACGGTCTTAAGCATGGCAAGAGCTGCCTGGAATATAGGAAGTAATTGAGCGTCTCGGAATCCAACAGCGCTCTTTCGATGCTTGACCACGTTTCTCGAACCAGGTATATTCATCTCAGTAGCAACAGCAGTTAATATCCGAACTCCTAAGATGCGATGGTTCGTTCCATGCTAGAGTGCACAATAGGAATCAAAAGTTGAGAACGAGTTTTGGTGATGAGGACTGAGTTGTTGGGAGAAATGCAGGCGTATTGCAGGAAAGTTGTGGTACTCCCTGTACCTGAAAGAAGACCTGAATGTGTTCCAAGAGCGAGCGAAATTCCTTGTTCTCGACCCAACCAAGCTTTGTGATCATTGCAAAGAGCTGAGCCTGGGCTGCGAGAATGAATGTCGGTAGATCGGGGTTCTGATAGATGTACTGAAGAACAAAAGAGCGGAGGCCATGTTGTTCTGCTGTTGTAAAAGTCGCAAAATGATTATCGACGAGCATCTTTAAACGCGATGTGGCGAACCTATCGTGCAATCGCAATGTCATTAAGTCTCTAGGCATTGAACAAGAAGCAAGAGGCTTCGGCATACAGGACAGTGCTTCCTACATCAAGGCATAGGGGCTCTTTGAATTTTCGAGCAAGTTTCGACAGAACAGCGCAGATTCGATTGGCGAATTGACGTTGGGGCTATGAGCATTTGCTGCGTCATTGACTCCTCCAGCACCGGTGCCGCTGCTTCCGACACTGCCGAAGTCATTGCTGAAGGTGGGGCAATGATAGTTGAGAAGATTCTCAGCTTGGAGCCGACTGGCAGGGTTGGGAGGGTTGTACAAAGTCTCGCAGTACCGTTCGAGCGTCTGTAGGTCGACTGACGCGTTCATTATGATAGAGCCAGTTCGACAGCGCTGGGTTAGGTCAAAGTATAAAGCAATAGCGGTGTAGAGCAAGTCGTAAGAGTCAGGACGTCAATGGCACGATGGGAATGAAAGCTGGAAGCTCTCTCTCATGGTCTCCATGCTGATGTTTATTTGAACCATCACTTATTCGCTTATTCGCCTGTCACATTCTCAAATTGGCGGCGTTCTCTAGATCTGCATCCCAAGGCGCATATCTTACTGTCCCCAGGCCGCTCACCATTGACGCGTAATAATGCCGTTGAAATTCACATCTGTAGCAAGCAACTGAAAGCTTAAATATGCAGCAATGAGTATCGTTGCGAATGGCATCTGCATATCCTATATCCACGCTGTTATTGCTTCAATGATCCGTTGAATGTATTTGCTCCTCACGCGTCTAGACAATGCCGACAGTGGTGGTCGCTGTTTGCGTGTGTCACACTGAGATGTGGCTGACTGCAATGTCGTAAAATAGCACTCAAAAGGTCCCACAAGCGAGGCAAGCTTCCACTATCACTTCTCTCACCGCCTCTCTCACCTCCTCTCTCATAAACACTCGCCTCATCAAGCAATCATGGATCCCGATGATCTGAGTGCCCAGCAATGGCAGAACTCCTTCTCTGCTAATGCAGAACCTGAGCCTCAGCCTCAGCCTTCGGATTGCAACGACTATTGGTTTGTAAGTTCTCCATAAGGCTCTTCAATATATACTTGAGTCATTTATTACGCGTGCATGCTCACCAGGCCCTCAACAATAGATCCCAACCTATGCGGACACGAAAGTTCTTGAGGAAAGGCTGGAGACATTTGCTCATGACACTGGAGCTCATATGACGTTCAACAAAAAGCAGGAGGTACAGATATGTGGACATGCGATTATGGTTTTGATTGAATCACGGCGCCTCTTATCACCGTGTTCATTGATCTGGATTTGCTCCGTCTGTTTGGTTCGACTTTAGAGAATCGAGCTATGGGGCCAGACATCCTGCATTCAAAGAGCCAAGTCGTCGCTGGATCAATTTGCCGCATTTTACCAAGACGTATGTGTAGCTACGGATGTCAGACCTGGTTATTACAAATGTGGTACAGAACAGCCGATTAACGAGGGTATTTTATATGGTGCGCTTTTCATTTAGCTGCATGAAACCAAACAAAAGATGACAAAGACGAGGGGCTGGGCCAAACCAGATCGAGAACTAACAGCGGCCGAAAAGAGAAAGAAGGAACGGGAAGATCGACGTAGGCTGGAGAGCCAGAGATATCTGGGACGACCGACAGAAGAATGTACGTATCAGCACCGCCTCAATTGGCCCAAGGATCTGCCCGCATTCCGCCTTCTCGGTGGAAACCTGCAGTTGCTGGACGCTCTGAGGACAGAATGCAAGTCCTTTATCTGGATGGATCAGCCAGAAATGGTAAGAGGATGTCGCCCTTTATTATTGCATCGCCAATTCCGACCGCATGCATTAACATCGAACACATGCAACAGTCGTATTAATAATATGCTATCTGTTTCTGACTCCTATAGGTTCTCTATGTCTATGGAAATGATTACCACTCTACCTTTACAGCAATGACAAGGATAAAGAACTATATTCTCAAGAGGGTAAGAGGTTTTCTTTAATGAACAGGAGCGACCAAGGTACATCAACTCCGATGAATGGACATTGCTGTCTCGATTGATGATTGAACGGAGTGTTTCCCTATACCGACTTAGAAAAGAGCACCGTTCGACAACGTCTGTCATATTCTGGAGAAGCCTTCAAAGCTGGTCGAGATGCACATGGTCAATGCTTCGCCAATGCCTTACCTTGGCGTGCCTCTTCAGCACACTGTGCCTGCCAAACAGGGGGCTCCACATTCCCAGGGAGCTAGCAATGCGAGCGTTTTTATCAGAGCTAAAGAGGTTGCGGCGTTTGAAAACTTACACGAATTCGACCTCAGTATGGCTTCTATTGAGAAAGGAGGAGAAGTGAAGGATCGAGCACCCCCCGGTGCCGTACCGCAAAAGGCAGGAGAGGTTGCTGCCGTGAGGAGGAACGACGCCTACATTAACTCGTTGAAGTATACTGAGAGGTAACCAGTCTTGACATAGATCTTACATTGTCATTCCATTCGTCGTGTATCATACCACTAACAAGCAATGACTTCTTCCCTTTTTATTTTTATTTTTATTTTTATTTTTATTTTTATTTTTATTTTTGTTTTATTTTATTTTATTTTTTTGCAATGTGCAAACACGGTAGCATGACGGAAAGAAACATTGAGCGCATTCGTAACGCACTTGAAGACTCTCTCAACCAAGTCCAGCTGTTGGATGGCGAGATCAAAATGCGGATCCGGTACGATGATATCAGTGCATACGCTGTGCTACCGTCCCTTGCTCTTACTGCGTGTTGAAGGGATGCTGACAACCGTTTACAATCTCACAATCTTACAGGATCGGTCAGATCAGTCTGCAAGAGTACCCCAGGGGATCCGTTTGGGAAATTAAGGAGATGGACGCCAGTGTTATTCGTGATCCTCGCTTGAAGACAGAGTTCAGCCCGTTTTTTACCAAGTCCTCCGAATCGTTCTCAGCGCTGGTGAAAAAACTAACGCCTCCGCATCTCCAAGATCACATCGTGCCGCCTGACGTGATTTGGTCGCTTGGGGTTCTGAAGAGAGCAGAGGACACCAATATTCCTATTAACGTCCAGCTGGATGTGACATTCAGGGAAAAAACGGTCTCTCTCTGGAATGCGCTTGTACAAAAGACGACTCCTTTGGATATCAGGGTCATTTCCTCTGAGAGGTAAGCTTCACCACCTGCGCACGTTTGGAAGGGTCGAGGATGTTGTGGACTCGTCTGTATATGCTTGACTGATATCGATGCTTTAAATGCCCTCTACGTACCACCCATAGGTTGTTCTCCTGGGCCTGGACGCTTTCAAGTGCGAGACGACTGGAGGGTGACAAGTTTTCGCCAGAGGGGGTTTTCGTTCACAGGCTGTCGTTAGAACCGAAGTATTTCAACAGGACCATGGTTTCAATGAAGTCTTGCTCTTTTCAATCCTTGAAGCTGGACTAACTTCATGACATCTTTACTCGTTTTTTCTGCAATATCATAGAAACAAGGGAGACGAACCGACGCTCGTATTCGCCAATACGAAGGACGTCCAACTGAGATACATCCGACGCGAAAAGAAGAGAGTGTTCGTTGACGATCCTTGGGTAATTGAATTAGTCGAGGAAGCATTCTGGACTCTTCAAGCCCCATACATGCCTTATCAGGCTGTGACACTGAGTTTCCCCGCAGACCAAGTCTTGTACTCTGTCTCTGTAAGTTGGCCATCGGAGAAACGCTTGGGAATTGATGGATGAAAGAGTAAGACGCTAAAGATGTTTTAATCTGTCATCTATCTGACCTACACAAAACACTATAGATGTACAGGGATTCTTGGGTGAACAGGTTCAGCGAAAATCCTCATCTCAGCTTGGGACAAGTCCCGACGTGGGACCCCGAAGACTTTTTCAAGTACGACGAGGCCATCGACAAAACAATGGATGAAGTCCACAGGATTCGGGACAAGATCGAGACCCTATTCGCAGAGTTCTGAGCTATCCATCACGATGGTGATAATGCCCTACAAAAGCAACCCAGCCGAGTTTGCAATCGCACAAAATTTCATGCATGCCGAAGTGTATCGCCTTCTTGAACCAACTCTCGTTTCCGGTGTACCCGTAAAGATGCGAACAGCATGAGAATACATAATAAAAGAATGAGCGGTTCGTGTGAACAAAAAAATGGCACAGAGTCTATCGACGGCGGGCCTGGTCAGCCAGCCAACGTGGTCAAGAGCCCGTTTCTTGCTGCAAGGCATTAGGTTACTGCTGCAAAAAAAAAAAAAAAAAAAAATCATTACGCGTAGAGGAAGACTTTGGAATAACGACATCTCAAGAGAAAGACGGCTGGTTGGTTGGTTGATTAGTCGGTTGACGGGGCGGGAAGGTTCTTTTACCGATGCTGAACCTTCGAATGGATGGATGGTATACATTGGGGCATCAACTTCATCAGCAAACACGAGAAAACGAGAACTGAGGTCGAGAGAGCAGCGTGCATGATGAGGATGATGGCCTACTTCAAGTTGCCCTAGGATATTGATAATGATGCTCATACCTCTATTCCTTCTTGTAGCTCCTGTATTCCTCTGCTCTGCCTTGTAGAGATGTAGCCTACGTGTGCTTCATTTCCACAATTGTCCTTGCTCCACAGACTCTTTTGTCTGGGTGTGCACAAATTGCAAAGAGGTTTCTGCATATATTCTTTTTTTTTTTTTATTCACACTCAATAAGAAGTTCGCGCCTCAACGTCTTTCTGCTCTCTTTCTCTTTTCTATTTTGTCCTTCTGAGGATGTATATCAGTGGCTGCAAGTGAAGGTTTAACACACCTACAGGCTTTCCAAGAGGATGAGGGGCATGAAGCCAGGGCAAAGAGAAGAAAACGGGATGACATTCCTAGTCAAAGAAGAGCACTACTGTCCTATTCCTTCATATTCAACAAACAAATCAAATGGACAGGCAAGAAAAATAATAAGGGCAGCCCACCATTCACACAATTTATATACATCCCTATCCAAACAACAAATGGTTCAATACTAAGGACACACAAGAGGGAGAAAAAAAAACGCTTAAGTGTGTGTACATTCGGGTATATTGGTTGAACAAGTTACACCACTGATGGGCACTTTGATTATGATTGCGAGAAACAGAAGAGAGAGAGGGTGAGACGGAGAGTGCGAGGGATGGGCAGGGCAAGTGCAGTGTAGAGACACATTGGTCTTTATGTCTGGCATCTACTTCCAATACAAGCCTGCCTGGGAGAGGGAAGGACGGGAAGCGAGGGCTGACTACGAACCAGAATTCGTTCACGGCGCCAGTTGTCCGAGGATGCACTATAGAAGGGAGGGGAGGGGGAAGTGGACTAGAGAATGGATGGGTGAATGGGTTGCTTTGTTTTTGTTTCTTTGCCGGTGCCTTTTAGTTTTCGCATATTGAATATCGCTGATTATGATAGGTAGGAGGGCACTCCCCACCGGACAGCTCAACCAAGAGCCAGTCAAAAATATGATAGGACAACATCCTCGGCCCACACCACTCAGTCGGGCCTCACATATACCACCACTATTCCCTCACATTCCCTTTTCTTTTTCTTCTTTCTTCCTCCTTACCCACCCACACTCCTCCTCCCGCCCCACCGACACGCCCCCTCACCCTTCCCATTCCTCATCTCTTTTCTTCATCGTCTGCTCTCTCTCCCATCTCCCTGTCCCTCATTCAAAAGAAAAAATAAAAAACACTATGCCAAAGGTCAAGGCCACAAGTGTCCCCTCTAAGAAGGCTGGTAAGCTATCCATTACCGGGATCCCAACTAATTCTTCTCGCGTCTGTAGCCATCATGTCTGCCGTCCTTCGATTTTTTTTTCTTTTTCTTTTTTCTGCTTACATTTCGGCTATCGTCCAGCCACGAGAACGCGCCACTAACATTATCCAAACTCTTCCACAATACCGTTCCCTATATTTATAGCCGCGGTTGATCCACCAAAGAAGAAGATGTCAGCCTACAACACTTTCATGAAGGAAGAGCTTCCCAAGTACAAGGCTAAGCACGCAGGCGTCGAGCACAAGGTACGCGTCGCGCAGTAACCCACTTGAGAAAAATGCGACTGAACTTTATTCGGCTCGTCCAATTGCTTCATTTTCAAGGACCATGGGGAAACGCTTCTGTTTGTCAGCACGGGATACCAATGAGCTTGCGAGGATGTAGACATTAACTTGTTCAACTAATATGGCTGTTTGAATGTCTTTTGCAACAAATTTGTAGGAGGCCTTCAAGCAGGTTGCTATCATGTGGAAGAACTCGCCGCAGAACCCCAAGCGTGCTCAATAAGCACAGTGGACATGATAGGCGTGCGGTCTTGGACGATCAAACATAGTCGCTCCATGAGACCGTACTCCCTCTGCTGCGACTATTTGTAGCAGCAACAACCCCTCCCTTTTTTTCGCTCTGTTTATTACTGTCTCTACCCTCCCCATCCGCAGTTGCTTGTAATTTCTTCAAGGCCGAAAAGGTCCTGATTTCCTTACCCAAAGGAAACAAAGTTGGCAACGCAATAAATATATGTACGATAATCTCATTTCATTTTGATGGGCGTCATTGTCCGTCGGTGTCGATGGATGTTAAATGCATTCCCAGGAGGCAGCATAGCATGTTTGCTTATGCTCTCTAATCAATGCAGCGCGCGAGGAATGGCTCGTGCTGGTTTGGTGGCAACGGTCTGTTTTAACACGACGCGTGACGCAATCGTCCGCGGTAGACTGGACCCTGAACTTGGCCATTGGAATCTACGGGCGCGGAGATTGGCGAACCACGCGACCGTGCTATTTTCCTGCGAGGAGATACATGAAGTAGGCGCCGGTTTTAAACTTCCCTTGCATCGAGTTCCCCGCTTTTCGGGAATCGTTTAAGGTTTTATTTTTCTCGGGCCTATCGCTCGATAAGTGACTCCACCTTCTTTTTGTCTGTCCCCTAGACTACAGAGACGTAGGATTCTTTTTTGTCTTTTCCGGCTGCGCTCTGGCTGTCACCCAGAAAGCGGGCTGGCTGGGGAGGGCCTTAGTCCCAAATGGAGATTGACAAAAGAAGAGGGCACCAGCTCATGTTTGTGATCCTCAGCTTCAGAATAAGAAATTTTAAGGTGGATCATGGATCGGATGCCGAACAACCTACCCATTTTCTTGTGCATGTTTGTTTTCCAGTGCGAAGAGGTTTAGGCCACTTTCCTTTGTTTTTTCCTTTTTTTCTGTGCGATTGCTTCCTTATTCAGCGCAACAGCGAAATGGTCTAGCATAGGCCCGATCCCTTTAAAAAGGTGGGCGGAGGTGTTCTGTTTCTTCATTCTGCTCATTCTGCTCATTCCTCCTTCTCCATCTCCCCTCTTCGATTTTTGCTCTGTACTATGCACCTGTGATACAATTCACCACCAATATCGTGCCGCTCACAATCATCACCACACAGCCCAACCGGCATCAAGTTCTGCTCACCTTAAACTCATACACTCCTGAGATCTCGCTTTGACGATTTTGATCCGAGAGGAATTGTCCGATACACCGCCATGTCCGTCGAGAGAAAATCAACCGATTGCGACATCCTACAAATTCAGGGGGAGCAGAACCACCACCACCAACAACCGCAATTAAATCACCAAGCACCTCAGAATCCGTCCGAAAAACCCCACAACTCCTTCTCTTCCCCTACTTCTGAAAAACCTCATCGGCCATCCTCAGCTTCTGCAGCATCCGCCTCCTCCACGGCCGTAGAAGCCATCGAGTCTGAGATCGTCACTGCCGCACCGGCCGCACCGGCCACGGATCCTGAACAAGAGCCTGGTCTCGAAAAAACCGTGTCGTTCATTGCCCCGCCTGATGGTGGGTACGGCTGGGTGGTGGTCGGAGCCTGCTTCCTGAACAATTTTTCGATGCTCGGGGTTATGTTCTCCTGGGGAATCTTTCAGCAACTTTACACAAAAGAGATCTTCCCGGGCCAGGTATCCGCAGTGTCGTGGATCGGGACTCTGGCATTTGGATTTATGTATATTGTCGGGGGGGTGTTCTCCTTGTTTGCGGCAAGGATTGGATATAGAAAGATGATCCTCACGGGATCCGTCCTGGTCGCGGGGGGCTGCGTCGCTGCTTCATTTGCGACTGAGGTAAGAGATTCTGTCTACTTTTTTTTTTTTTTTTTTTACTATCCAACATGGTGCTGGAAGGCGTTCTGATCCGGTTTTCGCTAATCGAATGGCATCTGTGCCCGGGCTGCTTATTTTATGAGTTTAGGTATGGCATTTGTATCTGAGCCAAGGAATTCTCTATGGAGTAAGCTACCCTTGTCTAAATCTTTTTATCAAACAAGATTCATAAAGGCTGTTTCTAGAATCTGTAGTCTCATCCTAAAACTTTTTTATAATTTGTCATTTCAATAGCTCGGTGCTGCGATGGCCAACCCTTGCATCCTCGCTGCACCCTCGCAATGGTTTGTCGCCCGTCGCGGCATGGCTTCTGGGATCGGAATCTCCGGATCTGGTGTCGGTGGGTTAGTCTTTTCGGTCTTGATCCAGAAACTAAACGCGTCGATCGGTCATCGGTGGTGTCTTCGTGTCCTGGCCATCATCGTCTGGTGCTCCATGGTCACCTCCGCACTGTTGATCCGACAATTCTCAACCACAGGAAACAGGGCTGTGAATGTGTCGATGAAGGATCTAGAGACGATGAAACGGCCGGCCTTCTTGATCATGATCTCGGGGGTGTTGTTGACTTCCTTTGGGTACTTTGCACCGCTCAACTTGCTGCCTTGTAGGTGGACCCTGGTATTTTTTATTTTTTTTTGAATAATTGGGTCCGACAGAGGCGTTGGCATCAAAACTATGTTACTGACCTCAGTTTGAACACTTTTATTTTATATTTGACAACACGCATAATATGAACAGCCTACGCAGTCGACCACAGTCTCTCTCAGGGCCAGGGCGCGATGCTCAACTCGTTCCTGAACGGCGCCTCGTTCTTTGGTCGCTTCGCTGGCGGTGTCTTTGGTGATCGCTTCGGACTCATTAATCTGATGCTCTTTTGTGTCCTTGCCAGTTCTCTTACAACTCTCCTCGTCTGGATGTTTGCCTCATCGCTTCCAGTCTTGCTCGTTTATGTGATCCTCTATGGCCTCTTGGGTGGAGGCTTCATCTCCTTGCTGGCCCCTGTCCTCGCAGAACAGTTTGGCATGGGATCGTTGACCATCTTGGTCGGTGTCACCTTTGGTGTCAACGGACTTGGATCCCTCACTGGGACGCCCATCGCAGCGGCGATTATGGCGAGCATGAGTGGAGGACAAGGAGGTGCGGGAGGTAATGGGGTTGGTGATCTAAATGTGTATAAGGGGGCGATTGGGTTCATTGGCGGGACCATGGCTGCGGGCGCGGTCGTGATGTTTTATTTGAAGTGCAAGGTTGGTGGCAAGCACAGAACCGTCGCCACATAAAATAGATCGTATGCCCATATCTACAACCCATACTACCACTAGCTACTGTAATAATCAAAATAATATAATCATCATCATCATAGACAGGAATGAGTGAGATCGGAGGATTGTCCTCTGTTCTCGATATCGTGCTTTTCACGCGCCTGTTTGTGTGGGGTTTGTTTATCTATTGACAAAGAGAGAGAAAGAATGTTGCGACAGACATACACGGACGCTGCGAGTAAAGTCCTCAAAAAACAACCATCCATGAAAAAAAAAAAAGGGGAGAGGATTATATCCGCAGCGATTAGAGTGTAATAGTATAGTGGCATGGTCTTAATAATGTACAATGTTATTATAATAATACGCGTAAAGGGAATTAAAAGAATGGTTGCCGTTATAGAATCTGGAGCGATCGATACGTAGAACGAAGAGGAAGAAGCGGCACATGGCAACTTTCGGCCCTATGGCTGTTTTTACATGTCGACATTGATATCCACCCATCTTGCCCCGCAGTCTGACCCTGCCGGCCGAATATCATATGTGGTCTGGTGCGTAATGACTGCCGGCTGTGGTTGTTGTGGCAGCATTGTATACGCGACGTGATGGGCGGAAACATTCGACCCCGTCCTCTGATGGTGACCCGACGCATATTGGGAGAACATGGATGTTACAGTATGACCGATATGACGACCGGTTTGCATCTGATGAGGGACGACTTGCTGACTTGAGCGCGGCTGTACTGGCTGCTGTTGATGTTGTGGGTGTGGTTGGTGGATCTGCTGTTGCTGCTGCTGTGTCTGGTGACTATGATGGTGCTGCGCTTGCTGCTGCGGTGGTTGCTGATGTGGCTGTGGCTGTGGCTGTGGCTGTGGCTGTGGCTGTGGCTGTGGCGGTGGTTGAGGGTGGGTCTGTTGAGTAGCATAGCCAGCATTGCTATATGCGGGTTGGGCTTCTGCTGAGTTATTGCTAGGTGTGCTCTGCTGGGTAGGGAACGTCGTTGGGATAGGTGAAGGTGGCTGCCACAGCATGTTAGAGAGCGTCCAAAGAGGGTCCGAGCACTCTGTTGTCGAGATCGGCTGAATTAGCGCCCTTCCGCCATTGTCGACCCACTCCTTGACCACGATGCTGGCTTGTGAGAAACGCGAGCGGGCGTACTTCTCATGCACGGTCTTGGACACGTTCGTCAAGCTGTTGTCGAGATATTGAATACACGTAAACACATTGGGATCATTGGGAACCTAGGAACACCGGCATTCGTCAAGTTGAATAACTTTGTTAGCGCAAGAAAGCTCGTCAAAATTGCCAGAAAGCTGTGTCTTCAAGGAACAAGGACGTACCATACTCTGCTTTCGGCAGATGTTGCGGGCCAAGAACAAAGCACTGGCAGCAATAGTCGAAGAGCCGAAGGAGAGGAAGCATCTCTGGAACATGGTTAGCTCCATCAAGAACTGAGCCACGTGTCGCAGAACTTGGTCGTCCTCCCCAGGCATCTCTAGATCCTTCTTTAAAAAGGCTTCGGCTGTTGGATGTCCCAACCCGTAATCCAGTGTCTTCAGGATATGTCTCTCCATTGTAATGAAAGCCGCCTCGTCATATGTGTTGCTGCATAGCTTGCATAATTGCGAAACTGAAGGAAGCTTGTCTTTTGAATCTTCGTACTTGCTGCTAATCCAGAGCGAGGTCATGCCAACAAGCTGATAATGCTTTTTGTAAACGACACGCTTGGAGAGATAACGATCCATCATGTTCATTGCCAGATACAATGTCTCGGGCTGGAGGTTGAAGTGGTTGTGGATCTCGATCAAAAAGTCGACCAACAGCGGTCTCAGATCCCAAGTGAGCTCTGGCTGTAGATCCATGTGTTCAGGAACAGCCATGGTCTCCTTCTGATGTCGATATCATAAGGCGACCCATCCAGAGGGATACATTGTAAGATAGTCATAGAGAGAGTGAGAAAAAAAATACCAAGCAATAGTCAGAAGGCATTCACATACGTCTTCGTGCATGAGAATACTACAAATCAACAGCTGCAGGGTGTATTTCTGAAGGATGGGGAAATAAGGGGTGCAAACAAAGGAGTGGAAGTGGTCATACCACGCAGTGCGCGTGCCATGGTACAGAGAAGAAGTGGGATTGTGAAACAAGCGTACAACGGCGATCACAGGTCAGAAAACCAAACATACCTCCATTTGCTTCATATATTGGAAGATCTCCTCCTTATATTCGAGCTCCAACAGGTTGTCGGTCTCGTCCTTGGCCCAACCAACAGTGCTTGTCATGGCATTGCTGACCAATGACGGGAGCACTGGGGGGGCATTCGCTGGTGCACTGTTTAGTGTTGGTCGCGTCGCTCTGGAAGCATGGTGGCCCTTCGTAGGCGATGAGTGTGCGGTGACGGGCTTCTTCTTCATTGTCATAACTAATCCCTGGTGGGAATCAATCCGGACGATGCCATTCATCGTTGTGTGTGTGAGCGTGTGTGTAGGTGAAGGGCGTGAAAGATGGGTGTGTACCTGTGTACGAAAACGTGCTGGTTACGTGGGGATGTGTTCAGAACAGTTCAGAATGATACCAATATGCCTTTGGGTAGAAAGCAGCGCAAGAAATGGATTGGCGAGAGAAGAGGCGGAGGGACAGAAAGCGGGGTCGCTAAGAGATCTTTGCACGCAGCGTCAATCCAGCCGTGGGATAGTACTAATCGTTCTCAACAAGTGGGATCCAAGAGTCCTCGGATGACCTTTGGCACTGGACGGTAGTACCAGAAAGAGGATAGGGACAAGGAAAACAGGATCCGGGACAGGAGAGAAAGATAGAGAGAGGGGGGAGGGAGAGAGGGTTAGTTTTCACTCGTTTAACCATGGATCCACAAGTCATTCACGGGAGTGGTATAAAACACCATTCTTTCCGTAAAAGTGGATAAACTCAAAGTGGATTGGATGGATTTCAGGAGAAGATGAGATTTCCGTAGGATGTATTTGTATGAAAGGAGAAGGGCAAGGAGGGGCAGAAAGATGCCAAAGGCGAGCACAAAGATAGAGAGATACTGACAGAGAGATAGAATGAGAGCGAGCGAGCGAGAGAAGCAGTAGGAGATGCGCGTCGCCAAAGGCTATGTCCTGTCCTTTTTTGGACGGGCCAATGACGAGGTGGGGAGGTATCATGGAGCCAGGGACGTCCTCCAAAGGGGCCACCCAATGGGAACACAGAGATGTACACGGCCCAAGCTATTGATGAGATGGGATTGGATGTATGGGTGCCTTCGTGTCTCGTTTGGCCACCAATCATACAATAATAGCGAGTTGCCCTGTGCGCCAGTGTAACACACGAACCAAGGCTGGTACCACCATGTCACATACATTCTGAGGATGGAGTACAAAGTCGCGCACAGGGGTGAGATCTGGATTGCCTGGGATATTCGGTAAGGGAAGGCAAGGGTATGATGGAAGAGTATAGGTTGTAAAGTAAAGGCCTAAGAATGGAAGGAAGTGTTCGTGCTCAAAGAGTGGTCCTGCTTTGCCGAGGATGAGAATAAGGATGAAGATGGGAAGAAGAGGAGGAGAGAGGATGGTGAAGGAAGGGAGGAAAAGGACGAAGAGAAAAGAGTGTGGTGAAAGAGCGCACTGAAGTAAATATAAATAAGAAGTGAAGAGAGCACGAAGAAGAGTACGCATCGAGGTTCGACCAGGTTCTGGCTGTATTTGCAGGACAGCGCCTAAAAGGGGCTTCGTTGAATGAATACAACAGATGAACAGGAGCTGCTTCTGCTGTTGCTTTTTTGCTTTTACTGGCAGGACAGAGAATGACAGGAAGCTGAGCCAGCTGGGCCGTGATACCGCCACTATCTCTCTGCAGCAGAATGGGTCGAAGGAGGATGGGCGACAGGGGGGATACGTGCAATGCTCTGCACATCATTTCACCTCTCTTTCTTTCCGTCTGCGGCAGCGCCTATGCAGATTATCCGAGTCATACAGGACGCATCCTTGTTCTTTGGTCATTCAACAAATGTTTCGGAATCATGCTCATTAGAACTGCCAGGTGGTCGAACACTTTGATGAATGGGTTTACATGGCATATGTGTAAATGTGATGTTACAGATAAGGTGTATAGGTGTAAAGAAGGACATTGGCTCATCTCTCAAAACGCGCTCGTGCAATGTAGTACAGTGCACTTTGATAATTGTAAGAGCAGAAGCAGAAAAAGATAGAGGCGGGGTTGATGTGGTCGACCCAGGAACAGGACACGCAAAGCAAAGAACGAAATCATCGATGCTTCTCGGGTCAGATTTGGATTGCCGTATTTTTCCTCGACATGTTGTGGAGCACGCATATTTGCAAGAGTACTCGCTGTGATACAATGGGGTGCGATATCATATACTGAATAGAACTGAATTGGACTGAGTTGAAATGAATGGTGTTTAAGAGGCAGGAAAAGAATATAGTGAAGTATTTGGGGGGGGAAAGACAGAGAGGGAGACAAGGAGGAGTAAGGAGACAGAATGAGTGAGCAAAAAATCAAAGGAGAGACAGGGGGAGGGGGAACAAAAAAATGGGAGAGGAGGAGGATGAGGGCGGGGGGGGAAGCGTATGTGTAGACGCGTGCGGAAGGTAGGGATGGTTTGTCCTGTCCAACATGCCAATGCATGACAAAAACACTTTAGGCACAGACTCAATTCAGTCCCGCTCTCCCAGCATAATCAACAAAGAAGCACCACCGGCTAGTACTGTCCTAGCCTATTTCCCACTCTCTCACGGTCTGTCTCGTGCTTTAGCTGCCGTAAGCGACCCACAATATCGACTCTTCCAGGTTGACTGAACAACGCGCATGAGCACTAAGGCGATAGACCGTAAGTTAGGTCATCACGAAGCACAAGGCACGGGTACTCTCATGTTCGATAACACAATAACGCATTCGTTTGTATCCTCATTCAAAATAATAGACCTGACGACCTGGGTCAAGGCGTAAGTTGTGACCAGACTATACAGATGCTTCGACGCGTCTTGATCGTGATAGGGAACCTTTTACTCACCTTCTGTTGGTGTGCCTTGTAGGCAGGTGGTATGCCGATAGGCTAGTGGAAATGCAAATTAGATTAAGGGCGGATATTGGTTCCAAGGGTATCGGAACGTCAAGTGTTGTGGGGCTAACGTACTGAAGGAAGGAAAAGGGATCAGGTGTTGGTGATAAATGTATTACGCGAGTGTAGAACGGGCGGGGGAGGGACAGAAGGGCCAAGAGACAGGGAAAGAAAAAATGTTTAGATGAGTAAGTGGATGCGCAGATACAGACAAAAGACACAAGGGAGAGAGAATGAGAGAGGGAGAGGGGATGCCAACAAGCGTGGAAAACAAGGAACCGCACAGAGTGAAGGGAGCAAGGTATAAGGCAAAGTAAATTAGAGTTTGTAGAGTGGTTAGTCGTTCTGGTTTGACGCGACGGAAGGAATGTGTGTGTTGTATATGGCCTTTGTCATAAAAGGCCAGATAAATGGTCGAAAGTTATTCAAAGGACTGAGTATGGAAAAGGAGTTTAAACTCGATGGGCAGACAAAGGTGAATGAAATAATCCGAGTTGGAGCATAGAATGAGGAGGGAGGAGACAAGATCAATAAGGATCTACATCATATCCGGAAGTGTCCAGCAAGAGGAGCAGTAAAGAGAGTAAAGAATGAAGGATTGAACAGTTTACAAAAATCGCGGTGATATCAGGATAGAAGGTGACAGCAACTAGGGCCGCCCTGGCGGAACTGTACCGCAACACTAAACTCCATTCCACATCCTTCAAAATTACGAATGTGGTTGCCCAGTCTGTCAAAGCTCCTTGGGTTTCCGTATTGATTTGCCTTCAAGCTGCTCCATAGCTCGGCCTGACCTGCGGCTGATCTACTGCACATCGCTCATATTCTTGCTCCAAGATCAATGTTCATACTACAATTGGAATCTGAGTGCACACTTGGTTTACAGGAGATGGGCACGTATAGCCAAAAAAGAAGAGAGAAAAAAAGCCATCGAACGAGGACAAAAGTAGAATTAATTAACTATAGGAAGGACTCTTGCCTTCAAGAGGATGCTCTCTTTCTACATTCGTCATACAGCCTCTGACAGGCGGGCAACGAAGAATACATAATCCTAAAGTGAATTCCTATTTTCACTTCTTGACAGACTGGCAGCCAGCCGGACAGTTTGAAGGGCTCATTCTCATGCAACGACGACATCATTCTCCAAAGCACCGAAGGGTAGACTCGTAGAATTAATGAACGCAGGTAAAAGAAATAGTTGCTTGCTCGCTCATGAGAGACAGCAGTGCAATGATTTTACCTAAGAAAGAGCACTTGTTTGCTTGCTCTTTTCTTTTCATGACCCAGAATTTATCGTAATACCGTATTACATGACCTCCTGGCAATGTAGAGTGACTACATGAGCGGACCCATTCCTTCTGGAAATCAGAACCCTTCATGTAAGGCGCGTACAGATTCTAGGAAGCGGATATTCAGGAGCGAGGAGCACCACCTCAGTAAACCAAGAGTGACATTCATGAGCTTTGTGTTTTCTGGTATTTGACATGGACGATAATGAGCCATGGAGAGGCCGAAATGTTTCACCACTCACGGAATGCTTCAACGATCTGTGAAGACACCTGTTTTGGCAAAGAAATAGCAAAGCTGCGTAACGTTTCTTTTCTTCCTTTTTTTTTTTTTTTTTTTTTTTTTTTTGCAGAGAGGGGCATTAAAATATGAGGATCGGAAGTCGCAGGCGAGCGACATTGCGAGGAGCTGGTTGGTTAGTTTGTCACTTCTAATGGCTTTCTCCGATTAAACCTCAGTTAGCGGTGGCCAAGGGGGTGGGTGAGAATTGGTAGGTTCCTAGGCCAATGCTCCATCACAGAAACAGATATTCTACGTCTTATTTACGTGGAATCTGGGACAGAAGAGTTTTCCGGAAGGTAGAGCTACATCTTCATTCTACCAGACCAGAAAGGAGGTCATCAGCCATACCCCCATACTCCTCCTTCTCACCCTTTTTTCTCTCTTTTGGTTCTCACTGCATGTCTGAAAATATGGCCAGGAGACGAGGAGGACAGGAGTGGGAAGACAGGAAGGGATCTTAAGGAGGCAGCAGTATTTCGTTGTGCGGGCATGTGCGCTTCGGGTACCAGGCAGCGCCCCCGTTCAACCGCTATCTGGTTCCGAGCGTTGAAAAGGCAAGGTCGTCCCTTTTAATACTTTCCATGCTATCCCTCCATTTCTATCTCTTTCACTCTCGTTAACGATCTACTCTCGCACTTCCTGCACTTGTTCACATACACTCAGTTATACCCCTCTCTTACACCACAAAAAAAATGTCTAAACGCCGCCATCAATCCACATATACCTTGCTGTTGTGTCAACGTCTGCTCATCCTTGCTCTTACCCTCCTCGCTACCGTCCTGGTTCTCATCCCAACAGTGCCTGCACAACCACAACTACAACCACCACCGGGGCCTCAACCCGGCGCAGGTGTCAACCCAAGTATAGCTTCTGCAGACTCGAGTGTGCTCGCTGCAACCGCTCCAACCAAGACCCAAGTCCCTGGCAGCAGCCACGCCACAATCACTATATCGAACAATCCGGTCTTTACAGCCATGCCCTTAACCTCTGTCATCTCAACTGTCACTGTCCTCAATGGCACAATTATGACCGTAACAGCGGTCATCACAATCGGCCAAACTGGACAACCTGCTACTCAACAGGCCATCCCAGCAACTAGCACATTACCCAAGGCGCCACAATCCATCTTGGTAGTTCAGTCCACGAGCTATGGTAAGATCCTGCCAGCTGCAGGACCGCCTAATGATCAGATCGAGAGCCATTTCTGGGACCAGTTTGTACCGAGTCCTCAGGGCAAGAAGAAATCTTTGTCAACAGAAACATCGCAGGCATGGACATTTACAATTGGATCTGTCGTCTGCAGTCTGTTGATCGCACTTGAGATGATTCGTCTTTAGAACTAGGTACCTTGCAGTAAATAGCATGAGGTCGTAATAAAATATTCGACGGTTGGTTCATAAAAAGAGCAATTGGTTTTATTTATCAATATCAGCTGCAACCTGTCGTACTATTGAGTATACCGCGCGTTTAATTGCAAGTGTCGCCTAGAAAGGCGTTCAATCGCGATTGCGATCCACGCCGTAAGAGATTGTGCAGGAATGGAAGCCCCTAGAGCCTACATTAGGCTGTTCCAAAAGGGATATCGAAGGTGGACCCTTTGGTTCTCTGATCTTGAAGCTGAAGACGCGGCCACTAATAAATAAATATAAAAAATAAAAATAAAAATTGTAGACAACAGGGAGTTAGCAGAACAACGTAGCCACAGGCAAGTATCACATAGATTGCCAAGTCGCCTACCTGATGCCACCACTCCTGGTGGCTGGTGAATGTTCAACATGAAGACTGGACAGTGGGTTGATCTTGTGTTGATCAGACAGCTGTTCGTGCAAATTGGTTGTTGGGACTCGAGGTCGTGCGACTGAAGGTATTTCTGTATCTGACTTAATCGCAACGGAGGCCTGTCTGTACTTAGTTTCTTCGACTCTTTCTCGGACCATCGTAGGAGCACCCTCGGCTCCGTGAGGAAGGGTATTGTGGTCTTTGAAGCGCATCAGGAACTCACGGTCATAACAGATCATATTTCTTCTTGGCGCGCGTTCGACCACATGTTCGAATTGCATCCACTCCGGAGCTTTCTCGTGAGTCTTCCTCGGTTGGACCTTCCCCACAAGTGCGTTACCTCGCCATGTTGGAATTTTCTGGACTTGAAGGTTGGCAAGAGCGCGTCCCTGCTTGATCAATCCTTGTTTCTGTAAATCTGTCAATGTTGATTTGTTCCACATCGGATCTTTCTTGTCCCGCATCATTCTGGTTCTATCGTCCGTTTCCGGCGTTTTGGGTCCAGATTCTATCCTGTCTGCGCTCTCTGACCGGGGCGGCATGTTAACATTGGATCCAGTATCGAACTTAGTGGCGTACGCATTGACTATTTCTACTGGTGGCGTCAGAGTCTGGCTGGCAATACTCATCAATGGCTTCAGCGTAATAGGGCTCTCGACCTCGACCGCGGCCCTAGCCCACTTGGATCCAGATAAATCGAGTATTGTGTTAAAAGTCCTTTTGAGGCTAATTTGAGACACATCTGCTGATTTCTTGTGGCCTTCGTGAACAGACAACGAGGAGAACTGATCCTGGGGCCTGGATCCTTCTGTGGATGATTTGTCGGGAAAATCTGAGGCAGTGCTCTGAGAGTCCTTGGGTGGCGCGTATGCTGCTGTCTCGTAAACATCAGTTGAAAGACCATTATCGCCATGGTCTTGTGCTGGCTGTGTCGTGGGTGTGGCAGAGATCGCTGGACTGGTCTTCGTGGTAGGATGATCTTGGACCATGACCTGCCCAGCATCAGACAGATCCATCAAATTTGGAGAAGACGGGGGATGAAGGTCGGATTCTTCTTGGGCGGGACCTTCGCTGGAATTCGCGACCTCAGTCTTGGTAGTGACCTTTGTGGTGGCGCGAGACAAGGAGGAGGAAGTGGGAGCGAAAGACTGGTGCCTGGCTTTGTAGAAGGACTCAAGGCTGCTTGAGAGCCTGGAAAAGTCTGCGGCAGTTACTAGCTTGGGGGCGCTCATGGTTGCAAAGGTGGAGCGAGTGACAAGTTGTGGTAAAAAAAGACTGTTGGAAGACAAAAGAAAGGAAGAGCCCTGTGCGACTGGTGGCACAGCGCCAGCAATAACGTACACGCCCATCTTAGAAAATCCACGTATGGACAGTACCCAATTCCTTGGGAACAGCGCAACAACGCGTGTGCAACCTCGCCAAAGTGGAATCCAGCTCTCATTCGCTCCGCTCCTTCATAACCTTCCATTCAAAGACAGCAACCCATTCCTTTCCCCCATTTGCAATGTCGATTCACAACGCAGCGCTCGAGGGCCAGTTTGGGTTGGTGAAGCAATTGGTCGAACAAGACAAGAGTGCGATCACAGCCAAGGATGAAGACGAAAGACAGGCTCTGCACTGGGCCGGTACGCGAAGAAAACCTTTTATTCCTCTTGATCTTGGTCATCGTATCTTTTTGACACGATTCCTATTGAGCCATGCAGATGGGACACGAAAAACAAAACACGTCAATTGACCTGGATTATTCGTTCCAATACATCACATATCCTGGCTGTCGCTTGAAGTCTCGGGAAAGCGACTGGACATTGTGGAGTATCTCGTGGAGCAGGGTGCACCAGTGAATAGCAAGGACGAGGTAAGCTGAAGGCAGGACTCTAATGCAACCAATTGGCCTATCCTAATTATTCTAATCACTGGTTATTCTTATGGCTGCATTATAGGCTGGATGGACGCCGCTTCATATCGCAGGTATCTACAACGTGGAAATCGCTCTTCTGTTTACCTGCCCGGATGAGCAAACGGGCATACTAAGCGTGTCTTTCTCTATTTGATCAACCAGCTTCGGTGGGAAATGCGGAGATCACCTCCTTGCTGTTAAAAAAGCAGGTCGAGGTCAATGCAAAGACGGACTCTGGAACAACGGCTCTGTAAGCCATCGTATTAAGAAATATATCTCATACTGGGAATATGTGCGCTTTACTCAGTCCCTACGTCCTGCTGACTTGTCATATATGTAGGCATTACGCGGCTTCAAAGAACCACATGGAAGTCGCCAGAATTCTTCTCGATAACGGCGCGGACCCTAAACTGGAAGACGACAACAGACAGACGCCGCTGTAAGTTTTATCATTGTTGTAGTTCTATGAGCACATACAGAGGTATCCCATAATGCGTTTTGCTCATGCATTCATTTTATCTAGTCATCGCGCTGCAGTCCGCGGATACACTCCTCTGACAAAGCTGTTGATCGAAAAGGGCTCTCGTCTCAATACTCCTGACTCTGTGAGGAACACACCGTTGTAAGAAAGACTGATCAATCTCATCTCTTCAGGTCAAGCGTTGATCCCTGGTAAGGGGATGCATACATTGCATTGCATTTGCTGCCATATTGCTTACAAACCTTCTCTCTGTCCTCTACCATGGGGTTGATTATAGACACTTAGCATGTCAAGATGAGCACGGCGAGACGGCATTGGCATTGCTCGAGGCAGGGGCAGATCTGGATAGACAGAATGGCGAAGGGCAGACGCCATTCGATTACTGTAGTGAGAATCTGAAGGCGTTTTTGAAGCGTCATGGGTACGAGGCATAGATCAGATGGGCTAATGCTGCTGCTCTCAACCATCGCATCGCCCCCCCAATCCATTGCTGACACTGCCTTCGCTGCCTTTGCTGCTTGTGCACTGACATTGACTGTAGGCGCGACAAAGGCTTGGAATAAATTGTAACAATTTCCTTGACCTCGAACATGCGTGCATGAACAATGTACTATAGAACGAGGAATGTCGACTTGAAGAAAAAGAACGTACATGTACTGAAGTCCATATAGCTAGGCCCAGACTCATCTTAAGGGCCCTTCCCTAATTTCTCTTCTATTCCAGCCAGCTTGGCCAGGCTGGATCGTGCCGGTAGCCGTGCGTGTACGGTTCCAAAAATAAGAAATGGGAAAAGGGTTTTTGAATTCAGCCTACATCATCAGGTCCGCGGGCTGTGATTGGTATGTCTAATTTATGGCCGAGCCCATTAGACTGAATGCTCATGTTGATCTGACCCTGACCCGAATGACCTGCCGCTGCGTCTGGAGGGGGATTTATTCCTTCCCCCCTTCCCCCGTTGCCTCCCAGACTGAGTACCCCTGCAATCGGAGTTTCGGGATTCATGCCAAAATGCCAGGCGAGGTCGGGCATGAGAAACATTGCGGAGGAACGACTTGTGCAGCATAATCTAGCATATATTTGAAAAACCACTATTGATGGGGGCCATTTCAAGTCGAGTATCTATTCTTCTGTACATGTGGCTATCTCAAAAGAGCTCTGCATCCTACAGGTCCATCTTCAGGATGTAGCCCCAACCTAGTCTGAAGTGAAAAAGAGGCCAAACGACAGTTCACTCCCTATGCTGGCTTACTATGGAGATCGCGCTCTCGCAATATGGATTCGGTTCAAGTGCGCGAATATTGCGAATAGTAATAAAAATAAATGTGAATGTTTGTGCCTGAATTGGACCCTGTTCCTGAATATCCTGAATGTCCTGAATGTAAAAATCTGTGTGTAACAAACAAACAGAACAATAAGAGAGACAGCGCGGATGTCCCGGTCTGAACAGCAATTGCATCGCTGCGGATCGTAAGTGTCGGGCCTGAAACATATGTCGATAGATGGCGCCAAGGCAAATGTAGAAAATGAAGGCAGCATAAATGAGCACCTCGCTGTGCAGATCAGCTAGTGGTCGTGATCCATCTAGTCCAGTCCATCCTTATCGTATTTTCCCATCACTTTCTTCTTCGCCTCGCCATCATCTCTTTGTCGTTTTGCCATGCCTGTGTTCTTCGTCTTTTGTTATCTCTTCCCCTTTGTTTGCTGCTTTTGTCCTTCAATTTCCGATCTACCTTGTTTTCTTAAAGCATGTTTGGTATTTGTGTTCAGCTGTTCTTTTTGTCTGTTGTGCACTGCGGCTGAAAGATGCCGATCACGGACCCATTATCGCTTTATCAAAGGATTTGTTTCCGAAGAGGGAAGCGATGCTGCTCTTCATGCGGTTGCTTATGAACGAACGAATGAAGGATTGTCAGCACCACACTATTAGCGTAGTTCCGGCCCCTTTCAGCTTCGCTGACCATCACCGCCATAGCACCATAGCACCATAAGCTATTGAACACTGCAGTGTAAGTAAGCAAGGATTCAACCAGCCAGACTACCGTGGAACCAATCACGACCGCTGTGTATTTCTCCCATGGACCATCTAGCATTGGTACGGGAAGAGAAGCGGCTGTTCTCTCTTTCCTCTCATGTATTTCCCCATAAACAATTACTGAGCTGTAATAAAAAGAATATGATACTACATGCGTGCATATGTGTTTCAAAACGAGGGTATCGACCAGTGAATACTCCACTCGCCGCATTGCACGGGGAAGAATGTAGAGCAAGAGAGGACGATCTCCTTCGCTCGCTCATATTTTTTTAAAATGAAATCCGATATCCGATAGATATCCGATGGCTCGGATATGCATCCTAGACTATAGCCCTACATGTTTATATAGAGTATTACACAAGACTACAGGGGATATTTTATTCATTCCCATTCAAACATATCCATCACATAACACAACATTGACCATGGTCTTGTCTTCCATTTGTCGCCCGTCTGCAATTGTCTTCACATAGCCCTACACACAGGTAGTCTTTGCCTTGTGGTACTATTTCACTTTTCTTTTTGTCCTGCACTATATAGTTCAGTCTCTGACAATCCTACTTTGCCCATTTTCTTTCTTCTTCCCATCCGCATCCACTCTATTCAAACCAAAAAAAAGTCAAAAAAGTCTTATAAGTACCCGCTCCGCCGCAACACAACACCTCACACTGCACATTCGCATTCACACTCGCATTCACACTCGCATTCATATTCGCATCCACATTCGCATTCGCATTCATATTCACATATCCATCCACGCTCTCGTCCTTCCCCGCCCTGTCTCGCCTTTACTTTCTCACCATCATCAACCTTCTTGAACGAACACCCTAACGTCCCATCCACGGCAATTGCTTACTCCTTCCCTACATCTCAGCCCTCCACAAACATAAAAATACAGCACAAAATGGAATCATCATCATCATCATCACCGTCATCCTCATTCTCGCCCTCATCTTCATCCACTTTGTCCGACTGCGATCTGCCCGAAAAGACGCAACTCGCAGTGGATCTGTCCGTTGGGTGCTCGCCTTGTCCCGAAGCCTTATTGTGTAAGTTTTCCTAGTCTTTTCGCTTGTCCTACGCTCCACCAGGTCTCAACATCTGATGAAGGATTAGGAGAGACTGGGGAAGGGAGGTTTCCCGAGAGATTTGCTCCCCCTTCTCCCGCCCGAGGAGGAAGAGGAAGAGGAGCTGAAGGAGGAGGGAGATGGATGTGGTCTACTCCCTACCTCCGTCTTCTCTCATCTCCCACTTGCTCGATAAAGCACCCCTTCCTTCAACGGACCATTTAAATCCTTTCGTCTGTTTTTTTCATTCATTTACGTGATAAAGTGCACTGATCTTCCTACTACCCAGAATTCTCCAATCCCTGCTTCGTGCCTATTTCACGTCATTCGCAGCACATGTGTTGACCCGCTATCTCGTTTTTTTATTGTTGTTTGGTGTTTTTATCACCCGTCTCCATTTATGGACCGTTATCATCGCCGTAGTAGAAAAACAAACAAAAGAGCTGTATGCGTTCGAAGGATGATGCAGTGCGTGTGTAGTCTGTTCGCGCGCATGTTTGCAACGTGTGTAATGGCATATGCAGACAATGGCTGATTTTGTTCAACCTTTTTTTCCTTCTTCTTCATCTTAGCCCTAGCTGCCGAATCTGTCCTTTCCGTGCTGCAGTGCTCTCCCCGCTGTTCCTACCCCAAAAGCGCAGTCTGCACGTCGACGGCTTCAATAGCAGCCGCCACAACAGCCACTACAGCCGGAGCCGGGGAAGAGCACCATTTGGTTCAGTTTCTCCGTAATATCTGTGTAAAGGCATGTGTGACAGAATTAGCCCTGGTGATCTCGTTAATCTACGTGGATCGGCTCAAGAAGGTGCTGACGAATATGGCCCGAGGAGATCCTGACACGCCATTCAAGATCATCTTGTCAGCCCTATTGGTCGTCAAAAAGGTAAATAGGGCAATTCTGTTTTTGGCACACAGTACTATTGTGATTGTATCCTTTCATATTTGTCCTGGCCTGAATTTTGGATGTAAATACCGCACTTTTCTTTCCCTCCTCGGATATGAATGCGTATCGCATGAGGGAGGGTGGTGGTACGTGGTGCAATATACGAACATTGTTTTATTGTACTTTTGGGGGAAAAAAAAAGGAATATTTGCCTGGCTGAGACGAAACGCGGGTTAGATGGATGGGGCCGATCGCCCATAAATTGCCATGTCCCCGATGTTTGATATTTGGGGGATCACGGATGATCTATGGCTAATATGAATAACAAACAAAAGAAAATCGTTGGGTAAACGTTTTCATGGTGTCAAGCTCTCAAAGACATTCTTACAGACAATTAATACAATTGCTGAAGAGTCATGACTTGGCAGGGCATGGTGGAGCATGGCATCCACATGGTACATACACAAAACATGGATCTAGGCCGAGAGCGCTGGTTTAATAGTGATCTATACCTTCCATGAAGAAGAAGTGGAAAGAGCGAACGCACAACTATATCATACAACACAACGTGCGATTTGGTTAATTGAACTTTCGCATGCTGCATCGGAGCCGTTAGAAGAGGAGTGAAGACTAGGATTTCAACAGGATTGGACAGCAACCACTTCCGTGAAAAAAACAGCAAAGCTTTATTCTCGCTACCCATATACAATTTATATTACTGAAGAGAGGGTGAGAGAGAGGAGAGTGAGTACAAAGGCTGGGTATATGAATGAGTGAAATGAATGCTGCGTTGGTATTCTTGTAGATGTCTTCAGGTACATCGGGGGTGAATGATGTTCGACAGCCGGGTTTTGTGTTTTGTTGAGCTCCTTTTAAGGATCGGATGGCATGTGCTGCTTGTTTGTTTGTTTGTTGCAGTAACAGTAGTCTAGTTAAAGGTCGCTGGCGGTCATCATCCATGCGAGTGGGCTGGATGCATTGCATTGCATATTGCATCGCATGGCATAGACGGGTGCCATATGGCATGGGATGGTACCACATTGGATGCATGGTTGATGCCATACAGATGCAGTGAGAAAATGACATCCTTACCCCATCCCCGTCCTCACTCCCATTGCCATGCAGTGTATATGATACATTTCATTCATTTCTCATATATATTATTGCGATAATGAAACTAACGAGCGTTCTTTCCTCTGTACACTTTAACGGCATTTCTGCCCCTTCGCCTTCCTCCTCATCCTTTCATCTATCCTACTTTGTCCATCTTATTCAATCCCTCTCCGAATAGTTTATTGAGGAAGATTGTGTTGGTCTGAACCGAATGTTCTCCAAGATCACCGACGGTCTCTACTCCGTGCACGACATCAACACGATGGAGCGATCCTTTCTGGGCCTGCTCAAGTTCAGTCTCTATGTTACCGACAAGGATGTCGCGCACTTTATCCAATCCCATCAGCATGAGCTTCAGGGAGTCGATATCCTCAAGACATACACCAACAAGTCCGCGGCAGCTGCCTGAGAAGAAAAACCGTCTCCTATATAGCTGTCTGCGCTCATTTTTTTTCACATAACCAACTAATTGTGCCACCTTGACGCACAGACAGTCTCTGGCCATCATCATCATCCGTGCACGCCATTTTCATTCCCTCATCCGCATTTCTCACATCCACATATCCTCATAGTCTATCATCAATCATATACCACTCATTCTTTGCGCATACCTGTAGTCTAGATCGTGCTAAAAAAAATAAAAATAAAAATAAACATGAACCTTGTAATCCATATCTTTTCTTTGTTCCTCTCGTGGCTGGATATAATACAATCCGTACGCAACCTCATCTTCATCAAAAAGCAATTGTTAAAAAAAGTGTTCATTTGTATAAGTGGGCTTAGCCACCGTCACTAAATGCAAAGACCCCGCGTTCACGTATTACATTAATGCTGTTGTTGGAAGCAATGTCAGCCTGTTCACCAAAAAAAAAAAAAAAAAAAAAATATCAACGAACACCTTAGGTTCATTAGCGCCATGTGTATGTACACATGTTGCTTTATTTTCAAACTGTTTGCGTTGTGAAATACTGGGCCTTCTATCGATATATTGCATATTCACTGACTTCTTTTTCATTTTTGCGGTGTGGTCTCGAAAATGTCGACGACTAGCATCGGGCACTCATTTTGTTGTGTATTTATTTCGATTCCTCAAAAGCTTTCTTCCTTTCTCGTTTCGCATTATTCTTTCTAATCCAATCCGGGGACGTTTGTTGTTCTTGTCGTAAGTTGGCGGGAAGAAAAAAGAAAAAGAGGTTGAAAAAAAGGACGAGGAATCCAGTCAAGGTTGTCAAAATGGTCCTGAAGTTTAGTGCTTCTCCTCCTTCTTGCCAGTGACTACGAGTGATGAACACAAGAGGTTACCAGGCGTTAGTATGGTACTTGTATTCGATGTTTCAATGCAAAAAAAAAGCTACAATAGCTTGTTGTTCTTTTATGCGCAGATGGTATCGTAATTGGCGCTTGAATGGCTAAGCAGACTGTCACACTTACAGTGGGGGTTGCGAGGATCGTTCTTGTACGTTTCGCCTATAGATGTAACGCAAAATTGTTCAGAGGAAAGCGAGCAAGATCGCAGTGAGTAATGATAGTCGCGTTAATATTGGATCATAAATCCGCATATATTGAGGGCATCGAGAGATCGTGTTCCTGAAAAAAAGTCGTTCAAGGCGATCGTCCAATATAGCCAAAAGCATTATAACACTCAAAGAGCTAAATTCAAAAAACCACGTTATAAGAATAAAAAAAAAGGATCCTGAACCGACCGCAGTGCTGCGATGTTGGTGAAGAAGTCCTTTTCGTGGCTGTTCATCCTGCTTTTGCTTCATCCGCGGGTTCCCGAACAGATGTAGAATAAACATAAACACGCCGACAAAATGAGATGAAAACGTACTCTTGAGCATAGTCTCCTGAGCACCGTTGATGATGTAGAAGGTGATGGCGCCTCCGATGAAGAAGGGGGCCATAGGGCGGAGAATGGGAGTGGACCAGGCACGCATTTTGAATATGATTGAGAGTAAGAGTGAGGAGAGTAGGGAGGAAGAGAAAGTGGATGGATGAGTGGATCTCGGGTCTCGTTGGAAAACACCATAAACATTACGTCACAGAATTGTTTTCGGATGGGATATAATACTGCTGGATGTGGGAAATAAGGCAGCTCGCCGACTCTGGTCTTACCCCGCGCAGAAACATCATGTCAGGTGTGGCCCCGCTTCTTCCGCTCCAGCAGATATACTACGGACTCTGCCGAGTGAGGGAGTGGCTACGACAATGGTAGTCTTCAGGAGGGTTCTGAATGACATACGCTCTCTTGGATTCCATGTTATCGTTCTGTTTGATACAGTGCCTAGAGGAACGCCGTTGATGCTGATGGAGGACTACAAAGGCTTTGTCTCTTTTTTTTTTTTTTTTTTGGCCGAGCTCTTTATTAGTGCAGTGAGGCGGAGCTCGCCATATCATCACCATCTTATCTGCGCTGGGTACAGGATAAAGGCCCAGGGAAAGAGCATGCCACGTTTGGAAGCTTCGTCCGTCACGTTAACTTGAGTGATAGACAGTTGGTGACAAAAGCCTACATGGAACTCATTGACTCGAAGGCGATATGGCAGGACAAGCGAGGGAGGCTGCGGAAGTCTTTCAAGCGTTTTTGAGACCATCAGGAAGAAACGTTTGGTCCCAACGCAGATGATGCTGGAATAACTTTGCAAGAGATGGGGAGGGTACAATCCCAGATGAGATACTCCCAAGGTCTTATGGTCACTTTCTAGGCAAGTCTTTGGACAAAAGAGAAAGTAAGAATAGACGATAGATTCTTTTGTTTTTTTCAGCTGTAACCTCATACTCGTTCTGTTAATTTGTAGGTCAATGTGCGGGCCGGATGCTGGTGCATGAGGTCCAGGAGGATGCCAATCACCTTATTAATTGCAGGAGGCAGGTGTCCGACTTGGAAATGCAGACGTGAGGTCTTTTGCTTGAAGAGCAGTTTAGCTGTCAAGAAAAAAGCAGAAAAAAAGTTTGCTTCACTGACAATCTTTTTTTTATTTTTATCCAAGTCTCGAAAGTGCTCGCTACCTTAGGGTCCGCGTATTTAAGGAGCGGGAGATGGAAGATGAAGATGCAGAGGCGGGTTATGCCATGGAGGCTCGCCATGCCAGGGACGCAGTGCATATCGAACAAAACTGGCGGCTAATCCCCAGAACGCTAAGCGGGGCAGCATTATTCGCGCAGCCTCATGAGACTGGATGCGATTATCACGAATTAAGGTTCGGGCAGAATTACTCTTCACAAGGTCGCGCCACGTCTCAAGGACTACGGAAAGCATTTCCAATTTAATGTTGCTTACTCGTTCCAAGTACGCGCTTGCCCGCGTCCGCCTTGCTTATTCCATGAGAGTTACTTTATGTTACAGTTCCGTGCACGGGTGCCTATAGGATATAAGATACCGAGCAGGGACCCCGAGTCATACTTTATTCACGTATAAATGGCCTAGCTAAATGTAGGTCCCAAAGATCTCATTGCTGAGTTCTTGAGCTTTGTCAACAACAAGTAGAATCTTATAAGCAGAGCCACGGAAAGTCTCGTTTGGCGTGTAATTCAGAAGACGCTGGCGTAGCTCAGAGAATCATTCATGAACCAGCATCGTCACCAACCCATGGTCGACATAATGACTGTGGATATGGGTGGCAATCAGTTGAAATAGACTGGCAAAGACATCGCCAATGTCCATTGATTGAGAGCAGACTTGCAACAGCATCCATCGCTTGCACGTAAACCTGATATTCTCGAGTTCCGAGATGTCGAGGCAGTGGCGCAAGGTCATGAGATGCGCGAGGATAAGGGCCAGCGCCAGAACGCGAACATGATTGTCACTCTTCATGTCGCAAGTTCGGTATCGATTCCTGGTTTGGATCAGCTCAAGAAGTTTGAAGAGGTCGACGGGGCCAAAGTCTGTGCGGCTTCCGCTGGAATAAAAGCCCCATTGCTTGCAGAGCATCTCGATAGCTGTTCTCGTTTTTCCACATCCGGAAACACCAAAAAGGTCTGGAAAGGAATAGCTCGTCCATGAATCGTCTCAAGCGCCTTGTCGGCAGTGCTGAGTGGGTCCTGATGCTCGGATGATTCTGGCAAGTTAAGGAACAACAGACTAAGTCGGTCGTTCTGCAAACCTGCGCGGGGAGTAACAAGGGGCAGACCCCCAAGTGATCCTCCGGTTGATGGAATCACCTAGTCGGCTTTCAGGAATCGGACGAGGCTCGTGTAATTGGCCGAGTCAGGAGCAAAGAAGTCGCCTTCAGTCTTTTCAATAAGTCCTTGCCATTTCTCGGCTATTTGAATGGTAACAAAGGAGTAAACACGTTTAGCATTGTCCTACTGCAGCATGCACCATCACTTGATAACCATCGCCAGCTGGCGCACTTACAAGAAATGGGAGGACCAGGAGGTGGAGTGGCGCGAGCGGAGAGCTCTGAGGGATGGGTGGGAACATGGATAGGAACAGTTAATGTAACAGCACGATAGAATGCAAGAGACAATGAGATCAAGAGTCATTATTTCATCAATAGTGCAAGTGCAACAGGAAAAAGAGGCATTGTGCCTGATAGGTTACCTGGCTGTGTTCGCTGCACAATGATGTGGATTGCTTCTTCAGGCAGGTCCTTGGGGAACACTTTGGAAAGACGAGTTGTTGGGAAGGGCTTCTCTTTGGAAATAATCTTGTCAAGAAAGACATTCTTGATAGCAACTACTAGGATCGAGACGTGCCAGAGCGTGATTTCGTTCGCATCGATGTCGTTGAAGGCGGCAGCCTTCTTAGCCTTGATGAGCTCCTTGAGGTCACCGACGGTATCGTCCGAGGGGATCTTGACCGGGAATGCTCTTGAGGCGGGACTCTGTTGGCAAGACAGAAAAACTTCAGATGGTCGTCGGTCATGGTGTTTAGGTTTCGCAGTGGAAAGGGGTGTGGAGAGTGAGAGAAAGAATGGGAGGAAGATTGACGGAAGAGGGGTCACAGAGGACGGTGATTTTAAGTTGGGAGTGGTGGCAAAGGCCAATGCGTGAAAAGGTTGGTTTTACTGCTCCTTGCCACTGTGCTCAGCTCAGCCCCGAGAGACACTGAACCATGACATCCACTTCCTCATCCTCATCCTCATCCGCCTACGAACAGGAGCAACAGCTCTTCACCGACACCCTCCTTAAGCTGCAAGTCCATTCTGCACTCGCCAAGGAGAGTGTCTATAACAACAAGTCGCCTCTCCCATTCCTCGCTCAATCCTGTTCCCTCCTCGACAACATCCCCGCTCATTCTCTTCAGTGGACCACAGTCCAAGAGAATCTGATCAGCTCCCTCAGAATCGATGCTTGGAAAGTCCTTGCAGACGCCTGTATCAAGGCCAATGATTTGATCCAGGCAGAAGCTAGTCTTGAAAGGCTAGCCACATTACAGGAGGTCGCCGCTGGACCACTTTCACTACGTTCAAAGGCAAGGAACAGGCGACGAGGCAGACCATCTGTCTCTGAAACACCCAACTCTATATCCGTCTCAGACAGCTCGACATCCTCCGCGCCGTCAGCATCATTACCATCAACAACATCGGTAGTGGTCCAGGCAACCAAGGAAGAACGACAGGCTGCTACGGATCTGATACTGACTTGGGAGAAGCTGTACCAGGTCTATAGAGACATGGGCAGACAAGACATGGCTAACAACTTTGTAAAACGAGCTGAAAAGATGAATGAGCACCTCAGAGGTATCTAGATTTGGTTCGCGTTGCACGCAATAAAGTATCGCAATGAATGATATTCTTTTTATTGTCGTGCTAATGACTGTTAACTATTGGAAGGATGGTGCAGCAGCAAACTGGGGTTGAGGGGTGTATCCGTTTGCTTGCTGCACAAAGGGCGTTGGAGGCTGTGGGGCATACATGCCCTGACCATCTGAATGAGTCGGTTGCTGAGGGGCAAACGATGGCTGCTGCTGTTGCTGCTGTTGATGCGGTTGCTGCTGTTGATGCGGTTGCTGCTGTTGATGCGGTTGCTGCTGTTGATGCGGTTGCTGCTGTTGATGCGGTTGCTGGTTAGCAAAATCATTCGTGGTAGGCTGCTGCTGGTATCCTTGGAATGTCTGCACTGGCGATAGCTGTTGCTGCTGAATGGGCTGCGATGCCTGCTGCGGTTGCTGTTGTTGCTGGTGGATACCATTGACTCCATAGTCCACAGAAGATTGCGACTGGACTGGGCCCTGGTTCGTATATGCCTGATCAAAAGTGAGCGGCTGCTGCTGACCCTGAAGATGAGGTTGGGACTGCAACTGCTGGGGCTGCGGCTGTGGCAGCTGTGGAGTGTAAGGAGCATACTGAGATTGAGTGTACTGAGATTCCTGCTGATATGGTGCTGGTGGTGCATGTCCTTGAACTGGAGCGGGGCCATATGGTGATGGCTGAGGCGCAGTCGAGTAGTTCACGCCGTTCTGGCCAGGCAATCCAGGTTGAGTTGGGGCATAGTAGTTCGAGACAGGATTGGAAGCATAGGGAAGCTGCGGTTGGTAGGCGCTGTAGGCTGGATTGCTGTATTTGGCGATCGACTGCTCCATCATTTTTTCGTAGGTCGACCGTGCCCTCGCCAGCTTTTCGTTCAGGAGCATCATCTCATCCTTCTTTTCCCCATGCATCTTGATCATCTCGACCAGTCTAGGTCTGATTCCAAGGACATTGTTGTATGCGTCCTACGGCATAAAAAAAAAAAACTTCCGTGTAAGCAAGTACGTCAACATTAGAGTGGTCATCGAGCTGCGCCAAGAAGATGCTTTACCTGTAAAACATCGTTCTCTAAAAAGTTGTCGACCCTAGGATCAACACTCTGGAGCATCTGAAGCAGGTTATCGATATTCTTGGCCTCATGTAGCACTTGTGCCTCATCATCCCCAACTCCTCCATTCTGGCTTGGTTCTCCTTCTTTGATTTCCTCGACATAGTTCACAGGGAAGATTCCTTGGCGGCCATACAGTTCTCCCTTCCACCAGTCCTGATACGATGTGGCCAAAACGACAATAACGTCGTCCTTCTGAAATCCAAGTTCCCCACTCTCCGTCGGTTCAAAATCATACAGAGCGCGCACACGTTTCACTGGCGCAGCTGCGACCTCTGGATGCTGTGCTGATTTAGAGCTCGGTCTCTAGAGATGTAGACCACAATAAACATTAGGCATTGTCTAGTCATTTCACAGAGAATATCTAGGAGCACGTTCCTTACCCTCTCAGAGTGCTCGCTAGCAGACAGGGACAGTGCCAGTGCCAACTGAAGTTCCTCTTCCTCCTTACGCTTATCTGCTTCGCTCTATGACCATGGCGATGAAAATATCATTCTTTGCATATGAGTATTCACTACCTGCCACCGAGCTACGCTTTAAATACATAAAAACGGACGCTAAAGGTACCTTGAGTTCCTTCTTGGGTTTCTGTGGTGAAGGAAATTTGAATTTGGATTGCGTGCGCAGCTGCTGGTATGTTTCATCCATGATTCCGAGCGAAGGGTCTGCGCGGAACTCAAATGCCCATTGTTGAATAAGTTCCAATATCCTCTGTCGTACAGCTGGGTGGGTTGTCTATAAAAGCGGCAGAGATGCTGAGTTATTAACGTCTTTTGTCTTTGTCCTTGCTACTTGTAATCGCCCCTCCTTCCTCTGCTAGGTACCTTTTCATTCAGGATCTTGACGAGGAGGGTTGTGAAAGCGCGCGAGGAGATCTCTCGCTGAGCCTTCAATCCGCAGTTCTTGGCAAGCGACTCGCAAAGCTGGAGAATGTGATGAACGCCTCCTTTAGTTTCAAAATCCATGTCACACGCAATCGCAAAGGTACTAGTACTTCAAGCACAGTTATTGTCATTGCTTCCTGTCTTACAGTTAGTGAGTAGAGAATTACGTTGGCATTCTTGTTGCTGAGTCGTTTTTGAATCGCTGCCAGACAATCGCGGCCTCTAGAATGAAAAAATGGCAAAAGCAGTAAGGTCAGAAGACGAGTCAAGCGAGTAGCCACAGTGTCCATCGTTACCCACGCAGTGCAGACGTACGAGTTGTCTCCTGAACGATTCACTTTTTCGCAGATGGTGAGAATGAGATCCCAGTTCTCGGATGTCAGACTCTCGCTTGTTGCATTGGCTGTGTATGTGTTGACCAGAGAAAAAGAGAGTCGGCTGTTAGGTCTGGCCGTCTAACTCGGTATTGAATGCCAAGACCTCAAGAAGAAGGTCAGAGGGACGTACCGACAATGTCGTCAAAAGGGTTTATGTTTCTGAACATGGTGCGCTATCTCTTTCCTTGGCGACGATGAGAGCTTATGCGAGGAATGGTTGAGATGTGAGAATGGGAGAGGGAGAGGGGTGGACGTGGTGAAGTCGAAGTCGAAGAAGTGACGTGATTGGAGGAGGGGGATTGTCCGCCTGCGCATTCGTTTGGTGGCCAAACAGTCACCATGCTGACTTTGAAACATGGATCGGAAGGCAAATGTACACAGCCTCCACCTCCTCTCCCACTGGGTGCCACCGTGCTTGCCTGGACAGTAACCACCAAAACACATATTGCCTCCTATGACCTTTGGCCATACAACGGAACAGCAAGAGATGTACTTCTGCAAGATTTTTCATTTGCGCTGAAGGGCATTGGAGATTGTGATAGAGTCGTTCTTTACAGCATGGTACGTTTTTTGGGAGGCGGAAGGGTAACATTATTTTCCTAACAGCGCACATTAGGAAAACACGTACCAGTGAGGGAGTATAAAGAATTTCAAAAGGCTTTCTTCTGTGCACGGAAGATGAACGAGATAGGCGGCCTTGCCTACCACTGCTACGTTTTCATTTACACCTGCTGGTAAAAAAATACCGACACACCCTCATTTCTCTCTTTGTAGGCTACAGGGATTACAAACATCCGCAGACGACTGCTGATATGGCTGCCTCAGAAAATGGGTAACGAGTCGCGGGCTATTGGTGGACCGTGTAGGAGGAGACAAGTCGACATCTTCGTGCAGCGTCCTCTGTCAGGTAAGGCATTGTCGCTCACTTTGCTTTGATACCTGGACGTGTCCGCCATGGCTAGCGTTTTGTATAGTATCTTCAGTATCTTCACTGAATATTGGACCTTTTATTGTGTGCCGTTATCCTGTTTTAACTATTCTTGCCCATATTCCCGTCCTAGCCTTCAACTATCTGGTGATAGCAGGTATCGCCGGTGGATGCGGTGCCGCCGTCCTCGTTAGCGGATCTCTCGAGGACTGCATCTACCTTAGATCTAGGAACAGGGGCTACATCGGGCTCTACAGAGCCATCGACAGCTGTTGTCAAGGCGAGCAAGATTGACAAGGCATATGTCGAAGCCGCCCCGGTGCTCCAGGATCGTAAGACCAAGGCGGCCAGACATCGCAGGGGAGCTCCTTCCTTCCAGAGGCCCACCTTTCGCCCCGTGTTATTGACAGGCTCTTTACTCCGCCAATGCCTCTTACCCATCCCACACCAACAGCACCAGCGCCAGGCGACACATAAAGTAAGAGTCTTATTAAAGTTGTATATCGAAATATGAAGGACAAATCCAAATATCAATGCCACAGCATGCCGCGGAAGATAAACCAGCGTCTCGAGCGAATGATTCTCGTTCATCATTCATCATTCTCCTTCGCGAATGAAGCCCCCCTTTGCTTCCAATCCCAAGCGGCCGAGTTTTTTTCACGCTATATATATATATGTATATAGCAAGCAGTTCAGTTGCTTCTTTAACCTTTCTACCACACTTTTTTGTCCCACACACACTCCATTCCCGCACTTACCACCTCTTCCGCCCTTTCCCCCTCTTTCCCCCTCTTTCCCCCTTCCCTCTCCTTATTTTTTCACCTCATTCCATCCTCCTCGACCCTCGACACCACCAACCCCTCCCCCATCTATACCTCATCACATAGTCCCTCAAGATATACGCACGAATGGCATCCGTCCTCGAGATGGTCGCACCACCCGCGACAGCCCCCATCGACATCCAGTCCACCCACTCATCTTGCTCAGCCGCCGCCGTCATCAACCTGTCCGCCGCCTCGTCTTCCATCACTCCTGCGCTCCTCGGCGGGAGTCCCGCCGATTCTGGCTATGAGTCATCCTGGCCTTCCTTATCCGAGGCTGCTGCTTGGTCTCCTCCAGGACAAAAGCGCCAGCTCACTCTAAAGTCGTCTACTGGAAACAGCAACAGCAACAGTAACATCAGCATTAACAACGATGGTTCTATCAGTCCTGATTGCAACCCATTCAATGCATCTGGCAACCCCTCCCTTGTTCACCACGGTATCATCAAGCATTCCAAGGGGCATCGTCAACAGCAACAGCAAACACAAGCGCAGCGTCTGGGCCAGAGCCAGAGTGAAGACCAGGGACAGGTGCAACAGGAATCTCGCCTGGGCAAGGCGCAACGGCGACGGGTACGAACACAGGCCTATCATGCTAAGCGCATGGCACAGCTTCAGAATATGATGCCCTTGGTCGACTTTGGTTCGCCTCAAATGGAAGACGACGATCACCGTTACGGCCCTGTGGATCCACCTATTCCTCTCAGGTGGGTATTTGTCGACCCATGATATCCCTTTTTTTTCTGCCTACTTGGTTGACTGACTGGCTACTCAAAAGCTGGTCAAGGAATTCAAACAGATCCCAGTGAACAACGCTGTAACGACGCAACAAAAAAACTGTTCTTGTTTTTCAATGCTGAGCAGTGTCATACCCCGTGGGTGGCTCTATGAAGAAGACTTTGGCCCGTCTCTCGCCGGTAAGTCAGAGCGACAAAACGCCTCATCAAATTTCTTCTTCTGTTCAAGTATAATAAACGCGTGTCTTTGGCCTCATTGCTTTCGTCTGTGGCGCTCTTATTGATGTACGCTCTCGCTATCACCAATGCCTGTTACTCATCTACTCTCTATTTTCTGTTTCTGCTTTCCTCAATGTCTTTTTGCCGAATTTTGAACAGACGATGTCCTGGTCGCTTTGCCAAAGCGCCAGTGGGTTTATGACTCAAGTAGTCCCATGTCTATGGATACAAGTAAGAATATTTTGTAATCTTTTAATAGATAAACGATCTTGAGACCGATTTAGCATTCGCCTAACAGCTCCTCTTTTTACTTCCAACCCTCGATTTGCAGAATCGTTCGTAGTCATGTCATGGAACGTGCTCTCGCCCAAATTGTGTCACGCTTCGAGGCTTGATGCTCGATGTGAACCTGCATTTCTGGACTGGAACTACCGCAAAGAGGCTATCTTGAACCAAGTCGCGTTTACAGATGCAGATATCGTTTGTCTACAGGTAGGCAAAGAGTAAAAAGACATTCAGGAAATATAACGTTCATACGGTATCCTATGCAGTCGATTAAATAATTTCACCGACATCCTTGCAATCTCCTAGGAACTGGAACTCAAAGACTACGAAGAGTACTTCAACCCGCGCTTAACACGCCTGGGGTTCAAATCTATTCATGCGTATAAGATGAACATTTACGAGATGCGGGATGGCTGTGCCATCTTCTACCGCGACAGGTAATACTCGTTCCACCACATTCCTCGTTCGTGCCAATCTAGAATGTATTTCCACGTTACGCGAGAAAGAGTTATAACAGGAAACACGTTTCTGCGTCCAGCGGCCCTATTGCCTTCGTCAAAGGAACGCTCTCCACCCCCTTTTTCACTCACGCTTATGCCTTCTGCTCTGTACGACCTATTCCCTGTTGATAGTCGCTTCAAACTGCTCAGCGATCATGTCCTCCGGTTCAACCAGGTTGAGCTCGATGATTGCAATGTCAAGCGCCCATCCATGGCACGAGACACCGCTATACGGTTCAATCTCTTCCACAACTTAGCTGTCGTGGCGTTCTTTGAAAACAGGCGGACGAAGCGGCAAATTCAGGTGGCAACAACTCATCTGCTGGCAGACCCAGCCTTTCCGGACGCAAAGATGCTCCAGACCGCCATTCTAACATCGAAACTGGAGGAACTGAAGGCCGAGGCAGTGGCATCAATACCAACATCAACATCGACTCCAATAGCAGAAACGGCAGCAACAGCAACAGCGACAGCGACAGCAATGACAGAAGGATCAACAGCAGGCATGACACCTCATCCTCCGAACCAATCTCGTGCAAAGCAACATATACCGACCATCCTTGCTGGCGATCTTAACTCCTTGCCAGACAGCTCTGTGGTCAACTTTCTGAAGACGGGCCAGATCGATACGTGCCATTTTGGCGGCAACGACTTTGGACGATTTACAAGGGCAGGGAGCAAATACTTCCACCATCATCTGGGATTGGTTGACAGCTACAACTCATCGATATTGCCCTTCACCAACGTGACGCGCAAATTCCAGGGAACGATTGATTATCTGCTGTACGATCCTTCATCACTCGGCCTCGTGGGATTCTTGGATCACTTTGAACCGGATCTAACTTGGCATACGGCTGCGATGGGCCCCGGCACAATTCCGGATACTTCAGGGGCGAATCATCATGATGTCAACATGAGCTCCTCCGACTTGGACTCAGAAATGGAGATGGATCTGCCATCGCTATCCTCGTCTTTTGCTTCGTCGTTGTCAATATCTCCGATCCTGTCGTCTGCGCGTGGGAAAAAGGTCGCGAAGAAGACCGTCAAGATGATTCCGCATCTTGATTTTTCGAAACTGTTCACGAAGCCGACAACGAGCACGACAACGACGAATGTCTCAGCTTCAAACTCACCAAGCAAGAAGCAGGAGGTCACGGAACCGATGGTGGTGCGCGCTGCTATGCCGACGGCACTACCGAGCCAGCACTTCCCATCTGATCATATTCCATTGGTGGCCATATTCCGGGAGCGCGAGTACATGCCCATTTCACAAGTTGCCAACACAGGTGGATGAAGACAAAATGTTTTTTTCCTCGTCAACATCGTTGCTCCTTTCTTGATTACTGTATTCTTCTTCCTTCTCACGATGTAAAATATCCTTGTAAAAATAAACTCTCCCTGACTGCCTTGTTATCATGTCGCGATTTTTATTAATTGGTTTGATGGCTCATGAGAGTGCACGGGTAAAGCTCAAACAGAATTGGTCTGTGCATTTAGAGTTCATAAGTCTGGTAGATCTGAACGAGGGCCGCGAGGAACAAGAACAGCAAGGCGAGGACCAACATGACAAAACTATTGTTCTTGGGGAAGGTCTTTGGCACTAAAATGACATGGCATGTCGCATCTACGGACCCACTGGCTAGCAGCGACGCGTCCTTGTTAAATGCCAAGGAGGTGATAGGCAGCACGTGTGCCCTGGGGACCGCCATCAGCACCTGCAAAGTCTTGCTGCTGCAGATCCGGACGTACATATCCGAAGATCCAAATGCGATCAACTTGCCATCAGAGCTATGTCGAAGGAGATAGCGAACGTGGAAATGGGTCAAAAAGGCTCCTCGGTTCCTGTCTTGGCTCGGTATCCTCTGCCAAATAGATAGACTCTCATTGTCTTATTTTTTTTTACCTGATTGTGCAGGCGGTAATAGGTCTGGGTCCGACGGCAAGCGTACGGACACGGGTCCAGGTGGTAGTACTCCACATGCAAACAAACGGCTTCTGGCTCTTGTCGCCATTCACGACCGTGTACAGGATGTTGGCGAAGGCTCCCCTTCCAAAGCGACATGTCCTAAATTCGAACGGCTTCTTCTTGTTCAGGACCGGGTTCGTGATCACTTCCAACACTCTACCTGTTCCCGCAGCAATGATCCACAGATTCTGAGCCGAGACCGCTGCAATCTGCTCAAGTCAAGTCAGACCCGAAAAATAGCGTAACAATGTCAGTGTTACTGGTTCTATGCAAGTAACAAACAGATTGACAGATGTCTTGGTGGATCAATTTCCGGTATCTTACATGCGAGCCGTTCTCTGAGAAGTCCAAATCAAGAATGTCGTGTCCCTTGAACTGTGTCACTGGCATCACTGGAGTGAGGGTGGGGTATTTCAGCAGAGCCAGCTAATATTATTGTACAAAAGCGGATTGTTGAAAGGTCAATTCAGATATTACCATGCCCTCCATTTCACGCTTGAAGACCTGATACAAGTCGATTCACTTACAACTCCATCGGTGCCGCCAGTTGCAAGCTTCGTGCCGTCCATGCTGAATCGTGTGACTCTCTAGTAGTTTCCGATTAAGAGGTGTTCGTAGTCAGCATTCGAAATACCACGGTATTCACTCATGCATCCTGACAAGAAAGTATTATACCGGGGCGAGAGTATTACCTGGTAATCGTCAGGATTTTTGCTCGCCAACGTTCCCTTGTTATGAACCGGCTCGATCCTAAGCGTAAACACACCATTGTTCGAAACCATTGGTCAATTAGATGTCCTTGTAAAGATTATTTTCTGGGTTGTCCTTATGACCGTGATATCATCCTCACGTATTTGTCCGTCCATGTCCTGTAATTGTTGCATTACCTCTCGTCCGAAAACTGAAAGATCCTGCAATTTTCATTCTCCCCTGCCTCGATTTTGTTGATTGCACTGTTGATTCCAAAGGCCATTGTGGATTCCTAAAAGCCATGGTAGAAAAGCAATGGGTAGAGTATCAGAAGTCAATCATCTGTTTATTCGAAGCTCGAAAACGTGGTAGTACAGAGAGAAAACAGAATGAGTGCTCAGAAAAAAGAATAATTGAGAGGCATATGATACAACAATACAAGAAATGATAATCGACGAGGGTTAATTCGCGAGTAAGGCCGACCAAAAGAAAGAAAAACGGAGGGGTACCTTTGGGTGTACACTGAGTGACATGGGTGCATCTTCTTCCCGGTTGAGTTGCTTTTCAACAAGAGGAAGCAAGGTCCTGTTGGTCCTGTCGACCCTGTAGATGTTCTAAAGAGTTTGAGCGAGTGAGCGAGCAAGAGACAGAACGAAGAAACTGAGTCTTCTATAATTGCAATTATGCTATGCAGGTGATGGCGTTTGACAGTTGCCATGCGTTGTTGCAGAGATGCCTTACGATTTTGTTCTGTACGCCGGATCGTCCTGCACCGCCACCACCAGCAAGAATCAGGTTGTCATCGTTTGTGAATCCGACGCAGAAGATGGGGATGCCGACACTGTATGAAAAGGTCGCCATTGTGTTGTGAAGAGTGTAGGAATGTAAAGAAACAGCGAAAGCCAAAAGCAGTTGCAGCATGGAAAAAGTTACTTGCCGCGAGCGCGCGCGAAGAAATTAAGGGGTGTACAGCGTTTTGATCTGGTTTATATAAGAAAAGGCACGTGCTGCTGCTGCAGACTGATCGTTGTTTGCTACTACACCGTATTTACAAGGCCCCGCTATGTCTCTCGTGAAGGGCCGTCGCAATGACCTGTGTGACACTCTCCAGCTCGGTACCCAGCTCCAGCAATAATCCTGCATTTCAGAAAAGTGAACATGTCAATAAGGGCAGCAATGCAGCACCAAGACATGAGTCCAAGTGTATGTGATAAATCCACATCATTGTATCGACGACTTACCTGTGTTGGCGTTGCTGCTCGCGACAAATGTGGTGATAAGCGAAGCATGATTGAACTGAACCAGCTGGTATGATTCGTAGATGCTCACGATCGACTTGTTCTTTTTCAATCCAAGTTTAGACGCCTATTGATTATTCAAATGGATTGCGTAGTGAAAGAGAGAGAAGATTAGGCGTCGTTGTAGCGTTGTACGCTTTTTATCTCTCCTGTGGAATCCAAGTAGGCCCGGCATTAGCCCATACCTGGTCGCTTGCTAGTGCGAATGTGCAGCCCAGGGCAGAGTCTGTGAAAGGAGGCGTAATGTTGGGTGCATTGGCTATACGGTGAAGTAAAATATCGTGTTAGAGACTAGTCGCTATCTCTCCCTCTTTTTTTGTTTTACTGCTTTCCATGGGTTTCGCTGGCTTCTTGTGTTCATCCAGGATGTACCTCTTAGTAGAACAACGCCATCGCGGTCTGTCACCACGGCAGATATGAGCCCATCGACTCTAAGTCAGTAAACGAATAGCAGAAAATAGAAAAATAAAGGTGTCAGTCTACCGACTTGGAGTTAAGAAGAACGAGGTAGTCCCGTACTGTGTGCTCCCGATTGGTGATGATCAACTTGGCATCGAGTTCATCCTATAAAGTGAGTGTGAAATGGGTGGGTGGGGTTTCTTCAACGGTGTATGTGTATATATATATATACTTGCCTGGTCAAGAGTTTCTCAAAGTGAACGACAAGTTCCTGCCAAGGTTCGGACAATGAAGATGAGGAGCATTTAGGATGAGCAGGGTCGATGGTGTGGCGCTGTGCCTGCATTCCATTCTTTCCAGGGCAAGGGTAGCGTGCTTTGTTCCAGTTACCTCTGCCATCAGTGAGTCCTGATAGTGTTGCTGGTCCCTTGTCCTGTAGTCCTGAATGAGAGTCGTCCGACACGAGTAGTAGTCTGATCAGAAGAGCGGCGCTGGATTGAGTTCTTTTTGAGCTGGGCCAGTCGATGGACGAGTGTGTGAAAGTGATGCGACTACAAGCAAGCAAAGCAAGTAGGCAGACAGGCGGACAGACAGGCACGCAGAAAAGATTATTTTCTTGTGCCACCAACACTGAATTATTATTTTTTCACTTGGCAGACAACTCTTATCGGATCACATTCTCGTGTGTGCCTGGTTTTCCTGCAGTCGGTCGGCCAGTCAGTCAGTCAGTCTTCGCATGTCGATAGCTGGAGGGATCAGCACCGTAGTTCACATAGAAAGGGAGATGGATATGGGTGCTGTTGTGGTTAGGCGTACAGATTAAGGATACAGCACCCAAACAGTGGGCGTGGGATGATCCCAAATGACGATGACTGAGCAATTGACAAGTCTGATATTTATTCGGTGCTGGTGCGGGCCTCAACGGCCAGGCAGCTGAGTGGCTGCAGCTTCGGACTTTTTATCATTCCCCACCTTTTTTTTTTTTTTTTTTTTTTATTGGAGGTCTTTGCTCTTTTCTTCGCAGCGGCACTCTATCTTCCCTTTCTTTCTCCACCCTCTCCGTTCTCATCGTCTGTCTCTCTTCTCTCGCGCGCCCGCTCTTTCTTTTCCTTCTCCGCCAGTCGTCGCTCGACTCTCTCCGCTTTTACTCCACACTCTCCACTCTACCCCTTCTTCGCATCCATCCCAACAAAGCAATCAGGACTTGCCCTACCAGGAACACCCCACCAGACAAAGCCGCCTGACAAATCAAACCAAAGACAAGCGCAGCATGACCATGAACGTGATTGGTGCATCCATCTGCGATGAAGAACTACTCGTCCAAGGGGAGGCCAGAGACATTCAACTGCCCAACACTGAGCATGTCTCCCAGATCTCTGTCGATGTAAGTCGTCTGCGACAACCAACACTATACCCGACACACACATGCACACACATACGCACAGAAACACACATAGACACATATACTTCACTGTCGCTTGTTGGCTGGGTCGGATCATATCCTATGCAATTGATCCACTCCGTTTTGACCTCTTGCGATGTTCTCGTCTCGCTCAGACAAGTCAATGGATCACCACATTCATACCATGCCCTGCTGCTATCAAAGCCGGGTGAACGGGCGGATCATTAAACTGAGCATATTCCCTTGAACTTTATCCCACACAGGTTGGAGGATCGCTCGCCAAGGTCGTTTACTTCTCGCGTAAGAGTGGAACCAAGGGCGGACGACTGAACTTTCGAAAGTTCGAGACTGAAAAGATTGATGAATGCATCGCCTTTATCGTCAAGCTGCTGGAGGAATCAAGAGCTACCAGGCCAGGACACGAGTTTGTTATCAAGGCCACAGGAGGAGGTGCACATCTCTACTATGAAAGATTCAGGGAAGAGCTCAAAGTGACAATTGAAAAAGAGGATGAGATGGAGTGTTTGATCACTGGTAAGAAAAGTCCTATGCCGTCTATATATTTACGCCGTGGAAAGTGTTTATCCGCCTGTTGTACTGACTCAACAATCTATCCGTTGCATCATAACTGGTAGGTCTCAACTTTTTGATCACGGAAATTCCGTTCGAAGTCTTCACATACAGCGAAGCCAACCCAATGTGCTTTGAAGAGACCCCTGCCGATCCATTCCCTTACATGGCACGTCAATGCAAGGAACTGCACCCTGCTCTTCTCGCTTTCAATTCACACTGCGTGCTGACCTCTAATTTTTGATTTCCTTAATCCTTCTACAGCTGGTCAATATTGGGTCTGGAGTCAGGTATGGTTTACGCCGACTTCACCATTCTTCACATCGACGATGCAAATGAGCATTCGTATACCTCCAGACTCACCCTTTCGGCTCTCCTTGCACGTGTGACGATTTAATAGTATTTTAAAAGTGACAAGCGCCAACACCTTTGAGAGAATCAGCGGAACGTCCGTAGGTGATTTGACCAAATTTACATCGGCATATTGCGCATCAGGTAAAGGAAGTTGAGGATAGCTCCTAACCTCTTGATCTACTTTGGACCTGTGCTTTGAGCAGCTAGGAGGAGGAACTCTCTGGGGTCTACTTTCGCTATTGACTGGAGCGAAGACGTTTGACGGTAGGTCCAGGATCAGCATGCGTCAATCGAATTATGATTGTCATTGATAAATAGCATGGTCTCTAAGATCCAGGTTGCTTCGGTCAATCAGAAATGCTAGAAGCGAGCCAGGAAGGAGATAACAGGAACGTCGACATGCTGGTAGGGGACATTTACGGTGCTGATTATTCAAAGATCGGCCTCAAGTCTACAACGATCGCCTCCTCGATGGGCAAAGTCTTCAAGAAGAATGTGGATAAGCGCCAGTTCAAACCGGAGGACATCTCAAGATCATTGTTGTACATGGTCAGGTAAGAAGCACAAATGAGGCACTACAATTTCATTGATCTCTAGTCTTTTTTTATCTCCTGGGTGTCTAATCATTGACAACGAAATTATTCTAATCATTTTGACTTTGATAGCAACAACATTGGACAGATCGCGTACCTGAATGCTCAGGCGCATGGGCTCAGCAGAATTTACTTTGGTGGATGCTTCATCCGAGGTAAGGAGCAGGAACCCCTCTAATGTCGTTGGTTTTTGCAACAAGGTGCACGGTTCATCCGCTCACGTTTGCTTTCTTGGATCTGTCTTTCATTCTTCTTATTCTATATCAGGCCATCCTATTACGATGAATACGCTTTCGTATGCCATCAACTTTTGGTCCAAGGGCGCAATGAAAGCGCTATTCCTTCGTCACGAGGGTTACCTCGGTGCAGTGGGTGCATTCATGAAGCACAGGTCCTCACGGCGCAACTCGAGATCTTTCACTTTGACAGAGCAGCTGGCCCAGAAATTGGCCACACCAGAGGCAGACCTCGGGGTTACTTTGGCGCAAGATACCTTGGATGTTGTCGCAGCAGAAGAATCGGACTAGAAGTCGTAGATTTGAACAAATAAACATCCCCGTATACATAGACATTTTCATTGACCGAATATCTTAACTTTCACGTGATATGCGAAGGTACGCAAAGTAGCGTGTTTCGCCCTCGTTCCTGCCTCCGTTCGTGCTTCCTCTTCATTCAACTGTCCCACGCTGAACTTGATTTCGAACTAGGATGAGAAGAGACGTTCGCATCCTTCTCTTAGGCGACGGTAAAGCGACTATACCTCGTTGCCTAGGAAGCGAAAAGTAACCTTGAATTCAGTACTTATCTCAGCTTTATTTTTCTGCTCCACTATGTCGCAGATGGTGTTGGAAAGAGCACTTTGATCACCAGCCTCATCAAAGAGTCGTACGTCGCCAATGTAAGCCCAGACCAGGAATCTACTGTTGACCATGGATGCAAGGTAGCTCCCTGCTTACATTGGAATGACTTTCTCCTTCCGCTTCGTAGGTTCAACATGTCATTCCCGAGGTCACCATCCCGCCCGAAGTCACTCCGGATAATGTGACCACACACATTGTGGACACCTCAAGTACGTCTCTCGCCTAAAATACAGGAGTACCGCACGGTATCATACATGAATCAGCGCCAAAATCTCCGGGATGTGAGCTAATCAATGCCGCCGCCCCGCTTGTTCCTCATGACGCATAGCCCGGCCGGAATACAGGGATTCGCTGGAATCAGAGATCAGGAAAGCCCATGTTATTTGTATAGTTTACGCCATCGATGAACCAGTTACATTCAACAGACTTGGCGGACATTGGTTGCCTTATATCCGGTCTCTTGGCGTCAATGTAAGGAGTACAGGGTGACACATGATCCAGGAGGTACTATCAAAGAAGAAAGCTGACATTCCGGACGATATGCCTCGTAGGTTCCAGTAGTCTTGGTCGGAAACAAGATTGATTTGAGGGGCGACGATGTATCGAACAAGTGTCTGGAAGACGAAGTTGTCCCCATCATGAATGAGTTTAAGGTGCGTATAAGGGATCTGAAGCTTTTTGATGCTGCGAATCATACTCATCACACTCCAGCCACTCATCCACGTTGTATTGTAGGAGGTCGAGACATGCGTTGAGTGTTCAGCAAAGCAGCCGCTTAATGTGTCTGAAGTGTTTTATTTCGCCCAGAAGGCCGTGCTCCACCCCACGGCACCCCTTTATGACTCCAGAGAACATGTTCTTAAGCCAGCATGCGTGGATGCTCTACAGCGAATTTTCAACCTCTGCGATCTTGACAAAGACGGAGTTCTCGACGACGCTGAGCTGAATGAGTTCCAGGTAAAGGCGTGAGAAGGCGCAAGGATGGCACTTCAATTTCAATCAGGATTTTTTAAGCTCGACTATTGACCATATACCTGGTTTTCTTGGTTAACTAGAGGAAATGTTTCAACGCCCCACTACAACTGCAGGAACTAGAGGCGGTCAAGGAGGTTGTGAAGGAGCACGAGCCCGAGGGGGTCAACGAAGTTGGTCTGACGGAGGTCGGATTTTTGTTCCTTCACACACTTTTCATTCAACGAGGCAGACTGGAAACGACATGGACTGTATTGAGACAGTTTGGATATGGCGATGATTTGACCTTAAGGGAAAGCTTTTTGTGCCCAAGGTACGGCAGAGGGGCTTTGCTTGACTTGTACTGGAGGTTGTTGTCGGCTAGTAGACCATGTCTGGGAGTGCTCACACCAAAGATGTTTGAAATATTTCTAGGGTCGAAATACCCCCAGACTGTTCAGTGGAGCTCAGTCCTAAAGGATATCAATTTTTCACTGAATTGTTTCAAGTTTTCGATAAGGTGAGTTGCACTTCTGAATACATGTTCACCGCTTGGGACGTTGTCGATATCCTGTTTATGGTAATTGATATGCTGTATCATTTTATTTTATTTTACCGATCGAATACAGGACAAGGACAGCGCTCTGAAAAAGAGTGAGCTCGAGGCGTTATTCAAAACTTCTCCTGGAAACCCTTGGGCACATACGGCATTCCCGCAAACGACCATCACTACTGAACTGGGCGCGGTCACATTACAAGGATTCCTAGCGCAGTGGAGGTAAAACTTGATCCAGCATTCAAATGAACGCGTATCAACAAAGCGTGGATCAATTGAAACGCGAGTGCTAATTGGATATCCATATCTGCTATAGCATGACGACCATGCTGGACTATCAGTTGACACTAAGGTATTTGGCCTACCTTGGGTTTGAGGGAGACACTACGACAGCAATCAAGGTGACGCGACCTAGGAAAATCGATCGGCGCAAAGGGAAAGTCCAAAGAAACGTATTTCTTTGTTACGTGTTTGGTGCACCAAGGTCCGGCAAGGTATGGCACAGCATGGCAATAAAATGGCGAAGATACTTCACTATGCCTTCACACTGATGTCCTGAAACAGAGATATTAACACTGTGCCTGTTTCGCGAAGACATCCTTACTTCGAGGATTTTTAGACAAGCCGTTCTCAGACCAGTACGAGCCCACTGTTCGGCCATTTGCAGTTGTGAATTCGGTTGAAATCAAGGGCGCAGAGAAGTACTTGGTGGTGAGTGTCCTGAAAGCGGATGTGGATTGTATAACGAACATATGAGCACAACGGCTGCTGAGTTTGTGCCCATGTTTCTACTATGATAGATGGAGGAATTTGGCATGCAGCACGAGACCGAGGTGTTGCAGAATAAGAAGCGTCTGGATAAGTGCGATCTTTTGTGTTTTGTCTTTGACTCGAGCGATGTGAACTCGTTCTCCTATGTGGTTAATCTGCGGGTACGGATTTTTATTTTAATCGCAAAGCATGGACCAATTTTATTTGTGGCAATCAATGGCTCGCATTGACCTAGCCGAAATTCTTTTTCTCCCTCTTTACTATAGAAACAATACCATCTCGACCATATGCCAAGTGTGTTTGTGGCTACGAAAAGTGACCAAGACCTGGTTTTGCAGCGGCATGAGGTCCAGCCAGATGTGTATTGTCGGAATCTGGGACTTGCCTCACCGATCAGCATATCTGTCAAGTCAAGGCAGATGGCGGACCTGTTTAATATTCTTACCGCGGTGGCCATGTGTCCATCAATTGCCACGCCGCCGGGCTTTTTGGATGCGAATTCAGGTACACGAAGGATGAGGTATCTGACAGCGATGGGCGTTGCAGGAGCGCTGATTGCAGTCTGTCTACTCGGCGTGCGATTGTACCGCCACAATGGCCCGTCTGTGTAAGTGGGTATCTAGTACCACAACCATGAGAACAAAGATGGTGCGAGAACTAGGCATCAAGCGGGTTTCGAGAACATGGAGGTACATTAATATCGAGAAAAATATGAAAAAAAATAAAAACATCATATACATTGACCATAGTACGGGTACTTCTGGCTCCTGAGGATGCTAAAGGGACGTAGCTTGCCCTGTGTGGGGCGGGCAGTGGACAAGTGAACTATTTCACTCGTTCTCAAGAAGACGGAGGGAAAAAAAGCATTGCGCGCTATTTTTCAAAAAAGGCGTGTTGATATCGCCATGTGCGTGTACGGTACACCTGCAACCGACCATTCCCCTGTCCCTGTCCTTCTCCTCCCTCATCTCCATCTTAACTTCTTTCTTTCTTCCTTTCCTCGTCATCCTTCATTCCCCATCGACAAGTCGCCCTCTTTTTGCATGGGCCACATCTAAAAAAAAAAAAGCCCTGAGTCTGAATAGATAGACATAAACATATAACCCTCCCTTCCTTTCCCCTTCTCTCCCATCCTCCCCTCTCCTATTCTTTGCACCTGAGTTCCAGACCTCTTGCCCAGGGTAGGTTCCTATTCTCTTATGCGTCTATTCTTGGCGCAGTGAATCCCATTCACAACAGCACATTGTCAGCCCCAATTGCCTACAGCTGCTCCGCACATATTCAGTACATATTCACACCTGCATCCACACATAACCCATACACTAGACATAGTTCTCTTTCTCCCCTCCCCCCTTCACTCCTTTACTCCTCTCGTCGTCCATTGCAAGGAATTTTTATAGTGTCCTTGTAGAGGTATATAACAAAGTTCAACAGAACGCACAACTCCCTCGTCAGCTCTGTATAGTAAGCAGTCGGCAAAGAAAAGAACTAAGGCTATGCAACACTGACAAAGGAGATACGAGCCCAATCGCCTATCGTTTAACCTTCTTCAAGTGCTCTTTGAGTATGACGAACTGGACTGCAGGCTGGTGCAGGCCTGAGCTTGCCTCATAGACTGTGTTCCTTGCACTCCTTTGGACGTTGTTTGCATCTCCTCCCCCATCCCCTGCGTGCAACCACCGACGTGCCTGCATTTGACCATCATTTTAAATCCCTTTCTCCTGAACCACTCTTTCTTGAATCTCTTCTAGGTTGATTCAAATCACAGCCGGTAGATTCTATTCCGCTCAAGCCCTCGAGGGCTTCCATTTTTGAGAGCTTCACACCATACCCCGTCGAGCGCGCGAAAATAAAATGTCGACACCGGACATTACCAATTCTGCTGTGGCTCCATTGCCATGCGACGACACTACCAAGCGGAGTCAGCATAACCAACACCCGTCCTCAGATAATACAGAAGACTGTTCAACAGCAGCAGCTATCCCAAATAACTCAGTGATGCGCTCCCGACGAGAAATCGCCACACTTAACGGATTCATGTTTGATTCGAGTGTTCTATGGGACCATAAGGAAAAGGTACTAGTCAGATCTTGGACCTTTGAGGTTTATCTTGAAGAGCGAGTGTGATGCAAGCGATGATAGTGGCACAAATTTTATGACCCGTTTTGTATCCATCAATCTCTAACATGCCTGTGCGCCATGAAAACACCACGACATCGTTGCTGATCGTCCAGAGTTGTATATATCCATCCCTTCATTTTTGTTTGATCTTTGGGGAGGTTTGGTTTGCGACTGAGCCTTCATCTCACACCGATAACCCCAGGCTAGCTGCTACTGTCACCAACTAACGCACCTATTGCATCACGTCCACCATCGCCCTTAGCCTGCATCGCTACCAGGCGGTCAAGAAAAAGTTGACAACAGTGACATCGCTATATCAGAGGATCACAGAGATGATAGTCTACACAATAGCCTGTCAAGTTCGAATGGAGCCCATGACAGTATGGATTTTTTAGATCAAGATAATGCAGCTCCAGATGAGGTTACAGCATCCAGTCCATCCATAGAAGATAAAGATCAAGATGCGACTGAGTGTAAGAAGAAGACGCTATCGACCTCCTCCATATCTTCGACTATATCGACTTCCTCCTCAACTGCGTCTTCTTCAACATCGTCGTCACTGTTCTCTTTGACGGCAGAGGCAGCTATTACAGCACCGATCATGAGCCATCCTTCAGAGGACGTACTGGCGTCACAGTTGGATCAAAGCAGCGATTTGACAGAGATAGTCCGGACAGTGCACCAAGAGGACATCAAAGAGGTCCAAATCGAAACCGAAGATCCTTCACATTTATTCTGGGTAAATGAATCCTGCGCTTATATTTCCTTTGTTGTGAATACGTCATGGCTGCATATACATGAAAAGCATAGCGATCTAATAATCTAAATGGTCCCATTTTTAAATTAATTAATTTGTATCACGGATCGCCAGGTCCCGTTCCACATGCACCCGGAGATTGCGCCCAACGAGTACAATAGGTGGCTATCAAAGCATGGCGTCGACACGGATGGCAGTGGAAGCCTTCTCTCGGCCAGAAAGGAGTCTCTCAACCGACGCAAGTCCGTCCTCTCGGCTCAGTACAACCCGGAGGAAGACGATGATGACGACGAAGATACGGATGAAAAAGCCGAACAAAAGAAGCCAGTAGCGATCAAGGAAGATGAGAAGCAGCAGGATTTCTTATCCGGTGTATTCTCTTCCCCATTGACGCAGATGGGCGAGCCGCCTTTGAAGACAAGAACTTCGTTGAGACGATCTACCAGCCATACTCAGCTTCTACCGCATGGTATGTCAATCAAGAGCGTCTCTTTTATTTCATGAAAGTGGATGTGCTAGTACTAATAATGACTACATTTCCTATGGTTTTGTAGTTGGGAAATTAGACCATGAGGCAGTTACAGATATGGCGACAGACATGGCGGAAGAGGATCTTGCAGCCGTAAAACGCGGCAGTGGGTTGACGAGGCATGGACCGTCCCTTTTGAGACGAAGCGCCAGGACAAAGATTCGCCGAAATTCGACAACATCCAGCGAAATCAGAAATGATGTATCGCGTTTACGACCTGTACCGATCGAGAATGGCGAATATCCAGCTGTGAGACTTGTAGATCCGGGTCCCATGCCACTCACATCCACAATAGTTCAGCCGGCTCCTGCTTCCGTCGTCGTCAAACAAGATGAAGTTTCAGCACATAATGAGTCAGCCCACAGGCCTCTAAAGCGCTTTGTATCAACTTTGCGAGATTCTTCAAAACCAACGATCACGACGTATGTCGAGCCTCAGCTGCTGGAGCAACGACGAAGGGAGATTGAGGAAGAATCACGATCGGATCCTGGAGTTGCGGTCTCCAGTATCACCACTACAATCACAGTGGCAACAGCGGATGCCATGCCATTACAACCCAGCAGCTCTTCCGCGCCCGCATGTACCACTTTCGAAGATGCGGTAACCTCCAAAGTGACCTATCCTATCCCCCCTCCTGTCAAGCTGAGCCAGAACCTCCTTCAGCAACATACACCACCACAACCAGCGCCATCGAAGCCAGCTCAACTGTCACAGAAACATACGACCTCTGGGCAGAAAGATTTCGACGCTGCTCGGCTGCCGCCTGTGCAACCTCACCTGAAAAAATCTTCTTCGTGGTCCTGGTTGTGGGGCAAGGAGAAAGGAGGTGACAAGACGGCGGATATGGCCCAGCGTCCTCAAAAGACACCGATTTCCGGTTCGCAGGTGCATCAGCACAACAGGGATCCCTCAACTGAAATTGTGGGTAAAAAACAGTCGGCCCTCTCTCTTCTGTTCTCACGCAATGGCAAAGGTTCATCCAAACCCCAGCCTGCCAGTCCTGAGGACACTGCGACGTCCTCTACATCACATCAGCAATCTTCACCCCAAGGCGACCGTGCGAACGACCCGCGCCGGATGCCAATCCATATTGAACGAGCCATTTACAGGTTATCCCATGTCAAACTTGCAAATCCCAGGCGCCCACTGCACGAGCAGGTGCTGATCTCGAACATGATGTTTTGGTACCTGAGCGTGATACAGGAAGAGCAGGATCAACAGCAGCAACAGCAACAGCAACAACAGCAGCCGCTTCAAGTCACCATCGAACGGAATACAGAGTTTGTTAACGCCGACAGGGACGCCGCTCAAGTGATGCCTAACAGAGGAGAGGAGCTTAAGAAAAAGAAGCCCCATCAAGACACGCCGATTGCCGAGACCAAGGTTGAGGGGTCGGAGCATGTGGTGCCACAGCAGGATAGCAACTCACATGCAAGGTCCCCCGGCAAAGAGATGACTATACAAGAGAACACGCATATTCAATCCATGTACAATACTTCTGCACGGAACGATGCCGATTACGATGAAGAGAGCATGATCGGCGGCGGCTTCAGCGGGGATTTTGACTGGTCGGACGACGAAGGCGACGACGACACCAAAGGACTTGAGGATGGAGCTGGCTCTCTGTACCTCCAAGACAGTGCCCAGGATACGAATAGTTACAGGATGAATTCGATACAGTCGGGTGCTAGCTCTATCAGTACAGTGCAAGGTGCAGTGTTGACCGACTTCTCTGAATCACGGCGCCCAGGGACGGTGTCCGTTTCCTGAACTCAATTAAATCCACCACATACGTTCGTACATTTTGTAAAATAAAGTTTGTGGTATAAGCCGCCGTAGGCTGTAACAAAAATTGGCCATCGTCCTCCAAGAGAAATCCCCCCTTTAACATCTGCAGAAAAAATGGTTCGTGACTGTCGCAGAAGGCACAGCGCACCGTGGATCCAGGATACGGATGAAGCCCCCCATCCATCGATCACTACAGCAGCGCAACTCTCAAGGATCTGTCTATCAATCGACATGGGACTATGTCAGCAAGATACTGAATGCTGATTACCATGAAAAAGAGGACAGCAGGATAGACATCAATTGGACTTCAGCGATGACCACTCGAGGACCTGCTAAAGCCCATGCTGTCAAGTTGGCAACCCAACACTGGCGGTAGACAATAGTAAAACGGCGCAGTTATTTCGGATATTGACTACATCCTTTGGAGCAACAGGATCAGGTTCATGCGCGTAGCAGTCAGTCATCCAGGATCTACGGATAGCACGCACAGGAATAAGCAACAGGACTGATGTCTACTCAACAGCAACTCTCTACATGGCGCACCTAACATCCGACCGACTGTCCTTTATTATGCTAATCTAGGCTCGTGGACCCAAAAAGCACCTGAAGCGCCTCAATGCCCCCAAGCACTGGATGCTGGACAAGCTGACCGGCACCTATGTACGTTAACATCAGGTTCTTTCTTGAGAGGGTGTGGCAAATAGAGGATGAAGAAACTACACTGGAGATCGGGACACGGAAACATCATCAAGCAAACAGCGTTCCATCAATCCCTGCCTGGACGCTCACCAACAATAGGACACAGGAAACGCTTTATTCGCGCCGCGCACAACAACTTAAAGCGGAAAAGCTGCCCTGTTTTTGTGTCGACTCGAAACGGCAACACTGCCCGCTTTTCCGCTTACACACGATGGCTCGTAGAAAGCAGTTGCATATCATCGAGTACCTTGGGACGGCCAAACCTGTTCGCCCCCGTACTAGTTGATGTCCTCAGTCTCTTTCTACCACAGAATGGTAGACAGCCTTCGACAGTTTTTGCAACACGCTTGATCAACAATTGCAAGGACAACTCAACTTTGCACGCAAAAGGATAACTCGAACATCACTGTTATCAGCAAGAACCAAAAACGCGATTACCTGAAATGACTGGTGCCCTATCATGAAAGACGGATCTTTATTCAGTTCGACTTCGATTGGCATTCAACAGTATCGGATCATCATAGGACACCAGCTCAGTACTACCGACTATTTGCAAAGACCGGTCATACTCACGTCTAGCGACTTCTTTTCATTGTCTTTTTGCGTAACGATATTGTAGGCTCCCAGACCTACTGCCGGTCCCCACAAGCTCCGTGAGTGCTTGCCTCTTATTATCTTGATGCGCAACCGTCTGAAGTACGCACTCAACGGTAAGGAGGTTCAGTCCATCCTTATGCAGCGTCTCGTTAAGGTTGATGGCAAGGTCCGTACCGATACCACCTTCCCCGCTGGTTTCATGGATGTCATCGCCATCGAGAAGACTGGCGAGAACTTCCGTCTCGTTTACGACACCAAGGGACGCTTCACCGTTCACCGTATCACCGCTGATGAGGCCCAGTACAAGTTGTGCAAGGTCAAGAAGGTTCAGCTCGGTGCCAAGGGCATTCCTTTCGTCGTCACTCACGATGGCCGCACCCTCCGTTACCCTGATCCCTTGATCAAGGTCAACGACACCATCAAGCTTGACCTGGAGACTGGCAAGTTCAACGAGTTCATCAAGTTCGAGGTCGGCAATGTTGCCATGGTCACCGGAGGTCGCAACACTGGCCGTGTCGGTGTCATCACCCACCGTGAGCGTCACATCGGAGGTTTCGATATCGTCCACATCAAGGATGTTCTCGACCGCCAATTCGCCACCCGTCTCTCCAACGTTTTCGTCATTGGTGAGGGCAACAAGCCTTGGGTTTCTCTTCCTAAGAACAAGGGTGTCAAGCTCACCATTGCCGAGGAGCGTGATCGTCGTCGTGCCGCTTCCAACTAAAGAAATAAAACCCGCCCCCTCCAGCCATCCCATCCGCTTTCAGTCTGCCCTTTTTTTACGCATCCCCTTCTCTCTTTTGACAATAAAGGCTGACTTTGAGACTCTTTACAACAGGTCTATTTTCCGAGGACATGTTTGCATGATATGCACCTCAATTACTGAAAAATGGTAGTTCCAGGTGTGTGCAACGCGTCAGGTTTGTAGTGACGTACCGAGTCACAACCAAGTGCAGACCGTTCATCAACCTTCAGGCACCCTTAGAAAGTCGCCATTCTTCTCCCTCATCAACTAAACTACGCAAGTCCTTCATCTCCCTATATTGCTCCCTATGGCCACCATCGAAGAAAAAATTAAGATTGCCTCGGGCTTCTTGAAGGCAGCACCACCAGGTTAGACAGAGCTTGCTTGCTACACACAGTGTTATGAGAATTTGTCGTACATGACTCCATCTAACTAGTCTCTTGGGCTTTCATTTCGACAACGCTTAACTAGGTGAAATCAACGATGTATTCAACGGTAATGACAGGCTGCTTTTTCTATTGCGAAGATTGGGACGCTCTCGCGCCAAAAAAAAAATGGCCAACTCAGCTTGTCTAAAACGGGACCACTGACCCTGCCGATTTTTATCGCGACACGGATTGATATGGAATGGTGGGCGTAATAGATGTTCGCGGCTTGGTGGGCGACGACGAGTTACTGGACGGCGGTATCCTGAGTGCTTTGGAGGAATATAATACTGAAGAATTGGCGACTGTGGATGTCCCTGGTATCGAGGGCAAGGCAAGTTTCGTTTGCGTTCAATTGAGTCCATTGGTGACTTTTTGATTGATGTTGGATGTGCAAAAGGTTAATAATTGTCCCACCTTCGCCTTTATTTTCATTAGGCAATTGTTTCAAAGTATGGACAGATCGAAGATAACCGTTTCTTGCACCCCAAGAGCAATAAAGTGTTTAAGCTGGATCACTTTCGCCAGGTATGTCGCAAATGTTCGCCCTGTCATTACTGGCCTGTTTTTTCAGTATTTGCTTCCTGCCATTTATGCTTTGACTTTGAGTATTGAACCCCACTCTGGGATGCTCACGGTTTATTGTAGATTGCCTCGGATCCTGAGGATCACACGGTCGACGAGGAGATGGAGGAGATTCGTAAAGTGATTGAGAAGGACACGGAGGACTATGTGATTGACCGGTACGCTGAGGGTGTTTCTGCAGTGTATGCTTCCAAAGGCGTGGTTACAATCGCTATCGTCCACAACAAGTACAGCCCGTCAAACTTTTGGTAAGCGGATCAAAGAAAATGTCGCTCTGCAATACTTGCCAGATGACAGTAATTAGGCACGTTATTGTATGCATATGCAATTGATCAGTAACCTGTGAACTTTCCAATGTAGGAACGGACGATGGAGATCCATCTGGACGCTGAATACTGAGACAAGTGAAGTCAAGGGCACACTGAAGTGCAAGGTCCACTACTATGAGGATGGAAACGTTCAATTGGAGACATCGAAGGAGATCGAAGAAAAGCTGAGCAAGGGTTCGTCGGATCCTGTAAGTGTCAAGGATCTGGGTCCCCAAATTATCAACTACAATGCGTTCAGGGGCCAGGAGCACTAACATTATCAATTCGTGGTTCTGGATTTGGGTAGCACAAAATTGTTTCCAAGGCATTGCTGGACCTGATCGCTGCTGAGGAGGCAAAGTACCAGGCGGCATTGAACGAGAGCTACCATGACCTGGCAGAAAGTACATTCAATGGCCTTCGTCGCGCTCTGCCCTACACCCGCACAAAACTTGACTGGAACAAGGTAACGTGCTTGCTTTTTTTTATCGAGATAGAAGAAACTGAGAGGATTCAAAAAGTCGCTGACTCCTTACATGGCTTCTTTGACTTCAACTAGATCCTCACTTATCGTATTGGTGCCGAGCTCTCATCAAAGTAAAAGAAGCACGGTCTCTATCGCGAGTTGGTCGGGCGGCATTGGACTGGGCATCAGCAAGGAAAAATGGGGCCTCTTTTTGCGTCTTCAAATTAGCCATGGATAATACAATAAAAAGTGCAACGTCTTCGAGTGCAACTCTTCTGGTATTGCATATTGGTCTGCGGCAATTGCAATTGAACAAATTGAACGCAAGGGTGTTGAAGGAAACATGTCTTTGGTGGACCAGGCGAGGAGCACACCGGCGCAGTTGGACAGTCCAACTGAAAAAAAAATCAGGATGGAAGCAAAAAGCCCAGCGAGCGCTTATGAATCTCTTTCACCCACAAACCTTGAATCGCAACCATGACAGATCAGGACCACCATTCAGACCTTTTTCATTCCTCAGTAAATCGCCAGGTGGACGGAAACGATGTCGACAGTAGCGGCAACAGCAGTGGAGGCGACGATATCTGGGACGATGGGGATAATGTTTCGTACGATCGTGCGATCGCAGAACGAGAGTGGTCTCGACTTCACGATACCTTTGGCAATGTAAGGGGATGCCTTGTCCAGGAAACATTGACCGATATAACACTGAAATGAACCTATGCCTGCATTTGCTTAAAAAAAAAACACTTTCTCGTCCTTACCTTGCACTGTAGACGGGCTACAGGGAGGGTATTGAAGAAGGGAAAGAGGGCACGCTGCAACAGGGTTTCAACCAGGGCTGGTCAGAGGGCACTCAGTACGGCCATGAGTTGGGGAGATTTCGAGGCTTGATCAGGTCCGTGAGCGAGGCTCTTTGCCTTCCCTACTGCCCTTTATTATGTATTATCTTATGCTATTAGCCAAATGGTATCCTAATGTTTTTTCGAGTCCATTCCAGCTCACTGTTAGAATACGTCCAATCCTCGCCATCTTCATCAACATTGGCATCCGCAAACCAAAGCCCACTAGTCAGCTTGAAAGACAAAGATGTATGGGTCGAGAAAGCGACGGCGTTGGTCAAGGAGCTGGTCGAACTGGACATCTCCAATGTCTTTGATAAGGCCTTTTTCGACGACGGATACAAACCCTCTTCGTCGACATCCAAATCCAACAAAGCCGATTCGAACATTGACGGAACATTGTCCGGCATTGATTCGGGATGCTGCGGGGGTGCTTCCTCAACATCATCTGGAAGCAGGGACTCGTGTTGCCAAAACAGGACCGCTGTCTCGTCGACGGCAGACAAGGACACCTCTACATCAGACGCTCAAGCACAGGCATCAACAGAAGTAGGATGTTGTGGATCAAAGCAGGGCGGCGGACTTTGTGTCTCAAAGGAGCATGGGTCCATGGACAAAGAAAAGAATGGTTCCAGCGGAGGAAAAGAGTGTTCTTCACAGCCAGAGCAAGTGATCGACATGTACCGCTCCAGAATCCATGATCTACTCAAGGAGGTCAACATGGAATCACTCCTCGAAGGTGCCTAAATAGCATCCACTTATCATCATATACATAATACGACGCGCTGCATATTACAATATAGTGAGTGATATGCCAAATGGATTGGTGAGATGGATCGATCCTGCTTGCTTTATTGTATATTGTACAAATACCCTCTCAATCTGTTACCACAGGTTTAATGAATACCGTGGTGATGTACTTTTTTCGGTATCGCGCAGTGACACTGATGCTCAACACCCCTTCCTTGACTGAACATGCATACAGGTGGTTCAGGACAACGTGGTTGGGTACAGGCAGAACCGAGTTATCTTCCTTAGACGGCACATTGTTGAGGATAACCTTTTCCAAATGTGGGGGTAGTGCCGGAGGCGGGTCATTCGGGATGGTCAAATGATTGGATGAAAACAGTTTTGAGGAGGACGAAGATACGCTCGTGGGGGAGTCAGGCCCGCCACTTCTTACGCCAGGTCCTTGAGGACTGTGTTGTCCGGCTGTGCCCCCATTGCTGTTACTGTTGGATTCTGTCGCCTTGGCTGTAATGGATGTGAGCGGTAAAACCGCATCGCTCCCTGAAGAACTTGATGGGGATGAGTCACCGGATTGAGCGTAAAGTGGGATTTGATCTGTGTATGACCCCACAGGCGATCCATTGATGGGTGTATCTACAAAGATAAAGAGGAAGATAGAGCGTGGGAGGATTTCTGTAAGAGATAATGCGTGTACCATGCAGTGGCGTAGACTTGATTCTTTTTTTTTTTTTTTTTTTAACTTTCATCCATAAAAAGTGCTTACCATGGCCACCCTCGAGTTCGTCCTGCTCTTCGTCCGCGACTTCTAAGAAGTTGACTAGATTTCCTTCGACGTCGGTTGCTGCAGATAGTTCCGTGGAGCACTTCCATTCATCATCCACAATGAACTTGATCCGATGTGTCCCAGGCGGCAAGTTCAGTATCGTTGAGAAATCGCTTGTGCTAATGTCAGGCCATAAACAAATAAAAAAAGGAATTGCTGTGTGAATGATCATATCAAGGTTTGGATGTGAAAAATAGATAATGGGTGGACGGGCCAAACGGATGACAGATCAACGTGTACCTTTTGTTGAGCCGTACTTTCTGTTTCCAGTTGTTGAATGTCCCGGTGACATACACGTTGGTGCCTCCCTGACTCCATGTGATAATGGTGGGCACATATCCATCCGTGGGATCTATTGCAGTTCATAAAAGGTGATGGCACATCATGGTGTCAGTTGTGTGTGTCTCGCCATCAAAGTTACGAGGCTGGATCGTACAGGATAAGTTGGATCTGCCTACCATCGCTCGGATCATCCAGACTTTTGAGGGGGTCGACCGTATCAAAGGCTCGTGAGACCCTTGCAGAGTTGCGGTAGCTTGCCCGCCCTTCGATTGCGTGTTGCTGTGATCGATGATGCTCCAACTTGTCCTGATGCGCCGCAGTGGCCAGCAGCACCTGCTCGTTGTAGGCATCGGTGTATTGTCCATATGACTGCCCGCTCACCAGGGAAGAAGCTCTCCTCCGAGGGCCGCCCCCAGGCAACGGACTCTTGACTGGTTGTGATTGCTGCTGCTTCTGCTGTTGGCGATGCTGCTGAAAATGTTTGTCCCCTAAAGATTGTCCTCCGCCCAACACATGTGGATAAGACGAATCACTGCCGAGAGGAGAGGACCCTGCTGGAGAATCGTTCAGGTATTGCTCCTTGACATAGGGGAATCTCCGGGGTGCACTTTCGACAGGGATAGGGGCGATGGGTATTGTTGAAGGGTGAATCGAATCCTGGGGCCCCAAGGTGGAAGACTGTGCAGGGAAGGCGTGTGGTGACGAGCTATGTCGCTGGTGAGTCATGTATCCGCCATGTTGCTGCTGTTGCTGTTGTTGATGCTGCTGCTGTTGTTGTTTTTGGTAAGGGCTATTGGTGAAGGTAACGGACTCAACAGCGGCATCGTTCTCGAGCGTGCCATTTCCAGCGTTCGACGGGGCGTTTCCCATGGCAAGCCAGTGTCCGACTTGAGCGTTATTTTTTTATTTTATTTTTTCCTTGGAAGCTGTTTTCTTGACGGTCGCCTTCTTCTGGATGAGGAAAAAAATGAGAGACAGAGAAAGTGAGAAGGAAAGAGAAAGGGGGAAGAATGGAGAGGGAAGAATGGGGAGGGAAGGAGGAGCGAACGAAGAGAAAGAGCGTAAGAAAGACAAGAAGGGTCCGCTCCTCCGAGAGCGTGCGACCTGCAAACCCACCACTCAAAATGCGTGCGACAGTCACGAGCCGCCTCTTTTTTTTTTTTTTTTTTTTGCCGCTGTTGCTGCTGTAAGGCGCTGTGCACAAACAAACGCTCAACCGCTTGTTTTCGTTCGCCACCAAATCGTTCCTCTTCGCACCATCACACATCATTCAACAGCAGACCCAGCAGACCACAAGAGCAACGCAGCACAATCCCATACAACACGTATATCGATAATGGATCGCAACAAGACTCCCATAAGCACGCCAGAGCGCGCCACAAAACAGGCTGCGAGCGACACCCCGCGCGCATCGAACTCTCCTCGTACACCCAGGACACCAACTGCTTCTCGGACGCGGACAGCGTCTATCGGCCGTACCTCTGCCACTGCACAGACGCCATCACCATCTGTAAGGCCTTGACGGAGCTTTTGTTTTCATGGAGGACCTGTTGCGAACATTCTATTATGTGACCCTGCTCCTAATTGACATTGTTTTCAAAAATATTACCTAGTCAAGGACTGGTGTACATCGGAGTAGTGTCATAGGCAGCAGTGGCAACACACTCTCTACATCGAACAACACAGAAAAAAGCGTTACGACCACGCCCGTCTATCCAGAGTCCGAAGTTCTTCTCAACAGCACTGTCTCGAATGCTGGACTTCAACTCTCAGATATCATTCCTTTGGACGCAAAGACTGTCGAACGTATCAAAAGCCTCGAAATCTCACTCAAGCAGCACCGGGACGCTGAGGAGAGACTCAAGCGCGATATCCGATCTACTCGTCACGAGCTAGTCACTTCCACTGAGCAGCATGACAAAGTGATGCAAATGGGCAGGACCCAGCTACGGAATTTAAAGCGCGACTTGGATAAGCTGCAGGAACAGTCTCTCAAAAACAGCGGGAGTTTACAACAACTATGGGAGATCATCCGTGGTCTGAACGATAGTCTGGCAGCAAAAGATCAGGAGTTGATCAAAATCAAAAACCGGTTTCAGGAGATGGAACAACATCGGCAGGAGATTTTGAAGGACCGCGAGGAGACCGAAGTGGAGGCCCTGCAACAACTACGGGCCGAGAGAGACAAACTACGGGTAGAGTATGAGGAGGTCATGAAGATCACGGAGGAGTTTCCTGAGATATCAGTCCAGCTGAAAAAAATGTTTAAACCGGAGACGATCGAAAGTATCAAGGCGAATATTCAAAAGAAAGATGAAAGAATAGCAGAGTTGGAAAACATGATCGCCGAGTCGAAGAAAGTTTTGGGGACTGAAGAACAGAAAGCCGAGGCTTTGGTAATGAACAAACAGGCCATTGCTCTGCACTTTCAAGACTTGGTGCTTGATTATTTTGCGGCGAAAGCAACTCATCGTGAACTTCATCTTCATCTTCTTTGGGAAACTGCAGGCACACTTGTTCAACAAGGTATACGAACGACGGATCAACATTCGCGCAGACGAATTGAACGAGAGACTCAAACATGCGGAGGAAACTGAAAGGTACTGTAAATGTCTTTTAGTGCTGCCAGCGACGTTTTCATGGTGACAGCAATGTCTAACATCAGAAACTTTTTCTTTCCTTTTCTTTTCATTTTTCTTAGAAAACGAGATCAGGAAGCAAATGATGCTCTTCAGGAATTCCTTCGCCTTGACCAAATGTCCATTGAGGTGGAAGAAAAGGCTAGCGGGGAGGAGTATCAGCTGCTGTTGGACAAGGAGGAATTGTCCAACCTTGAATCAGCACTGTGGTCTCTCAGGATGGAACTCGCCCAGCGTCGCCAGATAGTCGTCAGCAACATGTGAAGCTAAGATTAAAGGAAGAAACGACGCAGTCGCTTTTTTTTATTTCACTCTGGAAAGTTCACTGTCCTCTCATCGTGTTAATAAAAACGTGTCGTGTGCCTCTTCACAGCCTTGGGTGTGCATGTGGATTCTTGGAGTATGCGTAGCATTTCTCTTTTCCTGTGATCCGTTCTTCGTCGTCCATGTCCTTAGTAATGCATTCCATCTCAATGTTCCCAGCTCGTTGTGAAAGAAAAAGAAAGAGAAAAGAAACTAAGGCAGGGAAATTATGGCAATAATTGATGGAAGGGAAAGCGGGGCTGTGTCTATGAGTGGATTCGATTCTTTGCGCTGGATGTAAGAATAAAAAAAAGAGTACATACAAAAATATGAAAAGAATATGAAAGCAAATTGAGCTGGGAAAGACGTGCAAGTATGAGTATGAAGTCAAGAGCAATACAAAGAATGCAAAGGGCGATGACAAAAAAAAAAAAATTGTGCAGGAAAGAAGTGTTGGTGGTGCATTTGAATGAGAGGAGACCAATCCCGAGTTGGCGTTTCGGTGCCGAGAGGTGTTCGTCCTGCTCAATCCCGCTGGCTCTTTACACGGTCCAAGCCTTCCCAGTGTTGGACGACTCATGGTGGCTCTGGAACTCAAGAGTTCCGTTGAGGTTAGCGGCTCTCTTGAGGATGCGACTAAGAAGATATAATATAAAAATGTTAGTGTTTAAAGGCTACCAAGACGAAAAATCAGAATATGACCAGATCAAGCAGGTCATTCATACCCAATACTCATGGCCGTCTCGTAGTTGTCGGATGATCGCGTCCACAGCGCTATCCTGAAGAATGCTTTGCGGACAGATACTACGGCACCGCACACCTCGCTCTCCTGTTCAAAAGCCTCGCCGATACAAGCCAGCATCTAGAAGGATTACCAACATGAATAAGAATTAATGCCGTTATTAAAAACAACTCATGGATGTCGATGACCAGTAATCCTGTGCAAATAACCCATGCTTACTGTGTACAGCCAGATATTATCGATCTCGTTCATGGTCTTGTTGCGAGGCAACTGGATGCTCCACTTGCCTCCGCGCTTGTTCGCGGGGTCCTCCCACATAGGCTTGATTCCTTGCTTGAATAAATGGTAGTTGGAACTAATACCCAAGTCGCAGGTCTTCATAATGTTGTTGTATACCCTGTAAAGTGAAAAAAAAAGAAAGAAAGAAAGAGGACCGAGTTTGGTTAGTCGAATGTCCTACTCGCCGCAGCTAATATGCGGCATTGGCTGTTCAAAGATGGAATAATGCGGCTGCAGAAGATCGTTCCCCCTGGTGATCCAAGTGTGGATCATCTCAAAATCGTATTCCAATTGGCTGAGGGTGTCAATTGGGCCCAGTCTGCGCACTCGCTGTCATAGCGAATGACAAAAGGCGAAGCGCGGCAGCGATTACCAATCGGCCGCAGTCAAGTGTATACACTGAAGAAGAGTGCAGAGGGACGACCGTGCGCCGGGACAGCGTAGACGGAGAGATCCTGAAAAAGTTACGTTACCCCCAAAAGTCCTCGACTGTATCGAAGGTAATGAGCTCCTTGAGCGACTGCTCCCAGTTGTTGGCATTGGACTTCTTGCCGGGATTGTCGAACCAGAGAGTCCAAGAGTTGTTAAGAGGATGCTTGGCGTTGAAGTTGACGGGATCATTGAAGACAGTAACGTATTTGCCCCCTTCAGTTGGAACAGTGAGACTGTTGTTGTTGGTGTTGCTGCTGTCCTGCTGAGCCATGATTCAAAGTGGAGTGAGGATTAAAACGAAGAGGAGTGTAGAAACGATAAAGAAGCTGAAGAGAGGAAGGCGGAAGAGAGATGAAGAGAGCAGAGAGACGAGTAGACGCGTGTATTGAAGAAAGAGGGCGGAAGTAAACGGTGGATCGATCGATGAGAACAAAAAAAAGAGAGATAAGAGAGATCAAAGTGTTTTTTATGCGAGGCAAGTGACTGTCTTTATGAACCATGCTGCCAGAAGCGGACGCAACAAAGTATGTCAAAGGCTCCGCAAGAACAAACCTCCGATGTCGAGATGTCTCCAGTCTCAGACCATGTTATTGGATGCGGATGTGGATGCAGAAGCGGTCCCTGCGGTCCACTCCTTCGGCTCTTGTGAAATGATTCGAGGCTCTGGGCTACCGCAACAATTTTATTTCAGAGCATGGTCCTAATAGCTCTACTAGCACCTCCAACCCACACAGGCACCTGCCGATCCGGAGCCTTAAATGTAGCCTCCGTCACAGGGTGTGCATGCTGGCGCAGACTGCTCAGTTCCTGTTTCCAGTAAAAATATAAATAAGATCAACATGATTACCATTACAACGAAAAGGGTTAGCAGATAATTGATCATTGGGTCGCTTGCTTTGCTTGATAGTAACAAAGATCCCTAGTAGGCGAGTTACCTCGTGAAGACTCTTCCGTAAGCCCTGGTTTGATGTCACAAGGAAAAGCTGCGCCTCCAGATCACGAACGATCGACCGATATCCAAAGTTGGGCGACCCGATGGTTGTCATGACGGGCAGATCCGAGTGTGGTGGATAGACCCAAAGACCTAGATTCGCGTGCCAAGATGAATCATGTTTAGCCCTTGACAGTATACAGCGCGAACAGACGATGACAACCAGAAAGAATAATAAAGTGCGAGGGCGTGCCTTTTGCATGGTATGTCCATCCTTTACGATGATATTCTTCGATTTTTATCCGCTCAGCATTTCCTGCACGCTTCGCATCTTTAAGGAATCGCTGCTCGATAAGTGTATAGGCCGGCGGAATGTATTTCGAGATACCTGCGGAATTATAGAATCCATTTGCCTAAAGTTGTTAACAAGAGAAGAGCTCATCTTAGCCCAATCCGTATACTTCTGCTCCTTCCGATCCATCGCAGTCGAGTGCTGAACAAACCTCTGGTGAAGCTGCAATTAGACACACGTCTGCTGCTTTAGATTGCACGATCGTCTGGCTGTATTTCTTCTCAAAGTTGAAGTATCCAGAAGTGATAAACAGTTTGGTCGGTTCCTCTTGCTTGTTCGCGTGAAGAATGCGCTCCAGCATCAAAAGGGTCACCCGCTCGTCTTGTCGCAAACCAAATGGCCCCATCTGAACAAGCGGGTATAAGGTCGTGTCGTAGGATGGATCGTCGGGCGACTGCTGAACTTTTGTCCATTTTTTCAAGAATGTACGCATTGTGTTTGTTGCATGCCGCTTGAACTGCCTGCTCTCCTGCACTGGGTCGGGAACTCCATTCGCAATGCCCAGGGTAAAGTGGTTGTCCTTCTCCTGCATAGTATATGAGAATGACGATACTGTGGAAACTAGATCGCAGTAGTATTCAGTGATATCCCTGTTGCAGAACGTAATGTATCGATCCTGGCGGTTCGTAAAGTAATCATGGCTCATGTTCGCCCTAGAATTTGGTGGAAAGGGTTCGCATACAGTGTCAGTCGAAATAACCTGGGTATGGACACGTCCCACTCAACCTGCCATTCCTCACGACACCATACATACCCACTCATGATCAGCGTGTCGTCAAATGCATAGACCTTCATATGCATCAATCCAATACCCTCGTTAAATCTCGGCGGCATGACTCGTTTCAATAATCCGCTGAGGTCCGGAGTATGGTACATCGAAATACAGACTTGATTCGGGTACGCCTTGAGAAGAGGATATAGAAGTGATGCAGAGCTGCCCTTTCCTGAGTCCCGTGTGCCACGTAATGAGTCCAACAATAGATTCAACTTCAAATTAGGTCGGCTTCGTAAGGCATCTGATAAAGCTGTGATCTATCATTGAAAATAGTCAAAGTATCGAATGAATGAGTGGATCGGATAAAAGTATGAAAGCGTCTATCAGGACAAATGTCTCCCTCACGGTATGGCCATCGTGACCTACAAGATCGCTCTCGGAATGTCCGAGGTAGAGGGCTGCTAATGTAATCGACCTCTGCGCATTGCGGATATGATCCTACTTATGACAAGGGCCAAGATTTAGTTTCGAGTGTATCGGCCGTAAGCAAATCGATCTTATTTGAACAACCGCCGGGGCCCACCTTCATTTCGCTGTAAAACTGTGAAGGGCCAAGGATCGGCCGAATATTCTCGCCCTGAAGACTAAACCGAGGAAGAGCAGGGCGGGCATCCTGAAGCAGTTGTCGCGTCTGTGTAATATAGTCCTGCTCAGTGCTCTGTCCGACCGCAGAGCTCTGGGTGGCGAGCTGTCGCACACAAGCCGCGGCACTTGCTATGGTGTTCACAGGCGCCACTCTACGAATGGTAGTGATTGTGGCCAGCATGAGAGGTAATGGTATGTGATGGTGTGATGTCGGATACGGAGTGCGAGCTCGGGAGTGCCCAACCAAAAAAAAAAAAAAAAAAATTAGATTGGTGGCTTCGGTTCGCCACAAAGCACTTGGACCTGGTCTTTTTTTTAGGCCTGCGCAAAAGAAAGAAAACAGATGAGCATTCCTTTCTTCCTTTCTTCCTTCCGCAATTCACTCCTTCGCACTTCCAAGGCTCCTTTTTTCTCTACTTCGCTCTTATACTGCATCAACAAAGCATGGACTACGACACAATCGAAGCCATGGTGGACGCCCCTTTCCAGAAGGTACCAGGTTGCATTCAAGATTGATTCATCCTGCCCGATACTGAGCAGAAGCTGAACGTCGACTAACGACCTGTTCCTTTTGCTTCACTGCAGGAGCAACACCAACCGTCCATCCCTATGGAAGTCGACACCTCTCGTCGCAATTCAAAGAGGTATTTTATTCCTATTTTTTCCTAGCGCTGTGAATAGGGCAATTTGGCCAGCTTCAGCCACTAACTTTTCATATACGTTATTAGTAGCGAACGAGTGCCCTCGGTCGATCCATACAGAGACAGCCATCGCTCTGCATCTCCTCGCGACCATGAACGACGCTATTCAGAGTCAAAAGAGCGCGGGCACTCCAAAGAGAAGGATGATGAGCGATCAGGAACCAAGCGCCATCGTCGTTCAAGGTCCCGTTCGCCTCGACACTCTAGGGATCACCGGGACTACGCCGATCATTATAGGGAGCATAGGGAGCATAGAGATTACAGAGACAGGGATTACCGCGACTACAGAGTCGGCCGCGGTCATCACAGCGATCGCTATGATAGAGATAGATATGACAGAGAACGCTACGATAGGGATCGCTACGACAGGGACAGCCGAGGGAGCTATTCTCGGGACCCTAGCTCACGTAGGAGTAGAAGCCCCAGAGGATATGGAGGGTATGTCATTGCAGCATTTTACAAGGGTATTCTTATCTCAGCGTGCTGTGTACTAACGCTATTGTTTGATGACATATAGACACTCTCGCCGCAGAAGATCCCCTTCTCCTCCCGCAGATGAAGCTACCTGCGACCGTCGCACTGTATTTGTGATGCAATTGTCGGCTCGACTTCGCTCTTCTGAGCTGGAGGCATTCTTTTCCCAAGCAGGAAAAGTGCGCGCTGCTCGCATTATCGAGGATCGCAATACCGGACGATCAAAGGGGTATGTTAGAGCCTAATCGCTCTGTGGCGTCTCCAGCTACGATGATATGATAGTAGGGAACTCACGTCTGGCGCATCTTTTTATTCCATGATAGGGTTGGATACGTGGAGTTTTATGACGAAGAATCAGTAGGCAAAGCAATCGAATTGACTGGACAGAAACTGTTAGGCATCCCTGTCATCGCCAAGCACACGGAGTCAGAGAAGAACCGCTTGGCTTTGCAAGCTGCCTCGCAAATGTATGTCTAGTAATGAACTGACGACGATATGTCAAGATCTGTGAAGACGCTTGCCATTATGCACAGTATCCTGACGCATTGTTTTATCGTATTACATTTAGGCAAGCTGCAACTGCCGAGGCGTCTGCGCAGCCCGCCCAAGCTGACCTTTCCCAGCATCGTCTTTATGTTGGTTCGGTGAACTTTGACTTGACCGAGGATGATCTTAAGCAGGTTCTTGAGCCTTTTGGGCCTATCGAGTTCATCAAATTGCATAGGGACGCTGAGACAGGAAAATCCAAAGGATTCGCTTTTGTTCAGTACGTATCCGTCCTGCGTTTGGTTCAAGGCGGTTGTACGGTTGCATATGGTAATTTCGGCTAACTAGGTCTATTTTTTATCCCAAATAGGTACAAAAATGCAGACGATGCAAAGCAGGCCATGGAGCGTATGAACGGATATGTTTTGGCTGGAAGAACAGTATGTTTAAACAATCTTCGTTGCGAACTCGTTCAGGATTGATGGCAGTGATGATGTGGAAGGCGATTTAGAATTAACAATCGCCTTGTATTATGCCGCTACTAGATCAAAGTTGGACTTGTGACAGAGAGAGGAAGCAATCCTCAAACGAATAACAACTACCAATACAGCAATGGTCAGATCAACAACAGCATTAGCATTGACGATAGCGGTATGTACATTTCACAGTTGCGAATTATGGAGCCATGGAAAACATGTTTTAACATTGCGACCTTGGAACTGACTATGTGTTTTCCTAAATTCTCGCTTTTAGACACTGTTGGATATGCTATGACTTCACAGTCGCGAGCTGAGCTGATGCAGAAACTGGCTAGGGGTGATGCTAGTCTTGGAGCCGTCCCCTCTGCAGTCACCGCTGCTGTGCCTGCTCCTGTTGTTCCATCTTTTGTGTAAGCACCAACTGCCTCGCGTTAATCTATGCGGCTTGTAGGCAGTAAGAATACTGTATACGATGTCTAATTGTCTCTTTTTAATATTTCCGCTACTCAACAGCCCACCTAGACAACTTCCGGTCGTTATGCCCTCTCGCTCAGTCCTTTTGAAAAATATGTTCGCAGATGAAGAGTAAGTTGCAAATGCGGGTCGGAGAGGCTTCATTTTTTTTCATATCCCAACTTGTCTTCAATGCTAATATCCACCTCCATTTCTCTATCTCTTTTGTTACGATGGCAATGTTAGTAAAATGGAGCCAGACTGGGCTAAAGAGCTCGAAGAGGATGTGAAGGAAGAGGCAGAGAAGAATGGGCCGGTCGTTCACATTCACGTGGAACAGGATTCACCGGTATGTTGAATTTTTAGCAATACTAAAGGATGCTGTTGGCGAATCATGGCGCAATGCTGACGGTCTTTATTGCTTTCTTGTTTATTAGGGTGAGATCTATCTAAAATTTGACACCGTCCAATCTGCTACAAATGCAGTGCAGACGCTAGGAGGTCGATTCTTTGCCGGTAGGCAAATCGTTGCTGCCTACCTCCCGGAGATGCTGTATAACGTCCGCTTTCCTCGTGCAGCTAATTTGTAGATGACTCCGAGCTGCGCTATCCGGTCATGAAATTCCGATGAGGATACTCCGGCATTTGAAGGTCTTACGAGTCAACGGATGACAACTACCGATACCAGCTTTCATTCCTCGTCCTCTTTAGTTCAACGTTTTTTTTTTTTCTTTTGCTTCTTTTCGCAGGGAGATACTCCGCGCTCTTCACCTCGGTCCTTCAGCAAGGGAAACAACAACAACAAACAACACTATGTTACGAACGCTACTATATTTTTCTAGCAGCCGGCCGCCTTTTATTTATTCCTCATCTCTTTCTTTCCATTGCCTAGTGATCACTTTGCAAGGACAGCGTGTCGACATTGAGGAAAGATCAAAGGGTGGCATACCACTCTTCATATTTTTTTACCCTCACACCATAGTTTTGAAAGAATTTAGAAATAAAAACGCGTTATTCATTGCTTCGCAACTGTTACTCAGTCTTATGAATCCCACTGTGGTGTACGCGAATGCGCCTTTTCATCTACGCTGCATTACTGACAATGGCGTGGTGGCTCGCAAAGAAAATGACTTTGTCAGTAATGACATTGCATTTCTTTCACCATTTCAACCGTCGGTGACAGTCGCCTTGACCTTATGCAAAATGCATACATGCTTTGACACTCCTTGCAACCGTCGGATAATATGCAGCGCACACTTTTATATTTCATGTCAAACTGTCTGTCAATTCGGATGATGTAGTATGCGCGATCCCCATAACACTTCTCCTCAGAACTGATCCTAAAAAAATGAAAACATTTATTCTGTTGAAATGATTTTGATCGCATTCTATTACTCATAGCAGAATATGTTCTGAGCGATTTTGCAAGCTTTGTGCTCCTGTGCCAGCCCAAAGGCTGGGCGAAATCTAATGAAAAAAGCGACATCTTATTGTTATGGGTGAACTGGGATGAGTCAAAATAGGGAGAGTACTGAGGAAGGTAGTAGATATTTAGGAAAGGCTAACAGTGGAGTGAACCAGTCAATCGTAAATAAATGAGCTTAATACCAAACGCGAGGGGTCTCAACACAAAGCAACAGCCAATTGGGCGAAGCGACAACTGACCCAGAAACTTATCTACTGGGCTGGGCTCAGCACATCGATCTAAAGCCCGGATTTATTGTAGATAGATTAACCATGCTTTTACTACACAGCTGTTTCGAGAAAGTTCACTGCGCTTAATAATCGACGTGATTGTGGATATAACGAATGGGGACGATAGGAATGAAATCATTAAGTGAGAACAAACAAAAGAGTAACGAGCGGGAAGTGGTGCAAAGATCGGAAGAACAAAGAAAGGGGGCCAGGCTAGTCGACGAGAGAAAACGGTGGGCGAAATAAAGAACTTGCAATTAAAGAATTTTAGAGTACTTTGCATTTATAGAACACCAGCTAAAAAATGTGCATTTATAGAAATATGCATTTATGGAAATTAATTTAGATATATAAATTTTATAATATAAGGATTAACATCAACAAATTCCTAGTTGGTCCAGTGGTCAGGATTTGTCGCTCTCACCGACAAGGCCCGGGTTCGATCCCCGGACTGGGAACTCTCTTTTGCTGCCCAGCTTAATGAGCTTTTTGCTCCTTGACAGGTTGCCAATTCAGCGTACCGGGCGTTGAAGTCTTGTTCTGGTCAGCGTTGCGCTCCCGATCGCGCTGGAGACCGGTCAGGACAGATGATCGAGCGGCCCGGAGGTTGGAGTCTCTAGGGATATCTGCAAAAGATATCTTGTTTTTGAAGTCACCATCACCAATAATGACCATAGGTCGCCTCTAATTAACTTTCGCCCTCTCCCGAGTCGTCCTGAGTATCCCATTGTATCTATGGCCAGGATACTCTCCTTGATTGCTGCGTTAACATTTTCTTTGGTCCTTTTGCACTCTGGTGTGGACGAAGGCTGAACCGTAAGCGTGTCGAGCTGATCAAGCACATGCGGCAAGGACTTGTTGTCGGGAAACGCCACACCAGCGTGTTGATCGTAGTTGGCTTCCTTGCCATGGAAAAACAGCTTTCGAGAAAGCTCTCCCCGATGGGACTGAGCCATTGCCCAAGCCTCAACGGACCCTCAAACATTCTGCTCAGTTTGTTCCTGCCTTCCTTATCTGGTCCCTTGGTCCTTAAAACAGCTCCTATTTTCCTATTTTAATAAATGAATGGCTCAGGAGCTGCATGGCAAAATCGTGACAGAGGACAGAGACGTGAACAGAGCACTTACCCTTTTCTTCAACACAGATACAAATGTTCGGAGGCATCTGATCAGATTCTCCAGCGCCTTACCAACTTCAATCAGAAATCGAGTCGTGGTCGCATTTTCGAGGTATCCCTTCACTCTTTGTATCACGGCGTCCTTGGCCCCGAGCATTGGCTTAAACGATTCGAGTGTCGTTAACGCTGAGTCAAATCTACCGCCCTTGGCCTTGAGTCTGTTGTCCCAGTAGTGCATCTCTTTTACAAGAGTTCTAAAAAATTCGTGCTTCTCCTGAGAAATGTATTGCAACGGGTTTGAATGTTCTCTAAGCTTGGATGGGCTGATGGATGCTCTGTCATGGCCTTGTTGATATAGTTGAACGTGGCCAGGCTTCCGCATCTGATAAAGTGCGTGCTGAGCTTGACGAGATCCTGAATAGTCGATTCGATATGCTGACACGCCTGAAGTTAATGACCAGCGCTATATTTCCGCTGCCGCGCTGAAGGCGGCGATCAATCATTTCAACGTTCATAGTTACTGCCGCGAAATTACTGTTCATTACATTCCCGACCATGTTTCGAACGTTTCGCTTTCGTCCTTCTTTGGGCCTTTTTGAGTTTTTGTCCTCCTGCTGCCGAGCCTTTCTTGAAGCGGTATTGCGTATAATATATATATATCTGCAGGGTTTCTTGGGCTTGAGCTGATGCCTGCCCTTCTTGTTGACGTTCTTGGCCTTGCCTTTTTCTCTTGGAGCTGGCTTTCCACTTCCTACTGTCGATGAGATCTGATTCAATCGTACCGTCCTAGTCAGTGCTGAAGACAGGCTGGATGAACTCCTTAGCCTTATATTTATGCGGTAACTACAATGTATTTCAGAATCAGAAGATAGAAATTAGTTTTCTGCCCTTAACTCACCGGTTCCCATATCATTAAGGTTAACCTAAACGTGAGAAAAAAAATCGTGGTAGGACGCTCTTTGCCCTTGTCCTTGCTCGTGTCATCCTGGTCGGCCTCCTCGCTCATCAAGGATCCACCGATGGCTATGGCTGCCTCAGCACCCATGCACTCATCGATCCCTATGAATTTCGTCGTCATGCTACTTATACTGACGGCCATAAATTTACGTAAAATCAAAAAGTGCGATGGAACAATAGAGAACTAAAGATATGTCAAACCATCGCGCATGCTCTGCAGCAAAAGATACTTGCTCCCGGGAGTATCTGGTAACGCGCCCACGACTCCCTTCATTTCTCATGTCAATGATCTCGGCCTTTTCGAAGGAAAGTTGCTTGGACGACTCGAACATCTCGCCTTTTATTCCTATCTGGCTGCAATACTGATTCATGACGCCCTACTTGTCGTACGAATCACATCCGCACAGCACTTTGCGAACGATTGGCCTGGCACATGAGCCGTATAGTCGTTGTTCGTAGTGATGTTGGCGACAATACACTGGGGTTCGTTGACTTCCAGCTTCTGAACCACGTCTTCCACCTCGTACGATGTGGAGGTGCGGTTATAGGAGTCCTTTCTGTGAACGAGGATATCTGAGTTAATCAAGGCAACCATGACCTGACCAGGATGTTGCTTCGCCTTGCGACCGATATGGATGTCCGTTTCTCCAATGCAGTGACACATGTTCCAGCCCTGCTCCTTCAACCCAGCAATGAGACCGCTCTTTATCACCGAGTCGATCATCCTTACAGCGACCTAGCTCTCCTTTGTTTTCTGGATCAGCTGGACAAGCTTACGCTTGCAATTTCTTGAGAATGGATTGCTGTTATCGGAGTCCACCATCTCTTGAGTCGTCTTAGCCTGATCGCTCATGATACTTACATTCTTGGGGTTTCTGATCCTTTTTCTTTCCCACGCCAGCGTCATACGAATCGTCGGCGGGCCATCAAAGTACAGGATGGTTACTGGATCTTGGGTAAGTGCTTATGATATCGTTTTGTGGAGCGTGCGGACGAATCCTGTCGCTGCTGAATTAGTTTGGTGACGACAGAGTTGTGGGCTGAGAGGCGCGTCGTAACGCTTCGTATGTGATACGCTGGTGGGTTGCGCAGATGAAGGGAAAATGCACACCGGAGACATCTGCGCTCACGTCTCGAGCCAGGGTCATGTCTACGGCCGCAGCCTCCACTGCCTGTTTCTCAAAATGGGAGAAGATGCCTTTCACTTCCATCTGCGGAATTCTAGATGATAAAGTTAATGCAAGTGCGAGATAGAGGTAATAAATCTGGGGGGAGACATAGGAGCGATGGAGAAGTTACAGGGAGCACATCTGAACCGAGTCGCACAGCAACTGATGCACACGCGTTTTCTTTCCCAACGTGCCGTAACTTTCCAAATCCGGGCATGGCAAAGGCACGCGCTAGGCCAGCGTGAATTTGCATTATAGCCATGCAACCAACAACACGCCCAGGCCCAGCATTAAACCTTTGATGGTTATACCCTTTACACGGCTAATAGTACTTATAATTAGACTCCTCCCGGGCAATCTAGTGGTATATCTTGAATTAGCTTTCTTTTATTTGTACTTGCTCAATAGGTTGCTCATTGCGTCAATTCCAGTGCTACGCCGTGGGTATTCAGCATGGTTTCAACATCGGGCAATCCGCTGCTGTCACGTAAAAGGGTCGCGTATATATCTGTGGTCGGAGCAATGACTCTATGAGGACCATCGTCGAGCTCATCCAGGTCCACCTCGAATTCCTTCGACGCTCCATCACGCACGTCTTCGGTATGTAGCGTGCTTCCTCAACGTTTCTTCGATAGAGCACTCACTCTCTAGAGCTCCCTTATGAACCGACATTGAGAGGGCCTTCGCTAGTTCCGTCGGGTCAAAATTACTAGCGACATCCTCGGATAGCTTAAATCCCAAAGCTGAACCTATTCCAGCAATTATTATCGACCTTTCTTTCTCAGTGCACTCCTCCTTTTCACACGAGCTTTAGCTGCAAAGGGGATTAAACGATCCAGCATAGAATATGATTTACTCCTTGTAAAGCATATACTTGCAACGACATTTTATCCCATTCCTTGATCTACTACAGCGATTCCAACTGATGACCTGGAATGATGATTTTATAACATGGGCTACGAAAAAACTGTTGAAGCAGGCTTATAGCAACCGAGTCCGCAGAATGAAAAAAACGTGGCAGAGGAAGTGATTTGCTTATAAGAAAGTATGTCTCCTGAAAGAGGAGTGTGAAATGAGCGGGTTTCAAAGCGAGGGAGATCTTTCAGACCAGCGAAAGAGTTTTTGTTATGGTTAATCGGGCGTAAAGACATATGTCCCCCAACATGCGTGAGAATGGAATGGGGATATCATTGTTGTTGGAAGTCGCACTTCTAGAGTTTTTTTTTTTTTAAAAAAAAAAATACGTAGCCCAACTATGGACCATAACAAGTTTAAAGCAAAGCAAAGCAAAGGCATCTTCGTTTCAGCGGCTCGTAGGCATTGAATTGTAGCATAAAAATAGTCGATTCAGAATAAAGATTATACAGGTGGTGTGGATGAAGGATTGGGTGGTGAAGGGTCATCTGTGGAGGGGGCGGTCGTTGTTCCGGGAAGATGGTCATCTTGCGTAGCGACTTCGGTTCCCAGCAACTCATGCAGCTTGTCCTGGAAGGGTCGCTTGCCCAAAAGCCGCTCCATATCCGCACGGTTCAAGACCTCCTTCTCCATCAATAGCTTGGCAACCTTCTCAACATCGCCACGCCTCTCCGTCAACAGATCAGTGGTCTTGCGGAAGGCCTTCCCGATCAATGCACGGACCTGGTTATCGATCAGCTGGCCAGTCTGCTCGCTGTAAGGTTTCGTGAACTGGTTCTCCTTCTCGGGGTTTCCGTACGACAATGGTCCGAGCTCAGAGTCCATTCCATAGGTGGCAACTGGTTTTCAGAAAGAATAATGATGGAAGCAAATGTTAGACACCTGCACCATATACAAATGACGAGGCTAGTTGGTTGGGTGCATATTCAGCCGTACCTTGAGCGTATGCCATCTTGGTAACCTTTTGAAGATCGTCCTGGGCACCAGTGGTGATGATGCCGAAAAAGATGTGCTCAGAGACACGGCCGCCGAGAGTCATACACATACGGTCCATAAGCTGCTGAGTCGAGTACAAGTACTGGTCCTTTGGCAAGTACTGCGCATATCCTAAAGCACCAACTCCACGAGGAATGATCGAGACCTTGAGAAGAGGATCCGCATGCTCCAAGTACCATCCAGCAACAGCATGTCCAGCCTCGTGATACGCCACTGTCTTCTTCTCCTCAGGCGACAAGACCTTGGACTTCTTCTCCAGACCCACAATCACGCGCTCAATAGCCGCCTCAAAATCCGCCTCAACCACAGTGTCCTTGTTGTGTCTCGCGGCGATTAATGCAGCCTCGTTACAGACATTGTGGATGTCAGCTCCTGAGAATCCTGGCGTCAAAGCGGCCAGCTTCTGCGCCAATCTAGGGATATCCTCACTCGTCTTGATGGGTCTGAGGTGGACCTTGAAGATGTCACTTCGGCCTTTAATGTCAGGCCGATCAATGGCGATATGGCGATCGAAGCGACCAGGTCTCATCAAGGCGTCGTCCAGCACGTCCGGTCGGTTCGTTCCTGCGAGCACAACCACATGTTCATTCGATCCGAATCCGTCCATCTCCACCAGAAGCTGGTTCAGTGTGCTCTCACGTTCGTCGTTGCCACCAAACTGACCTCCTTTACCACGAGCCTTACCGATGGCATCAATCTCGTCCACAAAGATAATGCATGGTGCATGCTTCTTTGCGCTGGCGAATAGATCACGAACACGCGATGCTCCAACACCAACAAACATCTCCACGAACTCGGATCCAGAAACACTCAAGAAAGGGACACCGGCTTCACCCGCGGTTGCCTTAGCCAAAAGTGTCTTTCCGGTTCCGGGTGGACCGCTAAGGATGGCACCCTTGGGGATCTTGGCTCCCAGCTTCTCGTACGCAGCCGGGTTCTTCAAAAACTTGACAAACTCCATGATCTCGACCTTGGCCTCATCCATGCCTGCCACATCCTTGAACTTGACAGTGATATCCGTCTCCTGATTGAACAATTTGGCCTTGGATTTGCCGACACCAAAAATACCCTGGCCAGCTCCTCCACCGCCCTTCTTGGCCATATAGACAAGCACACCAACAAGAAGCAAGGTTGGCGCAAAGTGTATCAGCGTGCCAAGGACATTGACCTCATCCCTGTAAGAAACTGGGATACGTTCTGATCCAGGAATGCCGAGTTCAGTCTGTGCCTCATCCAACTTGCGCTCGAATGCCTCAACTGATCCGATACTGAAAGTATAAGTGGTGCCGTGGGACTGGCTCATTGAGCCTGGAATCTGTCCTGGTGCATCATGGCGCAGGTAAACTTTAACCCTGTTCCTGTTAACAACCACCAAGCGATCCACCAATCCGCGGTCCAAAAACGTCGAACGGAACTCTTGCCAGGTAATCTCGCGCGAGTTCTCAGATGGGGCCATGGCTTTGTAGAGAACGTACGACGTGAAAGCGATCGGAAGGACCGTGTTCGGATTAATCTTCATCGTGTAAAACTGGCCATCTGGGGGTGGCGTAGGTTTGCGATTGGGTGGACGGCTGCTCCCTTGATTGTTGCCGCTGCTGTTTTTGCTGCCGCTGCCGTGCTCGCTGTTATTATTTGGGTTGCTGTTGTTGCTGCTATTCTTGTTTCCGCCGCTTCCAGACTTGGATGCCTGCTGCTGTCCATTGCCCTCAGTTTTTTTGGCTGCATCCCGGAGTACCTTGCCGAAAAAGTTCTCGAAACCCTTGGGAATATTTTCTGGCGTATTGCCCTCCCCTTGTTGCTTAGGCGGCTTTTCAGATGCATAGAGGCGAGACTGTGTCCGACGACTCAAAAGTCCCGATCTTGATGGGGTGTTGCTGAAGCGAGACAGAGTTGCAGGAACCCTGCCATATCCCTGCCTGGCGGATGCCGACAAGAAGGATGCCCGAGAGATAAAGGCGCTCATGGCAACGATGGAGAATGTTAGGTGGGTGGGGAGGAACAGGGATGTAAGAGATCGTTATTTTGCGATGTGATCTTTTCAGAAAATCACCTTATTGGGACAGCCAGGGCGCGCTGGATCGGGGACTGCCGAAATTCGAGTCAACAACCGCAGGGCGGAGCTGGAAGGAGGAGCGACCTGGGGCAAAGACGTAATATGTCATCCTTACCATGGACATCAGCAAAGAAAGGGATCCAGCTTCCATGATGCTCTTTTCGTTTTTATGCGTCTCTTACGCCTTTCTTTATCTGAAGGGGCCCTGGGATCTCTGGAAAACGATATCTGTCGCTGGGCGTTTTTTCACTCTGCTCAACTGCTCTGCTTTTCATTATTTATTAAGAACTGAGTGATACAAGTGGCCATGTTAGCGGCGACTCGATCTAGAGGATCGGCGTCTATCGGGGCTGGGCGAGCGACGCCTGTTGGACCTGGATGGACGACGCCTGTCTGATTCTGATCCCGAAGACGACATATCCGTGTCTGAATCAGACGAGCTCTCAGAACTGGAGCTGCCCGAGTCTGAATCCGAGTCCGAATCCGAGTCTGAATCTGTATCGGACTCCGAGCTATCCTGCTGCTGTGCCATGATTGCCTTTGGAGCGCTCTAGATCATAAATGGGGGGGTGAAATGAAGTAATCAGTAGACCGATCGGCTTGAATACCAATGAGGCGCTAATAGAGAAATGACAGCCGTGATCATACCTTCAAGTGCTCTCTGAGGTCTGTTGTGAGGGCTCCGAGACCGATTGACGTGAAGAAGTTGATCGCAAAACGGGTATTCTTGGGATTGTCCTTGGGGAAGAGCCCTGCGAACCATTCCGCATACCGGGGATCCTTAACGCGCTCGTCCAGTTTCTTCAGACCGAGAGACTCCACAAGGTCCTGGAACAGGATCTTGATAAAGATACGAGAACTACTGGTAGTCTCTTCCTCATTCAAATGAATCGCGCTCAGCACACTCCATGATAGTCCATCTGTCGACATAAGGTGACCGAAATACTTTGCCACGTTGCGAAGAGGGTTCGTTTCTAAACGATGAATTGTCTCGTAATTCGTAACAAAGCACTCCTGGAACGCCTCTGCCCAATCCCGATTGATCTTTGAAAATCGCTCGCCCACCAGACCAAAGAACTTTTCGTAGGTTCGTTCCTGCGAACAACACTCGATCAACATGTTACACAACTCAATCTAGATGAAAAGAGTCGAGGGGGGGAACGAGCACGGTCAGCGACATGGTTCATTTCGTTTTAATACAACAATAGCATATCAAATCGCATTTGTAATAGTACCTGTTGTCCTGGCTCCATGCTGATCATCAGCAGCTTGTGAACGCACTCCTCGAAATTAAGAGAGCTCTTAATTGTCAAGTAGATAGTCTTGCGAAGGTTGACGAGATTGGTGTTTGTATGGTCCTGGATCTCCATTTTCCTCTGCAATGCCTCGCGACTTTCCCCTTCATCGGACTCCTCGTCAGATTCCTCCGACCCCGATTCATCCGAGTCGTCCTCTCCGAGAATCTCTGCCTTAATCTCGCTGTATTTCTCTTCGTTGGCCACATAATCTGGGTCGTACTTGAATACGTCTAAATAAATCAGTCGGGGGTTAGTAACTAACAAAGTACGAGGTCTAGATCAATCCTGTAATATAATTTGCACAACCGCAACGCTTACTCAGTCCTTCCTGCGCATCTAGATCTTCCTTGTCCAGCTGGAGTGTGTGTGTAATCTGTTCATCCTCGTCGACCAAATCCAGCTCGGGTGCAATCGGTGGATTTTCCTTGTATTTGTCCTTTCGAATCTGAAACAAGACCTCAATCATATACTGCGTGCGCTTCTCAATCTTTCCCTCATGCAGGATGTTACGAAGTCGTTCAAAGACACCTTCGTTCGCATCCGAAGCCTCCTGGGAAAGAAACGATCCAACTTCCTTCATGAGTCCGACTGCAATCTCGATCGAGTCTTCTGTTACCTGTTCTAGAAGCAAAAGGAGAATTTCGAGGGACAAAACTTCGTGGGCTACCCATTGGTTTGTCAAGTGGGCGATGAATGTCGTGGTGGCGAGACAGGTTGCCTTGTCGTTTCGCTTGTATGATTTTCTGAACTGAATGATGAGACGGGCGATCAAAAGTTCTCCGATCTGGGGAAGCTTGGTATTGATTACTGCGACAACCGCAGCATACACAGGTGTAAATGGCATGGATGCTGCTTGGGCCTTCATGATCGATCTGCAGAACAAGCCCCGTCCACGGATTAAATTCTCCCCAAACAGCTCCGGCAGAATTGCTTTGATGTTGGCAGCGGTCACCTGAAGCAGAAATTTTCAAAGGCAGCGAGTGAGTGCATATTTGCGATGGATCATCATGAACATCAGTGCCAGTGTAGCATCGAGACATACCTTGTTGATGAGACCGTTGATACTCTTCTTGAGTGCCTCCCACGATATCCTCTGGTATTCCTTTGAGCTCTTGTCTGTAATTTGCTCTTGCATCATACGAAGACGTGCAGGTGGGATATAAGCACCTCCTGTGCGAGTTGTGCTCATCAGTGTCTTCATCTCGGTATCTGGATCCTGTCGCGGCCTTGGCACCGCTGGTTCCCTCTTCTGCATTTGTCTTTCGCGCTCCTGGCGGCGGACATGGTCAAAATCAATCAAGGGCCTTGGTGGCGAGGGTTCACGCCTGGGGTTTCGCCCAGCTGAATAATTCCTAGAACGATCCTTAGACCGATCCCTGGAGTAGTCCCTGCGACTCCTGCGTGGTGGCGAGCTGTCGGGCGAGTATGCCCTCCGTTTGGTAGACCGCCTTGGAGAGGGAGAGCGAGAACGAGAACGAGAACCGGATGGTGTACGAGATGTAGTTCGCGATCTGTTCCTGCGCTTGGGTGGTGGAGATCTACTCGGTGATCGGGACAAAGACCTATAGTGACAAATCAGAGGCGCGGTAAATAACGAAGCTCGACACAGAAGCGAAGAAGGCTGTAGTAGTATTAAATGCATAACACGAACCTGTACGACCCTTTCTCTGTTTCCGGCTTGACAATGACACTCTGGACCTCCATGTGAAGTGTTGCGTCGAAGGAGTGAAGTAAGTGGATGTGTGGTTCAGAGACAAGATCTCGATGCTTGAGCCCTCTCATTTTGGGGAAAAAAACAGCACATGCCCTGATATGTCCTGTGACGTATTTGAAAACACAAATGGTGACTTGAGAAGCATAGCTTTCAGAAGAGCTATTGACTGGTCGCTTCTTGATATCTTGCGACTGACTTGAAGGAAGAACCAGGTTCGTCAGTATCCCCGTTGACAGATCCCTCGCTCGATTCGCGCTCCTTGGCGGAATGTATTTGCTGCATAGATTGAGAGCTGTGCAGTACCTCCTCCTCATTCTCCTCGCCAACATGGCCTCCTCCTCTTCTTGTCGCTCTTCTAAAAGACTTTCGTGGTCCTCATGGCTGTTGTGCGCTCATCTCTTGTTTGGTTCATGAATGAGACTGAAGAGGCTAATGAGAAGCTTGCAATGAAGTTCGCGGAGGAGTCAACAAATATCCCTTATATTGATCAGGCGTTTAAATTGACTCGAGTATTTTATTTTCCTTGATGAAAAAATACATTAAGCTGTTTTCATCAAGGATTTTACCGAGGGCAGTTAAGGTTTCAACCCGGCCCTCTGATGAAAATCTTGATGTAAATCTTGGTTGGCGAAAACTCTCTATTATCTTCACAGTTCGTCGTGCTCTTTAGTGCCGCTCCTTTCCTTGAGCGTGGTAGCAGCCATTTCCGCTTCAATTAGGTCAGGAAGCACCGGGCAAACAGCAGGAGTCTTTAACTTGAAAAGATATTCACACTTGGCTGGCTCAGAAACAGAAATGATCTGGTTATCGGCCCCGCAGCTCATCACCAACTTGACAGATCGTTCAGGACCATTCCAACACTGTGTTCCACCAGTGTAGATTTGGGTATCGTAGTTGTCGCCTTCCCAACGAGAGAATTTTCTATATGTTGTCGGCAGATATTAAATGGAAAGAGGCACACAGCGAGCTTAATAAAGCGAAAGATCACTCTGGGACAAAGAGCCAGCAATGTCCAAGACGACTTACCCAAGAAATGTCGTTGCATGCGACTTTTGGTTAGCATCTCCAAATAAACAAACTGAATATGTGTATCTAGTACCACGAAAAATATCTGTCAGCATGCCAATAACGCCTTCAACTGCCATAAGTCGTCTATAAATGCTTCTTGCATCTAGGCCCAATGGCTTACTCGATATCCTTGTATTCGAAGCATTGGTCAAGCAGCTGAGCAAATGTTTCGTCGCTGCCAAGGTCCATTTCTAGTTTGCGGTTGATGTCCGAAATACGATCATTGGCTGATCTCTCCTCTTCCGATGCCGCATCGTATTCTGCCCGAGCAATGTCCGTCTCTAACAACAAATGAAGGCAATACGCAATTAGATTTTTTCGCTTTCAGGCCGAAATTCTAATATCGTTAGTTCGATAGATGTACCCAATTGCAATACCTTCTTTCAACCTTTCCGCCGCCGGAGAGTCGTCCGATTCTTCATCTGGGATCTCGAGCGAGACTTCATCCTGGAACTCTTGCAGACCGGAGTTCCATAGGGGCTCAAAGTTCTCCGTAACCTTGACGGCTGCCAAGACCGCCTCATCGTTGTATTCTGTATTGTATTCATGCTTCATCCCATTGAGAAGATCGTACAACGTACCAATCTCCCGCAAGACGATGTTTGTATCGTCCGTCAAAGCCTTGAGTCGATCGTCCCCAGAAATACCGATATCATCCTCATTGCTCTCTTCAACGGCAGACTTTTCCTCCTTAAAAATGGGCTCCTCACCAAGGCCCGATACAAAATCCTCAAATCCAGATACAGTGTTCTTGACAGCCAGGTCGTGATAGTTCTTGTTGTACTTTTCCTTGAGATTCTGCAGCGTTCTGAACAGATGGTCTTTGGTCTCCTGAGCGTGCCTCAATCGCCGAGACTGCTCCTCGATTAAGGGCGCCAGCTGTACTTTGCGAGCGGCCTCGCGTTCGTTTTTGGTGCCTTCCAAGAACTGCTCCTGCTTTTCGGTCATCTTATCCAGCTTATCTGTTGTTGCCGGTTACAGTACGATAGAAGACATATTTCAGATGTTACTATTCTACATGCTGGTTCAAAATATCATATGATTTGCACGCTGGTTCATGATCCACTGACCTTTGGCATCTGAAGCCGCCTTCTGAAGACGTTCTGTCTTTGCCTTTAATTGCTCAAGCTCCTCACGCAGCTTGGTTTTGGCAGACTTTCCATGCGCAATATACTGTTTCCGCAGCTGACTTCCTTGTTCCTGGACCTCTCTTACCCTCTCCTGCTCCTCCTTCGCCTTTGCTCCGACTTCTTTGCAAGTGTCAGGGCAGTCAATCTGTCCATTGAACTCGTCGCTGCCATCGCAACATTCTGGATCACAAACACCGTCGTTGACTCTCGAGGTCTTAATGTTAGAGCCGACATGACCGATGTTTGCGCAATGAAAATATCCTGTTCCGCAGGCCGAAGTGCCTATGATAATATCAAATGCCGTTAATTTCAGATGCTATCGGAAATATTAAGGTAATTGATTCGCATTTCTTAACGACGATTCGTGCGTCCAATACCTGGTTCGTCAGAACCGTCCTTGCAATCGCAGTAGTCATCGTTGAGGGCCGAAAAAGGAATCTTTTTCGATCCGTCCAGGCACCTCCAGTGTGTAGAGCTGTCAGGCACATAAAGGTGTGCGTCTAATGTGACGAAGACAGGTTAGCAAGGGGTGGTGTAGGCCATTGGCCATTCGCGTCGAATGATAGTAGGACATTACTTGCTGGTGAGACGCCGCGTGGAAGATGGCTCTCGGCGGCTCTGGCCACGGCCACGCTCAGCGTTAGTGTTGTAAAAAAAAGGAGGCAGCCAAAGGGAGTTTTCATCCTGCGAGATATTGGCAGCCGAGGATAATGTTGGGTCTAACACGTCCACGCTGAAAGAGACTATTTCGAGTGAGGAACAAAGAATAGGGATGGGTGAAGAGGATGTAGTTGCGACAGATGAGGAGGGATGAGATGAGGGCGAGAGCTCGTTCGTTCGTACGTGACGTACAACGAACTACACAAGGTTTGTCCTTGGATCCTCCCAGCAGCTGTAGCACAGACATATTGAGTGAGTGTATCATCGGTGCACTGGCACAGCAAGGAGACAGAGTAAATAAACGCTTTTATGATAATGGATCGGTGCTATGCTTAGGAACATACGCATGCCTTTGTGTGGGCGCATGTGTATGTGCAGTTGGAAGAGAGTGGATACAGTACGTATCTTGGATTAGAGGTCAACCTTGTCAGAATACTCGCGGATCTTGGAGAAGATCTGTTCTTCCAGTCCATCGCCGTCACGTCCAGCTACAATGGCAAGAAGATCCTTCGTGACCTGGTAGTTGCCCAGGATATCCACATGGTCTGCTGTTCTCTTGCCTCCTCGGATGTCGACAGGAGATGGGCTGCTCTGGTGGGTGAATTCGCGTGTGATGACCTTGATCCCCGTGGGGTTATACAGCTTCTTCTTCCATCCTTCCACACACATGTAGCCCGTCGACAGCAATGGCACCGTTCCATCTCTGTGGCGTGCAGAATAAAAGCGGAGGTAGCAGTATTAGAACATGAAGCAAACAAGCAAATATCTATAATTGCTTTATCAACAATCGGTTCGGATGATTCTTACCCATCGCCCTGATGGATACCGTAGCTGATGCCCAGCTTGTCGTCGTGAGCTGAGGTATCGATGTAAATGTTGGGGATCTTTCCGGTCTCATCTGAGACGTTGCCCGGTCGTTGGTCGAAAATTGGAGGAGTAAAGTCACTCATACGGTTGTATGTATAGCTGCGCTCAGTCGACTTGCCCACACCATATAGGCAGTAAATCTTCATATTGGGTGCGTTCGGTAGAGTCGCCTGCAAAGGGTTAGTCCAACTAGCTGGGAGATCGTTTGTCTTATCCATCTCTGCCTTGGTGACAGAAGCTCCAACGGTATAATTTTGAGCCAGCATCTTGTTGTAATCGACCCCAGCCATTTTGGATAAAAGAACCATGCTATCGTCCATTGTGTGGTGATCCATGTCAGAACCCTCTGCGAATGCCAGCATCGCCCCGAAGGAGGGTGATTTCTTGCCGCCCCAATTATCCTTGGAAGTTGCTCCGGGAGCCTCCTGGTTCTTTGCTATCTTTTCGTTCACCAGCGTCTCTTCCTCATCGTGAGTTCCATCATCAGGTGCGCCCTTAACTGTACCCCAGACGCGGTCTCCACCTTTAGGTATCATACTAGAGAGGCCGCCCCAGCTCCTGAACAAGTCTGCGCGTTCCCTTCTGGAGAAAAATTTCTCGAGGACATAAGCACTAACGACTCCAAGCTGAGCCGTGTCTCGGACTTCCCCTGAGAGCACAGCGGCCAGTGTCTTTGGTACACCCAGCATGGGACCAGCGATGTTGACAAAGGTATGAACGTGGTTCTTGACCCAATTAGGACCTCCTTTTCCGCCCTTCTCGGACTCGACCCATTTAAAGAAATAAAATAGGACATTGGATCCCATAGAATGAGCCACTAGAACGTGCTTCTCGCCTGTAACTTTGAGAGACAGCTCCAGGCTGGACTTGAGTCTTGAAAAATAGTTGTCCCTGATCTCCAGATTAGAAAAAGCAAGTCTCCAGTCGTAAGAAGCTAAATGCATGTTGTTGTTATCGTATCCTATTGCTGCTAGATTCTAAATCATGAAAGTTGTACAACGGTAAGCAGGAGGCATTGGCGAGTTGTCATATCGCGCGAATAAGGACCATACGTTTATACCTTGATGATAGGTGCCCATACCCAGTACCTATGGATGATTTGACATGTTGGTTATTCATAAAGCACACAGGTATGTCAGAGGTTGGGGGGTTGGGGGGTTGGGGTTGGGGGAGGAGGTGGGGGAGAACAAAACAATCATGCTGTCATGGTTGCTATGGCTCCTTTGCAAACCACGGTTTTTTCACATGAAAGTGACAAGCAGATGCTTACCCAGGTACGAGATAATCGGCAGCCTCAAGCCCCTGAGCTGCGCGCAAGCGAATACCCTCAGGATCAAGCCCAGTTTTCGAGTCCAGACGCATATTGGTGATCCAGCATTCCTTGTCCAGCAATACTGCCTTAAACATTGCTTGTATACAGGAAAAAAAAAAAAAAAAAAAAAAAAAAAAGCGAATAAGTTTACCCGGCAGCTCCAATATCCTGCGACAATGCAACAGCTCGCACAGGTATCATACTTGTCGTTCCCCACATGCGCTTGCGAAAGTATTTTTGAGAACAATTATGCGTGGTCGACCAAGATTCGAGGCCGGTCGATACAATTCCTGGAATCATCGTTACCTACGACATGATCAAGGCGGTAGAGGTTGTAAGCATGTCGTCCAGCTGCGATTTAGGTCAAACAGGCGGATAAACATGTCATAGGATCAACAAGAATCGTTTCTTACAGGGTATTTGGGTTTGTAACCATGATGTTGACGAAGCTCCTCGCCAGGGTAGAACTCCTCTTCCATCAAGATCTCTGGCTTAAACATGGCAGACACATTCCCAATGAATTCTTCCGGAATCATGCCAGTTGGTACCATCGATGCCAGATCAAAGTCCTGGAAGTAGTGCGAGAACGCCTCAATGTAAGCCGCGTCCCTGGTCTGTCCCATCAGCAAGGTCGTGAGACCCATACCGATGATGATTCCGAGCATAAGAATGACTCGACGACGAGTTCCTGCACCAAGCTTCTTGCGCTCGTTCGCCTCTGCTTCAGATATAAATAAAGCATGGTGGAGGTAGTTTGAAACAGAGGGATTTCGGCTGAGGGACGGGTGCCTGACCTCGAGCTTAGTATCCTTCGGCAAGGTACTGGAGAGTTTTGTAATAGCGTCCTTGATTTCCTGGGCGGCTTCATTGCTTTGTATGCTGTGAGAATCGTTTTCCTTGCTGTTGGCATGTCCGTTGGATTCACTGTGGTTAGCGTGCTTGTTGGCGTTCTTCCGTTTCCTGGCTGCCATTTGGTGATATGAAGTTGTCTTGAGAGTGTTGCGGGAAGGAGAGGAATGTGCGGAAGAGAGGTTTGTTTCTTGCCAGGACAGGGGAAATCAGATCAGCGGGGATGATGTCATTGTGTCATTGGTTTTTTTTGAAACAAAGTTCCATATTCCTCGCCATGTAGACTGCCATGGGCATTGAGGGCCTGTGGCCCTTTCTTCGCTATCAGTCCCACCACTTATCCAGCTTCCCCAGTTCCATTGACCACAGTTTGGCGATTCGAGTCGATATACTTGGGACATTTTGTGTCACCGTTCGCTACGCCTATTCCTCGCATCCTGTGGACGATGCTCACCGCATTGTCGAGCGAGAGATACTGAAGCTTAGGACCCAGACGAACTTAGTTCTTTACCTGGACGGCCTTCCTTCGGACCCACTCAAGTGCACCGAAAGAGCCTTCGCAAGAAAGCTGTTGAACGCGGCGACAAATATCTGCGTGAGCTCGAGGTTGGCGTGGGTTAAAAGCTTCGCGTGCAGAAACACCAGTTCATCGACGTCAGAAAACACTTGAGTTCGGCCTCCCATTGGTCCCTCGACGCTCGACGCGCCTTTGTCGTATAAATGCGCAAGGAACAATGGACGATCGTCGAGTGCTCAACCGAAGCAGATCTCACGATAGGCCTTGAATGCAAGCCTGGCGACATCGCCGTATCAAGAGACAGTGACATGCTTATGTACAAGAATGTCGAGGCCACTTGGCGACCCATCTCAGAAGGAAAACTCTTTGCGTATGACGTTCCAAGCGTCTATGCGACAGGCTTCGGCCGGGTCCAGCTTACAGTAACTTGGTATCGTATCAAAAAACAACTAAAACCGCAACATCCCTCTCTCGGAAGTGCTACCAACTATAAAGTCATTAAAGAGTTGGATGGAGAAGGTAAACAGGTCAAACAGATCATCGTGTATATCAATGATCCCGGAAACGTATTATCAATTCTAACGTCTTGGCATTTTTTGGCTTGCAGATGCTGCAGTGATGACAAAGCATTATTTGGCACACAATCAAGACATGCGCAGGAATACTGCCCAGGAGACGTTTGCCACTTCACAGAAGGTTTTTGTGGACCTTTACAGACCCCTGTGCAGATTGGCCCACTCCCTTCGTCCTCAGCTCAAGTTACCACGACCTATGACAGTCTTCGGAAGCAGCTCGATTGTCTTTCTCAGTGGTACTCCCAAATGCAGAAGGAGATGCGAGAAGCACACGAAGCGGAGATAAGGTACACACCGTCAAGCACTGCCTTGCTTTGTAAGAATCTCCACTTGCATGAAGGTATGCATAAAATTAACTCTGGTACTAAGACTCGGCAGCACAAGTCTTCGCAGACCTTCAACAGGCATTGAGCCCTACCCAGACTCGTACCAAACCCCCGCAACACCGACCGCGATATTCTGTCAAACAACGCACTCGACTCAAGGAGAATGAACCGCCTGAAGCAATGAAGCAGTACACATGGAAGGCACGGAAGAAAGCACCCGAGAATCCCTTGGATCCCAACGATGGCTCTTTCAAGAAGGAATAGAATGTGAAGAAGAAGAAGAGGAGGAGGAGGAGAAGGAGGAGGAAGACAAGGATGATGATGACCCGGGGCGCAAGGGCTCAGACCACCTACTCTTCCATACTGTGCTGTTCCAGCATCTCTACACAGGCGACCCATCATTACGGCCAATGTAGTTGATAAGCGCGTCCAACAGTTTGTTGATTGGGATGCGGACCTTGGACTGCTGCAGAGAGGAAACAATAGTGCTGCAAGCTTGGTCAGGAAGCCATACCCTGCCGCGGCTCTGCTCCGCTCTGTTGCCTCGCAGTTGTTCAAAAAACAATACAGGAACGGCAACATTGAGCTCGAGAAAAAGGTAGAATACAAAATTTGTAATCTGTCGCTACATGCGTGCCAGCAGAGGTTAGCTGTAAGAACGACAACACTAATATTGACGATCTGTCTATAATAGCTAAAGACTTTGAAAATGAAGGGTCTCATATCAGATGGATCACGTACAGGGATCGATCAGGGATCGAAAATTTCGTGCGTTTGAACCAGTCCAACAAGAGTTATTGCCAGACATCCCCACTAACGGGCATGGAGCAGCCTTTCATGTCGTTTTCTGAGCGTGAGCTCGGTATGTTGTTTTGGCAAAACGCTGCGCTGAAGAAAGAAACTCCAGGAGCTAGTACTGGTGGACTATGAGAGCAAGAACATCATTCCTTCTCAGACAAGTCGAGATCCGCAGGCTATACTGCTCAACCTGCGGCACTTTCATACACCGCGATATTATGGCAGGGAACAACATTTGCAACGTCGTCCGCAGCCATTTACTCCATCAACAGCGACCGCTCTATCTTCAGCCAGCATATAAGGACGGGCACTACCCTTGGATGCAAGATGCAAGACCGCACACAGAAGCCGGGGGCAGTAGCAGCGGCAGCAGTAGCGCAGTGGGGCATGGGCAAGAGCAAGGACGAGCTGGAGAACGCAAGCGAGCAGCCTCACCATGGAAGGGATGCGTCAAGCGACTATAGACTATGTAGATATTTATGTGTGTCAGCAAGCACACTCTACAGTTCAGATGCAGCACTTTCATGCAAGGATGCGTTCTATGACGTATTTGAGCCTGAATGGCTCTGTACTCTGTGAATGTGACGGTGTAGCATTAAAGCATAGAAGCCAGGCACAATGTCTAGGGGATTGACGTGAAGTAGCCAGCTTGGTTCACGCGTCCTTACTGCATCGATAATAGAAACAGTTTGACTATTTGAGTTGAAAACTACAGAGGTACGCGTACATATCGGCCAAACCTTCTTGGAATTGCCGAAATTTTCTTGAGACAGCTGCACGTCAAAACGACATTGGCTGAGGGGGGAAAGGAAATGGTGGATTACTGAAGCAATAGATTGTTGATGTCAAACGGTCCACATATAAAAAGTTAAAAAGCAACATGACCATATTTGTTGCTGCCCTTTTGCCTGCTGGCAGTATGTTTTGGGAAAGGTAATTTCGAGTATCTGTGCGGAGACAGACAGTGGTTCTTGATCCGATACATTTTGGCATCACGTACGACCTGCACAAATAAATTATCCTGCATGCAGGGCCAAACCCTTTTGTTATTTGTGGACCAGCGCTGTTGTTGTAGCGGTAGCTTCTAGTAAGCAGATCTCAGATCCAGGAGAGGGTTGTATGAGACATTTTGAGGACAATTCTCACGCAACTTTGCCATGCCAATCCTTTTATTCCGAAGCATGGATGGACCCCTATCCTTCTCGACTCAAGGTATGGATAGACAAGGCCAGGTTGCGGTAGTGCGATTGCTCAGGACAGTAGTCTATTGAGACAAATAGCTTGAAGAGGTAAAATTTACAAATCAAGAGTCGTCATTTATTTCCAAAAGCTCTCCGTCAGGAAAAAAAAAAAAAAAAGAACCCCAACTTAAAAAAACACACCACCACTTTGGCCGATGTGGATGAGGGTAGGATTATGACAGCGCGCGCGCAACGTGCTCTCTCCTTAATTCCGTGTTATTCCTTCTTCTGGGCCACGTTTTATCTTCTTTATGGCCATGTATTTGTAGTCTAGTATCCATGGGCCATCCCCTGTCCTCCTCATCGTCTCATTGTCATTCCTACAGTTATCAAAGAGATACCATGTCCGCGACGGATAGCACTCGGCAGTATGCAGATCTTTGGTCATTAACAGAAGGAACTACCATAGAATATATGCAATTAGATACTTTGCATGCAGAACACACCAAAATGGACTTTAAACAACATGTTCCAATGGGGTTGGCATGGCAGTAAGGTTATGGTTTTTTTTTTTTTTTTTTTTTTTTTTTCCGCCCGCTCTCTCTCGCTTCTCTACCGCTTGCCCTTTCTCTCTTCTCCATCTCCTTCCTTCATTCCCATCCTTCTCTCTCTCTTTCTCTTTCTCCTTCTCTTTCTTCGTCCATATTTTATTCCGCTCCTTCGTTTCTTCGTTTCTTCGTTTCTTCGTTCCTTGTTTTACACTTCCGCCCAGGGACGCAAAGACATAAATTTCCGGGTCTCTTGTCCTCTGATTCACTTAATACATCCACACAACGACTTTGATAATGGTTAACGGTCGCTCCTCCACCCCTCCCCACCGCACACAGCGTGCCCTCAGCGTCGCTGCTGACACCAGGAAGGCCAGGGGCACCCTCTATATCTCTTCCGAATACCCTTATGCCCACCCGTACCCACCTAGTCCTTCCATACCAGACCTCCCCAGCTGCCCACAAAAACTGCCCAAGCCAGCCCAGCCCGCCCCTCTTCAACACGATCCTGCCCAGGACTCATTCTTCCATTTCGACCAATTCCAACGAACTGCGCCTTCCGTGGCCGATCAGAAAAAGGACGACAAGGTCGCTCAGCGTCAGCGACGGGAGCAGATCGTCCAGAAACTACAGCAGCAGCAGATCGAGGCCCAGGAGAGGGCCAGGCAGGAAAAGATCGAGAAACAGCAGATAAAGCTCGAGCAGAAACAGGCAAGGGATGAAGCCAAACAATTTTACCGGGCCCAATATGATCAAGCTAGTCAGAAGGATTCCAGAGAAAAGCGCCAGCAACGGTCTGCTCCAATTCAACCATTCCCCAACGAGCTCAGTAGTCCATATCTTCATGATGCACACCCCCTCTATCACCAGGACGCATCGTCTAATCTGTCCTACGACTGCGACGACATATCGTCATCGTCAGCAAAATCCCGCTCATCGCGCCACGTTGCCTCGAACAATATGCGCTCGCTGAGTCTCAAAAGCACCACAAAGTCCATGTACGATCTCCGGCCGTGGTCTGGTGGACCACAATCGCCCACACAAGGACATCACACTGAATACGAAAGCGATGAGAGATCGCACGGCTGGGACTCTCTGATGGATACATTGTACTCGCCAACGTTGCCATCGCCGTCCGACGCAGCTAGCTGGGATTCCAAGGATGACCAAGATCAGGACCTGACGGACTCGATGGGTGCTCTGTCATTCTCCCACGACTACAGTGACAATGGCAATGGCAATGGCAACGGAAAGTATCTGCTGGGTAAGTCTCAAACACAAAAAAAGCCCCCACATCCTCATTCACGCCCACATTTCTCATTTGACCCCAATCGGCTCTCATATGTTGTCATTGCCGTCGCCTTTCCTCTCTTGGAGGAAGCTGACCATGGACAAGTGTTTACTATGTTGCCCATCTCTTTGTCAGTCGAGGGGGAATAAGGGGGCTCACTTTGAATATTTGACCAACAGACGCACGTTTGTTTTCATGGCAATCTACGATCGCCGATTTAGTCCTCCCTTGCCCAACCCTTCTGATGTGCCTATCACAGCCCATCCTATGTTAATATGTTATATTAAAGCACGGCAAGAATTGTCCGCTTGCTGCATGCACGGTTGCGATCGCGTGCATGTTTAATCGTTTATCCGTCTGTCAGCTCATTCTGCTGCATTCCCAATGCATGGCTGCATACGCTAACGATGTCTGTTCTGTCTGTTTCATTTATTTATAAATATACATGTTCCGTGCATAGTCCTAGGTGCCAATGGTCGAGCTGGTATTGAGCTAGTCAAGCAGGGTCTAGAGAGGAACTACCGTGTCACGGCATTTGTCCGGGACGACAAACCTTTGTTGGAGGACAGCTCATTGCGTAGGAACCAAAATCTGCTCATCGTGCGAGGCTCCCCGACGTCGCAGGCCGACGTGGACAGCTGTGTTGAGGGCCAAGATGTTGTTGTCAACCTGATTGGGGTACGTTGTACATCTGCACCAATACTAAGAACTGCAAAATTAGCAGGGTTTTTTTTGTTGTTAATTTCTGTGCTTTCTGCGACACGTAGGCCCGGCTCATGGCAGGCGACCCAATCATCGGATCACATTCACAGGTCGTTCTCAATAATGCACTCAAGAAGCATGGTGCGTATTTTTACTATTTTCTGTCAACGCATATGCTGCGGAATGCAAATTACCTTATGCATTTGCTTACCCTGTCCACCATCGTCCGCTATTCTATAATTAGGCGTGAGGAGGCTGGTCGTCGTCACATCATATGGGTGCCTTGGTCTCCGTAACTATCTCATCAGCACCAAGAGGCTATTTTCACGGGTCTTCATGACTGGGATTCTCAAGGACAAGGTGCTTCAGGAGGATATCGTTCAGCGGGACTCAGAGTTCTTTGATTGGACTATCGTTCGACCGATAACTCTTAAAGATGGCGACTTGTCGGAGAGGTACTGGGTGAGCTCAGAAGAACTTCCGAAAGCTAACAAGGTTAAGCAACTAAGCCGGAAGGACCTTGCACATTACATCTTGACGATCATTAACAGGCCTCAGGACTACAAGGCAATCCGGAGTATTGCTGGCAAACCAAAGTCGAGCAAACAGAAACTGTCCTGCCCATCCGAGAGACGGCGGGACCCACAGGAATTGGCAAGGCATCAACAGGAGCTGGCTAAGGGGTACCAGGAACGAGGAGGATATTAGGCGCACATTTTCTGCTTTATCTGTGTTGTCAATTTGCTCCTCCTGTACCTCATTTCCGCATATCCTCTTTCATTCGTCCCTTGTAATAAATAATGTAGATTAGATTTCACGCAATGCTCCAACTGATACACCTATTCCCTTTTCAACTGTTGCAACCAGCGACGAAGAAAGGTCTAGACGCGCTATTGAAATCAGAGTCGGCTCAGCCGGTTGCGAGTGTCTGGGAGTAATGGTTTTGTTCTCTGCGGTCTGAACTCCTTGTGGCTCAGGAGTTAAGACGGCGGTGCGTGTGTGTTCGGCGACCATGGTGTAGTGCGATCAGACGAGTTCACTTTCGATCAAGAACTGTTTTGATGTGGCACATGTAGACCAGATCATCGCCCGTGAGGAACAATGTTCGAGGTTAGGATTGTTCGCAGGCACAGCGATCTATAAAACGTGCATCTAACAGCCGGGGAAATGACGAGAAGTGGTGCCATCCAGAACGAGGGGCTACTTTATCTGTACGTTGTAAGAGAAACTGAAGAGGCGTTGAAGCAAGACATGGATGCACACGTTCAAGAGAAATGAGTATCCACTATAAATAAAAAGATAAAAGCACACGAACACAAACACAACGACGACGACGACGACGACAATATGCAAAGTAAAGTCTCGTTCGCTTTTATAGTTTTTCTTCCCTTCGCTCTGCTTTCCCTGCTTCATCCTCACGGATCGAGATAGACTCAACAATCCGCACGCGGTGAGCTGAACACATCCATTCTTCACACTCCTTGTTGAAGAAACACTTGTCTCTTCTACGAACTTAGCCCGGCAAAAAACCAGCTTCACTACATACCTCTTCCGAAAAAAAAAAAAAAAAGGGATTTAAAAGTTTGGCTCGCCGACTGGGCGCGTCTACGCGAAAAGGATCTATAATTACTTTCATCGCTTCTACAACTGCAAATCCTCCCTTTTGGCAAGGAAAAAAACCCCCTATCTACGCCGACTTCTTTGCCTCGTCCAAACACTTGAGAAAGTTTGAATCCGTCATGAACCGAGACAGTCCTGCTCTCCCACCATCGATATCAACCCCTTGCCCTCCACTCCCTCCTCCTCCTTCTCTTCCGATCCACCAAAGAGTCTGGCCTACAAAGCCAGCACCTTTCTTTCGCCCTCACAAGTTCCCAGGAGGGTCCTATCGTCTCGGGCGTCCTCGTTACGTGTTTAACCGTCTTTGAATAGACCAAAACAGCGCAGCTCCATGGACAGGAACGAGTACATCCCCACGATTCCCGGTGGTGGGGCCGTCGATATGGTGGTTCAGGGACACTACAGATATACGCACAATGTGTTCGCGCGAGAAGAGGCTGGAACGTCCGATATTGTTGCAACCATCCGGGACGGGACTCGTGTTCAGATTACAGGAGATCGTAGATCCGACGTGGATCTTAAAGAAGTGCAGGTTGGCTAAGAAGATTCTGGCAAGCGAGATCGCAGGCACCATGGGCGATGAAATTGTATGGTGCGCGTCCTGGGGGCCATCGGAGCGGGATATAGTTGCGGTCTCCAGCTTGATGATTGCGGCGCTGGAGTTTTTTTTTTTTTTTTTTTTTTTTTTTTTTTGGTCATGATCAAGAGGGATAGCACGACCATGAATGGTTTCTTTGGGTTCGAGATGGGTGGTTGGCTGTATGTGTGCGGATCCGCATGCGTCGTAGTTATTTGAGGATCTACGATGGCTCGCGACCCGACTGGAGATCGTGCGGTTGTACAGGTAGAAAGTGATGTGTTCCTAAGGCGTTTCAAGGAGATAAGGATACATCAGATATAATTATAACTCTCTTTGCTTTTTTTATTGTATATGTGTTGGTATAGAGTAAGTGGCGCCAAGAGCTCAGCCTATCTCCGGTATAAGGCATGATGCAACGTGGTGACGGTCGAGGTTGTGCTGTTGGAATGTAGCGACGACGCGTATGTTGCCCCCGTAGTCGTCGGCATTGTCGTCGCAGAAGGTGAAAACGAAGGAACCGGGCTCGAAGGTGGAGGATGTGCCCAGTTGCTGTTGCTGTTGCTGTTAGCACTGCTCCATGCTGAAGACACGGGAGGCGTACTGGAGTGCCGATAAAAGGTCGGATACTGTTGCTGTTCTTGCAGTTGTGTCTCGTGCACTGACCCATTGTCATGGTCCGTTGAGTAGATGCTACTTCCTGTTGCTCCTATTGTATCATGTAACCATGGTGCTGAATGCGTCGCAGCAGCGGGCTGGACCGCAAGGCTTTTAACCTGACGATCATGCAAATGCACTCCCGAAGGATTCGCATGGTATTGCAACGGGAACTGCTCCTGATGTGGCTTGGAAGCTGATAGGCGCAGAGAATCATGGCTGGTCAAGGTCGACAGGCTGTTCTTCGAGTGCATGGAGGAGCCGTAGTGATAACCTAGCGTGCCCGATCCACAACTATGCGGAAGGTGCTCGCCACCGCTACTGTCGGCACTCCCTAATCTGGTCTGGGACACCTGCCTTTGTTCCTGCACATGTAGACTGGCCGGCTGTTTCTGATTCTCCTGCACCTTTTGCTGCTTTTGTTCCAGCTGTTGTTGCTTCTCGGTCATTCGCGACCGGTATTCCGGATCATCCGTATAGTAATACCCATCCATACTCGTACGATGATACTCATGTCCTCCTTGACTATACATGGACGAGCTCATCGAAGGCATCGTAGACTCTATATCCTCGTGATGGTGCGTCATCATGAAAGGTATGCGTTTCTTCTTGACCTGGTAGTCTGAAAAGGGTCCACCTGTGATCGGAAAGGGCATGGGAATAGCCATTTCGGAGATGAGTTTCGATTGGAAATCATGTTGCTTGTGCACGAGCTCGAGTTCTTTTTGAAGCGAGGGTTCTTTCCAGCGAAGAGCTGAGGCCATAACAATCATGATCGAAGATATGGCGATGATCGCCATGTTCCTATCGCAGCCAAAAAAAAAGAGTTTCAGACACGTCTGTTCAAGATCCCGTAGCATGGGACATACAAATACCTTCACTTACCAATAAAACCCCAGAACATCTGCAGCACATCCAATCGCCGGTATACCCGGCTGCGTCTCTCTCAACGCTGGCAACGCAAACAACGTGGTGATCCCGAGCGTCAGGACATGTTCATCTGTGACCCTGTACTTCCTAATCACTTGAATAGCAATAATTCCGATCGCAATGCTGAGCGCCCACATAATCACCACAATAAACAGACTGAACCCGATTGTCGTCGGCGACCGTCTCGTGAAGATCTCGATCGAGATCTTGTACAGGTCGTCATTGGAGAGGTGCACTGTTGGAATGAATTCGACAGACTGGAGCATCCCGAGAAACGTGAGACTGACAGGAATCTTGTGTAGCTGTTCTTTTTTTTTGTTGGCGAGGATCTCAAAGTAGGACTTGTAGGCATCAAAGGGGTAATCGATCGTTGCGCCCTGCATGTATGGCATCGTCACATCCACCGAGCGCCTATTCAGAAAGATGGGTCTGTGTTACCAACGGCTCCCTGCAGTGGAGAACGGATATCTCGCTTCGATGTTTTCTTACATGATCTGCGACTCTGGAAACGTGAGCGTCGTATAAAATAACGAAATCACAATTGCCGCCGACAGCACCCCATCATCGCCCGCCAAGGCTCCATGGGGCGTGAATTCGAAATGGACTCGAAAGTTCTTGTCCTCAAAGTCGACACTGGCTACACTCCCAACCACATGGATGTAATCCCCCGTGTGCGAGACCCCTCGAGGTGCGACCTCAACTACGGACCGCGCATTATCGCCTTCTTTTCGGTAGATCGAGAAGATCGGGATGACAATTGCACACAGGGATCCGATGACGATGATACACCAGAGTACCCGTCGTGCCCATGTCCGTAACTGACCCGTGTGTCGGTAAAATAATGTCATGATGTGTCGACTGTCGAGGAAAGAGAACGAAGAAGAAGGTGATGAAAGAGGTATGCGAAATAGAGGATGTATCCGTGATCTGTTGAAGCCGTCCAGCCAGGCGACCAGTGCTTGTGCTACAACAGAATGAGTGCGAGGAAAAAGTGTAGAACGAAGGGAACGGCGTATGCGCCGATATGTTCTTTATATGTATGACTATATGAGTGTTCAGGCAGAAAAAAGTGAAGTAGGACTGGGGCGTTAGAGAGCTTATGAGGCAACAGGGGAAGGAGGAGGATGAAGATCTGAAAGAGGGAAAGAGAACAGAGCAATTCCTTTGATCAGTCAATAACTTCTTGTTCACCGTTGACCTCAGGAAAAAGTTTTTTTTTTCTAGCTGAAGACGAGAGCAGTTACGCGAGCCCTCTTGTATATTTTGACGAATATGATCACACAAGTTGAATATGCAGCAGTAGGTCCGCTTCATCTTTGGAACTTGACAGGTTACGACAGGACCTTTTTTACAGCCATCCAAAACGCCGTGGTTTTTGTGATTGTAATATTGGCGGCATTGCCACCTCCAAAACCACTTCATGATCGAGATGTACAGATGAATACATTGATTTTTTTATTTACAAGGGAAGGGAGAGGGGATGACAAATTTTTTTGTGTGTATGAAGGGTATCAAGGATAAAGAATGGGAGAGGAGGATGATGGGATGATGGAGTATAATGCTAAAGGGTATGAATGCTAAAGGGAAAAGTGCAGATATAAAAGAGAGAGCTGTTTGTTCCGCCAACTTGCCGCGAGCGGTATCAAATAAATGACAAAAGAGCATAGAGGATTCTAGTATCCGCGGACGCCAATGCTCTCGGTTGCGAGGTTGCTATGGTCAAGCAAAAAGATGTCCAGATCTTGCCATCCACCGCCGACACGGCACAAGACCTTGCGAGGTCGCTTCTTGCCGTGCTGAGACGCCTCCTCAGCATGCAGAGCCGCCAGACTTCCACCCGAGTGCATCGATCGACGGGCGCCCAGCTGGGTCCTCGAATGGTTGGGCTGAGGATGAATACCATCATCCGTTCCACTGTGGCTGCCCCCGCTCGATACACCAGAGTCCTCCTCAGCAGCAAGGCGACCGTACTCCATCAGTCGGCAGAGAACCATTTTGCCACCGATCAGAGAACTCCCCGAGTCGTCCATGCGACCGCCAAAGTAGTACTTGCCATCACCGAGTCGTCGGACTGGGATCTGGATTGGGCTTGCGTTCACGACCTTCGCAAACTCTTCGTCGAGCTCGTCGCCACGGATGGGAGCATAGGGCTCAGCATCCTCAACTTGGATCTTCATCCTGTCCATGAGGCGGATGGATGATGCGATGGAAGAGACAGACGATGCCGTTGGGCTTGTAGGCTCCTCGTAGGCTGAGTACCGATAGGAGTCTCGCCCTAGACTCGACGTTGACCCTGCAGCCGAACCAGGACGAGAGCTGTAGGTGTGGTGTCCACGGTCATCGTAGTAGCCATGGTGGCTCTGACGCGATGCCATATGTGCCGAGCCTGGAGAAGAACGACCCTCCTGCGCACCATATCCATAATGGCTTTGACCCTGAGAACTGTTAGTGCTGACCTGTCTCTGGCGTCCTGCTGCAGTCAGGGGCGTCTGAATTCTGGATGACGAAGACTGTGATGCGTAGCTATTTGGAACTGGGGATGAAGCCCCACGGCCATACTGGGGACGTTGCAACTGAGGCGTTGGGCTCATTGCCGAGCGCTGTGGCGCGGCTCTCGACGATGGCATGGGCAGGTTTGTCATGCGACCACTACCAGATCCAGGGGTGGGTGAAGGGGAAGAGATGCCGGAACGAACGCCATTCGACAACTTGCTATTGCTGCCCGAAGGCGAGAACACTGGCTTGACCTGGGAGGAGACCCTGGGGATCGAGGGGCTGCTGGTTGTGCTTCTATAACCACCCGACATCGAGGAGCTTGAACGTCCTGTTGGTGTTGGTGCAGGTGACTCCATGCGATGTTGACCCACGCTGGAGACGGGGCGGGGGATAAAGGTTGCTGCAGGCGATAAGACCTGAGGGATACCTGGAATTCCGGGGGACGACAGCGACACAGATGGGCACCTGAAGACAACGAAAAAAGCAAATATTAGTATTGTAGGCTTGGCGCGTTAAAAGATCTTGAGAGAATTAGCACATACCATGGACGCAAACGGTACCCGTGCTCCCCCCTGGTTGGACTGGGGCTCAATGATCGGTAGCTATTCAAAGCAGCTGCAGTGAGAAGACCAGATTGCGAAAGGCTGCTGTTCGAGTTGGCAGGCGACCATGGGCGGTAGTCGTAGTATCCCTCTGGTGAGCGGGTCCTGGAGCGACCGCGCGTTGGCACAGGGGATCGCGCGGATGATGGGGTCTGACGACCACGCTGAGCCGGCTGCTTCGTCTGGGTTGACCTTTGTGGTGTTGGCTTCTTTGGAACGGGCTGGGAGGAGGCGTTCCAGCCAGGCTTGGGGGTTCCCTGCTGGGCACGTCTGGCTGCAAGAGCTGGCGTCTCTGTCTTCTTCAGAGGAAGCTTGGGCAAGTACGGTGTCCTAGAGTCGTCGAGGATGTCCAAGAATCTCTCGACATTGTCCAGCTCCCTGTCGACTCGCTCGATAGCATCCTCAAGCTGGTCCCACCTGACATTCATAGCCTGATGTCTAGAGATGACATCCATGTTGCGAGTGGTGCGACTTTCGATGCCATTCTCAAGCATCTCGAGCATCTGGTTAACAGCTGGGGTGTAATACTTGTGCTTGGCCTCAAAAGACTTGAAGATGCTGTAAAGATGCTCGCGGTCGATGGGGGCATCGGGAACGACCTTCTGGCGAACCATCAGTGAGATGTGGTCCAGAAGACCCTGGCAATGGACGACTGCCCTCTCGATCGACTCCATCATGGACTCGACCTGCTCAGAAACTTGTTCAAAGGCTTCGAGCCACTTGTCATCCTTGAGCTCCTCGCTGACACGCTCCCGGCGGAACTTGAGATCGTCCCATCGGCATTGCACTTGCTGGTACTTGCCCTGGAGCGCATCCTTGGACTCGTTGCCTAGACCTGCTTCGTCCGTAGGCAAAGAACCCACACGGTTGTCCAAAAAGTCGATCCGAGCGATTAGGAGCTCGATCCTAGAATCGACTTGGGCCAAGGTTTCCAAGCTGCGCTGCTTGGCCTGGGCGTCAGTCTGGCTGGATGTTTTGCTTGGAAGGAAGCCCTCTTCGTCAGAGGTCATAGCGCTTCGTTCATTGTTATAGGCGTCGATACTTGAGCAGATGTCCTCGATATCTGCGAGGACATTGTCCATGTGCGTCATGAGTTCTGCGCGGAGTCTTGCGCCAGCGAGATCGCCCTTGACCTTATCAAGCATCTGCTTGAGGGATCCCCAGCTTGACTTTATACTCTGGGTAGTCTGTTGAAGGGTTTGTTCGATCTGTTGCGACGAGGCTTCCTCCTGTTCGGCAGGGGAGGCAGCCTTTACTCTGGACTCAATCTTTTCTTTAAGCTCGACCAACATATCGACGTTGGGCTGGAAGCGGTTCATGATGACATCCATCTCTCCGACGTCGCGCTTGTCAGAGGCTCCTTCTTGCCCGACATCCATCTCGAGGGCAAAGACAGCCATCTCGGCGGTCTCAAGCCATGTGGTGAGGCTGGTAGAGGCGCTGAGAAAGCGTTCGTGAAGGGTGCTTAGGGGGATAGAGTCGTAGGAGGAAAGAGCATGATAGATGTCGCTGTAGGGGACCGGTAACCGCTTGAGGTTTTCAATCTGTGAATAGTATGATTGGTAGAGGGTTGTAGTTGATGATGGTGCGACAGTAGCGTCTGTAGATGATGTGGAAGCGGTTGTTGTTGAGGACTGCATTGGTGCGACTTCCTGTGATAGTGACATGTCTGTGGATGCGGTTGTTGTATGTGTGTATGTATGTTTATGCAGGTGCTGGTGTGCTGCTGACGAGAGTCGTCTGCGGATGTGTTTTTGTCTAGTGTGATGAGTGAAGAAGGAGGAGTAAGTCTCGGGGCGCGGTACACCAAAAGGCTGGTTCTATGGCTGGGAGGAGATGAAGGCAGCCGATGGGGACGAGTGGATGCTGGGATGGGATAGGAATGGTCAGGCAAGGGATGTGGCGGCCGTTACGGATGTGCATCAATGGGGGTGAGAAAGAGAAAGAGAAAGAGAAAGAGAAGGAAAGAGAGAAAGCGCTTTTGGCTTTTGGCGATAAAGAACGAACAAAGACCGACAAAGGCGCGCTGAGACAAAAGTCCGCCAGGGGAGGCTGGGATTGGCTGGCACGTATATCAGGGACACGCGTGGCTGCAAGGGCCAATCATGTGTAAAGGCTGCTTTAATTCAGGAACCAACTTGGTGACCAGACACGGAGTTTAGCACTGTACTCCGTATCTTGCCACAAAAGCCGATAATCAGCTGTTTGGTCTAGGTGCAGATAAGCCAACCAGAGCGCGTCCAGATGACTGTGCTCTGTGCGCCTCCTATGTTCTCCTAAGCACTGTCACTGACATGTGCAAAAATACACCTCGGAAGGAAACCAAAGAGGAAAGGGCCGATTGCCAGTGCGCGAACGCTGGAATAGAGGGGCAGTATTTGTAAGAGGCAGAAAAAGAGAGCAGTGGAAAAAGGAGATGTCATGGATGCTGGGACAGCGATTGTTCAGTCCAAGGCCAGCAGTGTGGAACGGGAAAGAGGGGATTGTTTGTTGTTGCGGGTTTGAGGGAGGACAGAGGGAAGAGGGAAGGGAAGGGAGGGCGGTGTATGTACTGTAAGCGCTGTACGTAAGGATATGCGTGCATGGCATCTATCTGTCCCTCTCCCACGTAAACGAGAATGTGTTGTTTCCCTCCCTTATCGTACGAAAACAAAAAGGAAAAAAGGAAAAAAGGAAAAAAAGAAAAGAAAAAAGGCTGGATAGGGACCGGGAAGAAGGCAAAAAATAGATGTCCACGTTGACCCACTGGGTCTGTGACAATGACATGTGGCATGTGGCAAGATACGGCGGTACGCAGCCATTGCCATCGACTGCTCGCTTGAGCGTGCGCGCAGCTGCTTACGTTCCAGTCGTAGCTGTTTCGGATGTGTTCAGTGATCTCCTCGGTTCTTAGTGATCAGGGATTGTGTAGGATCGAGAACGGGATCAGAGATCGTTGGAATCGAGGAAGGGAGGGAAGGAGGGGAGGTGCATGCGACTGAAGAAAAAGAAAGAGAGTCGAGTTGATCCTGTGCTGTTAAACTGCTGACTCACCTTGATCGTCAAATGAGAGAGAGGAAGAAGTGGTGGCAAGCGGGAGAGGAAGTGATTCGGGGCGTATGTAGACCTGCTCGTATGAAGTGCTGCTGGAAAAAGGAATATGTGTATATAAGATCAATGGATGCGCTTGGCTGGCAAAATCTAGTTTTAGTGGCAAATGAAGTGTGAAATGAAGTGTGGTGAAGTGGAGTGAGTGTGAAGTGAGGAGAGAGTGAGAGAGAGAGAGAGACAGAGAGACAGAGAGAATTGATAAACGAGAGAATGTGAGAAATATAAGAGAGAGAGAAAAGCTTTTGGGTTTTATTAAGAGGAAGAAGAGAGGGCTACTTATTGGCCTTGGTTCGATCGCCGTTTGCTGAGCATTTCTCGAGAAGGACAACGAAATGTGGTCCAGGATTTCGCTATCGCAGGGCATGTGTATAGAAGGCAGGGAGGCATCGGCATGGACACACACAGAATCCGACTGAATGGGATACAGCCAATAGACTAGACTATGGTGAGGGTAAAAGAAAAGGGACTGATTCAATTGAATCAAATACAGACAAAAATGAGGGAAAGAGGGCAGACATATGATGGACCGATTCACAACTCAGTCTGAATAAACCATTTGTCTGAATATAGGCTATATCTCAATTGGAATCTATTCTAACTTGCGTCCGATGAGCATTGGCATATGATCGCAACCCATGGCCCTGACGAAGGAGGACTACCAACGACATCATCACCCGCATCAACACAGTTCCCCTTTTTGCCTCCTTGATCCTCAATGTCCTAATTCAGTCTGATTACTGTACACCACGACGACTCTACTAGAGGCAAAGTCAGAACCGATCATGTCGAGTTCGGTCCAGGGCTGTACACATGTATGTGCAGTCGCATTGCGCTGCACTGCACATGCGAATGACGACGATAGAGGAAGAAGGAGGGACAGGATAAGAGGCCGATCCAAGGTCCATAGCTTTGCTCCATTGCTGCAGATCCCTTATCGGTCCCACGGTCCTGCTGCACTGCTGCACTGCTGCACTCTGTAGTACCGCTATTTCAGCACGAGGTCCCCGCCCAACCATGCGTCCATCACGAACACACACGTTTGGTCTGAAGGGAAAGATGTCAGTGATGATGCGGTATGTATCCCTTTGAGCAAGATCAACTGAACCCACACTCTTTCCGCTCCTCTCACTCGAAATTGATCGGGTCGCGCGCTATTGGTAATTTCTCCTGCGCATGCAGTAGTATCATAGGCTAGCCTAGATAGCTAACTGCAGCAATGAAAGACGGTGCCTAATTACAATGATATCGTCTGAACCAATAGCCCTTTGTCCATGGTCCATGCTGCCATTTCACTAATCGATGTTCTAATCTGTGCATGGTCCAGAGTTCAGATACAAAAATATCGTCGCCCAAATAAATAAACAAACAAACAAAAAAAAAAAAAGTTGCATGCGAAAAGGTGCCCCATCCTAATGTTCAACATCCGAGAGAGCAGCAATTCTAGGATGACAGAGTAGGATAGTTACTATCGATCATTTCTCGAGCTGATAATAATGGCCTGAGCAACCATGGCGCGCTTGTCTGAGTTGAAAATGAAAGAAAAAGAGGGAATAAAAGTGCTACCATCGACGGCGTACTTAAGCGAACAAAAAAAGCGAAGAAGTTGATGCCCCGCGAAAGAACCGCTGCACTTCGTCAACGCCGATTGCCAGAAGCACAGGAATAGAAAAAGAGATGCATGGAAATGGCAACGGGCAGAAGACTCTCTACTGAGACAACTCTGCTGCCCAAACATCCGATACACGCTGTGACCCAAGCGCAGGTTATGCCCCGATGAAGGCGGCACCATGTAAACTTTTATTCCCACACCCCTCACCACATAGCCTGCAGTAGCTAATGGAAACAACGCATACGAGTACGGCTACGTGGCGACAGAGTGGAATGGGTCTTGTCCTGAACTGGGCTGGGGACTCCTTCATGCGTATAGGGATCATTAGCATCATACTGCATGAAATGTGGCCAGGGCAGGCCCAGCTCACCCAAGAAACCACTTGGGCATTAAGCGTTTCCCTTTTTTCATATTTTTTTTTTTTTTTGTTGGTCATCCGGGGTAATTGCTATGAAGGTTTCTCATCCCCTCCCCCTTTGTTTTTCTGGCCTGTCGCCAACTGACTCTTGAGAAAATGGCGGGAAGGCCAAAACCTCCTCCCCCTCTCCGTGCTCCTTTGTCCGCCCACGCAAACACGCGCTCGCACAGAGCGCAAAAAAGGAGAGTAAGCAAGCCCTCCAATTTCGTCCCCGTTGGCGCACACAACAGCAGGCATCCTTGTGCCCATTCGTGCACTCGTGCAGGAAAAAAGTGGAGCAGCCTAGTCTACCATACAAACTTGCCACGCGCATGACGCCAACGTCCAAACCAACAACAACTGCCTATCGCACAGGCACCAGGCGATGGGCTGTCCAAATCCGCTTACCGGGCCCTGGACTTGGGGATACTGTTCATGACACACTACCTTGCCATGTGTCTTTGTTTGCTGATGTTTATCATGTGCAAGTAAGGACAGAGATGGCCCGATGACGGGCGCTCGACAGCAGGCAGAGAGATACCTACCTATCTCCTCAAATCCATGGAACGACCATGGTTTCATCATGCAGGATCGGGAACAGTGAAATTGAGGATTTGTCAAGACTAAAGACCCGACCTCTTCTGCAGTCTCCTTGGAGATAAGATCCCATAGAACAGCACAGGCCTCATCTGCATTGAACGATAACATTTTGACCAGCTGATTCAAAAACCACCGCTTCAGCGACATCGCACTTTGGCATATTCCCTGTGCAAGCATAAGCTGAAGAAGGGAGGGGAAGGGCGTTAAGGGGTAAATCAACTTAGATTTTACATTTTATCCTTGTGCAGTGCCTGTTGCTGGAGCTCCTCCTTTCACTTCCAATCATGGAAAGTATATCTGAATGCAGTCCTGGGTCCCATCCACCCATCCCGGCACACAACTATCAATCCATCGACATATTGGCATCTGTTCGCCATCATCGCCATCGATTTCTTCGACGAACATATCATTATGCCGGATTCTGGACAGAACGGCATCATCCTTGCAGCATTCCTGTGTGAATCGTCCTTCAGCTGGCACTTCAGACATTTTCAAAACAGCCTCGATTCGACATTAGCAAACTTGCAGAAAAGCGCCCTTTCTTAGGAGCTACCAGCATCCCTAAAAGGACTTGTGGCAAAGCACTGGAGACGATGGTTTTCTCTTGGATGGTCCACTTTACCAAGCGCCATGGACGATCAGTCATAGTCTTTGACTGAACTGAACTCAGCGTGCGAGCCTTGTGCATGCTCTGCGCTCTGGGATGCTGTATGAGGACCCTGTATGCATCCATGACGCGACTTGGAATCGCCTGACGTGTCATAAGTGATGCCCGACGTTTGATCAGAAAGTGAACAATCTCAGGAACTGTCAGGGAGACTATCAACGCGCACTGGATCCCCTCACCTCCACACTTTGTTGCAACACGATGTCGAGAAGCAGTAGTACTTACCGAGTCTTGCATCCTCTGTTCCGCTTCAACGTTCTAACTAACAGACCGTCAAGAGAAGAAATCACGGACGTAACAAGAACGGACGTGGCCACGTCAAGCCCGTCCGCTGCTCCAACTGCTCTCGCTGCGTCCCCAAGGACAAGGCTATCAAGCGCTACACCGTCCGCCCCATGGTTGAGTTGGCTGCCGTTCGTGATATCACTGAGGCTCTTGTCTACAAGGGTAAGGCTTGGATCAGCACTTCAGTTGGCAGGAACACAATGGACAACAGGACAATCTGGAACCGCCACCTTTTTGTCATTATTCGCGGTCATGTCGAGGATATGGACTGAGATCATTTGTCGCCGCACGATCCAGGTTCGGGACCAGAAAACACCGCCAGGAAGAGCACTGGATTGGGACCTATCTGGACGCTGTCATGGAGGTGTTATTTGAACCTGTTTTCCAATCTGAATATGACACTGATGCAATCGGCTCCTTTCATCTCAACAGAGTACACCTTGCCCAAGTTCTACATCAAGATCCACTACTGTATCTCTTGCGCTGTTCACGCCCACATCGTCCGTGTCCGCTCCCGCGTGGGTCGTCGCAGCCGTGCTCCCCCACCACGCTTCCGCTTCAAGGTACACGATCACAAAGACAGTGTTAACATTACAAATGGTGGTACCACTGGGAATACGTCAATACGGTGTTAACGGATTTTTCTATCTACAATTGACGTTATGTATCTTAGGATGGCAAGAAGGTCGCCCCTGCCCAGCCTGCCAAGCCTCTGTAAAGTGATCGCCGGTGCCTCACTAGCGCTGATCTACTGAACAATCTTCAATAAAATGATTCAGAAAGAGAGGAGACTCTTTGCATGGTCAATGTAGAGTGTGCGTCTGAAAGCCCCTTTTTCCGTATGGGAGCAGCAGCTCGGTTGCAATTGATAGTACACGCGTTGGTGTGGTCTAGACACAAGAATACGGACTATGGACGCGAAAGTGAATGTGCAGCTGCGATTTAAAGTGCACGATGTCAAAGTTTGCGCAAAGGAGCTGGACAAAACCAAGAATGATGTCGGGTTCTCTAACCTGGCATGGACAATGCTCGTGCGAGACAGACAACGCTACTTCACGAGGGGGGGAGGGGAGGGGGCAAATATGCCAGTTCTCTCACTCCTAAGTCCAAGACTACGGGCAACATTCTTTGTTCTGACCCCTCTTTTTCTCACTCTCAGTCTCTGAACTTTTTCACTCATTGCAACTGATCAATCTACTCGCCATGAACTTGTTTCGTCTGGTTGCAGACCTGATGCATCTGACGTCGATCTTCATTCTCCTACTGAAAATGCAAAAGACGCGCTCAGTAGCAGGTATATAGTGTCAGCAGTGGTAAAAGCACCATTGGATCAATTCCTCGACCCAAAGCTCGATAAAAAAAATTGACAGCATAACGACGATTGACTTTGGTAGGGATCTCATTCAAGACCCAAGCCCTTTATGCCGCCGTGTTCTTGACGCGATATACCGATCTGTTCACGAACTACGTTTCAATCTATAATACATCAATGAAGATCTTCTTCATTTCGTCGTCGCTTTACATTGTCTATTTGATGAAATACAAGTTCAAGGCCACGAACGACCCTCACCAGGACAACTTCCGCGTTGAATACATCCTGGCTGGTGCGGGGGTACTCTCGCTGATCACTAACTATGCCTTCACAGTACAAGAGGTAACTCAGAAAGATCATGAGCCTGTTCACTGCATGAAAGGGAAGACGCTGGTAGACAAATGACCCTGGTGTTTAACCGCCATCTTGCCGATCTGAATTGATCGATTGAACAGATTCTTTGGACGTTCTCAGTGTATCTCGAGGCAGTCGCAATCCTTCCTCAGTTATTCATGCTGACAAAGACAGGAGAGGCCAAGATGATCACGACGCACTACTTGTTCGCACTGGGTGCATACCGTGGCCTATATCTCATCAACTGGATCTATCGATATCGCGCCGAATATTACGTGGACTGGATCGTCTGGATTGCAGGAGCAGTACAGACAGGACTCTACTGTGACTTTTTCTTCATCTACTTTACAAAGTAAGGATGTCCTATTGTATCCATTGTCGCTGTAAGCTGCCCATGGATATTGACAAGCGACGCGTATTGAGCATTTTATTTTTCAATGTCGAACTTAGGGTCCTGAAGGGCGTCAAGTTTGAGCTGCCACAGTAAATGGGCCTGCAATTGATAGACAATAGAGAAAGAGAGGGTTGTGTGTGTGCACGTGGGGACTATTTTGAGTGGATTCAGTAATAAAGCGAGCAGGAATTGCTGAACGTATTTTTATATCGACGCGGCCCACCCCCCCCCCCCCCCCCATGCATCGCGCTAAAACTAGTATTTATGGTACTCCGGCTGCCTGCTGTAGTTCAATTTCCGACAATGATGTTGCGCTTATCAGATCGAAGTGGGTGGATGTACGTTTCCTATGGTATGCCCTCAGGTTTTTTTTTGTGTGCACCAGATGTCTGTAAATCTACAATTGAGATGCTGCATCCCATTGGAGTCGGTCTGTGAATATCAATGAGTGGGTTTCACAACCAGGAGGGAGCTGCTCAAGCCCCGCCTAGTCAGACTACTTGTGCTCGTGGGAGCAAGGAGCGGAGGTGCCGACGTCTGACGATTTACATGGATCGCGGGCTGCAATGCGTTCGTTGAGCTGAGCTGGCGATGGGTGGTTGCATGCGCAATATAGGTCGATATAGTTTCAGCGCGAATAATTGAGAGCACTCGTTTTTTTAGCATCGCGTTCCACAGGCTCGCCACTATCCATCGTATCCGTACCTAAATCCATGTTTCCTATACTGGAACATCCCTCGCATACAATATAAATGGTATGAGAGCAGTTGTCCGCTCGTTCTTAGCGTGCTTTCCCGGTATGGTTCTGTTTAATTTAGAAAAGGAACAAACGGAAGCTGCATCCCTTGTACCCCACTCGCGCGTACTGAACATCCCTCACCCCCGCTGCACCTGGTTCCGTAAACCACAAATGCATCCACATCCTCCCTTCCCCCCCCATCCACATCTGTGTAAAGTACAACACATACTATCGAGTGTAGCCCTGATTGCGCCCTTTTTATAAAAGATCGCCGGCTCAAGGGCGTCTGCCAACTTTTCTTTCCTCTCGCTTGTCTGACACCCCCCTCCCACCTTCTGTACCCTTCCCAATTACCTTCCCTGTTACCCGCGAGGATCCATCGAAACCTGGTTCCTCCCATCCCTCCCCTCCTTCCCACATCTTACTGACCCCTTCCAGCCCTTTTCAGGGATAACCAGCATACCTCTCTCTTCCATTCCATTATCAAACCCTAATTAATCGATCTGATAAACATTCATATCATCTGTAAAAAAAAAAGAATAATGAAAGTCGCTTCCATCCTCACCTTGGCTGCAGCCGTGTGCGCGATCCCTGTTAACGCAAAACCCGCAAAGGCACCAGCTCCTAATGATCCCTGTGCATTGATGGCCAAGCAAGCCGAGGCCTCAAAACCAGCCCTGACCTATGAGGCCGTTAAAGGTTGTTTTAATGCACACAAATTCAGACCAGATGTTGCTGAGAAGGTCTTGACATCGGTCGAGAACCTGTTGGGCAACTTTTATGCGTTCGTGGACCAGGCCAAGGTGGACTCGAGCAACGTCCCTGGGTCGCCCTTTAAGACTCCCAAGGTGGACCTGATGAAGGAATTGGCCAAGCTTCGAAAGAAGAAGGACTGGAAGAACGATTATGAATTCCAGATGGCGTTGAGTTACTTGACCTTCTCGCTCAATGACGGTCATCTTTCCTATCGAAGTAGGTTCCAACTAGTTGTATCGCTCTCTGGCATCCAGTATTGTCGAATTTTTTATCGCGATGGCTAACTTTTTTTTTCTTTGTATATCTAGACAGCTGCTACCAGACCGCATCATTCTACCAGCCCCTCACACTCTACGCGCCCGTCGTCGACGGCAAGCAATCCGCCCGTGTCTTCTTCGTCGACACTACCACGACGACGAAGGGTCTCCCGAAGGACCCTGCATCCCTCACCGACTGTGCAGTTCTCACCATCGACGGTAAGCCCGCCCTCCAGGCCATCCAGGAATTCACCGACCGTACCTCGGCCATCTCCAAGGATCCTGGCGTCCGTCTGAACGATGCCCTCGCCAGTACTTCCTGGTCCGAAGAATGGTACTCCAGTCCCGGAGGCTTCGCTAGTCGTTGGGAGTTGCCTCAGAAGGCCTCCATGGACTACACGATCCAGTGCGGCACCGGTAAGGTCCAGAGACTGACAGTCCCCTGGACGATCAGGCCCTCGGATGAGTTTGAGACTGGTTTCGTCAAGGATGTCAAGTCCTACTGGGACGTCCAATGCTACGCCCTCGATGACTCTAAAAAAAATGAAAAGAAGACTTCGAGAAACGTTAGGAACGGCTCCCCTCGCCGTGGCGATGTTCGTGTCTCTGAGAACGGCATCGAGTCTGAGATTGTCGCGCCTGCGACAGCTATCTTCCGTAAGCGCGGAAAGATTTCAAAGGCCCAGGACGGTCCCAAGAACGGTAAGGGCGGTGAGGGCCCCAAGACGATCACCCAGGCCAAGCTCGTGCACACCTCCTACACAACCGCGTTCTACCGCCTGACGAGCAGCCAGTTGTCCGACACCTGTGTGGCCGTGATCGCGACCGAGGACGCCACGCACTTTGATTTCGACACTGAAGACTACACCGATGTCATCAAGGGTTTCCAAAAGTTGCAGGACCAGGGATGCAAGAAACTGATCCTGGACATGACCAACAACGGTGGTGGATCCGTCGATTTCGCGTACTTTATCAACCAGTTGCTCTTCCCGGATGCAAAGCCTTACTTTGTCCAGGACATAAGGGATAACCAGCTGGCGCAAGCGGCGGCCAAGCAGGCGGTCAAGCACAAGCATACTGATTCGATCTTTGACGCCAGGAACTTTAACTCGATGGCGACCCGTAAACCGTTCAAGGATGCGTCAATGTTCACGAAGGGTGTGAATCAGAAGCGTGGGGGAAGCACCGCAACATACACCCAGAGGAATTTCTTCCCCCACAGCTGGCCCTTCCTACCACTCGCCAAGGGCAAGCAGCTCAAGTTCAAGGCCGAGAACATGGCCATCGTGTCGAACGGTTTCTGGTGAGTCTTTCTATCGGTTTTACTTGCGGTCCAAATTTTGTCCGCGCCCGTTTTATTCCGTTTCTCTTTCTTTCTTTCTTTCCCGTCGTTGAGATGCCTAACACGCCTTTTTATTTATTGTGCGCTGTAACTCTAGTGGCTCTGCCTGTACCATGATCGCGACCCGTTTCGCTCTGACCCAGTCTGTCAAGACCTACGCGATCGGCGGCTTGGCAAAACGCCCACTCTCTTACTTCTCCTTCCCCGGCGGTTTCGTCATGGAGAACGGCCAGATCATCAACGACCTCGACAACATCAACATGAAGAACACCAAGGCCAGCCCAACCTGGCTCCCGATCGTGGGCACGATCAAGGTGGCCGTCGGTGAGATCTACGCCTTCGAGAACAGCACTGTACCTCTGGAGTACGATGCCAAGCACTTCCCAGCAAATGTTCATCTGGATCAGGACCCGGTCTCGGCCAGACACCCCGATCAGGTCTGGGTCAAGATCGCGAAGGATTTCGGCAAGAAGAAGTAGTTAGTAGTAGTAGTAGTAGTAGTAGTAGTAGTAGTAGTAGTAGTAGTAATGGCAGTAGAAATAGTAAATTCATAGATTGGCTTGGACACAGCGATATATCGATATAATACACATAACTAGTTCCGGTCTTTAAAATTTGTTCAATACAGTAGAGGGGGGTTTTTTTTTTTTTTTTGTTTGATCGCTGTTCGTCTATGGATCGGACGTAGCTAAACTGGTATGGATATGTGTGTGTGGGATTGCACTAAGGTCGTACTATACATAGAGCGAAGGACTACTATACAAGACCAATGTCGGAGATATAAAAAATAATAATAGTAAGAGGAAACATGATAGAGACAACAGCAGCAACAACGATAGAACAATGGAGAATGAAATCTCAATAAAGTTAATGAGTGCAAGCAAAGGATCACGCGGCGAGAATAAACGCGGCATACTGGTGCAGGTGTAAAGTACAGGGGAAGGAGGCTAAATGTTATGTGCAAGACTCCAAGTGTTAAAAGGAAATCGAAAGGAAGAGTAAAAAAAAAAAAAAAAAGAAAAGAAAAAGAAAGATGCGAGTCGGATGGTCAAATTGCCGAATTGAAGTAACGAGTGGAGAACAAGAGCACAGGAGGATATCTCTACTGTGCATGACCAGGATGACCGATCGAGATAAAGTGGTGTCTCGTCGATGTGGACAGGCTCCGGAGGTCCGTCTCGGACAAGAGTGTGCATCGATAACGGATCAGACTACGACCAACGACAAAAAAAAAAAAAACCAACAGGAGCCATCAGTACAAGTGTTCGGTTATAAAACAAATACTGCCACGAAGAAACGCTGTAAAGACACATACCCATCGCGCAAGTCATCCACAATATCATCGTGGTGATCGTATGAGTCGTCGTCGAAGCGGAACTTGTCAAAGGTGTTAATGCCGTCGTAACCATAGACGTCCTTGATGTTGTCGTAGTAATCGTAGGGATCCCTGAACGCATTCCTGGGACGATTAAGATGGCGGTCGATATGGATACGGCCACCGCGACCGATGCGCCTTCTGAAATAAACATCCTTGCTTGCACGCAATGGCTTGAAGCATTGCTGCGATACGTGTACGGGGAAGGATTGTTGGGATGGGTTCTAATAAGACCAGCAATTTAAATATAGAAAAAAAGATACAGGGCATAAGTAACGCATTCAAAGAATAACCTCAGATATCAGAAGATCTGCAATGGTATGTGAGAGAACGTACATCTGTGAGATCTTCCCAGCCAACATCGTCCTCACGACGCTTGGCAAGTTCTGATTCAATGCTAGAAAGACCCGAGCGATCTTTCTTGGAGTCGTCGTGCGAGGACATCGAGTCGCGATCCTTGAAGTTGAGTGGGATGCGGATGGTCGCACTTGTCTCTCCCATCTTGCGCATTTTCTTCTGTAGATCGTCAAAGAACAGAAAAACGATGATACAAAGAAGGTTCAGATTATTAGTCGCTGACCAAGAAATCCATCGATAAATTGAAAAAGTGCAAATGGTATAGAGTGACATGAACATGGCCTTGATCTCTTACCTTCTGGTGCTGCAAGTCGTCGTCGTCGTCCTTGATGCCAAGGTTTCTCCGGTACTCACGCACCTTGCATCGCTGATCAAAGATCATATGCTCAAGCACAAGCGATTCCTTGCGAACTTTCTCGCGGCGTGAGACCATCTCCAGCAAACTGCGGGCGCTCTCCATCTCCATTCGCAGCTTCCTGAGTTTCTCGATCGACTGTTGGTCAGTGCGTCTGGTCTTGCGAATAGGCTTGCTCTCACGACGACGGAAGCACAGGTACGGATCAGCTTCATTGCGCACCACCTCCTCGAACTACAGTAGCAAATAGTATGAATGTTGAGCAAGAGGTTAGCAAAACACCCATGATCGGTATAGAAGAAACACGCGCGCGTCAATCTCAATATACTTGCCTTCAATTGAGGTGTGATGACTTTGCCGCCCCGCTTGATCCTTCTCTCTTGCCACCAAGGGTAAACGGCGGAGGCTATGTTTCTGACTGCCAGGAGCTGTGGAACGGTGAACGTGGCCTTCAGGTCATCAAAGGTTGGAATCTGATTGGTATCCTGCGTTACATGAATCATGACAAGGAGTAAAGATAAAGCGAGCAAGAGTTAGCAGACAGGCTTCAGCTCAACACAGACTGCAACAGGTGCTATTTAATGATACTTACAAGCTGCAGATAGGGAACGCGCTCGTTCGTGATCTTCTCAAACTGCCACATGATGAGTTCAAAGTGGTCTTCGTCCAGCTTCTCCTCCTCTGCAGCCCGCTTCTCGTTGAACTCTTTCAACCACTTTTCGTCCTCCTCGTCCATGTTGTATGGGCAGCCAATACAGTCCTCAACTGTAGACGAGAATCGAATGAGCGTAGAGGGCTCAGTGAACGCACGACTGTAGAAGTCGTGGTAGTTCTCAATCTTGCGACTGGCATCAGGGGTAGGAATATATAGGGCCTTGGCCTCACCAGTGGTACTCGAGAGATTGGATGCAGAGATCGCAGCTTGCAAGTGGTGTTCCTATAGATTAATATATCATAGTCAATCATTAGAAAGTGATATATGTATTCTAACACGCACTGGGAGACCGTACACAAGAACAGTTCCCGCCAAAACTCAGATAAGGTATTGAGACAAGATCGCTCAGTCCGAACTGGGGCAGGAACCAAACTCAAATAAAGCACGCATATGACGATGGAACGCGACGGAAGCATATTTTGAAGTAAGCGAATGGTTCGCTGTTTGCAAAGATGTGGATAGCGCTGACAACGACGAGTTTCATCCAGACTCAAAAGGAACACGGCCGCATAGAGATTTGTTTTGTTGAGATAAAAAAAAAAATGGCGGGAAAATATGTATAATATATAAAAAATCGCAGGACAACGTACCGACTCTTCCTCCTTGTCAACACCGGTCTCTGTCTGAGGAATACTGCGTTGCAAGCTGACGGACTCATCGAGATCAGGGATATCGACTGCGCGATAGACATGCAACAGCTGCTTGTTGTTGATCTTACGGTTCCTGAAACGGGCCCCGACGTTCTTCATAGTGAACCAAGGGCTGACTCAGCTGTGGTGTGTATGTGATAAAAGATGGGTTTTGATTGGCAGGTTGTGTGTGTACGTAAATCAAGAATGTACGGGTCAGGTGTGGCCTTTTTCGGGTTGCGCAGTTTATAAGAAAAAATGGGGAAAGGGAGAAAAAGGAAAGACAAGGCAAGGTAGGGTAGTTTTTCAGCAGGAATAGCAGGCAAAGATGATTATGAATGAGGGGATGGTCATTAGATGAGCAATGATGAGACGAGTGAGTTGCAGATGTTTTGATTAAGGATGATGGGATGAATGATGCGATCCTCGGGCGGTATTGTCGTCCCTCGATGGCAGTGATTTGAGGTGATGAGGGGTTGTGTTGCTGCAGCAGGTCTTTTTTTCTTGGGTGCTCGTTCGAGTGCGAGAGACAAAAAATTTTTTTTTTCGGCGGGCCAACAATTTTTGTTGGACAACTGAGGATTCGAAAGCTTATTGCTCATTTTGGAAGTGATGACGTTCAAACATATAACCGGATTGGGCAAGTAGCAAACCTGCTCTTGCGGCCTTCGCATTCTCATTGGGCAGCCTCCCAGAGCGCGCTCTTTAGACACATCAGATATGAAGAATATGAAGATAGACATCGATGCGTTTCTGGTGTTACATTTTCATATATGCATAATAATATAGGTGTGCGTGCATGTTTTTTTTACATATGTAAGGTCTTTACAGAACCACATCTCGTTCAAATTCCCCAAGATGAATCTGGAAGCGCTGTGGGTTGTCTGGGTCCACCACAGCTGCCCGTAATTTCTCTGCTACTTGAGTGCCTACGTCCAGCAGCAGTTCACCCATATACGCCTCAATACTCTGCACACCTTGAGAGATGATTGTTGAGAGACTCGTCTGTTCTGTAGTTACATCCATAACTTCTCCTGTACTTCCTTCATGATGGCGTCTTCGTCCGCGATTCACGCCTCTCGTAACATCCCATCCGCCCCGTCCGCCTCGAACTCCGTGCCAGCCCCATGGTCCCCCTCGACCTCGACCTCGACCTCTAGAGGTATCGAAGGGTCTGGCTCCATGCTCATTCGTGGGTCTATAGTAATCATTCCACTCCTCCTCTTGCACTTCTTCCTCCTCCTCCTGTGCTTCTTCCTCTTCCTCTTGTTTCTCTTGTGTTTCTCCTGTCTCCCTTGCCTCTTGCTTCTCCTTTGACGCTTCAGGGTCGCCCTTTCTTATGCTAGAGGCTCGTCTCATTTCTTTTTTCCCCATTGCCTTGGCAGTGCGCTTTTGTTCAATCGCTCTTCGCTTCATTTCCATTGCTCTCTGTTTTGCTTCGATGGCTTGTCGTTTTGCTTCCTTTGCTTGTCGCTTTGCCTCCTTCGCCTGCATGTCATGTTCTTGCATATTAGCCTTGTGTGCTGCTGAGAAATCGACTGAATCAGAATCCACATCTGTATAAGGTGTTTCTCGAAAAACGTCTCCTTGTCCAACAGCGGTTTCTGTCTCAATAACCGCCTGCTCCGATGGTGCTGATGGCGCCGAATCAAATGTTTTCCGGTCGCTAAAGTTGTATTTTGTAAGGTCCTCCTGTGGTGTGGTGGTAATGCTCGGTGTCAAAGTTGACGTTTGTTCCGTACTGAGTTGCGAGCCTGAAAACGGGCTATGTCGCGTGGATGGAGATCCAAAGGACAGGCGTGGATCCCAACCATTTGACGGTGAAGAGGGATGTATTCTCATATGTTTTATCCGCTCTTCCACATCCCTGTATCGCCCCATCCGGAGAACTTGTGAGGCCTCCTTGTCCTTTTGAATCTGACATTTCTCCACGGGCTCGTCGTGACCACAATCCAAAATGTATGTAGCTGAATTTTTCGTGTTGTGTTTCTCCGGCTTGAAAGCTTTGGTGTCGGTGCCGCGGACAAAAGTATTAACCTTGGTTTCCTCCCAGTCTCCACTGACAGATTTGCTCTTTCCGAGAGCCACAGTTTTGACGCCTGGATACCGTCGCTCGATCATGTCGTCTCCAGCTCCATTTCTTGTGTTCTCCATGAATCCGCACGATCGAGTGAGGAGGAACGCGACTGCTGGAAACATGAGTGGGATAAGCGCAACGCCGATCCAGGGAATGCTGCACAGATACCATGCTCCGATTGCGAATCCTTGCAGCTCGAGTTCGTACTGTGACATCCAAACACGCTCCTCCCATCCCTTGAAGTTCACTCGCGCGAGATATGGTTGCAGTAGTTCGTACATAAGGAGTTGCTGCAACAGGAGTGTTTGAACCACCAGTACGGGCCAGCGGGGTCCAGTGAAGAGTGAGAGAACAGCAATTTTCCAAAGCGAGCTTTTTATGCCCCTGTATTGCAGGATCTGGTCCACGGCGACCAGGCCTAAGCCGGCACTTGGGAGATAAAGGATACCTGAGCGAGTGACGAGGAAATCGATGACATGCATGCCGATCATGACCTTGAACAACCGAGCGCAGTATTGTCGTGCTTGAGAGAATCTCTGAGGCTTTGGTTTCGCAAGAACGTCGGATCGTTCTGAGCAGCCAAGGGCTCGTACTGTGGCTATGAAGAGGTTGTCCCATGGTTCCGGGTGGACGTAGCGATAGAGGAGGATTATGGGAAAAAAGAGCTGGTTGACAATCCTGTAGCACCTCGGGAAGATGTAAGTCAGGCCATTGACGATCGTCTGGATGATAAGACAGCGGACGGCGAGGCTAAGGGCAGTCCTTTTGGTATTTCTGCCGTGCTTGTAGCGGAAGGCCTCCCAGAGGTGTTTAAGACCTGACCCAAAGCTAGAAAGCCCCTCCCAAAGCGGGTCGGCGGTAGGGGGCATACCAGCTGAGAGAAGTGAAGGCGATATACAAAAGGAAGGGTGACAGAGTAAGTGTGGAGTGGAGTCAGGCAGGAGAGCAGGTGGGGGTTGGTGTTTGAAGTGAGATGAGTACGATGAGATGTCTGGATGTGTGTGAGAAAGAGAGAAAAAAAGTGAAAGGTGGGCGTTGTTTGCCAAGGCGAAGAGGAGGGGCTGAGTCGTACAGGCAACCTCGAAAAAGGAAGTTTTAGCTCTTTTTCTCCTTCCTCTTCTTCCAATCGATCAAGGACCGAATCGCATCGCGTCTGTCCTCTTTCCTTCTCCCTCTCACTTTGGTGGCAAAGAAAGAGAGGAAATAAAGAAAGGAGTCAGGGAAATAAAGGAGAGAGGCCATCCTGGTCCAAGTAAAAGTACACTCTCATCAGTCGCGAAATGCCTTGCGCGAGAAAAGGGGTTGGGGAAAAGGTGCAGCGGTTGTCGTGGCGGTGATCAGCTGCCTCGTTCAGATTGTTCAGATGACGAAAATGAAAACCGATGGCACATGGGCAAGCCGAAACTACTACCCCAGCAAATAAAGAAAGACATTCAGCCCTCTTTGCTACCTCCATCAACCTCTGCCTTTTTCTACATATTGCACAACATATTCCAACTTTTCACAATACGTTAAAATGGCCTCGCTTCCTATCCCCCGCCGCTACCGCACAGTGATCTATATTCCTTCAAAGAACGACGATTGCCTTCTCGAGGTCTGTCTGTCCATCCCAACAACAGTCTCCTCGCAACCTCACGCCTACACCGGCGTTGTCATAGCTCATCCTTATGGGCCTCTCGGCGGGTCATATAACAACAATGTGGTCGGCGCCCTCTTGCAGTGGTTTGAGACATATTCGCTGACGGCCATGAGCGAGGACCTTGTCGCGTCGACCTCTTCATCCTCCCTCGTATCAGCCAAATCCTCGACGAAAAACAGCGCCGGTTCGAACCAGCAGCAGCAAAACACGGATCCCATGGAAGCCGAGCCTGCCACCGCAGCTCCGTCACGTAAGAAGGGCTCCAGCCCCCAAACCGTGCCCTTGTCGTGTGTAATTTGTGCGTTCAACTTTCGGTAAGGTTTCCTCTGCATGGAATCAGGCAGATGGTACCTGCGTACTTGTTACAATAGCGTAACTGCATTGCATCTGACGCGAGAACATGCTTCGCCTTCTATAGAGGTTGTGGCAGGTCGAAGGGCAAGACATCTTGGTTTGCAGAAGCAGAGCGCGATGACTATCAGACAGTGGTCGATTTTCTACAGAGCGGCTCCTACGCTAGAAATAGCCATCTGGGCAAGACTGAGGATCGAGATGCAAGCGGCACAAATGCATCAGCAGCTTGGAATGGAAAGGTATTCGACGAGACTGGTCGTCAAGTTGATACACCGCGACTTCCTTTCCTGTCTCGGTTTATCCTCAGCGTAAGTTTGCATTGCACACGTTTACCATGCGACGCGGCTCTTTCTCGTTAATGTAATGAACTTGGGCCACGGTTTTTATTAACTTCGACATATGCAATCCATACCGTATAGGGCTTTTCATTTGGCGGGCTGATCGCATCCACCATCCCTCCACCACTCAGGAATCCTACAGACCCAACCAGCGGACATTTGCCCACGTCATATATTCTGGTCAGCTACCCCGCAGGCGTGGCCTGGCTCTTGACATCAGGCGCACAAGGCTCCTTCTACAAGCGAGCTCGAGCCATTCTTCAAGGAGAATTCCCCGCATCACCATCCTCATCATCAAATGATCAGGGGGTCGCCGAGACAGCTGCAGAAGGAAAGAAGAAATCCACCGTGGAGGCGTACTTTATCACAGGTGCACAGGATCAGTTCACTAGCCCAAAAACACTTCTTTCCTGGCTTCAGACGAATACGGGCTTGAATTCACCCAAGCAAGCCGAAGGTGCGCGCTCGTGGACCCTGAAGCGACCAGATGGAGCCATTCATTTGGATGTAGTGGAGGGTGTAGATCATTTCTGGCTGGATCGTGAGCAGGAGTTGCTGGATAAGCTGCAGAGATGGTGGACAGAGTCGCATCCAACGAGGTCGTCCTCGACCTAAGGCTCGTATGCGCATGGATTATTTCAGGTCGCGTTCCACTGTATTAAGTTTCAATAAGCACCGAAGACACACATCTTTCTTTTTTTTTTTGCGGTTGTTGTTTTGCATAAAGGATAGACGCGTCAACGGCTAGAGATCTTTCGCCATGTCAGCTTTATAAGATTTATTGCAAACCAATAATAAAAAGACTGAATCGATAGTCAAAAAAAAAGTGCTTTTTGGTTGACCGACAAGCGGCCGATGATGCAAGCTGCTGCCCCTATTTTCTCATGCCTGCTGAACATACCAGACAACATACACATGTACAAATACGCACTCGGACCGTTGGGGCGAACGGTGTGTGGCCCACTGGAATGTTGAACGAGGGGGCACGCGACATCTTAGCTTCAAAAAAAAAAGTACGCGCGCTTACATCAGGTAAAGTACGTGCGCTTCTTGGTAAAAAAAAAAAAGGAAGTTCGGAGTTCTTTCCCCTCCATACTAACGTTTGCTTGCAAGTGGTATTTTTTTTTTTTGCTATATCCGCAGGAGTTGCGTACATGTGCGACGTTTTTTTTTTTTTGCTCTTGTGCTTTGACTTGTTCCCTGTCCTTCTCCCTTTGTCCCTAGTTATAGATCCCACATGTTCCACCAGCGCAGCAGTATCAAAGCTAAGGGTGGCCGTAAAGAAAAAGCCCAGCTTCTTGATTAATTTGTTACTTAAAAATAAAATACAGGGATAAGAAGAGATGGACAAAACATAAACGGCCAGGGAGAGAGAAAGAGAGGGCGAATGAAGGAGTTCGGTACAAACTTGCTATTGTAACAACGTTGTCCTCCTGTAGCCTACAATAGTGCGCGAACAGGAACAATCCTGTTTTCGCTGGCACAACTCCTGGATGGGTTACGGTAATTGTTTACAAACAATGGCAACAGGTACGGCTACGGCACGGAGAAACCCGCTGTCCTGCGGTATAAACAGAATGTCTAATTTGGTATTGCTCGCTATCGGCAGCCATTTTTTTCTACTTTGATCGAGAGGACTGAGAGAGAGGAACATGAGAGCACTTGGTTTTTTTGCTATCTCTGCGAAAAAAAAAAAAAAGAGCAGGACAGGGCAGGGCAACTCGGACCAGCCCATAAACTGATCCCTGCACATAACTACCATGGTCCTCTTTTTTATTTGGTCCGCTTGTTGGCGTACTTTTTTTTTTTTTTTTTTTTTCCTGTCCATCTGCCCACGTCCAGGCATTAAGAACACCCGAAGCACCAGAGATACAAAGAGAGCTGCCTGAGCAAATAAGAATGGCCTATGCACTGGGATTGGAGGAGACGAAAGGGCAGATCAGATCAAATCCGACGGATAAAAACCGAAAAGTAGAAAAAGGTGTCCAGGTGGATCAATTCGCAGGCGGAAACTCTATAATCTAAGGACTTGGATCCATTTCAACACACGACCCTTTGTGGGCTAGCATCGAATCGTCGTCGTTGTCGTCGTTGCACTGCAATCGGTAGCTAGCCAAGTTCGGACAGCTTCAATAACCTGCAGATCTTTTTGGCTTACATAGTCCGCTGAGGACACTGGTTTAGTTTTCTTATTTCACCCTGCAAGGGTGCAAAAAGAGAATAGGAAAGGGGGCGATTAAGGCATGGCTGACAAGAGACGGGAGCCAGCCAGGACTTATTGGCAGCGGCACTTTTGATCCGCACGAGGAGAATGAAACGAACAGGAAGAGGAGGAGGAGGGGCGGGGTGCAATCTGTGGTTGGATGCCCAGTTGGAAACAAACAGTTTCTTATGGTGCTGCATGCAGCGGGCGCGAGAGAGGAGAGAGAGAATGCATATCCCACACGAGGTATTTTATTACATGCAGCATTAAATAGCACTTTTGTGTTCTTTTTTCTCCGCACTGTTTATTATAAACACATAGTGCAGATGTATCTCTGTCTCTCTCTCTCTCTCTCTCTCTCTCTCTCTCTCTCTCTCTCTCTCTCTTTTCTTTCTCGCCCTCACTCCCGCCCACTCGTCTTCTCTCTACTCTTTTCTACCTCTTTCTTATTTCTTGAACTCCATTTTCTTCCTCTTCACCGCCTCCGCTTGTCTTCCTCGCCCTTACTCCACCTCGCTTTTGCATGAGCCACAGGCTGGTATCTTATCACCGAGCAATGCTTCCCTCCCGTATCTAATCACTCCGGGATCCTGCCTTGTCTTTCTCCTTTTTCTCTTTTTCTTTTGCTCTCGGGAACAGCAACGAAACGAGATCTCTCTTCAATCCTTTATCTTTTTATTTTTTATTTTTCCTTTATTAATACCACATCGTATAGTAATGTCGTTCGCGAACGGATATAGTCTGCACCATGACTCGATCGCAAAGCCCGTGGCCATCTATCCGCAGGAACACCCACAGCGGAAGCGGTTCTCACCGCGATACAGCGCCTCGGCTGCGTCCTACACCACCTACTCCTCAGCACTCGCTACGACTTTTCTGCAGCAGCAACAGTTACAGCAACAGCAGCAACAGCGAAGGAGCTACACCTACCAGGACAGTCTAAACAAGTATGGCGATAATACCAGCAATAATTCCATCGAACACCACCACCCATCCGTCATTTATGGTCATAACAACAGTAATAACACTTTCACAAACAACAAAAACAACAACAATATCAACCGTAATCAGCATCGTAATCATAATACCATCCCCGCCTCTCCACCTTCGCCTTGCTCGGCCCCGGACGCGTCGTCCTGCCACTGTTCGCGATCGAACCCACGCCACCAGCCGTCTTCGCCCTCACACTCACACTCGTCCTCAATCTCGACTGTCTCTTCCGTCTCGACTGTCTCCGCCAGCAGTAGCACCCACCCATCACCTTCTTTGAGCAGTGTCGTCATGTCGACCGCCTCACCTTCTGCTGCAGCCATGTCAGAGAGCTACTCGTCGTCGCTGTCTTCAACAGGAATGTCTCACTGCTCGCCGATCTTGTCCCATACACTGACGGCACTATTACCGGATGTGATCCAGTTTGGACATCCTGCTGCTGTTTCACACACAGCTCCTTCTACAGCAGGACCGAGTTCGCCTGTGGATACCATGTCGATCCTAAACTTGACATCGTCGTCATCTTCACGGACATCGAGTGCGTCCTCGCAGGCTTCATCACCAGTCAGGATCACCAGCCGACCGTCTCCGTCTTCATCCTCGTCTACATCGATGGCATCGTTTTCTGCAGCAGAGGCGATGATGATCATGAGTGAGCGCGAGCGTGAGGAGCGTGAGTGGGAACGGGAACGGGAGCAGATGCGGGCCGTGAGTGGTTACTTTGCAGATCCCTGTGCGGCTCTACCCTCGTCGCCCTCGCCCTCTCCTCCACTGAGGGGATCCGAGACTTCATTGGCACAAAGACGGCAGCGACGGCTTCAGAGGCATCAGCAGCAATCTCAACAGCAGAATTACGAGCAGCAGCAGCAGCAGCAACTGAAGCAGCAGAAGGAGCATCGACATGCACGCCGGGCGTTGGCTGCACAGAGACAGGAACATGGAGAAGGCGCATGTTTACGGGATGCGCAACAGATGCAGTCGTCTTCAGCTTTGACCGCCTCGAGATCTCCACCGCCTTTTCCCTCCCATCGGTACCGTTCGAATCAACACCACCATAAGCACCATTCCTTCTGTGCCTTGACCTCTTCCTCCTCCTTGTCGTCCTGCCAGCACTCCTCAGGTTCAATGGCATGCACGACGACCTCTACGGCGCCCTTCAACTCCCCACAGGCGATCGCACAGAGTTCGAGTCGGTATATCCGATTCCTGTGGCTACCCCTGTTGTCGCTCCTGATCCTCGCGGTCGGGGGCCAGACCTCGGCCAAGTTCGAGTCTCCTGTGAAGTACATTGTATAGTTTTTCTTCAATTCTTTCTTGTAGCATCTTCTTTTCTATCTTCTTTTTTTTTTTTTTTTTTTTTTTTGTATAACTTTTCTTCCTTTCTATCTAATCATCCATGGCATCCATCCCCTTCCAATAATACCCCTCTCCGCAAAAACCTTCCACGTACACTTACTTACACACAAACACACATCCATACACGCACACACACACACACACACACATCTAATTTCTTTCACACTTTTCATATATCCAGTCTTGATCGTGATCTCTTTTCCATAATTCTGTGCTCGCCCCCCCCCCCCCGCCCTCCTTCCCTGTTTGTCCATCCAATCCATCTATCAAAAAATAAACGAAAAAGCAAAAAAGCCCAATCTTGCGACGATCCCCTACACGCTTGTCGACTCTATAAAAAAATGAGCCTGCTGTGTGCTTTGTGTCCCTTGTGTTCGTTCCTGTGTGTACTCATATATTTGAGGGGCTGTCACAGTCGAATGAATGGACGCGCCATGATGTAATGCGCAATAGAGTCAAGGTTTCCTCAATGTCTTCATCATGCGGAGTGTAAGGTAAAAGCGACAACAACAACAACAACAACAACAGCTCGTTCCTGCCGATCATAATGAGACATCAAGGCTTTCTTTTTATTATTTTCCTTTTTCACAGGGTAAAGAGTCGTTTAATAGAGAGCTTAATGGATATATAGTATGGAGGTATGCGTGTGAGATTTTAATTGCGTGAGTTTAAAACAACCCACGCTTCTGGACCTTGGTTCCATCCTGAGGTCCAGCGTTCAATCCGACCTCGAGCTCCTTCTGGATCTCGGCATGACGTCTCTTCAGGTCCTCCACCTCGTCTAACTTCGCCTGCAACGACGCCACCTCCTTCTCGAGTGACTGACGTTCCTCTGCTGTGCCGATCGTTGAGAACTCCCAGTGTCCATGATCACCCGTCAGCTTGAGCAGATGCAAGTGGTATTTGAACAGCGCAGGGCGGTGAGAGATCGTGATCAACGTGATTCCCAGATCCTTCGCGTGATTGTACATCAATCCCTCCACATCCGAGCTCACGGCCGACGTACACTCATCCAAAATCGCAAACTTTGGCTTGTGATAGAACAATCTAGCCAAGTTCATCTGTTAAAGAAAAAAAAAAAGCAAGTTAGTAGATTTTTTTAAAAAAAAAGGTCATCACGCAAAGACGCGTTTCTGTCATTTACCCTTTGTTTCTCTCCTCCAGAAAAGACGTCCTTCCACTCCTTGACCGTATCCCATCCACCCTCGCGATCAGGGATATATGCCAAATGCACATGCTTTAAAATGTCCATCAACTCCTCTTCGGTCCTGCCAGCTTTGATCATATCTGCATGCGAGTGTGGGTAGATAACCTGATCTCTCAACGATCCAATTGACAGGTACGCACGCTGCGGGATGTAAAAGATATCCTTGGGGTTGGGACGGGAGAGCTGACCACGGAACACTGGCCAGAGTCCGCTGACCACACGGGCAAAACCTGTCTTGCCCACACCGTTGGGTCCTGTCACCAGCATATGATCGCCAGGCTTGATGTCCACAGACAGACTATGGACCAGTTCCTCACCTCCGTTGGCGTTTCCGGGTGACGGTGTCACGATGGGGACATCCACAAACTTGATGCCCTCGTAACCATACTCGATAATACCACGGATGTCGTTGAGGGTGTAGCGCTCCTCGCCAGAGTTGTTCTCGCCATTGAGCGTGACGCCCTCGTATTTACCGGCATGAAGCTGATGAAGGACCGAGACCAGGTTGTACACACGAAGGGTCGAACCTGCCAACTCGGACATTTCCTTGTACGAGTACATCATACGGCCACCCGCATCTGCAAGAGACATCATAAGACTGGACAACAAGGCATGTTGCGATAGATTAGACAAAAGTGAATGTGTCGTCGGGAATAGAATATGGGATGTGAATAGGTATCCTTACCGCTTGCTGGTGATGAAACCCTTGGTGCGGGCACCGACAACCTTGTCTCCGCTGGCGACATCCTTCACAGAGTCGATACCGCCGAGAGTAGGGAAGAAGACTGGCAGGGCGCAGAGGGTCAAACCGACAGCAGACCAGCAGTACTTGATAATAAAGTCCTCAAACATGTTGTAGGCGATTCTGATCTTGTAGATCGAGTTGATGTGACGGATCAAACGCTTGTAAGTCTTGGTCAAGATTGAGTGCTCGAGCTCAGCTCCGTTGTAGAAAGCGATTTCTTCGGCGTTCGTGATCAGACGTGTGTGAGCAGAGCGGAAGTCACCCTAGAGTGCATCGACATAGTCATGATCATAATCAAGTTAGCGACTGCGTCGAACTGCATATCATAATCTCAGGAAGGAGACATCCCGTAATAATGTACCTCCAGTTTGGCCTCAACGGCAGCCAACTTGCCAAAGGCGGGCGTGACCATGCGAAGCAAGAACGCCGTGACGACATAGGAGACAAAGAGACCACCCATGCCCGAGACACCGATCGAGCGCATGAGCTGGTAGTTGAAGATGATGGTGTCGAGGAGGGGTTTGCCCAAGTTCGAGTAAAGTCCTGCGAGTGAGTCGCAGAATTTTGCAATGTCCGTGGTGATATACTGGTCAATGCCCTCGATGCGATCGTCCAGATTGAGGGCCTTGTAGTATGTGATCTGATCGTTTAGGTACAGATCGTGGACATAGCGCGTCAACCGGGTTCGGAATGCGATAGAGAGCTTCGATTGCAGGTAGCGGATCTATAGGATAGGAAAATATGAAATGTGAGTATTGGAGGAATTGGTAATGTTACGCATTGCATTTGTGATCGATCGCGCTTTCTGTCCTCTGTTTGATCTGTGTCGGTCGGCTGAATGATTCCCAGCCCTCTCAATGCTGCTTTGCAATCACAAATCGAGAGCGGTGACACCCACACAGCAACTCAAACCCAAAGGAATCAGACATGCAGACAGAGATAGGATCCATAGTCAAGTGAGCAGAGATGCTTACCATGCTGTTAGTGTAGGTGGCAGGCAGAGCAATTGCAAACCAGTAACCAAGACCACGGATGAACCCCTTGCCATTTCCAGCAATCTATCAACATGGAGCATTAAAAAAGAGAGTGTATGCATGTCCTGTAAGCATTTTTTTTTTTTTTTTTTTTCATTTCAATAGTGTCGTATTCACTTGCAATTAAAATGCACGATCGACGATCGACTTTGGATAGCGTACCAAATCCTTGACGATGGCTCCGTCCAGACGAGCGACGACGACGCTGAGATAGGTTCTCAGAACTAAGAAAGTAGTATGCAGGGCCAGGATCAACGTTTCCTTGCAGTGCAGTTTAGGGATCAGGACCTTGAAGAGGGCCTCGATCTGGCGAAAGAATTCCTTGTTGACGCCGACCTTGACAGCGGCCTTTGCAGAGCTAGCGGATGAACCTGCGGTTGCAACCTTGGAGGGCGGGAAGTATTTGCGATTGCGTTCCAGTGTTGCCTCTGAGGTGTATTTGGGTGGACGCGTAGCCTTTTTCTCGCCTGTGGTGGTAGATGTTGTCGTATTATCACTGGTGCTGGATCCTTCGGTCGAGATCTTGGAAGCAGCGGCGGTGGCGGCGCGCTTCTGCTTTGCCTGCTTAACACTCAGATAGCGTCCGACGACGATGGCAATGAAGCCGACGAGGGCGACGGCGGGGAGTGGACGAGCGGAAGACGATTTCTGTGTGTGGACAGCGTCGAGGACGGCGTTGATCTGCTGAGGCAGGTCCTTTGACTGGACAGCCATGGCGATGTTTGAGAAGCGGGGGGAGGGATGGAGGGAATGAGAGTTAGGAGGGATCCCGATGAGAGGAATGTAATCGAGAAAAGGGCGGATTGGGTGCGTCTATGGGGAAGCAAGAGGGAGTGAGAGTGAGAGAGAGAGTGAGGATGAGAGGAGAGAGAGGAGGCGATTCGGTGTCCAAGAAGGGAAGGCAGGGATGACCGAGGTGGAGGACAGCAAATAGAGAGAAGAAGAAGAGGGAAAGAGGGAGGAGGAGGAAAAGGAGATATGATATGATGATACGATGTATGATAAAGACGGATGTGTGGGTGTGTGGAGAGGACGGAGACACGCCCACGAGGCAGGACCAACGAAGCACCGAACACAACCCGCCCACGGACAAGGCACTCTTTTACTCTTTTACAGTCTACAGTCTACAGTCTGGAGTCTTCAGTCTAACAGTCTACAAGTCTACTTGTACTATGATCACATCCACCCTCACTCCCCCCTCCTCCCCCTCAAGACCAACTACATCAGCACCGACATATACACACACAACCTGCCCACCCACAACGCATACGCCATCCCTTGGAGAGGATCGGAGGTCCGCCTCCAGTGGGTGTGGCCCATCCCACCAGCAAAAGCTTCTTTTCCTGCTCTCTTCTCCTTCCCTCCTTCTCCCCTCTCCCCCCGCGTGTCTGTCTATGTCTGTGACATATGGCACACGCTGTGGGACAGTCATCGCGAAACTTTGTTACAGAGGCATTTCCACGTGAAAAGGCCCCCCCCTCCCTCCCTTCCCTTCACTATATTATTATTTGAGACTGATACCCTTGCAGCCCATCCACCGCCAGCAGCTCCGCAACATTCATATACCGTCGCAATCGAACACCACACGCGTCCATGGCTAGTCCCCCTTTACTCTGTACTTGTAACTGGATCCCATGTCGGTTGCAGACTAGATCTCCGCTGTAGATCTTTGTCCAACCACCTGTTATGTTGGACGTATGTACGTGTTGATCGAAAGAACCTGGCTCTCAGAAAGAAAGAAAGAAAGAAAAAAAAGACACGCTCCAGAGAGTACTTCCCAGGTCCCCCTCCTCGTATGATCTGGATGATCTGGTTCGTGTACCCACGACGACTGTTTTGTCATGGGTAATTAATTGTATATACGCCATCTCTTTCTTTTCTTTTTGGTATTCACTCGCCGATCTCATCTGCGCAACGTGTGGTCCTACAAACCACTGACAAGGACACGCGTTCCTGTGGAGTATGGCATGTATAGACATGTATTCACTAGAAATGTAACATGGTATATGAAAGCCACGAATAACACTTATTTACGTGCGTTTGTGAGAGAGAGAGAGAGAGAGAGAGAGGAAGAGAGAGAGAGAGAGAGAGAGAGAGAGAGAGAGAGAGAGAGAGGAAGAGAGAGAGAGAGAGAGAGAGAGAGAGAGAGAGAGAGAGAGGAAGAGAGAGAGACCATATCCCGCAAGGGCTGCTGATGGCTCCTGTTAATCTACAAATCCCACTTTCTTGTCCATTGGTCAATATATCTTGTTACGCGGTGGGTAGGTCAAAGACTAGAAAAAAAAAAAAAAAACAATGTCCGCACTGGAGGCGATCTCCAACCTCCAATCTCCTAACCTTCAACAAATGGTGGCAGCTATCACCATACCTTTGCACATTTTCTTCATTTTTATTTTATTTTTTTATTTTTTTATTTTACTATTACTGCAGGAGCACAGGCTTCTATTCTGCGATGGGACACATCAGAACCGCGCACCACTGCTTCGCTCCAGGGCCTCTTTCATCAACCGTACCGGTAATGCAAACGACTCTATAATTTGGATCGCATCCTCCTGCGTCACAGTCTCCTCGCTCGTCTCCATCTGCTTGTGCAACTCCCCAATTGCCCTCAACATCTCTAGCATCATCTCTCGTGGTTGTCTCGCTTGCTTCTGTTGCTGTTGCTGTTGCTGCTGTTGTTGTTGCTGCTGCTGTTGTTGCTGCTGAGTTTGTGTCGCCGGTGCATACAATTCACCGCTCGTTCCCGGAGTTCCCAAAACCTGCTGTGTATGTACCACCTCCCTCTCATTTTTCGTTGTCACTATTGCGGACGTCGTTGCTGCTGTAACACCCACAAGGGAAAGACCGGCCATCTGTTGAGCACTCCCTGCCGTCGTCGCTGCCAGTATTGATTCTCCGAGCGCAAGAACATGTTGCTGTAGCTGACTATGGCCATGGCTCTGTGCCCCGGCCCCGTTCGCTTCACCGGCACCTGCAGATGTCGAAGGAATCGCTAGCGTTTGACCACCGTGGCTGCTATCCGCACTTTCCAGGCTCATCAGTCTCCAAGCCTCTGCGTCAGTACCGTTGGCGTCCTTTCGGATCCGATGGTCCCGAGCTTGTGAAGATGGCGATGTCGAGGAAGAGGAGGAAACGGCGACCTGTAGTCCATGCTGATGATAGTGGTGATCTCTGTTAGAGGATGATATATCCTCATCGCCTGTTGCCGTCTGGCTTGCGCCTTCTGAATCTTGAGAGGATGTTGATCGTCCACGCGTTTTCTTGTACTGCCGGGCGACATTCGCATATTGCGCATAACAGGCCTGCGCCAGTAGTTTAATATTCTCCTTCGTTGTCGGGTTCAACTAATCAACAAAATAATAAAAGACATATTATAGTATCAGTCTCAATATCCTTGCTCGTTTTTTTTTTTTTTTTTTCATAGTTAACTTGGTGCGGCCAAAAGGAAAAGAAAAAAAAAAAAAGTTAAAAGTCGCATAGCATACGCACCTCATCCAGCAAAGGTGATCCATTGGAAAGCATATTCTTGATCGTCTTCCAATCGTATCCCTCATACACTCGTTTCTTGATCCACATCTTCATGTCCTGTGGCAACCTCTGAGCCTTGATATCTTCCATCACATCGGGTATATGCCCCTCATGCCTCCATCCATACTCAATCACGATATCGTCCTCCATAAACTGCTTCCGCATCTTGATGAACGCCGGACAGTTGCACTTGATGCTTCCTGATCGCTTCCGCTTCTTGCTCGGATCCACATTAGGGTCCTTCCGGTTCCGGTAGTGACCAGCATGATCGCATTGATATTCTCGTGTCCATTCACTAGCTGTCGGTCCACGGGCGAATGCTATATACAAGAAGCGAAAACGAGAAAAAAAGGTGATTAGTTATCATCGCTCAACAACCAGCTTTTTTTTTTTTTTTTTCGCAGAGGTTCGTCCTTTACAGTTTCCTCCTGTTGCACATGCTCTATCGCTTACATTGCTTATCCCGATGTCTGTACCGAATCAAGTTCCAACGACAATTCGCCTTCTCATTATTCAACCATGCCTCCCATTCATCCGCCGGCCACTTGATCATCGCAGGACAATGCTCATATCGATCCTGCGCATCTGCTGGCGCATAATGTGTCATCGATCCGTGATAGCTGTTATTACTTGATGGTCCTGCCTCTGGAGTCGTTGCTGTTACCATCGTCGGCGCTGATGCTGATGCTGATGCTGACGCTGCTGTTGTTGTTGCTGTTGTTGACGTTGTCGCTATCGCCGCCACAGCTGCTGCTGACGACGACGACGCGAAGGAATCCTGCTCAGGCGATTCCATCGATGTATCAACGGTACCGGAGCCAGCCGCTGCTAATACTCCTGCTTCAGGCGTCATCACAGAAGCCAGGGTCTCGAACGTAGCGATCGTGGTTGGGCCGGCATCCGTGGTCGGTGTAGGGGTCCTGGAGCCGGATCTCTGACTGCTCTCAGGGGCTTGGACTGCAATGGGGCTGTTTGTATCCGTCGTCGTAGCATGGGGCTGACCATTCCCTAAGGCATGGTTCATCGTCGTCGTCGTCGTCATTGTCGTCGTGTGAGCGTATACAAGCTTCCTGCTATCCCCATTGCCGACTGGAGTGTCCAGGGATCGGTTGTTCGTGTTCCTGCTCAGGACCTTCTTGTGGTTTAGTGCATGGTCCTCCGTAACAGCTGAAGAAGGATGTACTAGATGGGCTGCCTCCTCAGCACGTTGGTCCGGTAGTGGTTCAGTGTCTTGCCTTTGCTGCGCTTGCGTTGGTTTCGGTTCCTGATGGTGCTGTAGTGCTGCTGCAAGGGCTTGTTCTTGCTGCTGAACAAAGCCTTGCAAGGCTGTAGAATCGTCCATCGTTATTGTAAGGCCAGTGCCTGTTGAACATCGTTGTGGAAGATGATCTTTGTTTGGAAATACAGCAAAAGTGCTTATCGTGCCCCTTAACTCGATAGGTTCGAAAACACATCCCTCAACAAAAAAGCAAATCATTTTCACGCGTTTTGTCCTACGCGTACCTTGCGGTCTTTTATTTATTTAGCTCTAACTCTCAAATAAGTTGCTTGTCATGCGCCGAGGGGGTCGATAGGCAGCAGGGAGGAACTTGAGCTGGACCTTGTTGAATGCAAACTTCCCTTTCTTAGCCTTTGTCACAGTAACGTTTCGATCATGCGCTACCACTGCCGTTCTGCTACTGCTCGAGCCTGGAGGACTGGATATCTGCGACGAGCCGCCATAGTCAACGCTTCCTTGGCTTTCACTGCGGGTGTGCGCTTGAGCAGAGTTGATCAAAGATTCCCTATCGATAAAAGGAAGCGAGTCCTTCGGCTTTGAAATCAATCCCAGTCCAAGTCCAAATGAAGAAAGACGCCTCGTCAAAGCAGGTACTTTCTGACTGTGAGGCGAGGCAATTTGCTGCTGCTGCTGCTGCCGTTGCTGTTGGTAGAAGACCGACTGTTGAGAGGACCAAGAGGGCGTTGATCGATGCATGCCTACTGCTCGCCGAGTCTGGTTTTGCGGAGGATAGTCTTGAGTCCGTGCCTGTTGTGGTGATCTTTCAATTGAGGAAGTGTCCGAGGCCAAGGATTTTCCTAGTGCGTCCAAACCAAGCGATCGTGCCAAGCGCACTGCCAGAACCGGCTCATCAAATGAGTCAGGGAAGGATGTGTAATGCTCTTCCATCCTGGTCTGTTCTTGTTCTTGAGGATGTCCATCAGGGATATTCATGGGCTTCACGAGAGCATCCTGCGACCCAGAAAAAGGGGACAGTGATAGATTGCTGTCTTGCTCTTGGCCGACATTAGTATCCAGAGTTACGACCGGCGCCAGCGCAGGTCCTGTTGAGGACCTGACAAGTTTCTGTGGTGGTGGTGGAGATTCCAGCAAAATCGGAGATAACAGCTGAGATGTCCCTGCCACAGTATCACTCGCTTGCGTATATTCCGGAGAGTTAGGTTCCAGCAAGGCCACATCATCGTCAATCGAATCGACAGAGTCTTCCCGCGCGTCCGGCTCATCCATGTCGTCTTCTGATTTGGCTGTCAAAATGCCGCTTATGTCCAGCTGTGTTGTTCCAGGAAGTAACGAGCGAACGAGGGTGATTGCGTCAGGCGAATAGTCGGACTCTTGATAATGGCTACTTGAGGCGTCAAAGGCATACATGGGCTGCTGCTGCGGTTCTGGAGATCCAAACGCAGATAGCCATAGTAAATCCTTTGCAAAGTCCCCCAGCTTGAGGTTCCTTTCCACATTTTTAATCCGCACTCCAATCTCACTCCTCATCGCGTCCAAAATAGCCTGCCAATCATCTTCACCGCTTTGCTCCGGACCAGTCTGCAGCCCATGGCATGCCCTTAGAAGATTCGCTTGCGATAAGGTAACCGACATCGAAGTTCTGTCCTTGGCGCTCTTGCAAGAAGAAATGTGGCTAGTGACCCATAGGGAGGTGAATGACATTGTCGTGGGCGCGTCTTGGGATCGAGTAAAGCATTCGCACCTGTCCATATCCGCCTGAAAAACATAACCATCAGGTTGCACGCTCTTGCCCTTAGATTTCCATGACTGACTGCTGGTACCCTCGACATGACCTAGTGTCTTGATCTGGCCAAGGGCTCGGGTGAGTGCCTCCGCGCACTCCAGTATGCAAGTGTCCTTCGAGCCCCTGAAGCTGAGCAGCTTGGAAGTTCCAAATTCTACCATCGTCCCAAAGATTCCTGGTGCTGAACCTGGTACAGTTTCCGCAATAGTCGTTTCGCTGAAGACCTCAGAACCGCCTTCGTCCAGGGATGTCGCGGAGGAGCTTAAAAGCGACCTTGTCTCGTCCGAATGTCCCAGCACCGCCATCTCCAAGTGATTCAGGAGCTCGGCTACCAGGGGCTCACCATTCCACAGTTCGGCTTTTGTAGGTGACACCATATCCCAGTCGGAACTCAGATTCGACATCACCGATACCGAGGAAAGGTTAGCACGGTTCTTCCAGGTAGCATAGGGTCGTGCAGGGTTGTCCCTAGTCTTATCGGGCAGCACTTCACTGATCTCCGCAGCCGCTTGATGTTGTGCATGCCAAGCAAGGTAGCGCAGAACATAGCTCTGCATATGTCGAAGTCCCTCTTCGTTGATCGAGCGCTGTAGAGGTGATTTTCCAGTCAGATTGGAAATGGTCTGCATCTCGTTGATTCCTTGGGAAAAGAGTACGGGCCAGACCTGAATCTTGGCGATACCCGCTTTCAGCTGATCCGGCAGCAACGAAAACTGCTGTGGCTCCAGGCCGAACGACAGTGTGAGTCGCCCCCTGCGACCGGATATCTGTATTGAATTGTCTCCAATTTCATCCAGATCGATCGAATTTGCTCTTAAAGTTGATTTTGGGCTCCTTGGAGATGTTGGCAAGCTGGCAGGAACCTGGGGCCGACAATGGAAGCTGATCGTAACTGTTTCTCGTGCATCGGCAACTGCTTGTGCAAAATCCAGAAGCATGCCCAGCTCGCTGCCTTGAGTTGAAAGAAGGCTACTGATCTGCGCGAGCCACCCTAAAGTCATCAGCTGGTTCCAGAAAAGGTTGTTCTGGGCTTTTGCCTGAGGAGAGTGTTCCAATGGATGCCGGGGAGTCGATTTCGATCGTGATTTGGGGTCCATGCCGCCCAAGGCGCTTGAAGCCGAGCCGACAGAAGAGTTATTGGATGTTGTTGATCTCTGGGACGATCGTCGGACCGCTATTCCCTTTCCTCTGCGTTTGATTGAGTTGCGAGATCTGATGGATGGTTCCGACGTCGGCACCTCTTCTTGGACCCGGTCTTCCCTTGCAACATTTGAGCTCTCTTCGCTGATAAAGTCCATGTCCCGAGATAAAAAGCGTCGACATTCTGGATGATGCTGGTCTTGCCGTTGCTGCTCTTGTTCAGTGATTTTCTGTTCCTTCTGCAATGCTGCTGCCATGTTTGTCCACCAGTCTTCCAGTACCGCTTGGAAAGATGTTGCTAGTGCTGTAATAATCTGTGAAAGACAGCACTCGCGCGTCTTTTTTACCATGATCCACTCCGGCGTAGCCACAAACGCAGCATCAGTCACCAGGCACTCGTGCTGGACTGCAATGACAACAAAGCTGTTCAGGTCCTGTGTACAGCTGACTGTTTCTCTGATAGATCGTCTGCAGTGAGCCAGCCATGTTGAGGAAAGTCCTTGTGTCGGATCCTGCTGTTCTGCCTCGTTCTCGGCCAGGTCGATCTGCTTCAGTCGTTCGATAAGACTCCTGATCTCGGCACAAACGAAACGCGCGCTACCCTCCGTTGACATGGTCGTCAAGAATTGGGAGAGAAGGAAATTGCCAAACGATACGATCTCATTGTTCAAGAACTTAATTTCCTTGAGAAGCGCCCAGATCCTTGGTCCGTTTAAATCTTCTTCTGAGGCCATGAGAGAGTTGAAATCAGAGGAGCAAGTGGCGAGGATCTCCTGCAGAGCCTTGAAGTCCCGTATGAGGTCGTTTCCCCGCTCCTGAACGTCCCAATAGGCACCAAGTGCAGGTACCTGGCTCAGCGTTTGTAGATTAGCCCATCGAGTGAATCCTGCGTTATGGGCTGCTGCGGCTCCAACTGTTGTTGTCTGGTAATTGGTCTCTGCTCAGGATAGTACATATACAATGCGTTAGTTATTGGTCATCTCCAAAGCCAACTGCACCGTGCATATTAGGTGATTAGATGGCATATGTACTTACGATATCCATCATCGTAGACAAGCAAATCCTGCACACAGCAGTTCAAAGGGATCCATTGCACCGACTCTTCCTTCTTTTCGGAACTTCTGCGAAATGCTCCTTGTCCAATCTCCAGGTTATCTCTCAGCCGTTGCTCAACCTTGGACGTCATTTCTTGGTAGTAGACCTCAATATTACGGTGGGCGCTGATCTGCTGTCTGAGCAGCTTCTGAAGCTGCGAATCCTCCTCCGATAGGCCGATCTGACGTGCTCTCGTTGACTTTGACGCATCCTCCTTTGAAGTAATGCTTGGCCGTGCTGTACTCCTTCGCAAATTGTCCAGGAAGCTTGCACCTCGCGTGATCGGATTAGGCTGGTGATCCAAGGGCACTGCTTGGATCATATCGGATAATGATACACCGGGCTCTCTCTCCATTTCTTCTAGGACTCTCCTCTCATCTTGCGCAAGAAACTGAAGTAACTTTAGAGGCAGAGTGAATGCTAATGGGGATTCATACAAGTGCTCACGACCATACACAATAGTCCCTCGAACAGTGTGTCCATGATAGGTCTGCGTGAAGCTAGGACCAGTCCTGTGTTTCTCCGCGATCGCCTTTGTCCGAAGTATCTTTGGCAGCATCTAAAAATATGATATTGAATAACTTGGCATCAGTGCGGCTGATCCTGGTATGATATGCCCTTTGAATGGAGCACCGCATGTGGGGGTTCCTGGACGACTTACTTCCTCCACGACAACGCTCAACGTGGCAACTGTTTGCTTGCTCTTTCTCAGTCCGATATCGGGCAGCGCAGATATCTCCATGAGGGGGGTAGAGAATGACGAGAGGTACGTCTGAGAATGGCTGTTCTCATGAAAAATATCGCCGTCAGATTCGCCAAAGGATCCCAGATCAAAATGTTCAATCGCGACCGATGTTTCTGCCCAAGGCACCAGACCATCGAGTCCAGGGAACGCTGCGATTAATTTTTGGCTGGCGCTTGACGGAGGTACGAGCAAGAGCGTGAACCCTACGACAAGAAAGCTTTCTTGAATTTGAAGTGGCAGCACTTTGACAAAGTGACCCTCGTGTCGCCCCTATCACCATCACAAGGGTATATGAGCAGCCCTGTTAACAAAACAACAGATCACAGGTCCTCGGCTCTATTGCATGATGATTTTCCTTTGAGCTGGACAACACATATCAATCAACGATATACCCCAGTACGTTTACCTTTTCTAATACCATGAGCTCCGTTCTGCTTTGCTCCACCCATGTCTCGCGGCGATCAGGCAGCTGCACTAGGGCCGTCAAGACAAGGACAATTTGAACCTTCGCCTTCACCAGCTTTTCATAATGTCGTTCGGGGTCTACTATAATTGAGACACGCAATTGGACAGGAGGTCTTGGAACAAACGCCTGAGAACAAGGTGGTTCGCGTTGAAGTGCTTCCGAAGTACTGTCTGATCCTGCTTGGATGTCCACGCCGGGTATGGAGCTAGTCGCCCAGCGCCCCGAAGGTGACTGCTCGAGAGGAGAGGTAGTCTGAACGAAGGACCCATTGGAACCTGAAGCCTCCACATCGATACGCGGGCTCAGGAGCCCACAATCAGAAGTACTCAGTGCTGGACTAGCGGGTGCAGCATCGAAGACGACGACCGGAGCGAGTACCGAGTGATTCCTCTGAGTAGGTGGAGGGCGAATGCTTGAATGAATTGCCTTCCATGAATCCATGTCGGTGAGGGAATCGACACGGCGTGTCTTGCGATCGATTTTCGGGTTATTAAGGTATATACAAAGGTTACAAGGGTTGGGTGCGGAGAAGAATGGTACATGTGAAAGTGGGATGCAGAGAAAAGTGAGAGGACGATTGGATAGAGGGTGGTGACGGGTGGATATGCTGCCCTGAAAGTGAATGCGATTCATGCACAAGCACACCCAAAAGCAACGATCGTGGGCTTTGGTCGCACTCTACCCCTTCTCCGCAACAGCAATGCAGAGCCCATGTCGCCATCCCGTCAGATCCCTGCAGTTGCCAATAAGTTATGATATATGTTTACTCTCTTATTACTCGTGAAGGCTGGCTAATGAAGAAAGCAAGGTCGATACTGATAGTACAGCTGCTATGAGTCCGTTATATCTGTTGTTGCTGAGATTCCGTTTGCAGTTTCAAAATCTGATTGAGACGCAGTGCTTGTCCTGCTTGGACGCACAGTGGCCGGGGATGAAGATGTCGGTACTACTGCATCCGCTGCTGTTGCCTGCAATGGGTTTGACGCTGCTTCGTGAGATACCACCGGGGATTTGAGACCAGAAGAGGTCTGTACTTGGCCTTCTTCCTGTTGCTGTAATTGCTGTTGCTGCTGTTGGGCTAATGCCTGTGCTCTGGCCTGCGCTTGTGCGGCCGCCACTAACTGGGCTATTGGAGAGTGTGCAGTAGAGGTATCTCCTGCTGCAGAACTCGAAGTTATCGTAGGGGTACTCGTAGCATTAGATGGTGACGATGAGGCCGCAGCGCTGGGTAAGGCAGATAGTAGTGACGATGGTTCAGATAAAGAAAGGGTGCCTGCAACAGATGCTGCCGAGATGGGTATAAACGATGTTGGACTAGAAGGTGCTGTCGACGCGGTCGCTGAAGCGGATGATGCTGCAGATGAGGAGGCTGCCGGGCGGGCGGCAGTTGTAGCTGTGGCCACGGCTTGAAGATTGGAGAGCAGCTGAGCAGAGACGGCTGATGACACTAAGGTCTGGGGACTGCTGGCAGCCGATATTATTGTCGTTTGCTGTGATTGCGCTGAGACTTGTGCCTGAGCCTGCGCACGTGCCTGCGCTTGAGCTTGCTGTTGCTGCTGTAAAAGGAGCTGCTGCTGTTGTACATGGGCTGCCAGCGCCCTTGCTGTCGCAGGCAACGATGCCGCTAGCCCTCCTGGAATGCCGCTTGCATTTGCTGCTGCAATCAAGGCGGATGCCAGTGCGGCTTGATTTCCTTCCTTTGCTGCAGCCGTTATTGTTTGAGTGAGTGCAGCTAGGTTCAGCGCCGACAGCCCAGGAGCCTCCTGGAGTGGGTTAGCGAGGTTCATGGGAGATACACCGACTACAGGATTTGACGTCTGAGGCGATGGTATTTGTTGTGTAGTTAGGGCTTGTGATTGCTGTTGTGATTGGTGGGAATCGCCTTCCAGACCCGTGTTGACGCGCTTCCTTGGTCTATCAGCCTGATCCATGGGTGATTCTGAATCAGATCTATTTCGTACCCCAGTGTTGGGCTTAGAAGACATGGCTCGCCGATTCCGCTTATACACTCCGTTTGCAAATTGGTTTTCGCAACTTTGATCAATTGTCCAGAATGCGCCCTTGCCTGGTTCACTATCAGACCGTGGTACTTTGACAAATGCCTTGTTTAACGACAAGTTATGACGAATCGAGTTCTGTATGGAGATAAGAGAGAATCAGTAAATTCGATAAAATGAAAATTAGCAGACTGTTTCATTGTGCTGCAAGAAAATGCTGTGCAGTCCACCTCAAGAACAAGCATTACCTGCCAGCCATTCTGTGCCAGCTGATAGTATGGATAGTTGTTTGTGATGTGCTGGTAGATTCCGTTCAGGGTCAGCTTTCTGGAAGGAGTCGAATTGATGGCCTGCGCAATAAGCGAGGCATACGAGAATGGTGGTTTGGTGTCCTTGGACGAGTACTCGGACACGTCAAATTGCTCCGTCGGCGTACCCAGTGCTTCCTTTGTGGCAGAAGTTGCAGCTGACCTGGCATCGCCACCATCGATGCTAAAATTCCCGCTATTCCGCTGAGGTATTCCTTGTTCATAAGTCGCGTCCTGAGTCGTATCGTCTGGCTCGATTTTTGGTAGCAAGAACGAAAAGGAAACCTCTCCAATCTGAATCTTAGTCCTGTTCTCCAGGGGAACTGTAACACCCTTCTCCACAAACTGATCGTTAACGAAGGCGCCGTTCTTGCCGAAAACCATCATCTCAAAGCGCTGGGTTGTGAAGTTATAAAAGAGACGCGCATGCTGGCGAGAGATGGCCTTGGTGGGGCCGAGATGGATGTCGACTTGGTCGGAAGAGCTGGCTTTCCGTCCAAATGTTACCTGCAGGGTTCTGAACCATATATATAACAGGCATGAAATAGACGCAGTTAGCTTAGTAGATACTCTACTCAGATCAACTCTGACCAAAACTAGCGGCTGTCCCTGCCCCAGGGTGACAGTAATCCACGTACAAAATCTGTGTCATGTTGCGCGCACCTTATATAGTAGCAAAAGGATTCGCCCTCCAATTTCGCGTAAGCCTGTACAGGTTCGCTTGACAATTCCCCATGGCTGGTGGCAGCTACGTTGGTGTCTGTTGCCTGTGGATATGCAACGTCGGAATACGATGCCGCTGTTGTAGTTGTTGCTGCTGTTAATATCTGGGAATGTGGTTGCTGTGTTTGCTGCAAGTGCTGGAGATGTGGTGTCTGAGCCTGAGTATTGAACTTTTCGGCCAGCAACTCTGCAACAAGGGTCGCTTCATCCATGGTCGCTGTGGTCCCGGTTCGCTCTCACTAAAATAGAGCCTTAATGGATGGCTGGACTGTAGCTCAGGAATGAAATGGTATAGACTGGTTAGATGATTTGCTTCTGCTACAAGGTTAGCCATTTACATGCTCTCCAGCAGGGAACAATGTATCGGAGATGATATTCCTACTAGTCTTCGTTGTATTTGAGCGCAGTAGGGATGGGACCAAGGTAAGAAGAACTGTTCCTGTGCCTGTGCAGATGATGTTCCTGAGAAAAAGCACTACCATATACCTTGGACTGATGAAAACCGGGAAGTAAATAATAGGCTGAAGATAGGGGAATGAACGTGCCGTGGATGCGGATAGAGGTTTCTAATGTCTAGTGTAAGCTTTTATGTCTATGGAGTGCTTGTGAGCGCCAAGTCGGGGTCGAGAGGGTAGAAATGCTTGGTCATGGTCAGGTCATGTCAAGCAGCCTTGGGCGAGGTTAATGTTTTTGAATGTGGCTTTTGGTCTCGAAATTACACGTCACAACCCCCACAATTTGCAACAGCTGAACGCGACCTGGACGCGTCCGCCAATCTATAGGCTACAATTTTGCCACTAAAATATGCAGCAGCACAGCGCATATTGCATGCTTACCATTATCTCATTATCACACAATGCTCAGATCAGAATACGCATACAAGGGGCTGGGATACTACATAGATTCGTATATGCACCTATCCAAAGCTGGACGAGCGATCCAAGTTGCGGGGTCTGCTGTGCTGCCTGTGTTGTTGTTGTTGTTGTTGTTCCCTTTCCTGACGCTTTGTGCAATCCAAACCATCTATCCTTGGCAAGTTTGATTTGTCTGTGCTCCCCATTCTACTAAACACAAAGCCAGATTGAGTTCATGGATGAATGGACCATGAAACTGCTAGTTACCAAGAGACATTGAGGCATGGAAGGATTGCACCCTTTTTTTCCAGAAAAAAAAGGAGAGTTTAGAGTTTCTAGCGATGGGCGGATGTATATAGTAGATATTCAGACGATATTCTTATGCGTCCTGCAGAGTGAAGGAGGAATGCACAGAGACACTTTTTTCACGAACCGTCTCCGGCTCCAGCTCCTGCAGTCAGAGTTTCAGGGTCGGGATGGATGGCGGTCGTTTACTTGACATGAATAGGTCCCGCTACTGCTAATCTAACAATGTGCATGCATGCCGCTTCGTGCATAGTGCACTGCTGTATAAATATGTGTGGGAGTGAGCGTGCGTGAGAGAGAGAGGGGGGGAGGAGAATGCATGTCAAAACGAGAAAGAAGGAAGAGTAAGAGGGACAATCCACCCATCCCCCTGGCCTCTCGACCCCCGTTCAACAGGGGTTATTTTGGTGTTATGCAAGCAAAGGTAAAATAAAATAAAAAAGAGCAATTCCGGTGCAGTGGGATGGATGCCATTGGACGGGTATCCCCATGGTCCGTGTTGGGTGTAGTACGATTCTCCACCAGTTACGTGGGTATTATGTGTTTCTTTGGCCGACTGGAACACGTCGAGTCGTCTTTCGAGGAGAGAAAGAGAGAGAGAGAGACACGAGCGGCCCAAAAGGGAGAGAGTGAGCGAGAGTGAGAGCGAGAGAGGCGAGAGAGAGAGGGAGACGATACACACGCACCCTTTTTTTTTCTTTTCTTTTCTCTTAGCCAATCCTCTCACACTCACACACTCACACACTCTCACTCTCTCACACTCTCACTTTCGCTCATCCACTCATTCTCACCCATCTCTTTCTCTCCCTCTCTTTCTCTCCCCTTCTTTCTCTCTTTCACTCCCTCGCTTTTTTCTTTTTCCTTTTGTTTCCCCTCAAGGATCTTTTCGCTGCCGATCAGATCCCTCTCCACCCACAACACCCAGTGTAAGTAACTCGCATGTTCATCCCACTCATTACATCGCATTACTCATCCCTCCAGCGTGCGATGCACATACGAAAGGAACGTCTTTCTCTTCTCTCGTTCTTCATCCATGCAAACAAAAAAGGATGAAGGGAAATGAGCACTTGTTGCTCAAACGGACCACAGACACACCATAACTGACTGACCTCTCTTCTTATTTTTTTTGCTCACACCTTCCCGCCCCGCCGTCCCTGCCGGCAGTCGTCCTTTTGGCCCTTTCTGAACCCTTTTCTGCTCTCATTTTATTCCAAAAGACGCGACTCTTTTTGTCTCTTCCTCTCCCTTCCCCTCCCCTTCTCCCCTCCCCCGGCATTATTATCCAGCTGGGACGACAAAATAGAAGGATAAAAATACACGTACGCAACCGGCATCTCACACCTTCAGCAGCAACAGCAGCAACCCAACAAATTCATTTCATCACTTCCACCCAACCCCTCCGTCCGTCCTGAAAACGAGACCAATGTTTGCTCCCTCGACCTCATCTCAGTCACCTATCCACAGGTCGCTCCCCCAGGCATATGCAGAGATCTTGAATGACCTGAATCAAAAGGTCATCTCTGCTCAGCCCCAGGACGTCCTCCAGTTCTGTGCCAACTACTTCAACCAGAAGCTGGAGGAGCAGCGCGTTCGATTCCTGGCTGCAGGTAAGAAGCGCGCACACCATACATTGCCACTAATTGTTTGGGCTTTGTTGTTTTCTGTAGTGGATTAAGTACGCGTTTTGCTATTTCGGACATATGGAAGAGCCGAGGGACTGAATCAGTTGTGTTGCAGAAAATCTCTCGTCCACAGAAAGATGTAAAAGAGATTTTGAGAGAAAGAAAAAAAAAAAGAGAGCTGCAAGCAAACTGGAGATGGAGCGCGAGCAAAAAGCTGCACATCCAGATGATGGGAAACGTATCGTGTGCCCATTCAGACCATTTTTCAAAATAAAATCGCATATTGGGATATGTGCTTCGGCAGTTGTCTTCTGTCGCCAATTGCTAAACTAAAAAAAAAAAAAAGGCAGCGGCCAGCCATTAGTTTGGACGGATGGGAATACAAAAGAGGAGGGAAAAAGAAAGAAGGAAGGAAAGACGAAAAAGGGTCAAGCCCCGTACCATTGGATGGGGCGCGTGGACTTCTGTTGGACGAATGAGCGTCTCTTTCTTGTCTATCTATGCTTTGGTATTGACTAGCGCACCCTCTCCTGAATCCTTCGCTCCTTAGCTCGAGCTGCACCACAACAAAATCGGGAAGTTCCTCAATTCCTTCCCGCTGTGGTGCCGCCGACTCTCTCGGTCTCTTCCCCGAAGCTTGGCAATGCCACCACCCCTGTAGCATCCAGTCCCGATCATTCGATGGAGAGCGAGAGCGAAAGCGAAGGCAACAGCGATAGCGATGACGAGGACGGAGACGGCCCCAGTCCTTTGATGACAATTCCCCCTAACTACATGCTTGGGCGTCGCACTTCTGTAAGTGCAGAGAGCATGGTTCCCAGCCATCAGAACTATGTCAAGACAGTCATCCCAAAGACAGAGGAGCAGCGCAGGAGAATTGAAGCATCAATCTCCAACAACTTCCTGTTCAAGAACCTGGATGAGGATCAGCACGAGGATGTCGTGAACGCTATGACAGAGAAACGCTTCCAGCGCAACGACAACGTGATCGAGCAGGGCGCCGTCGGTGACTTTTTCTATGTGGTCGAAACAGGAACGCTGGACGTCTTTGTGGCAAAAAATGGCAACCCTGCTGAAAAAGTTTTCGAGTACGGACCAGGAGGCAGTTTTGGAGAGCTCGCGCTCATGTATAACGGACCTCGCGCTGCTACCGTTACTGCAACGTCGGATGTGGTTCTTTGGGCTCTTGATCGCATCACATTCCGCCGGATCCTAATGGAGAACACATCGAGAAAGAGGCGCATGTACGAGGCCTTTTTGGAGACCGTCCCGCTGCTCATGTCCTTGGAACCGTATGAACGCCACAAGATCGCAGATGCACTGGAGTCAGTCTATTTTGATGACGGACAGGTTGTCGTTAAGCAGGGCGATCAAGGAGACAATTTCTTCATTATCGAATCCGGAGAGGCTACAGTCACAAAGTGCAACGATGAAGGTGTTGAGTACGCCATGCCAGGACTCGGACCTGGCCAGTACTTTGGAGGTAGACTATTCATTTCTCATCTCTTTTCATGTATCGCATCATATTTTTGTATTGTCTTGAGCATAATGTGGAACTCTTGACTGATGTGTATCATTTTGTGCCTATGTAGAATTGGCGCTACTCAACAATATGCCACGCGCGGCGACTGTGAGGGCAAAAGGCAGGCTAAAGTGCGCGACTTTGGGCAAGAGGGCCTTTGTGCGCCTGTTAGGGCCGGTGGTCGAGATTATCAAACGTAACAGCGACAACTATCAAACGATTGAGCAGCAAATCCAGCAGCAACAGCTGCTTCAGGATCAGCAAGCGGCGGTCGAAGCTGCATCGTCGGATGCAGCGTTCATCCCACCTCAGGATCAAGTCAACCACCATTAATACTACAGCAAAGGAGAAGGTCTTTGCGGTGACATGACCTCGTTTTTCTTTTTGTTATTTATCCCGCTCAACCTTTCTGTTTTCTCTTTGTCTTTTCTGTTGTCTGGGTAGCCCCAGGAGGACAAATACACAGGGGTGTCTTTTCTTTCCCGCTTGCTCGTAAGATACATTCACCACACACTTTTTTTTTTTTCTTATTTTGTTCACATTACAGTCTCGTACATAAAAAGAACAACAACACTGCTTAAACGAGTGCAACTTTATGAAAGCTCCAGGGGGATTTTTGGATACATTTACAATATTTTACATGTCAATGGAGGGGAAAGGGTTTCTAGATTATATGTACAGTGGTAGGGATGTGCTTTTTACAATCCATGCATCTTCAGGGCCTTGGAAACCAGCTTGAGGTTTTCTTTGGCCCTGAGTCGCCACGGAGCGTGATCACGGTCAGAATCGTCTTGCGAGAGCATGGACGCGGAAGACGATGATGACGTTGATAGTGAGACTCTGCCTGAGACACTCTCGAGAAACAAAGGATAGCTGGAGCTCTTCATGAGATCTGTTACAGCATTCCGGGCATCACCTAGGACTTGAGGGTTATAATCTCCCACAGTAACCGCCTTGAGCAGTCTGGATCGAATAGAATCTGATAGGTTCAGCTCATATGGGCTATCTGGAAGGATAAAGGTCTCGAGGATGACCAGCATATCGCCTTGAAGGTCCGAAAAGAGACGGGTTTGTGCCGGTGTTAAGAACGGGAGTGAGCTTTGGTGCAGGTTGAACTCTGGGCTTGTCTGCCGAACCGATTGCTCTAATGCTTGGGCACAGAACTGAGCACGAAATAAAGGGAGTAAGAAGTCGGGACTCAACGGTAGGTGGTATTGGGTACAGAGCCGGAATGAGGAAAGGTTATTTCTGTACCTTGTATTGACGTGAAGCGAGCCAGAAGGCAAGGTTCTCGTAACAAAACTGGGCTTGCAAAAAGTTGGCGAAGCGTTCAAGGCTGTAGGGTTCACCTGCTTGATCCATCAGGATCTCATGCAGCGGTGGACTATACCTGCCAGCGGCAGAAGCAGAAGGGGAGGGTGGTCTTAATGTCTCGTCATCCGACCGCTCCTCTGATGCGGAGGTGGGGACAGATCGGGGACGCTGTTGCTTGAAGTGTGAAAAGGGGTGGAGCAGCGGAAGTGGGCTGGAAGCGATGGTCGTGTGCCGGTGCATAGCAGGCCCCTGTGATGCTGTAGCTGTGGATGACGAAACGGCGGCAGACATTTTGAAGGAGATGGTGCAGGGAAGTGCAGGGGTTGCAGGGATGCGGATCAGATTCAGGGTACAAAATGTGAGAAAACAAGAAAGGAAGAGGAGATCGTTCCAAAAGGGTCTGCAGTTATATAACCCCCCCCCCATTATACTGGTTTGAGCTGGGTTGCTTCCTATCATAGCGCGTGTCCATAGCATGCTCGCCGGGTGCGGTGGTGAAACGTTGTTACTGAGTGCGAAATCGAGTGCTCACAAGCGCCATTTCTTTAAGCGACCTAATCAAAGCCCGCATGTGTAATGGTGCCATATTGAGCCACAACCAGGCAATTCTGCACATGCAGCACTGCATTCCTTCCTTCTCTTTCATAATCGCGCATGTAGAGCAGGTTAAAGAGATATATTTATAGTGGTACATGTATAGAATCATTGGTGTGAAAATGATCCTTCTTAGACATTTAAAGAAAACGTGCCCAAATCCTTCTTTTTCTATCACCCATCTGGTAGGCCCTGAAACGGCTCTTTCCTAGCAAGAACTATGTCACCCTGAGGTCCTTCTTCTTGAATACCACCATGTGCTACCTTTTCCCGGTTTCGGACGAAAAAAACAGTATGACAAAAGGTGTAACGGAGACACGATATCGGCCATGAGCCCATATCTTGTCTCACGCGTATGAGCCACGTTATTGCGCATATACGTTGCAATAGCATTGGCTACGGAACGAACCTGTTTGCCACTAGGACATGCAGGATACGTAGCAATATACTATGCATTCCGCCCATTTCCTGTTGTACAGCCGCATGCATGTCTGACATGCATGAATTTGTATGATGGTTCCTATTCCTGCTAACAAACTTTTTCTATTTGTTAACCTGAGGCAATTATTCGCGCCATACTGGAAACCAAAAGTCCCACAAGTAATCCTAATGACCTCATATCTTTTACAGATCCGATGCGTTTTCACCTCTGATTGTTGGTACCAAGTCGCAAGAAAAAGTCGAGTGGACAAAGGGGTACAGGAGACCAGACAGGCTGCGAATAAAGATTCTGTTGCTTTGAAAAGACGAGCGCCATGTTTAAGTCCTTGATGTCCGCCATCCCTGCTTATGTTTGCACAAGTTAGCTTCGCGCGTATACAAGGCAAAGCAATACTCTTTACTGATTATCCTCCCTGCCTATCCGTACACAGAACCATCCACCAGCGCTTCTGTAGATCTTTTCACAGCGGCTGCCTTTCCTCCTTTAACAAGACCCATCCGCTGCAGCATGAAGATCATCTCTATCATAGCCACTGTGCTCGCTGTCACCCTGACAACAGTTCAACGTGTCCCCTATACTTACCGCCGCTGTCATAGGAACCAACGTCGAATATGTGTTTAAGCGCGATCTCCAGACCTCTGTGGACTTATTCCAAGACTTTCGCCTTGACAAGCGTGGCCTTGTCAATGTTGCTACCAAGGATGGCGATGTCTAGGCCAAGATCCCCGTGAAAACCGATATCCACGATGTCTGCACCTTTGGCCATTAATGCAATTTCAATTCCATAGTTGACATATCCAGCATCATACAGGCAATCTATACTCTTGTTTAAGGCGACACGAAAGGGAGATTCGATGAATTGTCTTCACGTCTAGTAGTTTGAAATTCGCATCCAAATCCGCCCATTCAGATGTCTCCTGCCGGCGTAGACTCTAGATATGTCCTATACATCCGACTATAAACAATCCGAAGCGGATTGCTCTCCGCCTCGAGCCCTGCTTCATCACAACATAGCTGATCCAGATTCTTCTCCAGACCACTTTTCCTACGACCTCGAGAGGGGACAGTAAATTGGGTAGATTGGAGGCAGATTCTTTTTTTTTTTTTGAAAACAGGACTACCTAGGCGCTATCTACGTCATCGTAAATTCATCAACGCCCCCTGTAATCAGCACGCCGTACACACAAAATGCTAAAGTTCCATCTTTTTTTGCGATTAGTGGCGCTGGTTCCAACAATCGCCCCTTCGGCCATCTCTTGCCCTGGACTTCTTGACTCTATCCATGGGTATCTACCATCTGCCGTGACGGGGTGAAGACAGAGTGGTCGTTCCTGGTGCAATAGGTACTCTCGGGCAATGTTGGACATGTTTTCGACCGCCATCACATCTCTGTGACGATACCGTCCACAGTGGGGGTAGAAGAGTTCTCGAAGGGTGACTTGGGCCACAAACCAGTGGCAATCCGGACATTTCTTTGACGTATAAAATTCGTTGAGACCCACCACATTGTATCTGAGAGACCGAGCCTAAATAAAATAACAAAATATGTTATTCATTGGCACTCACTCCTCTGAAGACATTCCCGATGGTACATGGTGAAGAGTTTGCTTACCATTGGGACGAAATACGACAAAAATGAAGAGTGCAGAGATGACAGTCGACTGGAGCTTCCGAACTGACCGAGGCCTACACCGATCAACACAGGATTGTCATCCTTGCAGCGCTCACCGATGCTGCCACCAACAATCCGGAGTAGGCTGTTGGCAATAGCCTGGTACTCGATGTGCTTAGCTCGCTTCATATCCCAAGTGTGTTTGTTGAGCCGATTATTGTTACCATTATAAAAGTTCAACAGTCGGTCCTCGACTTGTTCAAGCATCTCAATGTAATTGGTGACGCTCGCCTCTGGACCTCGAATAGGAGGAAGACAGGACTCGATGTCCGCGATGGAGTTTGACTGACCCGCTGGAATCAACTGCTTCTCGTCCTCAAGCCACCGTCTGTATCGGAACACAGGCTGCATCACCGCTTTTTGGTCGACAGCAAGATTATGGTGGTGGGCTTTCGTGAGCTCTATGGCCTTCGTGAGCCCTATCATTGTTGGTGGCCTGGTGGTCGCTTGTTGTTCCAAAGTGAGTCTCTGCATAACATCCTGTGGTGTTGTTGTCGAGGAAGAGGTAGTAGAGAATGAGCCTTTGAAGGACGGAGGGGCTCCTTGTACTGGATCCTTGTCTTTGCCCGATTGTGGAAGATGTGCGTATGCTCCGACGACGAAAGCTTGTCCTGCATCAAGGGTGAGGATCTTGATATCTTTAGGATCGACACTAGGCCAAAGTCTCGCCACATCGTCTTTGGTTCGGATAAAGTTTCAAAAAAATCACTGGTACCGTGAGGTGTGGAAGTCAATCGAGGAGGTAGGCGATCGTCGGGCAACCGCTTGTATTTGACTGACAGAAGTTCCCTGACTTTGGAACACAGGAGCTGCATAGTGAATCCGTCAGTTCGTAAAGACCCCCTGAGAAAATATCCTTTGCGGGCATAGGTCTCCGGTCTGAACTCTGGATCGTTCAGCACCTGCAAGTGGATCTCGAGATCATCAAGGGATAACAACGATCGCAGCGCGGTGTCCAGCCTTGCCTCTCTGGCGACTGGTCAGATCTTCGGAATCGATATCGACGATGAGGTGCTTGATGAGAAAGCCTGGTTTTTTTCCTCCTATCCACTCCTCAACATCCTGCATGGATGTGCAGACGGTACCGACCAGCTCCTGAACCCGTGCCCTCAGTGCGCCTCCGCGGTTGAAAAAGAACATGGCTAGTTGTCGCTCCGTGAAACTGACAAAAGATTGCTTCGCCGTCGACATGGGGATGATCCTACGAGGGTTTGGACTCAATTTGTTGATCGCGAGGTAGTTTTCAATAGCAGATACCTCCTCCTGGATCTCCACGTTAACATCAGATCCCAGCAGCCCCTTCTTTTTTCTCTTCTGGAGCTATATTTGAGAAGATAAAAAATAATAAATGAGAGGCATGATAGGTATCGGTTTGATGTACATTAAGATGACCAGTAGTGCCCTCAACTCATACCTTATTATGCAGCTCACAGGTCCCATTACGGTATATTTTTTTGAGTTCGACCTTGAGCTGCAACGCCACCGATAGGAGTAACTCTGTTGGTGAGAAGGGAGTTGTCTCGTTGAGAGCGGCCCGAGGACGTGGTGGGGCGTACAGTCCGAGATCCTTGAGGCGATCAATGAAATCGTTGACCTTCTGACCGGTACCACTTTTTCGTGGGTAGTTCCCAGAGTAGAGGTATGACAGAAAGCTCTGGAGGAACAAGAACTGCTCAGAGCCTTTGCCATCCTTGGATTTCTGGTCCATGTCACCACCATCCTCATCGTCGTCCTCTGCAGCACAACCATCATCCAGCTTTTTCGCGTCCTTTATGGAGACTCGAGGGCAAAGAAAATTCATGAATCGATGATCGTTGGGACCCGGTCCATGCTTGTTTACATGCTCGACAAACTTTCCAATTACTCGTTGACCTTGTCGTCTGATCCTGGCAGCCTCGCGCACAGCGTTTCGGATACAGAGGGCAACTTCCTGTTGAACGGTACCGTCGTTTGGCAGAGCTCGTCTGAGGTTAGCGGATAGAGTACCGACGTTCAAAGTAGACGTTGGGTGCTGGTATTGTAATAACCGTGTAATAGCGAGCTTGCGGGTGGCTGCACTCGAATCGGACAACGTTTTGAGTTTGGTCTTGGGCTTGGGCTTGGGCTTGGACTCGTCGCTGGAGGGCTCAAGCTCGTCTTTTGCTTCAGGCTCCTTGTAAGGCTTGAACTTGTAGAGCTTCATCTTGAATGGGGGTGGGGGGTTTGTTGCCCCTGTCCTCGTCTTGAATGAGTAACGATGGCGATTTCGTGGGAATTGCGTTCTTGGAAGCGGCGGGCGACCGTTTGACTTCTGAGACGGTAATGTGTTCGGAGGGTTATCCTGCAGGTTCGGTGCAGGTTGTTCTGGTTGTGCTGAGGATGGTTGCGGTGATGGCAGCTGTGGTAAGCGCGACCCAAGGCCAGGCTTCAACATAGCTGGAGACTCAACTGACCTATATCGAATGGAAGAATGCGAGGAGCGGAGGCGGATGATCTGATCCTTGCGAGTACTATTGACTTCAAAACAATAAGTAAGGTGAGCTGTGAGACGATTGCCGATACCAAGTCCTAAATGCCGTGCGATATTGAACAGAAATATAGCATACCTTGGTTGCAGTTGTGCGCGAAAATCCATGTTCTCCTGGTACACGGCACAAAGATCCTTGAGTCGTTTGTAAAGCTCACTGTAGGATGAGACGTTGGACAAAGGACGAGGATCACTGACAGGCGTCTGTTGGAGATCAACAAAGACTCTGAGTGCAAGTTCAAGTGTTCTGTTGTCTGTGATTTTTAAAACGACCTTGGAGTCTTCCAAATATGCATTCACCGTCTGTCGCACATCTGCAAAAATAGGGTAAAAAAAAGTAGAAAAATATATATATTAGTTAAATGGCTCAGCCTCGCTCCTTAATACTTTGATCATTGATATTTACCTTGTTTCTTGATCGTCTTGATAATCGAAAAGTTGGTCGCCGGTCCAAGAGAGTAGATATTTTTTCCGTAGTCGTTGTTGGAGGCAACAGCGAGGGCCGTGAGTTGGATCCTAGACACACCGAGAACCTCACAGATATCCGAAATCTTATAAATCAGAATCAAGTTCTTTGAAATCGGGCGCCACAGGGTTGACACGGATGGGTACGCGAGCATATCGCTGTCCGCAGACACGACAATATCGTCAGATTTGCAATCTCGAGCGATCACAACATCAGCTTCCGTCTCGCATCGCTGAATGTTCCATCCCTCGTCCTGCATATACTTGACAAATGCATCACGGATGGGCAGGGACCAATAGAAGGAGGACGCAAGGCTGGTCCAGGCATCGGCAAAGTGTCGCTTACGGACCTTGAGGTTGTTATCGATCCGTCTTTGTAGTTCATCCACACTTTCTTTGCATCGCTTAGTGGTCTTCTCCCGAGCTTCTTGGCGGATCTGAGCAGTGAACCCCTTCTCCTCTGCCTGGACTCCGTCGACGTAGATAATGATGTTTTCCTTGGTCCCGAACCGCATGACATCCAGCTCTAGGATCGTATGGACCACCTCGATGGAGTTTCATGTATAAGCATTCCTGATGACTGAAATGCGAGAGAGAAGGTCGACTCTTCTGGTGGCGGCGCTCGAGGTTGTTGACGCGGCTGATGGGTAAAGTACAGAGGGTTGGTAACCCTTCTTACGAAGAAAGGCGTACCAGCCTTTAAGACCCATCACTTCCTGTACGTCGAGTGGTGCGATGAGAGAGCTGCTGTCGAATGTGTAGTGTTTAGCTGAAGTAATGTGATCGATTCAATGGAAAAGAGGTCGGATGTCGGGAATCTGCAAAGACAATGAGGTTATGAGGTTTAAAGTAAGGAAGGAAAACGAGTGATCAGTGCTGTAACGCGTGGGTTCATGTCAGAGTTTAACTCTGATTAGTATTGTCATGTGACGCTAGACGCGTCTAAGAAAGGATCAACGTCGCCCTCATCACAGAAAGCTCCATGATGCAAAGATGAGCAAAGGCAGCACCGAAACGTCTAGAACCATGGAGCCATGGATTACTAATCTGGGCCTTCATTCGTCTGATGTATATAAGGAAGGACAGACTATGTAGTTGGACCACAGTTCATATACTCACAACAGTCTAGCCAATAAACAATTGTCTTCACACATTCGTCTTTGTTCACTCACCTTGTTCACTCGTCTCCCCTCGTTTTCACCTCGTTGTTCCTCGCGCACCCACAAGTCTTACATATGACGTCCGTACAGACGAAGAATTCGCCATCATTGCTGCCTATCGCTGCAACTATTATGCTCAACATCAGGCGCCGTGCAAACATATGTGTTTAACCGCAAAGGTCTATAAGGGCATGGAGATTTTTATCAAGGAGAGCCTTACGAAGTTGACTACTTACAAGTACAGGCCGACCAGAATGATTTTGATCCTTCACCTGATTCAACACTTCCACCGTCTTTGGAGCAAACCTTTCCACCAGCAAACCTTCTTCTACTTCATAGACAAAGGGCAGAAAAGGCGGAACAGAAAAGAATAGCCAGAGAAAAAGATCAAGAGCAGGAGCTTCAGAATCTTGAGGCCGATCTGAAAAACATGATATCGGAGATCGTCATTGCCGCTGGCTCAACAAAGAAGAGGAAATGTACGCTCGAGTACTTCCAGACCACAATTGCAGGAGTAAGGAAGACCTTGCTTGAGGTGAAGGGCCTCAATACTGTCCAGGCGGGACAAAGATGTCAGTTAGCCGTTGTCAAACAGGCACAAGGAATTGAGTCTGATTGACGGTCAGAAGATTGCGTTCCAAAATAGGATGGTCCTTATTACCACCCTTAAAAAACTTATTTCCGTCCAAAAAGTCTGCCAGCCAATCAGGAGGTTTATGCCTGAAAAGTCCTGCTCCCTTTTTTTTAAGTGGCATGGCGACTACACGTGATTGATCCAGGATTTGTTTTTGTCCCGAAACGCGCTGCACCGGCCTCGCTCAGGATCGATTCGACACAGCTCAACTCCCCACTCACGCCATCATCACCTCGCATCACACAACTGTCATGTCCGCCCCAGAGGAAGTCATCTACCACGCCAAGTCCCCCCTTAAGGAGGGTTTCCAGGCCGGCGCCATCGGTGCCGGTGTCGGTGTTCTCGTCTCTGCTGCTCAGAACTCGATCGGAAGCCACTCACAAGGAGCCATCGGTGTTTTTTCACGAACTGGAGGCACCATCGGAATTTTTGGTAAAACTACAGAACCCTCGCCCCGGCTATTTTCTTAATGGAGCTCTTTTCATCCGCCTTCAACATTATTTTCCAGTCATCCGAGTCCGAAGCAAGGCGTATTACGTTGACGGAGACAGGAATCGCTACAGGAATCTATATCTTACATTGGGATATCTCGGAGGTGATATCCGAAGACCTGTTGCATACCCAGCCTAAATCCTTTTACCATCATGGATCAATTAACAGCTTCAGAAACGATACCACTCCTCGCAGTACTGATATATGCATCGTTATCTTGGCTGTTATCCTCGTTTCTCTCAGCTCAAGGAATATTGCTCGCTTCAGGACATTCCCCCTATCAAATCACAGCCATTATTTCGACGCAAATATCCTTTCGGACCCTCTAACTCTCTTCCGCGTTTTTTTTTCTCGATTACTTTCTTCGGCATTATTTTAATTAGCCGCTATGGCCGGTGTCTTTGCAGCGACCGACTCTGCTGTCGGAAACATCCGTGAGAAAAAGGACGCTTGGAACTCTATTGCTGCTGGATGTGCTGCAGGAATGGTCGCCGGTGGATTCCAGCGCAGCCCCCAGACCATGGTTTTTGGATGTGTGAGCATGGGCGCTATGATGGGCGCCTTTGATGTTAGCGGAAACTCTTTGAAGGTAAAGTATCTAGGACTGGAGTAATTGACTGAGATATCATCTACGATTCTTTTTTCGAAATGCTAAATGGCTGCTCTTTTTTAATTACAGGGCAAATACGCTGAGATAACCGAGCAGCAGAAGCATGAGCTGAGAGAAGCACAGGTGGACAGCAAGTAAAAGGAAGATAACACGCGAAGCAGGACTCTGCAGAGTACGCAAAAACGATGAACTCTTGGGTGCTATACACCATTGGAACGACTGAATGACAGATCACCACACATAGATAGAACGCAGAAAGGCCATTGAGTGGGGCGACATTAAAAGAACAAGAATACCAATGCTAAGTGTTCCCTTATACTACTGGACAGGACTCCGTCTGCTCCAAACCCACCATAGTGGGTCTCATACACGTGATAAGCGCCCATAGGATAGAAATGGTTGGCTTGCCGCCGAGTTGGCCTCCATCATTCTGACCATGTTTCCGCAAGATTGCGCCGAGCTGATCAAGGCTTTAGGCTCCTTTGACTATGCCTGTGCTAATAAGCACCTCATGAGAATTAGCAAGGTAGCTTGTTTTGCCCGAAATAATCAATAACGGAATGAGGAAAGTAACGGACCATTAAACCATGATGGCACGCCATAGGCACACCCGACGGCTGGGTCAATATGTTCAAGGGTTATCCAATGCGAGAGTCTATATAGCTCCATGCAATTTCTGAAACCGAAATTGTTCAGAAGAGAAGACGTAGGTACATTCCAATCCTGGTTATCTTTTGCTTGCAGCGATGTATGGTCGCAGCTGACTTGAACGCGACGTGGTCAAATATGTTTAGCATCTATACCAAATATACAGCGAGATTGCCGTGGATATCGATCGAGAACTTTTGGTTTACCGGGATACGAGCATTGGAAGCTATGGCTCTGCGGAAATGGACCTCTCCAAGGCAATTGTAGGAGCAGTACGGCACGGAGCATCAGGCCATAACTCTCCAGTCATGAACATGTCTGAAGTAAGCCAGCCCAGTATTCATCAGTACATCTCCCACAATCTCGCGGGTGGAGGGAGCACCAGCAGCAACAACAGTTCGAGAGTTCTCGATATTATACCCAACAACAGCAACCTCTCGCCAACTTATCACCAGCAGTATTATCAGGGAAGCAGCTCTAACGGACGTGAGGAACAGACCGCCGCCGATCATGTTGTGCTCTATACCATTCTCCGAGAACTATGCAGTCTTAGGATGATTCTGATCCGAACGTAAGAATAGTGGATTCACATTTTCATAGAAGGATCTGTTTCCCGTGAATTTTCATAAACTAACTTCTACTTTCTTGTGGGAATCGGTGGTTAGCTATCGGCTATTGTCATCATCGACCGTTGATATTGATGTGGACAATCTACTTATCGACGCAGAGCAAGCTCTCCAGACATTCGACTCAGCATCTCTCGAGATCCAAGTCTCGGTCCTTGGTGTTGGCATTGGGTACGAGATCCGAGTACTAAAGCACGGACTTGTCATGGATAAAGCCGTCTCTGAGTACGACATCCAAAAGTCCGTTACCAATTTGCACCTTGCCTGCGTTGCCCTCGCAGAATGGCGGCGGATATCTTCTGAGCAGGAATATGAAGACAAGTCTTACCATCGACCTGAGGAGACCTCATGGCGATACAGCATCTTTGCGAGTAGTTCAGAGGATAAGAACAAGTCGGCGGTCAAAGGGAAATTCAATTTGCATCCCAATCACCTACAGTGGCTGGGTCGATGGATCGCCAGCGAGAAGTGCAAGATGACGATCTACTTTATGAATGTTCTGCTGGAGAAGGAGCAGGCTATGGGGGGCGACGAGCGGAGCCTTTGGGCGAATATCGAACCAGACTTGCACGGAATGTATGTTATTTGATATGGCTGAAGATATCAGGGTGGAACTACGCGTGATGCAAACTGCGCGTGATGCATTTGGACTCAACATTGGCGTATGGCTACTTCGCTGTTCTCTGTGCTTTCTTATTATTAGGATCAGAACGTTCCGCAAGAAGGCTGGTCCGCATAGTGTTTCGTTTGTGTACGAGATATCTCGAGATGTCCGCTTCTCTGCCATGGGCTTTGTCAGTGCAAATGCGCCATACGAATCCCCGACTGGTCTTAACTCCTTTCCTTGCATTTACAGCTATCCACCGGTAATGTCTCCTTTACCCTTGTCGTCTCTTGTTCCTCACCGGAGCTAATGTCGCTGGTCTCCAATATCACTGACACTCCACCGTCTATTATCATAGGAACCTCCACGAGACCATTGGCCGAACATCATTTCAATCATGCAGGGTAGTGTCAATATCCTCCGCCATTTCCGAAGCCAGTACTTTTACGACCACAAGATCGGATGTACCTATTACATTGCGCGGATCGATAAACATGTCTCTGTAGTTATAATCTACCTCGACAAACACACTCAGCCCGATGCAGGCGCCATGGACTTTCTGCAGCTCTTGGCCGGCAAATTACGACATACTGAAGTCCTATCTGCGTTGCGACTAGAGTAAAAGTAACACTTTACATGCATTTTGCCTCATTTGCTTGCTGAAGTTGTGCTTGTTAAAGCCGCATCGCGCTGTATATTTATTATGTGAGCAGATGTGTATGTATTTATAAGAGGTGTAAGCACAAAATGAAAGGCGCTTAAGGTTGAATCCATGGCGAGACATAGGAGAATCCTTGGAAAAAGCCCTGCTCGACATGATTGAGCTGGTAATCAGATGGAGTCTCACTGGGACTCTCTCTCGTAAACTCGGGGTCAAAGTTGGAGACATCCTTGGCAGATGTCACCTTGGGCAGGAACGGCGGTGGGATGCGCTTGTGGTACACATCGTCAAAGTTCACGTCGCGGAAGTACGCGTGGGCCTTGATTTCCTCCGCATCTCCGGGTCCTGCGCCCAGACGAAGATGAGGCACCTTCATAAGCAACTTTGTAAACGATCCGAAGAGAAAAGCGGATCAATGGTTAGTTTTTGTTCTCATAAGACTGATTCGAAAGATTCATATTGCGAGGACACATGTCCCTTACCGATTGAAGAAGTGCCTGCTCGTTGCGACCAAAGCCTTGGGGGAAAATGGGCTCGTCATCCATGATCGAGTCGTAAATGTCGTCCTCTTCCTCTCCAGAGAAGGGAGCACGACCGAGCAGCATCTCGTACATGAGGACACCAAATGTCCACCAGTCAATCGAGCGGTCATAGGGCTGCTCTTCGATAATCTCTGGGGCCATAAACTCTGGTGTACCACAGATCGTCCTGGTGGTCGTTCCATGGGGCATATTTTCCTTACAGAGGCCATAATCGGCGATCTTGACATGGCCATCAAGAGTCAGTAGGATGTTATCCAACTTCAAATCGCTGCAGTATGAAGAAAAACACAATAGGACGTATTAGGGATAATATTGATAAGAGCGCGCACGATGTCAAAATCTAAACTTCAATGCTTTCCATGCCTCGATGGCCTTACCGATAGACAATGTCGTTCTGGTGAAAGTATTGCAAAGCCAGCAGCACCTCGCATCCGTAGAACTTTGCTCGTCGCTCGCCAAATCGTCGGTCACGCTGAATATGCATCATCAGATCGCCTCCTCTGACATACTCCATAACAAAGTATAGACGAGTGTTAGTCTGGAAGCAAGAGTGCAGGGTCGTCAAAAAGGGGTGACGCTCCTTGTTCGCCACCTGAAAGATTCGCTTTTCAGATTTTGCACTATGATGAGATCGTAGCAAGGGTTACAAATTGTTAAACAGATTGAAAGGCGAGATTGCAGATGTAGATAGACAAACATAGCAATATTTGATATCCGTACCTTTCGACTTCATCATGCTGCACAATAGAATCCTTCTTCAACGCCTTAACAGCATAGAGCTCGCCACCCTTCTTGTCTTCAGCAAGCATGACCTTTCCAAAGTTTCCTCGACCCAGTACAGCCAGAAAGTGAAAATCGTTCAAGCCATACTTGCGCGAGGGCTGAGTCTGGGCAGATTGCTTGTTCACGATTTTCAAGGTCGGCATATGAGGCTTGGGCATGACCGGGAAAGGGCGCTGTTGTTGCTGTTGTTGTTGCTGATGTTGCTGCTGGTATTGCTGAGTGCGTTCCTGCTCCAAGCGTAACAGCTCCAGCCGCTGTTGCTCTCTGCGAAAAGGATCAACGTCTCGAATAGCGTCCGGTCGACTGGTCTGTACAGCTGTTTGCTCCTGCTTGTAGGCGTGCTCGGATTCTTGCTGCTGGTGCTGCAATTGCTGTTGATATGCCTGCTGTTGCTGCAGCATCTGTGCCTTCTGCTGCTGCTGATGCTGTCGCTTCTCCTCCGCCAGACGCTGATCCTCCTGCTCTTGTTGCTGTTGCAACTTCATTTGTTCCATTTGCTGCTGGAGGCGCTCCTGCTCAACATCAGGGGATTGCGCCTCGGTCGCAGCTGAAGGCGTCTGTTGCGGGCTGCGTTTGATATCTGGGGATGCTCTTTGATGTCTGCTACTTTGGTTGCGACGTCTGATCTCCTCCATCAGCTTGTTGGCCGTTTCTGCGGGCATACCACAGTGGTTCGGGACGAGGTCGCTGCATCCATCGTGCGCGAACACTGGGCACTCTATTACAAGAAATTGAAAGAGTCAATAGTCGGATCAGAATGAGTCGCGTAGAGATGACGCTGAAGTATTTTACAGGAACGTGTCCATGTCTGCTTACCAGTGCACATCTTGTGTCGGCGTCCAAAGGTCAACATATGACCGCAGTGATAGCACCAGTTCGGGGACAAGTTCGTGAACGTTTCGAAACGATGAGGAATGCGGTGGTTCAGCTTGGCTTCGTCGGGATCCTCAGCAGTGCTGGAGGAAATACACTTGATAAAAACCTTTTCCGCGCATTTCGTATGACATGTAAAGGCGCAATCTAAGATATCAAACAATAAAGAACGAGTAAAATGAATAACGTATAGCATAACGCACCGTTAACATGTCACCTGTTGAAGTAGGAGTTTACCTTCGCACTGTGATCCTTTCCCTGTGAACAGTTCGTTGCAGAGGGCACACATCATGATCTGGTAGAATTTTTGAGACATGAACTTGTGGCCTTGAACCTCCTGCACATCACCCTTGCGTTTGCGGACAGCTCCTTGACGGCCCAGTTTCGAGGGTCGCTTTCGTACAGCCACGTCCTTAACTAAGTTCATGTAGAACCATCATCAGTAAAGGGCCATTGAAAGATGCACGCAATTTCAATGGCTGGACTTGAGTTATCCATCATACCGAAACTAAATTTGATTCCAATCTGTCCAGCCGGCTCTAGGTCCCACCATGCATCCACACCATCCACAGCGTTGGAGGCAGGTTCACCAAAGGAAATCGAACGATGGCGGGAACCGGGACTTTTGACAGCTAGATCATGAACATCACCGGCTGCTCTGGCTGCGTCGTTATCGGCTTCGACTTTTCTTCTCCTCAGCTCTTCGACAAGATCAGAGATTTTGAGCCAGAACATGCCGATAGGCACCGCTGTGTGATCGGGCCTGTCATACACCGTGATCTCGATCTCGCTCGCTTTGCGGACAGGGATGTCAAAGTCTTCGTTCCATCGAATACCCATTGTTCCGTTACGGGCCATCCTCGTTTTTCCTTTCAAAGCACCGTCGATCTTGATCACAGCCATAGACTCTGCGGGTCGAGAATCGCGGGTTGGGGCATTGCTCTGATGCTTGATCCCAGCAATACGGACATGCAGAATACCGGTCATAGGGCGCCGGAGAGCCATTCCTGGAGACTCCATCGTATCGTCATCTAGAATACCAAAGCAGGGAGCCGTCAGTCTAAGGACTTCTTGCAAAACATGGATATCCTTCGAAAAAACCCTTTCTTACTTTGACTTGGGATGTAGAGCCCCTGATACTTTTGAAGAGCACGCTTCAAAAGAACGACCTTTTCGCTGCTCTCTTCGTTTCCATCTTTGGCATTCATCCCCAACTGCTCCAGTTTCTCCGATGCCAGCTTCAGTTTCTTCTCGACCTCCAGTTTGTATGCCAGTTCGTGCATTTTGTAAACGACCTTGTTCGTAGTGATTGTTCTGGAAGTCTTCAGCAGGTCTATGAGAATGTGATAAGCAGCGCCGTTAATCAGAAGGGCTATGTCAATTTACTGCACTTCAGCCCATTCCATTTATACACGTTTGAATATATTTGTTCCTCACGATCAAATGCAACTAACGAGAAGAGGATTGTTGAATGCTGCCAAAATTGCCACTTACCCACTGTCGACAATGGTCTATTTAACGAGGGGTCATCTGAAGAGCCAGGGTTGAAACTGGAGTTGGATGGTTGACGACTGTGGGACGACTGAATTGACTGACCTGATCCACCAGTATTCATGGGCGCGTTCATGGGCGCGTTCATGGGCCCCGGGCCGGGGCCGTCCAACATCCTCGAGAGCAGCTTGTTCATCTCGTTCTGGAAGTAGTCGATGCGTTGCTGGGTTTCTTCAATAGTGATATCGCTCGAAGCCTTGGCCGCCTCACTCTCCTGAATCTTGCGGATATTGCGGGTGGCATTGAGGATTTCGTTCTCCCTCTCGAGCCTTCGGCGGAGATCCTCCAGCTTTTGCTCGTCATTCATTCTTGCAAACTAAGGGTGGAAATGACCAGCCGGGAGTAAAGTGTGAAGTGGAATTGGTTGTTGGTGTAAGGCAGGGGTAGAGAGGAAAAAAAAAAGAAAAACAACAACAAAAGCTCTAGAGCAGCTCCTCGCTTTGACGGGGGATTCTCATCTGTGCCTGGTTCCTGAACTCGCCTTTTTTTTAAAAGGCCTATTCTTCAGCAATCGAGTTGTGGCCTCGAGGAGGTTCGATGGCGTGGACGCTGGCTCGTGTTGATGGTTATGCAAAGGATGCGTGCAGCTGTGGATTTGACTGGAGGGCGATGGAGGTTGGTGGTAAACAGGCAAAAGGAGAAACTTTTCTACTTGTTTTGTGCTCAAAGGAAAAGCGGGAAAAATGTTTCTTGTGTCTGGGTTGTTCCTTTTAGTTGACCTTTTGTGTTCCTCATCAACATTGTCTCTTGTACTTAGTTGGTCGATATCTCGAGAGAACGGCGTATCGACTCATACCGCAATGGCACTAAGATCGAGTAAGCACGCGCTGAATCAAAGTTATGGCATGGTGTTAACGGATTCTCTGCTCGTGCCCAAGGCAACAGCACGGACTCGCCTAAAACGGACCATTGAGATGTATGTTTACCGAGATGAAGTGCTATCCTCAATTGCACACACAATAAACTGAGAGGAGTGCACACACAAATTACTATACTCATTGAGGTCGCTCTTGCCAAGATCAGTATTTTAGGGTATCTAGTCGCCATATCCATCGTTGGCCCAGGTCTGAAGAGTTTAGTTTTGTAGATGATGTATAGTACAATTGGAATGATAGGGGGCATGATGAGTGCTGCTACAAACTCTGAACGACTTCTTCGCTGATATAGCGATCCAGAATAGCCTGCTTCCTCCTCTTCACCAAGTACTCCTCGACCTCCTTCTGTGAAGGAACATACAACTTGCCCAGAGGCTGGGTATTTTCACCCTGGCCATCCACGTCCATGCCATCCTCTTCCTCCGCGTTTGCTTTCTCTAGCGCTTTCACCATTGCTAATATTCGATAAGGAATATAGATAAATGGTCAGTACTTCAATACGATGACTCGGTCATAAGTTAATTGTAAGAAATTTGTTCTTAGTCGTACCCAACTCCTCTTGTTCTTCTTCAAATTCTAGAAGCGTTCCATCCTCTTCATCCCTGTATCCGTAATAATCCGCATCAATATAGCGGTATAATTCAGCTCTGGTCTTCTCCTTCAGCGTCAGCGCTACATGTGAAAGAAGAGTCGTCCCTGCGTCAGTCCTCATGTCATAAATGCGCACTGATACCACCATGATACCAATTGAGATCTGATAAAAAGACGCTTACCTTGTGGTTGGAACAGTTCCTTGACTCCCGGCAGGTCTTTGGCGCGCCCAAAATACTTATATCCACGTGCACCTGGGACCTCCTTGCCTTGAGCATCTAGCGTTTTTGGTCCCGTTATCTGCGATGAGATGAATGCAAAAGCACGCAATCAGTAATCCAGATTCAAATGATTCTTTGACTTCTGATGGTACTCTCAAGCAGTTTGCTTTGTCCTGTTACCCTATAATTCACGCCTCCGAGATCCTTAATTTGCTGCTCCCATCGATACTTTTCGCGCATCAGCTTGTTAATCTCGTCATTCAGGTCTCGGATTTGGTAATCAGACAGACCGGCTATTTTGACACGGGGCCAAAAAAAAAAGAAGCAAGGTGAGTACCAAGTCTCAAGATTTATACGCTGATCCATAACGACAATTCAACAAGGATTTTGGCGGCAAGACGACGGCATTGACACGTACAGTCCTGGATCTTGGATACTTTCTTTGAGATATCGCCAATGACATTGCGGCGCCATTTCTCTGCCTCAGCAAGGGAGCTCACTTCTGATATGCGGTAAGGTCTTCTTTCCAGCTTCTTTGATCCACCTAGCTCAGCATTCTTTGCCTCGCGAAAGCGATACAGCATAGATCTACATCGCCGTTCATTGGGAAAAAAATTCGATCAGTGAATCCAGTTCCAGAGAATGCGATCCTGCATCTTATAGTGTAGTCGAATAGGAGAACAGGCTTAAGGACATACTGTGCTTTCTCTTCATTTCTAGCCATGGTGTCAAGAGGAAAGGAAGGTGCTGATGGAGGTGAAGGATAGTACCCTATTTTATTAGCTGAATCGACGTCACCGAGATTTTTAGTTGAGAAACTACGTTTCCATGGGCGTTTCACCAGTGCAAACTGTACTTTACGATCTATCGCTTACACTACGATACTGAAGATTGACCGACTGATCCCTGTACGCTTGCCAATTGAAATAGCAAAATATCGAAGATCCGTGGTTCCAGAATAAAGATCCATGTTAGAGAGATCCAACGCAATTGTAACCCCAAACGCACTCATATCATGATCTCTGTGTTCAGCGCAGGTAGCTCATATGTGTAGGATCATAAAAACCAAGACCGATCTGGTTTGCGTGAGCCATATGAGGCCCAAGGCACGTTCTTCTCAAACACGAACGTCCAGAACGCGTCGCATTTTTTTGACTTTCGACGCGTCTTGCGCTACTTATATTCGATCAACGGTATCAATAGTCACTGTGGTTTTTAGGCGTCATGGATCTGGATGTGCAGCAGGCCTTATAGTTCACCGTACGGTGTATGCTCAAACAGACAGACGCACAATTGGCAGGAGACAGCTTGCTTGTGGCTTGGATCTGCTTTTGATTTCATTTTTGCGTCTTTCGCCTTTTGCCAACTCCTTCGTTCTTCCTCACCCATCTCATCTCGCTCGACTACACATTCACACTCACCCACACTCACTCACTCACCTCGCACTTCTCTTCTTTCGGTAGCTTCTATACAGACATCCAGTTTCTCGTCTACCCGACCTCGCCTCGACTCTGCACAAATCGTAAGCTGACCGACTGGAAACTTCAACGCGTCAACTTCAGGAAACAAACAGAGCACAGCAAGCAGGCAGACGAGATCAACTTGAAAACTCATCACCTCTTCCTTATTACGCAATGCTTTAGGCACACAACCTCATATACAGAATGGACAGAGAAGAGGTACTACTTGCTTGATCACATTATCTTTGACCCTCGCAACTCCACACCGGCTTCTCGGAAAAAGTGCTCTCCAATGGCACCACACCACGAATCGATGACTAACCTAAGTCCTATTTTACTGAATGATATAGGTTGTTGAACATGTCTCTGAAGACGAGACCATGCACAGCGTAAGCCAACATCTTGAGCTTATTGCACTCATACGTCAATTTCGCATAGTGTAGTTTGCCCTACTATGTCGTAAATCTAATGATTGTATTTCTCTGTTTTGGTGATTTGGTGTTACCTAGTCGGACGAGAGACCTGAGAAGTTGTCAAAAAAAGAACTCGATAAGATTCAGAAAGCAGAGCGAAAGGCCCAGCGCGAGCAGGATCGTGCCCTGATCCAGCAGCAGAAGGAGAACTTTGAGAGCGACATGGTGGAGATGGACAAAGCCAAGGTACGGTACCTGATCAGATCTCGCTGCATTGCACATGGCGAGTCAATTGCGCAGTGGACTGCTTAGCTGATCTGGAGTGTAATGTTCTCTGATATAGCTCGTGGACACTTCGAACCGAATCTCCTACCTCCTTGGCCAAACAGGTAAAGAGTATTCATTGAATTATGGTTATTTCATGTTCCGATCTGATTCTTGTCTAATCTAACCAGTTCATGATATTGCATTATCTTAGAGCTGTTCAAACATTTTATTGATTTGAAGAAGGCCAAGGATCCCGAGTTTGCAAAGTTGTTAAAGGAACGCGGCGAGGATGTGAAGGAGAAAGTCAAGGCGCCCAGGGGCTCTCGCATCGGTCGCAAAACGGAAAAGGAGGAAGATCAGGAGCTGTTGAACGACGAAGAGAACGAGAACGATGACAGTTCTTTCGTGTTTACTGAATCCCCTGCATGTAAAGTATCGGGCTCATTGTACATGTGTGCATTCCTAGTCAATCTGCTGAGTCTTTGTGTCCTTGAATTTGGCTGCTTACAGTACTTTTTCCTGACAATAGATATTAAGAACGGAGTTTTACGTGATTATCAAATCCAAGGACTTAATTGGATGGTATCATTGTACAAGAACGGCATCAACGGAATTTTGGCGGACGAGATGGTATGCTAAAGGCACTGAGTGACGGATAACCGTTCGATATACCGATAATGATATAGCGTTCCTAATCCTCTACAATACACTATTGGAATCTAGGGCTTGGGAAAGACTTTGCAGACGATCTCATTCCTAGGCTATTTAAAGCACATCCAAGGTGTTTCAGGCCCCCATCTTGTCATTGTACCAAAGTCAACCCTTCACAACTGGGAGAACGAGTTCCACAAATGGCTCCCGGATTTGAATGTTTTTATGCTCCATGCTAACAAGGAAGAGCGCGTAAGCAATACGAACGAGATCAAGGACAAAGTAGCCAAGAAAGAGGGATAGCAGCTCACCTAGTTATATTCTGTTTTATTCATAGGCGGCAATGATTCAATCGCGTCTTTTGACTCAGAAGTTCGACGTGTGCTTGACTTCGTACGACATCTGTCTGCTGGAGAAGACTCACCTCAAGAAGTTTGCCTGGCAGTACATTGTTATTGACGAGGCTCATCGTATCAAAAACGAAAACTCCCAGCTTTCACAGATCATCCGCACCTTTAACTCCAAGAACCGACTCTTGATCACAGGAACGCCCCTTCAGAACAATCTGCATGAACTCTGGGCTCTTCTTAATTTCTTGCTACCGGATGTTTTCAGCTCCTCAGAGGACTTTGATGCGTGGTTCGAGAATCAGGGCGGAGATCAGGACAAGGTTGTTCAACAGCTACACAAGGTGCTACGCCCTTTCTTGTTGCGTCGCATCAAGTCAGACGTGGAGAAGAGTTTACTGCCCAAGAAGGAGATCAACCTGTATGTTGGGTTGACGCCCATGCAACGCAAGTGGTACCAGCGCATTCTAGAGAAGGATATCGATGCTGTCAATGGAGCGGGCGCCAACAAGCGTGAGGGAAAGACCAGGCTGTTGAACATTGTGATGCAGCTCCGTAAATGTTGTAATCACCCCTACTTGTTCGATGGTGCAGAACCTGGCCCACCTTACACTACCGACCAACACATTATCGACAATGCAGGAAAAATGGTCGTTTTGGACAAGCTGCTGAAGCGCATGAAGGAGCAGGGATCGCGTGTGCTGTTGTTCAGTCAAATGAGTCGTGTTCTCGACATCCTGGAGGATTATTGTGTTTTCCGTGGATATGGTGAGCACCTGGATCCTCATATAATGATGAGCACTGGTTTCATGAAAGCAGTTCCTGATAATTTATCAATATATCTATTTATTACCCATATATAGAGTACTGCCGTATCGATGGCCAAACTAACCACGAAGATCGAGTGAGCGCGATTGATGAATATAACAAACCTGATAGCTCAAAGTTCATCTTCTTGCTCACAACCAGAGCCGGAGGTCTTGGTATCAATCTGGTCACGGCTGATATCGTTGTCCTGTATGACAGCGATTGGAACCCTCAGGTGGATCTTCAGGCACAGGATCGAGCGCATCGTATCGGTCAAAAGAAGCAGGTCTACGTCTTCAGATTCGTGACAGAGGTAAGGCTACTTGATGTCAGCGGGCACATGAGTTGTAGTGGATCCACTCGAAGCAAGGAAGGCGATGTACTCACTCTGCTTCTCTCCTGTGATCTAGAATGGGATTGAGGAAAAGGTCTTGGAGCGTGCGGCACAAAAGCTGCGTTTGGATCAGCTAGTCATTCAACAAGGACGGATGGCACAGCAACAAAAGATCGCTAGCAAAGACGAACTATTGACGATGATCCAACATGGTGCAGCAGACGTGTTTAAAGCAGCTTCAGACAACTTCTCATACGATCCTGATATCGAGCAAATCCTTCGTCGTGGAGAAGAAAAGACGGCGGAGCTCAACCAAAAGTACTCCAATGTCGGAATTGAAGATTTGGCAAAGTTTACCAACGCCGAAGGAAGCGCATATGACTGGCAAGGAGAGGACTGGAGCAACAAGAGAAAGGCCGACGGCAGTCTTCTCTGGATTACGCCTGCAAAGAGAGAGCGCAAGGCCAACTATGCGGTCGATGACTATTACAGAGATGCTTTGCGTGTTGCACCAAAGGCGCCAACGAACAGGGCACCACGCCCTCCAAAAACACTCAATATCCAGGATTTCCAGTTCTATCCACAGCGTCTTCATGAGCTCCAGGAGAAGGAAGTCTTGTTTTATCGCAAATCGATTGGCTATCGTGTACCAAAGGCTGTCGGCGCTGAGGCGGCTAATATGACCGAACAGGAGCTCGAGGAGCAACAACATCGTGAGCAGGCGTTGATCGACACCGCAGAGCCTTTGACAGACGAGGAAGTGGCCGATAAGGAAGAACTCTTGCAAGAAGTAGGTTGCTCATCCACTGCCTTGCCTGTCCAGGGTCTGTAATTGCTGCGAATTGCATACTTATCTCATTTCTTTTGTTTTGGCGATAAATAGGGATTTGAGAACTGGAGCAAGCGCGATTTTATTTCATTCTACAAGGCCTGCGAGAAGTTTGGACGCAGCAATTTGTCGGAGATTGCTAATGAGATTGAAGGGAAGACGCCTGCGGAAGTCAAGGCCTACTCCAAGGTCTTCTGGAAGCGTTACACGGAGATTGCAGGTATGCAGAAAACTTGAACACTGTTCTCGAGTGTGTCGTTATGCGACAGGACTGGTCGCTAATACTCGCTCGTTATACATGATATAGATCATGAGCGCATCATCGCAGCTATTGAAAAGGGTGAAAGCAAGCTGCAGCGTCAGTCAGACATACAAGATCAACTCAGCGCAGTCATTCACCGTCATCGCGTGCCGCTGCAGCAGCTCAAGATTACTTACAATCAGACAAAGACCAAGAATTACACTGAAGAGGAGGATCGATTTTTGATTGTCATGCTGGAGCGCCTTGGATACGGTTCTGACGATGTATATGACAGGATCAGGGATGAAATTCGAAAGAGCCCACTCTTCCGTTTTGACTGGTTCTTGAAGAGCCGCACGCCTCTCGAACTTCAGCGGCGATGTGCTTACTTGATCAAGTGCCTGATCTCGGACGACAAGCTGGATGAGCCTGTCAAGGCTGTGGTATGTATACGCGTTCTTGTTCAATCTGATTTTGCTAGAATTATTTGGTGATCTAAACGTGATGTGCTAACATGCACCTATGCGTCCTTCATCTTTGGTTGATGTGTATAGAAGAAGGAAGACACACCGGTGAAGAAGACAAAGGGAGTAGCAACCCCGTCAAGCAGAGCCTCGCCGGCATCGTCTCTCAAGAACTCGCCAGCGACCTCAAGGAAGGCTTCTCCTGCCGTTTCCAGCAAGGCATCACCCGCAGCTAGTAAATCATCTCCGGCCAGCACGGGCTCACGCTCAAGTAGAAGAAGATAGTGGAGCAACTGGTCGCGGTCTATCACACAGGAATTGTTTTATTTGCTCAATAGATAATATTCTTTTACTACTAAAAAAAAAAGAAAAAAAAAGACTGAAAAACTTTACTCCTTCCCACAGTTCTTTCCTGTCTTCCAAATAGTTACCAGTCCATCATAATGCATCAATTAAACAGAAAACCACGAATATCGTGTGTGTGCCTTTTATTTGTGTTTATAGCATGTCGGCCATGGATTGAACATGAAGTTTTAACCGCATCCCATACTTCTCACGAACAGCGTCCCTGTATCTTTTGAAATGAGATTGCACGTTGGGTATCTGATCTGGTTGTGCGGCAAAGGCTGTTAGGAGCGTCGGCTGTGGTTCTGAGGGACTGTCATTTGCTATGTCGGCCACCTCTTCCTGATGCCAATATGAAACCTCTATCATCTGGTGCATCTCAGTTTCGCTCTCTGGTAATCGTCCTGGAAGATCCAGCATGATGGCTAAATCTGTTTCAGATATGACAGATTGCACTCCTGGGACTGTGTCTTCTCGGTCATAGTGCGATAATGGGCATAAAAGATTGATACCACGTTGGATCAGGTCCGATTGTGGATGAGAGCGAACGGTTTGGTCAGCCCAGACGAGGACACATCCTTGAAGTGGCATCTCTGGCGACCGCACGTTTTGTGTGATCATTTTACAGTGCAGTCCTAATGCGTGTTCCTCCTCCTGCATATCTTCATGTTGTTGCTGCAAGCTCTGTTGCTTATAAGCAGGGAGCTGCGTCCATTGGGATTGGAGGACATGACGGTACAGACTGAGGGTTAGATCTAGCGTCGGAAGTTGGATCAGGACACAAGGCTTTAGGCCGGCGAGAAGGAAGGCCAGCTCTCCGTAGTGCAGGGAGCACTCTTCAATGGTTGATGGATCACCAGGGTCTTCTGTAGCTGCTGCGGCACTAGTGAAGGAGTGGAGCCAGGTGCGCTCAGCGTCACGGTAACTGGTGTAGAGGTTCAGACGAGCGCTCATGTTGTTGCGTGCGGGTTAGTCGAGCGGAGATTTTGATTCTCTCGACAGAGCAGCGTTGTCCGCATGTCGAAAAGACCAGTGGATCAAAAGTTGTAGGCATTCATCAACAAGGCCCTTTACTATGAGGAACCTCGTTATTTGACCAAAAATTCGGCGTTCTGATTGGTCTGAAGACTGTGGCTGCCGATTGTATGTTTCGAGCGTCGTTATTGTTGATGTTGTTGTTTTGTCGACAAGCTTGGCCCTTTCATAGTCAAGAGGAGCGGGCCACTGCCCATTGCGGAGAAACTACAACACAGCGCTGGACATATTCGTGGCAGCGTTGTGGTCCCGGTCGCGCTCCCACTTGCACTCGTCGCAGATTACCGACCGGCCCCGGACTCTCATCCGAGAGTGGCACGAACAGCAAAAAATCGACGTCCGGAACTCTGGGACCTTGACCAACTCGATCACCACTGGTGACTTCTTGCTCCTTGCCAAGTCCTTGACGAGATCCCGAGTCTAGTAATGCCAGGGGAAGCCAAAATATTAGAATCATTCAATTGCCACTCGCTTCTCTTAGAAAAGTCTTCAATGCTTGCCTGTCGCATTAAGTTCCTGGTAAACTGGCTACCGCCGTGGCTCTGACCTTTCCAACCACGGAAATCACCATTACCTATCCCGATCACGAGTGGCGACTGCAGAAAGGCATTACGCTTGTCGTCCGGCAGAGTATTCAAATTCAGAAATCCTCGTTCGAAGAGAGATCTGGCGATCTTCTTCCGACGCCTCGTCAACGACTTGGATTTTAGGAGCGTTTTGCGCTCAATCTCCGGTCGCTTATTTACCTCGTCCATGAGTCGCAGATATGGTGCCCAATCGTATTCTTTTACATTCGGCAATCCATCGAAAAATGCCATGGAACCCTTGATATCGTCATCAAGATGGTGGAGCACATCCGCGAGATCCTTGTCTGATAGTTGCCGATCGGGGACATGCTTCCGCATCTGTAGGATCGCGGTTGTAGCCTTATCAAGGTCATGCCGCAGGGCCTCTCTATAGTCGCACTTGTCTTGCTTGAACCTAGCGCCGCCATAAAAGGATCGGAGAGTCGACGCCTTTTTTGCTACATTGACGAGATGGACCTTGACAGCAGACTCGTAGTCCTGCATCGCCTTTTCCACGGCCTTGGTAATCGGCGTTATTAGCCGCCCTCAGTTCTAAAAATCGTGCACGATGTTGTCTGCGATGTTGTTCTCGATGTTGTGTTAAGGGGAGGAGCGGACGCTGTTCGTGTAACATCGTCGGTTGACATCGTGGACTCGCCAAAAAGGACGATGTTTAGGGCAAAATCGTCGACATCAGGTTCTCACACCCTAGTCAAGCTCAACGTCCCACTGTTTTCGCTTCCTGTTCTTCATTCATCGCACACCCGTCGCCATCCCCGCAACCCATGTCGCAAGAGCAACGTACTGTTACCAATGAGGTTGACTCCAGTTCTCCTTCTTCCCCTCCCCTCACTCCCCGCCCACCTGAGTACGACGTTTTACCTGCGCCTACCATCAGCAGGGCAGAAGAATCTGACCCCGAGCAGGAAACTCCATTGACCCGCTCGAGCATTCGATCTCGTCGTCTCTATCATCAGAATGGAGCAACAAACCAAGACTTTTTTCGAATGAGCAGACGACCTCAACAACAGCAAAGTCGGCAGCAACTCTCTGACGATCCTGTTCGCGACGTTCTACATCATCAGTCCCAGCTACGGCAACCACCACAGTCACAACACCAACAGCCTCAACAACACCAGCAGCCTCAACAGCCTCAACAGTATCAACAGCATCAGCTGTACCCAAGGAACCAACAGTACCAAGAGCAACTGCATCGAAAGCAGCAGTTTTCTACTTTGGAGCTTCTTCGGCTGCAGGCCCTGAGTCAGGTAAATAAAACACGCGACACCTTTTCTCTTGTCAGACTGTAGCCTCGTTGCAGATGGTGACAAGCGTCTCTTTTCTAGCATTGCGATAATCCCTTGTTCCCCACCCATTCAGCGCCAGGCACACGCTATGGACCTTTGCAAACGACCGCTGCCTCCCTTGGTATTGCGTCAAACACGGGACCCCTGGATGTTTCTCAATTGACGTATCCTTCGCAGCCTCAAGACCATATGTCATCACCGGTCTCTGTTGCCTCATCACTACGTTCTCCTCTGCTTTCGGCAGCATTCCCTTCCCCGACTTTAACTGCCAGCAGCGTATCCTCCAATTCCCCCGCAGTCCCAAAAAAACTGCCTCGACGGCCTTCCGCGCCTACTCAGTCAGAGGCGAAGGGGAGGTCGAAAGGACATGTTTTCACAATGGATCAGGAGACGTATATCGCAGAGCTGCTTGCGGACCCAGAGACTTGGTCTTTTTTGGACGGTCCAAGTGACAGAAACAGCTACCACATGCCTAAGACCGAGGTTCGTGAAGGCATTGCTAAGAAGGTCAATCTCAAGTTTTCCACGGAGGAGAAGCCGGTAACCCTTGATGGCTTTCAGATCAAGAACAAGATCGATAACATGAAGAAAGTCTGGAAGAGGGCTAACCTGGCTCTCAACAAGACCGGCAATGGAGACCTGCCCAACAAGTCATTGAAGGAGAAGGTCATCCAAATTTGTCACTTCTACTACATCTTGGTCGAGGTCTGGTCTGCGTCTTGGTCCTTGAACCCAAGGGAGCCCTATCAGCTTACCGGCAACCTCAACCGACCTATTCCGGACGACAACGACATCACTAGCGACGAGAGCGACGGGCAAGGCACTGGAGCTGGACCGCCGGACTCTCCCAATAGACTCCCAGAAACCAGCGCTGTACGCGGACACCGGAGCTCAACGACACCGGCCAAGACATCCAACAAGCGTGGAAATGAAGGGTCGGATTACGTCGCCATGCTCAAGAACTTATCTGACATATCTGAAACAGCGCACGAGCTCAAACGACAGAAACTGGCTATCGAGGAGAGGGCAATCGAGGATAATCGCCGGTATCAAGAAGCGCAGATACGATTCATCGAGATGCAGACCTTGAAGCTGAAGTCCGAAATGGAGGCTGAAAGGATGAAGTTGGAGATCGAAAAAATTAAGGCAGCCGCAGAGATGAAGAGAGCAGAGGCGGAATTGGCGAAAGCGCAGTACACGGGAGTAACGCAACAGAGATCTTCACAAAGTCCACAGAGATGTAGTCCTAGCCCGCAGAGAAGTCCTGGCGGTGGAAGTTCATCCAAGTATCATCACTAAAGAACTGCTATATTTTTTATTACTCATCGTCTTCTTTGTAAAACTGCGGCCATGATAGTGATTCGTTTGTTTAATGCCTCCTCACGCATCTGTCTCTGTTGAGCAGGAGTCAACTCATCGTCGTTATCGTCGTCACTACCACCCTCGCTACCACTGTCATTTTCTGCAATCGTGCCCCTCGCCCTCCTTTCCTCGACCTCCTCTTGTATCCATCGCTCAGTCTCTTTTTCATACGGATTGTGAATCCCACTCGTCAAAAGAATATTGTGCAGGACAACGCAAGCCGCTACATGCCTACTTGCCTCAAAGACGCTCTGGTTGCTGTTGATATGGATTCTAAGGCAGCGGAGGGATTTGAATCGTCCTTTGAGTAGACCAAAGCCATGCTCCACTTTCGTCCGGGTTCCACTGAGTTTTTTGTTGAATTTGATCTTGTTGGGCGTGTGATATTCTCTAGGAGTTAACTTACTAATTAAACAATCGGACTGAAGTCAACGAGAACAAGAGAAGGTTTTATTGATGACAGGTACCAACAGGTCTTTTATAGTCCCTGTAGTTACTAGTCACAGAAGACTCGCTAATACGTCGTAGAAATAAAAATGGAGGTGCGACTCAGGCACATAGTGCCCAAGCCCCACACCAGGTTGGAACACCACAGGGCGTAAGAGCGCCTTTGAAGGCTGTCATGAGAGTAGGTGACAGCCCATACGCCGCATCACCGACCATGTATTCGTCTCCCTCGAAGTACCGGTTCTGGAAGCGATAGAGCTCGGTGTCCTTATACGCTGCGGAGTCATGTCTGCTCCCCGGGTATCCCGTGGAAAAGAAGATGAAAACTCCTCGATGATCACAGACGCCAGTCGCGCCCATTGCGAAGTTGCCTTTCCTTGTTGCCCAGCTGTTCTTGTCCATTGAAGGCACACGGTATAAAGGAAATAAGGTACCGTCAATGGCCCCAAGCAAGTCTTTGAAACCCTTTTTCGCGAAAACCGCCTTGATGATAGCCTTCGCCTCGACATCGGGCCAGGAAACGAATCTCGAGATATGGGCACAGAGTGCTTCGATGACCCGCTGGGAGTACTTGATGGCTGTCCCTTCAGTTACGCCCAATACTCGACCGATTGCTTTGTATGAAACCAATGATCCGTCGTGTGCTAAGCGATGAAGGCCAACTTTCAGCTGGATTGCGACATCCATCTGGGGCTTCTTCCCCTGACGTTGAAACACCGAGTGATCTCGAATGATCTCGAGCACGTACTCGAACTGCTCGGGAGATAACCGTAGAGCATCTTGGAAGAGGGTCCCATTGTCCGTGGTAAGGACTTTGTCCCGGTAGGTCGACGACTTGAAGATTGGTGTCCTTGGATTGAGGTATCTGTTGGTTTTAAAAAAATGCTTTGTGATGAACACTTTCAGGAACAGAGGAGTGATTGTAAACATCTCTTTCTGGGACGCGTCAAGGAATAGTTGGAATTCAAGGCGTGTCAATGCTTCAAGTATCAGTGCTCGCGGAGTCTTTCGGTGGCGAGAATAGTTGCGAAATGGAGGCATGGTGTAAAAAAAGTGCTAAGGAAAGCGAAGGGCAAATTTAAAAGAGTGGCATGGCTCTTTTGGCGATGTTGCTTGTAGAAGAAATGAGTGCACCACGATCAACCCGATTTTACTGTTACACCCAAATTCCTTAAAATGAGTGTCTATTTGGATGTGCTGAGGATGGGTGTGGTACATGACGCACAGACCACTTTTTCAAACGACCCCAAAAACCAAAAAAAAAAATCTGATGTTCTGTTTCGGTTATACTTTCAGCAAAGTGCCCTTTGATATGTTGCAGACAGGATAAGCAAGAAATAAGCACAGGATAAGCAAGAAATAAGCGATAAAGGCGGTTATCCGGTCTACTGTTATACTTTCTACCCCGCTCCTCATTGACCCTGCGTCTTTCATCCTTCCGTCGAGCTGGATCACGGAGCAGCGCTCATCCAAGCCCCATGAAGGAATACTCGTATTGGGATATTCTTCCTCCAGAGACTGTGTTGAACGTTTGCACGTTCTTGCCTACGCTGGATCTGCTCAACCTATGTGCAACATATCCAGCAATCGATCCACTGGTTACAAACACAGCAAGTCTCTGGCAATCCCTGCATCTGCCTTTCCCAGACCCGTTCCTCTACAGCTATCCAGGATGGCAAAGGCGCTGCCCCATCGATGATTTGACCTCTGTCCCAGGAGGAGGAAGTGGCAACAGTAGACATGAGCGTAGGACCAGCGCTAGTAGATCAACGCTTTTCCAGGACGGCCGGTACCGAACCTTGAGTGAGCCTGCGTACTACGATCTGCCCGACATTGAAGGAGGCGAGTTCGATAGTAATGAGAACAACACCGTCTGGATCATATTAGATGTCCTTGGTCAGATACCGCTGCAATTCGTCCAGCATCTGAGCTTCGATTGTCCGCCTTGCCAACTTTGTGTCTACCCGTGCAGGCAATTTTGCGTCTGTGAGTGTCATCAGAACGGACAGAAGCACGATCCTCGCAGCGGCACCACTCTTGACGAAGCCGGCGATAACACACAGCAGCGAGGATTTGCGCTGCTCTCGCAACCTCTGCAGGATCTGTTCGAATTGGGACTAGTGAACTTCAGCCGGCACATCGATCTACGCTCCTTGAACGGTACCCTCATGGGCAAGAACCTTGGCAGCCAATGCACGCATGAATAACCCTATGGAATCAACAACTTATCCTTCCCGTCCCTACTGCAGGAATTGCTAGGTTCGTTTGACTTGCCAGGAAGCAATATCATTAGTTCGGCAGCAAGTCTTCACAGTAACTTCTCTTCACTTAATGACTTCGGTCGCCAGGGTGCTCTGCAGCAATTGGATCACTTCGAAGGCGAGCAACTATTAGACCCCCAGTCATCACTCTCAAAAAGAGGCAGTACGTTTATGGTATTCTGCCGCCGTTCTGTTGCCGCTATCTCGCTGATCTTGAAGTCGTTGAGTTAAACAAAGGTACTCCGTGCTCAATCTACGTACTACACTAGAAGACAATGCAAGGGCCTCAGAAGAAGCGGAATTGCTCCCGCAGGAGAACATTCTCGAACAAGAACGCCGGCAGTCCGAAACTCGCGCCGCATATCAACGCGCCAGGATACTGATCCGCATCTTATCGCTGAATGGACTGGACACGCTTCAAACATTGCGCGCACCATGGCGGCCTGCGGCCAAGATATATGTCATCCGCCAACAACTTGAGCGATGGTCATTCATGTTTGAGTAATCACTTATAGATAAATCTGTTACTAGCTCCATCGGAAGGCGGCAAGACGAGCGGTGTTCCACGGCAACTGACGAGATTATTCAGGAGACATCTCCACTGGACGCCTATATCCCGTTATCATTCGTTCCATGGCGCGCTCGCTGGACTAACCGACTATCTGTGCAGCAGCTGCCTGCTTCCGACCCAGGGCCACAAGCAGCGCGGGAAGCAGTACTACCTCTGGACACAGGATCCTCTCAGCCAATCCATCAGCGGGGACACTTCACCACAGCGTTTCCCCTATCAGGCCTTTTGCGATCCATACTGCGGTCTGGTGGTGAGGTCGTCTCGCATGAGCGGCATAGCATAGGAGCGTCCGCCCTGGTACTCTCTGGGCGCTCATCTGCACTATCTTTACTCTCAGGCACACCATCAAAATCATCCACTCCATATCGAGCATTGTCAATGGCAGCAACGAATGGTATTACTTTGCACAAGCCAACCTTTCGATACTGTCATCAGTGTGGTTCACAATTTTTATGTGAGTGCGCAGGATCCGGTTCCAAATCAGTATCGGATCCAGGAGGGTGCTTCTGTAATACGTTCAACCCAATGTTTTCTTGACACAACGCTTGGATAATGAACTGAACTTTATATGTGAAGAGTGGAGAGTGAGGGGTGAGGAATGAAATAAAAACATTCACATTGATTTACAGATTGGAGACGACCGCAGAAGTGAAGTCGGTGGTGGTGCTAGAGCCGCCCATATCGGGCGTCTTGATGGCGCCGGTCAGGATGGTCTTAAAAACAGCGTTGGCGATCTTGTTGGCATGATCATCCAGGCCGAGGTGACGGAGCATCATAACGGACGAGAAAATCATTGCCGACGGGTTGGCAGTGTTGCGTCCCTGAATGTCCTTACCGACATGACGGCAGCCCTGTGTGATGCATGGCATACGACAGACAAGACAGATACTCGGTTAGGACACTACATCTATGTAATGATACTGAACATCATATCGACTGCAGTCAACAATCGCTTACGGGCTCGAACATGGCATACTCGCGACCAATGTTGGATCCAGGAACAATGCCGGGACCACCGACGAGGCCAGCACCGATGTTGGAGACAATATTTCCGTACAAGTTGGGCATGACCATGACATCGAACTGCTGGGGTTTCGAGACGAGCTGCATGGAAGCATTGTCGACAATCATATCATCAAACTTGATGCCTGAGCTGGCGTATTCCTTCGAGACCTCCCGGCAAGTGTCGAGGAAGAGACCATCGGCCAACTTCATGATGTTGGCCTTGTGGATGCAGGTAACCTTCTTGCGGTTGTTACGGAGAGCAAAGTCAAAGGCAAAGCGGGCGATGCGCTCAGACTTGATGCGGGTGACGACCTTAAGCGACTCGACAACTCCGGGATAGGACTCGTGCTCGAGACCAGAGTACTCTCCCTCGGTATTCTCACGGATGATGACAAAGTCGACGCCTTCGTGACGAGTAGGATAGCCGGGGATGTTTTTGCAGAGAACCAAAGACGCGTACATGTCCAGGTCCTTGCGGATGGTGACATTGAAGGAGGAGTGGTCGAGGGAGGATACAGGGGTGTAGAGGATGCCTTTGAGACCGACCTTGTTACGTCTTAGGGACTCAACCGACTGCTGGAAGGTGTTATCGCCAGCGGAGGTATATCCAGACACATCGAACTGCTCCCAATCCACAGGCACGTTGGCGGCCTTGAAGATGGTCTTGACAGCCGCGGCAATCTCTTGACCGACACCATCACCAGGGATCAAGGTGACAGTGTAGCGGCCTCCGAGTTTCGAGCTGTGGATCTGCTATTATCTCGAGTTGACATCGAACGCAGGGCCATAGAAAGAGAGAGCGAGAGAGAGAGAATGAGCATCCTGCGTGTCGATTTCTGGCCGAGTACAGTCTCGGTCCACTGGTTCATTCTTTCCAGCAAACTTACATCCTGGGGCTGAGGGACGATGGTCGAGGTGCTCGTAGCACGGAGGCCCACCTAGTAGCGGCGGAGAGTAGAATACACCATGCGTTAATGAAGGCGATCCTAGGCTGCTCGCTTTGATCGCGCAACGTGTTATAAAAACATGGTAGCTGTCTAACCTTGCTAAAGGTAGCAGCCAAGGGCTCCGAGAGGGGGATGGAGTGCAACATGATCACAGCAGGAGTGGGGAGGATGTGGAGTGGGGAGGATGTAGAGTGGGGAGGTTGTGGAGTGGAGCGGAGTGAAGTGGAGTGAAGTTGAGTGGAGCGGAATCTTTCGCTGATCACCCTCAATTGAGTTGAACTCTTTTTCTTATCGCCGACCCCTCCACACTTCGCCGCAGACATCCGCATTCGGAACATACTCAACTCTGAACGGGGCAATTGACAGGCACTGGAAGCAGCTCATTACCAAATACAGCCTCCATCGTCCGCAGCCCTCTTTCCAGCCAAACATCTGTAGTGCACTTCAGTTATTGGGCTCGATACTCTGCACTCACATCTATCGCGTACCGTAGGTGCATGAAAATTAGGCACAAGGCGAGGATTCCAAAACAGGGAATGCCGCAAATCTAGGTTAGATCACGTGGCTACTATACTCAAAAGGACCAAAGTCACCAACCCAAACAATGCTTTTTTTTTTTTTGTTGCCTCGTTGTTTTCATTCACTCTCTCGACAGCGCAATAATGGAGGCCAAGATGCAGTTCAGGGACAAGAATGAGCTCGTCAAGGCTCTCTCGGACCTTAAGGAGGAGCCAATATACGTAGGCACGTTGCCAGTTCTGTCTTCACTTGCAGCAAAATATACGCCTCCCCAGCAAGAGCAGCCGAGGCGAAGTACGCTGACAATACCCTCAATCTTAACATAGGTCTGAAGCGCCTTCGACAGCAGCTGAACGTTCGACCCAACTCCAACGACCCTAGCGAAAGTGCTCAGGCCACCAAAACTCTCGGAGTTGTATATGCATATGTCGACGAGTCCCCAGAATGCACGGAGCTGTTAAATATCTGGGAATGGCAGCAACAACACGATGTCCGCAAGATCGAAGCCTTGCTTGTCGAGGTCCTTTCCAAACTCATTCACCAGCTCAATACAGCCCTTCACCGGACGCATGCCATCAAGCTGACCAGATCGATCTTGCAAAACCAGAGCCGTATGACAACCATCTATAAATATCTATCATCTGGTCGCCAAATCACGATTCAGGCTACTCTTCGGCTCTTGACCGCCATGAATCACGTTCATCATTCAACAACCAGGGAACTCAAGGACGGATTCAATTTTGGGCTGAAGGTTCTATCTAAACTTAAAAATCAACGGCGAAAGGAAGGCGAGGAGGCAACGAACAAAGCTGGTATGTTTGAGAGGCGCGATTTGGCAGCAGTTGAGAAGCAGCCATGGCTATCATTTTCAGTGTTAACATTTTGCTTGTCAATCAACTGCTGTAACTAGATACAAGGACGCTTTATATTCAGTTCCTATTGGCATTCTTCATTCGGGGCGACGCGGCTGTCAAGAAGGAAGTTTTAGAAATGCCGGACCTGTTCCAGTCAGCACTTAAGGATCTACATAACGACTCGTTTCCGCTCATCAAGCAGGTTCTTGAAGTTCTTATTAATAACATTGTCATGGACAATGACCTTTCCAGGAGCGTCAAGATCAGCTTTTTCAACACGTCGTTTTTGGTGAACCAATTGAGGCTGTACACAAGGACAGAACCGGTGCCGAACTCAGATCAGACAGCCGCACAACTGGTACATAGTTATATGATGGCGCTTTGCACAACCCCCGGCGTCGGCGTTTGTTTTCAGGATGCCGCATGGTACCCTCCCAGCACTCTGAAGTCAACAGCATTCGATGAGAGAATATCAGAGGAGGGCACGAAACACATTTTCAACAAGACGCTCTCACAGCTCCTCAACCACCTTCGCCCAACTGAGAACAACTTGCAGCAGGAGTTGACAGTTTCGATCCTAACAGCTTGTCCAGAGCTAGTTCGATTGTAAGCGCAGAATAATATGACGAAGACAATCTTGATCGGAGCAATTAATCAATTAACTAACGCGTCGACAATATGCTTTATGTAGGTTCTGGCAAAAGACGAGCGTACAAATGGAACCAAGATTGTCTGCAAGGTGGCTAGCGAACATGACCCTACTTCACAAGATCACAGAGATCCCCGTACCCAACCTATATCTCCAGCACACAGGACTCTTTGCATCACACCCACCGCCGGTATCGACCATCATCGAGAATATTCTTCCAAGTGCAATCAACAGGACAATTCTCAGCAAGGGTTTGCAGCACTCAAGTATGCTTGTCCGATACTTCACCATTGTCGAGCTGGCTGCAGCTTTTCAGAAAATGGAGCAAACAATCGCCGTCATGCAGTCTGCAGTAAAGTCCCTTGCAACAGATGAGGAGGTGCCAGCGACAAGCGACTCCATGGATATTAGCGAGGCACTCGCAGGCGCAAACGCATCGGATCCGCCGGCACAGCAGTGGGCAGGCGCTATCACGTTACTCTTGGCAGAACTTCGCCGTCGTGTGCCGGACATCCAGATCATTATCTCGCTCCACAATGGAATTCAGTCGACAACACTGAGCGAAATAGAGGGCGATGAAAAGACTCGACTTGACCTCTTCAACAATGGAGTGCTCCGCCTAATCAAGTACTACCAACAATTTCTGCCGCAGGCCGTGAGCGAGTCCAAGTTTGATATCGGAAAACTCATCCCTTCCGACTTTTCAGCAGTGCAGGCTGGAACGCTGATTCATTTGCTGGAGCTCCTTCTGGAATTAGCCGATTTCCGATGGTCCAACAAATCTTCCGATGGTTCCTCCTCTCATCTCTCGAAACTACTCATCCTATTTCTCACCAACGCCCACCCTCAAATTAGAACTCTTACAAGGCGCCTGGTTTCCAAACTTCTCGGCGAATCGATTCTGTTCCACCACAACCCCTCAGAGGCCAACCTTTGGATAGAGGCTATCCCTATTTCCAATTACGGCCGGTCAAACCTCGCAGCAGATCAGACGGCCTTCTTACAGTTCTTCGACGACTGCGTTGCTCGATGCTTAAGGACGCCCTACAAATACGTCGATCAGTCCTCCGCCATCTTGAAATCCCTGCAAGGTTCGACAGCCGTCGGTCCTGATGAAACAGACCGGATCACATGGAGCCTTGCAATCTCTCCGTACCAAGATTTCACTCAATCTTTCAGTCCTTTATTGATGACCGTTCTCGAACAGTTCCAGCATGTCTACGCCAAGGACGCCTCAAAGGATGCAGCTCGATCCATCGCAGGATTCCTTCACCGTCTTCTACCAGCATTGGTTCTCAGCCAGAATCGGACGCCAGCCTATGCCGTCAAATGCTTAGAGAAGATCCAGGAGCCATCAAGGCAAGAACTTGAAAAGGCACTGATGATGAGTACGCGGAAACGGAGACAGATTTCTCAACTCGGCGTCGTTGAGTACCTTACTATGGCACTCGAGTCCTTGCGGGGTGGAACCCATCGGAAGTTGAGCAACGGCATGGAGGCCGAAAAACTGGCAGACCGCCTTTGGCTGCAGCGACTGTCAGCAGATGACCACTCGATATTTGTAGCCGAACTGCATGAACAGAACGCAGCAAGCGTTTCCATCCATTTCAGGCAATTTGTGGAGTACACAATGAAGAGCATCGAGTTGACGGAGTGCCTCATCGATTATGTTCGGACAAGATACCCTTTTGCTGGCTCGATATACAGCTTTCCCGATGTATCCGCTTTCATGGGCGACACGAAGCAGCAGGATCATCTTGCGCAGGATCCCGTTTATGGAATGTTGCTCAAGCTGGGTTTCACATCCTTATTCGACAATGTTAGCTCATCGGTAGTATCGGATCCATTCGTTCTGAGTCTTTTAACGCAAGCAGCAAAGGAGGCGGAGCCTAGAAACTATACTCTCTTTGCAAACTTCATCATTCGTCGACTGGCTTGGTGGGTGAAGTCGGGTGATGCAGGAGAAGCCTCAATCAGCGCATGTTTTGCCTTGCTGACTTGTCTTCTGGAATCGAATCATTCGCGTGAAATTGACTTCGGAGGATTCAAGGATCGTCTCTGGGAGCAATTTATCCTACGTGAGCTGTATCTTTATCAGTTCCAGGACAGCGAAGCAAAGCCCAAATACATGGACACGATGGACTCACTAATTGCGGATCTTCTCGTCGCGAGCACGAAACCGGGAATTGCTATCACCGCCAGTAAAACTAACGTTGCCAGCCAGGCCACAGCCAGCCCGTTCGTCCGCAAGACTGTGGAGAGAGTCGTGTATGAGCTTGAGACCATGAAAAAGACTAGCAGAGGAGGCTTACACTCTAAGGTACTACATGTTAACGTGGTTCTTGTCATGTATCGATCGATCAATAGTCTTATCCCATTAATCCTATAATCTTATTAATAACCCTTTGACTTCACTTCTCATTATAGACCGTCAAGCTGTTCACGAAGCTGGCGTTCATGTGCCATGCCTCAGACCTGTCGATGCTTCTGCAGTCGCTTCTTAGTCTGCATAAGCAGGCGGCTTTTTCAACAACGGCCTCATTCAATGCGCTACTTTCCGCAATCTTGAAACAGCTGACACAACAAGGAGGTTCGGCCTCAGCAATTCCTGTGGAGTCAACAGCCGCACTACTGGATCTTTGGAAGGAGCAACCGTCGGATGAGCTGGACGCTATTGTGCTGGAAGTGATCTGCGGTCGTCTGTGGCTAAACGCCATGGCCAGAACGCTTCATCCAGTGGACCTTTCAACACCAGGCATCTTTGATCAAGCGGCTATCTCTTTGCATCGCTCCACACTGGAATCTCTGGATGATTCCCTTGTTGATTTCATTTTAAACAACTCTAATCCTCAGCGCAATCTGATCTTGGCAGCTCTAATGACATCGTCTGGCGTCTTCCGTCAACGGTTTGCGGAGGCTACCATGGTCATTGCTACGAAGGAGTCGGGAGCCTATCTGAATGACGCTGGTTACTTTACTCTGCTGCATGCATACTTGAACAGAGTGTCCTTCCCAGCGAGAGGACATTATGAATGGTCGGCTTCTGCATCTGAACAAGACCGTGCGTCTGTGAAGGCACTGCGACCCATCATGCTCCCAAGGCTTGTTCGATTCATCGCCACCACTCCTTCCAGTTCTCGCGAGTCTGTCATAGTGGCTCAATCAGCCGCCATCTTCATTTCTTTGACAACCGAGGCGAAAGACGAGGACGAGACAGCATCTGTTTGGACGCTGATTGAAAGCATTTCCCGCCTCGGAATGGACAGCATCATCCTTTTGAACGCGTTGCTCGATATCACCAAGGACCAAGGTGGCGAACAAGAATATTTGGAGAGACAGGACAGAGTTGCGGGGTGGTTTGAAGAAGCAGCCCGCCAGCTGATAGTCGTTTTGGACAAGCATGGAGATGCCGAATGGCTGGAGCCTATCTGCGATCGACTTTACGACTTGCTTGAGGAACATGTTGTTCAACGAACACGGAGCATCGATCAAAAGGTCCTATTTGAGCTCGTGTCATTCGCGATCGAAAAGGCACTCGACAACGTGGAGCTGATCCGGTTCGCGGCCTGTTTGGCAAAGTACTACTATGTAGAGGTAAAACATCAGGCACCATCGGTCGTTTTATTTCGAACATGATGTATTAGTGTTCATGACACTAACGGTCCTCCTCTCCTCTTTTTTTTTTTAAGACCACACAGAGCTCTGTCCTCTCCCAGATCCTGCAGACGCTGTTCAAGCACCGACAGTTCTCGTCCTTAACCATGGCTACTGCGCCCACAACTAAGCCTCCCGTGGCCGAAAATTTAAAGAGTCGTTTGGCGATCGTCCAGTTGATCTATACCCTCACCTGTCTCGAACCTGCGACATGTTGCAAGGCTGGATTTCTCCCGGCACTTCTGGCATCGTACTCGGCATCAACTTCTGCTGCAGACCAACTTGTTCTCTCCGTACTGAGAATAACGGAGGCTCAAACGGCGGGATCAATCTCAAATCGCGCTCCACTCTGGGGATCAGCAGCCGAGAACACAAGGGCCTCGAGCGCACTCTTCGGACAGGCGATGATCAATGAGAGCATCGATTTGATTGACCCGAACGTAATGATGATCTCTGTCATCCAGTTCCCCTTTGACCGTGCGCTGGAGTGCTCTGCGCCTTCGGTGACGAAGAGAGATTATCAAGAGGAAGCACTACAGCAGCGACAGACCCCGATTTACGATCCGTGCTTTATGCTTCCTCTTTTCGGGACCTACATGGCTTTCGGGAATCTGATGGATTGCCGTCGTTTGATCGAGTCTAATGGCCTGGGTATGATCGTCGTGGCCTTGTCATCAATTGACGACAACATGCGCCTTGCTGCGTATTCATTGTTGGACGACTTCTACATCATTCTGTCGAATACGACGATGCGGGAAAAGAATCAACTGCTGCTGCTGCTAGACTCTCTCAAGAACTCGATTGTGGACCGTGAGGATATGGTCTCAACTCCTAGAATCCCAGCGGTGATCACTACATTTGTCGCGCATGCTCTGTCCTACTTATTGAAACCCGACCATTTTATGTACCCACATGTGAACAAGTTCTGCCTCCAGCGCCCGACAATCGATCTGGAGGACATTCCAATGTTCTACAGCATGTTCAACTCTTCCTCAGAGCAACATCGCAAAGAGCGCGTCTGGATGCTCAGGTTACTGGCCACGTCGCTCAAGATTGCAGACGACTACAGGTTGTTTAAGCGTCGTCATGTTGTCGACCTTTTGATGGCGTTCTTCAACTCGCAACTGAGTGAGCCCCTGTCTAGGAAAATTGTCATTGAGGTAAGTAAGCAAGTAATATCTAGTTAAGGCTATCACAACAACGCACTTGATGCTAACATTCTTCTCCATGTTTGCCTGTCTATGAACACCAACCTAGATCCTGTTCAACGCGACATCGATTCCCAAGGTCTCGCTGCAGCTGATCACTCAAAGCGCCTTCCTAAGTTGGCTCCACACTTTGGCAGTCCTCAGTGGTATGAGCTATGAAAATGAGTTCTCTCTGGTTCCCGCGAGGCTTTTACTTCGCGTCATCCGGTCCTGCCCAAAGGAGAGCATTCGGTGGATGAATGATATTTGGAAGAACCAGGTCGCTGGCATTTCCGCCACTATGCTCCGTCAGCTGAGTATGTGCCTGCACCCATCCCAGGTGGTCTACTACATCTGCCTCAGACTATTACTAAAATGTTTTTTTTTGTATTGAACTGTATAGATACCATCAAAGTTACAACCACAAACCTCCCATGGGCCTTGACGTGCCTAGAGTCTATTCTCGAGGTATTCGCATTCTTGGAGTCAGTCAGTGTTCCTGATACTCGAACCCAGACCGAGGATGCGAGCATCAAAAAGAGCCAACTCTTCACCGCGTCTCACGCACAACTACTCCTGCAGTTCATGGCGACCTGCGAGCAAGTCATGGTCATTTCTGCAGACCACTGCCCTGTCAAGGTGCCTTCCGCACCGTCTTTTGAGAAATGCATGCCCAAAAGATCTGACCCGTTGGAAACATTGTACGCCATCGACCCCGTACCTGTCCATAGTCATAGCAGGGCTGTATGTCTAGCTTTCACGTTGATGGCAAAGCATCCCGACATAACTGCTGATCAGAAGGAAGCCGTTCTCTCGAGGGCGCTTTGCTATCGGATCGAAGAAGCCATCGAACTGGCACGTATGCGGGACATCTCGAAATAAGGATACAGCATCATGGCCCCAGAATACAGTCATAACCATAGATTTGCATTAAACCATTTGGCATTTTTAATTTTGGGAATGGCAGGGTGTTAAAGCCATCGTTTTGTCCTTGTAAAAGAGAGTGTCGAGTCTCTTAAAGATCCTCGTCGTCATCAATTGCAATCTCGTCTGGGTTAGCCGGTGCTGCCGGTTCCATCGATGCCGTGTTCTCTGCTCCCTCACCGTGCGTAACCTGCACGGAATGTGCTTTCGACTTAACAAAGGTCATCTCTCCAACACCGCCGGTGATCATGCGATCCAACGTCTGCATGGCGTCGCCAGAACCAGAACCAGACCCAGCCGCAGCCTTGATCTTCTCTTGCGTCTGGAGCATTTGAGCAGTGATATAGCTGACGTCCGTGTTGAATTTGACCTGGACACTGCGCTTGATGCGCAACATCTCCTTGAACGTGTCCTCGTTTCCGTGCTGGACCTCGAAATCGTGCCACGCCTGCCAGTAATCTGGCGCAATCTATTAACCAGATCGTGTAGTAAACAGATGTGTTGTTAGTTACTGGTAAATTGACCCATTTTGAAAAGAACATGATTACTTCCTCGTCTGCAACAATCCGACTTACTCTTGGGTCACAGAACTGACTTCCATGTGCAAAGATGCCTCTGGCACGATCGATTTCGCCCAGCTTTCGCTCCATATCTGCGAAGCGCATGCACATAACACGAGCATCCTTGTCCGGCAAGACCTCGATGGCGCGCTCGTAGATCTCACGAGTAGAGGTGACACCAAACATGGTTGCGGCCTTGGCAATGTAAAAGTGATACATGTCTGCGCGATCCTCTGCTGCGACAGCCTTAGTTGCCCTGTCGTAAATGCTCATCGCATGGCGAGCGAGTCCATGGGTCTCCTCCAGATTACCATACATGAGATATAAGGGTTTGGCGTACTTGGCTGGCACTTTTTCTAAAGCCTGCTCGAACAGATCCCTTGTGCGCTCAAGTTTTGTCCCGCCCTATGAGAAAGAATAACAGAAAATAGATGCGACTTTAGCCATGAGAATTGCATTTTGACCGAATATCGCCCAAATATCACTTTAACCTTAAAAAGGATCACTTACATATCGCTCGATGAACTTCAGCAGATAGGTATTCCAGAGTTCGAACGCAATTGGGTATCCAAAAAGATCGATGCCGCGCTCGTACACCTTGTAACTCTCCTCAAAGAACTTGTTCTCTTCCAGAAAATTGGCATAATTGACAATGATCTGAGGGTTGGCGATTTTGAGCTCCAGAATTTTATCATATACTGCCTTTGTGGATTCGACTGTGCCAATGGATTCTTCCAAGTCCACATAGAATGACCACAACCGTAATGATTTGTAAACGCGGATTTGAACGGGCAGGGTCTATGAGATACACAATGGTAGCAGAAACCGGGCATATGTTAACAAACACAGAAACATGTCAGGGGCTTGCATCAGGCTGCATTACAGCCATGCTCCATGTATTGTTCGATACCTCATCGTGGAACGCAATGTTCTTTTGCTTGGATGGTATCGTGGCGCGCCCCATGACCTGCAGTGCCGCATCGTAATTCCTAGAGAGCAATAGATGAAGCACAGAAACTGATCAGTCAACTGCACTGTAAACACTACCATGGCAACACGCGGCAACGAGAATCCATATCCACATACTCGTTTCGCAGCTCCATCTCGGCATATTCGCACCAGACATCCGCAAGATCATTGACAGTCTTGTAATTGACTTTGGTCGCCTTCTCAAAAATCGTCCTTGCTGATACGATGTCATTGCCTTGCTCATAAAACTTGGCAAAGTTGACCCACAGGCTGTTGAATTTGCCGTCCGCCTTCTTGGGGTGAATTGTTGTCACAGCCTTGGTGTAAGTTTCGACGACCTTTGGCGCGTTGTCACCCCATAGCTCCACCCGCTTCTGCCACTCATGAACACTGTTGGGATTCTGTCGCAGTAAGACCTCGTTGACCAGGAATGGGCGCCTTTCCATGAGGCGTTCCAGTCTCATCAGGCGCATATCGAGTTCCATTTGATCGACCTCTTCGCCCTCTGCCTCCGCTACTTCCGCTGCCTCCATCTTTGCACTGATAACGGACTCCTCGAACTCAGCATAGGCATCAAAGACTTGGGTGAAATCGCGAACAGTCATGACAGATGTAATCGCCTCCTCATATACGTCTCTCGCCTTCTCGAAGTGGTTAAGCAGGATCCAGTATTTGGCGAGGTCGTTCCAGAGGCGTCCAGTCTGGTCTGTAAACCGCTTGATGCCGCTGCGAATGATCCTTTCAATAGGCAGCGACTTGATGTCCTTAGGATGGCTGCAGATGATATCACAAAGCTGACGCCATAGCTGATAATGAGATTTGCCGTGCATGGATTGGAAGTTTTCGTTGTTAATCATCTTGCAAAGTCGAGAAGCCGCCTCGTCGTAGCGCTCCAATGAGACCAACAGATCGACATAGTCCTCTCCGTGATTCGGTTCCAGCTATTACAAGAACGTGGATGTCAATCATCTTGTCATGATGCTTGTGCTTTCAAGTATGGGAAGAAAACAGTCTTGTTACCTTCAGGTACCGCTTGTATACTTTCAACGCCGTCTCGCCACCAATTTTTTTAGCCCAGCCTAGATACAACGTCCAGATCCGGATATGCTGAGTAATTGGGAGAGCCCTCAGTGCCTTATCAAATGTCCTCCTTGTCTTTGTAATCCGGGGTGTCACCATGAGGTGCTCCAAATAGTCAATCCAGATCCTAGGCATCTGAGGAAGAAACAAATCAATCGCGTGAAAAATGCAGCTTGGTTAATGTATAACTTCTCGCGTCAAATAGTCATCAACGGTTAGACTGGCACAAGTATTTCGAGAGACCGTATCGCACCTTGTGAAGCAGCACCAGGGCCCTCTCATAACAATCGGCCACGCTCTCCCACTCCTCCTGAGCTTTCACAAAGGGTTGATCGCGCTTGGCGAGATGCTGCCGCCGTTGGTCCAGATAGGCTTTCCACAGCTTGTATGATCCTGGCAGCTCCTTGACAGCCCTCTCATAAACAACAAACTGCTGTGCAATGGGCGAGCTCGCATGGTGATCCAAGTAACGCAGCCAGTGGCGTAGCGAATAAGGATTTCGCAGAAGTTCCTCTTCAAATGCCAAATCCTTGTCCGTCTATGAAAATAGGGCATAGGCAAGTGGTTAGGCCTGGAGATACCCATAATCGCTGCTATTTCATGAAGCACATTTGACACTGAACCTGGCTGCTTCATACAATATTGATGGAATCCTCAAGGACGATATCTAAAGGCACTGGAGCGGCTGCAGTTGCCTTGCCGCCGCGCTTAGTGGCAGCTTTTTTCTCTCCTGGCATGTTGAAATGCTGGGGTGGTGAAGTGAGGATGTCCGTCGAATCGATCGCGCGATGGGTAATTGCGCGTTGACAAGATGGTCTGGCAGGCGGGAAGTGGAGGCGAGAAAACAAGGGTTGACAGAGCTTAGAGATTTGATTCCATCAAGGACAAGCGAGTTAGCCAGATCCCACTGGACTTCAATGCCCAAGCCACCAGCAGCATTCCCATGCCCCTCGGTTGAGCGGAACTCATGGTGTCGCGGTATCTGGCAGATAGCTGAGGGTGATCCAGCGGTTGCGTCAACTAAATAGGTTCTTCAGCACCGCCAAGTGCCGCCGTCGCCTATCGCCTCACGTTGGCAACCTTGGTGCCGAGTTTCTCAATGGGTCCAGGAGCGCCTAGAGGTATTACTAACGGTGCGCTTCTTAAGGGTTGATTGATCTACCTGCCCTCTTCGCCCAAACGGTGTCAAGTCCTGGTAATCATCAGCCAGCAGAGGACATGGACTTTTGACAGGAGACGGCTCGCAGACCCGCCAAGGACATCCAGGGCCACATCATTTCGATTGGAATATCTATAGGAAACACTCAGCTATGCCTTATAACATCTGGTGAGAGCGACAGAATGACTTCCCAACGGTCCAATGAATGTGATGCAGGAACACACCCGAAGTCGCTTACCTATATTCCATATGTTTTGGTAGTATGGTATCGGATTTCTTCTATCCCAACGCGGGAGGAGTCGAATCTCATCTATATCACTTGTCACAGCGACTCATCCAACGAGGACACAAGGTCATTATTATCACACATGCATACGGAGGCAGGACAGGGATCCGATGTCTCACAAATGGCCTCAAAGTATACCACGTCCCCATGATGGTCGTTTTTCAGGCGGCGTCCCCTCCAACCCTGTACGGTTTCTTCCCTATCTTCCGTTCCATTGTCCTGCGAGAACGGATATCAATTGTGCATGGTCATCAAGCCTTTTCCTCCATGTGTCATGAGGCCATCATCCACGCAAGAACTATGGGACTCAAAACGTGCTTCACAGATCACTCTCTCTTTGGGTTTTCAGACCCCAGCAGTATTGTCATGAACAAGTTCCTGAAGTTCACACTTTCGGATATTGATCATGTCGTCTGTGTATCCCACACAAGGTATGGATGAGAATGCGCCGTACTTAAAGATGCTTGCCAATCAATGTCCCAATGTACGATATCGCCTCTAAACGTGCTCTTGCACTCGTTTTATAGTAAAGAGAACACCGTTCTCCGTGCTGCCCTGACACCTCAAAATGTTTCGGTGATCCCCAACGCTGTCATTGCATCGAGATTCAAGCCCGATCCCAGTATGCAAGATCCCAACGTCAGTAAGTGCCACCATCTATAAATAAGACGAGGAGATGATAGCAAATGAGGAAGTCCATGTTTTCCTGAGCACGCGTATCGCTCCCAATAGCCACCATTGTGGTCATATCTAGGCAGACATATCGAAAGGGAATGGATCTATTGGTGGCGGTGGTGCCAAGGATCTGCCGGAAATATTCAAAGGTCCGATTTGTCATCGGCGGAGATGGACCGAAGAGAATCGATTTGGAGCAGATGCGAGAGAAGAACCTGTTGCATGATAGAGTGGAGTTCCTGGGGTCTATCAAGGCCCATGAAGTCCGGAATGTAAGTCCAGCCTCGAGGTCACGGCTGACACCACAGCACTTCGCATGGGATGAAGGATCGGCTATCGGCTAACACGCCCTCAATTGACCTGTCTCCTATATTAGACACTGGTACGCGGACAAATTTTCTTGAACACCAGCTTGACGGAGGCGTTCTGTATCGGCATTGTGGAAGCAGCATGTGCTGGTCTCCTTGTCGTCAGCACCAAAGTTGGTGGAGTTCCAGAAGTCCTCCCGAGGCATATGATCCATTTTGCGAAGCCGGAAGAGGATGGTGAGTCGCGCTTATTACCAGACGCAACTACATGCATGTTATGCAAAGTGGTGCAAATTACTTGTCAAGCTCGCTACTGACAGACTCGTATTATTTTCTGTTCTATGCACAAATAGACCTTGTTGAGGCGCTTGATCGTGCTATCGAGATGATTCAGCGCAAGGAAGTCCAGCCCGCGAAATTCAACGACGAACTCAAGGAGATGTATAGTTGGGTAAATGTTGCGGAGAGGACAGAAAAAGTTTACGACGCGATCTCTCAAACGAGAGATCCGCCGCTCATAGAGAGACTTCGGAGGTAATTCACTGCGATCTGACACACACCCTCAGACTTTCACTCTTGTTTTCAGGCCATGATCATGGGCTAAAATTGCCATGCAAATTAGCTAATTCACAGTATTCCCACTTTTAGTTACTATGGATGTGGAGTATTTGTTGGCAAACTGTTCTGTATCATGATCGCACTCGACTATTTGTTTTGGGTTTATCTTGAGTGGATTCTTCCAAGGGACGAAATTGAGCCCGCCCCGAAGTTCCCGTATAAGAAGTTCAAAAAGGTAATAAGAGATGGTTTTTATGTAAAGGTTCTTCAGCGAAAGGGTCTTGCATTGTCGCCAGCAACTTACTGTCTTCACCCTTTGTAACATACTAGATGTGTCAACGGGCAGACAAGGAAGATGAGCTAGAACCTAACTTGGACTCGATTTAGGGTAGAGTCCTTTGCTCGGAATAAAGAAGAGCGTTGTCTGAGCTTTTCATTTCACCGCTTTGACATGCACACCATAAAAGATATTTTCCTTGAATTGACTTCAGCAGGAAACGCACGAAGGGATTTTTTTTTCTTCTTTTTCTTCTCCTTTTTCTTTTTTCTTTTTTCTTTTTTCTTTTTTTCTTTTTTCTTTTTCCAAAGGCAGCATTTGATTGAAATGGGAGCGAGAGCGGGGTAGATAGCAGCGCACGTGAGTACGCTCCATGTGTAATATGTGAAGAAAGTGCTGTCGACGGATATGGAACAACCCTCCAGAACTACGGTTCTAGAAAGTCATCCTCTACCCCAAGTGTGCGTGAACTTTTCCACTTCTTGCTTCATGACTCTTTTTTACGCATGTGCGTGGGAAGATGGGAGAGGAGGTGCGCATGCGTATTATGCCAAGTGGTATGCTATTGCTAGTTGTTGGTGTTGGTATTTTTTTGCTATTGCTGTTGCTGTTACTGTGGATTGATGTTGTTGCTTTTGGTTGCTGCTGTCGTAGTTGTTGTAGCAGGAAATGAAGAGGTAATGTTGTTCAGAGGATTCTGCAACGCCTTCTGCGTGAAGCTCTGTCTGTCCTGACGGGATTCTGCCTGTTAATCAACCGAACCAGATCGTAAAAAACTTCATCCACGTTTATCCTTGTTCGTGCCGACGTTTCGTAAAATGGCGCTGATCCCCACTTGCTCGACAGCCTCTCTCCCTCCTCTCGCGGCACAGTTCGATCATCCTCCAAGTCGCACTTATTACCGACAAGGACGATAGGAACCTATGTTGATGAAAAATCATGCACAGCTGTCAGTAAACTATGGAAGCGTTGATATCGAGGGACACTATACCATAAAATAGTACGTTTTTCAGTGATCGATCAGCTTTCAACTTTAATGGAGAGTATTGCGAGCGACAAAGATGTGAGTCGCGCTGGAAGGCGTGTACACGATGCCTCGTCCAGCATGGTTGACTGCAAGACCTTCTCATCTCACCCCTTACACCTCATACCCAAGCGCATGGGGTGTGCTTGTGTCCGGGTGCATCGACCCACTCAACGCAATCACAAACATGCACAAAGAACAACGCATACACACACACATATCTCTTTAAATAGGAAAAGATAAACATTGTGTTTTCGGACGGGTGAGGTACAACTCTACAGCATTGCAGCCCAATCTTACAGTGTCGCTGTCCTTGACTCGTTGGATTTGTCTGTGGAGTTCGTGCAGCTCATCAAACGTTTGAGCAGCAATAATCGAGAAAACGAGGATAAACCCCTGTCCGTTCTTCATGTAGAGGTCCCGCATTGCTGTAAACTGCTCCGTTCCGGCTGTGTCTAGGATCTCCAGCATGCATTGATGGCCGTCCACTTCGACCTGCTTTCGATAGGAATCCTCGATTGTTGGGTCGTATCGATCCACGAACACTGACTGTACGAATTGAACGGTCTAGATTGCCAGAAACAGATGCAGAGACACAGGGTGTTAGAATGAACCATGGGGTGTCCGTATGCTTGAGCCACCAGATGTCGCGTATCGCTCTCAGCAATTGGAAAAAACCACCACAAGTGTTCATGCATTCATGGTCCGCAAAGCCCGCCAGAGGAGTACACATTGGACCAATAGTGCTCTTATTTTTTTACCCCTTGATCTTTTTTCACGATCGCCCCCTCTTCCCCTAACCTCAGTTGTGTCTGTGTGTCTTCGCCATATTCGCCCCTTCATTTGTTGATGCTGCCAGCATGTTGAGCATTGCATGAATAGTATCTACTGGTGTATTGGCTATCGAGATCCCTTTCCCCTTCATTTTTTATGATCGTCGCTACCCCTCAGGAATTCCACCCTGTTCTCTGCACTGGTTAGGCAACATCATAGGAAACATCTCCCTACTTGAATCTGCATGCCTGCATCAGGCGGACGAAGCAAGGTGGAATCAAATAGAGCAAGGCGATCGGGGTGAGCACTCCCTTGACTGTGCTGAGGAGCGTATGTGTAGTCGTTACAGGTCGAAGGACGTTTATTCTTGGATACGCACGGGGTGCTCCAGGGCGTACGAGTGTGTACTGTAGAGAGCCTGGGGAGTTGGTACGTGCATTGCCGCTTTACTCGTGTGAAGCATGAAATAATTTTTCAAACCTACCAAGGCAGACTTGCCGACGCCTCCAGAGCCAAGGACGACCAGTTTGTATTCACGCATTGTGGATGGAGCAAGAGTACAGGTGAGGAGATGATAATTAAATGGCAAAAGAAAGGAAAGAAAGAAAGAAAGAAAGAAAGTGGAGAAGCGGGATGTGTGACGATAAAAGTATTGTTATAGCCAAAAGAATGGATGAGGGAGTACGCGTGTCGAAAGTCGATCCTGTGTTGCCGAGCGCGTCGTTGGCGAGACAGGACAAAGGAGACGAAGTGGACTGAGGAACGGTGGAAGGGTCCGGCCTAAGTGGATTGTGGGAGCTGACCTTGGAGAGGAACGAGAATCGAATGTCTGTGGAGCAGCGGGCTGGGAAATGTCGAGAGATTACGGCGAGAGAAGAGAGGGGAGGGAATGAAAGAGACGACGGAGGTGAAGAAGAAATAAGAAGGAAAGAGAGGAGGAAATGAGCGGAGAAAGTTAAAGTTGTAAAGTAGAAGAAAGATAAGGAAGAAGGAAGGAAGGAAAGAAGGAAGGAAGAAGTAAAAAAGTAAGGAAGTAAGGAAGAAGCAAAGAAGGAAGAAATGGGTGTAACCAACCAACTCATCCGATGCTTTGGTCGCTCTGTTCTGTTTGCTCACAAAATGTGTTTGCCGCGGAGGGACCTCTTCTTTTCTACCGTATACTCGCCCTCCTTACTAAGATCCAGCGGAACGCTTTGACGGACGAGGGAAGCCAGCACTATGGACATGCAATATATGCAGGATGTCAGTTGTAGGCATCTTCATGCTTCGTGTGGATGCACATGTGCCATGCGTGTAGACCAAGAGTCTTATTGGGGTGTGCGCCCATGCCTGTGCCTCCATCTCCCTCTTCCTCCCCCGTCCTCTCTTGCCCGCTCTCTCTTCTCTCCCACTCCCTGTCTCTCTCTTCTCTCTTCTCCCCCCATCCTTTCTTTCAACTCTCCTCCTCTCTCTTTCTCGCTCTCTGTCGCTCTTTGCCACCCTCTCTCTCTCTCTTTCCGCCACTCAATCTTCCCATCAACTCTTCGCAGGCGTTTTTACTTTGAAAAAACAAACAAACAAAAAAAGAACGGTCTTTACCGGTGAGATAATTCCTCAAGGGCAAAGTACCTCATGCCAGCTGATCCAGTTCCACATGTTTCTCCGCGTGCTCATTACCCACAGCGCGTCCTTCCTGATTAAGGCAAAGCCAACGGATCGTTGGTTCCTTCCGTCAGATTTGCCTATGCTTCCCGCCGCGATTCAGGCATGCGGGTTGCTTGGGTCCTGCCGCCGCCCGACATGATGGGCTGGAATACAGCACAAATCAAGTGCCCGAGTTCAGTCGGCTGGGACACACTAAACACATAATGGTCGACTGATCTGGTTTCTATTCGTCCTTCGACGGAAAGAACATATTAGACCATGTTATTCCTGCATCTTACGCGGTACCAGATAGTGAAAAGGAACAATAGAGCCCGAGAGAGGACGGGAAGGGGTGAGAGAATTTTATTGTATACACCCGTTGATCGCTTTACTTCTTTCGATGCTTAAAAAAATCGCGTCTTCGTGTTGCACGGCGGACTATGCGCCTGTGGAATGTGGGGGGGATTAGCCATACTTCACCAAGTTCGAGGTAGGGAGAGACATGCGTGATCACTGAGAAGGTCCAGTGACAGTTTCCGTATGAATAAAGGATATTAGAATCCAAGAAGCGAGCTACTACTGCAGACTATCAGCATCTAAGAACGAAAGGGTTCACGTTGCACTGCCGATTCGTTGCCACGACGACTAAAATGTACCGAACTCCTTTTCCGTCTCTCTTACCTCGGAGTGACCCCTGTAAACTATCTGCCCATGTGGATGGGATTTGTCCGGCACGTTGGCACTCTGCAGTTGTCCCACAATGTGGGTCTTAGCGAGTTCATGCAACATCGTCTCAGGGGAAGAGGCGCCCTGGATATTCCCACTCGCATTCATGCAACACAAACGTCCAAACCTACTGGTGGGCGGAGGTGTTTCTTTATGTAACTGAGCGATAGGTTTGTGTACAGTATGCGCTGCACATAGGGTGCGCCTTAGGATCTAGGCATTCACGCGCTTTATGCCTGCTTAACAAAAATGTCTATTTTCTACACGCCTGCAGATGCCGCCACGACGCGTCTCCTACGGAATATGAGACATTCAAACCTCATCACTGCTATAGTGAATTACGATCATGACTTCATAGCTCTTTCTCGCAAACACTTTGCCCGAAACGTCAAGACAGCAGCAGAAGCAGAGTCCGTTGATGTGGGCCATGACTGCATAGATTATTTGTCCTTTATGCGTCCACTGACTATTAATTGATGGAATGAGTGTATCTTACACCGAGACGTGCTCACCGCGGATTCCATTGTTCGTATCGCTTGTTCAAGTCTGGGAACCTTGCCCTCGACACATCGAACAAAAAAAATAAAAAGACGGCTCGATCACTGGGCTAGGGGAGCAAAGGAGTGGGAGGAGGCGCTCCGATCGGAGATAGTGGCAAGATGACCTGACGAGGATTGGTGCGGAAGGGCAGCGTCATTATTTCGATGAATGGTTGGAATGGATGGCAGTGCGGTAAACAAAGACCAGAGACAGAGGGCGGCTCCGATTCCTCTCCAGATCCATGCCAGGTCGACTCCATGCCAACGGCAATGCTAATGCCATATCATCGCCTCACCAGGTGATGACATGCTTCATCCTCTTCTCGCTCTCACTTGTTTATTTCTGGCCTGGCGGTACTTTTCGCTATTCAGCTGCATGCAAATAGACTTCAAATCTATTGTAAGCTGGAGCAGCGTCTTGATGGTGTTGCGTGAATGACAACAACCAGCAGGATAGACTAGTCAAAGGGACCATCCTTCTCTCCTCCCGCCCATCTCATCTCATCTCATCTCACTCCACCTCATCTCACCTCGCCTCATCCCATCCCGTTCCATCCCATCCCATCCCCGTCATCGTCATCTCCCCCTCCTCCTTCTCCTCCTCCTCCTCATTGTCCGTCGTGTCGTGGGCCCTCGGACTCGAATCCTAGTTCTCATCCTCCTCCGTTGTCAGGACCTCGATCTCATCCTTATCCTTTTCAGCTAATCCCTCCCTCATCCTCCGTCCTCTCCTCCTCCCCCTCCCCCTTTCTTCTTCCGTAATAATATACTTGCTCCATCGATAGGCCTTTGCCAAGTCTTCTCCAGATTACGTCTCGGTCAAGATTACAGACCATATTGCTATCATGGACGCACACGCACCCATCACATACTACCAGACGACCATCCCGCCAGGACACCCGATGCCATACCCAAATGGACGAGCCTCGCTGGGCGTAGGTGCCTTGACCCCAATATCTATGGATTCGATGGGCACCAGGATGCCTGTCTACTCCAACCAAGGCCAAGCGCCCCCTACCGACTCTGGTTATGGCTCGGCGCATTATCATTCTGCAGCAACAACATCTGTTCCGGTGCAGCACCAGCAATATCAGCAGCAGCAACCCACGACCCATATACATCTGCAACAGCAACAGCAACAACAGTACATGCCTCTTCAAACAATGGTAACGCCTATGCCTCAAAGCCAGCCCCAATCCCACCAACAGCAGCACCATCAGCAGCAAATCCAGTCAATACAGCCGATAACGACCTCCCAACACAACATCTCCCACTCGCATTCGTACAAACAGCCGCAGCAGCCGCCTTACATCCAGCAAACGCAGCAGACTCACCTTCAACAGCAGCTACAGCAACAGCATCAAATACAGCATCATATGCAGGCCCAACAGGCGCAGCAGGTACAGCAAGCACAACAGCGCCAGCAAATCCTTGGTCCAGCGGTCGTTACGTCCCACCCCACGCATCAATCCCAGATTCAAGTGCAGCCACATATGCATCAGCAGCTACACCAGCACCCGTCCGTGAAGTCGCAGAGTCAGCAGCAACAACAGCAACAGCAGCAGCAACCACAACATCATCAACATCGTGATCATGCGAGAGACCACCGAAACGGCTATTCCAACTCTGGCGCTATGGAGCATGTTATCAACCCTCAGACCAGCACTCTTCAACTCGCGGAATTTGCATCTGTGATGGTTTATACCCTCTGGCACACAAGACCCAACATCAATGGCGCCTCTAGCAACGCCTACAACGTTGTTCCTCACCGGATAAGCGTACCTCCGTCTGCTGGACCTGCATTCAGAAAGTTTTGTTTGAAGGTAAGACATTGTGAATCGGGGCCTAGAAACGGAACAGTCTTTTTTTTTTTTTTTTTTCCGCTGCAAAAACTGACGACTGACTGTCTTCTGGTGCTGCTATTATATTTTACCAACACTAGGTGTTATCGGCAACGCAACTGTCGTCTTCGGTCATTCTCCTATCCTTAAAATACATCCAGAAGCTGCTTAAGAACAATCCTTCTATACATGGACAACAGGGATCCGAGTTCCGTCTCTTCACAGTTTCATTAATGCTTGCCAACAAGTTTCTCGACGACAACACGTTTACGAACAAGACATGGTCTGAGGTCACAGGAATCAGCGTGAAGGAGATCAATGTGATGGAGATGGAGTTCCTGAACCAGGTCCAGTTCAGTCTGTTCGTGAGTGAGGCGGAATATCTGGATTGGCTGCACAGTTTGGAGACATGGCTCAAACAACAGGGACAGACGCAAACGCAGGGACCCAACTAGTTACTTCATTAAAGCTGCAACAAAAATACATTCTGCAAAGGTGCTCCGTGACCTGATTATAGACATATGTTACACAAACATGCTATTTGTACGTCAGGCTCAGGGTGAATAGGATAAAAGTCGAGGAGTGACTTACGCCCTTTCAGGTTCAGCGCGTCAGGCCACTTAGAGTCCTTTACCCGTTGAAGGTAGCATTAGCCATGTTCTGGCAGTGTCGTGCTCCCGACCGCACTGGAGGCCGGCCTTGGGGCTCAACTTGTGTACTGCGTCATATGTCGATGGCTGAAAACCACCACAAGTCAGGTCAGGACAGATGACTGAGCAGCCCTGAGTCTGGACTCTCTGGCAGAAAGATATCATCGTTCGGAATTCGTGACGCAGCATACCAGCATTCCTTCACTGGCGGCCTGTGCACACAGCAATATTCATATCAGTAGAATGTCATGGACCTAGGCTTATCGTGCCAGCCTTCATCAGTGCGAACAAAGCGCTTCTGCAGCTTCCGCATGTCTGAACCTAAGGTCTTGGTACGAGCTTGTGCAACTTGACCGGTCCTCCGCTTTTGCACTTGAAGTCGCCATCGCCGATGAAGGCCATAGGTTTTCTCTGACCAACCTTCGCTCCCTTCTGGGCTGCCCTGAGCATCCCATTGATTGCACGCCCTACCTCGATCTTCTCTCCTTGCTTCTTGCGATAACGAGCAACCTTCAGTCCCTCCGATCCGCAGAACACCCTTATCTCCTTCTCGACCGTAAAGACTGAGTCTGCATGCTGCTGGTATGTATCCCTGAGCTTCCCGAACTGCTGAATCAATTCGATTTCTTGAGGATCGAAACACCTCACTGGTCGAATCCTTGTTTCTAGACCGCTGATGCTCGCCATGTCCTCTGCAGCCTCAATTCATTTGTCTTTTTTGAGGCGCCTCAGCAGTTCTGTGCGTCTTTGGCTGTTCCAGGTATGGTATTCCTTTGGGCAAGGACGGGCTTCAGGAACTTTCAGGCATAAGTGGACCCACAACTACGGCTGCTACGGTACTCTTAATACTTGGGTAGATGGCGAGCACGATGTAGCTCTCCTGATCGTCAAATTCCTCCTGCAGTACATCTGGACTCAGAATCGCTTCGGTCAGGTACTTCACCTTGGACCTAGTGGACTCTGCTGGGGTCTTGCTGACGGTCATAGATCTAAATGAGAAGAAAAAAGGAAGAATCAGTGCCATAGAACAATAAAAGAAAAAAGTAAAAACACATCAAACCATCGCGCATGCTGTGCAACAAAGGACACTTGCTCTTGGCGGTGTCTGGTTACGCTTTCCACAATATATATTTATTTTATTTCATTTTCGTGTCAGTAGCCTCGACTCCTCTTCCAAGGCCTCGGCCTTGTCGAACGAAATTTACTTGGACAATTCGAGCATCTCGTTGCTCACTCCTATCTGGGTGCAATACCGATCCAGGATACCCTATTTGTCGTCTGAATTATATCCGTATAGCACGACTAGATTCTTTGCGAACGACTGATCTGGCACATGGCTTGTGTAATCGTTGCTCGTAACGACAGTGGCATCATGTCCGCGACATCGTCTTGTGGAGCGCGCGGACGAGCACTGTGACGACTGACTCCGTTAGTGACGACGGAATTGTGGGTGGACTAGAAGCCGTGTCGAAACGCTTCGCATGTGAATCCCTGGGGGGCTGCGCAGATATAGGAGAATAAATACTGAGGATATTTATGTTTGCATCCTGGACTAAAGCTATGTCTACGGTCGCAGCCTCCACTTCCTGTTCCTCCAATGGGGGAAGGTCCTTCCACTCCTATCTATGGAGTGCTACAAAAAAAAAAAAAAAAAAAAAAAAAAAAGAAGAAATGAGATGGTAAATATAAAGATATAAAGGAGGGTATGGAAATCGTACATTTGAGGCAAGAATGGAAGCTGTATAGCTGAGGCAAGATATGGGAACGATGGGGAAATGGTTGTATGGAGCTAGTACACTTGATAAAAGACTGTTGCACAGCGACGCGTTTCTTTTCCCCCACATGCCTCAATTTTCCTAATCTGGGCATGGCAAAGGCCACTACAAATTTGCACTACAGCCATGCAACCAACTACACAGGTCCAGCATTAAAGGCCTTTGATGGTTATACCCTTTACACAACTAGAAACACTTATATTTAGACCATGGCATAGCATTGGAACTAGCGGGAAGAGCGATTTTATTAAGCAAATACAAATGAAAGTAAGCTATTCAAGATATGTCACTAGATTGTTTGGGTGGGCCCATCCATCATGGATCCTTAAGAAAAAGAACGCTAGGCTGCTCTGCTACAGTATCTGTCTACCAGAAATCACCCAAATCAAGTAAAAAAATGGCTGGTTAGAATTCAGAATGGGTTGGGTGTTCATGCACGCTATTTTTTGTATGTTGAACTTACAAATTTTGAAAGAGGGTTCCGACCCCCTATGATTATGTTGATGGCATGAACTTGGCAGGCCGGCACTGGTTCTGGATTTGCGACAGACACACAGTGGCAATGTTCTTAGAGCCGACAATATCGCGATCAAAGTACATTTGACAGCTTCGGCAGTACTTTGACCGCCTCTTGTCGGACTCCAAGAACGCCATGCACTGGTTACGAGGGCATCGAGCACTGGTGTAGTACTCGTGCACCCCGACCACAGTGTGTCCCATAGCCTTTGCCTATCAGCAGCATCAAGGAACAAATAAACAGATGAGAAAAAGTTGCAGTGCGGATGAGAGATGGTATGCCACACTTTTTTTTGTTCTTCTTACCTTGCCGATAAATTTCTTCTCGAGTGCGCTATGCTTGCTTGGCAGGCCAGTTTGCGAATCAAAAGAGCCCAATCCTATCGCAAACACCACTTTTGCACCGTCCTGTGAGCTCAGCGGCTGACCAACAAAGTCCTTACTAAGGCAAGATCAAGCAAGGCCGCAACTGCGTAGTCATACGTTGCCTGTTGAGCCTTTTGAAGATTCCAGCGCTTCCTTAGCATCCATTGACTGTTGTAAAAGTTAAAAAGCGGACTCTCGTGGCGGTCGCGGCGGTGCCGTCCGTGCCAGGCACCTCCAGGTACGCCAGATATTCCTCGATCTTCTCCACGGTAAATGAGGGCAGTCTTGCCTCAAGAACATCAATGCGTGCCGCGGCCTTCTGCTTTTCTAGGACATGCTTGAAGAGCATGTAAGGCCTGTAGAGGAATGCCCTGCGGATCCGTAAAGACTCTCTTTTCGTAGGTAAGGCGGGGTCGATTCTTGTCGCCGTCATTGTGTAAACCTCACCCGGGTCAATGCCGATTATCACAGTATCACCTGGTGGACAAGTACCAGGAGAGTTGAAGCGCACCTCCACGTTTTCCAGAATCTTTGAACTTCGCTTCCAGTTGATGGTGTTGCGTGTGACATCGATCGTATCTGCGCCTGACGTTGGACCGGATGGGGCTTCTAAGCTGGATGAGGACGAAGCAGTCGCAGTAGGGTCTGTGGGTGGCAGTTGGTGTATTGACAGCCTCTGCCACTTTGAACTTTCTGGCGTTGAAGACGGGAGCGTGATGCGTTTCTTCTTGGCGGGTCCTGCCGCAGCTGCGACCGGATCTGTACCAGATTCGCCCCCTCCACTTTCAAGAAACGCGTCGTCGAGGTCATAGTCACCGTCAACATCGTGGAACAGGGTCAAATCCTCGTCGTCGTCGTGTTCTCCTTCATCATCGTCATCGGCCCTGATGCTTTGGCGGGGTGCTTGGCGTCGCGTTGTCGTTGTGTCATGCGCAAGAAGATGCAACACCAGTCCGTTCGTGCAGATGAGGCCCCAAAGCTTGAACGTCGTGTGGTACTGTCTGTCACTCTAAAGCGAAACCTTCCTGTAATACCCGTTAAAGCGCGTCGCCGGGTCCAGTCTGTATAGCAGCTTCTCGATGAGGATCCCTTTCTTGCCGACGACCTTGGCTTCCGCAGCGTTGGATGTTGCATCGCTCAGCATTCGGACTATAATCGGCCGTGTTGTATTGCTTGTATAGAATAAATCGACAAGGTCCGCCTCTGACAAGAACACGAAGCCAGCTGCAAACTTTGCCTTGACAAAGTCTGCAAACATGCGCTTCTCGGTATTCTTTTCGAAGAAGTAGTCGATCGGATTGACAGATTCAGGGCGCTCTTCGTTCTCGGAAAACTATTAAAGAAAGTTGAAGAGCTAATGGTCAACACTAGTGCTCCGAAAAGCAAGGAACACAACGGCTACATCTTGCACACTCTTTAATATACCTTTGCGCCATAGTAATGGACTCGCACTGCATTGTAGACTGCCGCAACAGCAAGCCTCGAGACCGTCGAAGGGAACATCTCTGGTTCTTGTTGGCGAAAGGAGACAAAGCCGGTGAGCGTCGTGTACGCATCAAAGACACGTCGGGCATGGGTGGCTGTTGGTTGTGCTTGTGCTTGTGCTTGTGCATGTGCTTGTGCTTGTGCTTGTGCTTGTGCTTGTGCTTGTGCTTGTGCTTGCGGTTGCGGGGCACCAGGTACCAATGGCGTATTTCGAGGGCTCATCCTGCGCGCAGGGGCAACTGATACTCGAACAGCCTGAGAACCTCGTCCTTCTTGACCACTGCACAAGAGTGTGTTGAGTGCAAAGTAGAAGGCCTTGCTGTCGAGAATGTCTGCAATGTCCTCCTTCCGCTGTGTCACATCTGTCGCTGTGTCTTTAGAACGAACAAGCCGCGCAATATCCAGTGCAATGGCCTCGTACATATGCATCTGGATCGCATTAAGGACTGCGACCGTTGAACGTAGCCTGTCTGAAAGGAGCTTGCTTTCTGCAACCGAGATCTGATTCATTCGCTTTACGTTGGCCTGGATACTCCCCACAGTGAGTGCCTTGGTTATATGCAGCTTGCGGAGGCGGCGGTCCGCTGCAGTTGCAGAAGTGGGCCGTGGGTTCGATGGGTCGGCGGAGCCCACCCCTTTCCGTTTCCTCGGCAGTGCCCCCTTCTTCCTCTTTTTCTTGTTCTTCTTCTTCACGACCACCTTCCGAGTCTTGACGGGGGGCTTTGCTTTTGGCTGTGGGCGACCGTGAGGTACGGCAGTCGAGAAGTCAATCGATTTTCGTGGTAGGAACGATTTCTTGTCTGGAAAGATCGGACGGAACTGGTTCCGCTTTGAGTTCCTCGCAACGTAGAAGGGAACCGCACGTAAATACACGCATACATCGCCATGCAAAAGGCGTTAGAGAACTTGTTGTCTGTACAACACGTACGTGAATGAAATGGTGTCGCACTTAGATTACCTTCTACTCGCATGCTGATATGCAGCGACGGCAAATCGTTGCACCTTGAGGTGCCGGAACTGCGGTGATGCAATGTTGAAATCAAAACCGAGCATGTCCTCATCGGCGGCCTCATCTCCTGGCTGCAGTTGGAGCACTTTCTCCTCGAGATCCAAAAAGATGTCTTCCGATGGCTTGAATCGGGTCTGGTCGATAGCCTCGTGGGATTTGATGGCTGCCATGAATTTGTAAGGACCGAGCATCAGGCGGATATCGGGCGACTGAGGAAGAGCACGGATGATCTCCAGGTTGCGAACTATTCCAGGGCCGGGAATGTTCTCGGTATAGTCGTTCTTGGACACGATGCCCAGCAACGTCACATAGTCTGCACTGGGGACCTGAAGTGCATTGGTAACACACTCCTTGGTGTATAACGCATAGGCCAGGCCGTGGAAGACCGGCCGCAAAACCTTGGTGACCGACGGATATATCAACAGATCGGAATCTGCTGACACCGCGAAGCTACCGGCTGCCATGGTCAGTGTGCGTGCAATGCAGGTGTCGGCCTCGGTCCTGCAAATGCAGACATAAAACCCTTTTTCTTGTAAGGCATCCCGGAGTGTCAGCTTGGCCGTATCAAATCTGTATACATCACGGAGGCCCTTCTTGATCTTCGCTACCACGCTCTTCGAGGTCCATTGGCCGTTCGACGACTTCGTTCTCATGACTTTCAAGTTCGCTTGCAACTTCTTGAGGTCCGCTGTCAGTCTGTTCTTTCGCCTGATGTGCTCGTTTCGCTTCTGCTGGGATGGGGCGCCACCGATGTGAATCGTACATTTCGCAGGGGTAAAGTCCTTCGCCAAACGCGCTGCCATCGTGAGACTGACAGCTCGGACCTTGCTTGGATCGTAATCATCCGTAATCTGGCGGACGAGGGATCCATAAAACGCGCCGAAGAGGTCAACCTCAACAGCTTGGTTTTGATAATTTTGAGGATCCACGGCAACTGGATCCAAACCGCGCTTCTTCAGAGTACTGTAAAGGCCTCTTACGCCCATGCTGTGATCACTATGGTGGGTTGAAAGCTTAGCAGTGTTAGCGAAACCCTCTCGTAAGGACGCTGAAGATATGGAAGGCTAGGCTTGGAGGGTACATTACCTTTTCTACAGGCGTATAGTATCTAGCGTGAAGGTGTATATGGATAGCGAACTGCGGGCAAAGGGCAATGAGGAGAAAGGATGATGAACGAAGAGAGCTGTGAAGTGTGTGGCAGAATACTTATAGGCGAGAAGCAATGTCTGCTTTCCCACAATAAAAAAGACTTTCCACAATAAAAAAAGGCATTACCACAATAACAAAAGGCTTTGATAAAGAACCATCACACTGATAGATGCCAGTCGCTTGACGCGAATCACGATCAGTGTTATACAAGCAGCTTTGCCGCGGCCTGACACAGATATCCACCCACATCGCCATCATCGCTGTTTCCAACGTACGCGAGGCAGGCGCAAATCCAGATAGGTCGCTAGGGATGCAATGGAGGATAGGGAAATCAGTCAAGTAGCGCGGTCAACCTTCAAAGGACTAAAGCCTATGAGAACTTTTGCTATTAAATTACGGGGAAGAGCATCACTCCAGGATAAAAGAATAAACGGTCTGGTTCCTGAACCAGAGTCTTCTTCACATATATCCTGTATGCATTCGTCCAGATTGTCCGGATAACACCGCATCATCGACAGGTACTGACTGCCGTCGTCAGCAACCCACGCAACGAGATGCAATCAACAGAGAATGCCAAGCCTGATCATTCGCCACCTTTGCACTATCAATTGCAATGTTTCCCCGCCCTCTGATCGTCTCATTGTTGAGCATCCGTCATCGGCTTACCCTCGTGAAACGGCATTATAAAGGTACAATGAAGGCCTGATCAGCGAACATTGCCATACAACGGCTCCAGAGGGGTGGACTTCATTGTCACGACTTCTCACTTCATCGGACATCATATATGTGAGTATCTTGCAACTACTCCCTGTCATTCTCAATGAAACATATACCTAGTTCGAACTATTTAGCCTATATTTATTTCCTTCTATCTCTGTCTAGTCTGTTTTACTTTTGTGTTAATACATTCCGATCTAAAGGAGGACCCCGCACTGCGAACCAGTAGATGACCGAAGCACGCCCTCGCCGAAGTCCTAATAGTGCGGCGTCTCCTATTGTAAATAGAACTAATGATAGAAGTTACAGAACTCGTTATTAGACCCCCTACGCCGCATTACCCCGTTGCCTCTTGCCATGGTAGGCAGTGAGGCTTCTAGTCAATCAGAGATATTGTTCAGAAGCCGGCTGCTACAAACGACCTTCCGTGCAGCGCCATACGCGTCGCTCTTGTCCTGTGCATCGAAAAATCCCTAGTTCCTAGTTTTGGAGCGTCAAATATGTGAATTAAGTCCAGATGCACTTCTCAGACCATCATGGAAGAAGGTTGAAAAAGCAAACGCGTGGCGATACCTCTAAATGTTTCTCAATTGCAAAGGCGCTTTGGATAATGCGCAAGGTGAGCATCAAGAGTGTACTGAGTGCAATTGCTTATGAGTATCTAGTCTATGAGTAAGACGTATCTCAGGACATTCTCCGGATACCCGGTCTGGATAGACCATAGACTATAGCCTTGTATAACGGACTCTGGTGAATATGTGGTGTTGCTGATGCTGCTGATGCTTATGACCATTGATTGCCCATCGTGATTTGGCAATCTCTCTCTTCTTTTCTTTCTACATAAGACAAACCCTAATCATCATGACTTAAAGTCTAGCATTGCATGCAAGCAGCCTTGCACATTTCGAAAAAGAAAAGAGGACGAGCTCCAAAAGGACGAGCTGCAGATGGGCGTAAAGCAATTGGACGAAAAGAGAGAATGACACAACATGGCCGTTGCTCGAGATTACCTGGTTATGGAGATATGGTCAAGAAGAGAACTTGTAGACTATGAGGCGAGTTATATATTCTACGAAGGTGGAGGACATGGTGGAATGCACTCTTCCTCGCTTTTTTCTCTGTGCACACCCTAACACTCTATAACCAACATCACTGTTGCAAATTACCTTCTTCGCCAGCATTCCACTACACGCTACGCTAACTACAATGATCAAGGCACAGAGAAACGAATGTACATTCTACAACTGCGTCCAGGGACTGCTGGACAGGAAAGCGGCGATCCAGCCACAGGAGCGTCGCATTGATCAGGGTCTCCCGGTCAGGGATGGGGACGGACCTGTGCCATTGACCAAGTCAGAAAAAAACCACTTGATTCGGTTGCACTCAGCGGTGCCAGTTCAAGTGAAAAACATCCTTTTAAATGTGTTCGTCCAATTTGAAAGGCACAAGGATAGAAGCATGGATTTCATCTGCGTCTGCAGAAAGCCATTCCTGACAAGAGATAGCCTGAGCAAGCATTACAAGTGGGTCTGCGCCATTCCAACATCCCGATTAACATTCCAGGGCTTCAACTTATTGACAGCGCTCAAGTTCTACCTGATGATTTGGAGATCGTCAATGCCCCAGGTACATCTGATGACGAGGTTGATGAGGAGAACCACAAAGGCGATGAGGCGTTTAGCGGCAGCAATGCACTCATATTCAACAATAACGTCATTTCGGCTACTTCAATGACATTTGATTCAGGAAGAGTGATTGATGCAACTATCCGAGAGTTCATGCGGGGCTCGGACATTGCAAATACTCAACAGCAACATGTACAGCGCATGCAAATCATGGCGTTTTAAGAGGGACAGCGCACGCTAATCACCGCCATGGAGTAACGGGCCCCAAGCTCTATCGCCCAGATTGCAGCAGGTCAAGGGCAGGGGCAAGCTATGCAAGCTGCTTCTGCTTCTGCTCCTGGCACCGGACCTTCCAGTCCGGTTTCTACAAGTAGAAAAAGAACGTGTTCTAACGCCCCTCACTTTGGAACATTCAGGTCCCCTAGTCGTATGTCTCCAACTGAAAATAAGTAAAATAAAAATGGCGGTTTGGTGGAGCGAGTGTAGAACGATATAAAATTGTGCAGATGTAGAGACGGAAAAGCGCATGGTCTTGCCTTGCTTATCATTTTCCACGATAGTGAAAGCTAGGTAACTCCCTACGCGTCGGGATGCTTGCAAACGATTGGAGTATCTGAGGTGTCGAAGGATCTAGGGTGAAAGGGTATTTTATTGGGCGAATGCTGCTATCTAGTTCTATGCGTAGATAGGGGTTATATAATAGTTGCATCGGTGTCAACAGTGCATTGAAATATTGTAGAAACTGGGCGAAGCACTGTCGACATCATAGCATACTAAATCTAGCATTAAACCTTTGCAAAGATCCACGATAGTGATTTTGAATCGTAAAGTACTACTCCAATATGATCACAAACGACTGTCTGTTTTCTCTTTTCCATGGCACCTCGTCATTCAGCTTCGGAGTGAAATCTGGCTCAATCCTGCCTCATATTGGGAAACCGATATGTGAATCTACATGTAGACCTAGTATGACACCCCGTTATCACCGCACTACTGGTAAACAGCAATTTAGTGTGTCGCCCGAGTGTGTCAAGAGTGTAACACACCTGGTATCAGAGAACAGAGCTGAACTACAGTCTATATTAAGGAAGCGATGGCTAAAAAAATCCGGATCCTTAAATGAATTGAGGTGGTGGGACTAGATGTGTGATAGGAGCAAGAGCAATCTATTAACAATTACATATTGGGTACGGTGGCGCGTGGTCGGGGCAGAAGGAAAAAAGTGCGGGCTGGTATAGAGAGAGAGGTGTACAAAAGTGCGCACTGGTAGAGAGAGAGAGAGAGATGTATTAAATTTTGCACTCTTAACACACTTGGGCGACGATAACGGGGTGTCAGGTGCTTAAGCACTTAGAAACCCAGGCATTGATCATAAAGCCTCTTTTATATGCCCATGAGATTATCATTGTTTCGCTGCAGAATAACAGGGTGTAAAATTAAAGCTCTTACGGGGGGGTGAGATTATTCATCAAAAAAAAGGGGGGAGCGACAGTAAAAGATGTGCCTCAACCCGGATTTGAACCAGGGACCTCTTGTTTACAAGACAAGTGCGCTAACCACTGTGCCATTGAGGCGGACGCCATGTGGATCTGGCCGATTATACAGCTATATATAACTCTAAATTTATCTTATCTACGATCTCTAAGTGCAAGCTTTTCTCTAAGTGCACATTTTTAAGCAGACAAGTTGTTATAAAAAAAAAAAGACCATGCGTTGCGTGCTCATGGGGATTTATGTTAATAAAAAAAAAAAAAAAAAAAGTGCACATTTTTAAGCTTGTTATAAAAAAAAAGCCGTGCATGGAAGGCATCTATGGCTTCAAGGCCTTTGCGGACCATGCGTGTTGTGCTCATGGGGATTTATGTTAATAAAAAATAAATAAAAATTGCAAATTGTTAAAATCCGTAAGTGCATGGTACTATCGAAAGATGGGCTGTTGCTTCGCCCAGATGATTGCTCCTTCAAAACTAAATCCCTTTGTATTTCGCTTGCAAACCAGTCACTCAAGTTATTGAGTGCACTTCTCTACTACTGAGTCTTCGCACCCTTCTAACTTTCCTATTATTATTATTTATTTGGTGATAATCCGCCCAAGTAGAATGACGTGCATTCAGCCCAAACGATAGCACGTGCTCGCTGCAGGTCTTTCGCGTACAGACTGTAGCAATATTTTTCCATTTAACTCAGGCTTTGATTAAAAAAAAAAAAAAAAAAAAAAGGTAAAGAGATAGGGATTTTGCTGATGTATTCATATGGGTCAATGGTAAGCGGATGCGCTGGCGCGTAAATTGATGCGAGGATAGAGGCAAGTCGTACAGAGATCGAGAACAGGAAAAAAAAAACCAAATGTGCCGAGTTGACATGAGTTACTGGCGGCCCTGTACGACAGTGTGCAAACATAAATGAAAGAACCGGGCTCGTTTAGACTGAGCACAAGTAATCAACTTTAAAGAGGAAACGAAAAATTACAGGCAGGATGCGCGTGGCCGCCCTGTGGACTGACTGCTCTTCACCTTGTTTTCGTATAAAAGCTGAACAACAAACATACATTCAGAGTAAAGGAAAATAAAAACGTTGACGCTAATGAAAATTGAGTGATGCGCAATGCACGAGAGCATCTGGGATGGGAGCCATTGACTGACGCCACAACAACAAAGCAGTGTGTCGTAGGTTCAATAACACGCACACGGACATTAGGTTGGAAACGTTTCGATTCCTTGTGTCCATGCATCACCAAAACTCCCAAGGCGAGCCGGTTAACATCCACGGACATGTATTAGGGCATAAGAATAGAAATGACAGATATTAAATCTTGGGTACTGCAGACACATACACGATTTTCAGCGCGCCGTAAACCTGAGACGCTCATCGCATGATACAAAACGCAAAACAGAATAAAAAGAAAAAAAGCACGACGAAATCCTTGGGTTGGCTAACCAGACTATGTGCACGACATTCAAGACAAAGAGCAAGTGATCTATCATATAAAAGCTTATGAATAAATTCAGTTCGACGAATTCACGCCTTTACCTACAAAAATTTGGTCCGCAGTCTAATAAACCCTCGACCCTACATCAGAGGTAAGAGAGGTGATTTCGAACATTGGATAGTCATCATTGTCGCTATTATGTCACTAACAACAATTTCAAGATCTATTTCTGCAATACAACGTTTTTGAACCTGAGAAACCCACTACAGAAACGTTCGAGATAATAGCAGGCTTGCATGGAACAGTTCTAAAAAAAAAAAAAAAAAGACATGCAGAACTGCAGCCTACAATGAACGTAAACATTGGTGCAGCCATCGCTAAAAGACAAGGGACATAACATAAAAAGTCGATTGAATGAATAAAAGCAATGTGTTTTTACTTGGCCGTTCGGTAAGGTGTTGATCTCGACAGGAGCATCTGCAACATCGTATGGATTATTGTGGTTTTAAGGCCCAAAATACTCTTTGAGCCTTAGATCATGTCGTCACACCAAACCAATTTTGGTCCGCTAACCATAAGATGTAGCTTACTTCTCATCTCAATCGTAGGCACTTCATTGCAGCAATCTGAGATTTGAACGAGATGATAATAGGTATTGTGTCATGATTCAATTTTGTCTCAAAGTAATCTCTTTTTTTTCCGCAAAATTTCGATGGCTAATATGATGTCTATGGATGCCAATATTATACCAATAGTGCACGCATTCATCCCATGTTGAAACTCAACAGCATATGGCTTTACAGCTACAATGATAATCATCAGTTTTGCAGCATGTTAAGACATCGAAAAAGAGGATCTAAGGCTTAGGTCATTCAGAAGAGGCTTTATCCTTCATTTGAGAAGACGCTAATGAGAGCTTCGAAGTATTAGCTGTGGGCACAGACCCAGGGCGGCCCTCGCTCGTTTGCGACAGCCGCCTATTGCCAGTTGAAGCAACAGCAGCCCTAGATGAACTGGCGTTATTTGTGTTGGCAGGTGCATCCCGATCCACTGGAGATGATATTGCAGGACTTGAGGAGACGCTTCCAAGGCGCTTGAGACCCAAGGATGAGGTCGTGGGTAAGACCAACTCTCCATCTGGTCCCAAAAAGCGACTCTTCCGCCGTGTCTTGTGCTGATTTTTGTCGCTTACGGCCCATTCCTCGGCGATTATTTTCATGCGCTTTGAACAGAACGAATAGAGAAGAGACAATTAGAGACAGTTCACGTAGATGTCAAATGACAACTAGCTGATATGCTTGCTCAGCAAGGTCATTTTTTGCGGACAAAATAAAGTGCGCAGAGGACATATGCTTGCTGGAGTATGAATCTTGTTCAAAATCGGCATTTCATAACACAGCATTGCCCCAAAAAAATTTAACCACGTTCAACAGTGACTTTGCACATCGCAAGGCGAACCAACGCTCATGCTCCATGTGTACACCGGAGATAGCGGCGCAAGGGCGGGCTCATCCACAGTTCGTTTTTTTTTTTTTTTTTTTTTTTTCAGTACTTGGGAGCAAAGCTGCGATCTGAAGGAGGATTGAATAGCTCAAGAGCAATGCTGGACGATAACGACGTATCCGTTTTCGAACAGGTTCTCCCCATTACTGCCACATCTTCATACTTCCTCTTTAGGCACATGAATACGAGTAAAGGCATGAAAGTTTCCATAATCCCGGAAAATGAAACACTGCTAGAACCCACGATCGACCGGCAAGTACGCATCAATTTTAAGGCACATTTTACCAGTAATAATAGGATGTAAAAAAAAAAAAAAAAAGGAATGAAAAAGAAGAAAAACAAGATTGTTTTCGCCAAGGATAATGTTTAGTTAAAGGATCAAGCGTCCGTCGTACCTCTTGTGCCGAAAGGTCCGAACGGTTTACCGCCAGATACTTGCTGCGCTGCTGCAGAAACCTATCATAGGCTGTCAACTTCCTACTCCTGCCAACTTTTTTAGACCTGTGAAGAATTTTGCCTGTCTTTGTTGTCTTCACGCTTGGTTTACTCGCTCTCCTGACGGATGTATGATCTGCCGAGGCTTCCTCTGCATGGCTGGTAAGTTCCTCCACTGGCTCGACCCCTGCACAATCTGCAGAGCCTTCGGGTGTGTAATAGTGGTAATCTTGGTCTTGAGTAATGACGGAGCTTGACCACTTAGAACGAGTGTTATGGAGCGTCGACGTGTGTCTGGGATATTCTGGTGGCGCTTTAGGATCGGAAGCACTATGGCGTCGTGACGAAATACCATTGCCGCTCTCGACCAAGGAATGCTGCTTTATTGGGGCCGCGAGAGTAGAATCCTTAGATGAAGCGGCACTGGTTGATCTATAGGCCTCTGACTCTAGGCCTGAGTCCTCAAATAACGGCGGGTATGAATGGGGCGGCGGTAGATACGGCTCTGTTGACAAGACATCAACTGGCTGATTGACAAACTCGTCTAAAGAGCTGCGCCCTACCCTTGTGGCCTGCGATGAACTTTCCGACGAGGTCTTGGGCGGATAATTGAAGAGGGATACCAATGGTTGACTTTGCGGTGACACGTGTGTTGGATTGATGAGGAACGATATTGGAATGGCCTGATGTCTTCGACTAGATGGCAACTCAATATCATCAGGGACTTGTGGTGCAGAGGGAGAAGCGGGACCAATATTACTGGATGTGTTGTAGGTTGTGGCTCTATACGATGTTCTGTGCGATTGACTGGGGGAGGCGGCATGATGGCGTGCTGTGGAGGGGATGTGATCCATAGAAAGCATGCGGTACCAGGATACTGACGTTGAGGATGGTGGAGACGATGCGGGTGGATTGGAGGTCGGCGTGGATGTGGACGTGGATGCGGATGAGGATGTAGATGTGGACGCGGATACGGGTATGGATGTAAAGGGTGCATGCGAAGACGGCGCATTCTCGATCAGGCGGTGATCCTTGACCTGTGCCGGGATGATCTTTTGGTACCGTCCTCGACGAGTCATGGCGAGTCCAAGTCTAGGAAGGATAGAAAGTAATCGTTGAAGATAGGACAGGGCAACAACGAATATGGTAACGATTAAATTTTAGACAGTCGATCGCAACGATTCGAAGCCATTTGACTAAAAGGAGTTGAGTAAATTGAATGAGTACAAGCAGACGCGAGGCTGAACTGAGCGGCTGGCGAGCTGGCGGAAAGGCGTGAAAAGGAGGGCAGCGTAGGCGTTTTTATCGAGCGTGCGGGGTGATGGTATGGAAGATCAAGACAGAAAGCGTTGTGAAAGATCGACAGCGAAACGGTGCCGTTGAAGGAACAGCAGAGGTCTGTAAAGGAGCGGGAAATGGAGAGGAAAGCGTAGGCGCAAAGGACAGAGAGAAGGAGAGAAGAAGAGGGAAGAAGAGAGAGGGGGAGAAGAAGAGAGAAGAAGAAAAGTGAGAGAATGGGAGAGAGAGAGTTGGAAGCGGATATAATTTATCAAAGGCAGATGCGTTCATTTAATGCTACTTTGCGGTAATGAGTGAGCTGAGTAACGCAAAGTCAGAATAGCAACACTATTTAATTGATTAACCACTTGCCCACACCATGCTCATCTCCATGCCAGCGTTGCATGTTTGGGCACACAGATGAACATGTACACGTCGACTTGCGCTTAAATTTGCTCCTTGAGCCATGTGTGGATTCTAAGGCAGTGAGCGGAATGGGTAGGGTGGCACTACACAAAAAAAGACGAAAGGGAGGGATCGCAATGAGAAGAGGAAGCCAGAGCTTAGATCTGAGGATTCATAGAAGAAAGAAGACAAACAACGGGAAATGAGAGCGAAAGAAGGGTATATTAGGCGATGTGGATGAGATGCGATTCGATGCGACGCAGACGGCAATGGTGAAAGACCGAGTGAGCATCGAGAATGGAGAGGACGGAGAGAGAAGGACTCGGACATCTAAACATACCACATGGAGGACAGAGGATATAATGGAAGATGCCATTGAGTCGAGACCTCTATTTCAATAACGGATATGAATTACGGCAAACCATTGAGCAAACACTCTCTCGATGCAGCTGTCTCATGTATATAATAATTACTCTTTCTCGTCGCCATCCCAGTCGAGGCTCTCACGCACTACATCATCAACCATGACGACGATGGCGGCAGTAACTCTCCACAACCACATCCTTGTTAAGATCAAGTTCTGCTCATATTGTCGTTTGCTACATTCCCGAAAAAGAAAGAAGGAAACAAAGAAAGAAAGAGGAAACGCAAAATAACAATAGCAACAACAATAAATAATGTTGCTGCAATATGAGAGAAGTGCACTGGTTTAATACCACTTACGAGCATTGATAGTGAAATGTCCGCCGCAGTATTGGACAATACTTTTGGAGACCAACTAGTCCCGCGGACCTTGAGGGGATAAGGCACCTAAGGCACAGCAGGGGAACTCCCGCCAAAACATTCGTTCGAGCAACAACCACCCTTTTTTCCTGTGGATGGCGGAGACTCTGAACCTAATTTTTTAAGAGCGCGTTCAAAAATTTCCCGCGCTTTTTTTTTTTTTTTTTTTTTTTCTTGTTGATTCTCAACGAAATTCTATACTCAGGTTTGCAGCAAAAGAATTTATGGGAATGGGATGTGCCTGCGGAGCAAGGCGGGGCTCGAGACTAGACGGACATTTATTTGCTACGGAGCGCCAAGCAGGTAAATGTTCTTGCATGGTGTGCGTAATGGACGAAAGCCCCGATTCTTGCAATGCTCGTTCTGATGCCTGCTCTCAATTATTTTGAGCACTCTACTAGAGAAACAGATGCACGGCGAAGTACATATGGTAGCGGATCAAAAAATAAAATAAAAGCGACACGTAGAGGCCTGGTAGTACCACGGTTCTTGTTTGACAATAATATATCACTTTTTAGCATGTACTATGGCAGTGCATGGAGAGAAGCATCCTCTATTCTCACAACTCCATGATATGTTGATATGTGCAGTAGCTCCTTCCTTTCAACTGTCCTTGCGTGATGTGTGGCCTCCATTCGGAAGAATTCTCCTCTTGTTATGTTCATACCAGCAATCGCAATCTGCAAATTCAACCTGCAGCGCAGTCGGTCTTGCTCTCCGGCTCCACATGTGTACATGTATAGAGAATGGATACAAACACGTTGAATTCTTGCGCCTCCTCTGTTGCTTTATTGTCTTGCTAACTTCACACTTCTTTTTTCTTCTGGCAGATTCATCTATCTTATTACAATCCTCGCCGGGAAGGCGTAGCGCCATTATATTTTCTCGTTAGCTCTTTCTATTCAATATTGTCACCAATGTGCATTCATCCTCATTTTATCACCATCCTGTCCTATTCCTACCTCATCCATACCTCCATCTCCTTCCCCATTCTCATCCTCATCTCTGCAAAAAAAAGTGAGCACTCATATATTAGTGTTACGACTTTCTGGCAAGGACTCTGTAGGTTGTGCAATTCATGGAGCACGTGACAAGGCAAGGATGGCCTGATTTTCAGGCCGAGTGTTCATTGGCCAACGGCTATTCCTGAAGCCTTGGGGACAGGATGCTTTCAACGTGCCAGGGCATGGCAGATCAAGGAACTTTTTTTGATTCCCAGCTAGCATCAGCTTAACTGTCTGCTCTTTTCTTCTCTTTACCACTTCTGCCCTCTGTTCCTTTCTCTCTTACTCTCTTTCGCACTTGCTCACTTGTCCCGCTGGTTTTGTACACTCTATCTGTTTTGTAGGCATATCATTTTTCTTCCCCTCATATCCCCTAGATCCGTCCTTCATATTGCTTCAACAACCATGGCCTCTGCTATCCTTTCCTCCCTCCTCCATCCATCCGAGGTACTGGCCCTAGTCCAGTATAAACTCTCACCGAAGGTCAAACATGACTACAGCAGCGACAAGACCAAGGAGCGTCTCTACTATTTCCTCAACATGACCTCCCGCAGTTTTGCTGCCGTCATTCAGGATCTGGACGAGGAACTCAAGGACGCCGTAAGTGTAGCCACCATCATTGGATGGCCATAGATCATCGCCGTACTTCCACACTAGTCTTTGTTGTATATGTGGTCGCGATTTTCGGTGCCCTCTCTTTTAACATAGTGTGAAATGTAACTGCATTTCTTAGATCTGCATTTTTTATCTTGTTCTTCGCGGACTTGACACCATCGGTAAGGGCACATCGTTTGAAGTTGTAAAATAGCGTTTGTTTATAATTGCTTGGTTGCTTTGAGGGTCCAATTGATAATCCTTAGTAATCCTTACTCTTTTGTTGTATTCTTGGCTTATAGAGGACGACATGACTATCGATCTTGATGTTAAGATCCCTTACTTGAAGACATTCGATGAAATCATCTATCAAAAAGGATGGACCTTCACAAAGAGTAAGTAAGCAGGAATGGACAGTTGTGTACCTGATTTGGCACATGAAGCTACAATCTAATCCTGAGAGTTTTTTTATTATTACTATAGACGGTCCTAACGAGAAGGATCGTCAATTGCTCGTTGAGTTCGACACCGTCATCGAGAGCTTCTTGCAGTTGAAGCCTGCCTATCAATCCATTATTGCAGACATCACGAAGCGCATGGGGAACGGTATGGCTCACTACGCCACTGCAGGAATCCACGTCGAGACTATCGCTGATTATGACGAGTATTGCCATTATGTTGCCGGTCTTGTTGGTTTGGGACTGAGCGAGATGTTCAGCGCCTGTGGATTCGAATGTATGCCTCGTCCTTGTTGCGCTGGTTGCCGTTCTGCTATGCATATCCTTCTCTTAAACATCGTAAATTGATCAGGATCAATATTTGTTTTATGTGCTTTTTAGCACCCATGGTGGCCAAAAGAAAGGACTTGTCCAATTCGATGGGTCTATTCTTGCAAAAGACCAATATCATTCGTGACTATCTGGAGGATTTGCACGACAACCGCCGCTTCTGGCCCAAGGAGATCTGGGGTCAGTACGCCGGGAAACTGGAAGACTTGGTTAAGCCAGAGAACAAGGAGGAGGCACTGAAATGCCTGGGCCATATGATCACGAACGCCATGGGGCATATCAAGGACGTGCTTGAATACCTGAGTCTGATCAAGAACAAGTCCTGCTTCAAATTCTGCGCTATTCCACAAGTCATGGCTATCGCCACCTTGAACTTGCTCCATACCAACTACACGGTCTTCACGCGCGAGAACGTCAAGATCCGCAAGGGAGAGACCGTATGGCTGATGAAGGAATCCAATAACATTGATACGGTTGCCGCTATTTTCAGATTATATGCCCGTCAAATCAACAACAAATCTAACCCCCTGGATCCCCATTTTGTGGACATTGGCATCATCTGCGGAGAGATTGAGCAGATTTGCGTGAGCAACTATCCTGGATCCACAGCGGAACTGAGGCGTATTCAAGCTGGAGTAATGGCTGGCACAGGCGGAAGCGTACTGACGGCAGCGGCAGTTGTCGCTGGCGCCGTTGTTCTCAAGAGTACTTTAGCATAAACCCAACGTGGGGGCTCTACCTAGCCCTCTTTAAAGAAAATAAAAACAGGAATCAGTAAGGTCTGTGCGCTAAGGATTGGTGGCAATATTGTGGCTTGATCAGCAGGTTGGTCTTGGTGGGACTCCATCGCGTCATGCTACCATGCTTCAACAATGGATCACTCAAATGTTCGCGTGTATGCAAAACACCTCCAGGCGCCCAGCGTAGTCCACCAGGCATGCATAGGGGACTGGACGAGACATCAAGGTGATGTACAGGGAGAGGTGGATACACAGGAATCCGCCCAGGTTGACGTGGTGTTCGGAAAGGTCAGTGGAACTGCTCAGCCCGATGCTCATCAATATCAAGATGGAATATTGGATTGGGATCACGCAATAGGAGCAACGGCTATAACTGTACGTCTTTTGTTATTCCCAGGGATCTTTTCTATCGCTTTATAGATTTGTGGCAGATGGAGCGGTTCTGGAAGAGCGGCCGACAGGGTCGCTCAATCTGATTCACGAGCAGGCGGTGTTTGGAACTATTAAGGACGTAAAGACGCTAACCTGCACATTGGAGCCGGAACATGAGGATGCTTTGGGAACGGAAATGGAGGCTGACGAGCAATCTGACCGTCCAAGGCTTGGGTATCTTCCAAGGAATGCGTCAATGACCGTTTTAGTTGCCACTTCCGACTCTGGTATTCTGTCGTTTTTGACATTCAGCTACAAGGAAGACGATCAATGTACAGCTGGACACGGGCGATTTCATATTTTAAAGGAGGTATGCTTCGCTATGTTTTGCCATGATGGGATCTGCTGCCCACAGCACCATCCAAACGTCTTTTAAACATAATTTCGGCATTGCCCTTATACATACGCATGTAGATCGAGATCGCAGAGCCAGGATTTGACTACATGCAAGCAGGAGCGAAGATCGCGGTCGACCCATCGTAAGATATGACAGCATTCCTTAGGAGAATATAAAGACCTGAGACTTTACCGTCAACGGCCTCGTATCTCATCCACTTCTGCTTTCTCTTTAAGGTCCCGAATCATGGCAGTATCGGCTCTTCAAAACCACATCAAATTAGTTATCATCAGGAGTACGAAGAGGTCAAATTTTGATCCGGTGGAACGGGTAAGCGCATTTCAATTTATACAGACATCATGATATCCTTTTAATAAATTAGTAGTCTAACTTTGCTCGTGTGGTAGATATCAGATATCGATCTGAAGGGGACGATAGTCGGGATGGACTTCCTTACTCCAGATTCAGAGGACCTTGCCATCTTGGCGGTTCTATTTCATAAGTATGGCACATTGGTATGAATATTTGCTCCACACATCGGTTGTCTTCGAGGCACTTACGCATTTAAATCAACATCTGTGACTGTTTATCGACCCACCTTAGCAAAGAAACCTCAAAGTATCACCTCGCCACTTTTCATATTGGCCTTCATAATCGTCTGACTGGCCCTCTCTCTATTCAAGTCGGAACAAGTCAGCTCGGGTCAAATTCGCAAAAATCAGTCGTTCTTATAAAGGCTCTGCCAAATATCCCATGCTCCTTGGTCTATGTTGACGTAAGTATATGGTTGTCATGTCCCTTTCACAATCGTATTAGAAGGTAGCTAATATCCTCTTTTCGACTCTCATAGGAAGAGAAAATCACCCTCGTCACTGTTGAGACGCCAACAGGACCCAGAGTAGCCGATACAGCAAGGCATACCACCCGCTCGTCATTGCAACTGCTCAAGAGAGAACGCTCGGAAAAGCTTGGCGAGCTTCTCGCAGGACCATTGGCGAGTGACACTTTCCCGTTGATATCTGCGTGCGCCACCCCTCCATCTTCGCCCTTCCCTTCGAGCGATCAAACACTTTACCTGGGAAGCGATACCTCCGAGCTCTACCGTGTCAACATTCAATATTTGACCTATACGATGCAGTTTGAGCTCATCTCCGGAGACAGGCCAATCGGGGATGTGATGCAGGTTCTTGTGAGGCGTCAGTTCGCTACCGAGCCTTTATTGTCCGATATGGATCAGGAGATTGTACTCAATACCGACTATCTAATCTATTCGAGCGACTATGGTGATGGAGGCATATTGGCTATCAAGGAAGAGGAGGATTCAATTGATCTTTTTGCGATAACAGAGCTCCAAAACAACTCGCCCATTTTGGACTTTTGCGTGCGGGAACCATCTCATCCTGGACGCGATTCGCTTTATGTGTGTTCTGGAATGAAAGACGAAGGCTGTTTAAAGAGAATTCGATCTGGAATATCCGTCGAGTCCTCTGGAAGCAGTGGAAATGAATTTTTCGCAGGCGCGACTGGCCTTTGGAGCGTCAAAGAAAACCTCAAGGATGCGTTTGATTCCTTCTTGGTCGTGTCCTTTATGCAGAGTACCAAGTTCATGCGCAGTGGGGATGGTGGTAAGAATTTTTGAAAATGTGAAGGTATCTTTTTTTTTTTTTTTTTTTTCTTTTTTTCATCCTCCCTTGATTTCGAGGCCAAAGACTGAACTGGGAACATTCCGTTTGATTAACAGGCAGTCTCGAGGATATAAGCGGAAGTTGTGGATTCGACCTTGCGCAAGCTACGGTTCATGCTGGGCGTTTGCGGGACGGCGTGATCTTCCAAGTACATCGCTCCGGCGTTATTGCAACATATTCTGCCACTGGTGAACGGCACTCGTGGCACTGCGACGATGGCGTCCTTACATCGGCGTGCTTGATTAGCGAGGGGACTCTGATTTTGGGACAAATATCTGCTGGATCAAGCATGCTTATCATGCTTGAATTAACCTCGGAAGGATCAATCGGCGATCAAGACTTCGCTATGAACACATTCAAGGTCCTTGCTTCAAAAGACCTCAAGGCAGAGCCAACTACAATTAACTGCTGGAGGCAATCGAGTGACACGGACTCGCCGGGCACTGAGGATGATACTCTATTTTGCATCGGTACATTGGAGCCAGCTGTGCTTGTGTTCCAAATCAAGACGAGCGAGATTTTTGAGCTCTACAGTGAATCGTTGGGCAAGTGCACATTCAATGGAGCCAAGAGTTGAGGTATATTAGGAATCAGGACTAACGTGTTACGTCTGTGACCCTTGTTTGCTTAATATAACTTTAGCACAAGCCGGTCTAGAGAGTGTCGCCATTCCTCATTCCATTTGTCTACTCAGAAGCCGTCAGGGCCGGTTCAAAATTCTGGTGGGCCTGCGTGATGGAGGTATCATCGCTTACGACTGGACGAAATTTCAAGAACAGCGGGATTTGAGTGTTCCGGCGCCAGCACGACCTATGTCTTCGCCTCGGCTGTACAAACTCGGTATTTTACCGGTCAAGTTCGCTCTCTCAGACACTCCTACGCTTTCAAATGCTTTGGTTCTTTCGGACAAGCTATGGCTAGCAAGTTATAATCAGGGGTTTGAGATTCTACCGATCCTGTTTGACAGCGAAGTAAGACGATCTGTAACCTGCGTGCTTTTTCCTTTTATCGCTACGGTAATTGTTAACGTCGGAGGGATGATACTAATGCTCAATTCTGGTAGGTTTCGCAAGCATGCTCGTTTCAGTCCAACGATGAAGAGCAGACAGCAAAAGACGGATTTGTCTTTATTGTGGACCATCACGATATTCAACTTGCCACACTCGAAGGATTCAACAAGTACAGCAATCAGGCGCTGGCTTTGGGGCGTGTAAGTGTGTGTGTATGGGTAGAGGGTCCTGAGTGATATATACTCAAAAGTTGACTATTATTGATTGACATCCCGTTAAAATACTCTTAGACACCACGAAGAATCCTTGATATCACATCAAAGAGGTTGCTGCTCCTTGCAAGCGTTGGCGACGGGTTCCCCTTTGCCGAATCGACACTGCAATTGATTGACCCAGACAGGTGAGACAGCATATTGCTTCCCCCTGCGCCGAAGTTTGGGAAGAAACACAGCCTTGGAACTTATCTTCCTACCATTTTATTTCGTAGGGCCTCACACGATCCGGGTTCGGAGAAGCAGCACATTGTGGCTGAATTTTCACTGAAACAAGGAGAGGCCGTCTATTGCCTTACAGGTAATATAGCACCGAGTAAACATGCAGAGTAGTCTTAAGCCTTCCAAAGCTGACTCTGGTCATTGCTAACTAATGCCGGCATTTCTTTCTTATAGAGTGGAAAATCCCAAGACCAAACAAGTCCGACGCTGTCTATATTTGCATAGGCACAGGGCTCTTTTCACCTACAGGGACAGAGGTATCAGCTGCCGCTCCAAAAACAGGGCGTTTGGTGGTCTTGTCTGTGAAGCAGTCCAGAGTAAGTGCTTCGCAAGTATAAAGCTATTTTGTCTGAGTGTGAGCAGCCTTAGCATGGACGCAAACTAAATCATTGTTGTTTAAAGAAAACAGACCGGAAATTCAGGAAGTTTGAGCTGGATTTAAGATGGGCCATGGCGATGCCTGCGCCAGTCTTTGCTATTTCCACATTCATGGAAATGTATGACAAGTTTTTTTGTGTAGTACGCGTGTTGTTTTTCATGCTAAGGACGAAATTTAACATGATTTTTCGACTCACTGTGGTACATTATTAGGAAGTTACTTATATCGAACGGACCGGTATTGAAGCTGTTAGCCCTTGACTTGGAGAAGAAAACGTAGGCTCCGACTTCAGGCGAAAAAACAATTTCATTCCTTGATTCCAGTTGTGTACTGATGTGCCTACTGTTCTTCATTCTCGCGCTTTCATAGCTTGGTCGAGAAGGCTTCGCATCGCGAGCGTTGGCCCATCGTACAGATTTCCAACCATGGGTCCATGATCTGCACTGGCTCAAGACGGGAGTCTATATGTTTTTACGAGTATCAGTCAGGCATCGGAGGCGAGAGGAGTCATGACAGGCTGCGCTTTTTAAAAAGGTACATTCTCAGGGCGGCTACGCGAGGATCTGTCATGAGCTCAAAAGCGCTTGGTATATTTACCTATCTTTGTTTTTCTGTGTATCACTCTATTCCTATACAGCGCCAAGTCAACGAGAATGGTCTCGGACTGCATGGCGATCTCGCCTGAGTTCGCAGTAGGCGTCGATAGCTCTGGTGGAATTTTTGGGCTAGGATATTCCCGAGGTAGACGCCATTTTTTGACCGCAGTCTTTATTTCGTGTAATACGAATGTTCACTTCAAAAGCCGCATTTGGAGTGCACGAAACTGATGTCTTTTCGTCATTCTAAATTCTTTAGAGGATCCTGGCTGCCAACATACTCTCGTAGACCGGTTCTCCTTCCATTTGGGCGAGGTTGTGAACCGAATCCGAATCGCGAAAATTTGGCCCGCAGATGTCCGTTCCTTGGCGGGCATTTCTCTATCGCAGCGAACCTCTGACACGGAGACCACAGATGCTACGGTATTCTTGGAGTGCGATTCGTGGCGACCATCATCTGGGCAACTGTCTTCATGGATCCTCCTGCCCTGGACCATGGATTCCAATATCCAGCCTTCATCCTCGACGCAACTGACGCAATTGACAGCACAGCTTTCCTCGCAGGCACTCATCGCTTGTAGCCTAATTGGCAGTATTTTTGGATTCTGGAGTCTGAATTCGCAAGTGTACTTGATTCTCAGCTCTCTCCAGAGTATCCTCCAAACAACATACGAGTGTCGCCCTGTTCTGGGCAATCTGCATGACCGCTATCGCAGCCTGTCCTCGCCGGGATCCAATACGGTTGATGGAGACCTACTATATCAATTCCTGGGATTGGACCATGAATTGCAGGTACAGCTTGTGAGCAAAGCTGTTGGCCTGGAGCGGATTGTAGACGGCTGGCTTCTGCAGACTGGTATGGGTACTCAGGAACAGATATACCTGAGCTCTGCCCCACGATCCGTGTCCAAGGATAACACAACGATCGAGTCTGGTTGCCTCATGCACAAACAACCCGGACAGAATCAGGGGCGTTGTAAGGCAACCAATGTGATTTGTCATATCGTCGAATATTTGCACAGCCTGGACTGGCATCAACAATAAAAAGAGACGAGGTTCTTTCTTTCTTCATCACTTTCTTCACATTTATGATTACTTGGAGGTGGACTCAGGGGAGGACAAGTGGAAAGGGGAAAAGAAAGAGAAAATAAGAAAAAAAAAAGAGAAAAAAAAAAAAGGAAGAAAAATGAAAAATGAAAAAAGAAAAAAGAAAAAAAAAAAAAAAAAGATTCTACCGCCGATCAGGCGAGTCTTCTGCAACCTTGATGATCGCAACAAGCACACTCATGTCGTCCTGTTTACCCCCTTGGTAGTAAAGGCCCTCCTGCATCGCGCGACTCTGGAATGGACTGCCATGATGCCTCGTATCCTCGCTAACGCTCTTGGCCCTTTTTGCCAATGCATCGCTGATGACGCTGGGCTCTGGAATCTTGCGCTCGTACTGCCTCTGCGACGCCGTGGGTATGGTATATAGTGCAGCGGAGGGCGGTAATGCGGTCGAATGGGCGGCAGCGATGGCTGCCGCGGCAATGGGCGAAAGCTCACTAGACGACTCTCGATCTTCCCGACTCAGCAGTGCTGCGATGGGTTCTGCTTCCCCTGCTGACGTTGCTGTACTTGTTGCAGCTGTATCTGCTGTCCCTGCGGCGGCCGTAGTCTTGCCGGTAATTGCTGCAATTGTCGAGGTGGATGTTGAGGCCAATTTGGCTGCACCGCTCGTCAGTCCACTCCAAAGACCGCCCACACCCTTGCCTGAGAGAATCGCTGGCGGTTTTCCTGTGCCGTAAGGACTCTGGTTCTGATTCGGATCTACGCCACTGACACATCGCACAACTTCCTCCAGAATATCCTCGTCAAAGAGATTGTCGAAAATGCCGTCTGTTCCCATCACGACAATATCGCCACTCTCCACCTTGACCGTGAACACCTGGGCATCCGTAGGACTATCAGTGCTGCCCGTCCCGAGCTGGTACGGATAATTGAATGAGTGCTGCTGCTCCTCGGTTCTGAAAATGAACTCGTTGTGACGAATAACGCTCACACCACAGTCCCCCAGGTTGGCAATACGAAGTTCGTCGTCACGGAGGATAGCCAGGCATGCCGTTGAAGATCCGATCAGGCCCTATATAGTTTCAGATATTCCATCAAGAGAAATACACATGTACATGTTAGGAAAAGAGATTTTTTAAAGGCGAGTTGCTGTAAGGAAGTAATCGGTTACGGAAACTTGATGAGACTTGGACGGACTGCGTTACCTCCTTCTTGGCATCCCTTGCACTCTGTTCGTAGCTCTTCTCCAGGATCTGAACAGGGTTGACATTGAAGTAGTCGTAGAATGCCTCCTCCTCGATGTTGTCATATTTTTCCAGCTCCAAGAAGGCGTAGTGCATCAGCTTGCGCGAATAAAGGGCCGGGTTTGCGCCTAAGAAGAGACAGAAACGCTGCGCTGGTTAGATATGTGTATGTGGTAGGCACATTAAAAGTCAGATAATGGCGCACTGACGGTGTGAACCGTAGCATTGTGCTGTCCTTATTTACTCGGCGTGCAAGGGGAAGCGGAAGGGGTAACTATCCCAGGGTTTGTGGCCGGCCAACTCCAGTGAGTGAGCATTGTTTGTTTTTGCACTCCAATTCATTTTTGGGCCCTGGAAACGCCCTATCTTTCTATCCTTTGTCCTTATCGTAAGACATGCAAAATGGAATTGAAGACAGGCGTCGCTTCCATCACCATCCCGCTCCATATAGAAAAAAGACCTATGCTCCTATGTTGCTGTATTGCACCCAACAAAAGAGTCTTATAGTCTCATAGCACCAAAATGGGGTGCATGAGTGGCCAATTAACGATGGCTCCTTCCTATTCCCTCTCTTTCCACAAGCGCCAACTGTGTGGCCAAAGTCGCGTAGGAATGGCCTGCACATTGATAAAGACAAAGCAAGAGAGGACACGATAGTTGAGTACTTGCCTGTTGTGCCGCTCCACCCTCCAACACCATCTGCGACGCCGAGGGCGTCATGTCGGCGAAAATATGAATCCTCTCCAACCTGTACGCTGAAGTAGGCGCGATCCTCCTCAGGCGTAAGCGTGGGTGCCTTTCCAGGGTTCTTTGCAAAGCCAGATGCGCCATGCGCAAAGACGTAATTATGCCGTGTGTTCTGAAAGGGCTGATCGAAAAACGACGAGGTCTTTGTTGTTGTAATGGTCGATCCTTGAGTCCTTCCTGTACCTCCCAATGTCCCTCCTCCGTTACTGGGCTTTATTGGGTTCTGGCCCGGTTCGTACGATGACTGGGTGAGCGGATCTATCCACGGCAGTTCTGAGGTCCATCGCAAAGCGGTCTGCTCAGTAAACACGTGTGCATTTGCTGCTGCTGCATGAACATCACCCGTGCTCGAGATGGGTACTGAAGAAGGATGGCCAGAGTCTGTATTGTTGCGTGAGATATTGTCGGTGCCATCCAAGCTCGAAGCAGCTGCTGCGGTTTCCGTTGCAGCCTTTGCTGTTTCCGAGGGCGAGGGCGAGGGCAACGAGCGGTTTAAAGCAGAGGTGTGGAGCAGACAGGCAGCATTTGAGCAAGGGTGATCTTGCTGTTGACGGACGCGTGAGTTGTGCCGTTGACATGATCTATGGTGATAATGCTGCTGTTGTTGTTTTTGCTGCTGCTGCTGCTGCTGCTGCTGGTGGAGTTGCAGTGGTTGTAAATGGGACTGGGTGTGAATCGAACGCGCGCCTGAATCCAGACTAGGTCCGATTATGAGACGCGAGGGCAGCAGACGTAGGGACCCTGAGGCGGAGGCGGTGGAGGCGGTGGTGGCCGTGGCAGAGACGACGGTAACCACCGGGGTGTGGAGCTGCTGCAGGAGCTGCTGTCCACGGAGGAGGGTGCTTTGGAGGTGCTTTGCCTTGCTCATTCAATCTTGTTTCAGGATGGGTTGAAACTGTGGGTGTGTGTGGAGAGAGATAAGATAGAGAAAGATAGAGGAAGATAGAGGGGGGAGAGCAGCGTGAGAGAAAAGCAATCAAAAAAATAAATAAATAGATAGCAATGGTAGCAATAATAGTGATAACAAAAAAATAAAAGAAAAAAGGCATGCAGAATGCAAGCGAGCGAGCGAGTGGTTGGTGAGGGTGGGTGGGCGAGAGGGGACGATGGATGGATGGGGAGGTTCTTGATCGAGAGGGATGTGAAGAGAAGGGGGATGAAGAGAGAGCGTGCAGAGGCGATAAAGGCGATAACAACAACACGCATGTTTCTTCTTACCCCACACATTACACCACTGCTGCTGCACTCGTCCACAGTCCACAGCTGCCGCCACCAACCACACCCGCCCATCCTCCTCTCGACTCTCCCCCCGCACCACCGCCAGCCACCATCCACCATCCACACGCCTGCTCTGGAGACTAGCGCGTCCTCTGCCTCGCCTTGCTCGCACACACACACGTACGAATGCGCCTCAGCCCCTGGCCTCGCTCCCTCTCCGATCTCCGAGAAAATCAAAAAAACGCGGGCGACGTATGGCCCTCGCTCCCCACACTCACCCCTGCTCACAATCCTATGGACGATCCCGGGTGCTCTGTTACGCGCTACCTGTGGCCGCACAGGTGTATGTAGTCCAAACCTCAACGGAAACAGAACAGCCGATCATGATGATCTCGCCCTTGTGCCCTTTTGTTCACACGCGCAATCCGTATCATCCGCATCTGCATCTACATCTGCATCTTCGTAAACATTCGCTGAGTCCAAAGGCAGCTCATACAGTCCTAATGCTTTTTATTTCCGCATCCAAGCACCTCCACTCAATATTCTCTTCATTGCAAGTCGCCCTTCGCTTCCCCAACAGGGACTGGCCTACCATATCCGACACCGGGGTCCAATTCGCCTGGCATACGAGTAACGCTGAGGTTCCATTCGCCTGGTGGCCGGGGTGCGGTGATATGAACCTTGACTATCCAAAAAAATATATTCAAAAAATATATCAAAATACGCATGATTTCATTTCTAACCCAAATGTCGACAGACGTCTACGTACCTTTGAACTTCAAAAGGCCTGCAAGGCCTTTGGCGCCGATGTCAACCGATAAGTTGATGGAATGTCGGACCGAATAGACCGACGTCTCTATGGTAGGTGTAAGGGCCAGCATCGGAGGTATTGGCATCAGAACCGTACCCTGGAACCACTGCACCTCGTGTCTCGGCCAGTGGCTCAGCTTAAGATCGACCACGTTACCCTTGTACCTCGATGTAGTGGTGTTTCCACTATTGCTCGACAGAGTCGCGTATTGCTTCAATCGAAGTCTCGGCTGCAGAACTTGATCCTCTTTCCGGACGCCTTACTCGTCGACAAAAATGGGCCCAATCGAATAATAACCGGGACGGTCTGTCCCAAGCAGAGAACCTCTGATGGCAACGTGATGGAGCAAGGGAGAACTTCCTTCCAGTGGCCGTAGGTCGTGGCAGGAACAAGTTGAAGCCCTGCCGAGGGCGGTGGTAGAATAGTTGAGACAAACCAGATCTCCTTGGTCTCAATCACGTCCAAGCTCCATTTGCGGATCAAGCGGGCCGTGATGATGTAGCTCACCCGGGCATGATCACTACTGTTGAAGCATGGGAGAGTGGGAGGCAAAGATATCTCAAAGGTCTCCTCGTAGTGACCGGGCGATATCTTGTGTGGTCTGTTGGGTCGCTGGATGTTCATGATGAAGATTCGTTCGTACAAGACTTCTCTGCCGTATATCGTATCATCTCCAGCTGTCCGTTAATGGTTAGTGATAAGCGTTTGCAAAAAGAACGAACGTGTCAACCGGGCAATCTCTTTGCGCGTGGGCAGTTATTGCTGACTCGAAGGAGCTGCTTTACCTGAGAAGGAGCAACTAGCCTTGCCGACGAATGAATACTCAATCCTCTCGCCTTTGCACTCGTAATTGGCTGCGAAACGCACGCGACCCTGAATAAGGGTTGTCCCCTCAGGAACGCCATAGAACAGATATGACCCGTCAGGACCATTGGGCTGCCCGTTCAAGACCTCCACCCCCAATTTCTTTTCCTTTCCTTTGACGGTTATGCAAACAGGAGACTGCTACAGAATGAGCGAAGATATATTTTACATATATGCCAGAGTGGCAAGATGAGAGATGATGAACACGGCGGATGAACATGTTGATGTCAAGGGGCACAAACATCCGTGAGGCTACACTCAAATTGGCCTAATAAACAATGGTGGTTGATGGCATAGATTTGTAATAATATATTCCTACGTGTGAGAACTACTCGTAACGAGAGTACCCTGGAAGGGGTTCATCAGCATCAAATGCTGGAGCAGGCTCCACTAGCAGCAACGATTCTACCGGGACTGCATCTCCGTATTGTGGAGGCAAGGATGTGGACAGGGGCCGAGGTGCTGTGATTTGAACATCGACTGTGCAAAGCAGAGGCAAGAATGTTAGCCCACCAGTTCCAGGCTCTTTATTGCTTACGACCGCACAAAACAACTTACCCTGTGCCCTCAGCTTCTCTGCCTTGACCATCCGGCTTGATTTAAACTCGACCAAGACGATCAATGTGTGCGCAACATCCAAGTACTTTGTCTGCATATCCGCCGACATTGCTGGGGATAAGGGCATGGAGACATGGATTGTTCTCTGCCATCCGTCGATGCTCTGAGGCCACCCGGTGTTAACAGCAATATGCAGCAGCTTCTCTGATGTCTCGTATGTGTCTCTGACAAACATGGCTCGGAAGGTCTTTTTCTCCCGTAATGTAAAGCTGGCGCTGGTCACCACGGCCTCATCCCCTTCAAAGGCACATCCTGACCTGAAAGGCTCCAGTTGAATGGTGATAGGCACCACCTGCCCGAAATGTAGAGTGTCTGAAGGGATTGATAGAGAATATGGCAGTGAGTCCTTCCATTGATCTTGGACCACGATAGGGTTGTCGATGAGGCTGGTGCTCAGAAACGGTAGCGAAGAGTTCAAGACCCAAACCTCCTGTGTCACGACCCAGTCCGTCCGCGCAATTCCAATGCCCTTGGCACCCTTCAGACGTGCCTCGAAGATGTATCGCATCGAACCAAAAGGACTCACGCTAGAGGAAGGCAGTGACGGGTCGAGAAGGACAGAGCATTGCCTAGCATAGGTTCCCTTTGCAATCCAGCCTGCCTTTGGTCGTTCGACGTCTAAATCCCATTGCTTTGAATAAAAAACCTGTTCTCCCTGGTGTTTCCTTGACGCTTCGTCCTGTGCTATTCACCGTTGATGTGAGGATGTTAAAGAAAAAAGAAAAAAAGAAAACTGGACTGCTGCCAGGGCATTGTATGCATTTTCACAAACTTGCACTCTATCACCATACCAAAGTAAAACGTCTTCACTGCAGCTCTGAAAAAAATTTCGACGGCCTTGGCTTTACAGTCATGGCTACTCTCGAACTTCACTGTCACATGAAGTATGGTGTGGGTATCTTGATGTCCGTACACAAGTGGAAGGCCCTTGGGTCCGATGGCGCTTCCTGTATCGACGTGGATGGTCAGGTCTCTGACTTTTGGTTCTCCTGTTATGAACATTTTAGCGGGAAAAAAATTCTTTGTCGATTATGGGACAGGTGAGGACAGTCGAGGACGAGGCTGTTGATGAATTATAGTCCTGAAAAGACGAGGAGAATGATGACACGCAGCTGAAAGAGCGGGAAAAGAGGAAAGGAAAGAAAAGAAAAAAAGGAAGAAACTAAGGGAAGTAAATAGTACAAGTGGCCTCTGACTTGTACCACATGGCGCAATGTAGCAAGGCTAGCCAGATAGTCTAGTCTTCCTTCATTCCCGCATTCGCTTCATAATGTCCAACAGACGCAATGCTTTATGCCTCCGAGCGTCGTTAAGATAAACCAGCTTTTTTTTTTTTATTTTTTTTTATTTTTTATTTTTTATTAATATTACTATTATCATGAAACTGCGCGGATGAATCGGAAGTTCTGCGCCAGATGGGTATAAAAGTTGAAGATCAACAACATGACCAGCAGCAGCTCAAGTCCTACCATTGCCCCCTCTCGCCGACACAATCGACCCACAATGTGGTCGTGGTCTGCCAAGGATACGCCCTCCTGGTTCCACAGCCAACTCAACTGCGTTTTTCCTGCGGTCGTACATCCGAACGTCCAGGTGTAAACGTATATCGTCACGCTCAAGACCTGAGCCCAGATGATTGAGGCAACGATCTCTGAAAAGATGACGATCAGCGGTTTGGAATTGGACGTATCCAGTCCCTCGGGCGGTCTCCTCGATTCCAAAAAGATGGTGAAGCAAGAGTAGGCCACGGTGAGGATCGAGAGAATGATGGTGATGATGAGGGAGGCATTGGCGTTGGAGAGAGGAGTCGCAATTTGTTCTGGCGTCAGGTCCCGATGAAGGATGACAGTAGCATCGAGCGCAATGACAAATAGAGAGACTGCAGCCATAACGGTAAGAGACTTGAGGATGTTGGAGAAGAGTGGAGAGTTGAGAAACATCTTCACGGCCTCAATGTTGATAGCAGTATTGGTGCCGACGCTTTGTCGGCGTGCCTGTAGAAGCAAGTCGTCGTCGTCCCTCTCATCCCACATTGTAACTGGGGGAAGATCCCGCGAAGAAATGCATTGACCCGTCGGATATCCTCGAGCTAACTCCAGCGAATATTTTTGGCTCCTCTTCTTGGACCGCACCGACATCCCATTTCTGCTGAGCCGGAAATGGGCCGGAGATTCGTGGTGAGGGCAATTACAAGTGCAGGGGCTATGATTTGCATCGACCTTGTTGGTCCTGAAGATGTCCTGTAGCTTCTGCGGATACCGCGGATGGTGGGAGTGGTTGACGTCGCTTAACAAGGGTTCTGCTGCAGGGTTGGTCGTTTCCAGGTTGGTGGGTCTACCAGATGCGCTGCTACTTTTGGCTAAAAGTCGTTCGGATACTGTTGATGTATTGCTCATGGTCGCAAAGACGGACCATGAAGATGCAGCTGTAGATCCTGTTGGACTAGGCGAGCGTGGTAAAGATGCCTTTGATGGAGCCCTGGTTGAGTGAGATTCTGCCAGGCTTGTTGAAGACGAGCCGCTCTTAGTGTGATTAGCGCGGACCTCGTATTGTTCCTCAAGTAGCCCACTCCAAGAAAGCGACTCGTTCAGTGCCCATCTGTACAATGAAGAATGAGGAACAAGTAAGCAATCTGGGTAGCGATGGACGAATAGTAGAGACCTCAACCCCGATATGGAGCTGTGTTTGGTTCAAGAAGAGGTTCGGCCTCGCCTGGCTATAACTGTGGCAGCACAGTCCAGCTAAGTAGCTCCTTCTTGGCGCATTGCTCCATATTCCTGCTCCTGAGCTTGTCCGTGGTTGTTGCCCTGCCTCGGTCCCTGCTTTTGACTTACGGTGGAGCCGTGCTGACGGTGGACTTCTTGAGCGTTGCTCGCTCGATATCGCTCGGTGCCCTATGGCGGGCCATTGGGCACGCACAAAAAGACAGGCCAGCGAGGAAGAGGGTGGCACAATTGATGGGTGAGAAGAGAATACTTCCGCACGCTGGCCAAGAGAGAGGGAGATGAAAAGGGAGAGATGGGACAAAGGATGATGGATCAAGAATCATTCCTCGTCCATTCTACAGATGCATTTTTTGATGTTCGTCCCGTTACTTCGCTTATGGGCTCCACATAAATTGTTACTATTATTATTGCTGCTGTTGATACTGCTGATTTGCGCCTTCGATGACCCGCATTGTGCAGATGGCTTACAGACTACCGTACAGATGTGGCACTGACATGGTCATAATACGACCTATTGGTAGTCATGGTATGGACGCCCTACAGAGTTTGAATTGATCGGTCTGGCTGTCTTTTTCGGATGGAGGCTAGCCAGTGGATTCCTAGCCTTGTCGCCAGCTTGGACTAATTTGAAACCATCAAAGTTTTCAGATTTTTTTCAGGTACCACCACATGTCACCATGCCTGTATTCTCCCCATGGGTCTGCCTGCTTGTCCATACTCGGTATCCCAAGGCCCACGATGCCAAGGGGAGTGTACAGCCACAACACAGTCGCAAGAGGGAAAAAAAAAAAAGAGAGAGAGAGAGAGAGAGCGCGCGAGAGAATGAGAAAAGGTAAGCTGGCAGACACCATTCAGGAACGGCTCTCCTGTTAGTCTATTTCTGATTGGATGCGACATAGAGTTTCTTTCTGCAAATGATAGAGCATTTCGATGGAATCCATCGTGCTCACCCACACAGCTTGGTTACACACATACACCTTGCTACTATAGTCTAGTCCATACCAGGGTTGTAATAAGGTTCCCTTCTTTTTCCATCATCCCCTCCACCTCTTCTTCATTCTTCATCTCACAATCCCATCCTCCTCTCCGCCATCACCCAGAACACCGTACTTCTTCCTTCCTTCCTCGTCAAGACAAAATAAAAAATCATTAGAATCTAATACCATCAATTGATATTCAGGAACAGGGCTGCACTTGCTGTATCGCATACCCCTCCTCGCCAACCATGTCCTTCAACCAGAAGCCTGCCTCGACGTCCACATCGTCCTCCTTCGCCGTCAACGTTAACCCTCGACGTCAGAGCTCATACGGACACATCATGGCCGGAACCGGTGGACTACCCTCCACCCACACTGCCGCCATCAAGTCATCAATCGCTGCCGCGGCTTCTGCATCCGCATCTGCGAACAGCGGTCACCCCAACTCTCCACCGAATCATACTAACAGCACCAAGCGTCTGAGTGGACTACACCTCCTCAATCCACTGCAGCATTCCCAGCACAGGAATCAATCCCTCAAGGCCCGAGTCTCAAGGATATGTCCCACCCTAATCCACGGATCGCCGCGCAGGAAACGCAGCATGCTGATCATGCTCTGTACCGGAGGGATCGTCATTTTGATCTATTTCTTATCTGCCTGGGACATCAGGATCTCCTCCCCCTCCTCCTCCACCTTCAGTCAATTGTCTTCATCAGCGTCACAGCTTCAGCAACGCTCCAGCAACATCGACAGCAACAACAACAACGATAAAAAAATTATCGCGCCAAAAGAACCGGTCGTATACAAAAACCCAGACGGCTCAGAGATGGATCCTAGATCCGTTTTCATGATTCGGGATTTCGACGCACCCGTGTGCCAGCAGGCCTTTGCTGAAGGCGAACACGCCTTGCCGAAGGAGATCAAACTGGAACGGGAGCGAGTCCGCATCGAGGACTGGAAACAGATTACAAGAGAAAACGCCTGGACATTGTCTCTCGCCTGGAAGAGGTCGCTCAAGCAGATTCTTCCCAACTGGAAAGAATACAGCCCAGGATGGATTGGTCAAGGTATCGTGTTAAGCGCGTTCCCCGACGGCGATGGCAAGGACACGGTTTCGAACACGCTGGTCCAAATCGGACTGATCCGAAGCATCTCCTCAATCCCGATCGAAGTTTGGTTCGAGCGAGCAGACGATGTATCGGAGGAGCTGCACGAGATGATCGCGTCCTGGGGTGCGGTCGTCAGGTCTTTGAACGAGGATACTTCAACGGTGAGCGACGCTTTTGTGCAGTCATCAGACAGCGACGATCTTGCCTCAGGGGCGACGAACACACCTATCAGCAGCTTGAATATCCAAGGGTTCAAATCGAGGGTTGGCAGGAACCCGGGCCTGCTACAGAAGGCCATGACGGTCGCAGCGCTCATCAACTCTGGATTCGAGGATATTATTTATTTTTCACCCTCGACCCTTCCGATGCAGTCCCCAAGGATCGTATTCCAGCACCCTGATTACATTCGGACAGGCGCCGTGTTCTGGCAACACCCCTCCGCCGTACCAGCACACGACAATCCTATCTGGCCCATCATTCAGTCCGACTGCGAACCTACCTCGTATGAGCAATCCTGGAGCGCGTTCGCTCTCAGACATAAGGACTCATGGAAGAGTCTTTTCTTGGCCTGGCACTGGCTCACCGGATCCGATCATGCCACCTACGAAAAACTCTTTGGCCAGCAAGGTAATGACCTCCTTCGTCTCGCGTGGATGGCCGTCAGAAGACCCTATAAGATTGTCGACAGGATGCCTCAAGCTGGCCTTTTGGACCTGTCCCGATCCAAGGGTGACGGCGTTGGCTGTAACCTCGGATCGAGTCTATACCCAGCTCTCGGAGCCGATGTCTTGGCGGACCCTGGTAAATATGCGCAGGACCAGAATCGCCAGAACCGTCTGTTCCAGCAGCGCTACCGATATGGCAGCCATGACGAATTTTTCATCGAGAATCGTAACGTGATGATGGTCGACACTAGTCTGGATAGCTCACTGGTCCATGCAGGATCGAACGATCAGCATATCCACCAGGCCCTGAAGGACGCGCTGGGCGCGCACAGGGACCCAACACGGCTGGTATTCACCGATATTTATGCTGCGGGAGCACACGGACGCGTGTGTTTGAGGATCACCCGTAAATTGAAGGGTCACCAGCATGAGTAAGAGCACTCGGATGAGGCACAACAACATGTAAGCAATAAAGGATCAGCGTTTATCGATAAATACAGAGGACATTTTGAATAATAATAATAGTAATAGTAGTAATAGTACACGAGAATGGTAGCATATACGTCTATGTTGACCGAAACCGGCGCCGTTTGTGGGAGATGCAAATAGTCGGTATAGAAGCAGCAGCAACTCTCCCCCCCACGAGTGCAGCGCTCGTGAATGAAATTAATTTCCTGAAGAACTCAAACGAAAGGTAGGTACGCTCGACAATGTGGACACTCGAGTTTGATCCGCATCCACTAAACACAACAACGAAGGAGCCGAAAATGCTTTGCGTCAGTTACGGTACGGGAATCAACGAGCCAAAAAAAAAAAAAAAAAAAAAAAAAAAAAAAACCATATCTTTGACAATTAAGCATACCTTTTCCAGGCAATCCGTGTGGAACAAATGTCCACAAGGCGTCATCATGTAGTTCAATCGTCCAAGACTTCCTACAACACTCGATAGCCTTGCAGCTCCCTGTGCGGCAGTATCAATAGGAAGTAAACAAATCGCACAGTCATGTTGATGCGCGCGGCCACTGCGAGTAGATTCCTCGTCTGATGCTGGCAAGATAGGATGGTAGTCGTAAATTGGTGGTAGATACTATGTAAAAAAAAAAAAAGTACAAAGATGATATCGATTTAGAATGCATTCAAATACCATAGTGCTTTCCTGCTCCTGTTTAATTAAAGTAGCTCACCTTCTTGGGTACAAAGAACCGCGGGCCTAGCCAATCCTGGAGCAGTAGCACCCCTACTTGCAGTGCGACCCAGACGACCAGACCCCAAATCCATGGAGTAGGCTCGTGGCCCATCAGGTTCTCGGGACAGCCGTAGAAATACACTGGCAGCACTAGCCGGGTCGCGCTCATGCCCAGGACGAACCACAGGTTGAGTCCGCGTTTAGATCCCCGCGTAACGTTTCTCACAATTTGAGGGATCCAAAACGAGAAGAGGCACAGTGCACAGACAGAGATCATGAGGTTTTGAACGCGCGTTGAACTAATTGCGATCTTGTATAGCGTTATCAAGCTAATGATAAGCATCCAGTCTATATATAAAAGAGAGAGAGAGAGGGACCGTTAGGTCTGCAATAATTGGTAGTATCCATAACAGAGTAACATTTAACCAACCTATCTCATGAATCACATACAGAATCGGCCGTAGAGTGCCTGCATATCCGACCGAGGACTATCCGTGTCATCGGTGGGTGTCGGTCGAGCAGCCGTAACCGGGAACGGTAACCCTCCGGGCATCGTGTCCGCAGGCCGAGCGGCAGGAGTCGTGGCGGCAGTATTCGCCGTATTATCATCTGTGCTGTTAGAGGCTGCACTGGTAGCGGCGGCAGCAGCAGCAGCCGCCGCTTGGGTGCGTCTGCCGCGTCGTTCAGGCCGTTGTATCCTCCATATGACCAGCATGTAGCGCATTCCAAAGATTGCCACCAGCACAAACGAGAAGAATGATGCCGCCACGAATGGTATGAACAGGAAATCTAAAAAAAAAAAAAAAAAAAAAAAAAAAGCAAGAGAGAGATTTTAGAATAAACACTGCTGGCAATCATATTGAGAAACACTGGAAGATAGCAAATACGCCCATACCGATTAGGACACCGGTTGTCAGATGGAGCATGCAGAGATAAGAGTCGATGAAGACTTGGAGTGCAATAGTCCAGTAAGAAACCTTGGACACGCCCTATGTAATCATAAAGGCATATCAATATTAAAAATACTCCACATTTCTTCCAAACCAAAATGCGGTACAATCGTAGGTTCTTCTCATTCGACATACCGACGGCGTTGGCGTGTATTCCATTTGACGAACGAGGAGAAACACCTGGATGAACGCCACCTGCAGATTCAGAAAGAACCTCAGTCAGAAGCATGAACTCATATAAAACAAACGCGACGTATAGCGCAGGAGAACTGAAATCGGCTTACAGTGCCAGCCATTCCGGCATAGTTGACAGCCTTGGCATAGAATTTCTCGCGTTTCATCCCTTCGGCTTTCTTGACGCCAATGGTCAGACGACAATTGGGCGAGTAGATGAACAGAGTCGAGTTCAGGTGTGGAGGCTTGATCGTCGATATTCCTTGTGGCGCTGCCCATTCTATAGTCACCATGATCATATGAAAGTTAGCGCAGAGTTCTTCCGCACAGTTTCAGGGCTCCATGTGGTTTACTCACCTCTCTCCAAGTCCTTAATAGCTGTAGATCTGACGCTTGGGTTGATAGCACCTAGTTGCATGTACATTTGATAGTGGCAGCTGGACGGTTCAGAAAGAGATGCTTCTATGAGTTGATACCCATTCAGAAAAAAGACATTGTTAGGGTCCAGATAACCGGTTATTACTCCATAGTCTTTAAGGAGAATCGGCGAGTTTTCTGCGGAATGTGTGCCATACCAGGGTACTCAAGGCTATCGTGTCCCTCCATAATATCCTCGATGACTTTGATTCGTTTTTGATAATGTTCTTGAAGAGCAGCAAAAGCCAGCGCAAATGATGCATTGTTGGGCATTAGGTCCAAGATACGCCATGATGGCATCCATTCCCTGCATGGTATCAAACATCGGTGTTAGGATAGCACGTAAAACGTATGAACTCTATTCAGATAGTCTCCATCTCGGACCGAATTGCCACTTACTGCTCCGGGATCCCCCACATATAAAAGGTGCCGTTGTTTACAAAGTGAACGCCTTGGACACTCAATGCTATACCGTAGTCTTCGTTGTCGTCGTGCCTGAACGTCCAGCTCCCCTGTAGATGATTTTGACAATGTACCCATTAGTGAACGTGTCCTCGACAATCCATCACTATATCCTGAACAGCGATCCAGCGCCTTTCCTGACGTTACCTTGACCCAATTCACATATTCCGTTGCCTTTGTTTCCTTTATATTGAATGTAAAGGAACCTGACTCGTTGAACTGAAACGGGCCTCTGAACTTCTCGACATCCTCCAGAAAGTGAGCCCTCTTATCCTCGATCGTATCCACCGGCGTTTCGGTTGCCTCGTCTCCAGTAATGGTGTTGTTGGTCTCTCCTGCTTCCTGTGCGAGTGCTGTGGTGGCACCGCCTCCCTGTTTAGTCCCTTCGCCTTCACTGGCTGTTATTTCCTTGATGCTCTCGCCCCCATCCTGTATTGCAGTCCCGTTCTTGGTCTCATCCTTTGGAGGCGCCGGTGGCAAAGGGAATTCCTGGTCCACGTTTGCTGCGATCCCCTCGTCAAACGACCAGTCTCCTTTGAACGATCCAGTGACATTGTGATAGTAATGCGCCCGAGGGTCCCTCCCTTCGGGTTGGAACAATTTTGTAAGTTCTGCAGAGACTGACTGCGGGATAGGCTATATGACGTGCAAATGTACCAGAGAATACTTTGTCAGCTACTCCTCTCTGTGGGACGTGAAGTGACACCTTTTCGGGTCCCAGTGCTGATAACTCACATATGATACGTTGACTCCAAATGTTCTGTTCCCGGACACGTTGGCTTCGTCCTGGAGTTCGTTGAGTGCCTTTTGAAGGTGGTCCAGTCGCGGACCCTCGTCTCCACTGAGCAGCCAGAGGAAGATGAGCAATGCAATGATTCCACCCCTCATGTCAGACAACCAGTAGAGGCCAGGCGTGCTCTCTCAACTTTGTAGTTTCAGAACAGTATGTCGGACAACTCCAGTGCCGCAAACAAACGTTCCCGAGAATAGAGAATAAAGAATAAAAAGGTCGAGAGGTGAGGTGATGAGATGCCTTCTGTTCCTTGATGCTCGTTAGGTTGTGCCGAGGAGGCCTCTGCGACCTTTTCGATTTGCCAACCCCCCCCCCCCCCCCCTGTCCCTGCTGTGCCCCTTATACACTGCAATGTTAAGGGTATTCAGCCCAAACCCAATTTCCGCAGCTCTCGTGGAAGAAGACGTGCCACGACACCAGGCGATGACACTGAGATAGCTGTACCAATTGATGGGGAACACATGGAATCGTAGAAGAGGCAGATCAGCTAGATAGTCTACGCTGAATTGATACATTCGTTTGTTTGCTTCGCTGTCCTCAACTCCACCAGAAGCCGAATATCTCGGCTATATCAGGTCAAGTAACATAACGATTGCAAGCCTGTCGTTGTTGGAGGGGACTTTCACTTTGAACAAGGTGTAGGAACTGTCTCTCATCCCGATAATGCTTACGTAGAGGAGCAGTGCCAAAAGCGACCTTGGCGGAGGTGCTATGAAGGCATGCGCATACGTTAAAAAAAGCGAAAAAAGATCTAACTGGAGTTCACGGGCGTGGATCTGAATGATACTTACACGTAGAAGAGGTCAAAAGACCACGAATTCAATTCCATCATTGTGAGCCGGAAGCGACTCGAGAGTCATCGCCAGATATACTTCTATCAGACACACGACGAGAACAGTGTAAATTATTTCGACACATATTACTTCGTAGGCGCCCAAGTTTGATCTTCGCGTCGCCATCATTTGAGTAAGGGATATATGTGCTACCATGGCCTTCTGGGCGGATTAAGGAAGATCAGATAATTATTATTATTATTTTTTGCTTAAGCGCCCCTCCTTCTCGCTTCCCAATAGATGGGCGTAATACGGATAATATTACGAACGACTCATTTTGCTCATCGATAATACAACTTTTCTTGTGGAACTGTTCTTATTCAACCCAAATGCCTATTGTTAGGCTATAAGCGATCGCCCCCGACAATTGTTTGTGCACATGCTAACAGTTCCACAGAACCTCATCGCTCCAAAGGTTGAACTGTTGGACCATGTTCTCCAATGTGGGGTTTATCTTCATATCCCTCTTGTCCTAAAAGAGATCGACTCAATTTGCTCATCGTTACTCACTTTACACAGCCTCGGGTTCTCTCAGAGGATTTGCCCCACGAGAAGCAAAGCAGCAGAACGTATGGACACATGGATATAAAGGACTTGAAAAGGGGTATCGATTTTTTTTTTCTCACCAGAGCTCCCTTCAATACCTTTCACTGAATCTCTTCCCAACATGCCATTCGGTACGGCCACCACGATACAATGAGACACAACGACTTGGAGAAGCATCAGCCCCCCCCCCCCCAATCGCGTATCCATCAGACACAGAATCTAATGCATCACTGCAAAAACACATCTAGAGCGTAGGACCACGCAGCCAGAGAACCCGTTCTCGCGACTGGTACCCGAGCAGACCATTGCCATAGTGCCTGAATTCACATTCGAATCCGGGTACACAATTCGCGACGTCCCTGTAGCCTACAAGACGTGGGGCGTCCTCAGTGAGGCAGGAGACAACTGCATGTTGATCTGCCACCCTTTGACACGTAGCGTCGATGTCGAGGATTGGTAGGACACGAACGCGGAAGTTGGCCTGCTCTAGTCGCGTGTGAATGTTGACTATGAGACCCTCAATAATCTAAATGGGTTTAATTGTCGAACATAATATATAGGTGGAGCAGCCTCATGGGAAAGTGTGAACTTGAGGGCAAAGGCAAGGTCATTGATGAGTCCAAGTTCTTTATCGTATGCCTCAACGTGATGGGGTCTCCCTATGGCTCTGCCTCGTCCCTCACTATGAACCCAAAGACAGGTGTCCGCTATGGACCCGAGTTCCCACAGGCGACCATTCGAGACGACTGCAGGTATTTAGTTATCGTTACGGAGCCCATTACTGTCTGTTATATTCTCTGAATGAAGGAGCATGGTTACTCATCATTCTGTCTGTATGTACTCGTCCACAAAGACTCCACAAGCTGGTTCTAGACGATTTGGGTGTCAAGTCCGTGGCAATTTGCATCGGGGGCTCCATGGCAGGAATGCACGTCTTTGAGTGGTCCTTCTTTGGCCAAGACTATATCAAAGCGCTCGTCCCCGTCTCTGCCCCTGCCCAAAGCTCTGCCTGGAGTATGGGTTGGACAGAGTCCCAAAGACAATCCATTTTCGCTGATCCCAAGTACCTAGATGGGTACTATTCCCTGGATGCCGTAAGTACTTATTTTTTTTTGTGCAGTGCAGCTCTTTATCGATTTTTTTTTTATTCTGCGATCCCTAATCACCATTGCACTCCAAATGCCCTCCTAATGCGTCGCAGCAACCCCTGCAAGGCATGACAGCTGCTCGAATGACCGCCATGTTGACCTATCGAACAAGGGTGTCGTATGAACGTCGATTCGGGCGGAATATCATGGACTCGTCCGATCCGACCTCAGTGGAAAAGTCCATGATCGCTCCTGCTGAGGTGCACCGTCAGGAACACAACGCAGGCCATCGTCTTATGAAGACAAACCCGACCCTACCCTCCGGAAATACGATGACGGGTCTCCGAACGCCTGGGGAAAGTCCCCTTCTTCATGGCTCCAGTGCCCTAACTGAAGACCCCTGCCCGGCCTCTCAGAATCCCGTGAACGCCATATATTGTCCACCAGTATACGCAACGCACAGCTATTTGCGTTACCAGGCTGATAAGTTCAACGAGCGCTTCGATGCCAATTGCTACATTGCCCTGAGCCGCAAGATGGATGGCCATGATATTTCGAGAGGCCGTGGGGAATATGCGGACGTGATCCGTGACATTCAGCAGCCTACCCTTGTCCTGGGTAAGATGAAACAAAGAATTTTTTTTTTTTTGGAGCTTACCTTTTTGATCTTATCTTTGACATACTTTTTTTTTTTTTTTTCTGGCACATGGGTTAGGAATCGATTCTGACGTCCTCTACCCATTCGCGGAAATCGAAGCATTGAGCAAACTGCTTCCCAAGAGCGAACTAGTTTGTGTGCGATCTGAAGAGGGTCATGATGGGATTTTGCTGGAGTACGAACAGGTCAACGATGCTATCGTGGCGTTTATGCAAAGGCACGATCATATCCGAGAGATCCTTAGTCGTCAGGGCGTGGCTGTCCCGGAACGAAAGGGTCCTCGAGGCACCATGTTTGCCAGCTGGTGATTTTCCCTTTCTCGCTTCTGTAGACTACTCCATTTAGATAAACCACTACATAGAGTAGCTGCAAAAAAAAATATAGAGAAAGCAATCTCCGGTTTTATTGAGTGATGATGGTATGAATGAAAGAATGAATGAAAGCGTTTATGATTTAGGCGGACCGGAAAAGCTTGCGGTACTTGCCGGGTCCATCCCAGGTACCCTTGACCATTGACTTCCAGTAGATCTCAGGGATGATTTCTTTAGTTAATAGGTAGGTCGACAAACGCTCCTTGGACTGGTCAAAGGGGAAGGTCTCCTGAGGCTGGCCAGTGTAACCACTGAACTCTGCCAAGATCAACTTGTCCGAGCCAGTGATGAGGGGGCAGCTGGTGTATCCATCGTATTTAGCGACCTGTTTGTCTCCAAAGATGTCTCCGAGCAGGTTGTTCTTCAGGACAGCACTTTGGGAGGTGATAGCGGCTGCGGTTTTTGAGGTGGGGAGACTTGAACAATCTCCGAGAGCGTACACATTTTGGAACTTGTTGTGGCGGAGTGTCTCCTTGTCAACATCGACCCAACCATCCGCGTTCGACAGGGGCGATGACTTGATGAACTCTGGTGCGCCCATCGGGGGTGTGACGTGCAAAAAGTCGTAGGACAGCGTGAGCTGTGTGCCCTTGGCCTCGCCTCCCAGCACATTGAAGACGGCCTCCTTGGAGTCGGGCCTGATCTCGGCCAGATCCGTGAAGTAGTTAACATTCAAGTTGCGGGCCTTGCAGATTTTCAGGAGTTCGTTGGCGTACTTGTCGATAGCAAAGATCTTGCCAAGTCCTGTGAAATACTTGATATCCGTCTTGGTTCGGATTCCAGCCTTGCGCCACTGTTCCTCAGCCAGGTACATGATCTTTTGAGGGGCTCCTGCGCACTTGATCGGCGTCGAGGGCATGGTAAAGAGAGCATTGCCGCCCTTAAAGGCCTTGATGAACTCATCCGTCTTCTCGACAGAGTTGGGAGAATAGTTGGATGTAACGCCATTCTTTCCCAGCGTCTCGGGCAGGTTCTTGATCTTTCCCCAATTGACCTGGATCTATTTATTTCCAGCGGAAGAATGAGAATCCTTAGTTCCTCTGGTGACACATCCACTTTGTATAGTTCAAGGAAAGAAGCTCACGGGAAGAAGAAAGAACACAGGTGCGAGAACAAAAAGAACGTGGACCACTTACTCCTGCTGCCACGACGAGATAGTCGTATGAGATCTAATAAGAAACAAATTTCGGCGTAAGCATCGAACTTTGATTATTGTTTTCGTCTCCAGCTTGCCCATAATCGGAAGCATCTGCTCTTCCGATGATCCGATGATCCCACAATCATCGTCACTTCATTGCTCTCCCAGGACCGTACCGACTCTCCGTTGGCAAGGGTGACAGTGTTCTTCTTGGGATCGAAGGATGCGACAGAGTCCTTAATCCACTGAGCCTTCTCGGGCATAACCTCGCTCATCGCCATCTTGGACTCGTCAAAGGTCTTGAGGCCAGCACCGACGAATGTCCAAAGAGGTTGATACTGCGCACAAGAAATAAATAGAAGATGCATTAATTAGCAAAAATTTCCCATGGTTCCCCTGTCCCTCCTGCGCTCCTTCCATAGACGTTCTGACAAGACGATGCCGTTGCAGGCGAAAATGGCTCTTTCTGTTGAATCTTACATAGTGGACATCAGAGGGCTCGATCACTGCAACAGCCTTGCTTCCAAGAGTCTCAGAGAGCGTAGAGGCGACAGCGAGTCCAGCAGAGCCGCCACCTAGATGGGAACGTTCCAATTAGCACGGTTAACGAAACAAATCAAGGGCCGTTTCCGTCTCAGGCACAGTGCTATTAAACGCATCCCTACCAACAACAACGACCTTGTAGCTGGATGCCTTTGCCTGATCCTGGATCTTGGGGGTGGCGCTGACTGCCTGGGCCAAGAATCGTCTCGACTGGAAGGCCGAGGATCTGGCGCCCAAACGGGCAACAGAGCTGAGAGGCGAGAAGGATGCGAGAACCATGACTGACGTAGTTGATGTCCTTGAGGCTGGAAAAGCTAGTGGGGTGGTGGAGGATGAGAAGGCGGAAGAGTGGAGAGAAGAAGAGGGGTAGAAAGAAGATCAAGATAAAGATTTACTCAAATCAACGGGGCGTGATGGCGTGCTCATCTTTTCAAAAGACTGCCAGATTTGGACAGAGCAGCAACCGCACAACAAAGTTCCTTTTCTGTAGCATCGCACTTTTTATCTGCATTCGTTTCGTTGCAATGGATGGTATATTTCATTTGTAGCAAAAGAAGGTAACGGGCAAAAAAAATTAAAAAAAAAATGCTCTAATATGACAGGATCTTTACAATATGCGCTAGAGTACAAAGGGGGGGTGACTATACAAGGGTTGGAAAAAAAAGGCGGGTGGGGTAGGGATAATGGTTTAGCGGTAACGAACGATCTCGCAGTCCAGCTGTGCCTGCATTAAGTATTTTTGGTACTTGATCTCCTGGACACGGCAGAGCCAGTCGCAGAGCAGCAGCGTCGAAGGGCTGCTAGTCTCAGGGCAAGAGTTGAGGAAAGGGTGAGTGTCGAGCAGTTCCTGGGCAGACTGGCGGTCCTTGGGGTTCTCTTCGAGCATGCATCGAAGCAAATCCGCGGCCTGAACCAGGGCGCGAGGATAGTGCGCGCCTTGAGCAATAAATTCTTTGAGGTAGGCGACCGTCTGGTTCGTGTTCTCGATGGCGAGATACTTTGAGCCAAAATAATGCAGGTCGCAGTCGGGAATGTAGGGCTCGAGCATCTGGCCGAGGACAATACCGAGCGAGTAGAGATCTGCTGCAGTGGGGTCATGGGCCTCGTAGAAGTGAGGGTTGAGGACCTCAGGGGCGATGTAGCCCGTGGTGCCGCAAGCAGGGACCTGGGGCTTGGAGTCCTTGCAGGCACGGTCGACGGTCATGGAGAGACCAAAGTCGATGATGACGACGTCCTTCTTGGCGTGGGTGACCATGAGGTTGGAGGGATTGATGTCGAGATGGACAATGTTCTTGGCATGGACCGCCGCCAGGCCAGTGAGGATCTGGGTGGTGGTCTTGCGGATGGAGCAAAGGCTGTGGTTGACGGCGTGGCAGTCGAACCTTTTAAGCATGGGCAGGACCAGGACGGTGTCGCCGTTGTCGTTGACGAACGAGTCCTGGAGCTGGATGATGTTGGGCAGATTGACGAGGTCGTGGAGGAGCTGAAGCTCCTTCTCGGCGAGGCCAGCGACCGGGACGGTCTTGAAGGCGAGGGGCATGAAGTCCGCGATGCGGATGCCGAACTCGATGGTGGACAGATCGTGCTGCAGAGAGGAGAGGAGAGGCGAGGAAGAGGTATGAGGGTTAGCTACTGATCCAACTGGGCTGTTTGGGGAGGAAATAAGGGCTGGCTTGTGCGTCGAGGACGATGCGATGCATAGCCTGTACGTGGATGGTGTACGTGCGATGCTTGTGGACAAGGGGGGGAAGAGGAGAAAGAACGTCAACTTTGCTCACAGCTCCCTCTTCGAGACACGTGTGTAGATAGAGACAAGGCTGCCTGCCTCGGAAGCACACGCAGGAAATTAAACTTTTCGCCATCACACGCCAAAACCAAAGAAAATTATCTCCCCCGCAATATGCCTGTCTGCTTTTGGAAAGTGGTTGGCCAACTGATCCGCTTCACAGCGATGAGGACTTACGTTGAGCTTGGGGAACATGTCGTTGACAAGATAGTCCGTCTGCCCCTTCGAGGGGTGGTGCTCGCATGGGGCCGTGTAGACATAGGACTGGCACGACACCGCGACCTTGTCCGTCTTCAGCGGCGCGATCAAAAGTGGGCTTGACATGATGTCCTCCAGCCTGCCTGCAAGCTGAGTCGACTGTGTCTTCTTGTGCGAGTGCGCCTGGATTTGGTGGAGCAGCGAGTGCTGGTGCAGACGCGAGTGGGGCAGGTGTGCGCGGTGGGGAGGGTTCATATGGAGGCGCTGGTGGGCAATGGCTTTGAGGAGCGAGTTGTTGCTGGTGCCGACGCTTGACTTTGAGGAGGGGAAGAAGAATGGGGAGGGAGCGATCAAGTCGTACTTGATGGCGGCGTCAGGGTTATATAATGCAGCAGAGGTTGTTGATATCGACATGGCGGCCATTGGAGATGTGTAGACAGCTGAATAAGGGATATAGGAAATTGGAGGCAATGCGAGATGCGATGGAGCAAATCAATGGACGATAGTACAAGGTGCTGGGCGTGGTCTGCGGGGAAACAGATGTTTGGATTCGAACGATGACGAGGAAAGACGGGTCTGCTGCAATGCAAGGGATACATATGACCAGCTCTGTGTCAAATGAAGAGTGCGAGGAGTGGAGTGCGGGAATAGGATAGGGAAGCTGAGTGAGGAGATAAAGAGATATGCTGTGGGTCCTTGTGGCACAGCAGCACAGTACACTGGAAAGATGGAGAGACAGAAAGGAGGAGGGGGAAGGTGAGGAAGAGGTAGAAAAGTGGGCAGTGGACCATGGTTTTATAGGGCTGGGCCGGGGAGGTCGGGATCGGAGACGGAAACTATCAACAGAAAAAACAAGGTTAGCGATGACTACAATGGAATCCGTACTGCCTACTCCCAATCCTAGAAAAGCGTATCGTACATGTACATGCAGGGTATTGTAGGGAGTTGTAGGGTAGGCTATTGCCTCTGCAAGCAGTCTAGTCTAGTCTAGTCCTGGTCTATTGCATGCCTTGTTACTGTGGGGAAGAGGGGAGAGAGGGATAAGGATGGCTATCATAAGTCCATCATAGGCATTGCCTGTCATAGGGACATCCCCCGCGCCCTTCCAATCTATGTCTAGACAGGGAAACCCCCTCAGTCAGGACAATGCTGAAAGTGGAGAAGAACACTCACAATTGCCCTCGCCAGCGCTGAATGTACAGCTCTTCGTATCCATCTTGGTGGGGGGAAGTACTTGCAAAAAAAATCACTCATTCTGCGTTTTCAATCCTCGCGACAAATTGATTAATCAGGATAGGTACGACCGTACCATAGAGAGAGATTGGATTGCATCGGAGTGCTCTCCAGGCTGAGAGAGGCTGAAGAACCCTATGTCTTCATTCCTCCTGTCCTGTACTGCGGTCTATTAATTGAACGGCCACACTGCCAGCACTACAATGTCCGCTCGGGACAGATAGCCTGGTCCTCTTTCTATTTAGAACCCTTCATGCGGAGCGCGTCTATTTGAGGTCTCTTCTGGAAACGGTTGCAACGAAAAGAAGACGCGAACCTGACGGGCCCTCTCTTCGCTGTCCGTCCAAGCGCACTGTCAGCAAAGGGATACACTAGGCCCAAGACTACCGGCCCATAGACTAGTCCACACATCTGAGATGAGCCTGCCAAACAAAGTAAAATAACAATCCATCAATCCATATCGATTTTCACGCTCTGTTGTTGGTGTTTGCGCGCCTTCCCCCATCGATCATATGTGAGTGCTCGTTTGCACATTCCTATCTCCACATATTTACTCAATAGGACCCTCCAATTCAATCCGTAACCTACCCCTGTCGTGTGCTGCCCATGTCCAACCTTGATCAAACCCTGTGCTGTGACGGTGGATGGAGATGGAGCATAAAGTCCGTGGGCCGCTGCAGCCACTCCGAATCCTGGCGATCCACAGAGGCCACGCAAGGCGAGTTCCAGCCCCGTAGGGCACATGCGTGCTTTCGTAGATATCCACGGCCACCTCAAGGAAGAGTGAAACAAACCCACTGGCATCCATCCGCATCTTCCCTCTAGACCCTCCTCCACACTCAACACTCTCCGCTCTTGTACGTACAGCACAGGATATCCCCAACATAACCCAATGCCAACGAATGTAGTTCCTGCAGGCACATCTCCCTGTTCGGAGTTGAATTGTAATTGTGGCAATTGGCGCTACAGCTAATGAAATAGAAACAAGATGGGCTATCCCCCCTCCATGCGTTATCAAGGAGAAGTTGGCCAGCCACTCTCCCCGGTAGGCTAGCAAAACACATTTGGAGCAAGGTACGTTTTGCTGTCACAATCGCCACGCGAGCAATCGCTCCTCGGCTCTCTTCCGGATCGTAGCGATCAAATGCATCGGTCTGCAGACAGGGCAAACTGCAATTGAGTTGAACTGTAGTCGATTATATTATACAAATTACATCTTATCCGACGTTTCCGGCAGCCGTGCTTGCTCAGTGCTCCGTTTCCTAGATTTGCACATGACTTTAGAAACATCGCCTCCTCGTGTTGGAACTCTAACGGCCAAAATGCGGTGCGGCGGTGAGGAATGCGGGCGGTGCTAAACTAGTCCATATCGACCTTGACTTCATAGCTTCCCTGGTCACCATCGGATCCCTGGTCGACCTTCTCGATCAAGTCGCGGATCGCATGCGAGGATTTGCTGTCGAGATTCAACGCCCACGTAAAGTACTTCAGCGCCTGGGTCTTGTCTCCCATCTTGAGAAGGACCCTGCCCTGCAATACAAACACATTGGCTTCATCGGGCGACAGTTTCTTGATCGCCTCAAGCTCCCTGAGGGCCTCCTCGCATTGCTCCATCTCCATCTGCACATGGGCTTTGCGGAACCGTGCCGCAACGTTGTTCGGGTCTAGATTGATGGCCTCTTCAAACGACCGTAATGCTTCTGTGGTCCTGCTCATCTTTTCTTGAATCTAAAAGTAAACGTGGCCAAAAGAAAAAAAAAAAAGTTTCAAGAATTAGGGTTCACCTCTGTCGCATGACATCTTTGGCTTATCTAGCAGCACCGGAGAATTTCTGTCAGACACCAAAGGTACACCAAATGGAATCCTTTGAACAAGACGTACCGATCCAACCAGATAGAGAAGCACACTGTTGGTCGGATTCAACCTATGGGCCTCTCTGACGTGAATGAGCGCAAGATCGTTTTTGCCCATCCTGTTGTAGATCAAACCCATGCCATACCTAAGACCGAATTCGTTGAATCAAGAAAAAGAACTAGTACGCTCAGCTAAAGCTTGAATATGATGAAACACGAACCGCTGTTGCCCAAAGTGCTCACATACCATGCATGGTAGTGTCTTGGGTCAATGCTCATCGCCGCTCGAAACTCTGCTTGCGCCTTGTCATACTCTTCAAGCTCGGTGTACTCATGTCCTGAGAGTGTGTGAGCATATGCGAATTTGTCGTTCAATTGGATCGCTCGTTGGAAACACTTCAGCGCATGGTCGCTCTCGTGCTTCAAACTATATGCATTGCCGAGTGCCACCCAAGCCTGAGGCGACTGATGGTTTGCGTCCTTAAGCTCCTTAGCAAGTGTTGAAAGCGTCATCTCCTTCCGAAGTTGCCAAAGACAGCTTGAAAAGATCTCCATGTCTCTCTGAAGGCTCGGCTCTAGTTCCCTTGCTCGCTCAAAATATCGAGCAGCCTAAAAAGTATTGTTGAATCACAATATCCTGTTAGCACATCCAACCACTAAGGGGAATCAGTCATAACCAAGCCATTTAGGCCAAGCAATGACATTACCGATGTATAGTCCTGCATCTCAAATTTGCATTTAGCCAACTGACACTGCACCCATCCACTTTGTAGGTGCTCGAATGGCAAGCGTTCAAATTCAGTTATGGACTCTGTAAACTTGTTTAAAGAAAGCAGACCGTAGGCCCTGGCCATGATCCTGAATATATCGGCCACAGTCCGCAACCCCTCTTCCTCCACCCATAGCTCTGCTTCAGTGATTGGTAATGGTATCGTGGCTGGGGCTGCATCCCGTTGCTGTTCCCGATCCTAAAAATAATTTGAGGAGGATGTGAGGCCATGGTACTTCTTTGGAGCGTTCTAACTTTCATTTCCTATTGTAACCGTACGTCGTTCGCAGCATCCTTTTTCGGCATGAGGCTAGGTGCGCCCTTTGGCTGGTTTCTTGAGCTGGATCCACGGAGTAGAGCAGAAGCCGAGAAATTCGAGACCGATGTACTCCTTCCAAGTCCCCGCTTCGTTATACCTCCTGAGGTGCTTTGGCCCTGCAGTGTTGAATTGGACTGTTAAAATAAGTGTGAAAAAATGGGCGATCAGATTATGTCCTTGCACTCCTCACTCCGTGCTAGCAACGAATCCAGACAAATCCAGACAAATCCAGACATCTACCTTTGTTCTTTCAAAATGTCTCCTTGGCTGAGATGTTGCTCCTCTTCTTAACGGCACACGATCACTCGAATCTGCAAGTGCTGTAGGAATAGCGAATGGAAGTTCGCGATTCGCGGATGCACCTAAAGGTGTTGGCGTCTTTTCAATATTGTAACCGTCTGGTCTGAGTACAAAGAAAGAAAGAAAAAAATAAGCAACCAGTTACCTGGGCAATGAACAATAAACAATGTCCATTTCAACCTTTTCTCCAGAACAATTTGCCTTGAATGACTTACTCCATAAAGGATAAACCGTTGGTTTGGGCCATTGCCGATACACTGGTCGATAACATCGGGGGTAGAAATGTTGACTTTGTTTTTGTAGAATCCGTTGGTTCATACCGTAGCAGCGAGTTGTTCAAAATGTTGGACGAGTCTGACAAAGCACTTTCGACATTCTCGTCCTGCATCATATCGCGTTTGGTGGAGAAAAAAGGTGAATCCACAGTGATCGTCCTCGACCGCTGAAATGTCGGTATTGATTTAGGAAGCATACTGGTCAGCCGGATATCGAATTGTGCAAACATGTTGTTCGGGTCCTGCGGTGCCCCTACATCAACAAAACGTTGACACTTCCTAAGTTAGCCGTCTAATATATTTGCTCCACATCGCGCAGCTCTTCATCGTAGTCGTATTTCATACCAAGTTCGCATAGGTTTTCAAACGCCTCCCATGAAAATGGATTGAGTTCCAGAACTTCCTTGAAATACTTGATCGCCAGCTTCGGTCGCTTCTGAGCTCTACGGATAAAATGGTTCATGAAGGAATGAAAATCAACACTAGTTCTTCTCAGAACCATCATAGGCCTTGCCCTGGAAGCCAAAGCATGCTTTCAAACTTACCTGGCAGCATGTCCAAGGAGATTTAGTACGGACGCTCGATCTGGTTCACCAGTACTGGTCGCATTCCGGCTTGATATTAGATCTATACATAGACACTGGTCAGACTCCTCTCATATGCACCATCCCGAAGATCCATTCGAAACATTCCGCAGGCGCAAGGTATACCTGTAGCAGGACATTTCGTCACGGCAGTGTCCTCAAGCAACCACTCCAGAACGCCGCTGCATTCCATATATCGCCGTAAATCCAGACAGCATTGCGCAAAAAGATAACGACATCTCGAAGATGTGCAGCCCTCCAGAACTGCCCATGCCATCTCTGGGTTTCCTTGCCGATAATGACACGTCGCCAAGATGTATTGCGCATATTCTCGCTCCGCCTCAGAGTGTGCTGGACCGCGTGCCTGAGAGACCAGCCTTTCTGCAAGGAAGACTGCATTCCTGAATTGAAACTTATCGAGGGAATATTTGATAATATGCTCCAGCCTTTGACTGACGGCTCCTAGTTTAGGTGCGGCATTCTGGCCCGTACCCATGCCAGAACCAGGGCCTTCTGGTGCTAACCCTGAGGAGGCCATGACTGCCATTGGGTGTGTGAGAAGCAACAACCTCTCCGAAATGAGCCCCTCCGCAGCCTGCTACCGAGAGTAAAGCTGCTGATAAGCGCCGCTGTTGCTGCTGCTGTTGCCGTTTAATATTGTCGTCCTAGAGGCGAATCGAGTAAAGTGGTCGAACAGTCGAGCGGCAGTATGTGTGGAAGAAGAATGCATGGTCCTTGTTTCAAGTTGTGTCAAGCAAAGCCACTTTGCTCCGGCTGCCACCGCCTCAAGGACTTTGTGCGCGAGTTTTTTTTATTTGCAGTAGAAGCCCTGCTAATCAATCTTGCAGCTCCACTCCTTTCCCACAAAATGAATGTCAGGACCGTTGCCACCCAGGTCGGCCAGAGGACTAGCCGTGTTGCTTACACGCTTACTGTGAAGCGTGCCTATGCTAACTTGGCCTACAATGCAACCTCGCAACCAACCGGCGGAGAGGTTCCTACTCTGGACAGGAAGTTGGATTCACTCGAGGAACGCATTCAGGCGCGCAGGGACGCACTCAACAGTAACACCAACACGCCTTCCGAGGACCATGCCAGGGACTCTTACACTCACACTGAGGTGGCTAGCACGCAGGAGTCATCAAAGTCCCCCAAAAAGGGAATCATGTCTATCTTGCCTGGTATGTTGCGTGTTCCAGTCTCGATAATCAGGACCAAGCGCGATCGGTTTGTTATCAATATCAGGTTCTCATTCACCATATTGCTCTACCGGTAGGCATCAACAATGCCTCCAAGTGGATCAAGCAGCCCTCGGTCGCCGATCCCGAGTTCGAGGTCGTCAGCGCTGGTTTGGGATCAATGCTTCACGTCAGACTGCCATCGCGCTCTGAGCTTTATGCCGCCCCTGGTGCTGCCGTTGGTAGTTCAGGCGAGGTAAGATCTCCTTCTGCTCAAATACTTTCCTTTTCAGGCGAGTACCTCAGTCTGCTGAGCGCGTGAATTCATGCTTCTCTTGCTCTTCTTTCGTGGTTCACTATAGGTCCAATCAGAACTCTCGACTGCATCAAACCCATTGAAGGCTCTTGGAAGACGATTGGCAGGAGGATCATTATATTTCCAAAAGGCAAGCCATTGGAATGCCTCGGAATAACGAGGACTGATCTAGTCTGACGCATATATTGTCTGAGCTTATGGCCACCCTACTGATCGACATTATCTTACTTGGCGGCCTTGTGCAACCAACACAGTTTTCTACGTCCAATGTCGCTGGCGATGTTTTGTTGGCACCCCAGTACATGTCGGACATTGCTGCAATTCGCATGGACGGTACCTCAGAGTACTATATCAGACGCGACGCCTTTTTGGCGAGAAGTCCGAGAGTCATCCTTCAGCTGGGATTGGCCAAGGCAGGATTGGGAGTAACCAATTTTTTCGCCCATCGCGTTACCGGTCGTGGAACTCTCGCAATCGCCAGTTATGGAGGAATTTATCGCCTGGTTCTCGCTCCTAACGAGGAGTACCTTGTCAATCCAAGGTGAGATATAGGATAATTGTCGTGCGTAGGAAGATATTTTTTTATCGAAGCATCTGACACTACAACTCTCTTGTTTCATTCAACCGCATAGACACCTGATTGCATGGGAGGCCGGCTCATCTCCTGCTGCTACGCGCCTTGCAATTGATCCTAGCCAGGAAGCTGAACCCGAAGCCCGCTCTTCCAAGATTCTTTCAAATCCTTACGTGGCCTCGACGTTGAACATTGCATCGAGGGTTGCAGAGCGAGTTGGCAATGTGATGTTCGGAAAGCAGGAATTTGTCCGCCTTCAGGGCCCAGGTGACTTTTACCTCTGCAGTCGTATCCGCCCCAGCACTGAGGTCTTGAAGCAGGTCACTTCATCGACCTCGAAGCTCCCTGTCATCTTCCCCGCCCCAGTCGCACCTGCTCCTCCCAAGCCAACGACGCCGCCCAACACCTTTGCAACTGTCACCCGTGATGGACATGTAAGCATTACAAAGAATGCGCCAGCATCCGCGCCTGCTTCGTCTTCTCCCTCCACTCCTCTTTCGGGATCCGTCCCTAAAATCAATCGCCAGGTGCTCGAGCATACTGAAGGCTCAACCGTCACCAAGCGCGAGGCAAGCAGTTCATAGACTGCATGCTCTTCATTGTTATTGCTTTCGAAAACCAATAAAAAAAAAAAAAAAAAAAAAAGCTTAAAGTGTCATTTCATTTACATTTCCTACCAAAACTAATTTGAAGCCTAGAAGGATGTGTTGAGGCCACATTGGAGTTCAGTTGAGAGAACATTTTTAAAACCACTCAATGTTATGGGTGAACTGGGATGGGACAAGGTAGTGAGGGGTACGGGTGTCAAAACGTGGATAAACAGATTTGACACTAAACTCGAAAGGGGCCCCCAGTGCAAGGGGACAGTCAACTGAGGCGAAACAACAACTGGTTCAGGAACCAAATCTTCTGGGTTGTGGGTCAAACACATTGCATACTTTGATGTCTTTGACTATTTCAAAGATATGCATTTTATTTTTAGTGTTTTCAATCTGCTTCAACTACCATCCTATGACTAGATATAAAAAATAAAAGGGGTTGTTCCACAAGTCGTTGTGCGCCTTTAGAATTCAGCTGCATGGTCTTGTTCGAGAAAAAGAATATCAGGGGCGGCGCTCCCAGTGGTCACTCACAGCAACGCGTAGTCGTGGAGAGGCTTCTCCCGACTCACCGGATGCACAAAGGCCCGATATCGCTTTTTGAATATCTGTATGAAGATCCCAAGGTCACTGTGGCTGTGCTTCATACGGAGGTGGATTTTTTCGATTCAAAACTCAAAAGCATTAGAGTGCTTTGGATGATCGTGATTCAATTTGATAGATTCAAGTAATTTACCGGGACTCGGGTGGAACTCAACGGGGCAATAAAGGTCCAACGTGTTGGGCGCATGCTGGGCTGGGTCTGACTGAAATGGACCCGATTGGACTGAAACCCTCGCTGTGAGTGGACAGCGCATGGCTGCTGCTGCCGTCTCGCTAGAGACAGAAGGGAGGGGGGGCTGCAGGAGAAGCAGTTCAAAACCAGATGAAGCACAAAATGACAGGTAAGGAGCGAGAAACCAACACAGGCATCTATCATTCGCTAGTACAACAGCAAATAATGAACATCAACCAGACCTTTGTGAACTTCCGCCTCTTTTTCTTTCTTCTTGACGGGTCCCAATATAGTGGGTCGCGCTGCCATCGAGGTCATATATAATCGAGTGGCAGGTGCAGCAGAGTAAAAAAAAAACATACGCTCCCTAGTGAAAAATAGGGTTAAGACCAAGTCGCAAACACTTTCTGGCACTAGACATTGAGGTTGAGGAATAGAGTGTCTTGAACATCTCCTTCTTTAGCTTGCCATCATCATCAAGTTTCTGTTTCCATCGGCGACGAGAAGAAAGTGAGTTGTGTCGGACAGATTGCGCTATGGCTCCCTGTGAACTGCAAATTGCAATAGAGGATGAAGACGAGTTGGAGCTGAAAGCGTCGAAACTCCTCATCATGCTATTCATGGTCTCCTTCCCTTGCCAGGTATCCTTTGGAATGATCAGAACTGGAAGCTAGAAAATCATTCGCCTCGGTCTGATCCTGTTCCTGTTGTCTCTTCTCAAATGCCACCTCTAATGCAACAGGTTCTTTGACCAGACTATTAATTTAACTCTTGTTTTCCACGACTCCGCTGCCTCGTCTTTTGACTATGCCTCCATCTTTTGAAATTCGTCTTCGACGTCTATATCTCTTCTTGCAGACGTAGTTAGTTGCATGCTTCAATTTTTGGCCTCCAGTGCGCAGTCCATATTTTTTCCCCTGTAAACAAGTACCTTTGAAGACGCGCCATAATTTGGAGGTGGGACAGAGAATAAGGAGCTGTGCTATGCGACGGAATTTGTTTATTCGTATCTCAAGTTCATAATCCATGACTGCATTGCTCGGTGGAACTGTGTCCGGGTACCCTATGTGGCCTGTTGCGCGCGAAAGCTATCTTCTGACTCAACCCCGCCAGTCAATCACAGTCTTATATCTCTTTGATATATGGCCCAGCTAAGGCTTTCTTGAATACAGGAGTATGTAGTAAGGGGGGGGGGGTTATCATAAATCCCCATGAGAGGAGTATGCAGTAAGGGGGCGTTCATTTACAGAATGTGCATTTTTTTTTTTTTTTTTTATTCAACATGGCCTCCGAGAGAGAACAATCAGTGCTGATTTCCTAGTGAATAGTCTCTGAGACTTGTGTCTATCTGGCCCTAAATCTTCTAGTGTGGCAGTCGCACCATCTCCAACAACTTCACTGTAACCTCCCTAAGCGTCCCGAGGTCTTTCTCCTGCGATCCGCTCGGCTAGCTGGCAGGCTCCTCACCTGCAAATCTGCCAAGACCATCTCTCCAATTGTAACCTGTACATCTGGGAGATGGTCTTGGTTTCTTGAGAGCACGGAATCCGTTCTACTGGCTTGCGAGCCGAATCCTCTACTATTGTAACATTTCCTCCACCTCCTCGTCCCGTCTTTCCTCCACCTGAGGTCACTGGATGTGAGCTCAGATTAGCCTATTATAAAGTGGGCCTACTCACTTTTGAACTTATACCTGTAACCCCGGCAGGGGTAGCTAAGACGCATGCTGCCAGTGCAGTGGAATAACTTGTACACCCTGGTGTATAGCTGGGAAGTTCTGAACCAGCGCCTCTCGAAGTCCGGAGGCTAGCGCAAGGGCGAAATTTATTCTGAGCATTTTGTCAAGCGTTAAGGAAGGGGAAAGGAAACCCACAACGATTACATGGGGTAGTGCCACTCAATGTGGGGGTCGCCGGGGAAAGGAAACCCACATAACTGAAGTGGGGTAGTACGCCCGACTCATGCTCCAAATAAATTTCTATGCGTAGCACATATTACTGTGCTTTAACCAGGGCTCGAACCTGGTCCCTTCGCGTTACAAGGGAGGTGCCCTGACCAGTATGCTAACTGAGCCATCGGGCCCCACAGAATGTGCATTTAAGGAAAGTTTGCACTTAAAGAATGTGAGAGCAATGAAATGAATTAGGATACATAAATGTTTAATAAGCACGTCACACTCAATTAAAAGGTTTCGTGTTGTAATTGGTTAGCAATCAAGACTCTGAATCTTGCAATCCGAGTTCGAGTCTCGGCGAGACCTCTTCTTTTGCCGCCTCAAGCACTTACTGCGAAAGCCGGGATATCAGGAGAATGCGGACAAAAACAAACTTTTGCGTATCGAAACTGCTGCTGCTGCAAGCTGCTGAATACAGTAGGTGCAGCTCTACTAAGAAACAAGGAAGGAGGCTTCTGGACCTTTATTTCCAACAAGTACAATTTTTGTAACGTGAGATCACTATTCGAAAGGTTCGAGTTGAGGCGCTTCCTCACCAAGTGTCCTGTATAGCTTCAGAGCATAGTCAAACCCCCTTTCTTCAGAAAAAGTTGGCCAAGAAAAGTAGAAACGTTCTAACGGTACATTAGAACCAACGTCTGAGATGCAATCGACCAGTATATTGAACTGCTCGATTGAAAAGTTGCCCCCGGAAATCCTTAGTTCCTTCAGTCTAGAAAAATCAAGCGCCTCGATAATTATCTTCCAGTCTTCCGGTTCAAGTGAAAATCTGGACAGTTCGAACTCCTACAATGGCCCCCATGCCGTCGAAGCATTAGCAGCAGCCTCGATCGACGGCGGTATCTGGGGATTTGCGAGGCTCTGTGATAGGGAAGACTCGTGGATGGATGGATTGTTTGGAGAGGAGACCATTGCAGCGAGCCACGGAATGTACTCTTGCGGAAAAGGGACTCTGTACTCGCCTCTGAAATAGACATTCTTCAGCCTTCGCACATCGCGTCTTATCAAGAAGGTTTTCGCGAGCCATGGGATATGTGAATCGTGCGATGTTACATCCACCTTCAACGCAGTCAACGCCTCCTTGTGCCTATAAAGCAGCCGGCTCTCCACTGCATCGTCAACCAACGGGTTATCAACGTGGAACTGGGGCACCTGCAGATAGCTCGACCGATCTATGACTCGACCCATGCACTCCAGACCCGCAGAGGACAGATTATATGAGTCCTGCATAAGAGTCGTGATCTTAGATCCCTTCTCTTTTGTTGATTTGTCTAGTTGCTGAGCAATAATATCGCTGAGTGCTCCACGTAGGGTATTCAGTACCTTGATCGACCATTCGTATTCACTGATCAGCCGGGGGAGATAGTCCTGATCAGGCCGTGATCCAGACCTCAGTTCGATGTCAGTGGACATGTCGAGCACATCAGACTCCTCCGAGAGGCGTACAGCGGAGATGATACGATCATCGTCTGTGCCGTCGGAATCAAAGTCGATTCGTAATGGTGCGTAGATGTATCCCTCTTCTCTCCCTTGCTTTCTCGCCCATATAATCAGGCTGAGCATCTCAAGAAATCGGGCACATGGGCAATTGAGCTCGACTTCCAAGAGCCTTGGATTTAGGGATAGGATCACTGGAAGTAATCCCTCCGCTTGATCAATAACGGCATTCGTAACCGTCAGTCGAGTGAGTAGACCCTTCAGAAAAAACGGCAGATACAATGGGTTATAACTCCAAGTACTGTTTAATTCGGCCCATGCGCCCTGAATCTCGCCCTTGAGAAAGTCGATGATGATATGGACCTTTGGATATGTCCCACAAAATAGTTCCAGTACTTTGAGGTTTGACAAATACTCAACATTGTGCTTAACTATATCGAAGATGACGCCCGGGTTACTTGTTCCAAGCTGCAGCTTTGTCAGATTGGGACAGTTCTGAAGAAATCTGGCGAATGTTGTCTGGGACGCGGCGTCCTTGAGGTGAATGCACCATATAGTTACAATTCGAAGTCGTGGAGCGCGCCTGATGGAGGAACTACTGATCCGGGAGAAGAGGTCCTCAAACCCGCTTAGTACGGCATATTGGGGTCGCCCGTTTGACAGGAGCTCCATGGTCGGGTCAAAGCATCGATTAGGGCTGATAGAATTCAATTCTGGCCATTCGGTACTGTAGAGAAGGTGAAATCCTAGTGTCAGGCAAGCTGTGCTCGCATTCGTGATAGCGGCACGGAACTTCCGATGATCGTCCAGTGTCATATCCCACTGCAGCTCTACTGACAGGTCATGGATCCTTCGTGCTTTGACCAGTGCCTTGTAGAACTGCTTTGCATGGTCGGCGGATATCAGATTGATATTCATCCTGCCCTTCTCCTCATCGAAACCTCCATTGTTGACTTCCACCATATCTCTCAACTGCTGCACTGCTGACTCATGATAGTTCTTACGGTAATGATTGATGCAGACCCATTTGACGTATCCCTCCGCAGTGACAATCTGATACAGGTTGCCTAGAGCGCGACCCTTGTCCTGGCCCTTCAGGTACGACTCTAGTTGTCGAAGGTTTGCTGCCTCTAGGACATCAAGTTTGTCCATCCTCGTCTGTCCTTCAGCTGCGTCTGCCCCACCCTTGTTATTTTGCTGCTGGCCTTCAATAAAGTTGATCGTATTGTCTACCAGTGGTCCAAAGTTCTCTTTCACGAACTTGAGCTGCTCCCCGACTGGCTCGATTCCCTCTACAATCTTGAAATGCGCCAGTGGTGGCACAACCGCCCCGGCGATTGTGATTCCGTACTTGATCATCTGCATCAGCGTCAGGACATAGGATCCGTACTTCTCAAAGAACTCGTTCGGGCGGCCTAGGTCGTATCCCTCGTGTTTGGCCAGGTGGATCTCGTGCGGTAGCTTGGTTCCCTCGGACATGGTGTGAGTGCCGCATTCGCACAAAAAATAGAGACGATACTGGTCCAAGAAAGGATTGAGCAACTTGTCACGACGCCTTGATGCCTTTGGGAGAACAATGAAGAGCCGTGGAAGAGGGTACTCGTGAGGCTCGTAGGTCTGGGTAAGGGCGGCCTGGACACGGCTTTGGATCATGGCTGGGCGATCGAGGGCCTATTGTTGCATCTGGATTATTTGCTCCTGCTTCTTTAGCAAATGTTGTTGTGCCTCCAACAGTTGCTTTTGCGCAATCCTGTCCTTCTCGTCCATCTGCTGCTGTAGTCGGAGCATCTGCTCTTGAAGTGACCTATTCTTGTGAACTTCTGCGGCAATGTCCATTTGACCATACTGGGTGTCCCGAAGCTGCAAAAAGCACTGGTTGGGACAGACCTGGGGAGACATGGTCAGCTGCTGTGTTATCTTGGTTGAGCAGACAACGGGACATTTATGCGAGGGCGTCTGGTCCAATATGGAGAGGGCAGTGACTTGCTGTGTAACAGATTCCGCGCCATCAGCAGCCGCATACGAGAGCGAGATGCGTCGCAAGAGGGCAGTGGCCTTGGCTAGCATACCCATAGCGAAAGAGGGAGCGGCTGGCACTGTGGATACGGTTTGCTGGAGAGATCCTTCATCCCTTGCACGGCCGATGGTATTTTGTCCGGTGCTGCTGACAATCACGTCGAGCACAACTCCAGGATGATGATCGATCCTCAGAGGCTCAAGACTACAGTTTATAATAGAGAATGATAGCAATTAGCAATGGCGCTATAGCCAATGGTCATCTGCTTTTCCCTCACAACTTACTGGACAAAGCTGTCGTCGGTCAGGAACGCAACTATTTCTCCGGCTTTCATGGCGCATTTGGCATTCTCAAAGTAAAGCAGGACATCCTTCCACAAAACGATGTGTTGGTCGGTTTTATTGTCGAGTCGAGTTTTGACCGTGACGATATCGGCTTGTGTGGATGAGCCTGGGGGTGTACGCAGTCGAAAGGCCTGCGAGGGATGCAGGTCCGTAGCATCAAGGTTCATGGTAATGTCCGTAAGGCAAGGGGATAGACGGGCAGGAGTGAAGGAAGGAAAGAAAACAGAAAAGCAATAAGAGGCAATGGCGAAGGAACAAAATCTTGGCGCAACATTGGGAGCAATCTTGCCATCCATCCCTGGAAGCAGACAACCAACTAAAGAAAAAGACTTGCACAGCCCACAGGTCTTCGACCGTGCACGAAGAAGCGATGGTGTTAGGCAGCAGCATTGGGGCGTAGAAATAGGAAGAGCCGCTGAGCAGCGTTCCTCTAACGTTCGAGCGGTGGTAAAATCACACCACAAAAAACGCGTTCACGAACCAAGGCGAAACTGAGAACTACGCCTGCTCAACGCAGCCTGCACATAGCTCAAGCGACACGCCAATGATGGCCATCGAAAAGCAATTACTCTGCCACCGATTCTTGGCCTGGAAACGCTCTCGAATGCCGAGTCTGGGCCACTTCGGTGCCTGGAAAGACATCCGTGGATACAGATCGCAGCAGATACCCATGAGCCGGTACCGGCTTGAGCAATGATGGCATCTCTCCTTTTACTCAAGAACGGTGTTGCGGACAACAATAATGCATGGATCATTAGTAAGGTTGTCTGCTAAGATGCTTGGGGAGCAGCAAAAAAGAACAAGACCTTTCCTGTTGGTTTTTCTCCGCGCTTTTTCCCAGGAGCTCGATAGTGTCTGCTTGTATACATTTGGCTTGAATCCCATCATTTTCACACAGTATCGCTTGGCGACACACTGGGAAGCGAGTTCTTGATCTACATGGGTGCAGTGATGACTGGACTGAAGGGTACTTATGAGATGTACATCCTTGACACTACTCCTGCTTTGTAAGCTTCCATTTGTACAACCTGCAGCCAACACTTTGTGCTACGACACTTTTTTCTCATTCTCCTAGTCTTTGGCTGGTGCGATCAACAACCCGGTGCTGAAGCGCTTCAAGGGCGGTACCAATGGCATTTCTGCTCTTGTGTTATTGACTGCCATTCCTGGTACGTTCGTCGCTGGTTTGGATGCTGGTTTGGCCTACAACGAGTTCTCGTTGATGGATGGCCGTCTGGTGCCTCCTATGAGGGAACTGTTCGATAATAATTTTCTGCACAAGGGGCAATAACCCCACGATCGGATTCTGGAGAAACATGTTTGACAACCAGGTCACCATCCAGTTCAACCACTGTGTTCTCGTAAGTCGTTCTCTCGTTTTTTTGTTTACAGCAGTTGACGGTACTCACTATCATCATTTCTTGGCCTAACTTGATTCATCGACACTACACTATGACTCGGAACTAGGCTACGACATTCACTGCTGTTACTTCCTTGTTCCTGTACTCGCGTGGACTGCCTCTGCTTCCTCATATCAGCGTTGGTGCGAATGCACTGATGGGAGTCGCCTGCTGCCAAGTCGGACTTGGCATTGCGACCCTGTTGTACATAATCCCAGTCTTGCTCGGCACTGTCCATCAGACTGGATTGCTGACGCTCTCGGCCGCAGCGCTATACCTGATGCACAGTTTGAAGAAGGTCCCAGTCGCCAAGAGGATCCTTTTGGAGCGGAGCCATGATACGTAGATCGAACATGTTATTTTTACACAGGACGCTTACATACATTCGCATTTCTATAAAGCTATTTCCTGTTCCTTCTTTGTATAAATGAAGAAGAACCAAAAAAAAAAGATGTTGCAGACGAAATTGCTGATTGCTGTGATAAAGCTGATTGACAAGACGATTGCAGAGCAACCAGCCAAACTGATGCACTCCTATCCTTATGGGACATGGTGGAGAAATCAGTCTTTCGGCAACGTTTTTGTTTTCCTCTTTCTTCGGTCGTTTCTTCCACGCATTGATCACAAATGCGGCCGGTATCTGCCCCGCAGCGACAGGAAATGCGTTCAAGAATAAAGATGAGATGAATAATGTATAGTCAATCAGATACGTCATCTCTTCCTGAAAGGGTAGAGCTTCTTTACTGCGTCTATGTAGCTCGCTTAGTCCAGAAAATGGGCCTGTGCCCTAACTAATACCTTTCTTCTTTGGCAAAGGCACCACGGGTTTCCTGTAGGGACTGTCAAACAAGACCGACAACCCTTGTCTTTTTATTTTTCATATGCTTTGGGTCACCATGAATGTGTTAAGCGGCTACTGTTGAAGGACGTTCCTTCTATATAACAGGTTGATAACTTGGTTTGCACTCTTCCATCCAACCACTTAGTGAAGCATCTCTCTGGGCTGTGGCCGATCGTCATATCCAATTGTGATCCGTATCGTTTCCCATGAACCAAGAAATGGGTTCTGTATGAGAATATATGACTGGCTATCAACGGCTGTTGCGATTGGGGGATGGCCTGAATGGCTATAGAAAGTTGATGTTAGTTGTCTGCTCGCTCAAGCGAAACAGATATGCAGTTTCATAAGCAGGTAAGCAGCACCATTCCTTTAGTTCATGACGTTCCTTGTTTCCTTTGCAACTTGAATATTTCGGACGGCATGGGGACATTGTGAGGAACAGGGAGCACTCAGGGTTTATCCTGGCATGTATGGAAAAGCGTGCGGGATGATGTAAAAATGTTCTCCAAAGAGGGCGGCTGGACAAATCTCACCAAATCGAGACACTGTGAAACTAGTCCATTTTATTCTTTGTCGTAGCTTGAAATCAAGAAAAGATAGGTAAATGCTCATCCGTTCGTTCATCTTGAACCCCTGCAGGCATTTCCGATCCAGACAACTGCTTACTTCAGCCTGCATCTAGTATACAGTCTCTTCGCAGATAAGGAAGAGGAGAAGAAAGAGTAGCTCTCACGACACCTTTGCGATATTTCATTTCAATTCTGTGCGCCGTTGCTTGTGCGGGCTGACCTCTATATAATTTGAAAAAAAAAAAAAAAAAAAAAAAAAAAAAAAAAAAAAAAACATTCGTTGAGCTCTACCTTCAGGAGAATTATAGCAATTATATTTCATTCAAGTCATATAGGCCTCGGGTACCGTCAGAATGACCTAAAGCTTCTCTTACTATAGTGGAGCTACCGTTCTGACATGAGGATGCTGCATTGTCGAATGGGTGAGCGTAGCAAACTCAAAGGCGATACTTAGTATGAGGGGTACTTGACCCAGGGAAATGAGCCCATAGAACGTAAAGGCACTAATCTTCGCCAAAGGACGCGAGAAAGGTCGTCAAAGGTGGAAGGGCTCACGTATCCCTTTGGTTGTGTGCTGTAATCCTTTTTCAGTTTTCACCCGCCTGTCGCATTGTTGACATGGCGGCATGCTAGTTGTCTTCAGTATTTTGTGTGTAAACATTATTGAAATTGCGCCCATCTCTTCTCTACAAAGTCTCCGTGTTCACCGGACAAACGTGTAACTGGTGAAAATTCGATATCTATTACACATGTACTATACATGAGCCAAGGGCACAAACAAAGCGAGTATCTCTCCATTCGTCCATAGTCCGAGATCAGGTCATTTAGGTTTTACGCGCAATGTTTCCTTCCATGGCTTTAAGCTGCTTATTGTTTGGTACTCTTTCCTCAGTCATGGAAACTAATTTTGATGAATCAGTCTCAAGTATAATTTAGAAAGGGGAATGTTTTCAAGGAAATTGTACTCCAGGGTTTCTAATATATGCCTCGACGCTAGAGTGGACATTCCTGTTCGAAAGTTCAGAGAAACGTATCAGGTTGAAATCGAGAGAAGCAGCAGTAGCGTTTTTATTTTTATTTTCATGAGGCTGGTTTTCTGCACGCATTTTCCGCAGTTGACCCTTCAGTTCCCATAATAGGCCGCTGAAAAAATCGTCCGCCCAAATGTAGAGGTCCAAGCCTTTGCTGCGTTGCAAAATGATGAGCACAAGTGTCTGGAAGGCTCGGAAAAAATAATCCAATGACCCCGACAGAGGCGTATTTGGAACTTGCAAGGTGTCATCTAGTGGAAGGGGAAAAAAACCAACAAAAAAATTGAGAGCACCGAGGCTATGTGATGCTCGTCCGCTGTCTTTATTGTGTCCGTTATGCCTAGACGATTGAGGCACCGAGACTCAGTAACTCAAGATGTCCATGGTGCAAGACATTTGTCCAATAACCACCGTAGGAAGGGAGACGAATATGTCTTTAAGATCTAAAAAAAAAAAAAACTTTTTCCGGTTTGGATTGCTGCTGTGATTCCAATGCTTGGCTGCGAATGAACGCGGCCGCGCGGAGAAAAATAGCACATCGACCGTCCCAATGTTCAGGCAAAGAATGGCCGCCAAACTGAAGGACTCGGGCTGAAAGCGGGAGGCACCCTTCTTATGGTTTCGGCAGGGGAGCACCAACTTTTTTGTTAAAAAACACTGACTTGGTCCTCGTCCATCTTGTCCTCTTCTTAACATTTCTCCTCGTCGAATCCTTTCTCTACCCATTTTCAACCCCCTCGTCACCCAACAGACCTCACCACGCCCCTTTCGTCCTTTGATATTGGCCTCGCTCTCTTCACCCGGCATCCACATTCCAGTATCCATTCTCATTGACGCCTTTCAGCGAGACCCTCACCTCAAATAACCTTTCTTCTTCATCTACACCCCTATCCACCCTCCTATTCCTCCATCATGGTCAAATTCGCCTCATTTGTGCTTCTTTCCCTCTCTGCCTCGCTAATGGCTCTTACCGAGGCTAAGAGTGATCCTGGAGCGTGCTTCTTGCACGTCCCCAAGTATCCTTTCTCCGCCAAGGGTCTTGCCACGCCCTATATCCTCAAGAAGGGTAACTGCGATCAGACGAACCCAGACCAGCAGGTCTTTGTGGAGGCTACCATCTTTGACCCGGACACAAAGACCTTTGCTGTGTATCACCCATTGGTCATCAACGAAGGTACGACAATACGAGCAGAATAATGACAATAGTCAAGCTTACTGTGTCGTCCTCCGACCCATTGGTTCATTACCGAGCACTGCCCTTGGCCAAAGTCGCGTATTATTTTAATTGCCTAACTGGCCTCCTCGCTTTTCTATATTCAGGCACAAAGCCTGCGATTGATCCCATTGTGCCCAAGCTGCCAAAGAACGCCGTCGTGGGTCTGTGGTTCGGTGCCAATTCAGACTCTGTCACCCTCACAGGCGATATCCAACGCTGTACTAACGGACTCTCGAGTACGGACATCTTTAGTCAGGTCGCGTTCTGCGGAGCCGAGCACTTTTTCAAGGTCGTCCATGCTGCAGACAAGTCCGGCAAAGATGTCGTCATCCCTCCCATCGGCACAGACATCCATGGCAACCCCTGCCCGACCACTCGTCACTTTGGTATCATTGACCAGGACCAGAGCGATAATGTTATCACGACTTACCTTCAAAAGGGTAACCGCTTTGCCCAGGCCACCAAGGCGAACAGACAGAAGTTGAAGAAGTTTGTCGAGTTCGCTAATGGTTCCGATAATGCTTTGGTTGCGGAGCTCATTGACCCTGTATGTAAACGTCCTTTCTTGTACATACGCAACCTACATGAATGCTTGCATTTCTGCACGCAACTAAGCACTTTTTAATTCTGCATCGACAGGCTATCAAGTGCAAACCCTTCAAGGCCCCTTCATTGATGGAGCCTAACGTGATGCTCGGTTCCATGGCTCTGAACGAGTTGCATGCAACGCGTCAACGGGCGCCCGTGGCTCTGATTCCCTCCAGCGACCCAATGGTCCTGTCCAACAACAAGCCCTCAATCCGAAAGCTGAATGCCTATCGTAAGGGCGTGGATCAGCCTTTAGTCCCCCATCTGTACCTGGCGAGCCCGAAGGACTACTGCATTAATTTTGACAAGATTGCACCTGGCTATATCCAATCGATTGCAAAGCAGATCGTAGGTCGCCCTTCACCTGCGACTGATGTCGCAGACAATTTGCTGACCTTCATGGGTCAGCGCTATGCTGCCTCATGGGTCAACCTGGCCTGCGACAAGATCCTGAAAAAGACTTCGGCTATCACTGTCACCACGAAGAAGGGTGTCGCCACTGAAGTCCACTTCCATCAATCCAAGAAAATTGGCGGCAAGAAGCATCACGGCAAGAAGCATCACGGCAAGAAGTACGACTGAAAGTTTTAGAACAGATGCTGGCAACAATAAACGCTTATCCAAGGTCTGAGAACCGTTTATCAACAGTTCAGAATGTGTTCGTGTGTCCGCAATAAGTTAAATTGGGTTTTTTTTATTTCGATGCAATGTAATATGGTACAAAAATGTAATGAAAGGAAGTGCAAAGAGCGAAGAAAATTTCCAATGGGGTATACCTGAGCAAAGCACTAGCGCAGAAGAGAATAATGTCTTTTTCAAATCTTTGCCATCATCAGTTCCTCCCAGGTGACCTTTGCCTGCTGTAGGTCTCCCCTGATGCTCTCCAAGGTCGTGAGGCGAACGAGCATCGTTCCGTCCGCAAGCGTCTGCCAGCATTCGGGATCATCGTCATCACTGTCACTGCCACTATCGCTGTCACTGTCGCTATCGCTTTCGCTGTCGCTCTCATAATCATCTTCCACGGCGCTATCGTTTTGACTGCTGTCGACTTCCCTATTGATGCTATTATTGATATTGCTACCAACGTTGCTGCTGATGCTGATGTTGTTGCTGTTACTGCCGCCGCTGTCGCCATCGTGGTCAATATCACTGTCACTGACATCGTTATCATCGTCCGTGAAATCGATCAAGCTAGCTCTTTGCTTCCTGATAATGGGAGCTGAGGCAGAAGCAGGCTCGGAGTCCGAGAGGTCAATCAATGCCTTCTCGATGCCCAAAGATAAATCGACAAGGTTTCCTTGCTTGACCATGTACTCCGCATCGACATCGCCATCCAAAAAGACCTTATCCACCATGCCACCCATCCGACTCGTCTCCATATTTGCTCCGATTGAGAAGTCCAGGTCGATCAGATCTGCTACCGCCGCCGGAATGCGTGGCGGGGACATTCCAGTTTCTGTTGATGTGTCATCAAAGTCCAAGTTGACGAGACCTTCCTCCACGCGCGCATTCACATCTAAAGCTGGTGTAGTCGATGATGTCGCTTGAGATAACGACCGTGTTGCTGTTTCTCTAGCCGATGAGGGCACTGGTGGTGCTTGTTGAGCTGACGGCAGCGGGGTGGATGGTCTTTGAGTTGCTGGCGGAGTTGCTGGTGTTGGTGGTGGAAGTAAGGCCCTCTGTGCAGGCGCTGGGGTCCCTCTCCCTCGATTGTCTCCTCGGGCAGCTTGGTATGCCTTGTAAAGATGAGGCTCCTCCACTGGCCGCATGTCTCTCCAGTTCAGCCAATCCTGTGGTGTGAATTGCCCTGTCAGCGCTCGCCATGGACCGGCCGGCTCTCCAGTTCCCAACGGCAATCTCTCCAGCCTCGAACCTTCGATGGCTCGTGGGAGAGGACTCTGACGACTGAAGCTGTTCCTCAGATAGCTGGGCCTCCGCCACGACTCGAGGGAGCGCCTGGGTCCTACGACGGTCGTTGTTCGCTGGCTGTAATATGAGTTTGGATACTGATTATATGACTGTGTTTGCTTCTGCAATTGCTGTTGCTGCTGCTGCTGTTGTTGTTGTTGCTGTTGTTGTTGCTGCTGTTTCTGGCTTTGAGACGAACTGCTAATGATCCAGTCCTCGTCCTTAAGTGGACCTAAAGAGTGCCTGGACATGCCTTGGGTGGTTCGAGGAAAGGAAAGAAAAGAGGCGCAAGTTGAATGTGACGCGGAAACTAAAAGGAATCAAAGTGCTGGCGCAAGAAAGGCAGGTGGGCGCAGACGGTCGGAAGCGGAATTGAAGAGCAAAAGCGATGATGAGTGATTTGAAATGTGGGGCTATGAGAGCCGAAGAGGGATGACGAGTGCATGGAACCATTGGGAGAAAAGAGATCTCGCGTCCCCCCACAAGCGAGAAATAGTGGCGCAGAGATGGCCGCCTGGGTGGAAAATATATACCTTAAATCCAACCAGGAAACGCAGTGCCGCCGTCTTGGAAAATAGAGTTGGTAGTCGACGCGACTGAGCGGGTGTAAAAGAGCGCGCTTGATGGATGCTTTGCGGGCAGGACCCATGTCGCAGTTGCTTTTTCTTTTGTCCGCCGTCTTCCTACCGTGTTTTAGACTCTTCTTCTCCGCTTCGGCTTGCTTACATCATTCAACTCCCCACAGAAACACACTTGCGTGAGGAATTGGATGGACGCATATTTGGCTAGACATAGATGTACATGTATATGATGTGTACTTTCCTGTCTGCCCTGATCCGTGCTCCCTAAACTCTTTTCTCTGATTCTCTCCTTCACCAGTAGCCACATCCTTGTGTATATTTCTTCTTCTACTTCTTCAACCCCCCTTGCTACCAGCCGCTCACAAGAACGCAATGGTCCTGCAACTCTCTACATCCCCATTTGCCGCAAGAGCATCGTCTTCAAAACTCACTGGACCGACTGTCAGCTCCAATGCCTCGTCTGTCACAACTACTTCGCCCTCATCGCCCATCTCGCGCCTCTCCTTCTTATCTGACAAGGCCATAGGACGGCACCATGACCTCCACAAACGCTCGAAACATAGCTGTAATAGTCGCACGTTGTCCTTAGTGGAGAATACAGCCACCATAGCCAACGGCGCTACTGGAACTGAATTGGATCAAACAACAAAGAGCCACAGCAGCAGCAGCAGCAGCAACAGCAGCAACGCTCAGGTATCACCAGAATCAGTAACAACAGCAGTAGCAGTAGCGAATCTGTGGGGGAGGACTCTTTTCCGGATCATGGGCGTCGTTTCTGGAATCTCCACACTTCTCATCGTACCCACACTGAAGTCTCAAGAATTCGGCAGTAGCTTTGGGCGTGGATCGCAGGTATGTATGTCATCCCACCATCAGACGACTTTCTTTCAAAGGAGGGAAGGTCTGCCTGCAGATGGGAATTTGTCCTGTAACAAACAACATCATCGGAACGCATTCTATCCTTGCTAAACTGACGCTGTCTTCCCCCTCTAGTTTCTCACCGTCTTGGGTTTATTCCTGACCATGGTGTGCCTCAGTCTCGGAGCCGCTAGTGATCTGCTGAAGATGCCGAGTAAGTTAACCATTCCAGTGCTCGTATCCACAACATCTCCGAGGGACCAAATGGATGGGACGAATGGGATGGGTACCAAATCCGCCATCTTTTTCAGCAACAATTATATCCAGGCATTGGACACCAACCATTTAGCTTAGTCAGACATGGAGATGAATACTCTTTTGCTGGCTTTTGTTTAATTCTGGATCATTTTTAACCATCGCATGGATGGCTATCGATTCTCTGGACCCGCTCCTCCTCGAACTGAATCCGACTCTGAGCGATGCCCTTTTCCCTCAATACCTCATCTTGACACCAGGATAGCAGAGCTCGCAGGTCAGGTCAACATCCACTTGAAAGGGCTATCATACAAACTCACGCGAGTGAAGCTACAAAATAACCACATTGTCATTTTATGTTGAAGTTGAGGCAGGTTTAAGGAGAAGTCTAAAAATGTTGCAGCGATCAAAATTGATCCAAGACCACACGAGTCGTACCAAAAAAAAAAAAAAAAAAAAAAAAAAAAAAAGAATATGCTGCAACAGATGAGAACGATGTGTTCACACGGCTGAATTACAGCGAGGAGATATTCTCTCAAGACCGAGAACTTAACACAGTGTTCCTTGCCATAACTCTTGTAGGTTTATTACGCATCAAGAATGCCATCTTGCCAGTGGCTGTTCCAGTAAGTGAAGCAGGAAACTAGACCAAACACAGATCTGTGTCTGGAGGCTGTTGTAGCTGTGCAGAGCCATTAAAGTATACTAACGGTCGATCTGCCATAAATTCATAATCTCTGTACGATAGGCCGAATGTGCGGTTGCGATCCTGTACTGGTACCTTACCCTGACTGACGTTTACAACATTTACCCCGACGGCATTCGCTAGTAAGTCAAATCAAGTCAGGGCTGGCCCTCTCCCCTTTCCGTTCTGGTCATATTGAAGCCGCAGACACCAATGGCTGGCCTGAAGCTAACAATGCATTGAACCTTTCAGTCTTCCATTCTGGCTCGACATCCAGATGCATGGTCTTCCATTCGCCTATGTATTCATCGAGATGTTCTGTTTCTCAGAGACCTTTAAAGTCCGACGTGTCGCCGACTTTTGCGCCCTCGCAGCGTTCGCAGTCTTCTATATGTCATGGTCTAGTCTCTGTGCCTACATGGATGGCTATTGGGTAAGGACCATTCAACAGCGTTCGATGAAGACCCGTGGAATGAAGTCCGACATAGCAGTGCTTATGTACTAAACGACTCTTGTTTGTTCATCACTACAGCCATATCCTATTTTTGACAACCTTGCATGTCCATGGAAGTGTCTCCGTTTGATGCTTATTGCTAGTTCCATTGGCCTCGTATTCCAGCTCCTCATTGCTGAGGTCCACATCAGAGCAAGAGCCGTCAGAAAAATCTGTGATAGTTAATTCTTTTCTCTCAGCAATTGTATGGAGCCCATGAACCTTGCGAATAGAAACAGGGTGCTTCTGCCATCGTTACCCATCAACAGCTTTTTATAGAGCGACTCATTTTATACATGCATTCTGGTTCACGCTCGTGCTTCGCTCAAAATCTTTTTATGTGTGTTGAAAAACTACGTCAGATGTTCTACGGCATTCCTTCATGCGCCCAGCCGTTGGATGCGCTCCACCAGCTGGGTAATTCGTCCATCAATCAGCTCGATGTTCTTGTGAATAGAGGTCTCGTTCTCTGCCAGACTTTCCTGAAGCTGCGAGTATTAAACCAAAAAATAAGTCATGGTGAGAGCCAAGAAAAGCAGCTGAAAATACCAAGGGTTATCATGGATTCCTCATGATGGATAAGGGATGAATTCTCTTACCTTGGTAGAAACTGTGTCTAGTCCTTTCAGTTCCTCGGTAATCTTTGTCTGTTCGTCCGAGATCATTTTGATCGAGTCCGAAAAGATGGCGGCTTCGGCATGTAGACCCTTGAGTCCCTTTAGCCTCGTCACCAAGACCGGTGCCAAAGACACCAACGGATCAATCTTGTCAACCAACTCGAATAACGCGTTGATCTACAAAAAAAAAAAAAAAAAAAAAAATAATCCATAAGGACAATAGTTAGAAACGATAACTATCGCTTTCAGTAGAAAACTGGTTGTCACCATCATATACCTTGTTCTCAGCATCAGCGCTGATCCCGGTCGCAGCCGCATCCTTGGCCTGAAGTTCCTGGACGCGCTCCAGTTCCCCCATCACGCCCTTCAAGCGACGCGACAACTGTTCCAAATGACGTGGCTTAACAAGGATATTGACATTCTGCTCCAGCTTCTCGACAGTTCCCACCAGCGATGCCTATTGCACATTCAAATTCAAAACTTTGTTAAGCACTCTGACATCCACATTGCCTTTTCCTTTCCAAATATACAGATACTCTTCCTTTGATTCAAATCCTTACTCCAGACTGCATCGGGGTCGATCCAACCGCCTTCTCGAGATTAGCGAGACGTTCTGCGAGCTCCGCTGTCTTTGTGGCGGTGTGTAGCTTTGCATTGTCCGGGCTGTAGTACAGTTCGTATGTAACCGTCTAGCAGAAGCGAGAAAACAAAAAAAGTCTTGTTGGGCACTGCCATCTCGATACTCATTTGTACAAGGCAAAGGCACAAAAATCATAGCATAATAATTGCTTCGCTTTTCATACCTTGCCATCGCTACCAACTTCAGTTTGTGCCTTTGAGGCTGAAGCCCCCATCTCAACATCTGTTGCCGAAGCTGCGGAGTGCTTCATGGCCTGCAACTGCTGGAGCAGTCGTTTGCCTGTGTCCGTCTGCTTGATCAATCCTTCGTTTGAAAAGACGCCTGTTGCGGTCCCTTCTCCCAATGTCTGGCCAATCTCTGTCAGATCATGCTCCAATGACTTGACGTGAGCCAGCAGATCTTTGTGCGAAATCTCTCCTGCGACCAGCTCTTCGCCCTGCTATAAGAGTGGATCACATAAATATCATCGGGAGAAAAAAGACGACCATGGAGGGTATGCTGGTCAGTCAAGAGCGCATTCTGATTGTCTGACATGTGTCAATGTTATAATCGGCTCAAATCCGTTGTATTGCTCTGCTCAGTAAATATACCTTGCCATTCATCTCCGTTTCCTGGCCAAGTTCCTTGACCTCGTAGATAAGACGCCTCAACTTTTGGATAGGTGTCTCCTGAAGGATCATCTCCTTTGGCAAGATCTCATATTCCGAGCTATCCAAGTTGGGTCTCCTGACGAATGTGCGGTACATGGCCTTCTTGCGCTTGTTCAGTCTGTCCGAGAAATCTATGCCAGGACAATGTTCAGTTGCAGATGGCGTGTTAAAGTGCGACTTGCAAGGCATAGGGAAGCATGCTGCCAACAATTTTATCTCATGTGTCATGCGCGTGCATGTTGTTGTGTTGTTGGGGGATAGTGGGTCATCTCCCTTTTCCCCCAAATCCCTGGCGACATTTAATTGTTACATACCAGCAGAGGAGTTGTCAACGACACAATCCTTGAAACGGGCAGCAGCATCTTTGACCGAGACTGTTGACTTGTCAATGTTCTCTCTCTCCTCGTCGCTCTCAAAGTCCTAAAAGGAGACCCATTCGCATGGAGCCATAACGCCGTAAAAACAGTTGAACTTGAGCTCTGGGGACCAAAAGACGCCAATAGTTTGCTGTCCTGTCGAGTTGTTTACCTGGCTGTCCATGCCCTGAACTCCTGAACCACGCTCGGCGGTCTCGTCTGTAGTCTCGTAGACATCCGGTTGAGTATCCTAGATCACACGAGGATTAGTAACAGAGACGTTAGGTCCCTGGTAAGAAAGAATAAAGAGAACTTGGTTGTTTTGACGCGCCGTGATGCAGCAAGCAAAAGAAAACGCATGTCCCGTACGATGTCTGGCAGAGTAGAGTATTTGCTAGACATGGTGCCTTCGAGTCCTGTCCTGATGGCAGTGTTGTTGCGGGATGAAAGCGAGATGTAGAAAAGAAAGTTGTGTGATGAAGACAAGGATGAAAGATGCAGGATGAAAGAATACAGACCCCCTCTCCCCGCCCGACGTATGCCTGTGCCTGAATGTCCCACACTGTGGCAAGTCACTATACTCAAGGTCGTCGTCTTTCCCCTCTCTACCGATCGCTTTACCATCGACACAGCCATTTCGCACCATGGCCACCGCCGACTACCGTTTCCTTTTCGACAGCTCCTTCGCTCCGGACAAGGACCTACAAAGGCCACATGTCACTCTGACATTCGCCCAGAGTCTGGACGGCAAGATAGCAGGCCGCCAGGGCCGCCAGTTGATCCTCAGCGGACCAGAGTCCATGAAGGCGACTCATATGTAAGACTCTGGTTACGCGCACAACCTCCGGACCAAATGCCAGTGATAGGTTCCATGCAGACACATTAAACAGAGAGTCCGTTTATATTCAACGTCCTGGGATCTCAATGTTAGCCTGAGATCAAAGCACGACGCCATTTTAGTGGGCATTGGCACAGTCCTGAACGACGATCCTCGCTTGACAGGTAAATTAGCAGTATCCAAAGTAGCCATCCCTCTTATTGTGACCAGACCAGCCCTAATATCTCCTTTATCCATGTTAATACAAAGTGCGTTTGAACAGTGACGATCTCCAACCAGGATCCGACCCTGTTCAGCATCCCCAGCCGGTTATCCTGGATAGCACCTTCCGATTTCCCGTAACCGCGAAGTTGGTCCTGCCCACATCACCCAAGAAGCCCTGGATCTTCACAGGTCCAGCACACGACCATCAAAGGAGATCTGAGCTTGAAGCATTGGGCGCAAGAGTTTTTGTCCTTGGGGTGGATTCTGACGGTAAAGACATCGGCCCCATGGTTTCATGACCAAGAAAACAATTGTTTCTGAAGCATTAATGATTGCTGCCATTGCGTTTGGCCATCTCTCCTTTTCATACACACGCTCTCAGGACGCCTGTCGATACCTGATCTTCTTTCGAAGTTGCGCCAACAGTCAATCCGATCCTTGATGGTTGAAGGAGGTGCAGGAATCATTTCGTCGTTCCTCAGATCGGGCTTGGTCGACTCGTTTTTGTTGACCATCGCGCCGGTTTATGTTGGTCATGAAGGTGTCAGCGCAGTGCAGGATGCGGAGGTAATTATACTTCGCCTCTCGTTGCTCACGCTATGACCAGACGAGGTGTACTAATGCAGAGGTTGTCCACGTCTTCGACTCCCTAGGCCGCTGCAAAATTCGACAAGATCTCATATCATACACTAGGACGAGATGTTATGATGGTAGCAAGACCACAAAGAGACTAAAGAGCGGCAAAAAAAAAAAAAAACGGTTTCTTTCATGTGCCGTGTATATTACATGTTGTTATATTACAGAAATCTCAATCGCTCTGTGTGCCAGTCTACATGCTAGGCGCCATCATTTCGGCCACTGAGATGTGATCTCCAGCTCGATATTGTTATCGGTATCTAATTTAGTTGGCAGGAGCAGGTCCCTTGACAATGTTGGCGACGACACCGCCACTAGTAGCAGTAGCTAGACACTGGTTCACGACCTCCAGCAAATGTGAGTTCTCCAGCGCAGCCGCCACACGCTCCTTGTCGTTAAGTTGCTTGTTGACAGCATGTTCGCTCTGGTGTGTCCCCTTCCTGACTGAGATATCGACCTGGAAAAAGAAAGTACGAGGAGTATGTGGGTCAATATGGACCAATCAGGAAGTACTGCCAGCATATATACCCGCATGACTGAGAACACTGAGAATCGATTTTTTTTTTTTTTTGGTCCACATCTATCTTTTCGATATGATGTAAACTGTACCTTGAAACGCGAGGGCAGGCATCTAAGCAATCGGACACGGATGCAGAGGCCGATCAGGGTTGCCATTGAGCAATGGGGGATCGTTGGTGTGAACTCGACCAGGATAGTGTTGTTCTCATCCGAGACCTGGATATGATCTCGCTGAGTCACATTGAGCTGCTCCAAGGAGAGCGGGTGCTCTGGGTCAGAGATAGAGCGGATGAGATCTAAGACGAGTGGATGGGAAGAAGAAGCAGGCAAAGTGAAAGCGTAGAAGGTCAGTTTGGGATTCTCTGTCAACATCCGGATCGGCTGCATGGCTTCTCGAGTGGAATCAGTTGTCATGCTGCGGAGAAGGAGCATTACCAAAGATCTCCTGAGCGTCGATCGGATCAGGAGTGTCCTCGTCCTCATCGTCCTCGCGCCATTCTCTGGTTGACTTTCCAGCCGAGGCCTCGTAGATAATGGGATTCTGGTTGATGAGAGTAGTCATTGTTGGCAGTGATGTGTGCTGAAGAGGGTGTGAGGGAAGGAAAGAAGAAACGAGATAAGAGAAACAAGGTGATCTGATGATTTTACTACGACAACTCAAATCAGTATCTCACTTGAGGGCTCCAAAGAGACTTTGCCCTGCATTCGGTCCTGGGACACTACCGATGTTATCTTCTCGCCCTCGTGTTCATCCTCTGCATCGATGTCCGTGCCCAGGTCCAGCAACATCGTCTCGCTCTCCAGCTCATCCCAACCATGCCACAGCAATGAGAGCTCATGCCGCTTGGACGCAAGGAGTATCGCTGGCAGCAATGTACATGGTACAAGGTATAATAGTGCTGGCTGGCCTTTCCCGCTCCACATCATTGCCACAAAAGTCACCTCGAGACCCAATGCATATCCCAAAACGGCCGTCAGATGATAGCCCCAACGACGACTCCACCAGCTTTTCCTGCTGATGTATAGCGGCGAAGGCATCGGCTTTGGTATCGACAAGAGATCTGTCCGCCCAGTCATAGAGGTAGCTAGCCCAACCAAGCACTGATCTTCTTCTAATCTGGCATCGCACTCCTTCAAGAAAGTGATCAAGATCCCTGGCAAGACCACATCGCCGAATCCAAGCATGGCTTCCCCTCCATTTGGCGAGAAACTGGGGATGCGGAAGAGCATGGGTATAGTTTCCTTAACGGTCATGGCAGCTCCTGTAGCTGCTGCCTCCATGATTGACTCTCCAGATTTAGTCAAATACGGCGTCACGAAGACGAAGAAGACGTCGTAGACAAACGCCGTCAAGAGCAGGAGTGTTGGCGAGGACATGGACGGAGCCTTCAGCACTTTCAGCATCAAGGTGATCGTGAACCCTGGTAGTTGCAGAACGCAAACACGTTAGAGATCAACTTTCTTGCATCCGATACATGTACGCTTCACCCAAGTCTTACCGCCTAAAATGTCCTGAAAGATCCATGAGTATCTGCCGCACATTACAAGAGGCAATTGAAGGATAGATCATGTCAGGATATGTATTCCATTGTCTTTACGGTCTTGCTCCTGCCCATGCACTTTTCTTTTTCTCCAGATTGCTTACCTAGAGTTCCTGTGCCAGAACCACGACACTACCAGGAGTCCAGCGACAGCCATGTGGTGCCATTGATGGCCCCTTCCTAATCCAAGTCGCTTCATGATGTTGGGCATGCACTGCTGGATGCTGACAAAAGATCCCAGGCCGAATGTCAGAAGACTCATGTACACTATTGTCGGTCAAAGATGGCCGCAGCGTTAATACTGCCGTGGTTGGGCGGAAGTGCAAAGTTTTAATAAAGCAAACGCACCATACCTAGAACATTGGACCACATCCACATAGCCAAGAGTCCTATGCTTGCCAGGAACCCAAAGCCGACCGCATGGGTCTTGGTAAGGGCAACGGCCTCTCCGCTCTCTTCCTTTTGGCGCTGTTCCTGCCGTGCCTGAACTGTGGTATCAGCTGCTGCCAAGGTGGACAATACCAGGACTGTGATAGCGAGGATCGCAAGAGGAAGCAAGGGTGCCGACATTAGATGCGGCAGGAACACTGCCATAGCTTGCACTACGCTCATCTGAGGAATGTGAATGTAGCAAAGGAAATGGTAAAGGAGAAAGGATGATTACTTTTATTTTATTTATTTTATTTTGGAAAAATAGACCAGCTCTATGAGTTTGAACGGCGAAGCACTGTGCGGTGCCTGTTGGTTCAAATTGAGACCGGAATCGTTAAAACACTCAACGCTGCCAATGTCTTATAGTTTTCAAAAATAAAGCTAGAATACAGCCTTCGCCTCTGCGTTACAGTCGAGGGCGAAGTGAAAAAGAGCGATGGACTATTACTGTTTTTCATGAAGAATGGGGCTTTCCGAAAATTGAAGCGGAGGAAGCGAGGGCCCAGGGCCGTTCTGATGAAAGTCGGTCCTGTATCTCTCTGCATGCTCCATCTGGCTGCGCTCGCGCGGGTCTACGAACCCAAGACGATAGTTGCGTGCGGGAGCGCCTTGATATGTGGATGTGTCGTACATTCCATACTGGGGTTGGCCGTATCCGTTGTATCCTGATGGTGGGCTCGAAGCCGATTCGTAGACTGGGAGCGTTGGTGGGTTCATTTCCTGAATGTCGTTATGGTGAAGAGTGTTGGCCGTGTACCCACCGTTCCCAACGCTACTGCTGGCCGCATCTTGATAAAGTTGCTGAGAGGGCGATCTTTCAGGTGAATAGGAGGCCATATTCTGCTGATACAGTCGTTGTTGTTCGAGCTCGAGTTGGCGTTGCTGTTCCTGAATGCGGCTCACTTGCTCTTCATGAGAGGGCTTTAGTGGTGTAATGTGTTGATCGGATGCACTGTGTTCCTGAGGACTTGACTGCCCAATGTCGGATGTGTAATCAAGTCCTTCGTTATGGCCACTCGAGTATCCGTCGTTGGCGGCATAGGTGTGAGTCATAGGCGGAGTCTTGCTGATGTAGGCAGCAGCAGCAGCAGCGAGGGCCAACTCATCCTGAGAGGGTGCGATGTGGGATCGGACCGGCGCATTGACCGGCTGCGGTTGCCAATTGGTAACCTCGGCTTTGACCTTATTGACGGCTGCAGCTGTATAGTCGGCTCCATTGTAAATCCTCATCCTGTCGGCAACTTGAGTCTCAGTGTCGATGACGAAGGTGATGGCTCGTCCATATCCTGCAATGAGCGCCATTTTTTCCGCATACTCGAGCATAGCATCGAATTTGGCGTCAAAGGCTTCCTTGATGGTCACCCGCTTGAACTGCATCAGCTCCAGTTCTTGACTTAGTAGCTCCGCTGTTACTCTTTCGAGTGCAACCTGCAGTTCCATCATCTTGATTGGGTTCTCTTTGCTGGATTTTTGAAGTTTTGCGATCTGCGTGGTAAGATCATGCTTCTTTTTTCGGTTCTACGACGAGAAAGAGATACAGTCGTTAGGAAAGGATTACAAATGTAAAGGGGTGGCCACGCCAATCCGCCATGGGGGTCACAGGAACAGCCCAGGGCTGTATGTACCACAGACAAAAGAGTCAAAAAGAGTACGTACGTCTTCTAGAGTCATTTCCTGTGTCTTCAAGGTTTTGATGGACTTGCGATAAGATGTGTGCCGCAATGAGAAGGCTTGTTGAATGAGTCCCACTTCCTATGACCAGCAACAAAAAAAAAGATCCCCCGGTACCGAACAATGCGGCCAACATTAGAGTTATGAATAAAGGTGGGTACCCAAACGGAATATGGGTTACAGTGTTGCCTCGTACCTCCATCAGCTGGGACATGCGTTGGCAGACATCTGCCAGGTCGTCGCCCTCGGTCGCACCCCATGCCGCAATCAGCTTTGCGTCTGCAGAGATTTCCTTGTCCAGAGTCTTGAGCGAGGAGTCAATGTTCTTCATTTCAGCGAGCCATTTGTTCATAGTCTTGTAGTTGTTGCTAGAAGGCGAAGGGCGGTGTTTGATTAGGAGCTTGAGCTGCATTCTATCCTCTATATTTTTTATTATTGATGATAAGCGCAGTGAAGGAGGGTATCAGTTGGACAACACCTACCCGAGAGGATTGATGTTGTTGAGACCTCTGCGGAGGTCGTGTCCTATGCCCTGCATGGCGGCACTGGTTGATCTCGAGACAAGCAAAAGGCGATACGTGGTGGGAAAAGAGGCGGTCTTTGTGGACAGTGGATAGAGGATAGGAAGAGTGATTGAGTCGAGTTGGAAGGAAAGGCTGTGTGGATGAGGAATGAACGAATGAATGAATGAACGAATGAACGAATGAAAAAGAATGAGCGAATGAATGAAGAAGAGGAAAGGAGTAAAGTCATTCCCCTCTTTCTTCGCGCGCTTTTCTCCCTTTGAAAGTAAAAATAGGAGAAATAAGGCTTGACGCCATGGCGGTCATCCCAAAGGCCGAAAGCGCAAAAAGAAGAGACCAAAGGCCAATGACGATGACGGAGCAGTGCGCCGACTCAGCCAATCAGCTGAGGAGTGGATCCTCAGACCACCACAGCCACTGCAGCATAGCCCATGCACCCGCCAGAGCGCCGTGACATCGGCACCGTCCCTGCGTGCAGACTTCCACCCGCCCGCACCGTACCTGTCTGCAGCACACCCACTATCTACACACGCCCCACGGAGATGCTCTTTTTCTTTGCGTACCTATCCCCCCGTTGACCCCCTTCTCCCTTCCCTGTGCGCGCTCTTGTTCTGTGGTCTGTTCACCCCCGTGGGCTCAGTTCGCATTTTTTGTGAGTTGTGGAGAACCGAGACCGAGGACGCTTCTTTTCTCTCCTTCTTTCCTTTCCTTTTTCCTTCTCTACTATCCTCTCCACCTTTCATCCGTACCAATGTCGAACAAGCCCTCCCCAAAGGCTATCGCCAAGCTCAATGCCACCACTCTCTTTCCCGAGATCCGAAAAGGTGTGGTGCAGATACTTGTAGCTCAACCCAATTTTCCTTCATTAGCCCCACATCCTTTATTCACACGGACCATCGAGAACTGTTCCCATAGAGATTGTTGCGAGCCCTTCCATGTTTGCCATCCGTGGATTCTTCATTTTTAACATCACCAAGAGAGGCATTCCTATGACCGAGTGGTAGGTGAACGCCTCTATACTTGCCAAAATAGTTCCTTTATCGTTCAATAACAACCTTTGTATCCAACGACTACAGGTACCTTCTCTTCCAAGGATTTGACGCTCCAGCGATTGTTTCCCAGAAGAGACCAGAGATTCCCAAGGCGAAGCGCGACCAGGATCCCATTCCGGTTGCTATTCTGCAAATCGACGACGCAGACCTACTGAATTTCATGAGCGGTGGCCTGACCGTAAGATAACTCTGCCTTTCTTTTTCTGCAACCTTTCAGCGCACTTTCAGAATTACAGCGCCCTCCTTTTTTGATATCATTTTATTAGGGTCCTCGAGGAATTGTGAGCGGGAAAATCAAGATTGCAGGCGCCATTGAACTCGCAGAACAGCTGGAGGAGATTTTCAGGAAGGCCAAGGGCCCCGAGAAGACGCTTGCGTATCTGGAGCAGAAGCGAGGACGCTCCGAAAGGGCCAGGGCTCGTCTGTGAGCGATGTTTTTCTCAAAGTAAATAGAACGATGGTTCAGATGAGTGTGGAGTACACACGAGTAAAGTGAATGGTGTCAAAGCACAGTGGTCCAATTATTTGTACTCATGCAGTGACTGCAGGGGTGCACCTTGTGGTGTACGCCAGAACGCGTATATACGGGGACGAAGAGCCAAAGTCTGGAATGGGATGGGGACGGAAGACATACCTAGGGTCGTATTTAGAAACTATTAAAACGAGACAAGTGCTATAACGCGAACAAAGAGATGTCGGGATTGAGAGCATTGCAATTATGTTCCAAACAGATGCATGCAGCACGCGTTGATCTCGACACGTCGCAACCTGAAAAAGTGCGGTGTGGTACCCGCCTCGTTTTACTGCGAGGTAGACTACCAATATTCCCACAGATCTCCTCTGGGATCCACAGCCTTGCGATAAAACGTCGTGGATGAGGGCCAGACGCCATGACGCCATGAATAATGGTCAAATTAAAATTAGGTTTGGCATGCGCAGTATATCTGTTTTCTGGCTCAGGACTCTCTCTCGAACAGGGGGGGGGGGGTGCCTCGAACAGGTCTTAGCCCACCCTGATAACCATCTCAAGAGATAGGCTACTTGTAACACAGGTGCTAATCGGTATAGGTATGTATAGGTATACCACTGCCCGTTATTATGATTATCGTTATTGCATTGCTTCTGTGGGAGAGATGAAAGGAAAGGGGGCAGGGGAAAGGGGAAAGGGGCAGGGGATGGGGTTCAGCCAGTCCGATGTATTTTTGGCGCCGACTTTTGTCCTCGTCTTGCCGCCTTTTATAAAACACGTTTTTATTTTTCACAATCATTCTCTCCACCTCTCCATCCCACTCCACCTCTCCATCCATTCGTCCCATAAGCACTCTCCCCCTCGTCTTCGCCTTCCTTTCCTCGCCCGTGCTTGCCTCCTTCCTTACCCAACCTCCTCTACCCCTCTTTCGCTCCTACAGCCATGTCTTCCGCTGTGGCCGAAGCTGCGTGCTCACACATCATCCAGGCGCTGCAGAGCCACCTCTCCTTCCTCCACGACCAGGGTGTCATCGCCGACGACTCCCTGAAGATGTAAGTCAAGCCCCTCAGTTGATTTCTTCCATGCTCCTTCTCGCTCTATTAGCTCGTTATCGATTCAGATGCAAGTGTTCTCACTTTCCTCCTGTTCTCTTTTTTTTTTTTTATTAGTGTCTTGGCCGAGATATGTAAACTTGACCTTCAAGCCATATCCGCTCCTTGGAGCAATGCCTCGCTGCATAACCAGACCCATCAGGAACCACACCTGAGCAAGCAATCGCCCGATAGCGACCTGCAAATGCTTGTCCTGCCTTCCAGAAAATCCACTATCATTGTCAACTCTGTAGAGTCGACGTCGCTCGCTTCCGACAGCCCCGCTCACAATACCTACCCCTACTCTCACCAGCACCACCAAGTAGACGATGCCACAAGCGAGAGCGGCGATGAGGTCGACCACGAGTCCGATCGCCAGGAACAGGAACGCTTGCTGAGGCAGGAGCAGCTGTTGGTGCATACCCAAGCTGACCACCTGAGCAGCGACTTGACCACGGGCGAGCTCGACAACCTTGTGGCCACAAGCGCAACGGACGACCAAGATCAGGACGATAGCGAAGTTGCAGTGCTGGAGGAAGCTGATGGCGACGAGGACGAACAGGAGGCCATCCAAGTTGTCCGCGACCGAGAGCTCTCAGCATCGCCCAGCCCTCCCTCTACAAAGCCCGAGCTGCCGCCTCTGCTCTTCTCCAACCACTCCAATGCCAATGTTTTATCCCCAAAGCCGACTGAAGCTCTCTATGAGGAAGTTCGTACACAAACCTCCAGTGCGGCTGCTACTGCTACTGTTGCCGCAGCCGCAGCCGTGCCTCATTCGCACCATATCTCGCAAGGTTCTGTGGACTCTTCGCTTGCCCAACCAACAGCCCGCTTCGATTCCCCTTCTGCCGCCGCACTTGTGCACGCTAGTCAGGATAAACAGGATGAGCGCGCGGGAAGCATCCATGGTTCTGTGCCCCCAGCCTCAGCTAATTTAGAGCAATATGAGCACGGAAACGCCACGGCCCAGTCCTCCAAACATGAGCATCCTCTAGCAGCCAGCAGCCCCCTGTCGGCGCAGCCCACGATCTACAACCCAGTATCCTCTCCGCCTGTAGTCTACCAGCCCCCATTGATCACCCCTCAACAGCATCAGCAACACCAGCAACACCAACAGCACGAGCAATCACGTCATGTCTATCAGCCCAATCTTCCCTCGCCTAGTGAAGATGCCACCATGTCTATTTCCGATATCTTGAATGAGATGGAAGGCAGCCAGCCAACTGCGCATGGCAAGCCGCCATCATCGTCTCACAATATCCATGATGTGTCTGCCAGCACCGCAGTGTCGATCGATGCAAAGGATTTGATGGCATCTGTGGAATCTGGAAAGCACAATGGTCAGCGTGGACCGACCCCACCGCCCAAGGATGAGTCCAATGCGCCAGTGACCTACCAGCCCCCGCCGTCCGTCCAAGCGCTGCCCCAGACAAATACGGAGCCGACCTCTTCAACCGGCCCATCAGCCTTCCCGGATCAAATTATACCGCAGCCTCTGGCAATGCCGGTTCAGGCTTACCAACTATACCAGCCAAAGCCTTACCAGCCAAAGCCTTACCAGCCGAAGCCGAAGTCCTCTGTCAAAATTAATGCTCAAGGCCAGCAATCGCAGACTCAAACTCAGGGACAGGACCTGGCAGGACAGAACACAACACTTCAACCTCAACCCGAGACTCAGTATCAGGCACAGGCACAGGCACAGGCACAGGCACAGGCACAGGCACAGGCACAGGCACAGGCACAGGCACAGGCACAGAACCAGACGATCCCACAACCTCAAATTCAGTCGCAGGCACCGGTACAGTTCCCCACGCAAGTTCAGCCTCCAGGCTCGCAGCCAACTTCGTCACAGCCTTTCCAATACCAGGAGCAGCCATTGCAACAGCAGGCTGTTCAACAGGAACAGCAGCCTGTTCAACAGCAACAGCAGCCTGTTCAACAGCAACAGCAGCCTGTTCAACAGCAACAGCAGCCTGTTCAACAGCAGCAACAGCCTGTTCAACAGCAACAGCAGCCTCTTCAACAACAACAGCAGCCTCTCCAACAGCAACAGCAGCCTCTCCAACAGCAACAGCAACCCCTTCAACAGCAACAGCAACCCCTTCAACAGCAACAGCAGCCTCTTCAACAGCAACAGCAGCAGCAAAGCCTTCAGCAGCAGCAGTATCATATGCAACAACAGTATCAGGCGCATCAGCAACAACAGCAGCAACAGCAGCAAATGTATTACCAGCAGCAGCAGCAGCAACAGCAGCCTCTGCCGCATCAGCCAATTCGTACTGGATCCGATCTGAATAACCCAATCCATGCTGGTGGACCTTCTTCGGCCAACTCATCGGCGAGTGAGTCGTCTTCCAAGCCTGCGGGCAAGGGCTGGATGAGTGCAATTCGTAGCACTCTTCTTCATAAGGATCCAAAGAGGGACTCCAAGGACGGCAAGGGTCATCATAGCACATATCCGGAAAGCCCGTCTCATCCAGCCTCCACAGGCGCTTTCCCACCATCTCAGACGCAGCACGGATCACAGCAGGCACAGTTCGGGCCGTCCCATAGCCATTATGGGGCACCTTCATCCCAATATGGACCACCTCAGCCGCATCTCGTTCAAGGACAAGCCCCAGTGTCAGCGCCATATGGTGCAGGCCAACCTGTTAGCGCTATCTCTGGTGCACCCTTGAGCGCGGCGCTGACAGCCGGACCTGCGCTTGGTTCAGCGGCACCTGTTCAAGCACCCATTCATGGCCGCAATGAGTCGTTCCAAAGCGACTCGAACGCAGCATCAGCTACACCTCAACTTCAGCAGCAACATTATCAGCTCCAACAGCCCATTCAGCAACAACAGCAGGGTCAACAACATCCTTATCAGATGCAACAGCAGCAGTCTTATCAGGGTCAGCAGCAGCAGCCAGTAGCCTCCCAGCCTTCTGGACAACAGCAGCAACAGTATCATCACCAGCTGCAGCCTGCGGTTTCATTGCAAACCACTCCTGCGATGGGTGTAGAGGGCAATCAGGCTGAGCCTTTGGCAACGCATACTGATCAGAATAAGAGTATGGACCGCCCTTCCAATATGTCCAATTCTTCCTTCAATAGCACGTTAAGTCCAGAGACTCATGAGGCCGCTTCTGCAGCTTCCGCAGCTTCTGCAGCTGCCGCTGCAATCCAGGCTGCTCGTCTCACGACGTCCTCTTCCCCCGGTCCAAGTCAGAGCGTCCATCCGGAAGGCGCTATCACTGGTCCCTATCAGACACCGATCCAACCGCAGCCGCAGCCCTCGGTACAACAGCAGGAGCAGTCGCATCCAGTGCCTGCCTCGCCCACTTCTGATACCGGTAGTCGCGTATCTATCACCTCTGAGGTCCGCAATATTCAGGTGATTGCGCGCGCTCAAGCATTGTTTGATTTTGCGGGCGAGGACGAAGGCGACTTGCCCTTCAAGGTCGGCGACATCATCAACGTCATCGAGTTCTGTAAGTGTCTGTCATGTTATATTTGGTAACCATGGAGAGTGGATGCGGTGAACACGACAATTTGATATCTTGCTGGCTGCTAATACGGACACTTTATTTGACGCTGAGATAGTGAATGCGGATTGGTGGCGCGGTATCCTCAAAAAGGATGTCGGTATCTTCCCAACCGCCTATGTTCAGGAGTTGTAAGTGCTGCCAAGTCTTGTTGTCTGTGAAGACATTGCACACGTTCAAGGAGGAGAAGGGTGAGCAGCGTTGTGTTAACAGCTATCGGACCTCTTGCTTACTGTCGATCTAATGCAAATCTAGAAAACCCCCTGCGAATGGCCAGTACCCGACCATCTCGGTCTCTGTTCGGCAATCGATTATTGGTTCCTCACCAACGGGTAGTGTCCAGCAGCAAAAGGAGCAAGGATTAGGATCTCTCGCCAATCCATTGCAGGCCCAGCCCTCGTTCCGTGCCAACTATCAGCCATCGCTCGGAGGCGCTAGCGCCACCCTTCCAGACGATGCTTCGGTTTCCTCCCCACCCATCACGCCTCCAATCGCAGGCCCCAATAATACCGGCAATGGTTCCTTCCAGCCTATGGCCGTGGCTCTGAACAATTCCATGGCCAACGAGGGTGCTCCCACGTCTGAAGGTGCTCCAGGGTTGGCTTCATTCCCGGCGCCGCCCCAGCCTCCAACGGCATCACAGTCGGCCGCGTCTGTGTTCACTTACTTCCCTGGGTCTGGAAACCAGGCACCTATCTCACCGCCCCCGAGCATGAGGAATTTGAATATGCGACCTCCATATTCGCAGGGACAACAGGGATCATTCCAGGGCCAGCCGGCTCCTGGTCAAGCATCGCCTGCGGCGATGGCTTCCTCCTACGCACAAGGTCAGATGCAACAGCAGCCAATGTCGCCAATCTCTCCTCAGCAGCCCGGATTGATTCAGCAGCTGCCTATGCAATACCAACAGCAACAGCAGCAGCCATACCAGCAGCAACAGCCATTTCAACAGCAATTCCAACAGCAGCAGTACCAGCAGCAGCCAGGCTCCAGTTATGGATCCCAGAGTCCTTACCAGCAGCAGCAGCAGCAGCAGCCCTACTCTGGTCCGGGCGCAGCGCTAGGAGCCGTGGGAGCCAACTCGCAACTGACGACAAAGCAAATGGCGGCGGCTGTCAAGTCCAAGAAGAAGTTCGGTTCCAAATGGTAATTCAATGACGCAGGAGGAGGAAAAAAAGAAAAAGTAAAAAAAAAAGGGCCGCATAGCCTTAATCAGAGCGGTTGTAGTCAAAAAAACCCCATAAACCTATAAAAAAATAAATAAAATGCGATAAATGACAAAGGCACTCGGCACGCGTTTTCCTACTTTTCCTTCGCTCGTTCCTTGACTTCCTTTCTCTTTTCTTCCTTGTATCCCTCCACCCCTCCACCTTCTATCTTTGTTCATAATCGCATACATTCCCATTCCACTCTACACCTTTCCTACCCCTCCAAGTAAATCTGCACACAGCTGGATCAACAATGGCCTCAAAACGTAAACGCAACTCGGCCGCCTCTACAGCCGATCCCGCTGCCACACTCTCCTTCACACATTCAGCAGAAAACACGCCACCGACCACGAAGGAGCCCCGTGTCTCACAGACCAGTTCAGCCGTCAGTAGCCAAGGCGAACATGACGACGAGCAGGACAAGGATGAGGAAGGCGGTGATATCAGTGACTCTCAAGATATTCCCCGTCGCGACAGCAGCAGCAGCGACAGCAGTGCCAGCGCAACACCCATGTACAGTTATCCGATCAACCCGCCTCCGGTGGGTCGACCTGTGAGGATCTACTGTGATGGAATTTATGATCTGTTTCATTTCGGACATGCCAAGGCACTGGAGCAGGCCAAGAAGGCGTTTCCAGATGTCTATCTGATGGTTGGAGGTAAGGATTGCGCCTAATGTTCAAGAACGGAGGGGGAGGGGGTGGTAGTGGAGGGGGCGATGGGGAAATTGTCATGCTGAAGTCATTGTTTTTTGTTCTCCAAGTTCTTGGTTCGGCTACGTGGGTTACGAGTCATCATCGACGCGAGGTTTGGGTTTTTTTTTTTAATTCTACGGAAGGATGTATTAAATGAGCTATGCTTATCTGTTTAGGGGACACACATGGGTCAATCTTTGAATTCCCCCCTTTACAATAACAATGGATGTCTAAACTTGCACTAACCGCCTTCTCCTTGTATCCTCTATGGCTGATTCCAATAGTCTGTGATGATATTCAGACCCACCGTCGCAAGGGCAAGACGGTGATGACGGATAAGGAGCGCTACGAAAGTCTTCGCCACTGCAAGTGGGTTGATGAGGTGATCGAAGCTGCGCCCTGGATTGTGGATCAGGCCTTCCTGGACGAGCACAAGGTAGGCTATGACGCTGTGCCTTCTTTTTCTTTTTTTTTTTCTGCTAAAAAAAAAAAAAAAGGGTCTGGGCTGCACCATTTTCTTTGCAGGAACGTGGTGGCGGTTCGATTATCTAGAGGAAATGCGCGCGAAACAATGACGACGCTGTCTGTTCATTTGGATCCTTGGGATTACAGATTTTATTTGCACCATCTATTTTATCATTGAACAAACAGGCTGACCATGCACATTATTCTGTTTACGACCTTAGATCGATTATGTAGCACACGATGACATTCCATACAAATCTCTCGACAGCGACGATGTCTATGCGTTTGTCAAGAAGAGTGGCCATTTCCTTCCGACGCAGCGTACAGAAGGCGTGTCGACTTCAGATTTGATTACACGCATTGTCAAGGACTATGACCAATACCTGCGACGTAACCTCGAGCGTGGTGTCCCAGCTAAAGAACTGGGCATTGGATTCTTCAAGGTAAACGACGCGCGCTGGCATGGAATTGAGAGAAACTGTACGATTCTCATCACTAATCTCTTTGATTCCTTCGCTACCCCCACTGCCCTTAAATAGGAGCAAGAGGTCAAGCTGAAGAAATCGGCACAGGACCTCCGAAGCTCGATCCGTCAGAACTGGACTGGCACCAAGGACGATCTCAAGAGTGAAATTGCGGTTCTCCGAAGCGATCTACGACAGATCATGAACATCTGGGAGGACAAGTCGCACGATTTCGTCCGGGACACCTTTGGGGTTGATTCCGTGGTCAACAAGATCTTTAGCAGCAGACGTCGCAGGAACGGGGCGTCCTCAAGATTGGTCACAGACACTGGCGGTGATAGTCCCAATACAGACGAAGGATTGTCATCGAGAACTGATTCGCGGGATGTTTCTGATTCGGAGGAAGGATATGGCCGACAGGGATCGCTTTGGAAGCAGCAAAATGCAAGTCGTTCACAGAGTGAAGGGCTGGATCTTTCAGAAGACAAGAGTCCTCTGCCAGCCTTGTGAAAGTAACAACAGTAGTTTGCAGCAGTCGAGCAGCTTCTGAAGACGGAGAGGGTTATTGTTTTCTGGAGCAATTCAAGAATTAGTTGTTGGATAATAAAAAAAAAAAAAAAAAAGACTTTGGTGCCAACCGCAGATGTCTTTCTTCCGTGGCTAGTTTTTCTTTGGTACTTTGGATTTATATTGCAAGACGTGCTTGCGCTTTTCTTTGCTACATAGTAATTTACATCCTTTACAGCTTAGCCTTCTTGCCGCTCTCGGGCTCCATGATGGAGCGAATGTCGAGTTCCTGCTGGCAAATGTCTGGGTATCCAGCAGCCAATCCAGGCTGCAACCAGTTACCACCATCAACAACCAGGACTTGACCAGTGACATATGAACCGGCCTCGGAGGCTAGGTACAGGGTTGCGTGTTCAATATCGCGGACCTCGCCCATTCGACCGATGGGCACGCGGACAGCCTCTGCATCCGGTGCCAACTTTGACATGCCGACAGTGTTGGCAATCGGGCCAGGAGCAATGCAGTTGGAGCGGATTCCAAGGGGACCCCATTCATTGGCCCAAACGAGTGACAGAGCATCCACACCGGCCTTGGCGGCAGAGGCATGGGACTGGAAAACCTGGCCATTGTAGTGCAAAGTCGCGGAGACGTTGATGATGTTTCCTTTGGAGGCCTTCAAGTACGGGAAGCAGCATTTAGTGGTGTTGAAGGTTCCGATGAGATCGATCTCAATGACGGAACGGAAGGCGTTGAAGGAGAGGTGCTGTGAGAGCGAGAGGAAGTTGCCAGCAGCACCGTTCACCAGAATATCAAGGCGGCCGTAGTGGGCAATGTGCTTTTCAACTGCAGCCTGGACCTGCTTGGGGTCACGGACATCGGCAGCGACTGCAAAGAACTCGCCGCCAGTCGAGGCGCGCATTTCTTTGGCGGCGGCCTCGAGCTTTGAGAGGCTATCGAGGATAATTGTTGAAAACAATAGAAAAGGCAACAGGGAGTGTTAGAGATCATCTTTTTTCAGCCAAGGGGATGTAGAACGCGTTTTCGTCGGATCTATCTGTGTGTTCCAAGACGCGTATTCATTGTCGTGTTCATTTTCTTTCAATCGCCAGTGATCATTCGGGTCCACTTCGGCTGGACGACCCCTACAGAAAATAAAATTTCAATTGGTCGATCGGTTCCCCGCAAAATGCTGCAAAGTCTCGGTTCCTTTCATTGCGTCCTGTTGTCCTTGCGTGAGGGAAATCTGACATGGGTTGGGGATGCGGTTGCAGGATCGCTTACGTTCTGCTGACAATGGTCACTTTGGCACCATGGCGGGCTAATGCCTCGGCCATGCCCTTGCAGATACCCGATCCACCACCTAATATGCCAATAATGAATCAGACGGTGAGTTGGGATAGTGGATTGGTAATAATGCAGAAGTGGAGGCACAATTGACGAAAAGGACAAAAGGTCAAACAAGGGAAACAATGACTGATTCGAAGACCGTTTCTTACCGGTGACAAAGGCAACCTTGCCCTTGAGGATATCCTCCTTGAAGATAGAGTTGGTTGGAACGACTGGGTTGGACATTGATGAGCTGCGGTTGTTTTTATTGAATGAGTAACGGAAATGAAGGGCGGGAAAGGAACCGAAGGGACAGAGAAGTCAGTATGGAGAGAGGAGCAAGAGAGGAGTGGAGAAGAAAAGGAAGAAGACCGACGGAGGGGTGGAATATATAGCGAGGAATGAGGAGCTCTGCAGGCGACAGCAGGATTGCAGGATTGCAGGATCGCAGCGGGAGGCTGGCCAATTAAGGTCTCCGTCACATGAAATGATGATCGAGGCAAGGAGAAATTTTTGCCGAGACGACTTTGTTCCTCCACACGGGAGCGCGGCTGGCGGCTTAAGCGCTTTCCTGCTGGGCATCACTGGATAATCTTTCGCCGAGCAACCACCCGGTATGGGCCCCAGACGCAACCCCACGCGCCAGTAAGTACATACATCCACAGCCGAACTTGACAAGGACATTGGCGAGTGCTGAAGTTGACCGAGCCGCATCGTGTTCGTTCGGCTGACAAGAAAACACTATATAGCACACGGTCATTGATCTTCAAACTCCATTGACCGTTGAATATACGGTTCCACTGCTTTATTTTAAATTGATCTTTTTGGCGAGATGGATTTTCGAGTCGATGATCCGTCCTGTCTTGTGTTCACTTGTCCCTAATCCTGTTGCGGGTAGCTTTTCTTTTTTCCCTTTTTTTTTTTTTTTTTTTTTTTTTTTTTTTTTTTTCATCTTGCTGCCGATCCATTACTTTGTCATGACATTGTCGTATTGAACGCCGTTGACAGTGCCTCCCCGAATACTCTTGTAGACATTGTTTTCAAAGTTGCGGCGGTTGTTTCGCAAGTCCTCTGCTGCCTCCTTGTTGAGCGGATCGTCGGCGTTGGGTTCCAAGAGCAGGTATTGGAGTCCAACCATGACTGAGTTTAGCGTCAACACGGGCTTCCAGTCCTCACGCAGAATGTTTAAACAGATCTTGCCGTCAGCCTGGATATTGGGATGGTAGATCTAATCATACAAATTGGTGGCAAAAATAAAAATAAAATGTTACTCAGTCAAATGCCATTGGATCATATTGAAAGTGCTGAATATGCCAAAGGAAGTGGCAATGGGTGTGTACCTTTTGCAAACACTTGACACTTGGTGCATCGTGGGGGTAGTTTCCATTCACAGCAAACGAGAACTTGAAGGTGCCGCCAGCGTAGAAGCCTATGCGGAGAGGAGGTCAAACGCTTTTTAGTTAGGATCAGAGGTAAAAAAAAAAAAAAAAAAAAAAAAGGAAGCCCTTGCTAAGTATATTTTCTCTCAAATATAAGTAGGGTCCAGAATCCAGCTCCTTCATGGTCCTTTGACCACTTTGATAGCATTCTTGTGTGTATATGATTGACGTGGACGCATTACTCGTCTTCTACCACCAGCATACTGCCGCTCGAATACTGAGGGCTAATGCAGGGAAGTCTTGTCTTTTTTTCTCATCCGCAGTGGAAGAGTCTTCTTTCTCATCCGCAGTAATGTTTCCCGAGTATGTCCACATAAAAGGCATGGGATTGATGCAGTCTTCATGGTTGAATCGCCTTTGCTTCCATGTCCTGTACCAAGTGTTCTCACCTTCATCAGGGGAAATCTCGAGCTCAAAATTGAGCAAATCCTCAGGAACTGGAAAAGTCATCTTCATAGTCTTTGGCAGGTCAAGTTCACTTAAATCTAGGGATGCAACACACAAATGAGCAAGCAGTAGGGTCGTGTGAGCATGAGTGTGCTGTAGTGCAAGCGCAGGCAAAGTAGTCAATAAAGAACAGCATTCCAACCTTTCTGGACTCGAATCTGGCCAGCACTGACTTTGGACTTCTTCTTGTCCATAGAAAGATTGTCTTTCTTCATGGTCCAGATTTTAATCATTGTGAGAGGCGTATACTGGGTGAGTAGGTTGGATGAATAGGTTGGGTGTAAAGAGTGATGATGTGTTGGCGTGGCCTGCGAGGTTGGTCAAGGAATAAAAAAGATGTTCTGCGGCATTCCTCAGCACCGGCCAATGTTAAAAAAGAGGACTCGCACGTCACACCACCTCAGTTAGCTAGTGTTCCAGTATGAAATGAATGAATGCATCGATGATTTATTATACAAAAAGTCAAGAAAGTGAGGGAGCGTGGGTGTGTGTCGCAAGCGTCCTGTCGCCGGTTTTTAGCGTCCCTTGAGGTTGCCAGCCTTCTTCTTCAGTCGCTTCAACTTATTAGCGGACATCTTGGCCGCCAAGCTTGCGATCCTCTCCTTTTCTTCCTGAATCTTTTTCCTTTCCTCGGTGATCTCTCTCTTGCGCTAAATGTGGAACACAGAATGGAAATCATATCGGTCAGTATCAATGTCCGTATGTGCCACAATCGACTTCAATGACATTGGGGACCGGATCAAAATGCTGATACTGCGACGTTCAAACATGACGCTCCCTATATCGACTTTTTATGATCCATGTAGTTGATAGCTCCTTTAAACTTACGCGCTTGTCGTCAATCTTTTCCTGTGTCATTGCTTTGGCCATGTCGCGGGCGATGTTGAGCTGCTTGGTCTTGGCCATACGTTCAGCATATGTCTGCTTTAAGGCCTTGGGCATCTGCGAACGGCGTGTTGCAGTCTTTGACATCTTCCAATCCTTTCCTGAAATGCGACGCCCCTGTTCCTGAGGCTCTGGATTCTTAGCGGCCATCTTTGGTATGTATGGAATGGGATGAACTGAGGACAAGTGGCGGTCAAAAGTTGGTGCAGTTGGAGAGAGTATATGTGTACACAAGGCCCAAAAAAAAAAAAAAAAAAAAAAAAAAGAAAGGCAGAAAGATAAACAATCCACCCACGTCACATGATGCTGTGATGTGCGAGAAGGGGTGGGTGCCAGCTGCACTGCAATCCTCCCCCTCTCTGGCTTGGTTCTCCTACCTTCGCCGTCGTTGTTGTCTGTGTCTTTTTGCTACAAGAGTGCAGGGTGAGTGAGCGCGTGGGTGAGCTGCGGAGGATGTTTTTACTTCTCATTGTTGTATCGCGTGTGAAGCCTACTGTGCAAAACCTAATAGTTCGCCCGACTATTGCCACCCTTGGCGGATATGTCATATTTCATATTCGATTGATTTTCGTACCATGACCACTTGGTACTTCCCTCGTTCTATCGGCGGAGCAACCGACGCAGCCTACTCCCTCTCCCGCCTTCTAACTCGCTGTTCATCCTGCATCCACTTCGACTCGATCTAATAGCGTATTGACGGGTACTCCTAGTCTTGTCTTCGACCGCACACGTGAACACATCGCTTTCTCGTCCATTTCGAGCCAAAGGACACGTACTATCTCATTCGTCTTCCCTCCAGCCCTGTTCCCTTTTGTTTAATCTCTGAATCCTTCGACCTCAGGGATCCAACACCGCCACCGCCGTCTAGCCTGCTGTGCGTCTGGACATCATGGATCCGCTTGTGAAGATGCGCGTCAAGGTCTACAAGCTGAGCACAGGCAACCAATGGATCGATCAAGGCACTGGTCGCTGCTCATGCGAGTTCAACATGGTAAGGAGCCTGAGGAGCATTCCATCACATAGGAGGGCTGTTTATTGCACGACTACATCGGCCACTTCTGGGACCATCGTACGGCACAGCATCAGGGTGGCAGGATCTCATTCGACTGCTTCAGCAACGCTTTGTTTGGGTTTTCGTTACAACGTCCCAGGAGACAACTCGGTAGTCAGAACGGCAAACCATAACAAATACTTGGCGGCGGACTGCATGCGCAATCGTACGATTGTATTTGCAACGATCGGCAGCTGTAACCTCTGTGGAATCTAATAATTTTGAATACGCACGCGATCCCAGTGCTTGCACGAAGAAGGCGCGTCGTCCATGGTCGAGTTGCCATGAGGATCAATGGTCAGTGATATCCGATGGGAATCTAACACACGCCTCCATGGACGTATCTTTTCATCTAGGATAAATCCGAAGGAACCCTGATCGTGCACTCCGAGGACGAGGAGGACAAGATTTTGCTGAGATCTCGGATAAGGGTTGGGGAAGAATTGTATCAAAGGCAGCAAGGTAACACCTATCATGAACATGAGTGCATTGAGATCTTCTGCAGTCAGTGCATGTCTGACACGAACTTGTTGGCCTTCCATAGAAACTTTGATTGTGTGGACCGAGGACGATGGCGAGGATCTTGCGCTGAGTTTTCAGGAGGCAGAAGGATGCGGAGAGATATGGTAATTGTTGCTGCATCTCTAAGAAAGGAAAAAAAAAAAAGTCAGAGACAAAGGTAAAGGAAAACACTAAAGTGCTAAAGTTCTAAAGTGCTAATCGACCACGAAATTTAACTTTTTTTAGGGATAATATTAACGACGTCCAGCAGCATTATGGTACAGAAAGTTGACATGTTTAAGAAAGGGTTCGCCAGGCTGTACAGGAGTGTTAGTATGGTCAGTGGTGCTTATATTTTCATATTTATCTGAATTGTAGGCGAGGATCTCTTTTCGGATCCATCAGATGCTAATGGTGCAGGGAGTGGCGAATTTATCAGTCTTCCGGACCCGGATATCTCCAATCTTGCAGAAATCGAACATATGATCAAGGAGGCTCAGAATGGATTGAACGAAAAGGAAAAGTTGGCTGGCTTCATCATTATCGATGTATGTATTAACTCTGCAAATCGTCAAAACTATGCTCAAAGATGTGATTTGAAAATGAGGGGGCTCAAGTTATGAACCACGCGAATTGACATCGAAATTGTGTTTCTCTTTTTTGCCTTTAGAATTACATCGACAAGCTGTTCCCGATCCTGGAGACATGCGAGGACTTGGAAAGTCGTTCCGATTTGCACCTGTTGCACGGCATTATGCTTGGAATCAGTAAGTGACATATTGGAGCTCCTCCTTGATGGTTGGTGGAATCAAGCGTGCGATGGAAGCAAGCTATTGACCATATTCTGTTTTTCTAAATACTACAAAATAGTTATGTTAAATGATATCGCCATCATCCAGTACATTCTCAAGGACGAAATTATTGTCAGCTGTCTAGGAATGTTGGAATGTAAGGCTCTTGTGATCTTCTATCATAGACAACTTCGGGATAATTACTATGGATCAGAGCATTAACAATACTTTCAAATTACTGGCATCATGTTTAGATGATCCGGAGTTTGGTGACCAAAAGGAGAGTTATCGGGACTTTCTTCTGAAGCGATCAAAATATAAGCAGATCGTACCGATTAACGATCCGGAGGTGGAGCAAAAAATCCACCAGGCCTATCGGTTGCATTTTCTCAGGGATACAGTGCTGGCGCGTGTCGTAGATGACAGTTTGTCCTCAATCCTGGGCTCGCTCATCTTCTTTCACAACATCGACATCGTAAACTATATCCACCAGGATCGGGCATTTTTAAAGGAGTTGTTCGGTATTCTGGAGAACGAGGCAGAACCCTTGGAGCGGAAACGGGACGTAATTCTATTCGTACAGCAGTTTTGCTCCATTGCGAAGACGACACAACTGCCTACGCGGGTAGGCCTTTACCGGTATAAACTTGTTATCAGACATATCACATTCTACGCCGACGCTAAATCCATGGATACCAACTGATACGAATGCTTTTCAATCTGACTTTCATTGACACAGGACCCTGAGTCAGAATGGGCTGTTCAACGTCTTCGAGACAGCGTTGTCGGATACAAGTCCTAGGATCAAGGTGGCAGGAACAGAAATACTTTTGTCCGCAATGGAGCACGACCCGAATTTGATAAGATCGCACATCGTGAAGCAAGCGAACGAGAAAGCTCCGAAGCAGCTCATGGACATCATTCTAGATCAGTTTTTGGCCGAGGAGGACATGGGCATCAAGTTGCAGTACGCTGAAGTCATCCGAGTCTTGTTGGATACCAATACAAATCAGGGCGACAGTATGATGCACGCTGCACTCGAAGCAATGCCAAATTTAGACCCGGATGCAGACAAATTCTTGGACCTATTTTATGGCCCCTATGTCGGGAAGTTTGTCTCACCGCTCCTTGGGCTCTCTGAAGGTAACGGAGGTGGCACGCGTTTTGTCTAGAACTCTTGCAAGCGTACGCGTTTTTACTGCTCTTTGTGCATCATGTAATTAACAACTCATACTCCGCTCCTCAATTAGATACGACAACGTTGACCCGCCCCATGGCGACTCTATGCGAAAATATTTGCCTTATCCTTTCTTTCATGGTCCGCAACCATTCTGTGCGGAGCAAGTACTTTGTTCTTTCGAGTGGTGTCTCTGGCAAAATTTGCCTGCTGTTAAAGAATCGCGACCAACACCTTCGATTATGTATGTCTTGCGCTAAGTGCCTTTACGCAACTCTGGATGGTACCGCTGGATGCTTCTTCGTCACGTACTAAATGCTTTTTGGTGGCTCATATCTATAGCTGCGCTAAGGTTCTTTAGGACTTGTATTGGATCAAACGACGAATATTACCATCGATTCGTAATCAAGCATAACATAATGCAGCATATCGTGGACGCCTTACTTTCAACACACAACAAGAATAATCTGTTGAACTCGGCCTGTATCGAATTTTTTGATTTTATCCGTAACGTAAGTCGAGTGGATTTTTTATGCTTTATCTTCCTGTAATATCGCACTCTATGTCGGCATGGCATTTTGGGTCAGTACCGAACTCACTCTTCCCTTGCATACTGTCGTCAACAGGAAAACATCAAGTCCTTGATATCACATATCGTACCCTTATACGGTGACAAGCTCAAGAATATTGAGTACGTTAACACGTTCCAGGCACTGATCCGGCGGTATGAACAGCAGCAGGATACGTCCGTGGCGGATGCAGAGGCAGCAGAGGCAGCCGCAAGCGAAACGAGTTCGGCAAAGCGAGGACCTGCGCAAAAGGCATGGTCATCCTCAACGGTGGATGACGACGAGGAGGCGTACTTTAATAATTCCGACGACGAGGACGAGGTCCCGGATGAAGGCAAGCAAGAGGATGATCCGCCGACGTCAGATCTTAGAAGACGTGTTAGGGGCGATTCGGACGAGGATTCAGATCATGATGAGCATGGAAAGACGCTGTCGACAGATATGGATAAAGATACGGAGCCCGTCCTCGCATCCCAGACGACTCCACCGCCGCCACCCTCGCTTTTGCGAAGGAAACTGGTGGATTATGAAGATGATGATGACGATGAAGAAGATGGCGGTGCATTTAATCGGCGCACGAAATCCTCGCTGCCACCACCGGACAAAAAGGTCAAGCTGGATGCTGAGGCTGAAGAAAGCGAAGCACATCGGGACCATGTTATGGAAGAATCTGTGGACTCTCATGGAACAACAGCGTCTCCAACAAATGATGGCTCGAGCCCACCGATCAAGTTCAGACTGAACAGTCTCCGAAACGGGCGCTCACCCTCGCCCTTGTCGCCTAATGCGCGGTCCAGATCGGTTTCACCTTTATCGAATACGTTACCACCTGTCGCCATGCGAACCGGTATTACGTTTGTGAAGGCAGGATCCACAGATAGCGACAGCGGTCACTCGGGCGAGGGCGAGTCTAAAGCTGGATCGCCCGCGAACGAGAATGCTGTGTCTGAGGCTGCTATCCACTTGAGGAGCGATTTGGCAAGAGACTTTAAGCGGACCGAGGACGAAGATGAAGTTCTCAGGCGACGAGTGGACGCGCCTGCTGCGAGCATTGCTTCCGAGGCATCAGATGCAGCTTTCCAGGAGGTTGGCGATAGCACAAAACCGTCGACGATGGATATCCCTGAGCAGGTATTGACAGAGACTAAGCCCTTGGATACTGCAACCGCGGAATCTGCCAACCATGCGATATAACTGAACTGGCCATAAGACACAGAAATACCATCTCGTGAGAATTCACTTCGTGTTTTCTCTTTTCCTTTTTTTTTTCTTTTTTTCTTTTCTTCTTATTATCCTTCACATGCATCCGTTACACATTCTTCCGCTCCTTTGAACAAAACCACAAAAAAAACCTCCCCTCCTCCTCCCACAATTAGGTTGAGCAGACAGTAACCTTATCCCCCTTACATGATTGATCTTGTACAATAAGAGATGAAAAAAACGTCGATAATCCTCGATGTTATTATTTTACTCTGAATGCAAATGGGAAACGCTATCTTATTTACAAAATGATCGATCTACTTAAGAGGAATGCTCTGAGGGAATCTAAAGACGTTGGCAGGGTCGACGGAGGCCTTGATCTGCTTTAGGCGAGGGACGGCCTGGCCGTAGTAGGCGTCCATCCAATTGGGCATAGCCAAGTCAATGTAGTTTTGATAGCCGCGAACGGAGGTCGAGTAGTTGGCCCTGTAATCGGCCAGGAACTCGCTGTACATATCGTTCATCCACTTGAGGCAGTCCTTGCAGTCGGGCTTGCCAGGCTTGGGGCTCGAGCTCTCATCCCATTCGGCGACGAACTCGAAGACGGTGTGGGCATCGCGGTGGATAAAAGAGGTGTCAGAGGCAGAGGTATCGCTTACAGCACCGCCCCAGAGATCGACAATGATGTAGTTAGCGGTCGAGCCTTTGGGTGTCTTGGCAGCCCATTTGCCGAGCAGAGCGATCGTCGAGGACTTGAGAACAGAGGGGTAGACAAGAGATTTGCCCTTAGTGTAACGAGAATCGCCAGGGTGGTAGGGGGGCTGGAGAGCCAGAGCATTGATGTCCTTGTCATTGTTACCACCCTCGACGAAGGCGAAGCGCAATTGGGCATCGATTTGTCGACTCTCACGAACGTCGGAGCTCCGGGGCTTGGGAGCCGCCTTTAAGAAGGAGGCCATGGCGGCGGATTGCGTGCCCTTGGGGCCCTGGAAGATTCCGTAGAGCTCCAGGCCGCTAGAGGCAACGTTCATTTCGACACCGACGTCGCGGCTGGCTGTGGGCTGGAAGTTGACATAGGCCTTAAGGACCTTAGCGTAGTCGGAAAGATTCCATTCATAAGAGAAGGAGGTGACCTTGGGGGCAGGCTTGACAGGGAGAATGGTGAAGGAGGTGACGACACCGTAGGATCCACCGCCGGCGCCACGGAGGGCATAGAAGAGGTCAGGGTTCTGGGTGGCAGAGATGGTGAGAAGCTCGCCGTCGGCGTTGACCATCTCCATTTCGACGATGCGGTCGATTAAAAGACCATATTTACGAGAGAGCAAGCCGAATCCACCTCCGAGGGCGTGTCCGCCAATACCGACGCTGGGGCAGGTGCCTGCGTTGATGGTCCAACCACCCTGGTTGAACAGCTCAAGGTAGAGTTTGCCGAGACGGACGCCGGCTCCGACTTTAGCCTTGGACCCCTTTACCTTGACACCGTTCAAGCCGGTGAGATCAAGGACGAGGGCACCGTCCTGGCCGCCGATGGAATAACCCTCGAAGGAATGGCCTCCTGAGCGGGGTGCGACCGGAATGTTGGCCTGTTTGGCACACTTTACGGCAGTCTGGACATCGGTCTCAGATTGGGCCATGACGATGACTTCGGGCTGGAAGGTGTAGCGCAGATCGAAGGCATAGCGCTGTTGTGCGTAGGCTGAGGACTTGCTTGTGATGACTTTGCTGCCGAGGGGTTTCAAGCAGGTGGCGAGTTGAGGGGATGGGGTGGGGGCGGCTGCGAAGGCGAAGGAGCTGATGGCGAGAAGCAGGGTTGCGCTTCCAAGTGTGTGGAGATGCATGGGTAGATGTGTTGAATGCGTTCGTTAGACGCGTTGAGGGTGTATAATACAGTTGGAAAGGCAGGAAAGCAATCACGGGTGTGGATAGAGATGGGATGTGAAGACTAGAATGGATTAAAGAAGCAGATGAAGAAAAGAAAAAAAAAAGTGCGTTCGTTGTTCCTGGTCTGGGAAGGAAGATGGGCAACCCCTTTATACCTCTGCAAAACACGAAAATCGCCGTGTTTATGAAAACGGAGCCTGCCCTGCCTCGCCCTTGTCCTCTGCCCTACCTCGCCCTCTCCTGCCCTGTGCCCTGTCCTGCTCTACCCCGCCCTGACGCCCTGCCTCACGACGTAACAAAGACTAAGTTTGAACAATGCCACTAGCATCGTTACACGAAAAGATCCACCCCATTGACTGAGCTAAAAACAGATCGCGTCTACACAAGGAAATGGAGATATAGACTAGAAGCGTACAAGGCCACAACAGACTGGCTAATGCTCCGCCCATGGCGAACAAGACAACGGTCTCTGTATCTAGCCCCTTTTCCTGCTCCCCCTCCTCCCTCCTTCCTCCTTCCTAGTCCTTAAATGCGCCGATGGGTACACTGCCCGCCAGCAAACAGAACCAAGCGTATGGGATTTCGTCCATTGACCTCCTACGAAAAAAAAGAAAGTTGCAGATTAAAAATAGGCCTCCCACGGCGTCAATTGCCACGCCGACGCGGATGCTTGCGCCGGCTGACGGGCGTATATTCATTTCAACTGCCGACGGGCGTCATTTAATTTTTATTTTATTTTATCTTATTTTTATGTTTATGTTTATTTTTATGCTCACCACGCGGGAATGGGGGCATCAGCATCAGAGGTATATTATACTCGGTATCTGACTCGGCCGTCAACCTGTGAAACAGAAACTATCGATGCCATTCATTCCAGGAGTCTTCGCGTTCTCCATTTGCTCGAATAGGCATGTTGCAGACAATGAGCAACAAACAACCTTTACATTTTTTTGGTTTCGCATATCCACTCACAGATACCACCTGCAGTTATAGCAGCCATTGCCCATTGGGCCTTCTTTTCCGCAAGGTACGCGCCGTAATCTATTCTTCAACTGGACAATGAGGCCTCCCTCCATCATCATGATCCTCTTTTTCTTCGCTGCGGAGGCCTATATTTATCTTGGTAGTACATGTCGATCTATAATAGCCCACAGTAGCCTACTCCCACTAGGTCATATGGTATCGATGTCTGATTTAATCGTTGTGTTCACCAGAATGTCGTTTTTATATTTAGGTCCGCGTATTGGCTGCAAGGTTATATTTCTGGATATACTCCTGTAGCTTGGGGTTGATCGCCTTCGGTGCCGGCATGCCGACGGCCGGCGATGCTGCCTCCCCTGTACTTGCCCCTATGCCTTGTCCATATCTGGGTCTCGGTAATGGCTTGGCGCTAAAGTCCGGTCTTGGCGTAGGTTTAGATGCAGGTTTAGGTGCAGGTTTAGGCGCCGAGACTAGACCAGATGGATTACTGTTATTTTTAGGTAGGTCTCTCTCGGTCTTTTCAGGTCGCTCAAATACCCTTGAACGAGGCGTCCGTTCTTGGATCTTGGGTAATGTCTTGTCCAGATTCGGAGGAATCACATCTGCTACCGCGACTGCCGTGGTAGCAGTGGCTGCAGTAGCAGCGTCGACAATAGCCGCTGCTGTTGATGTCGATATTCCTATCTCTGCTGGCAGAGATGGGAGTGCCATCACCGCAACGGACACCGGTACGGCTGGAAGGGGTTCCTGTCTGGCAGATTCATCTATCATTCGAGAGCCCGGTTGGGATCGACTCTGTTGCGGCTGAGGCGGAATAGGATCCGTGTTCCTAGAAACGACGAGGTGATAGCTTCGAGCTCGGTCATACGCCTTGTGCTGATTATAGATTAGAATATTGGGTGGTTGGTCTGTAGGTGCGAGGGTCTGGAAGTGAATGTCCTTCATCGTGAGATCGTGACTCTGCTGTGAATACTGCTGAGATTGCTGAGACTGAGTAGACTCCTGTTGTATTTTTTGCGGAGCAGTTACAGATGCAGCTGCAGGAGGAGTACTCTGCTGCCGCCATCCCAATCCCGAGGCAGCAGCTGATGCTGCACTTAATGCTCCGCCGGCCAATGCCTGGATCAGTTGACCGCTGCTACTGCCGCCACCACCACTATTGCTGTTGTTCTCCTTGATGACTTGCCTCAGTTTACCCGTATTCACGACGTAACCACCAGTATGAGAGCCCTTGGCGCGAACACTGTTCGCCGCTGCGATGGCCTGAGCATGGATCTCGCTCTGGCTCTCCTGCGTCGTCTCTTGCACACTAGCACTATTCTCAATAGTAGCGGGCGCCCTGGAGCCATGGTTCTTGTGGCGGTGACGGTGGTGGTCATGGCTTTCGATCAAGTTCCCACTTCTTTTTGTCTCTGCTTCGTCTTCTTCAACCACCATCGTAATACTCGGACGCGTCTCGAATCCTAGGATGACCTGCGTAGGTGGAGATCCCGCTATTACTTGAGGAGCCCGTGCAGATGCTGAAGGCGCCAGCTGTTTTTCTACATGTGGAGCACCGTCGCCTGGTTTGACTTCCTGCTGCTGGTGTCGTCGCAGTCGCCGATCAACTTCGGCATGGCCCTGAATGTCTGTGGTCGTCTGTCCGTGAGAGGACGATCCCGCCATTCCCTGACCCGTCCGATCTGATTGAGCTGCCAGTCCCTTTGGCTTTGCAGCAACGGCGGGTTTGGTCCCAGGAACAGGCTTACGAACAGTTTTTGGATACGCAAAGCCCGATCCTGAAGGGCTTCCTGCTGATGCTGTCATTGGAGCCCCGCTCTGCGGGACAGATTTCTGACCCGCTTTTGCGATAGGGAGTTGAATAGGCGCTGGTGGTCTAGTGGTCGGCATGGGCGTGGGCTTTGGGACATATGTATTCTGCTGAAGCGAGGACGTGTTTCTGTTGGTTCCTGACTCTTGAGCAGGTAAATGGCCTGATCGTCTAGGCATCTCATTTCTGGGAGGCGATTTTGAGAACGTAGCGGGGTTTGAGCTTCTCAAGTGACCACTCGATGCTGCAGTAGCAGGTCGTGTCGCTGGTTCTGGTCGTGGCCGTAGCCCAAGTGCACCAATGGCAGTTGTACCAGGCGAACTACTGATCTGATTCAAATGCTGCGGTTTAGGCGCTGGGACAGGTAGTGGGCGGTTCAACGGAACGTGCTGCAGCTCTGGACTCCCACAGGGTTGTGGAGGCATGTTCTCGACCGCATGGCCATCTCGTGCATGCTTTGGATGATGTATCGTGTCCGTGTTGTTACCCAGTAGGCGCGACAAACCTGAAGGGCTGGAACCAAAGTTGGGGGAAGATGCTGAGACAGGAACTGGTGCCCTGATATTGGGGTTTGGCTCGGGCGCAGACGAACGAGATGGATCCATAAACCCAGACTTCGGTGCACTGCTGCTGGGACTTGCTGCAGCGTCCATCATGTGCTCTTGCACTGGGGATGCTATTCTCTTGACACGCTCGAACGCTTCCCTCGCCAAGGCCAAATTTTCAGGTGTTTGAACAGGGATAGGAGCAGGTGAGAGCGAGCGTGGATTTGCCGAGGCTTTAGCTGCCCCGGCGCGCAACGGCGATACATTCGGCGGCGATGATGGTAGCGGGAGCGGCTTTGTAAAAAGGGGTGGGTCGGTCAAGCAGTCCTCGAGCGCGCTACCAAAGGCTTCCGTCTGTGGAGCTGCAGGTTGTCGATGTGGGTGATGAAGGAAACGAGAGGTCGTCTGATTGGGGTACGGTACTGTTCCTGGTGAGGGAGGGAAGTCGTTGCTCCTAAGAGACGACGGACTACCATAGCTTTGAGACGATAATGGGCTATACTGTGACGTAAAGGAGCCGATTTGGGTGTTGATTCGTCCTACAGCAGGTCGTCGACGGTCTGGAGAGATCGGAATTTGCATTGGCGGGGTCGGTCGTGAAGCCGACGGTATCTGGATCGCCGTTGCACTGCTGTACTGTTCCTCAGACTCTTTCTTTGAGATCCAATGATGGATTGCGGATGCCATCTTCTTGTCGTCCAGATCAAACTCGACGTTGCCGTCCCCCAGTCCAGACAATGCACCTCCTAGAGCCATCTCTTGCTGATATTGCGCCGCTGCTTTTAGAAATTCCTTCGCTTTTGTCGTCGGTGGTGGTTGGAAGGGAGTGTATCGCACTCTTTCCACAGCTGGGACATATGCGATGGGCATGGCAGGTCCCAGTGGAGGTGATTTTGTGAGGTGCCTTCGACCTTGGCCGTTATTGTTATCCAAATGCCTGGATCCCTGTAGATGTTCATGTTGAAGATGATGGCTGGAGGATGGACTGGTCGACCGTTGGATTTTGTCCGCAAGTTTACTCAGTTTTTGCTTGGGACTTGCGAGCATGGTCTTTATCGAAGTAATGGAGTTAGCCGGAGATAATTCCCTTGTATCCTGCTGCCACTCGCCTTGCCGGTCAATGTTTGAGTACCCGTCCTGGTTTTCTGAGCCGTCCGTCCCCCATGGGAGATCACGTCCTGCGTTGTTGCTGTTGCTACCACCATCATATCCGCTTGTGATAGGAATTGCAATGCTGTCATTGTATCCAATCCCCCGGTCAAATCGTGCGGGTCGATCAGGCTCTAGATCCAAGTCTTCATCTACCAAGTTGTAGTGATGTGGTAAATGATTCTCGTCCAGCTTTGGCTTTGGTGCGGGAGTCAACGATGCTGGGTGACAAATTTTTACAGGAATTTCCACTGCCAATTCTCCACTACGATGAAATGGGATGTTTTCGCACCTTTGGTAAGAAAGCAGTTTCCTCCGCAATGCGAGAGCATGGTTAAACATAATAGCTGTCATGATAGGTACCTGAAAGTGCCCAAGAGCATCGAGACGACGACAAAACACGTCACCTCAAACAGAGCGGTTCCTCGGATTGTTCTGGCGTTCCCGGGAACAATCATGTTGATGGTCATGGTGCGCTCCTCTCCGGTGTCGAACAAGTAGCTGGAGGACTTGAACTCCTGCGTTCCAACAACTTCCGAGACGCTTACGGTATCGATTTTAAGTCCTGGATCCTGCTGTGCTTTATCCTTGTTTGATACCATCTCCAGTCTCCGATGAACTCCCAAGCGAATCCCTTGCACCTATTTCAAACACGCCCAACACGCATGTTAGACGGATTGCTCGTAAAAAAAAAAAAAAAAAAAAAAAAAAAAAAAGAACAAGAGCAAGAACACAGCATTGACACAGTACCTTTCGACTTGTGTTGTTCTTGACCTTGACCTCTACTGTCAAATTACCACCAGCGCTATGCAGTTTTTCAGAAAGTACCGCTTCAAGCACCAAGGATCCACTTCCACCCCAAAACAACTTTGTTGAGTTGCTGGCCTGGATAGGCAACCGGTAATCAGGATTGTACCCATCCCACGCCTCGACCACAAACGCTTCCTTGGATTTTAGGATCATCTCATCCTTCCCGTGATAAAAAACCTGCACCAGCCTGATCATATTCAAATGCGCCCCCGCGCGCGGACGGAAATCGAAAATTCAACGTTAGCAAAATAGGGGTTGTTCCTGAATTTTTTTTCGCCTCTACCATGACATACGCATGACTTTGTGAGCTCAATCAACTTCTTTCTTGCTGAAGACCTTACCCTGTGACAACGTAGCGCAGACTGGCAGTCTGTCCAAAGACCAGACTACTTGGGCAGTCGAGAGGGAGCTGAAATGCGAATGGGAAAGTGGTCTTGCCCTTCTTGGCCATCCAGAACCCTTGCTCGTCAATTGGTCCGTGTACAGCATTGGAGGGCGGGATATTGGGGCCCTGGAAGCAGAGGCGGGAGGACAAGAACGATTGTGTTGCCGTGAACTCTTTGGAGGTGATTTCTAGGGAAGGATACCATCATCGTGCATTAGGGAGCGAGGAAGGGGGTGAACACGGAGGAATGCTACGCCATATAGCGCTCGACCTTCAGTGCTCTCATGTTATGATTTCTCACTGGCTCCTGCCTACCTTCATAAGCTGCCAATTCAACAGCTATTTCGCCCAGTTTCAAAGACCGCGAACTTGTCGCCGTGATCTCCATTCGTCCAAACAGATTCCCTCCTGCTTGAAAGATGGTCGAATCGAAAAAGATGCGGATCTTCAACTTGCTGCATTTCGCTGGCTGAGTGGTCGAGGGTCGGAATGCAATGTTGTTGGCTAACGTCAGTGCCGAGGCTGCTGCCGCCTCAATCCCCGAAACAAAGCCCGAGCCCGATCCAGGAACCGACCCTGGTGGAGGTAGGATTGGTGGCATCTTGGGCTGTGCAGTAGGAGGCGTCGCCGTCATATCGTTCATGGATGCTGGGGAGGGCAATATCGTCCCCTGTGCCCCTGATACTCTGTATTGTTCCCGCTGCTGATGCTGTCGATGGTGCTGCTGTAGATGATGACTCTGGTTGTTGTGGTGATGGGCAAAGGAGGAGGAAGTGGGGGAGGACGGGGTGACTCTAGTAGGGCTTTTATGGGTCGTTTGATGAGAGTGATATGCCGCATGTCCAGTCGATTCAATGTCTATATCGCGGTATCGTGTCCGCCCCCTTTCTCCTGCATCATAGCCGAGGTAGCGTTGGCCGTTGCTCGGTTCTACTGACGAGGACATGGGCAGTGGACGATGGTATTAAATGGTGGGGGGGGGGGGGGGGGGGGGTGTGTGGAAGAAGCAAGAGGTATATTTGAAGTGGTATTTGTAGAATTGAAAGATAAAAAACTGGAGTGAAGGGATGACATTTACATTCACGCCTTGTATCCAGTAGTTGAATGAATGAAGGAGACACTGCGATACAAAGACGAGAAGAGGAGGTCGAGAAGAGGAGGACGAGGAGAGGAAGACGAAGACGAAGATGAAGTGTCGGGAAGTAGGGGATGAGGAGTTTGGAGAAGAGAAGGGCGGTGTTCAAAGGAAAGAAGTGGGAGGAGTGCAGTGTGGAGTATGTCCAACGCATGTCCTTCAGTCAGCAAGGTACAGTCCAAAGGGCACACGTTTTTTATTATATTCATTTGTTGAATAATCCACTAGCGAACAGGAGCATACCCCTATTACAGCACTCCCCATGACTCCGCTGCCATGCTGCTGTTGCTACACGTCTGCGGAGAAGAGGGGGCCAGATATGACACGGGCTGACCACGCACCACTCCTTTTTTTTGTCTGTGTATTTTTCTTCGCCCCCACTGCTATCGTCATCAACAGCATCAGCATCATAATGATATGCCCTCATGTTAATCCTCGGAATAAGTCCCTGCCTACCTGTCTAGGGAGTGAAGAGGAAAAACGCTCTTTCTCAGCAAAGGTAGCCATGCCACCTTTTCACATGAAAGACGCGTCTTTTTAAAGTTTCATACGACGGTGGGGACTACGCGACGCAACGCGGTAACCGTCATCCAAAGTGAATATAAATAGCAGGTCCACTCACTCATTTCAAAGACCTAATAGAAAAATAGGTGCTGTGGCCCTTTAAACGAGAAGCGTCCTCTGCAGGCTGCAAAATACTGCCTTTTCTCTTGCGATCTGAAGAGGCATGGCTACATACATCTGTCTGGTCAAGCATCTCAGCTCTCGATGATAACTCTAAAAGTGTTTTCGCTCTACATCCCTACTTTGTCTTCATCCTGTCTAATTTGTGATCAAAGATCAGGAACGCGTATGAATGCGGTTTGGATCTAAAGGTGGCCAGTGCACCTCTACTGAGGATATGCGCATAGCAGCCAGGGCACTGGAGACATCGATGGGGAAAATACAGGTATCCGATCAGGTTTAATTGATCGCTGCGTTTTACATCCAGTAATAACAGGTCAACGTAAAGCCTACACGTCCATCGTCGTGTTTCGCGGTCATTGCTTGATAGTACCCATTCTATTTCGCTGTTAACGAGTCTTCATCAAGTGTCTGGGGGATATTACCCAGAATCCGGTAAGGAGCAGTGTGTAACGGTTCCTTTGTTGGTGGCGATTGACTGCGCGTGTAGACTTGGTAATTCTTTTTTTGAGACTGTGCTGTGTATCTGAGCGCAGGCAGCTGTTGATGAGCGATCACACCACCAAAGGGAGAAGGTCGGTCGCTTGCAGATCATCTCATCCATCCATCCAAATCTCACTTCCCATTCTTGCATCCCCTTGTACTCTTCCGCATTCTTTTTTTATTTTCTTTACATCCGCCTGTGCGCAGAGATCCGATCCGATCAAGCAAGAAGAACGAGCGGGATCGACAGCATCATGTCGCTCGCCAAACGACTTTTACATCCGCACTATGTTGCAAACGTGGTCCTCGCCGCAGCCTACCCAGCATATCAAATCATATTCCATCCAGAGTGCCTGTCGAGCTCCAATATCGCTGCCAACTCCCGCTACATCCTGCCAGGCATGGTCCTGCTCTCGATAAAAATTCGCGGATCTCAGTCCGCAGAGGAACTCGTCAGTGTCGTAGCACTGTACATCAAGGTCTATTCCCTCTACGGCTTTTGGGCCATTGCCCAGGAACGTGCGGCTCTCTTGGGGATGAGCTGGAGCGGGTGGTGGAGGGTCCTCCTGTTTCTATTCGCATGGCTGGGTAAGTACTATGAAACGGATTGGTGTTACGATTGGCGTTACGATTGGCGTAACGATAAGTGTGCTGCTGTTATTTTATTCCTGTACGTTACATATACGAGGGCGTCTAACAGTTTCCTGTTCGTGTTACAGCTGTCTTTATTGCATTTCCGCAACCGCCTTATCAGGGTCCTTCGAAGATCATCTGGCTGGATGCCGCACAGCTCGAGTACTTGACTACACCAGGTCAATCAGGATCAAAGGGCAAGGAGCGCGCGGTTGGTGATTCCGGTCTCAGGAACCGTAGTTCATCAGCAAAGATCGTGGAACTGGATGAGAATGAGGAGCCACTGGAGGATGGAGAAGTGGATCGGGGGAAGACATATACTCAGGATCAAGGGCGTAAGGAGAAGGCTGTGTCGGAGCTGGATCCTAATCATTATTGGATTATTGCATTTAACGCAACATGGAGCTCACCTTGTCGACTCTTTGAGGCTGTTCTGGCTCGATGCTCGATCAAGTATGTAACTCTATCACTGTCTTTACCTGGGCTGTGGTTTTATTCTTGTTCTCGACTGCATGTCAATGCATCGTCGCATGGCAATAGTCGAAACAACACTAACCAATGACCATGAATCTTTGACTCTCCAAAAAAAAAAAAAAAAAAAGATACGAGAAAAAGAATGTTCACTTTGCCAAGATCGACATGGATCTGGTTCCTGAGGGCGATCAGATCGCCAATCGGTTCAAGATCAGTCTTGCAGCGACCACATTGGATCTACCGACGCTGATCTTGTTCAAGAACGGCAGGCCCCTGAAGCAGCTCCCATTGAAAGTGGGAACCAAGGTCGGAGGCGAGGTTCTGGGCAAGGTTGGATGGGACCGATCGGAGAGCTCAGTGGCGCATGCCTTTGAGCTAGATAAACTGGGCAGCGGCAAGGAGTCGTTTGCAGTGTGAAGTATGTAACACTGGATTATTGGGGCTGGACGCGGTCTAATTGCTATACGTCAAATGTGTCAAGAGCAATTGCGGCCATGATTCGACTATGCATATGCATCGACATACGCCGACATGTACGAACATGTAATCGATTTTGGACATGTAGCATGTAGCATGTAGAGTGTAATGTACTTTCAGTGAGCAGCAATTAAACAATAACGAAAATGAATAGCGAAAGGTCAGTTCCGACCCATTGGATGAACAAATACCAGACGTAATTGGAACGCGCGAAAAGAGTGGAGAATAGAGGTCTGCGCCCGGGATGACCATTGTATGAGGATTTCCCTTTTATACTTCATGACTTGGATAACAACTCCACCTCTTCTTCTTTCTCCTTCTCTTTTGGCTTCTCCATCCTCTTCTCCATCTTCTCTATCTTCCGCTTCTCGCTCTTCTCCTTCGTTTGCTTCTTCAGGATCCTCGTTGCTTTCTCTCCGTATTTTCGCAGCTACCTCTTTGTGCCCCTATCGCCCGATCTCTGCATGCAAATCTCTTCAACGACCGCACGTCCGCCGCCACTAAAAAAAGATATTCGAGCCCATCGACAGCATAACTCTAGCTTATCTTGCTCCTACCCTCTTCTTGTCTTCTTCATTCCATTTGCTCATTCCAAGAACATCGTGCACCTTTGTCCTTTCGACCTTCATATACACTTTCCACTAATACACTGGCCTGACTTTTCGCGAGGCAAAAAACTACAAATACGCCCACTATTACTATGGAAAACATGGAACGCGTCGAGGAGCACAAGAACCATGACCAAGGGCAGTGCACAGGTGTACCTTCCGAGCTTGACACACCGGTGAGCACCAGCGATGACACCGCCCCCTCGACTGTTTCCGTATCAGGATCAGAAGCAGACGATGTATCTGCGGCGCCCAAGCACAATGAGGACCACCTATCGAGTACAGGACTCAATATCGAAGCAGCAACACCGACTGAAGCATTACCAACGACTTTCGGAGCAGGTTCAGAAGCACAGCTCGTGAGCGTGGTCGGCGACAAGTCGGTGCGGTCGGATATTCCACTCAGGATCCTTCAGCAGCTCTACCTGCCCAACCAGTCCAATTCGTATAGGACAATCAACCTCAAGGACAATACCTTGTCGTTTCCACACTCGCCTTCGTTCCCAGGTGTCAAGGCACTGCCGGACCATGAGCGGAAACGAATCTTGGTCACTGGAGGAGCAGGCTTTGTGGGTTCACATCTCGTCGATCGACTGATGCTCATGGGCCACGAGGTCATTGTGCTCGACAACTTTTTTACGGGAAACAAGCGCAATGTCCAGCACTGGATGGGTCACCCTCACTTTGAACTCATTCGACACGACGTGGTCGATCCGTTCATGATCGAGGTCGATCAGATCTACCACCTAGCCTGCCCTGCCTCTCCACCTCACTATCAGTACAACCCCATCAAAACCGTCAAGACCTCTGTCATGGGTACGATCAACATGCTGGGACTTGCCAAGCGAACGAAGGCCCGCTTCCTCTTGACCTCAACATCCGGTACGTATCATCCCATCTCAAAGTCAAATTGATTTGTCCTTGAAGCATTAACATTGTTCCTCGACGGCTGACAAAAAACCTTCTTTTCTTTTTTTTTTATTTTCTTATTTCTTATTTCTTATTTTTATCTTCTTTATCTTTGGTCTATATTCCATAGAGGTCTACGGAGATCCTGAAGAGCATCCTCAAAAAGAGACATATTGGGGCCATGTCAATCCCATTGGGCCTCGCGCCTGCTATGACGAGGGAAAACGCGTGGCGGAAACCTTGACGTATTCATATATGCATCAAGATGAGGTCGACGTTCGGGTGGCTCGAATTTTCAACACATTCGGCCCAAGGATGAACGAAAACGACGGCCGCGTGGTCAGTAACTTTATCATGCAGGCGCTCAGGGGGGATGAACTCACCATCTATGGGGATGGACAGCAAACACGGTCGTTCCAATATATCCACGATCTGGTCGACGGACTGATCCTGCTCATGAACAGGAACTACACAGAGCCCGTCAACCTCGGCAACCCGGAGGAGTACACGATCCGGGAGTTTGCAGAGATGATCCGGAATGAAATCAATGCCGATGTCGAGATCATGAGTCTGCCGCCGACGGAGGACGATCCGCAGAGGCGGCGGCCGGACATTGGAAGGGCACAGCGGCACCTGAACTGGGCACCCAAGTTTTCGGTCTATCAGGGCATCCGCGAGACCGTCCAGTATTTCAAGAACAACAAGATGGAGCAAACGCGGTACTCTTCTAGCTAAATCGCGTGGAAATAAACACACACACACACACACGTACATCAACAAACTACACCATCCCTTGGAGTATGCCGTGTATAGAAGAAACTGAACAAAAGGGGGGTGCGGAGCAAATTAGTTTAGCCTGAATCACAGCGTTTATAACCAACCGTGTGCGAGATGTTGCAGACCATCCGTGGTATGTACGAACCTTGTACTTGGTGTATTCAGAAAACGCGCGCGCCGCGCGGTCGTAACAATCATTGCCTCATAGCCCTCATGGCGCAAACGACCTGCGATCCTTCCTGAAGGGCAAGCATGGTTAGAGTATATACAGAGAGTCTTTTATTACAAATATTTACAGCTAATCGTGGTTATTCTCAAGGAAACACTGAATCCAGGAGTACATATCACAACTTTTTTTGTTGGTTTTTGGGTGTTTTTTTTTTTAAAAAAAAAGTCCACCGCCAGTTCACAACATCATCTCCTTCGCCTTACAAAAAAATAATACAAAAAGGCGCTAAAGATGTATGATGAGAAGAGTCGTTTGAAAAAGTGGACATTTCGGGAAGGCGTGTTCATATGTACAGATGAATCAAAAAGAAAAAAGGAAAGAAAATACCCCCCCCCCCAAAAAAAAAAAGAGAAAGGTTACAAAACGTCCTGGTTGTATGACTGAGAGACCGAGAGGCATTGTATGCTCGTCCATGGTCCTTATAGTGAGTGGCAGCCTAGGTGGTGAAGCTGCAGAGCACAGGCAGGAAGCGCTGCATTCGTCGCTTGTCGTCATCGCAGAACTTGACATTGTCGCCAAAGAGACGCACCTCACGGAGTCGCGAGCGTGTAGCGACGCACTTGAAGCAACGGACTAGGTTCTATTCATTTTTCATCGTTAAAGCGTTAAACCACAGAAGGGATCCAGTTCGCCACCAAGAAATTATATAGAACAGAAACGGATTTAGATCCTTACCTGGCCATTGCCCTTGACAGGGGCACGGAGAACCTGGAGTCGGTCGCAGGAGGTGAGCACGCGCTCGAGTTCGTCGCATCCCAAGAGATCTCGCCAGCCGAACCAGATTCGGACCAGCTGTGGGCCGAGTTTAGGCAGAACGGTGTCAAAAAAGAGGTCCTTGCTGTGAAAGTCGGACCAGCGTTCCACATGCAGCTCCTGAATCTGACGAGCTCGTTCCAGAAAGCTCTGCCAAAATTCTGCCGTGTTATTGTTCCTCGGGGCCGACTTGCCGGTCGAGGTCAGTTTGGGACAGAGCGAAAGCGCCTTCAGGATCAGCTGCGAGTCCACAGTGCCCATGTCAAAGAATTCGAGCTCCTGAGGCGGGTACTCCAGAACTGCGGCCGTGTAGCTGTCCGGGCAGTTTCGCAGATGGATCGAGACCAGACCCGGGTTGCGCAAGACCATCATCTCGAGCGAACGGCTGGTGATGGCCTCGGGGCAGAGGTCCAGCTTGACCAGCGAGCGACAGTACTGGGCCAAGACGCGTGAAAAGGCATGGGCGGGCAACGCTTGCGGCGCATGATGCAGATGGAGGCTGGTCAGGTTGACCAGAGACGGAGCCAATGCGACGCTAGTCTTGAGATCCGGAGGGGCCACAAAGGAGATGCTCAGGTCCGTCAAATGTCGCGAGATGGACTTGATGTTGCTCCAGTCGGCGCGCGTGGTCACCAACTTTTGGAGACGTGTGCAGGTGCTGATGCAATTAAGGGCTGCATCCACATAGGCGGTGTCATCCTTGTCGACGGCATTGACGGAAACGCTGGTCAGGTCGAGTTCCTGGACATGGGCCATGCCCTGGGCAATGATCGGGTTGAGTGAGCGGAAAGCCTGGGTCTCGAAGGACTCCATCAGATGGCCCTTCTCGCCGGAGCGGAAGCACAGGGCGAGGGAGGAGATACGGGGACAAGGATCGAAGAGCTTGTCGAGCGAGGGGAACATCTCCCAGAGCTCGACCTTGCAGCGAGAGAGCGAGCGGACATAGAGACCACGGTTGGTGGTGTCCAGGGTACGGATGAGGGCACTGATTTTGGCCTCGGAGCCGCGGCCGTGGCGAATGTAGGGGGCGCGGTAGAGGAAGATGTTGGCGTCGAAGAACCAGGTGCGGTTAACGAGGGTGCAGGCACGCAGGGAGGACTGGACGAGCTGGGGACAGAGGTCGGCCTGGGCTTCGAGACAGGCCAAGATCTCGAAGACGATTTCGGGCAGGGCGAGTGCGCGGTTGGTGGCCGTGGTTGGATAGGGCATTGTGAGAGATAGGAAGTGATACAGTGCGCGTAATACAAAGAAGAAGCGTGTAGCGCAATAGAATAGAGCAGAATAGAATACAGCAGAATAAAAATAAGAGTAGTAGGAAAGAAGAGACTAATGGAAATAGTGCGGTGCTTATTGGATGCTGGAGTGATATGAAAATGATGTTACTCCTTTTGGGCAAATGTTCTCGTGATCCCCCGCAAATGCGAAGTCTTGGGCAGGCAGGCCAAGTCGGTTAGGACCAAATCTAGATACAGAGACAAACGCTCTCGGCTGACAGGACTCAGACAGATAATCTCGAGAGCAAGGGACAAGAGCAAGGACAAGGACCGAGGGAAGGATTAAAGGCTGTATATGCGAGAGAGAGATCAGGCAAAGACGTTCCGTATTGCTGAAGCAGGACGAGGAAGGTGGAGAGGAAGGGCCGGTGAGGCGATCAGATTGACTACGTTTGGAGAATGTTCAGAAACTAAGAGGCGAGGGGGGTGCTGGGCGGGTGGGGAAGATTCTGTAACAGACTCCAAACTCACAGGGAGGGCATTTTTGAAAGCTGTGTTGGAGGGAGGGGGCAGATGGAGGGATGTGAAGAGGAGCAACGTGGCCACTCCTTGAGGATAACAAGGAAAGAAAGAGAAAGGACGGTGGCAGCTACGCGAGGGGAAGAAAGGATACGCGTTTCTGTGGGGGGTGAATGCAGAGGGATGCGACACGGAGGAAGAAAGAGTGGCTGAGGAAGAAAAAGAAGAAGAGGAGGAGGAAGAAGAAGAAGAATGGGGGCTGTTGAAGGAAAGAAAGAGAGAGGAAAAGAGAGGCGTCCAAAGGGAGGGGGGGACTCGCATTTATACCGAAGCGATGTGAGTCGCGTGTGTCGGGTGTGGGACAAATCCACGCAGAGTGTGGGGTATAAATCATATAAATCATATTGGCTTATTGGCTTATTGGCTTATTGGCTCTTGGCGGCAGCGTCAACGGGTCTGGCCATTCACACGCCCACTCGAACCAACAGCGGATCGAGTGCAGCAGGGAATCCATCCGACCCCATCTGTATGTCCTCCTCCTCCACCCTTGCCATTGCCCACCACCACCACCACCACCGCCACCATACCGTCAATCTTCCCTTGGGCGTTGCTCGTGTTCCTCTTCTTGCTGTGGAACAGATGCCTTTGAGAAGGAGCGAGATGTGGGGTACTAGTCCAAGCAGCTGTTTAGCAGCAGCATCTTCATCTCTTTCACCCCCCTACGAGAAAAATATTCCTCCTCCTACAGAACAACGACTCAGACCGAATAGGAGGCACCACCCAGACAAACCGGTACCGGACAGCTTCCTCTTGACGGAAACCCCCCTCCCTCCCCCTGCCACAACTCACACCATAAAAGCAACAACCAGCGAAAGAAAGACCAACCGCATCCAGCAATAGTCTGTAAATAGCCCGTCTCCAGTCAACAACGACCCACGGCCCGACCCCAACGCCCAATGTCTTATTTTCTCATCTATGATATCCATGATCCAACTCGAGTGTCCCGCTTGCTCGGTCTGCTCACTCCACCCCTAGCATGCAAGCCTGGCGTTTTTTATTTTGTTTTTGTTTTTTTATAGTCTTTTTGGATGTCTCCTGATGGCTGTCAAAGGCCCTCCCCCCATTCCACATAGCTTCCACACGCCCCTACAGTACGATGTCAACGTTTTCGGGCTATTCCCTCCACACCCTTTTTTCAGTGGCGCGATTCCTGCATTTCATGCCCCCCAGTAGGCAGAACTCTAGGGTCTGTGCCCTTGACCTGTCACCTGTTCGTCCTTGTGCGACCATGCAAACCTCATTAGAACTATATACTACGGCCACGACTATGGAATAAAAACACTTTTCCTTTCGTTCCACTTTCCCCTCCCCTTCTTCACCCCCCCCCCCCCCCACCCCACTCGACCCAAAAGAAAAAAAGCGATTGTGTACCCTTTATGCAAACAGCCGTTGTTTATGTATCTATCCGTGCAACTGACTAGCGCGCGTGTATGTGTATGTGTGTATGTATGTGTGGGTAATTTTTTCCACTCTTTTCTTTCCTGTTCCATGGCTCTTTCATCGCGTTTTTTTTTTTGTTGCTTCGTTCGTTCGTTCTTCTTTTTTTTTAAAATGCGAACCAAAAAGATAACCCATAACAACAACAACAAAAAAAACCACAGCATAAAGAGTCTCTACCCCGAGCCATTGGACCCCAAGATGGAAGGAAGAAAGAAAGAAGAAAATATAGATCCTCCACCTCCCACACCTTTCTTTCACCACAGGCCAAGAGAACGTCGTTCTGCACACCTTAAAAAAAAGAATAGGAATAACAATAAGAATAAGAGTTAGAATATATATACCCATCCTTCCATCCTTCTTGACGTTCAAAAGAAGAAATATGAGCAATAATGAGAAAAAAACCTAATAAAGAGCAAAAAAAGAACCATGTCAGACATGCTCTCATGCAGAACATGAAAAAATGCTGCATTAGTTCGTTGTTCCTCTGCCCAAAAAGATGCCAACTGCCCGTCTAGGGATTGCCGTTGACAAAAACAAGGAATTACTTTACTGGGTCATCTTTGCTGTGGTATGTAATTCTCAGGAGATGGGGTAAAAAAAAAAAAAAAAAATGCGATCGGTATCGACGGATTTGGGCTGCAATGCATGATGGCCGAGCCGGCTGTATCCGAATAGACATTATGTCCACCGCCATCAAAGTCGTGTCCACTTCATATCCATCCCCATCAAAGTCGTTACAACCTGCAGAAACAACACGCAATTCGCTTGTAGGCGGATGAGTGCTTGTGTTCGTGTATTATTTTATTGACCGCCATTGCAGAAAAAAAAAAAGCATCTAAGGCAGTGGGAGAAGGACAACTCCCTCTGCATTCGGCTCCCGTGAAAGAGGACCCAGACCCTGTCCCGCGTCCTGCTGCTGGCGCACTGTCGCCTCGTTCTGAAGAGTCATCCCTGAGCCCCCCACACCGCCTGCGGGCACAGTAACGCTCGCAAACACCTGTGGATTGCCCGTCTGTCGAGCCAGGATCATCTTCTCCTGCATAGACATGATGCTCTTCTTCATCGTTAGCCGGTCCAGGTACAATTGTTGTCGTTGGGTCTCAAGCTCCCTCTTTTCGATATCCAGAACACTCTCCAGCTCCTCGAACTGCTGCAGCTTCAGCTCCAACTTCTTAAGCTGCATCTCCACCACCACCGTCACCAGGCGCTGGATCTCACGCTCCTCATAGTCCGCCAACGTCTTCGCCTTCGCTGCTGCAGATCCCAGTGCTGCAGCCGCAGCCTTCTCAAGTGTAGACCTAGGGATTCCTGAAATGTCGTCTGCCTTGGACTCTGTCAATGTAGTGCTGTCGTCCGACATAGTCACGTCCTGTTTCGGGGTTGCGCTTGTCTGGTCCTGATCTTCCTTTGCACTGTCGACGTTCATAGATTCCAAGGTCTGTGGCTCCTCCTTCACCTCCTCAGCCGCCTCCTCAGCCGTCTCTCCGCTCTCTTCTGAAGCCTGTGCGTTCTTCCTGGCCAAGGCGAGCTCCCTCAATGCGCTTTGCGCAGCCGCAGCCGCCACACCTGGGTTCACAACACTAGCCAAAAATGCCACAACGCTCATCACTGGGTTGTCGGACTCGCTGAATGGAGCCTTGTGGTATTGAAGAGGCCCCAACTCCCTTTCGGTTGCACCTCCCAAGTACGGATCCTCAATGGGCAGTTGCAAAAAGTGAAGAATGCACTGTTCACGGCCACGGGTGCCAACATGTTCCGCCACCAAATTCCAGTCTTCGTCGTACATCTCCAGTCCCTCCAACAGAAGCAGTGTCTCCTGATCCGTCCAAGGCTCGTCCGTCGATTTGTCGTGCTGCGATTGGAACCGAATAAAGTCACCGGAGGACATCGTTGCGGGAAAGCGGCCCTCTGTGTAGCAGTTAGCACAAAGTTCAAAATTCTTGGTCTTGATGCTGTGGTAACGGCTCTTACTGCAGTCCGCACCGCAAGTAAAGCAGTTGAACCGCTGCCTCTTCTCTGCGTTCTCATCACTGTCCTTGGAAACGGGCTCTGGTCCACTGGTATAGATGTTCCGGCGAAGCTCAATGTTGGCATCCAGTTTCGAAGCGCCTGGAGTCTTGATCTGCTCAACGTTTGCCTTTGCAGCAGTTGGAGTGGCCAAGTTCGGCTGGAATGGCTGAAGACCCTTGGGGGTGTCGGCCGACACGCGGAAATGGCCAGTGAAAGAGGGCCCAACTGTCGAAGGACGGGTATCGGGATCAACCTATACATAAAACAAAGAAAGCGTCAAAATATAGATTAGAAACTGTATCATCAATTCAGCTCAACCACGCGCACGTCTCCCAAGGAATTTTACCTGGTAGTTGATCAGCCCCCATTGTTCCAAAAATGCGTGGACTCTGATGATGGCGCACACATCTCCAGCAAGGTTTCTTCTGCAGGCAGTAACCGTCAGGTATTCCGAGGGGTTCAGGCGGTATGTGTTGATCATGAAGTCGCGGTAATCTTTATAAACAGTGGGCGTTTTGCTCCTGTTCTTCAGATTGAAAAACTCTGGAAGCGACCTTTGCTCAATGTCGTGAATCTTTGAAAGCGAGAACCAGGCCGCGTAAGAAGGTATAATGACTTCCTGTGTCTGTTGTGAAAGGTAGCGACTAGCCTCTTCCTCGAGTCGCAAACGCTCCGCATCCGCCAGAGCGGCCGCCTCTTCACTTGTCGGTGCAGCTCCCGACTGGGCATTGGAGCTCTCCTCAGCTGTCTTCGCCTCCTTTGTATCGTCATCAGCGGTTAATGTCACATTGCTCTTGTCATTCGAATCATCCTCCTTCGCATCAACGTCCATAGATTCGGATCCTGCAGTATCCTCAGTCGCCTCACCATCTTGTGTAGCAGTGGTAGATGTTGCTGCCAGATGGCCATCTGGAATAACGGGAATATTGGCGAGCTCGCCTCCAACAATGGGCTCGTATTCATTCTTCTTTGATCCGCGTCCTCGGGGCGCATTCTCCTCCAAGGAGACAACCTGAAGGCCTGGGTGATCCGGCTGAGCGTCCATTGGTGTGGCGGACGAACTCCTCTTCAGTCTCTTTGAAAGTGACTCGATCCTGTCCGAGTTGTCACGCTTGCTTCCAAATCGCTGGCTGGAGGGAGCGGGCGATCCGGCGGCTGATTCCTGGTCGCTGTTTTGGTCGGAAGATGGCTCGTAGTCCTCCTCGTTCATCCACTCGTTGTATTTCTCACTGTCCCTGATCCAACGGGCAGAAATACTCCAAGCACCGGTGTGCTCTGGGACCGGCTCTGGGTCCATGAACTCACTTGAGGTCTCCAGCAGCCACTCGTCGTATGAATCAGGGTAGTACCAATAGTGGACCAGGACCTTTCCATCCTTCTTTTCCAATGTGCGGAGCCATTCCTCACCCTCCGGACTCTCGAGCTCCTCTTCTGAATGGTGAATGATGTGTGTTGCCTTCCTGATGTCCGAGACCGTGCTTCCTATTTGATCATTGGATAAATACCATC